GACCCGTGATGTCAACGGGTCGGGTCAGCGGTTGAACCGTGATGTCAACGGGTCGGTTCAGTCATTGACCCGTAATGTCAACGGGTCGGGTCAAGCCTTGACCCGAACTGGTGGGCGGGTCAGAAAAGGTCAACCCGAACCGTAAAAAAAACCAGTTCGGTTCGGTTCGGGTCACTGACCCGCCGACCCGTTAAGGAACCCTAGTTATGATCGCGAAGAGGCTCTCCACCTTTCACCCAAGTCCAATGCTTCCCATCAGAACCTAAACGATTGATTTTAGTTTCGTCACTAAACACCACACGTTTCCAATCATCTACAGTCCAATGTTGATACTTCTTTGCAAACTGTAGACGAAGCTTCTTGCGTCTTGGTGTCAATGGAAGTGCGTTTGGTTTAATTCGCGATTCAAAACCACATGCTGAAAGGTGATTTCGGATGGTTTGGGCGGAAATAAAAGTATTTTCTGCTGCAAGCTGTCTTGCAGCGTCAGCAGCAGTAGTGTAAACACCAGTGGCGAACTTGCGCAAGATGAGCCGCCCAAGATTAGTGCTGATTGTTGATGGGCGGCCATTGGCAGCATTAGACTGAATGTCTAATTGCTTAGCAATTCGTCCAATCGTTCGACGTGAAACGCCAAGAGCAGCTTCAATAGTCCGTTGGGACTCTCCACGTCGCAAACGTACTTCAATATTCTGAGTGGTGGTGGTGGGAATTGACTTCATGTTAGGATGGTTGCTAATTGCGAAAATCGTTGGTAATTGGTGAAGAGGATGGGGATGAATCACTTGATTTCGAAAGGGAAAAAAAGAGAAGGCCTTGTTTTGATAGCGTCCATGATTTTGAAGAATTTCGGACAGCAGTCACTTAGGAAATTCGCGCCTGCCAATTTTTTTCCATACAACTCAAAAAAGTGGGGCAATGACATATAAAATCAAATCGCCCATAACTTTACAACCAGACATGGGAACAATATGAGTAAAAATTCATTCGAAAGGTAATTAAAAGGGCTTTTATTTAAAAAAAAGAAAACTGTACTTTATTATGTAGGAAATTACGAAATTAAATAAAACGCACATTTTTTGCAAACATTGCCCCACTTTTTTGAGTCACTGTAATTCCTACCTGCGCCATCTGTACACGACCACTGAAACTGAACTGCCTCTGTACCCCGTTACGATTCAAGGTCATACCTTCCTCGCAATGATACTGTAGATAGTGGTGCCAGCGATAACTATGTGTCCTCCCGCATGGCCCAATATGCGACGAAGACTGAAGAAACTCCAACACGCCTGATCGAAACCGCTGGTGGTGACATCAAGACCATCGACCAGAAAGCTACACTAGATATTGATCTGAATGGTTATCAAAGCTGCTTAAGTGCCAACATTTTCGATACAAAATTCGATCTGATCTTGGGACAAACCTGGTTGCACACCATGGGACCCGAACCAAATTGGCGCACTGATGTCTGGTGTATCCGCGAACATGGTCAAGAATATTTCCTCACTCCACAACGTGGTGTTTCCTCAAGACCGTATTTAGGTTATCTGATTTCCGCTAAACAAGTCGAACAAGATTTACGCCGTCATAATGCCGATTGTTTTCTGATTCATTTCAAGGCCCCAGACAGCGCACACCAAGACCACGACACGTTCTGGCAAGAGATGGTTAAGCAGTTCAACGATGTATTCCAAGATGGACTGCCGGGCCTCCCTCCTGACCAATCGGTTCAATATGTAATCAATACGAATGATGCAAGCCCTGTCAACCATGCCCGGTACAAAATGAGCCCTGCTGAATTAGATGAACTAAAACAACAGCTGAAAGAACTCCTCAATCTCGGTCTGATTCGACCAAATGCTTCGCCCTGGGGTGCCCCGATGTTATTCGTAAAGAAAAAGGATGGCTCGATGAGAATGTGTATCGACTACCGTGCTCTGAACAAGGTGACCGTTCGTAACAAGCACCCTTTGCCCCATATCGATGAATGCTTGGAGCATCTGCAAGGCGCAACACATTTCACTAGTCTCGATCTAAAAAGTGGATACCATCAAGTTAAAATCACACCTGAAGATGTACCGAAAACCGCCTTTAATACATGCTACGGTCAATACGAAGTTTTGGTCCTACCTTTTGGTCTAACGAACGCTCCACCCACTTTTCAGCAGCTTATGAACGAGGTCCTTGGTGACTGCCTGGATGATTTCGCGTTGGTTTACCTGGATGACATCTTGATTTTCAGCAAGACTGAAGATGATCATAAGAAACATGTGCAACACGTTCTGGAACGACTACGAGAAACCAAGTTGATCGCGAACCTGAAAAAATGCGAATTTAACTGCCGCGAATTAACTTTTCTGGGCTTCAAGATTTCTGCCGATGGTATTCTTCCTGCCGACGACAAGGTGAAAGCGATCAAGGACTGGCCAGTACCGACGAACGTACAAGAAGTTCGCAGTTTTATGGGTTTGGCACAACATTACCAACGATTCATCCCGGGATTTGCAAGTTTGGCTGCCCCAATTACGGACTTGACCCAAGGCGTCGGACTGAAAAAACGACCCATTGTTTGGAATGAAAAATGTGAAGCCAGTTTCCAAGCCGTCAAAGACAAACTCTGTTCAGCTCCCCTGTTGCAAAGTCCCAACATGGATCGCCCGTATGTTATCGAAACTGATGCTTCCGATTTTGGTGTTGGTGCAGTCCTCTTGCAACCTGACGACAACGGTATCCTCCATCCACTGGCCTTCGAGTCTAAAAAATTCTCTAAAGCGGAACGTGCCTACTCTGTCCAAGAACGCAAACTCCTGGGTATTCTTCACGCATTACGTACCTGGCGCTGCTTGGTCGATGGCCGAAAATATACAGTATATACCGATCACCTGCCTCTCAAGTATTTCCACACACAGACCAAGCCCACTCCTCGTCTAATTCGATGGATCTCCGAATTAGAACTCTTTGACCCAGAAATCGTATACAAGCTGGGTAAAGAGAATGACGTCCCCGACCATTTATCACGACGTGATGGTGTTGAAAGCGAACTCGATGAAAAGTCCATGGAACCTGAATTCTTATACGCCATGCACCTACCCCATCCTTCAGACTGGCCGATTTTCTACCGTTTCGAAACTGACAAGATTCCTGATAATGCCCGCGAGATTGTCAACCGAAACCGCGAATAATTTGTTGCCCACGACCATGAGATTTTCCGCAAGATCCAGATGCCTGATGAGTCCCTGATAGAAGTCCCTTTCCTCGAATTCTCGAAACGTGCCAAGACTGTTACGAATACAGTATGCATGAAGTCTTTGGCCACTTTGGACTGAAAACCATGATGGACCTTTTGAAGACCTGTTTCTGGTGGCCCAATATGCGCAGTGACGTTGACAAATGGATTCGAGCTTGCCCTGCTTGTCAAGTCAATCAGAAACGAACCAAAAGTCCCCGCGATGTGATGCGCCCACTCGATGTTCCCAAGCCTTTCCAACGTTGGCACCTTGACTTTATTGGTGAATGTCCGACCACTCTCAGGGGAAACCGTTGGATTCTCGTGGCTGTCGATTCTATGACAAATTGGCCTATCGCTCGTGCTGTCCCGAAAGCCTCTGCCGAAGCCGTTGCTGATTTTATTTATGAAGAAATTGTCATGAACTTCGGTTGTCCCACTGAAATTTTGACTGACCATGGTGCCAATTTCAAAAGCAACCTCATTTCTGCCTATCTTGCCCGTGTCAAGACCAACCACAAGCTTACCTCGGCCTTCCACCCTTGTACAAATGGTAAATGTGAACGCCTCAACGGAACCATTAAGAGTTCTCTGCGCAAGTATATCAAAGGTGCCCTCCATCGTTGGGATGAGTTCCTCCCTGCTACCATTTGGTCCTGCCGTATCCGCACTCATGCTACCACTGGGTATAGTCCTTTCTATCTGACATATGGTCATCATCCTGTCTTACTTGGTGATCCGCTACAGCCGTATATTGAGCAATAATTATTATTATTAAAAGTTATTATAACTGTTAATATTTATAATGATTATTAAAAAATAATGTTTATTATATTAAAATATTAAAGTTATTGTGCCTCTTACACAAGCGTAGTGCAGTGTAACTTGACCATGGGTGTGGTTAGAATGGCATGGAGGTATGCCAGTTCTAACGTCTGAGGTTAGAGGGCGTCTTCCCTTTTATAGATAAAAAACGTTACTCATTGACAAAGCTACTATGGCTGACGAACGCACTATAGCCGATATTACTTCCCGCGAACTCGAAGCCCTCGGTCAAGCTCAAGCTGCTGCAGAATTTCGCATGAAAGCTGTTTCCTAACGCGACAAAGAAAAATGGGATGCCGCTGTCAAGCCCCTGAGATTTGAAATTGATGACAAAGTTTTATTGATTCATGAAGGACGTTTCAGTTTGGAACCTCGCTTTAAAGGCCCGTACATCGTAATCAAGACTAGTGACGACTATGGAACCTATCTCTTGGAAACTCTTGCTGATGAACGTTTAGACTCTTGGGTTCATGTCGACCACCTGGCTCCAGTAAAAGGCGATCAAACGGATACTGTCTGGTATGATCCTCGTATCGCACGATCCGAATGGCGCGCGGCTATCAGTAATGATGTGTCCACCGACTCTTCCACGACCCTGCCTGTTGACCCAGTTGATCCCGTGGCTACCACTCCTCAATTTTTGCCGCCTCACGTACCTGACCCGGTCGATCCTGCCACGTTATCACCTGGCTCTGTACCGCCATTGCCTGCTGCCCCAGACTTACCGGATATTTCTGCTATGCCTCCTACCACGCCCAACGATATGTCAACCAACGACCCTGATACGATCATCAACGATGCTGATCAAGCTGAAGATATTGCCGCCGACAACCCTGATACCGTTATCAACGATGCTGACATTTCTACCGACGTGGCTGATATCCCTATCAACGATGTTGATCTCGCTGATGCTTCTGAAGTCTTCGTTGACGCCCTTACCCATGACGACGCCGCATCTGACGAGTCTCCTGTACCGCTTGCTCCGCCTAGCACTTCCTCACCCCAAGTCGCTCAATTTCCGCTCGCCGATTCACTTGTGTCCATTCCCATTGCCGATAATGCTACCGACCATAATGTCGAACTGCCGAACGCTTTTGAAGTTGAACGAGGATGTACAACAAGCTTAGGGAGGGATAATGTCGAGCTGAAAAACATTCCGGTTCCACAGACGCGATCACGTGACGTCAGGAATATCCCTCCTATGGTGCACTCAGGCAAAAAGCGCAAAGTCCAGCCTCTTCTCCCGCCTCGGCAAAAACAGCGAAATATAATTCCGAGACTTTATATGATTGGTCGACGCTATCCGCGTATCCCATTGGCTCACCGCGATTGCCGCTAGGCTTCGCTCCGCTTCTCACTCACATTGGTCACTGCTTAGCTTCTTCTTTGAAAACTTTTGATTGGTATCGCAAGCAAACCAATGGATACTTCTTTATTATTTTTAGAGCAGATTTCATTCAGTATAAATATCAGTAGTTTAGACGTCTGAATAAAGATAACTTCTCTTCTGCATTCTGATCTGTTTATATCTTTGATCTCTTTATTTTATCTTTGATTCAGCCTTTTTATTTCGTGCATATATCGAACCAATAGGGGCCAGGAGATATATCGCGATCTGACATTTTGACACGTCCCAAGTTGTGTGTTGAGCCTCAAGTCTTTTCTGCCGGTTCGGCCCGGATTGTGACGTTGACTTGCGGCAGTTCTGGACTTACTCCGAAAATGACCCCATGATTTTATCCTTATTTGTTGCTATAGATAATCCCCCATAGATTTTTGTTACTATATTTGCTCCGCCGTATATAAAAAGGAGAATAGAGCGAAATAAAAGAGGCAGTTTTTTTTAACCTCATTGAAGAAGTACTATCCTCATACCACAGTGTTAACTTGAGATCCCTGTCCAGTCAAATAAATTTTTATTTGACTGTATACGCTAAGCAAGTACCTGCAACTAAGAAATATCCCTCAATACAAAGAATTGAGCTTTCGCGATAATTGCAACAAGCTACCATGACTGAGAAGTGATAGAACTGATTTGAAAAACGGAACTATGAACTGGAAAAGGACTGCGTCGGTTGCTTCCTGTTGTCGAACGCCTTCTTAACTCTGCTAATTCTCTCACTCAAGTACTGTACGTGTCATTTTGGTGGAGAAGCTGGGCGGCCACACAAGTTATCACTGTATTGCCGTACTGTACTCTTTTGCCTGGTTCAGTTTTGATTGTCATTGCTATTATTTTATTTAATTGATTCTGTATTTTGTACCTTGATTTGTTTATTGTGTATTTCGATCTGCCAAGGTGCTATTTTGTGTTTTTTTATTATCATTTCATCCTTGTGTTCCCCTGTGAATTTTGTATCCACCCCTGATTGGAAGTGGCGTGTGGCGAGAGTTTTTTAATTATTTCCATTTTGTTTATTTTGTGTACTCAACCCGGGGTATATTTGAATTCTGGGTGGTAGTTTGAACTGTCATTTTTTTGATGAAGGTGACCGACGTGACGAACAAGGCCGATAATCATGCACTGGAAGCATTTCTAGCAAGACCGGATCCATTTAGTGGACAACCCGAGGAAAACCCATGGTCCTGGCTACGTGCCATCGAACGCATTAGAAGGGGCTTGAATACTCCCGATCATCAGATTTTGCTAGTCGCAGGGTCGTTGTTGAGAGGACCTGCTGGCTCTTGGTGGGACGCAAACGAAGATTTTACCACTACATGGGACGAATTCAAGGATAAATTTTGCCAGCAATTTGCAAGCCAAGATCTACATGCCGAATGGTGGCGGCAACTTCGTGAGAAGAAACAAACGGGAATCAGCATTTCTGAGCTGGCTATTTTTCAGCAAGAGCTATTCCAAAGGTTAGATTTACATGATGAACATAGAAAGGTGGAGATTTTTTGCGCTGCCTTGGATACAGAATTGGGCCTCCTGGTGGATCACGCCTCACCCAATACCTACCAAGCAGCAGTCACCTTGGCAAGAAGAGAGGAAGGCCTTCGCATTAAATATAGTAGGCAAGCGATGCCCAAGAATCTGGAGGTTAACCTTTTGAAACCAAGAAGAAGTGCTTATGCCGAACCAAATTTCACCAACGCCATGGATGCTTTAACTAACAAGTTCAAGGCCTTGCGAGTTCACATGATTGAACAGAGTCGACAAGGTATGAGCGGTCCTAGTCGAAGCACGAGACATCAAGACAGTTATCCAGATGGCCAACCGAGGTACCCTCATTCAGAGTTCCGTGGCCAGTGTTTTTTGTGCCAAGGAGTCAGCCATAAGGCGCACCACTGCCCGACGAAACAAGAACAACAGCCAGAGTCGGGAAAAGCCATGAGACAGTAGTGCCCGAGGAGTCTACTGTCTCACAAACTCCAGAAAACTCCTCAAGTAAGGCGGTACATCTAGTGAAGCCTGTACAGGGTGTACATGTGTGGTCTAATAAGGGACGGGCTCGTTCCGAAGAAGATACTCTAAATCCGAAGAAGAATACTGTAGGACTATGGAGACCAGAAGTGAAAATCAAGTTCCACAGGTGCAAGTTACGAATCAAGGGACCTCATAGATGGCTGGCCCCAGTGGAACAACGGCTACGAACGAACTTAAGCCAAGAAAGAAAAGGACGCCACCAGGACGCTTACCTGTGAACATCGATAAGTCTCCAATTTGAGACCTATTGACAACTACTGATGCTCGTATGACAGTGGCGGAGCGTCTTGCATTGGATAAAGAAGCCGTCAAGCAATTACAAGAAGGTTTACGATTCCTTCATAGAAGGAAGCCCTGCAATGCTCGAGACAAGGGGAAGGCGAAGCACGACCCCATGGTGGTCAATTTGGCGCGACCTGCAAGTGAATCCGACGAATCAGGTTATTCGGATGGCTCTGAAGGTGAATCAACTGATTCCTATTTATTTGATATAGATACCGAAAGTGAAAGTGAAACCGAAACCGAGAGTGAAAGTGAAGAATCTGATATTGGTTACCCCTACGACTACAAACGAATGGACAAGAGCACGCCACTGATGGTGAAGGGTCACCGCATGCAAGCTGTTGTGGACACTGGCACTAGTGTATCAGTGATCTCGAAACCATTGGCGAAACGACTAGGGTTACCTTTCAACCATGATAGGATGGCTATCCAGATGTTAGATGAAACGAGTTCAGGTGCCATGCGAATGTGTCCAAATGTACCTGTAGTTATCCAAGGAAAGTGACGTTCAGAGCATTGCACAGTTCAGGATCGACCCTCCGATCTACTCATCTTGGGTATGCCCTGGCTGGAAGTATCAGTGACTCAAAAAAACGGCGCACAATATGCAATTTTTTGCCGTTTATACATTTTTCTCAAGATCTGTTGATGGGAAAAATCTGAAATTTAGCCTGAATAAACTTTGATAGTTTTTTAAATACATGTCAAATTTCATGCAAATCCAACCATTGGTTCCTGAGTTACATGCGCTTGAAGTCAGCCGGTCGGTGCGCCGTTTTTTTGACTTTGCCAAAAAATCGCCGAAACAATTAGCGACCACAAAACGTATTAAATAGTAGCTCAACATTTGATGATGGGAACGATGTCAAACTTTAATAGAATATACTAGAGACAGTTCTGAATAACTACGAAAAAAATGGTGTCATTTCATTGAAACAGAGATATAGGCGAAACAAAACGATCGGTCGGTTTCCGAAAAGAATAAAAATTGTGGCGACCTTAATTTTATATAAAAAATAAATCAGTATCTCTATAACAAATGATCAGATCATCTCCATATTCACCATACACATTGTTCACATATTTGTTATAATACATATAAAAAAACAGCTTGAAAGCATGCATAGATCTACAGATATTAAGATTCTTAACATGAGCAATAAAATGAAGCTTAAAAAACTTACCTTTCATGGTTTATTACCATTTTGTTCACCTCCTTTGGCTTGAATAACCGCCTGCAGACGTCGTGGCATAGATTCAATGTGTTTTATACACATTTCCTTGGTTACTTTTGTATACCGAATGTGAGAGGTTCGACGCTATAGCTTATCAATGCTAGTAGGGGCTGTATCATATGTACAAAGCTGAGCTTTCAAATAATACCACAAGTTTTCAATAGGATTGAGGTCAGGTGAATAAGGAGACCATTCTAGCACATCAACATCATGTTCCTGCAGCCACTGTCTGGTTAATTTTGAGGAGTGTTTAGGATCATTATCATATTGGAATATACTGTAATGTCCTGAAGAGTCAAGCCATAATGTGATAATGTCTTGCCCAAATCTTCCTCTAGGATTCGACAATAAATTGTAGAATCCATGCCACATCAATTTTTGTAATGTAGCCAGGGCCCTCAGCAGTGATACAGCTCCAAAGCATAATATTACCACCACCATGCTTGTATACATGATTGATATTATGATCGCGCAAAGGTTCTCCATCCTTATACCAGGTCCATTCCTTTCCATCAGATCCCAATCGGTTCACCTTGGTTTCGTCACTGAAGATCACTCGTTTCCAATCATCTACTGTCCAGTGCTGATACTTTTTGGCGAAGGCAAGACGAGTTTTCTTACAATTAACTGTCAGAGGAAGTGCGTCAGGTTTTTTGCGGGACTGATAACCAGAGTTTTTAAGATGGTTACGGATGGTTTCAGCAGATATATGATAACCATCCGCCTGTAGCTCCCTAGAAGCATGAGCAGCGGTACTGTATTCACCAGAACTGAACTTGCGCAGTATGATGCGGCCGAGATTAGTGGTAATTACCGATGGCCGCCCATGTGGAGCATCAGTGCTGATGCGAAATTGCTTAGCAATACAACCAATTGAGCGTCGAGAGATCCTCAGTTGTCTTGAAATAGACCGAATAGACTCCCCAGAGTTCAAACGAGCCTGAATATTCTGGCGGGTGGTAGAAGAGATTGCTGTCATGTTGGTAATTCAATTCAAAATCGTGATGAGTGCTAATTAGAGCGCAGATGAGGGTAATTGCAAAATCAGGATGCAGTAGAAAGGATAAAAGGTCGCCTAACAACGCCTTTTTTTTTGTACTAAAGTTGGAGTGCATGAATAAAGTGACACTGGTGGGAAAAAATAATCAGTACTCACCTTACAAAGGTGAAAAATTCATATGTAATTTTTCTCCTATGATTGCGTTCTAATGATCTACTGCACCTAAAAATCTGAAACTTTACATGAATGTTACCATCACAACTACAAGCATGCAAAAAAAATTTGGAGTAAATTGAATCAGCAGTTGTCGAGAAAACAATACAAGAGGTACAGCAAAACGGTATCTTTTTATCGTCCGGAAATTGACCGATCGTTTTGTTTTGCCTATATCTCAGTCATTTTCCAATGAAATGACACCATTTTTTTTCGTAGTTATTCAGAACTGTCTCTAGTATATTCTATTAAAGTTTGACATCGTGCCCATCATCAAATGTTGAGCTACTATTTAATACGTTTTGTGGTCGCTAATTGTTTCGGCGATTTTTTGGCAAAGTCAAAAAAACGGCGCACCGACCGGCTGACTTCAAGCGCATGTAACTCAGGAACCAATGGTTGGATTTGCATGAAATTTGACATGTATTTAAAAAACTATCCAAAGTTTATTCAGGCTAAATTTCAGATTTTTCCCATCAACAGATCTTGAGAAAAATGTATAAACGGCAAAAAATTGCATATTGTGCGCCGTTTTTTTGAGTCACTGTATTGTTGTTCCTCTGTCGTGGATGAAGAAAATGATCGCTATGTGGCGGTAGGTAAGGGGGGGCAAGACCCCCGGGAAAAAAGAAAAAGAGACTGTACTACTCTGTTGTCCATTGAATACACAAAGATTTATACGCACATCAACTAAGTCTTACCAAAAAATCAACCGCTTATTGACAAAAGATTAGAGTACCATCAAGCGAGACCTTTGGATACACAAATTCGAGTGCGGAGTTCTGAATATTGCAAATGGAGCATCCCATTCCAAACGCATCTTTAATCAGCTACTATTCCCACTAGCCTCAGATTAACAACAAACTACAGACCGAAAGAGCATAACTTTGTGATCTTTAAGATCAACAGGCGCTATTAGTCTACATAATTAAAATTTTTGGGAAATCAGCGATTTTGTAAATCACATGATCTACACTAAGTTATCAAGACCTGTTAAACCTTTTTTTCATCTTTCAACCATGCCTCGCTGCCCACTTTCACGATAATAGGCGAAACAATTAGCAGCAAGATGCCGTTTGCGCCAGTTGTGGTTAAACAGAGTATCGTCGTCTTTTGAATAAAAATGTGAGTAGAGCTCTCTTTGAAGAAAAGTGGTTGATGATACGACTGGCGTTCTTCTGTAGCATCATTCAATTTGGTTTTTTTTTGTCAGTTATACTGTATATGTCCTTTCAATTTCCAATGAATTGAATAATATATAAGCAGACATGCTTCGATCTATGAATTCATGCATCAGTGGGGTGACTATTGTTTCATCCATGGAAAACCATATATTTTTGTCTTCAATTTTATCTTCCTTCTTTTGATTTTCTCTCTCTCTTTCTGTTTGCTTGATAAACCCTCACTATCATTGTATCAAGATCCCATCCGCATCCATCATCCAGACCATTCTTATCCCGTGTACCTAACTTGGTTAAATTGACCACCATCCTCAAAAAGATAAGCGTCGAGTGGTCTACCATCGATTTTGCTCCGGCAAAACAGACTTACCTCTCCTTTACTTCCATCCTTCTTCCAGCTTCCGGTTTCCGTTTTCTTTTCGCCTGACAAGTTCTGGATACTACAAGTTGACTTTCTCTCGCCATCCATCCATCCATCCATCCATCTGGCGAAGTCGGATGACACCAAAGGCCATCGTCGGTGGTGTGCTCTTTTTAATCAGCAACGCTTACGTGTTCTCTTCATGTTCCTCTCCTTTGGATTGCTTCTCATCATATGGTATTCGAGATGTTTCCCGATTATTTATTTTGTAGTTTATAGTTTGTATTTTGTATTTTATATTTCATGTACATATTCTTTTCGCAGTCTTTTCCTCTTTTTTTCCCACAGGGTTTTTTATGAGGTTTTTACTGACGCGACCATTGTTTTTTTTTATCATCATGTACTTTATTTGTTTCTTTCTTTTTATTCGGGGGACTCTCGATATCTGGAATCCAACTCGAAGTTACCGTCACTTTTGGCCACGTCAATATTTTTTGCCTGCTCAAGCTGACACCACCGATCCATCGCTTAACTGTCCCTGGAAGCAATTTTATTTTCCGCATCGAAGAAGAAGCTTACCTGGCGGTCCGTATCATCTTTTTTTTTTGTCCGGTTCACCATTTGGTTCAAAGGCAAGTCTAATTTTTTTTCCTTTGCTATGATGTAATGAACGTATACTAATTCAAATTTTTTCAATGTCATATAACCCAAGTCGTGTCAAGCGATCAATGGCTATTGCAAACTCAAATAACAAAGGTAAAATATCTTGACGAAAATTTGAATCAATCAAAGAGCTTACTAACTCATTTTTTTAAATACCAACATACCCACACATCTTTCTAGATCTATCATAGCCTGGGCGGGATGGAACTGAGGGGGTCATCCAGTGCTGCTTTGCGCGTGTTCAGAAACAAATCACGACGTAAGGGATGCCATAAGGTTGTCATTAATATACCGAAGTTCTGTCAAGAGTTCTCGCCCAGGTTATGCCGTGTATGCGTTAGGCTTTTTGTCTGACGAAAGTCGCTCAATGTAAGAGGGCGGCCTCCGTTGGCAGGCGGCATCCATTGCACAGCGGGTGTACGGCTTGTTAATTGTTATTTTAGCAAACCGAGTGACAGCATAAAACTACAATTGAAAGCCTCTCATATCGGGCCTACTATATTAAACAGTTCAATATCTATCAGAAATTAGGAGAATTGATTCAGAAAGTCCACGCATTTGCTCTCGATAAGTTTTTCAGCAAGCTTGTGAAGACCAAAGCATCCGCTGGTGCTGTAATCCGCCAAGAAGCATGCCTTTGTGCAGTAAGACTTCAATATAACATACCATACAAACATAATTTAGTCCAACACACTATGCAGTTGCCGTTATCTATTATATCAAGAAGATGGTGTATCGATTTCAATGAAGGAGAAGATGGTAGTATATCTGCAAGAGTAGAATGACTTCTCAATAATATGATTACTAGTTCTGTTGATTACGGCAAATCTGGTTATGCAAGAACCCATGTCTTCCAAAAACCGAGAACATGATTTGCAAAAACCAAGCATGGTAAGATGCAAGGAACTAATAAATGATACTATCATTCAGAATATTAACGGACTGGTAATACATAAGCAAACAAGGAAACTCGCGAATGGCCTACAGAAAACAATGAGTCTGTGGACCAGCAAACACTGAGTAATAATGACGAGCTCTCGAAGGATAATGATCGCGATCACTTACTTATACTTGCAGAAACGGATGGCGAAGAAGACCAGCATGGTGCAGAAGTCTCGATGTGCATGGCATCTTTGAAGGTAGTGATCTGCTGTGTTAATTTCCATTTTCTATAACCTTTCAAAAGTTAATAATAACTTATTACAGACCCTCTTAATCTGGTTTCTGAAGAACAATTTTCGCCTTCCTTGTGGCCTGCCCTTGATTTCATCAAGGAGGTTTTCGATTCTATTTAATCCGTGCAAGATAAAAAGGATCTAATTGACGAGATCACGAAAGCTGCGAAGGCCAAGCAGACCAAAAATCTCCAGCATGTTTTGCCTCCTCCTATCGGCCTCAAGAATAAAGGACGACCTAAAGGAACAAAAAGGCGTCAAATCTTGTACGGGATAATAGCCGAGAAAGAGGCCAAGAAGGCAAAGTTGGAGAAGAAAGCAGAGGAGAAAAAAAAAGAAGGAAAAAGAACGGTATGATTATGAGCTAGACATGGTATCTGCGTTGTTAATAACTTCCGTCATAACCACAGAGATCTGGCAGCCACATGAAGATTGTCATCAAGCCAATCAGTTACTTGACCATTCAAGATCCACAAAAGAAGAAAATGACGGTGATTTTGGATCCTGAAGGTGATGGTAACTGCGGATTCCGTTGCATTGCACATACTACCCATGGTGACCAGAATCGTGCACTGGATGTCGAAGAGGATATGTTGGAGTGGTTCAACAAAATATAGACGGTATCTATGAAGGTTTGTGCGAGACTAGACCTAAATTTAGCTGACATGCTAATGGATTATATACTAGGAATCGTGGACACGGAGGTTGTTGCCAATACACTGAACAACTTTGAACGATATCCACCAGATGATTGCTGGTTCAACTCCTTGGATTGTGCACAAATTGTTGCCAACGTTTACAATCGGGCTGTTGCTGTGTATTCCGAAACACAGGCCAATGTCTTGTATCTCCCTCTCCGATCTGCACCACCCGAAGCCTTCAAGCCAATCATGCTTTATCTCGAACAGATAAAAAAAAAAGCATAGGTATCTTATTGCCTTTGAAAACAAATACCGCAAACTGGATTGGCCATCACTTTCTCCCACCTACGAATCTGCGCAGATTGAAAATAGAAGACAACAGCGTTCTATATAAATAAAATACAGATAATACAGAAAGTGAAATATAGAAGTTTCACACGAAAATGTTGCAAGATGAAGGACGAAACCGAATGTCTGAAGAGGATTGTCGAAAGGTTTACTGTGACGTCACGCTAATTATATTCGGGTGGAAAACCGAGTGGAAAACCTAGTGTCTGTAGTATTGGCCTTTTGGATTTATTGAAAAAATGGTCCAAACCGACCACTCAGTTGAAATGGTGAATGCAATGGGATGAATAGCAATGCATTCACCAGGATTTCGCGATAATGTGAGAAGGGAATGTAATTTTCATATAAAAAAAGTTCGGATGTTCCCTTTAACAAGATGGAAGTACCAGTTCCCCAGATTTTTCTTCACCATATTGTTGATTACTTCAGCGTGAAGTACAGTCAAGACCGCTTGGGGGTTTAGACCCTTCGAGAAGCATCCTGATCTTCGATTCGATTTCTGAGGACAGCACACGATATTTAGCATAGGTGCTTGTGGCTTCGGGGATATGATGTTGTTTAGCATTCCACTTTTTGATGTACCAATCATCAAGCTTCTTTAGGCTTGGCTCTGATAAAGCAGCCGCACCCAAACTTTTGGCTTGGTTATTCTTTTAACCTTTTCTGATTGCTCATCGGCTTCTTCTTGCTCTTGAGCGGTTGCATCTTCTTGAGTCTGTAAACGCTATAATGTTTACAGATAGCTTCAAGTTATCCCGGTGGAGCTTTCGGTATTGAAGACGATGTTATGCTCTTTTTCGTAGACGTTGAAAGCCTCGCGAATCTTCTCTTTGGAAGAATACATCCTCTCATTGGTGACGCCATTCTCAATAACTTCGATGAGACAAGTAAATGTTTTAACGTGACCGAGTGAAGTGGCATTGTCAGCATTAGCGAAATTTGGACGTCGTTGGAGTTCATCGCGAAAAAGAAAAAAAAATTGAAATTGCAGTAGATCAATGAAAAAGAACAGTGTCCAATTTTTTCAGAAAGGTGAGCATGACTTCACACTATTTGAATTCGAGTGGAAACCGAGTGTCTGTAGTCTTGGCAAAGAATGACTTTGTTGTATTGAAAACGGCCGTACTCACTTTGGATCGAATTGGAGTGTAACAAGTGTTTCCACATCATATTGAAGTCTCAGTTTTTACTCTCGAACCGTCTTCAGCTGTTCGCGCTTGATGACTTCAGTAACATTCTCAGACTGTAAGTCTTTGCCCAATTTGGCCTCCTTCGGGTTTTATGTATGGACGATCTCGGTATGCAGCATAATTGGCGTGGTGAGCTCGATGCTAGGTGTGTTTGCAGTTTTTCCCTAAAGGGTTTGCAGATTGTTGTAGTTGTGTGAGCACTAGATACTGTGGTCAATGGGTATCAGGTCGGAGGATTATATCGCCCTTAAAAGCGGAAAGAAAAGAGAAAAAATCAGAGAAGAAAGCCGCGTGTCTACAGAAAATCAAGATACTGCACCATGAAGCAAGCACTGAATAAATAAAGAAGCGTACGAAGTTCTGCTCAGAAATAACAGGGTTTATATCAAAATTTTGCGTACTGTATGTTCTACTTCGCACATGTTTGTCCCATGGTCTACGTACGATGATAGGTCGTAATAAGATGATGACTGATATGTATCTTCAACGCTACTAACATCGTCTTTACTCTGTTTCGCTTCATTGAGCGGAAAACAAGAGTTCGTCTGAGGATCGTTAGATTATGGTAGTGTATAGAGATAAATGTAGTCAACCGCTGTAAGTTAGGTATTGATAGATGGAACTCATCCAAGTGTGTAGTATTATTGTCTATAATTTTAATCGGGATGATGCTAGTGTTTATTTATAATGTAAATGAAATATATTACAAAGTCATATAGAGGATGAGCTCGTACATATAACTTTCCACTGACGAAAATGCATACACATGCTACAGCAGAAACGCGAAATCCATTTCAGATGGAGGTTATGGACACATGTTATTTGCTAATCTAGCAGATCAACCATTGCTATAAAAAACAATTAATTACCATGTAGTCAAATAGTTGCGCTTCCTTGCGTACCTTGGAAAATCAGAGAGCCCGTGATAACAGACAATAGAACAATGGCATCCAATTTGGCGAAGGGCAAAGCACACATTGACCAGAGAACAACTGCATTCAATACTCGGGAGCCGATAATGATTTTTCCATAAATATCTGTCATTTGTAATATTATTTCAGCATATGTACTATAGCCAAAATCTGCATACTGTTTACATTACCTGAGATCTTGGTATTCAACAATTTGATGAGAGAGTTGATCACAAGAATAAGTCCGCCGCAAATAAGGAATGTTTTGTAGATAAACACCTTTTCGTCGTCAGACATTGGCATGTGTTCCTCAGCTCCCGCTCTTTTCACCCATCTGAGATGTGATGACGATTCCACAGAAGCTGCCTGCAACCCCGTTATAGCAGCTGCACCAAGGTAATATTTACAAAGTGAAAGGTAACCCACTGGTTTGGCCATGTCACTATATGCCGATAATCCTTCAGCTCGGTTCGTTATAGAGTCATTGATCCCTTTGACTGAGCGGCTCACGAGCGCATTATCGGCCATTGGGGTCCATGTCTCGGCATAAACTTCATCCACTGCTTTTTTCGCAAGCTTATGCGCAGGAGCCGATGGTCCGGTTTCATGCGCGGACGACGTTTCAGATGGTTCAGAAGAGGTGGCTCCGTGTTCCGTAGTGGTAGATGTGTGCTCTGATTCAGTGATCTTACCGTCTTCTTTCATTTGCTGACGATACACTCGGAGTCTAAGTCGAACCATACAGACTTCAGCATGGATTACTATATCATAGTGAGTGACCTAATTACTTACGTATCGATCAATGCGATACCAAATGCTACTTGACAAAGATGCAGAGGAAAATGAAGATAAACCCAAATCTGATGATAGTCGCTGTGAAGGAAGACCTCCTTATTGAAATCTTCAAAGTACATGAAGAAGAAGCCAAAAATGACAACTACCGCCATAAAGTTTGGTAATCTACAGAATTCGTGAGAACATCGAAAAAATTGTGTCCTGCATGTAGTACTTACACAATCAAGATATCGGTACCTGAGGTAGCAGCTAAGCCTATGAGACCCATCAGATTTTCACCTATAGACACGATGAAGAATTAGAGCTCCATTCATAATATTGCTGTAGCATCATTACCAAGTACAATCAAAGTGAGTAAACCGAGTCGCTCAGCTAAATGACTGGCAGCCCATGATAATGATTTATCACGCTCTACCAACATAATGACTACGACTTCCACAACCAGACCTGCATACCATAGGGCGCGATGATAGTTCTCTTCTATGATAGTCAATGAAGCACCCCATAGTATGATTGATACAATATTTGCTGCAACATATGAGGCCAACGGCACCCATGACTTCGATCGTGAGATAAGGGCGACAGTCAATACTAATGAAAAGAACATTAATTCATTGCACAACATATGAAGGAAACTTCGGCTACTAACCCACAGAATATTCAATGACGAGGACGCCCTTAAGTGCTGTAGTTACAAAAATATATTAATTCTGGAGGTCCTTTTCAAAACGCTGGCTGAAAACATACCGATATAACCGTAAGCATAACCCCGGGATGTCAGAAAGTAATCTGCCGGTCCAGCCATTCCAACTAAATAAATGCCACATCAGCAACAACGGAGACAACCCGCAAGAGGTATAACTTACTGACAGCACACATCTCAATGATTTTATAAATATGATGTACAACATCATCGCTAAAACATATACGTTAATATATTGTCATACCACAGAACCTGATACTTGACAGATGAAAACTTACGTGTCAAAGCGAGCGGTGTACCTTTTTGATATAAACTGTTACTGAAAACGCATCCAACGCAATAAATTACAAGTGCACTTACAAGGAACTAGAAGCCCAAGCCCACCAAGTAATGACAAACCATTGCGCATACAGGCCTAATGAAGCCCAATCCTTAATCGCCACCGAGTGGGTAAATTCCGTCAATGTTGCCACAAAAAACAAATCATAAAACAGTTCCAGCCATGATGGTGCCTTTTCTTCTCCAATATCGGCACTCAAATCTGGCTCCGGATGTCTAAGCCTCAATCTGTCAGTTCCTCGCTTCGGATCGAGATATTGGTTGAAGAACCCTACCGAAAAAATGGTCTACGCGTGGTGTGCGACGTCGAAGCAGCTGCATGATGATGGTACTGCATGGGCTTGAATTCCACATAGACATTGGAATTGAATTCAATAATGTGATTGTTCGGATTATGCTCCAAGTGCTCGTTACTGTTGCCTGCGTGGCGGGCGATTTCCGCCTTATGATGGATTTTGATAGAGAACTCCCGTTTTGTTTTATATAAAAAAGCAGTGAGTTTGTCGGTATCGTGGATGCCGTTAAACTGTATCCGTTCTTGAGGCGTCAGGTGAATCTGGTTGCGTTTTCCGTTTACGTAAATATGGGGCTTGTTGATACAATTCTTGTGTCACATACCTTTCGAGCGAATTGTTCTGCTGTGTCATGATCCAGAACAAAGTTTTGGTCGCCGCGCAACTGTCTGAAGTGTACGACTATGGATATTTCAGTTCGAAAGTCTAAACCAGGAAATATCATGTTAATTCTTACCGATCATGTACGCTTCACTTGTGGAAGGCAGTAAGCTATAAAATGAACTGGGGTGAATTTCTTTTCTATACGAACGATGGAAATGTTTAAGCGTACCCATGAGCGTCATTTGGAATACTCTGTTCGCCTTTCCATCGGTTTAACTCTTCATCATACTCTTGCCGACGCCGGCGATGTGCTTGGAGTTGCTCCATGGGATGAGTAAATACGTCGCCGAACGTTTCATCGCCGTGATGATATGATGGTTGGCCAGGGAACTTCGGTGTTTTCTCGTTATGAAAATCGATATTTTGCATTTCCACGTCTTTACCATCATCAATTGTTTCCTCTTCCATATCAAAGTTGATAGACCGATTCAATGCCAAGAATTCTTCTGTGTCATCATCGTCGTTTTTCCGAAGGGCAGGTGGGCAAAACCGTCCGCCTCGAAGGGTGGGCCCGCGCCTCACTGATCGTCCAACGGTAGGTTTTCTGTTTGCACTCATGCTTTGACGTGCTGCAAAGAAAAAGTGTGGAAGAGCGGAACAAGGTGATTAAAAGTAATAATGACAAGAATGAAGTATTTAACGACTCCCAAAAATAATAAAAGGGGCTGCCAACCGTCGACTAGTTGTGTGAGATGACAATCTCCGCAAGAAAAAAGATTTCCTGAAGGGGAATAGCCGATCGCTCTTGGTCGATCTTCCCAGTCAGTTCCGCACTGTACGATGGCAATCATTTCGTTGCACATGCGTCAATGATTTGCAACTTCTCAACATACTCCGACTGATAGAAGATAGATTGCAGAAGAACCGTCTATATCAGGACGATCGATGCGAAGGCGCAGCTGACGCGCACATAAGGCAACACAAACACGACTCAAGTGATTACAACCACTGGACCGATGCTACAGATTAAAAGTCAGGCAGATAGCTTGGGTTTGACGCTGCGTGTAGGATAAAATCGAGACATTCAGCAAGCTGCAATAAGTTAATTCAAACTAAACAGATATAGAGTTGTTACGCCGAATTTGATGAAGTAAACCCCCTGCCTCACTTTAGATCCGGCGAGCAGCACCAATTTTTTTGGTTGATTACAGCAGTAATTAAAGGCATTACTTCCCTTTAGACTTGAAAATTAAGCTTCATCCCTGCAACAGGCCATCTCACTTAAAAACAATGCACCCATGTTGGGTGAAACTTTGGGAGAGAATGGCCTCTTTACCATGGTGGTTGCTTCTTCGGACTAACGCCTTGACAGCTGTCGCTTCTGGTAATGGTAAACTATTCACCATTAGTAAGTCTTCCTTTTGCAATGGTCGTCCATCGCAGAAATTCGCACATGACATTCTATGAGTCTCAATAGCATCACTAGTTTTACGAGCGCTAAAGCGCGTTCTTGTTTCCACATACTGGAAGATGTAATTGAGTGACTAACAAGTATATTTTTGATGAGGCACATGTATGTTCCTGGAAGTGACATGTGACACACAGCTAAGCCGACAATTGAGCCCCAAACAAATCGTGATACCGAAAAATCCTTGTTTTCGAATCAAAAATACAAACATTTTTGCAGCTTCATCAATAGCTCTTCAAAAGCCGAGGGCATGAACACGCGTTATTGCGATATGCATTCAGATCGAGGAACCTTCGAGGCCACAAAGCGACCTTCCTCAAGCTAGTAATTGTATGACTGAAGAGTGTATGCTATTCTGGATTTGTTTTCGTTTTATACGAGCATTGATCGGCGTTTGTAATGTACCGGAAGCAGCTCTCGATCGCAGCCATTATTATACCCTATACATATGGGAAAGTAATCGTAGCCCGGAAGTCCTTGAAACGCGAACCAGCTTTTTGTTCGACGCAAGGAAATTACTATAAAGGACTACCACGAGAATGTTATACAGTGGCATAATACTCCATTGCTTCATTTGTGTTACCTGGTTTTTCCGTTCTGTATCTGTACTGATTCTTTAAGTGTTCCAACCCCCCACCTCCCCAGTCACCTGCCCTTCTCCAACTGTTTCTGATGGATACCGATCAAACACCAAGTCCTGAAGTCGCTCTCGCATCAACAGCCTCGCTTTGTTCGGCGGAGCTAAGCAAACTTAAAGATTTGATCGTCCACGTCTAAAATGCAGCATATCTTACAACGATTTCATCCGTTACCCTAGTGAGCTCAGTAAAATCATTTTGCGCTCCTGTTCCGTTTGGTTTCGCTTTTTCCTGGAGCTCGTCCTTACCTCGAAAAATTTGGATACCATGAACTCGATCCGTGCATGTTGTCTTTCACTGCCATGAACTCCGTGCTGATTCTGGAGTTGGTGAATTGCTTATAACTGAAACCGCCCTGATCGCACTTCATCAGAGGTTTTTTCCCTCCATCTAATCTACTGCCATTTTCCATCGCCTGGCTGTCAAGATTGGATGGAACAAGGCTACTTGTGAGGTCGTTGCCGTGATGATTTGTGTGACCGTATTAATGATCATAACCATGAACTTTTCGATATGCTCTAATTTAGTCACTCTATTTGTCCCCACCACCACCAAAAAAAATTATGTCCGCTTTAGATCATCAACAATCACCTCGGTTGATAATCTATTCAATTTCCAAGGGCGTACAACTTGATACATCATACATGAAAAGTGGCTAATGAGATTCATGAAAATCTACAATAAAGATTATTTCGTAGAGTTTTCTTTCAGACTTGATCCTTCCACGTGCCGGGAATTACATATTAGACTTGAGACCAGCTTCTGTCAGTAGCTTTTCCAGTTTGCCGGATTCGTAAGCCGAGCGTAAGGCATCAGATCCGCCAATGTGTTTGCGATTCACAAAAATATTAGGTACCGTCTTTTGGTTTGTTAATTCCGCTAATGCTTGTTGGATCTCGGCACCACTGGGCTCATCATTTAATTCCATAGCTTTATAAGGCACATCCAAATCGTCGAACAGATCTTTAGCGCCGATGCAGTATGGACAATAACTTTTGCTGAAAACCTATGTGAATAGCAATAAATAATGGGACAAGACTGTAAACCAATCGCAAATACATACCATAACCTTATTATTGGCGATGCATTTTTTAACTAAATCTCGGATTCCTTGACTAATCACACTCATGTTATTTCAGGATTTGAAAGAAAGGTCTCCTTCGCTCGCCTACACAACTGAAGATTTTGAAGTCCAAGTTTAGTAGCTGAATTGCGCTTTTTGAATTTGTGGTTATTTTTGGCTCACCTGGTGTGTATATTTGGCCAAAGATTTTGGATTATCTTGGCGCATTGTCTTCTTCCTCGTCGTCTTCATCGGCACCTTCGCCAGCTTGATGGGTGAAGATAACTGGCCTGGCTTGTCCCATGAATTCTGCAAGTGCAATGGTTCGCATATTTTGACTTGCGTTCACGTCACGATTCCAGGTCTCGTTGCAAGTCTGGCATTTGAGGACGCTGTGAAGCATCGTTCTGCCGGCGCTTTACTTTTTGTAGAGTTTTCTGGCCACAGAAGGAGCACACCTGGGAGAAAAGAAAAAAAAAAAAAAAGGAAAAGATGAGTAAATCATGGTGCCCTTATTTCGCATCTTCCCTCTCACATTTTCATTACTTACTTGGGACGTATTAAACTCGTTGATCTTGAGTAGCATCAGCCGTCCTTCGTACTTCGCTTGCTTCAACAGTCTTGCCAACCTCTTCGAGACACCATTGATCTGCCGTTCATAGTGGTGTCGAAGGCTGCATTGCCGTAAGCAACGACCGGAAGGGTTCCATTGTTGGTAATTCGGACATTTCGCCATTTTCTATCAAAGCATAGGTGAATCACTTTCTACCAGATGCCAATTTTCGGTGTATTACTTACTGCCGTGGAACTCCTCCCTCAGTCGATGCAGACGCTTGTTGCTGTTGTCGGCGACTTTGTGCAAGCGTTGTATACTTCTTTCCGTCTGTGACGAAAATATTGACTATTTCGGGGTTCACTTGTTGCTATCTTACGTAACGCTTAAAGCGTAGTTTCCTGATTCGCGACCCATAGAAACGAACAAGTGGATCCAATCGCTCGAGCACAGACTGGACAAACATGGTAGGGGATTCCATGTTCGTGACCTTGGAACTTGCTATAGTACGCTCGAGATCCGCCACATCATCGCGTTCTTTCCATTTTATGATGAGGGCGTTCGCTTGCTTGTAATACGCCTTGGTCTAATATTCGACTGTGGCCATCTGTCGAATTTCGTGCGGAGCATCCACTGGCCGCTGTTGAGCACCTCAATGGGTCCGACGTTACACCCATCGCTGGGACGGGGATAACACCCCACAGGCGCACAAATTTCAGTTCCTACTCTTGGAAATCATTCTCACCAAGATCAGGCAAGGATCCATGAGAGCGCCGTCTGCGGAAGAAATGGACGTTACATCCATATCCAGCAGTCTCACTCACATCACCAAATCCCGCCTCACTATTACGAAATGACCTTTTAGTAAGTAAGAAAGAAAACATCATTTACTGTAAACTCACCTTCCACATCGAAGCTTTGTCAAATCGAATGTATATTCGGAGCAACCTCCGATATAGTGGGTGGGCAAATGTGCCTGGGGAAGCAACATCCTCAAGATAGGCTCTGTGATGTTATGTTCTATCGTGTGAAGGATGGCACTGACACCAATTCGAACAAGCATCGTTGATTATCAACAAAGTGTACGTCTGGCTTGAAGTAGTCGCGCTCGTTCACTTGCTCGCCCTCTTCAGGAATTCAGATATCTCAACGAGTTGCGGATCTGGCTTATCGTTTCGCTTATTATCCGATCAACCGTCTCTCGAGACTATGCTCCAGAATAATACCAAAGGAAATCACAATGGGTACATCGTTTGTTGATCACGGCCTAATACTTTGGCTAAGCCTACCTCGACGGCTTTTGCCCAGTGTCGCATTCTCGCGAAGACTCCTTACCACGGCATAAGCGAACTGCATCGTCACCTTTACCTGGACATCCCCGGCAATGGCTACTTGCTGACGATTGTACCCCTTCATGTAGGCATTGTTCTCGTGCAAATCTGGAGGAATACCTGGGGCTCCCAGCAAACGTGGTGATGTTCAGGCGGTTTTCATAGGAGCCTAACCGATCACTAGTCTCTGACTACGATGTCAGCACTGCATTGTTGGCAACGTCACTGTGCTCCGCAGGAATGTTGATTGAACGCAACATTATCGGTGGCTGGTAACGCAAGAAGATGGTAGTAAACCAAGCCAGCTTGGAGACATGGGATTTGGATAATTCCTGTTGAAAAAAATAGAAAAAGGGTGTCACTAACATCCTGGATACATGGTTCTTTCAATATTACCGGTGCGATCTCTCGAATACGAAGCTGTAAATACTCGACATATCGCGACTCAAAATTCTCGACAATGTTGCTTGTAAAGGTCTTCGCCATGGACTGGTTTCGCAACCGGCTGCAGCCACCTGTCGGAAAACGCTCCAAGTACGATTGATAAACTCGCTGCAGTTCGTCTTTCGGGAGATTTCTGCCCTTGGAAGTGGTGTCTCCCCCGAGCAATACTCGAAAGACGTTGCAGAAAAAGGTCTGCTCGAACATGATCGCTGGCTGTGCGTCGCTCGTGGCGAGTTTGTGTTGGAGGTAATATATGACGAACAGCGTGGATTTAATCATGACGATACGGTTGAAATCCACAACGTTTTCGATAGCAGCTAGCAACCGCTGCTTCTGCTCATCATCAAATCGAGCAGCGTCGAAAGCCGTACTTTCCGAATCAACTCTTCGGGCTTGCCGCTGTAACGCTCGTTGCTTGGAACATGGTCAGGGCAAATTCTGGCTCTCGAGTTCCCGTGGGGGTTCTGTCGCAGGAATCCGGTCTCCGCTGAGAACATAGTACACCTTCGGCCCCCAGGGTCTTTTGTTGCTTCTAGCCGCTGCTTCTGGCATCGCCTTTGCGGGCTATTATCTCGGCGGACTGCTTGCCTTTTCTGTTTTGACCAAGATGGGAAATAAGAAGAATTAAAAAAATTGTCAGTCTTAGTTGGTTGGGTGTTTCCTTACCAGCCGAGGGTTATTTTTTGAAGGCACACAAAGGAGACCGGCTGTCCTTGTTGCCAGGCTGATGGCACTTTCTACAAACCACTGTGAAAAGAAGATGTAAACATTTTCTAGGCCTCCGGAAAAAAGTTTGTCATACAGGTTCATTTGCCATTTTCGAGGCTTTGCCGCTCTTTGGCCCTTTTTCATCGCTTCTTGTACAGGATGTCCTCTCTTTTTTTTGGTCAGCTTCGTATAATTTACGGAGGCGTTCTACCGTGAATAGTTTATCCTCTTCTTCCCCTTCGGCAAGCGACATTGCATTTGGGGAAGGTGGCGATTGTGATGGTGATTGTGATGGTGCCGGCAGGCTAGGTGGGCCCGGCGGCCGCCTCGACGAAGACGCTACACTTGTTGGATGATATCGAGTACTTCTACTGCTTTCGATTTTGGCTTTTTAGAGTTTTGGGTCGGCGCAGAGGGTTTTGGGTACGAAATTTTGTACCCAAGATTTGAATATAAGAAAAATTGAAAAGCTTTGTAGCGTAAGCTTCTTGTGTAGATATGTATATGTATATGTATATGTATATGTATATGTATATGTATATGTATGTGTATGTGTGTGTGTGTGTGTGTGTGTGTGTGTGTGTGTGTGTATGTTTAGGGTTTGTTGTTGAGAAGAAAGGAACAATGAAAGTGTTGGTAACCCCCATGGTGACCATCCTCGATTTCCTAAGGTTCCAATGTGATCATTGATCATAGTGAAACTTTATATGACACAAAGAGTCGGTAAATGCATATTGACTGTCATATGGTAGAACATCATGCCAAAGTAAAACTTGCGCCATTTCTGTCACGGTCCGTTAACTTCTTCCCATTCCGTATACAGCAGTTGACAGGGATATGCGGCGAAGCAACGATTTTATTGCACGATCATTACTATGTTAACCTGAAAATGTTAGGGCGAGCATGAATATTATCAGAGAGGCAAAGATGATTTTCAGTTATGATTCGGAGTGAAAGCTTTTTGGTTTGATGGAAGGGAAAATAGGAAGCATCAATTGCTATCATCGCATAAGAGACACGAGCTGGTTTTATTTGTTTTCATGCCCTTTAGCTCGGCACCAGGCCGTATTGAACAGCGACGCGTAAACACATGCAAAAAGGACTTCTGCTTTACTTGATCGTTAAAGATTGGCAAAGTCGATACCATTATTTTATGAATTCTGCAGTAGTTGTTGCAATATACACAAAGTTGCCGTGAGTGGTGAAATAAGTGGTATCAAAGCGATATTCCAGACTGATTAGGAAGATGAAACTAAATAGGTTTTCGATTTCCCAAAAGGTCCAAGTAAAGTCAATGGATGTCGACAGCGGGAAATGCATATCATACTGCTTTTGGAATCCAAACCCAAGTGAACCCTATCAAATTATCACTTCGAAGACAAAGAAGTTAAAGGATAATGGTCGGCAGATAATTCGTTGCAAAGACTACGTAATAGAAAATACTCCATTCCACCATGCGAACTCCAAAATCACAAAGGGAAAAGAAAAGCCACGAATGGATCCGATTCAGGCTTTTGAGACCCTAGACTCATCCAACGTGGTCATCGATGCTCCAAAAAAAAGGGAAAGAAAAGACTCGACGGTTTCCAAACCATATGTTAATTGATAAACTAAGGATCAACTCATGAGCATGCAAAACAAAAACGATATATTACATTCAAAGAAGGCGGCAAAGAGGGTCCATAATGTAATTCGTTTTTTCCATACAGGCCACAACAAATAATAAATGGGACCATCCAACGGAGGAATGAATTTGGCGAAATAAACCCGATTTGAAGAAACGAAACCGAGATCAAAAATGCATGTTGGATCGATACCGAAACTGATACTAAAGCTAATGCAGCTTGCCTGTTTGACATTGACAGAATAGTGTGTGTAACCGGCAGCGAAACTCCCATGGATCATGAAGCTACGGACTGTTGACAATACAGAATAGGATTGAAATTTGCGGACTTCTGGGATTTCCTTGCTCAGTGAGAATCTCATAGATGAGCCTGAGTTGCAAACTACGATCTACGAGCTTTCCATTGAATACGTGCAAGGAGATGCCTCATTTCTTACCCGATCATTACGGTAAATGTACACGAAATGGTGTACCGCTTGAGAGAGTTTTCCCTTGACCTGAGAATTCAATGAAAGTCGGAAGGTTCCACTTTGACAAGAAAATATTTCATATGCAAAAGAATAATCCACTAATATGGATAAAGAAATGGAACAAGCATCGACCCACCAAATTCACACTACCGACGATACATCAGTAACTGTGATCCCATAGCCTTAGTAACCGCGGTAGCTGGTTATCTATGAAGAGTATCTACATGAACATTGGCCTTTGGAACGATGTATAGTACAATATGAGTGCCGAATGAAAATGGACTTAAGGGCCGCAATCCCGAGGTAATTTATGACAGTCGAGACTGAACCGCTACATTTGTTCAGTCTTGTGTGTAGACACTAGCAGCCATATGAATCCTTCTGGCTATCAAAGTAACTATTTTATGATGCCGTATGCATGGCAAGCTTGAACAGCAATGAATGCACGGATTTATCCCTTCACCATGGCCTTCTTGTGATCCCAAATTCGATTTTTAGATAGTGTACTCCGACAAATGCTTCTATTCAATTACCAAATTTGGGCTCCACAAAAAAAAGGACTTCCAAAATATCAGGTTAGTGCACAGCCAAATAAATGAAGTGGAATCTGATAAGCCTCACCAGCTGTAAACCTTGACGCATGTTCATCACGGATTGGCGACAGAATATTGGGGTCTCTCTTGACCTTCAGCAAGCACACTTGCTATCCAGTGCATGCTTTTACTGGCGTTGACGTCTCGTTGCCACAGCGTACGGCAGGTTGTACAAAGTTGCACGCTATGCCTCGTTTGATCTTCGCCATTCACATTCAGACGCAATTGCTCCAAAGTCTTGAGCTGACATTTGGAACACACCTAAAAGGATTGATTATTTAGTGCATCGTACACTTTGAACGCATAACAAACTTACTTCTGATGTGTTGTACTCTGGAATATCAGCGATTACCAAATGACCTTGGTGTTCCGCCCTCCGCAGTAACTGTCGACAACAGTCGGGCAGTCCGGTCAATTTCTCATGCTGTTCCGAAAAACAGCGTCTCCAAAAGCAATTAGAGGGAACCTTGACACTGGGTTATGTGGTGCTTTTCTCCATTTACCGCCTCTCCTGTAAATAATATTCGTAAGATCGTTATTTAACAGCAGACTGATGTCAAAAACAATATCTTGAATGCGGCTGAGTTTCTTCCTTCCTGGAGCAGTTAGATGATGAATTATTTTTCGGTTTCATTAAGGAATTACCTTCTCTTTCTTCTTTTTCTTCATTTTCTTTCGATCCTTCTCCTGATCGCGCTTCTTGGTCTCCATCCCGCGTTTGTTGTTTTCTTTCCTTCATCCAAGAAAATATTCACCATCTCCGCTTCCGCATGTTGCTTGCCAATGTAGAACAAAAACCGTGGAGCACAAAAACGTTCGTCATAAAAGTTCAATAACAAATGCAACGTCGGCAGCCAGTTCCGCAGGCGTTACGATAAAAATCGCCTTGTCGCTCGTCTTTTTTCCACTGAGCCCGCTTTCCACCTCTTGCACGAATTGATCAAGGATCGTTATCAGTCCAGAACCTTTGCATTCGACTTTTGAAACCCGTAACAGTATAGAATTCGTCAGTAGAAAATTTCTGACTTGATGGGGACTTTCGTCATGACTGTCACTTGCCACAAGTACTTCTGTCATCCCTGGATCCGCGCCCCAAAGTTGGAACGTGCCTTGGAGTTCGTCCGTGGTAAAATCATCCATTGTCAAATTTGGTAATGCTTCGTATCTTCGACGAGCGAACACAAAATCAATCGCTCGGCACGGACAACATTGGTGAATAACTCCTCGGGCTCTTGCAGATCTTCATTATGGCTGAAGATAATGATTAGAGTTCTTTTTTGGTGGCCTGTTGACCCTTTTACCTATCATAGCGAATGTTACAGAAATTGAAAATGCCTGCCAAAGAACAATCGGCTTGGTCGAGTGGAGGTGAAGGAAAGTTGATGCGATTAAGGATGGCTCGAAGGGTCTGCATATCGATGGTTACATGTCTGAAATGGTAGGTTGGCACCAGGGAGAATACACGCTGTTGTTACGCAAACGTAGCCAACTCTAGGCGGAAGCAATCTTCTATTTGTACATCTGTCTCTCCGCGTTGATATCGGGTGGAACAACGGATTTGTTCTCTTGTTTCGTTGATGATGATATTAAACCATACCAAGAATGGAAGTGACAAACGATCTACGACGAGGGATCGTGCCGGAGAACTTTCGGTAACGACATCAACGATCCTTCTCACGAGACGCGACCTGTATCGTCGATTAAGGACGTCACACTCTGGCAAGTCTTTGATCACACTATACGCCCGGTGTTTGCTGGGCTCGGTGTAAACTTCCCCTACGCGTCCGAGTTGACCGCTGTTATAACGTTCGATGTCTTGCAGTATGACGTACAAGTAAGCAAAATACTCCTCCGGTCTTGCGGTCAAGGTCTTCTCATTCACCGGTTTTGAGACCGTCCCGAATGAGTGTGCAGACGAACCGCGGGGCACGACTGCGGTGGATGGACCAGCAAAAGGAGGTGACTCGCCAGTATAACCGTTCTCTTTGCTGACGACTTTCGACTTTCCTGTACGGCCGCCTCGATGTCTCTTTCAAGGTCGGATTGATCGTTATCTGAGTCGCTGGGGTCGATTGGACATGTCGCCCGTTGTTTTCTGGAGGAAGATTAAGATCGGTGGATGAAGTTGAGTGTCTTCAACTTACCCTTTATCTTTTCGAGGGGGCATGTTCAGTCAGAACTGCGTGGAAGAATTTTGTCGATCTGTGAGGTTCAGATTACGTGTACGTAATCAGTTCGTGGGTTGACGTTGTACTATGCGGGGGAAAATGTGCGAGAAAGTACACGAAGAAGATGACCAGTTTCATGTTGGCAAAGCTTTTTCACCATCGCGTTGTCCTGAGTCGGTCACAAGCGCATCCAAAGCAAGACAGACATCATCCGCCCATGAAAACCGAAGCCCGATGCCCAATAAAGAAGCATGAAATTATGCAGTTGGTCTTCCGCTTTGCCAAAGGAAGCGAAGATATGTATTTTCATTTTATGGCAAGTTGGATTATATACTCTCAAATTGGAAGGGGAACTGCACAAAGCCGTTCCAAAAAAGGAGGACACTTCTCAGTTTCCACCAATTTTTTCCTTCACTTCCTCTTGTTCTTCTACAATCTTTTGGTTGTTTCTCCTTGATAAACAATCCTACGCGCATCAAATGGGATACCCGTAAGATTCAAAACATGTACATACTTTATATAAACAGAAAGAAAAAAAGAAATGAAGAAAACAGAGCAACTGGCCAATTTACCACCGGGTGTTTTCACTTTGGTGCTTGCATTCTCTGCGGCATCGACTCGATCAGCTTGTCCCAGTCTTGAGGTTCCAAGCAGTCCCACGCTTCCAGAATTATCCCTACCTCGAACTTTGCACTGACACGGGCCTTCATCTTTCGCCACAAGTTCTCGACAGGGTTGAGATCAGCAGATTGCGCTGGCCAATCCAACTTCTTGATGCCAAGCTCCTAGACCCATTTTTTGGAGGCGATGCTTTGGTGGATGGGTGCATCATTCTCCATCAAGATGACAGGCTCCTTCCTTGTCACCAAAAAACGTGATAAAGGCCCTTCATATACGAGCTCAATGAAGTCCTCAGACTTCCTCCTGCAACTTCTTTCATTGCCACCAATTTCTTGGAAAAGGGCCAGTTCGGTCTTCTGATCGTGGATGACGCCGCCCCAGACCATTTGTGGGGATCGCCCACTCTTGAAGGTAGGGGCTAAGCACTCCGGATCGTCAAATTCGTGCTTCTTTCTCCAGACAGGAACCTGGCCACTCTTCTCGCCTAATTCGAAGTTGCTTCGTCGGTCCATAGGACTTTCTTACAGTCGTCGACGGTCCAGTCTTTATGCGTTATCGCAGACTGCACTCTTTTCAACCTCTGCAGTTGCGTCAGATGTGGCTTTTTTTGAGCCACTCGTGAAAAGTAACCCATGTTATGCAGAGTACGACGTATGGTGTTTCGGTTGACATGGGCTGCGACAATCTGAGTGATTTCACGAAGAGGACCTCGCCGGTTCTTGGCTACGTATTGATTAATGCGATGTTTTGCCACGATTCGTCAACTGCTTTGGTCTTCCAGAGCCTGACTTGCGCTCGAAGTTACCAGCTCATCAACCTCTTTTACAACAATGTAAGCGAGATTTGGCGTTTTTAAATTTCTCGATGATGATCTTGGGACGGATTCCCGCTTCCTTCATCGAAGTATTGGGCTTTGTCGATAGGGGTTAAAGTCATCTTTAAGCGAATATATTGGTGGTTTTGTATCAGAAAACCGTAATAAAAGAAGTTTTGTATGGGTAAGGTCAAAGAGAAGGAGCGGAAATTGAAAACTATCCTCTTTTTTTTTGGTACAGCACTGTGATAAGCTATCCACCAGAGCGAAGGACATCAAAAATGTCATCGTCGTTTTGCAAACAAGCAATCTATTTATCTTAATTAAAGAAATAGACTCACGATGCGATGTTTGTTACCGTATACAATGAGCCATACTCAATAGTTGGCTTCTCAGGTCTTGTATCAAAAGAAGCACCCTATGAGCCATCGCAAAACGGAATGCAATAAAATTAACCATACTTGGCTTCTCTTCTAACGATGGTAAATTGATGTCTTTATTGCTCATATAATAATCCTTCGAACGTGTGACGCTCTTATCCCTGCTGATCAGCATGCTATGAACAATCGAGCATTGTGTTTACTATATCATTTAGTCACTATGCTTCACTTTATTCAAACAGATCGAGACACTAATGTACAGTACAATGATAAATTACAGCTCTTTTTGGACATTATGTGCATTGTGGTATACGACCATATTTTCCTTTGGGGTCATGCAACGTCGCTTAATGTATTTGTAAACTTCCCCAAAAACGATAAAGAACAGGTTGAAGGCTACGACCAAACCCCATTCCCAAGTAATGCCCAACATCCGAAAACCTTCGATAGCCACCACAGGGATATACATGAAGATACACAGAGCTATCAGGTCGAATAAGAAGGTACCCACAAGTGTGCGCGAACGTATGGTGCGCTTGAGACCATTCCAATCCCATTCCGACAACCGGTAACTCCGACAGTGAATCATGACAGTCAACGTAGCAAACGAAAAGGTCGCCAGTAAGCACGCACGAGCACGAAAGAATGAATCGCAAGCGCCAGGTTGGTAAGATGAGTCACAGTTTATACCTCCAATACCATCGCTTTGGGCATAAAGAGCAATACAATAAGAGGCGATACTGGCTCCGGTCAACGCTAGTCCATAGACAATGGTATCCAGGAGAATCTCGCGATTGAAAATACCTTCAGTTGGCGGACGCGGTGGCTCCTTCATCACGGTTCTGTGGGCAGGTTGAGTACTCAACGCTCCAGCGGGCGGTGTAACAGCAACATATAAGAAAATCATTTGCATCGTGGACCATGGCGCCGCACTTCGGCCTGCAGGATCACGTATCGCTAAGCATAACAGCACCACCAACGCTAAGCCTGCCAATCCAATCCAGTAGTAGAGTAAGAAACGCTGCATGTTCTGATAGAGTCGACGACCTTCAGCAATGGCACGAATAATCGTAGCGAAATTGTCGTCCGTTAAGATGATATCGGAAGCCTGTTTGGCCACATCGCTGCCGTTTTTACCCATAGCAATGCCTACATCGGCAATACGCAAAGACGGGGAATCATTCACCCCATCGCCGGTCATAGCAGATATGTTGCGCCGTCGTTCAGATGCCTGGATCATTTTCACCTTGGTTTCGGGCGAGCAACGGGCGACCACCAAAGGAAGCATTTCCAACTTATCAATCTCCTCTTCGGACATAGCATCGAACTGGGCACCCGTCATCACTTGATTTTTTAATGGTTTGGAGGTTGATGTATCCATTTCAATGATGTGGAGCTCCCTGGCAATGGCTGTTGCCGTTTCTTCGTGATCACCCGTTAACATATGTACAGAAATGCCTGCTTCGTGGGCTTCTTGTACAGCTTGCTTCGATTCAGGACGCGGTGGATCGTAAATGCCAGTCAGCCCCACAAAGCTCAGTTCTCGTTCAATATTATCCCGTGGTATGTGTTGAATGTTGTCCGTCGGTATATTTGTGATACGGTACGCCATTGCCATTACACGCAAACCCTTGGACGCTAATTGGTTTACGGCCGTGAAAATAGTTGATCGTTCGCCTTCCGATTCAATGTTGGTACATAACTCCAAGATCCGTTCCGCCGCTCCCTTGGCAAACAGGTACTGTAATCCTGACGTCTCATGCTTGACGAGAGTTGACATGCGCTTAATGGTCGAGTCGAAGGGGAACTCATAAACCAATTGCCAGCCTTGATGAAGGAGATGAGGTTTTCCCATGTTGAATTTGTGAGCAAAGACTTGCAGCGCTACTTCGGTAGGTGCACCACTGGATATATATTCTTTGAATTTTTCGTCATTGGCTTCATCGGTTTTCTCATCTTGATCTTCATTGGGCTTCATATCAAAGGACGTGGCTGAATCGTCGTCTTTTCGGCAATAAATGCTGGACATATTGCAAAGGGCTGCACACAGGACAAGATGATTCATGTCTGGAGCAAGTTGAGTTTTATCCAATAAAACCTTTTTGTCATCGACCTTTGTAGTGCTATCCTCTTCTTCCGCCGCATAATAGATATTGCCTTTGGGGTATATTCCGTGGGACTCCACATCAAAATGACCTTCTTTCGGCGTCCAGAAGCGCACCACCGCCATTTTGGCCATTGTCAAAGTGCCAGTTTTATCGGAAAAGATGTTGGTAACGGAACCGAGAGTTTCAAGACATTTCAGTTTGCGCACCACCGCTTTGTGATTCGCCATTTCCTTGCCGCCGAGTACGAGGGTCACTGTCATGACAGTGGTCAAGCCCGCAGGTAAGACAGAAAGCGCAGAAGTCATCGCATACATGCCGGTATCATAGTCGGCTTTGAAGCGGACAGAAGCAAGGACGATAATGACACATAGTACGGCAGTGATTAAAAGCACGACGTACATACGGTCCAAACTTCGCTGAAGTCGAGTTCGATCACTATCATTGCCATCCTTGAGTTTGGCCGCAATCTTTCCAATCTCCGTGCGCATGCCAATTGCGGTAACAATAGCCTTTCCTCGACCTTTGGATACAATGGTCGAGTTGTAGACCATATTGATCCGATCGCCTAGTGGTTCGTCTATATCATTAAGGAATGGATCAGTTTCAAGCTTGGCCAACAAAGCAACTCGACTTTGGCGATAGTCTACCTGGATCGTCCAAAATAATGAGTTCTTTTGTCACTGGGGCCGATTCACCAGTCAAAAGCGCTTCATCAACATCCAGGTTCGAAACGTTCACCAATCGAGCATCGGCACCAACGGAATCGCCTTCCTTAATCACCAAAAGATCTCCGATTGTTATTTCGCGGCTCGGAATTGATTGTTCTTCCCCATTACGTATGACAGTAGCCGTAGGCGAGGATAAATCGCGAAGTGCTGCCAAGGTTTGTTCGGCCGCATACTCTTGGGAAAACATCAAGTATAAGTTCAAGATGGCGATGAATAACAACATGGAACCGGTGATATAATCCTTGAGAACGTAGGATATGATAGCGAGAGCGATAAAAATCCAGTTCATGACATCAACAAATTGTTGCAGGAGAACGGTGATCCACTTTGGACCTTCATTGGCTGAAAGTTCATTGAAACCAAACTTCTTCTGTCGTGTTTCGGCTTCTGCGGTGGACAACCCATGATCAAGATCAGTATTCAGCTTCGTAATAACAGTTTCCAGTGGTTGTGCGTGCCAATTAAATGTCTCTTCGACTGTTTCCATGTAAAGATTGTAAACGAAAAAAAAAAAAAACGAGTATAACAATGGAAGAAATCCTAATGGTCCGGCTTTTATACTGATGTCATTTGCGTAAATCTGACAAATTAAGAAGCTTTAACTCCGCCTTGAAATCTCCGGCTTTGGAGAAGTGTACTGTACTGTATAACAGCTGGCTGCGGAAATCCCCATTGAGAAGATAACTATTTTCCTTTTTCGTTTGTTAGTTTATATGCTAGGCTCTCATCTTTAGCTTATTGCTATCATGCCAGCATCATACCATTATTTTCCCACCATGCGCATGCTCGACCTCCGCAGCAACGACTGTCCAGCCCCAACCATGGTTGACTTGCGCCTATTATATGGCAATAACTGCATAAACTGCCGCAATACGGACGCCTGTTACTTTGAACTGAGTGCTTGTTCGTGAAGGATGGTGAACAACGACGGAAGGAGATGGTTGTAAGACAGAAAATTTTCTCCAACGTCAAGATGGCGTCAATCTCAAATAAAGTTCATTGTTATACAGCTGTCATTCTCTCGCCATCGTTAATGCTGATTTTTCAAGTTGTATTCCTGTTGTGAACGATAAAGTTACCATTGACCGACGATCAACCCGCAAGGGCAAAAAAAGGTCACCGGGCCATCAATTATTCGTACTCCGAGTGATGGTGATCTGTATTCTGTAGTACTCCTTATCACTGATCTAGACCTCTTTAGTTGTTGAGATCGCAGAATGCTGTATTTATTTTTCAGACAGATTTTAGAAGATCAAGATTGCTTTATAGAGATAAACGTCTACGGTTGATGATGATATATCTACTGTGAAAAAGGTCGCAAGTGGGGAACTTTGTGGGAAAAAACCGCAAAGCCACATGGTCCAAAAGAGAAGTGCTATTTTTCTGGATTTTGTCTAAGCTTAGTGTATATCTGAGTCAAAATGTTGGAATATCTTTGCGCGTAAGGAATTTTCTCTTTATATCCTTCATCAGCAGATTTACCAACTTGACGATTGATAACGTAGGCCTTGCTTGTAATCATGGTTAGCATATTTCGACGTTACGATTTCAGATCTTCTTACAAGTCTCGCACTTGAGCACGCTAAAAAATGAAGCATCGCTCTGCCGGTCCTTTGGTTTTTGTAGAGTCTTTCAGGAGCATAATGGGGAGAAAAAGAAGCAAAGATGATCGAATCCTTGTGCGTTTATCTCGCATCATCAATTTTAACTTGAAACATATCGAAACTGTCGATCTTGAGTACGATCCGCCATCCTTCATACCCCGCATGCTTGATCGGTATTGCTAACTTCTCCGAGAAGAAAATATAATCTGCCCCTCTTCCCGCGTCTTATTTTGTTAGAAAATTGTTGATTTGTACAGTTCGAAGAGGTAAAAGACTATTACCATTCTCTCACATGGCGAACCTAATCCTAGGTAAAGTCTGAAGAAGTCATTTCAAGCTCGAATATCACAACGAAAAAAAGGCTTGAGCAAAAATGCGGCATAAACATCACCTGTCATATATCCATTTATGATCTGGTGTTCATAATAGCAAAAATTGAATGATCAGTTTTCCATTCTAAGCGAGCTTCTCTGTTGGTTACCAACTGGGTGCCTTAACTTGTAAGAAGGATTTCTCCTCGAGATTAATTGATACAGATAACAGTTTTGTATCTCGGTAAAAAATACATTCCCATATATCTTATAACTGAGAGAAAAGTCATGCAGCGGTATATTTGAGACTCAAAACTAAAAGTATGAATAGTCCTAAAGTGTTCTGATAATCTCTCTCCCAAGCATTTCGTATATAGAAAAAATGATTTAGTGGAGGAACGAATGGGGAACTGTCAATTCTGTTTAAATAGAAGGAAGCGTCACGGATTACTCCAATAGCGATACATGCAAGAAGAATTAGATTTGTTATCAATCTAGCTCATTGAGCTAGTTCTTCAGTACATCTCCATGTACGGGGGCTGACTGGATGTTAGAGAAGATGTCTTTTGCCATAATCTGATTTAACTTTCCAAGTTGCGTTTATGACACGTTACTCCCTATATGGCATGCAAGGTCTTGGTGGAAGAGACCGCAATAAATAAACAACATAGCAGAAAACGTCAGGAAACGGCCTACCATTTACTCAAATTTTACATTGATCAGAGAACCCAATGAAAAGAACCAAGATTGCTAATTCCAAAAAAAAGATCATATGCAAAAAAAAAAAAAAAAAAAAAAAAAAAAAAAAAAAAAAAAAAAAATAGTATGGAAGAAAAAGCCATGGAACAGTCCGATGCATCAAAGTCGCATTGTAACTCAATATATGTAATGATGCCCGACGAGCAGAGTTGATAAGTAAAACCGATCGCAGATTCTACATGATTCAATTACACTAACTGAACCAGAAAAAGCGAAGAGCATCTTGTCTGCGATTAATAATTTGAGAAAAGCGATTTGTAAATAACATGTTCTTCACATGATTTCCACTGAGCTGTCAGCATCTCTTAATATCTTTTGCGCTGCACTAAGCCATCAGAACCTGTTAATTCTTTTTGCGCCTTCTTTTATCTATCAGCCATGTCTTGGTGCCCATCTTGAAACGACAACGATCATCAGCACTCTACAAGTCGTCGTTGCTCAAATTTCTTTCCACGTTTGCCCGAATATGATAATAGGCGCAACATTCATCAGCAAGATGCCGTTTGCATCAGTGTGGCAAAATAGGGCATCGTCGTCGTTCAAATAAAATGCGGGCAGAGCTCTTTTGAAGAAAGCGGGTTGATGGTACGACGATCTGGTATTTTATACCATCATTTAATTTGGGTTTTCTGTCAGTTATACCGTATCTTTCCTTTCATTTCTCACCAATTTTTAATGATCGAATGATACATGAGCAGATATGCTTCGATCTATGAATTCATGCATCAGTGGGGTGACCATTGTTTCTTCCATGGGAAATCACCATATTGTGACTTCATTTTTTTCCTTTGGTTTTCTCTCTCTTTCTGTCCGCCTTGAAAACTCTCACTATCATTGCATGCGTATCCGCTCCATCATTCAAACTATGGTTATCCTGTGTCTGAACCGGTCGAATCGATTATTATCAAAAAGCAATCTGCTTTTGATGTGGCTATCTGTTCTTCGACAAGAAAAGCTGCTCTATCCTTTTCTCTATCCTTCTTTAGCTTTCGGCGGCTTTCTCCAATTTTCTTTTCGCCTGGCAGGCCATCCATCTTCCAAATCTTTATTGTTTTGTTGGCTCACCAGGTGTGACTAGGACGGGTTTTGTCCTCAATAGGCATCCTCGGTGGTATGGCTCTCTTTGTTCATCGGAAACGCTTACGCGTCCTCGTCAGCTTCGCTTCACCTGGATTACTTCGCGTAATGTTGTCTACAATATTTCTTCGCGACTATTGTATTTTGTAGTATGAAGTATGTATTTCATTTGATAGATCTTCTTGCAGTTTTTTTCTCCTTGTTTTCCCACACGGTTTTTAGGCGGTTTTAAAGACGCGCCCAATTTTTTACTTTTATTTGTTTGTATTCTTTTTTTTTTCGTTCGTGAAGCTCTCAATACTGCTGCGTCAAATAACAAAGGTAAAATATCTTGAACGAATTTGCATCAATCAAAGAGCTTACTAACTCATTAAATATCCAACATTGCCACACATCATTCTAGATCTATCATAGCCTGGGCGGGAAGGAACCGGAGGGGGTCAATAAGTGCTGCTGTGCGCATGTTTGGAAATCATGACGATACTGTATGCCAGAGGTGACATTAGTATACAAAAGTTCCGTCAAGAGTCTCGCCAGGTTATGCTTTATTTCGCTAGACTTCGTCTGACGAATGTCACTTAATGTAAGAGTGTGACCTCCAGTAACAGGCGGCATCAGACAAGGGTGTACGGCTTGTCAGGAGTAATAAATTCGACGAGAAAAAATGATACAGGATTTAAAATGATGTCTTATCTTTGTGCATTTGCCGCATCACTCCACGATGATCCCTTTAACAAAAGCGGTGCTCATCCAATAATTCTTGAAAAAAAGGTGAGATCGCAAAAGCACATGATTCTGTATGACTCAATGGTCTGAATGTTTTTATTTATTTGTATTGTATACATATTTCAGTCCCGAAATTAAACTGGATTAACCCTGTGCATCGTAAATTTAGGGAAGAAGCATGGATTATGGGATCAAAGTATTTCATAGAAGTGCTGCCTGTCATAGAGCCATTTGAGATTGTATTCAAAACGGCATGGCCGATTTTTCTCAGTTGCTTACAACCATTAAGAAATAAGATAAATCCATTTCCCTTTGCACCCACGGACCTGACATCGCCAAAGATATATGATATCTGTTTCTGTATACGCATCAATCCGGTTATATAAAATAAGTAATCCAAAAAATCGCCATTTTCAGGTTTTTCTTTACAGTGATGAAAAAAGCCCCATATATCACCGAATCAATCAGTCTTTCTGCAGTTTCCTTTGATTGTGAAATTCGAAATTATTCTGAAGCTGGCGATTAAGCAACTGGCGCCCTACGGATAGCTTCATAATAGATTTCTTCATCAAAGAGCAGATATATCCGCCCCAGCATAAGCAAGCGCAGGATTTTGACTAGAGAAAGTCGAATGTCTGCTCTGGAAGGTGGAGCAAGAGAAAGGTTTCTAAGTTTCTAAATATGGTAATTTTGCCGCTAAATCAAACGGGCCATCGGTCGGTTTTTTTTTTATTTCCGTCTGAGAATTAAAAAAAGTCCTGCATTATCTTTCTTGCTCATCCTCCGCGATCCAAGATCATGACAGAAGTGAAGTTAAGCACCGGTAAATAAGTCTAGTCTAATAAATAGGTCGAACTTACTCAACACTTATTATTCTTATTACAGCTGGTTTTGATGCTCGGTAAAACTTGGCACGATCTACATTAATGCAGCTCATGGCGCTAACATGGTTTCACTGTTTTTGCAGCTTCCCTAACAGCAATCAGACAAAGCAGTAAGTATAAAAGCCATCAACCTTATAAGACCATTGTTTAACCAAGTAAAAAATATAGCTGCTGGCAAAATTATGTAGATTACTATAAATGCATTGGAGCGCGTGGCAAGGATTTCGCTCCATGTCAACAGTTCTGGAAAGCATTTCACAGCATATGTCCTAATTCATGGGTAAGAATCGACTGGAACTTTTGTTTTTCAACTCGGTTAATTGTACGGCTCAGTAGATTGAAACTTGGGACACTCAGAGAGAGGAAGGAACAAATCCTTCCAACTTCAATGTTTAAATGTGGAGTCCTTCACGGTCCATGATAATGGCGACAAGCGGAACTCTCCATAATAAAATAGTCGAAAATTTGGTCTATTTCAGGATCATGACTCAAGGAAAAGGAATCGTTGTTTTCTCCCGACTTTTCTATGTGCTTTCGGGCGTCAGAGTTGCGGCTTGCTGCTACTATGCTTGATATCATTAGTTATTTATTCATAAAGGTTGGACTGGGGACACGAAAAAGCTCAATGGGAGGAGGGCTTTCTGCAAAAAATTGTTGTCTATGTCGATCTAGTGTTTTGTGGCACCATTTTTTTTCATTGAACTGAAGGTGAGCTCATGACTGTTGATCCTGAAGAATAGGATTTTGTACAGTATACTGAACATGATTTCACACAATAGTTATATTCAACTGGCCGACCATCGACGGTCCTTACGCGTGCTCCCGACGTTCGACAAGCGATGAACAGTAGTGCGTAGTCCGTCCCCGTCCTGGCCCACTTGGTTGGTTTTTCCGGGCAACGAAGGCCTGTAGATGTTTACAAGTAAGCCAACTGCACTCAACATTTTGCTATACTGCCACTAACCATGTGGTCTTTTCCTAATTTTTTGTTCAATCTTTTTGTGACCTCAAAAGTTTAAATAAACAGATTATTAAAAAATAATTGTTATAAATGAATATAGAATTGGAGGGCAAGTCGGAGGATGTCGATGGAGCGTATAGAATTATAGTCGTACCCCACTAATTCAAAGTAGGCATACTTCTCGGTGTTGAAAAAGTTAGGATAGAAATTGGCGGGAGTCTACTGCATAATCCAAACGGCCCTTCAGGCTATTTTTAATCAATGGTCTTGCTGACAGCAAAATATATTGCACCCACTGAATTTACGTTACCGAATACTATAACACCGAGTTTTGACATTGGCGAGCGGATTCAAACTCTGAAGTAGAGTAGAACACTGTTCTTCCAGCTAAACAGGTATATCCTGTATCTCTGTCCCAACATCCGTGTATTCGTTGAAGCACATTACAGACGCGAATTGTACCGTACAAGATAGAGCGAACTGATTTGATACTTGGTATGACGTGATTTTAAGCCTACGTTCTACCCTCAACTCACTACAAGAGAAATGCACCTACCGATCCAGAAAGATACAGAGAGCTTAGCCGTACGATGCAGGACACCTGCTCGAGATCCGGAAACAACAAAATATCAAGAACATGTATAAAATCAGCTATAGAAGAACCCCGGAGGGACCTGTTCCGAAGGTCGCTGTTGAAATGTATAAAAAAGATGAAAATCCGATAGATGTTAATCGCAAGCAAGGAAGAAGAAATAACTCGATCTAGTGAGTTCGGGCCCTAAGTTCGCTAAGAAATCTCGTCTAAAACGAGTCACTGGTGTGGAACACGTTATTTGGATCTGCCAGAAGGATCTGCTCAAAGCAGGCCCTACGATTGAAGGAGAAAACTTGTAGCAAGATGAATTGGCCAAATTATTGGAACTGCGATTATCGCATCATCAAGAGAAGAATCGACGTTGCGGACCTTATTCATACAGAAGAAAAACAGAAGCCGGTGGTTGTGTATCGATTACCAAAGGATCCACCAAAAATTGCAATGAAGGATGTCTACTCATTACCATGCATAAACAAGCTCTGGGTTTCCATGAGCAGAGAGCGTCGGTCTTTTCGATACTAGGTGCTGCCGGCAGTTTTGGCAGTTGAAAAGATTTTGATTTTTCGTCACTAAATTCGGTATGATAAATTCCTAGTGATCCTTTTAGTTAACAGCAACGCCAAACGATATTTTAGGGGGCCTTAGCGACCCTATTGGGACTTCCGGATCCCCTCCATGATCGCAAGAAGGCTGCCCAGACTCCGAAGCCATATTCATTGCCTCATTTGCAATTGTCTTTGCAACAATTATTACTAGTATCTAATTTGGATGAAGAAAAAGAGTATCTATTATATACATGAAAAGCAATACATTACTATAGAAAAGAGAAAAATAAAAAAAAGGGAAACAACAAATTGCATACCAGTTAATTCATGTGCAAGGCGTTTGGGTTAGGCCAATAATGAAGAATAACTGGGACAAATGATAATGAATTGAAATGAATTAATTACATTACACAAAATGAATATAGAAGACAAGAGGAAAAACCTCGGTGGAAAAAAAAGGGGAGAACAAAAGGATGAAACACGCCAAGGACAAAGGATGGCCTCGTTAACTAGCTCTTGTTGTATGCACCTTTCCTCGCCGTCGCTGCCACCATATGGAACTTCCCCGGATAACCGTAACTTTGGGCATATATGCTGGATTGCTTGAAATCCCGTTTTCAGATGAAGGAGCCTGCCAATCCCAATTTTCTTGCTGGTCATCCGAAACCTCGCCGGATTCACTTGCACTCATTTTAATTAAACGCACCACATTCGGACTTTGAATGACCTCGCGACGAATACCGCCAAAACATAAGCGCTGTAACCCTGACTGCGGATCCATTTTGCCATGTTCAATCGTGACCAGTTCCTCTTCCACACGTCGCACCACAGTCCGAAAGAAAGTATCGCCGAGTGATCGAGCATTGCTTAGACTTATTGACTGAAGTTTGGTGCAACTGGCAATGATCTCGGTCAAGATGTACTCGGTCATTTGGTCGCCGTCGGGATTATTGAATATGACGATCTGACGAAGGTTACTGCATCGTTTGGCCACGTATCGCATGGATTTGTCCGACAACTGGCTGGCATTCCCAATACTTAGCCGCTCAAGGTTGGATCCACACCGATCGGCGATGGTGGCTAAACTCGAGTCACTGACAGGCGTATTACCCATGATTTCGATATGCCGTAATTGTGGATTGGTCATCACCAGTTTGCACAGCGTTGAACCCTGCAATGTCGCGCAACCCGTAAAAATTACCGTATCCAATGCTCCCGACCGCATGTACTTTGCCATTTCGTAAACGGAATCGTCAGATTTAGGGGAATAAGAAACCAAGCGAATCGACCGTAGTTTAGGGCAGTTGTAAGCAAAGTGAGCGAGTGGGAGTGAATGATTATACCGAGAAGCTGCCGGTACGGAAGGGGATGAAGGTGAAGTTGAGACAGGCGGTTGAAGGGCATGCCGTGGTAGGGGAGGTATCTGCTGCGATGGTGACCGTGACGGTGGGGAAGTTGTGTCGCCGAGACGTTTTATCGGTGGCAAAACCGGCCGATGATGGTTTTGCATGATAGGAGGTGGTACAGGTGGCGCAACGGGCCGGGTATGATGAAAGGTAATAGAAATTGATTCGAGGTTCGAACAAATCGACGTAACGAGGAGAATGATATTAGGGCTCATGTAGAATTCTCTGTCGGCGTGTGTCAGGTCAATGGATTTGACATACGACCCATACGGTCGGGAGGCGGTATGTCGAGTCATGATAGCAAAGATACGTTCGAATTCTCTTTCTCGAACAAACTTGAAACTAGCCCATACCAATTCCAAGGCCGGGGTCGACCAGGCTTTACACACCAATGCTGCACGAACAAGCTCGGATCGACTCAAGTGTTTGAAAATGTTGATCAAAAACCAAGTCGGAAGCGTTGCCATCGATTTTACGCAAGTCAAGTGATCACAAGTCGAATTCGACCTTGAAAGTGCATCAGAAGTATCCAAAATCGCATTTCTTGTCATGCACAAATCGTCAATCGCGAAAGACGTCGTCGTGTGGTGAATAGTGCGTCAATGGAAAACAAATGACCGAAATGCGGCCACAGTTCAGCAAACAAAAAAAAAAAAATTAAAAATAAGGAAACTAGACTAAAGTCCCAAGAGAAAAGATGAGAGAGAGATATAAACACAATGGAAATACAGTCACTGGAATAACGACCAAGAGGAAGAGGAATTAACAAAACACTGAGGAGCACAGAACAAGAAAAAAAAAACTGTAAATGTTCGGAACTGGAACTTGGGATGAGTTCGGGTGTCGGACATCTCCATGATATCATACAGCGGAATTTCCATTTCCGTATCAAAAAAAGTCCAATCAATGGATAGCGGCTTTTTAAATATAAACATCACTAAACTTACTGTTTAACAAGCCGTACACCCGCTGTGCAATGGATGCCGCCTGCCACCGGAGGCCGCCCTCTTACATTGAGCGACTTTCGTCAGACAAAAAGCCTAACGCATACACGGCATAACCTGGGCGAGAACTCTTGACAGACTTTGGTATATTAATGACAACCTTATGGCAATACCATGCAACGTGAGTTGTTTCTGAACACGCGCAAAGCAGCACTGGTTCCCCCCCTCAGTTCCATCCCGCCCAGGCTATGATAGATCTAGAAAGATGTGTGGGTATGTTGGGTATTTAAAAAAAATGAGTTAGTAAGCTCTTTGATTGATTTAAATTTTCGTCAAGATATTTTACCTTTGTTATTGAGTTTGCAAGAGCCATTGATCGCTTGACATGACTTGGATTATATGACATTGAAAAAATTTGAATTAGTATACGTTCACTACATCATAGCAAAGGAAAAGAAATTGGACTTCCCTTTGAACCAAATGGTGTACCGGAAAAAAAAAAAGATGCTACGGACCGCCAGGTAAGCTTCTTCTTCGATGCGATAAATAAAATTGCTTCCAGGGACAGTTAAGCGATGGATCGGTGGTGTCAGCTTGAGCAGGCAAAAAATATTGACGTGGCCAGAAGTGACGGTAATTTCGAGTTGGATTCCAGATATCGAGAGTCCCCCGAATAAAAAGAAAGAAACAAATAAAGTACATGATGATAAAAAAACAATGGTCGCGTCAGTAAAAACCTCATAAAAAACCCTGTGGGAAAAAAAGAGGAAAAGACTGCGAAAAGAATATGTACATGAAATATAAAATACAAAATACAAACTATAAACTACAAAATAAATAATCGGGAAGACATCTCGAATACCATATGATGAGAAGCAATCCAAAGGAAAGGAACATGAAGAGGACACGTAAGCGTTTTTCTGATTAAAAAAAGAGCCACACCACCAACGATGGCCTTTGACGTCATCCGATTTCGCCAGATGGATGAATGGATGGATGGATGGCGAGAGAAAGTCAACTTGTAGTATCCAGAACTTGTCAGGCGAAAAGAAAACGGAAACCGGAAGCTGGAAGAAGGATGGAAGTAAAGGAGAGGTAAGTCTGTTTTGCCGGAGCAAAATCGATGGTAGACCACTCGACGCTTACCTTTTTGAGGATGGTGGTCAATTTAACCAAGTTAGGTACACGGGATAAGAATGGTCTGGATGATGGATGCGGATGGGATCTTGATACAATGATAGTGAGGTTTATCAAGCAAACAGAAAGAGAGAGAGAAAATCAAAAGAAGAAAGATAAAATTGAAGACCAAAATATATGATTTTCCATGGATGAAACAATAGTCACCTTACTGGTGCATGAACTCATAGATCGAAGCACGTCTGCTTATGTATTATTCGATTCATTGAAAATTGAAAGAGAGTGAAAGGACATATATAGTATAACTGACAAAAAAAACAAATTGAATGATGCTACAGAAGAACGCCAGCCGTATCATCAACCCCTTTTCTTCAAAAAGAGCTCTACTCACATTTTTATTCGAAAGACGACGATACTCTGTTTAACTACAACTGGCGCAAACGGCATCTTGCTGCTAATTGTTTCGCCTATTATCGTGAAAGTGGGCAGCGAGGCATGGTTGAAAGATAAAAAAAAAGGTTTAACAGGTCCTGATAACTTGGTGTAGATCATGTGATTTACAAAATCGCTAATTTTTCAAAGATTTTAATTATATAGACTAGGTGGAGCCCGTGATCTTCAAGATCACAATTGGGGATATTTATTGGTAGACTTCAGGGTATACTATATTTTTGGTGAAATGTTCATTTGAAGTTTGTAAAAATGAACTTTCTTTTTTAAGCATTACCTTTAGTGCAGATGGTTTTTTGACTCTGGAGAAAGCAACGTACAACTGTCCATGGGAAAATACTGACGCCGGCAAATATAGCCCAACAGCATCCAAGGTCTGACCTTGTGCTTTGTTAATTGTCATTGCAAACGCTAATCGCACTGGAAATTGGCGTCGTTGAAATTCAATAGGAGATTGCATTTCTGTGGGCTTGAGCTTGATTCTAGGTATAAACACCAATTTTCCTGCATGTTTCCCGGTTGCAATTTCTGCCTCGATCACAAACTGTTGGAATGAGCGGCATATAAGCCTCGTTCCGTTGCAAAGACCGTTGGATGGATTGAGATTGCGCAGCAGTATGACAGGACAACCTATTTTTAGTAGGAGTCGGTGTGGTGGAAGGCATCCAGGATTGATCGAATTGAGAACCTCCACGGTATGCAGCATTTGTTGACTTTCATCACAGACGCTATCTGCGCTTAGATACTCTGTTGCCTCTCCTGGAAACTGTTCCAAAAGGAGATCATTGATTGTCTCAACGTCAGAGGTTTTCGGTGTAAGGATAGCGCGGGATGTAAGGTACTGCGAAGAAAGATTCTCTTCCCGAAAGTCATGAAATATAGCTGAAGTCAAATTTTGCAAGTTCTCGCCAGGAATTACCATGCTTTGGGGGATGCTGATATAGCTTGTATTCAAGCGTGTAGGCTCTGTCCCATTACCAATACGTAGCAAGTATTCACTGAACTGTTGAAGTTCCTGTGGACTTTCGTTTTGTTGTGGTCTCTGAACTCGCATATTGGTCGTCAGGCGTAATGTTTGCACATGCGCCCAAGAAGCAGAGCGGTTGATACACATATTGACGATATCGGGACGCGACCCTCGGGGAACCACAGGCAGGACTTGTCGAAAATCACCTCCAAACACTACCAACTTTCCTCCAAACGGTACGGATTCCAGACGTGGGTTTTCAGCTTTGAAGAGATCTCTAAATGTTCGATCTACTGCATCAAATGCAAACCGGTTTATCATCGATGCTTCATCCCACATGATTAGCTTAGTAAGTTTCAGTAAATGGGCAAGCTCCGTTCTGTGAGACACGTTACAAAAGGAATGTTCGTGCGTAGTCAATGGTATCTTAAACCGTGAATGGGCGGTACGACCACCATCCAAAAGAAGAGCAGCTGTTCCACTGGATGCGACGGCTAAAGCAATTTCTCCATTACGACGGACATGGGAAAGTAGGGCATTGAATAAAAATGTTTTTCCAGTTCCTCCAGGTCCATCAACAAAATATAGCTTGCTCCTTGGTGATGCATCGTCAGCTGCACGGATGATAGTGTCAAAGATGATCTGCTGGTCATGGTTAAAGTCCAGATTGGCTGGGTTTGGTAACCTTTGTGCTTCTTCGTTAAGTGACAGCTGTTCTTGAACTAAACGTGGTAGACGTGGTAAAGATATGGAAGTTGGACGGCTATCAACCTCAGGAAGAGAGAATCCAGCAAAATTTTGCAAAGACAATGACTGTGATTGCAGATAATCCTCGATATCCATGATACAGCGTCCGTACATTGTTTCTGTTGGTTCCAGAGATGCATCATTCTGTTCAATTCTATCAGCATGGAGATGATCCTCCACCATATGTTGTCTGTGGCGAAGCCAAAGTGCGTAAGGGTCAGACGGTTCACAGAAAGCCAAAATTGTGCCAAATAGCATCCTCAAGGAGCTGGGTGCTTGATAGATCTCGGCATTTTCCAAACAGTGGTCCCATTCGTTATCGTTGGTAAGCAATCCACGCCTGCGTGCAGCTTCTTGGAATGTCAAACAAAGTTGGCCGTTGACCGTTCGCAGATCCTCAAAGCTAGTTGCTCCAGGAACATGATAGAGAAGGAGGCGAAGATAATATTTTTCCACTTGCCGCGGCGAGATGTTATATATGCGCCCAATAACAGTATTGTGTCCTCTAACACGAACTGTCCATCTTCTTCTTCCACTTGTATTCCAAACGTAATGTCTTGGGAAATCAGAGTATAAGATGGTTCTTGCTGATGGATCAATCTGGTTTGTTTCGAACCATGCTGTTAATGTCGTCAAAGGTCGGCGGCTTGCAACATTTTGAGGACTCTCATCCTCATGGAAAAAAATTATCTCTTCTCCTGGAAGATGTACTGCAAGTCTTTGATGTGCTGGAAACTCGTGATGCATAGAGAATGAAAAGATTCTCCAACAGGCTTCAGACGCTGACACGTACCGAGAATCAAGATACTGACGGATTTCATCATGGTTTTCGGGCTGGAGTACAACGGATGCACGGTCGTGTCCTTTGAAGACATATTTGTAGATATACTTGACTGATTTAATGGTTGTGCATATTTCGACATTGATGTGTGCGTCATATTTCGAGCAGAGGTAAATATTATGCGGCACAACCCATCGGTTGTCAAGTAAAATCCCATTTTTGCGTACGGTTCTTCCGTCATTGCGCCTTCGGTACAGAGGATACCCATTTTCGTTGCACGTTGTCTCTTCTTGAAATGCACGCGGGAAGTGCTTTGTGCACCGACCGTTTTCCATGCATGGCGATGGATGCGAGGCTGCTATTCCACATGGGCCATGCATCATATGGTTCGTGACAGTTGCATGAGCAGATGGGAACTGCTGTGGATCAGGTATCTCCGCCGATACGATAGAATCGTAGTGCTCTGGCGTCACAGGTTTATCGGCTTCTTTTAAAATGAGTAGAATATGCGCATGAGGCAATCCTCTTTTCTGGAACTCGACGGTATAAACGTAGCCAATTACTTTTCCAAGTGTATGATTTTTTGTCAGATCCTTCAAAAGAGCTCTGAGCTTGAGGTTGAAAACTCGTGCTGTCAAATCTGGCCGATCAGATACTGTCTGTGAAGCAAGAAGCTCATTCCGAATTTCTGGCCATTTTGGATTACACGTGAATGTAATGAAGAGGTCAGGCTTTCCGAAACATCTGACGATACTCATTGCATCTTGGTACAGCTGTTGCATGTTTCGAGGGCTGCCAATGAATGACGACGGAAGGATGACAGGCTGACCGATGGAATTCATATTCATATTGTTGTCGTCAAGTTGGAGAGCATCTTGTACGCCTGAATACACATCAGCACGCAGTCGGGCCTGGTTGAGGCGAAGGTAATTGAGGCGGTTTTGTTCCATCTTGGCATACATATCTACGATATACTGCTGAAAGAGTCGGCCAAAGAGGTGCAAGTGGTGTCCATCATTTCGATACATCAATCTGAAACTGTAGTAGTTCATCACGGTGACTTTCTCGTTTCTGGTCGATCGAGTTTCAATGTTCCACCCAGGGTCGCCTTCAGGAAACATCAGCACGTAATGGAGTGGGTCATACAGGCGATGCATCTCACTGATTGATGTCAGTTGGTTACTACGCGTACAGATCACAATATCCCTTCCAGAGGCCTCTGCGTTTTCACCGATAATGACACCAATTTCAGAAGCATTTGGTGCATTATAGCGTCGTGGATCTGGGACATCGTCAGCTCGAATAATCATTCTGATGTTGGAAGCACCACCATTATCCTGTATGTATTGGGCCATTGTCTTGAAAAGATGGACGAAAGGATTGGTTTCATGCATTAATTGCTGAAGTACTTCCAAGGTGTCTCGCGCGAGATGGCTTGTAATTAGGAAATCTCTTCCTTCTTCAGTGTTGCTGCGAAGGAGACGCGCGATTGTTGGAGGTGTAGGCTCCAAAGGCGGAAGCACAATGGAACCTTGGGCACAGCAGAACTGGAATTGTGGATTTGAGATGGATCCAGACATGCGCTCTTTGAGCCACATGTGTGCCTGGCAGAAATTGCAGACAACATTCATGCGACCCAAGGTATGTCTACTGGGGAGTTCTGATTCATCAGACTCTGCGTTACCAACAGGTGCAGGTAATCTACGGCTGTGTTCTCCAGCGTCATTTTCGTTTGCTTCTCTCATAGCCAGCCTCGCTGGATTCAATGGGCAAGCCAGATGGCTGCTGCGCTGGTGTCCCAGTTGCTGGCACGAAGAGCAACGGACTTCTACCAATCCTTGGATCGTAGCAACGTTGGGTTGTTCGGTGCGTCTGGGGTTATTGGGACAGTTTCTAGAGGTGGATTGAGCGTGTCCTGGGAGACCGCAAGAAACACAGGAGATGGGTGATGAGACAATAGCGCTTTCCTCAGCACGTCTCGTATTGTTGGGACAGCTGCGATTCGTTGATCGAGCATCACCTGGCAGGCCACACGAAGCACAGAAAATGGTTGAAGACGACATTGGGGAAAAAGCGATTGAGCTTGAGGAAATGGAATAAAGAAAGGAATTGGACCTAGATAATAAAACAATACAGCGTGGTTTAACTAAACAAATCATATAATAACACGGTCCGCTCATGCATAAAAGGAAGTGCAGATCATGAGCAACTCCAAGTGACCGGTTTTTACAACACGTAAATCATGTGATCTATTTTGTTTTAGCCAATCAGCAGCCTTAAAAACATTTATTATCCAATCAACAACGCCAAATTAGCGGACAATAAAAGTGACTGCGAACTAAAATTCAAACATTTTAATAAGGTTGAGATTCAAACAGTCACCGTAGGAATTTGAAAATTACACAAAAAAAAATGCAAATTATGAAACAGACAAAAAAAGAGAGAAATGGCAATACGAGAAAAAGACAAGTAAAAGAAATGGTTGAAACAATTAATTCGCGATTTGGAAAATGACCAGATTAGGGAGAGGAGAAGACATAAAGAAAACAAAGAAAAGCAGAGTCGTCAATAAAATTATATCTTATACAGCTTCAGTTTTTACGTTGAAAAACTTACCGTGATCTCTGGAGAGGAGCCCACTCCCAGAAGTCCGCAACCTGGGGGAGGACGGTGATAACCGCCCAGGACGAGGCGAAGGAACAAAACCAAGAGAAAACCCCAGGGACGACAAACGGACCGAAAAAAAAAACCAGACGTCCAAGCAAAGGGACACAGGAGAGAACGCCAGAGAAAAAAAAGCACGACCACAAGCACGACCATGCGGAAAGGACACGAAACGGGAGACAAGGTCAGGAAAAAAAAAGTGTTCGGAAGGAACAAAGCAACGCCGAAGGGAAAGGCAAGCAACGCGGACAACGAAAAAAAAAAAACGAATCTTTGTGACGGGGGCCACCAGCAAAAAGACATCTTCACCAGGACGGGACCAGAAAGAATGCGGAAAAGTAAGGGTGCCTGCAAGCCCCGTAGTGATTAGGTGGCCATAGGTGCCGCATTGTAATAGAGAAATAAGGCGGTCAAACGTCGTATTAAATACTGTTTGTTATACATTTATTCATTTACAGGTTATCAAAATCTCATCTATAAATTTTGGAGTTGTTCGTATGGCCTTTTATTATGGATGCTGGCCATCGAAACATATCATTGCATTTTCGTTTTTTTTTTGGAAATTAGAAATTTTGAAATTCCTATGGTGACTTTTGAACAGGAGTGTACTCAACAGAAAACAAAGCAGAATTGAAACAAGTGTGGATACCAATGTTTAATTGGTTATCAGGCACCAAAATGACATCTGCTATGATTTTACCATAAAACACGAGCCCGACCTTCACTACATTGTAATATTATGGGTCGCTCTTCGCCTAATGTCATATTGGCGGGCGGCATCTCGGTTCCTCATGCCTTGCACTTTGCGTCACACAACTTTGAATGCAGAATTGCACCCCAATTGGAACGATCAGGATCCAACGATATTTTCTGACATTTGTCACATACCTATTGAAGGACACAGGTCAGCAGAAGACGAACTCACCTGGCATGTGTAATGCTTCGTCTTAAGGACGACAACAAACAGGCCTTGATACCCAATTTCTTCAAGCATTAGCGACACATCCCCAGTTTCAGACATAATCACCTTTGATAGCTCCCCAAAAACCGTTGCTGAATACAAACAAGGGCATTCGTGATGATTTCTCAGAGTTGGCGGCTTCCACCTATCAGATTCCTAAAAGTTGGAAAACTAACATTACTTTTACAAGGAAGACAAAACAAGGTAAGCCAGGGGCAGTATAAGACGGAATCATAGAAGCTTAGGATCATACAGTACATAAAAAATGGAGAACAGGATGATGTGAGAAAATACACGATAATTGGTTTAATATGGCGGCTATCTCACCCACAAAAGATCGCATTAAAAGGCAAAAAAGGTACAGCAGGCAACATAAAATGAGTCAAGGATCGTGTATCCTTTCATACCATACTTGTTCTCCATCTTGTCTTGTTACCTCTGGTCCTCTACTTCTCTGTTCTTGCCTTGACCTTGCCCTGCGAAGGCACCTTACATCACTCCTCTGGTGTGCAGTTGCGCTGAAGACCATTTCCACTTGCATTCCTGTTGCTTGCCTTTGTATTTCCAAAAATCGGAACTGATTCAACCAGATATCATACAGTTCAAAAATGGATGCAATATACTGTTGATGGAAAATACACCCGGCGATATGCTTGCAAACTCGATATGTTGGGCGGTGAAAGTTGAGGTTCTGAGGATTCGATGGATGCTTCAAATTTGGAGAACGAGCGGATTGTCTTGCGCAATTCTTTCCACTGTCTTTTTTTTTGTTGGTCTTTATATAATCGGTCTCCTTGTCGTATTCGGTTTTGGTCAAAGATCACAGATGATGTTGATTGCCTTGGCTGTTACTTTCAACAAAAGCTGGTCTATGACCTTGATCCAAACGCAGTAGTTCACAATGCTCTTGTACAAGGTCTCCAATGCCTAGAGAATGGGCACGAAAAAGGCGACGAGATTCCAACAAATAAAATGGTAAGTCGAACAATAACTCTAATTTAAATACACACGTCTCCATGAACCAGCACTCAAATGAAAAACGATGCATTTTATTTGTTATGGTCCTGTTCTAGATAAACAATACAGGTTGCCAGATGCATACGATGAGGGGTCTAATTTGCACTTTTGACTGATTCGATCGATTTGGACCACAGATTCATGCTTGGGCTGGTTTTGCTCGGTATCATTGTAAATAAAGATATGATGTCTGTAATCATTGGTCCGGGGATGACCTGTTTGGTTAAATGTAGAGCAAGTTTGCATACAATGCCACTGCTGCCAATATGCACCTTGGGTGTCACATCAATGTCTTTTGTTTATTGCCCAGCAAATACCACCTTGACGACGAGATCCGCAGAATATTCCGAGCCATTATTTGTTCGAGAACAGGTGAAAAACATATACTCCATCAAAAATTCTGGCTCCTTCGGAAAGTAATGTATTCCACACACCCATTTCTATAAATGCACTCACATTGTCCCTTTTTTCGACTCCCGTCTGTGGGTCCGACCCTGAATAATGCCTCTCGTGCGACAATGGTAAAAAAAAAATAGGAGCAGACAAAAAAGCGGCCCAAGCTTTTGGAATATAACAGCATGAATGTGGATCATCCTATCTAGTAGTTACTTCTTTCTTTCTTTCTTTGCTGCACGATACACGTCAACTATTACACAAGACACTATAGCTAGTGCTAGGAACTAACATCCAGAATTCTTTCTTTCACTTTGCCTGCCAGGCGTTCCACAGAGAATTCCATTAGGGTATAAACGCCAGTCATAGCACCGAGAATGCCAAAGACAATGATCATTAAGATCAACACGACTAAAAACGCCAACAGACCACCAATAGCCGCGTCGCCACTACATGCAGTGACATCCGCCAAGTAGAGGCTGTACCACGGGCAAGTATCCTGACTCCCGCAAAGCAAAGGATGTGTCGTATGCGGGTCGCTCTCACAGATCACGCGAACATATACAAGATAGAATACGCCCAACAGGGCGGTGGCGCTGACACCCGACAGCAGATAGATTCGATCCATCCACAACATGGTCGGACCATGCAGTTTGAACCACGCTTCATTTTCCGGCTGTGGCAGATGGTGTAACGCAAAAACATCAATTACCTTACACAGATATGCCATGGCAATCACTGATGCCAGCGTGAAGAATAGTGTAGTAACGTTTAGGAAATACGGATGGGAAAGGATCGCGGCATAGCGAGGTCGGTATATGTTGTAATGGTATCCACACAAATCGCAAGCGACAAACGATTCCTTTCTCGGAGACATTGTCCGCCATCGATTCAGACATTTGACATGCACGTAGGACATGCTTCCTTTACATTTACACGGTCGAATTAAAGGATTTTTCCGCCGGATTAGAGGTTTTTGTTGCAAATGAAGCAGTTGATGGTCTTGCCATCGTGTGGATGCAACGCGTATGCCAATGACGGCTTCCTCATCGTTTGCTATAAAGTGGTCACTGTCCTCATCATCGTCCAGCTCCGATTCGCCGCATATCCGGCACTGAGGTAAGTCGTCCGATACAGGCGCTGGATTATGTGTGCTGGATAGAGGTGGTAATGGTATGGTGTCTTGATGGGTTGGATCGGGCGCAAACGTGCTGTGGGCAGTATGATGATTGACCTGATCCATGTCGTGAAGAAGAGTGGTGGTTTCTTTGGAAATATTTCCAGCAAGGGGTAGTATGGCCATGGTACTTGCATATATGTACTGATCACTGCTGTAGGATTTCTTTCTGGGGTTCGAAGTAGACTCGGCAAATAGAGCGAGAACAAATAAGTGACGCCATGTGCCTATCCAAATTTAGCCAGGATTTTTTTTTTTCGCCGTAAAGGCGCGCATTGGTTTTTTTTATAGAGCAATCAGCGGTCCAAAATTTTTATTTAAGCGAGCATCTTGTGAGCGCATGGTCAGCCTTTCGTAATACAGTCATTTAAGAACATCAAGTCGCTGATTTTGAGTTCAATGTTGTGCAAAAAAAAAACTCTGCGTTCAAGAATAATGTCGGTTGATTCAAAAATAAGGTCGTGCTAACGTGTCACAAACTTCGTTTATTTTTTTACTCATTCATATCCGAGTAGCACAGAGATGGGTCAAACATTAATACGAGAATCCTGGAAACATCTTTTAGAAGGAAAAATAAGTCAGCTTGGCGTCGAATGCTTGTGGAAGAGTATACTAGTCTCTTCTAATTTATTGATGGAAGCCTTCTGCCGTTGTCAATGAAGTGGTGGAAAGTTTCAAACAGAGCGTTTCTCTTAGGACTGTTTACCACTTTATATGACAACTCAGTGTAATCTGTCCAATCAAGCAGGCATATTTTCATCCTGTGGAAAGGGACACTGAGGGTCTTGGGCCAAAAGTAGCGGCAAACCAACCCGGGATTTCACAACATTTAGTTGGGCATTAATCTGAACAGGGGTGTGGCTTGGACAAAGAAAGGCACTCCTGAAATGGTTACAGTGCTTACAACCCGAAAGCAATCGCACATCGATTCTAGGTGCAATATCCGCAAATGGCTTAATTAATGTTAACCTGTAAGTTCCAAAATTTATCAAAAAGCAAAATGAACGGAATCTATCATACCTTGTCATGGATAATGGTCCCATTCACAACGCAGCAGACAATGGTAAGTATATCAGTTCACAAGGATACAGGTTCATTCATATACCTTTCTTCATGTTCTCCCGAACTGAAATTCTGTTGAACAGCTCTGGTTAACAGTTAAAAGTAAAGAAAAGCGAAGTACAGTAAAGGAAAAAGGAATTGTTAATAACTGAGGATTAGTAGAATATGTGATAACTTGTAATTGGGTGATTTCTGTCGTATGTTTTGATAAATCTTTAATTAAACTAGAAGCTGCAACTGCCCCATTCCCCGAGAGTCAAACCAAAAAAAAAGGGACACGAAATTTAAAAGCAGTTCATAAAGGTAAAGTTTGTCGGTACTCTGGATTTCTCGCTTGAGAAAAGAAAAGAAAAGAAAGACGGGTGCAGCTGGGACCGTCAAGCCTAAAGCTGTGCTTTTCGGCAACTATTGCTTGGAGATGTCTCACACAGGAAGAGGAAACGATCGATAGTTCCATCATTCACCTTACATAAAACCACCCAAAAGCGAGGTGGCGCCAGTTTCTGATATGTATGTTGTAGGCAATCTTAATCGATTCAGAAAACATTTATGTTATGAAGTTTTTTAAGTTCTCTCTCCTTTCTTTTTTTAATTTTACTGCACTACCGGTAATTGCACACTTCATGTGCATTGCAGGCAATGACTTTGCCGTGATACCACTGGCCGGTAAAGCTGGTTGTTGTTTCGATGCCTTGAGCACGGTACGACAAGTGCTCTTATCATACCACTTCCCAGGGTATGATGCAAGCCAATCGAATGGCTTCAAATAGAAGCACTTAAAAATCAGCCTTAGACATGTTGGTTGGCCTTTTCTTTTTCTTTTTTTTTCTTTCTTTTTTTTTTTGGAAGCAATACAAAAAGAGCTATCAATAGGTCACGGAAAGATAAATTGAAAGATCAACGTGTTATAAACGAGAACGATAAAGGAACCTTGTTTGACTAAAAGTTTTATAAAAGAAGGGGCTACAGCTTATTTTACTGATTCATTGGCATTGTTTACCAAGGTTATCAACAATTTTCAATATCTTGCAATAGGGAATTCAGTGCACCATTTCGAACGATATTCAGCTGTTATTCATCATTCGCAAATAGATCCATGGTTTGTCGTAAATTTACCGTGCATCTCTTTGCTAGGATCAAGATTGGCCAGCAATTTCCGAGTTGTTTCTTTCTCCAAATATGCGTCGTTGCCTTTCCGGATGACTGCCATGGCCACATTTTGCATGAGTCTTCACCCAATTCGATACCCTGCATTGTCACTACCATTGTCCCAGTCAGCTAGAGGGAATATAGTATGGCCGTGTAGTAATATCGTCTGTGATGTCGTGCTCGGCACACGATATATGTTGATAGATAATGGAATCTTGTTCGCAATTGCCAAAGTTGATATAAGGCCATGGCGGTCGATTCTCACAACACGTCCTGGGGGGGGGTTTGGAAAAGCAGGTTGCCATGTGTTTTCACTCTAATCGTTGGAAGTAACGGGTCCGTGCGCTGGTATTGAACTTCATTCCTCCAATTTTTGGGGGAACATTTCGACATGGCTTCCTTGCTCGGAGAGAGGCACTTGGTTGCTGGCTCGAAATCGTGGCATCCGGTTCTTTCGTCGCAGGAACTTATCCGATTTTCCCAAAATGCGGCTTATTTCTTCTCGTATCTCGTAGCGGCAGGTGGAAGAGATGACGATGTCAATATGCTCTTTGCTGCGCGGAATGACTCCCCTTAAGAAATGGTTCGTCGGCGGTCATATTTTGATACAATTTACTAACAGAGCATGGCAGGTAAATGGGTCCAAATGATTGCACCCGCCAAGGCACGACTGCCGGCAAATCGCAAGTTTGGATGAGCATCCAATCCTGGTTCATAAAGCCGGTCATTTCCGGGGTCATTCAAGATACTTTGACTCTGAAACATAACGCCGCAGACACTTCGGGCCAGCGCTAATTGCACTGAACAAAGCGGCGGCAATGGAAGCGATGTATCAATCCTTCGATCGAATTTTTGTTCGCCAGGTATGACAGCTGATTTTCATCGTTCGCCGTTGATGCAACCAGCTTGCCTTTGTAGGTAAGTACCTCCGTTTCGTGCTGCTCGTCATCGATCATGGGCTGCGTATCCTATCAATTCATAAATAGGTGCACTCGACGTTTCTCGTTCTCCGACCGACGGATGGAACCGTAGCGTTCACTAATGCGCCACCGTAATACCTGACTGTCAATTCCATTTTCACGGACTAAATTGGAATGGCAAAATCGAAATCGCTGGCACCAGAAATTCATGGTCTTCCTTTGCTCATCTTCCAAGATGTCACGATACAATGTCTTGCGCAGTTCAGAATGTGTGGGCCTCCTATGTCGATTTCGAGATTGGTAGTAACTCCAAGCGGAGACATTACGTTGTCGTCGTCCATGACAAGGTTTTTATCGGCTGGTTTCAGTTCCTTGATACCGAATTTTCTCACAAATGATAGATTGATGATGCAAGGAGTGCATCCTCCGTCCAAGAATAGTTCGCAAGGCTGTCCGTTCACCCTTCCATTCGCCCTGGCCGTTTCATTGCCCTCGTGTGATATGGTCTTGTAGACCTCCTTCAATTGGTATGTGGGGATTAGTTCCGTATTGCTTTTACCGTGCCTTATCGTTTAGTGGGGCTTCGTCAAGGCAGCCTTGAGTTGTCCAAATAGGCATTACAGCTTGTAGAGTTGGACTTGCTGATTTGCGCCTTTTTCGTGTTTTGGTCAAGGCGCTGCCGCTTTGTTCCGTGATTTAAGCCCTTGATCGCGAAAATCGTCCCATGTTGTGATCTCGCTTTTCGACGATCTCTCCGCATCGTGCAGCTCCACCTAGCAGCCACGATTCAGCAATCATTGTCTGTTAATTAATCGGGCGCCTCGTTTTAGGATTCTGATGCTTCGTAAACAATCGGTGGGGTCTTGCTTGGTCGGGTTTATCCACAGAATGGCTGATTATCCGGCCTCTACTACTTCCCTCCCTTGAGCTTTGTTCTTCTGTTGGTTGCGTTTTGGCAAGGCGAGAACCGTGCCGCCGATGGCCACCCGCCGGTGCTTTGCCTTTGTCTTTTTTGCGCTGACTTTTTTTCCTGAACGTTGCAGCGGTGGCTGTTCGTTGGCTTGACACGTCTTGTTTGCTTCATTTCACCATCACGAATCCGTCGCCAAATACGTCAACTAGAGTTGAAAGGATTGATCTCGGTTTCATCTGACCAAATAACACGTTTCCAGTCATCCGTATTCCCGTTACGGTATTGATAACACCAGGCAAGTCGCTTCTTGGCATTTGCAGCAGCGATGTCATTTTTGCCACAAACAGAGACATCATTTATGTCATCATAAATAAAATGCGATGGAGCTGGACAAAAGTAATAGAATATTGATTAGGTGGGTGTTCGAAAACTGCATACTCGGAACTTCGTACATGCTTTTTGGATCCATTTGCGGTGATGTAAACTTTACTGTTATCACATAGGCACCGGAAACCCGAATCATCTCGCTTTAGACCCTGTTCAAAAAAATATAAGTGGAAAGGACAGAAAAACAAAGCAGGATTTCAACGACAAGAGTACCATTTTGGTCAATCGCAAGCGCGCAAAGGAAATGATATTCTTGTTCTCGTTGATCACATTTCTTTCTTTATCGAAAGATTCAAGGCATTGCTTGCAGCAGTATGTCATGCCGTACGGCTGAACAGAAGTGGAAATAAACAAGGTGACTTGTATACTGGCATTCACAGCCCAATGTTCAATCGTCGAAGGAACAGATGTCCCAAGTTGGTCGTAATTGGCGACGATCGTTCAGCCGAGTTGGCAAGCAGGATAATTTAATTGCCTGCGAAATTGACCAATTGTGAAAACACAGACGTTGCAACGCGAAGCAATAACTTTGTGGGAAACAACAAGGAAGAGAATGAGGTGTTTCCGTGACCGCCCACTGCAAACCTGTTCCTCTCCCCCTTTTTTTGTGTCTTAGCATCACTCAACGGAATCTCCGCCATCGCTCAACGGGTTCTCAAACGGAATCTCTCACTGCAACGGAATCTCGCCACCGCCCAACGGAATCTCCAACGGGAATCTCTCACTCCAACGGAATCTCCGCCAGCTCTACGGCTGACAGTTCAAAACCTTTTTTTCTGGCTGGCACAAAAAATGCCATGATTTCTCCCGGTTTAAATTCTCGTCTCATTATCAGATTCGGTCAATCCTTGGGCTTTTGTGCCTCGACTCCGTCTCGCGTGGAACTGTGGAGTAACCTAACGGTAGACCAGTCCTGGCACGCTTTTCCTTTTTTGACATGCGGCCCAGACAAACACACTTTGACCATCAGCACCGCCGACTTACCTGAAGGCGATTATGAATTTACTGCACGCTCATGGGATTCCGCCAGCCACCAATGGCATTGGTATGGTACGACAGACAACAATGGTCACGTCTATATTCGTCCATATGGCCCAAGCATTCAGCCTGAAGAACTGGCTCAGCTTGAACTTGTGACTCAGAAGCAATACGTTCAAACACAGCTCCATCACTACCGTGTGCCACTTGGGACCACTCACGTGGGAAGCATCGAAACGCAGCTACACAGCTACGTTGCCTTTGCTCGTAAAAGGTGAAGAAGGGATAGTATGGATCCAAAACATCGATAAAACATCATATTCATATTGATCATAGTTCTTGTTGGATGACGCCTATTCCGGGCGCAGACCGCTTGCAGCCGGATCAGCAAAAGTGGCAATTGCTACTATTTCAGGATCGTCGACACGGCAATATTCATGCATGGATAGCTGTCAGCATGCCTACCGTTGATCATTGGATGATCAGTCATGGAGATAATACACTGTCCTTGAACTGTGAAAACGGCCAAGGTCATTTAATCGTTGCCTCTACGACCGAACAGAACGTTTCCGGCTTGATGCGTGATTGTACGCAGTATATCTCAGACCACATTGTGCAATGCAAGCCAGATGGCTCAAACAAAACGCCTGATTCAGCTACAGCCAGTTACCTAGGCTACTGCACCTGGAATGCTTTTGGTCAGGGCGTCAGTTTCAATGATATATCCACTGCATTAGATGAATTGACTCGCATTCATGTCCCCATTCGTTACCTGGTGATTGATGATGGATGGCAATGCCACACCAACCGGCAACTACTGTCTATGGAAGCCGATTCTGAAAGATTTCCTTTGGGTCTCCAGAAATCGGTTAGCCTATTGAAGAAGAGGTTTCCCGGATTGCTGACTGTTGGTGTTTGGCACGTAAATGAACTTTGCCACAACGTAGATCCATCGTGGAAAATACTAATTTGTCTTTCCAATTAGACTTTGTGGGGTTACTGGCAAGGTGTACATGAAAGCCTGGCAGCACCCTACGGCCATGTGGACGTAGACTCTGTGGGCCTTGTCGATCACCCACATTGTTTCTATGAAGACTTTTACAAGTTTCTGACGCAAGCAGGCATACAGATGATGAAAGTCGATAACCAGGGCGCTTTTCAAGATTTGAATCTTCCATTTGAACAGAAGCAAGCACATTGGAACAAGTACCTTGATGCCATGGCACAAACGATTGAAAAATATGCGTTAAGCACGAATATCGTCCATTGTATGGCTTTCACACCTCATATTCTATTTCATCCCACATGCAAAGTTCCCCGCGTAATATTTCGGTAACATACCCTCGTTTCGTTAAACTTCCCATCATTTTTCCCTAACTTTCCCTGCAGTAACAGCGACGATTACTTCCCAGATGTGAGCGATAGCCATCCTTGGCATATTTACGTCAATGCTATGAACTCTCTGTGGACCAATGCTCTGGATTTAACCGCGGATTGGGACATGTTTCAATCGCGACATCCGTTTGCTGAATACCATGCGATAAGGTAAAAAGAGCCCCAGCGGTGTGTTCACGCTGATTTAAACCATTATTTTGTCTTTTACAGCCGTGCTATCTCTGGAGGTCCTGTATATATTACCGATATACCGGGTTATCATGATACTTCCATCTTATCACGCCTTGTGGCGACCTCTGTAGACGGCGAACAGACTTTGCTACGGTATCAACAACAAGCCCAGCCTTCTTTTGATACCGTATTTCATAATCCCATGCAACCTCCGTACCGATGCATTGAGTTATCCAATCAACACCGTGATCACTCTGACCAATGTTATGCTGTGGTTGGTTTTTGGAATCCAAGTGATACAAGGCAGTTCTCCCACCTTTCGCATCATGGTTCGGCACCAAACCAAGAGTTTATTGTTAACGTTGTTGCTGGTCATGACAAGGGGACCGTTACCAAGCTTCACATTGACGCTAACACGATTGGCGTAACCGTTGCCCCACTTGGCTGCACGATGCTTTCGTTGTGTCCCATTGCCACCCTACCTCACCTTTCCTTGTCCACGGCATGCCTGGGACTCGTTGACAAGTACAACGGTATCTGCGCTATTCAATCATCGCAATTATTATCTGTTACTGAGACAAAGGCCGAATTTCGTGTTCTATTGACCCACAAGAGCCAGCAGTGCGGCTTTTGGATTGATCTTCCGTGGAGTTGTACCCGAGTGGATTTCGGAGGCCAAATAGCGCCCACGGATTCATGGGTGTGGGATAATGCGCTTCGTGTCCTATTGATTGACATGACTTCTTGTTCTGCTTCAGCAACACCCTCTGGATCACTGTTTTTCGTCACATTGTCGTTAACGAAAGAAGTTCTTTTATAGAGCGCCAAGTCCTTCTCCGTCCAAAAATATCCCCTTTGAATAATTTTTTGTTGACATTCAGTGACATGTTTTTGCGAATATAAACTGCAGACTCGCAGCTAGGCTCAACTATTGAATGATTTTCGACAAAGCCGAGGGTGCTTCGGTTGAAGGAATGCGGTGCTATTTCATTTCGGAATATGATACATACGATTGATTTCTATACTGTATTTATGGACTTTAGATGGGATATCAGAAGTTGACGAGGACTCAATCCGAGATATGCGCTCATCAGGACATAATTAGCGTGGTTCATACAGCTATTCGAAAATGATAAGATCAGCGTTTTGATAACATCTCGGTAATCGGACAAAGGAAACATTACCGTAATATAACCGTCATCGCCTCCGGCGGCCATGACCATTAAGTTTGGATGGAATGTTAGTGCTCGTGTAAATGCGTTCTTTTGACCTAGGAAACCAGAGGACGGTCGGATCGTAGACAATCTTGTGCCGTCGACATTCCATAATTTGATGACTTGATCATCGCCAGCCCTAGAACAAAATAAAAGGCTTGTCATTAAACGACTCATGCATTTTAAAATAAAGTGATGGAGGTAGTTACGTTGCAAAGATAGGGCTATGGTCATGCACCGCCAGAGCTGTAATATCTGCGTAAGTGTGAGCTTGGATTGTTCGCAATGAATTCGGTTCTCGAATATCCCAAATGCGAATATCGCCGCCGAATCCACCGGAGATCAGCTCGCGATTGCCATCGCGTTGCAAATGCACACCAGTGACCCATGCTTTATGCTCATCCCAGCGTTGTACCATTCTACACAATCAAAAACCCGTCAGCCATTGGATTCTCTTCCAACAAATATGATGGCAAGGCACGTACGCTGCACTGGACTTTAATCGTCGATCATACACGCCAATAAGACCGTCACCGAAACCTGCAACAATTATATTGCCGTTGACCTGATCGCTTGTAATGCTGGTAACACATCCATTTGATTGCGTCGCAATATCCTACACAGAAAAAGGTTAAGAATACGAAGATCAATGCATCTCTGAGCAAAAAGGGCTAGGTATCATACCATAATGGACATTTCCTGATGAGCATCCCATAACTTGATTATACGTGCATCCCCTCCTGTGGCGAGTGTACCGCGTCCTTGATGCCAATCGCAAATCAAACCGCTTTGTCTTGAACTGCTCTTCTCCATGTCTTTTAAAGCACGCCAGGAGCTCACCAAGATGGCGTCTTCCTGATCACTGCCATCGTAATTCTTGTATATACGAACCACACCGTCATCTGAAGCTGTGAGTAGTAATGCAACATCGTCTTCATTCAGGAATTTTAAATCCGTGATACGACTGTGAGAAGGGTTGTGATTATCAATGACACTGAGTGGTGTTCCCGTTTTCCAGTCCCACACCCTATGCAAAAAGAATGAATGTAAATTGGATTGGCCTCCAATCGTCATCAACCATATCTTACACTAGACAATTGTAAGCATCAGCTGCGACGAGATGCGGCTCAAATTGATGCAAAAGTAATTTTGTCGCCTCTGTCTCGTTATAAATTGATATAATCTGGTCATCCCATCGACTTCTCGCTAAAAATCCAAAAGATCGTCAGCTTTCCACATTTCAATGCTGTCCCTAAGAATTTAGTCCTCTTACCTGCCATGGCTTTGGTGGCATTCGATTCGTCAAGAATTTTTTCATTGCGCGCACGCCGCCACTTTCGTTGGGTATACACCACACTGCCTGGCTCGTCGGACTCAGCGGCCTGTCATTGCACAAACAGTGGGTTAATAAAAGTGCTTCACGAAGATATCCATCAACAGGCTACTTACGCGCATCTGGGGTTCGGTAAAGTACTCACAGCTCCAATCATAGAATTCCGATGCCAATGGAAGTACATGATCGGCATCTGGATTGGTGGTATCACGATCAACGTGCGATGTGGAGCTTCGGGATGGACTTGTCGGTGACGTTGGTCCATTTTTAGGTGGATGACGATGACCTAAAGATGCAGTCGCACCCGATGCGCGAGCATGATCGTTGTGCAAGCGTGGATTAGGCGGATGAGAGTCGGTGGTAAGAGAAGAGTTGCTGAAATTATAAATGGTACGCAACGTAGATGCAAAAGAGACCGAACGCGTCAGTTTGGCGGGACGGCGTGAGCTGGTCGCTGCGCTGGCTCGGTCATCATGGGTATGGAAGGATTGCGAGCGATCCAGGGCGCCGCTCGTCGCATTCTCTTGCACGGCTTGTTGCATCGATTCACGGATAATGTTGGAAGCATATTCACCAAAAGATGGGGTATTGAGCAACTTATAGTTGATGTGATCCACAATCACCGAAGCGGCTTTGGCCACATCCGGATGAGGATCTACAGACAAATTCAGTAATGCTTTCCAAATCACCGTATACACCGAATCATAGCTAGAAGATCCGAAATCCGAATCGCTGTTCGATCGCCAATCGCCTGGACGACACTTTGCGAATTTGTTTCGGTCATCGCCAAACACGGAACGCTGGGACTGATCCTCTTCAATGGTCTGGCTAGCGGCGGCCAAAAATTTGGTCAATCCGGCCTGATGCACAATGTGGGACAATGCGGCAACAAACTCCTTGCGCACAATAGGCGATCCATCCGACATCACGACTAAAGCGGAGATGGCGATGTTGTGCTCGATATTCACAATCTGCTCGGTCTTGTTGGGATCGCTCAAAAACGTTCCCAAGGCATACATGGCCGAAGCGCGTACTTCCGGAACGCTGTCGGAAAGCATGGCGCACAGCTTTTCATGACCATTCTCGGTAATGGCGGCGGACTTGGCTTCGCTGTTGTTCATCCACACTTGGGCAAGACACAAGCAAACCCATTGACGCAAGAGCGGATCGGGGTCCTTCACGTGGGCAAGACATGCCGAAATGATGTTGCTCCTCAGACACGCTTGCTGCCCCATTTTGAAATTCGTGCAAAACACAGAAAGGATAAACGCGCTCATGGCTCGGTGCTCCGAAACGTGGGGAATGCTCAGCATGGCGTTATTCGGAGTCAAGATATTGATAAAGTAAGCATAGCCGTGATCTTTCAAAAGATCATTTTGACACGAACGATCCACCGCAAGGATGCGGGCCCAGATAAACACAAGCACAGGCTTCAGCTCGGCCGCCGGACTTTGGAGCAATTTCAGAACGTAAGGAAAAATGCCAACCGATAAAGCAGCATTTACGGCCCACGGTCCCAAATCCAGGAACCGACTCAGCAGCATCAGTGCACGCAATCGATGTACCTGACTTAGTAGCACCTGTAACACGATGGGCAATTGTTCCGGAATTTTAGGATTGACAGCACCTTCCGACAGCCATACTTCGAACGCGGTAAGTTGTTCAGCAAAGAATGTACTGGATTGATACTGGTACGCCGGCCCTCCCGCTTCAGCAGCCAACAGAGCCGGTAATTGAAACAAACACATATCGACGGCCAGATCCCAGGCTTGCCACATTGGATGATCATGGGTATTCGGCAGCTTTGGAGTGGACATTGGCGTACATTGATATGACCGCAAGATGCGTTCGGCAAGAAGGAAATTTCGGAACATGGAAGCGACGGTTAAATCTTGACGGAAGAGTCGTTTAAATAATTCAGGTTGATCTTGCAGAACACACCAAGCAATGGTATCAGTGACGGCGGTAAAGATCCAGTTGAGTTCACCCAAAGGCGTTCGTCGTTCCGCGGCGCGACCGGGTAATCGCATGACCATGTCTTTGGTAATATTGTTCGTCAACAACGGATTCCGCATGACTACCCAGCGTAAAGACATCTCAATGGGGGTGGTTAAACAGGCTGTAAATACGTCTGCAGGTAATTCGGGGTTCATGGGAAGGGTTTCGGTAGGACCGCAAGCGGCCAGCTGAATGCAGTCGCGCCAAGAGGAAGAGGGCATTTGTCCTTGGTGTTGCTGAGCCATTCTCATTGTTTCGTTATCTCGTTGTTCGGCGAAGCGGTTAAAAGCGTTGACGATATTGCCTGCGGATGAACAATCCCAGACGTATATGACGGGCGATCCAAGCCATGACTGCAGATCGAACAATGATACAGGGATATACTGTGTGTAATGACGATTGAATACCCATATTTCTCCACTGGCGGTTGGTTTAGGCACACCGTGGCCGTTGTAATGGAATAAGATGCGCTCTTCCTTGGCATTCCGTCTCATCTGACAACACACTTTCTTTGTTTCTTCGACAGAAGGATCGAGCGATAATTTGAAACGCGTTCGACCGTTGATGTTCTCGTACTGTTGATGAAGGTTTCTTCCAATTGCCTCGAGCGATTTGGTAGGAACGAGAGCAAAAGGATCGATCCAGCATTCTAATTCAGCGCAAGGACTGGTTTTGACAATATCCGGTGGATCGGTGCCGATTCTCAAACACACAACAAGTAAACCTAAGACAAAGAGTTAGTACTGGCTTGCAACTAAAAAAATGCATCGTATTCACCTGACACCGTTTTGATTCTCTCTGGCAAGCGCTATTGCAATGGTGGTTAATTTCCAGCCTCATTCCATGGAACCAATACGAAGAGAATCTGGTGAACCTACCCAGTCAAGGAGTGCATTTCGTAGTTCGGGATTGGCAGTGGCGTGGGTATTGTGACGTTTTTCAGAAAAATAGAGAAAGCGAATAATGTCTTCTCCGTAGAGTTCTTGGTCGAAACCGTGTCGAACAGTGGGGTTCACTTGACTAGAGGCGGGCATGTCGACGGTGGAGGATTGTCTTTCTGGATCGGATTCGGCTCTGGCGTTGTTCTCGCCGTTCACGAGTGTACTACTCGTACTTCTCGTACTTCGTGCGTCCTCGTTATTTGCGTCGGACGGAGTAGATTGCGTTGCTGTTGGCATTGCAATGGAGAAACTAACAAGTCGAATTTTGGGTGAGCCCGCGTGACAGGTGGACGGCAGCAATGACTGTTTCACTTATTTACCGAAATTACAAACGAAATTTACGGCCACTAAATAAGCAATGGAGAAAAAAAAAAGGTGATACGGCGTTGGTAGAACGGAGAAAAGAGAACAACGCAAAAAAGTAACAGGACGAGGAAACTGCGTATACGCAGGTGAGAGAGAAACAAGAGCGCGAAAAAGTTAAAAAGAGGAAACACCGAAGCAGAACTGTAGGCAGACATGGTCTGGGTTCAACTGGGTTGAATTTTCTCGCACAAAGTTGGACGTGACGTCTGAAAAATTACCTTTGATTCTTCCCTTACCTTTTTTTTCTTTAAACTTACTTATACCAAGTCTTTATACTTCACCATGAGCGACGATGACGATTTTATGTTGGAGGACGACGAGCAAGTAAGCGAACAATGAAAACAAGCCGTGGGCGGTCGTCCGCGCCATCTCACTGACTATGCAAATCGACGTGTATTATGCTTAGGATTACGATTTTGATTATGATGTTGACGACGACGAAGAACCCGATGTCGATCTCGAGAATAAATATTACAATGCGAAAGGTCGATAGCCTTATTCAACGGAATGAGCGGATGTATGATGGTTGACCGCTTTAGTTTTTATACAGCTCGCAAGGAAGACGATCCGGAAGGCGCGATCTCTGAGTTCCAAAGTGTCGTCGACACGGAAGAGGAAAAAGGCGACTGGTATGAATACTGTTTGCACTTGTGTTAAAACATGTCAGTACTAAGAGTAGGGCAGGGGGTTTAAAGCTTTGAAGCAAATGGTCAAGACAAGCTTCCAGCTCGGAAAACATGACGATGTGAGTGGGTTCAAAGACAGTGCCGTGAGATCCGAAGAACTGAATTGGTTTCTGCTTTAGACGTTGCGATATTATAAGCAGTTATTGACCTATGTTAAATCGGCGGTCACGCGCAATTACAGCGAAAAAAGTATTAATAATATTTTGGATTACACGGCTACAGCGGATAACATGGCGTTCATGGAGACTTTCTACCAAATAACGTTGGATTCGTTGGTGGAGACCAAAAATGAAGTATGCTCGAAAAAAAATCTCCCTTCAATGTATCATGGACAGCTTCTCATCGTCGCACGTTGTTCTAGCGTTTATGGGTGAAAACCAACCTCAAGCTGGCAAAACTATGGCTGGATCGGCATGAGTATAATCGACTGAATAAGGTAAAGAAGGGCTATGCGCAAAGATAAAGAGACATGGAAAGAGAAAATGGGCGTGTATGACATCAATTTTGCTCACGATGGTAATAGATTCTCCGACAATTACATTCTGCATGCCAAAAAGATGATGGCACAGATGACCAACGAAAAGGCACACAATTACTGGAAGTGCTGGCTTTGGAAATCCAGATGTACACCGAAACGAAGAATAACAAGAAACTAAAGGTAATACCCATTTTACAAGGGCATGTATACTGGCTATCTCACTCATCGATTCAATCTCACTTTAGGAACTTTATCAACAATGTTTGCACGTAAAATCCGCTATTCCACATCCTCGTATCATGGGTGTCATCCGTGAATGTGGTGGCAAGATGCATATGAGTGAAAGTAAGTCCGACACCCGCCGAGCCATCGTATCAATCGAGCCTTACTTTATTCATATTTACTCGGTACATGCTTTCAGAACAATGGGACAAAGCGCAAACAGACTTTTTTGAATCGTTCAAGAATTACGACGAAGCTGGCAGTCCCCAGCGTATTCAAGTACTCAAGTAAATGTCATTGTTCTTGAGAATCTTACCACACTTGCGCTTAACGGCAATGGCATAGGTATCTCGTGCTAGCGAATATGTTGACCGAATCACAGATCAATCCGTTCGATTCTCAGGAAACGAAGCCGTAAGTGTCAACTGCATTGACCAGCTGGAAGACCATATTGCGCATGAATCTCATGCAAAACGGTTAGATATAAGAATGACAAAGAGATTGTGGCTATGACGAACCTCGTAAGCGCATATCAAAAGAAGGAGATTGGAGAATTCGAGCGGATACTGCAATGTGCGTAAGGAACACATCAGTCGCACACAAACTGGATTACTTATTTCGTCCCTTAGCCCATCGAGCCACCATTGCGGGTGATCCATTCATTCGCGCATACATTGACGACGTTTTGAAGAATATCCGCACTCAAGTAGTCTTGAAGCTTATCAAGCCATACACTCGGATAGAGCTTGGCTTTATTTCAAAGGTAAGCCGTATATAATTTTGTTATCCGCGATGGCCCGTGTCTCACATCTCACGGTTTGGCAGCAATTAAATATACCAGTAAAAGATGTGGAGGATCTGCTTGTCAACCTTATTCTAGATGAAAAGATTTCTGGACGTATTGATCAAGTGAATCAACGACTAGAACTGGATCGAAGGTACGCTCTCTGCCCATCTCCATTCCTCCATTGCAGCTAATGATTTGATATCTTATGGGTTTCTTTCACTTGTTGTAGGGTCACGGATGCGTTAAAGTACGAAGCATTGGATACATGGTCACTCAATGTTTCCAAACTTTGCAAAACCGTCATTGGCAAAGCGACTTGAATATAATATCCTTCTCCTTACCGTGATCAAACATGAAGCAATTTATTCACTAGCTTGACTCTTTTATTTACTTGGCATCCTTAAAATCCAAAGTTATTGTCTTGATTATAACCCAAGTCACTGAGGGCGGTGAGCAATTGCAAACGGGCGGTTTTAATATCGTCATAGTTTAATGCGCTGATGGCCCATTTAGCATGTTTCTGTGCGGCTGCAATCGCGGCAGGATCCGCCATTGGTGGCAACGCCGCTGCTTGCGCGGTATCCGGATGAAACGTGGTGGAGGGTGGAGCGGGGTTGGGGGGTGGTATGGGCGTCACACTGACCTGAGGCGTCGGCGGTGGTGGCGGTGATACATTGTTATTGGGGGGTGGAACAGCAGGCGAAAACGGAGCCTGCGAAGACGCCGGTGAATGAGACGGCAAAGGTGCGGTGAAGTTTGAAGGAGGACTGGGAAAGTCTGAGATGGAAGGCGGAGGAGGAGGAAAAGCAGGCGCATTCAAGTTATCGTGAACCGTGTCCTCTTGCATAGCCTCAGTTGGAGAACCGGATGGCTGCTCAGGGTCTTCCATACCTCCGGGAGGACCAGGTGTAGGTGTACGTCCTTCACGTAATGCCTTCATAATATCGGTTGCCTTCCACTTGGCATACTTGATCTTCGCCTTTGTCTAAACGATGAAAGGTTTCACGGTATCAGGCACTGGCACGATAGTGGCCGTAAAAAAACGGTCGTCATGACGGAATCCACTATACCTCTGCATCCAAATCGCCAAAACACTTTAATAGTTCCAAAAAAATGGACGCTGCCAAGAAGGTCTTGGCAGTTTTTCTAAGTGAAATCGACGCAGTTGGTTAGCCTTCTCTCCAAATCTCGTTATGAACGGTGCTCACTTTGACGCTTTCCCAGCACGATCTTCATTGTCCGCATTCAAAAAGACTTTAAGCGCGAAATTCTCGACGTGAGCATAGCCCACCAGATCGTCTGTTATGGCTTCGTTATTGGCTCCCAGATCTTGTTTGCGCTAATCAATAAAACGCCCATGGTTACCGAAACAAGACGTACGTTCATTACTCCACTGCGAAATACCTGTTCCAGCGTATCCAGCAGATGGGACAGATATGCATTGGTTGAGGGACTCCTAGGGCCGGTGCCTATGGCCAATTTAGCAGCGTAATACTGAGCTACAGGAAAAACCGCAGAGCGTGAGCTTCATCGTGTAGAAGAAGAGTCGTGAGTTAAAGCTACCGTAATAAGCAACGACAGGCTCTCTTTCCTGCAGTTCTTGTCCTCTTTGAACATAGGGTGCAATATATTTCAATTCAGAGGGAATGTCCATTCTTTGAAAGGAAAAATGGGCTCGTGAAGGAAATGAAAGAAAAAGAGCTGAAACGCTTTTTCGCCAGTCGCCCTGCATTGGCCATCCGTACTCCAAATAAGGCAAATTTACTGCCTGAGATTGATGAAATTTTCTGAACATCCTCATGGTCCGCTTATCATCGTCAACAATACAAGAAAAAAAAGGGGGCATAATCGGGTATGTTTACCCATTGTCCTGGTTCGTTTCTCTTAATGATTTACTTTTGAAAAGAAAAAAACGAAATTACAAGCTATGCAGAACGAATCAACGTTTTAATGACGGCGAGACTCGGCAATGACAGCTTGGAGCTCATCAATCTTCTTCTTGGCACGGAGGAAAGTTCCGAGTCTCTTCTTGGTAAGCTTCTTGGCACGCTTATCCTTGGAGTTCTTGATCAATTCCATGACACGACGTTCATAAGGAGCAAAGCCAGCAACTTCACGGACGATGCTCTTGACAAAGGTAGTACGCTTGGAGGCGGCCTGAAAATTTGAATAGAAATACGTTAGCAGTTGTCATTTGGCCATCACCATGAATAACCCCCAATTAGCCAGCTTCACGAAGCCTCACTCCAACTCTGTTATTGTCTCTCCCAAAAGCAAGGTCAAATTCTCCACAATGCATAAATCGCAAAAAAACTGCGGTATACAGCATGTCACGTTCGTCGACGGTAGCGCATAAAGAATAGAATCATGATTCGAATCGAGTAACTTGACCATGCCAATGAATTGTTCCTATTTGTTCATTTCGTCCCACTTCCGACTCCCCCACCCATTTTCCATCTGAAGCCATCCGTTGCATCCAATATCCATCAATCAAACTACTGTAAAGATACATACACCCTTGCGGTAGGAAACGGTAGGCTTGAGCTCACGACGGGTGACGATGTGTCCCTTGTTGAGACCAACAGCGATGCCAGACTTGGAAGCAGCCATTTGTGATGTGATTCGGGAAAGAGGGCGCATCACACATGCTCAAACATCCCTCTTTTGCATCGCAATCGGGCCCGGCCCGGCCCATATCTGAAATTGAAAAACGCAGTCAATCTCAACCAAATGGCTAAATTCAAATACCGCTCAGCCGAACCATAGCGGAGATTGTATCAGTCCGTGAAGTCACCTTTACACCACTGAAGATTTTGGCCGTTCAGACTCGATTGTCATGAATTACCTTGGGATTGCTGCTCGTAAGTCCATGTTTTATTCGGTACTATTGTACACGTCGTTCCAAAGGCCAATGTTCATGTGGATAATCTTCATAAATTATCAGCTAAATTGCGGTTGTTAACACCATGGGAACATATAACAGATGGATTATCTATCGTGCGAATTTGGTGGGTGAGCTTGTTCCACATCTTCCTCCGTATTATTGGACTAGTTATTTTCCTTGTCAATCTGTTGTTCGACTGTGTGCGTGTCATATCTTTTGATGGCATCGAGAAGTACAAGGTAACAAGTTAACAAATTTAAACAAGAACTAACAAATTTTCGCACGAAATCACAAGAACCAGCAAACTCATATTTTTTCGCTTTCTTTTATATTTTTTTAGGTGGATTATTGGCTACATCTAGAAGTTCCACGCCACAGCAGCAACTAGATGCTATGACGCGTTGTGCGTCTTGTTGCACGCCCTCTTCCTCTTCCTCTTCCTCTTCTTTCGCCTCGACCTCGAGGTACTCCTCGTGCTTGATCAGTAGTACACGTTTGCTGACCAACCTCGACTTCATCGCCAAAGGGCCTCAAAACACTCTCTGCCCTGGTCCCATCTCCATTGCCTGAACTTCTTTTGAGTGTACCCAGAGTAGAGAATGATCAGAACGCAGATACCTCGTGAATATCTATATATACCTGTTCTGGCGAGCATGATCTTGTGGGAGATGGAGATAATCAAACCTTCTGTGTTCTTGCTGGCGCTGTTGCTTTCTCTTACGTTTCAAGGGGTTGACTTGTTGTTCCACCCCTGCTTCGTCAGCTAGTGACCTTCGCAGCGGTTGAGCGAAAGTCGAAACTCCTCCTTGGCTATCTTCTCAAACCTTTCTATGGCTCGCTTTCGCAAGCCTACCGGGTCTTTACTCCAGGACGAAGTGAGCGAAAGACCTTGACCGTGCATTTTATCTTCCATGTAAAGGCGACACTACGCAATAAATGCGTGGACCAGTCGTCTCGGTAGACGCGCGAGTAGTCTTCGGCAATCCCGAATGCTGACATAGATTTTCCTCATTGAGCCGATTTGTAGGCAATGAAAATGTGTCCATCGGAATGGCGAAATGGCATATCATGAGCATGTGCGAAAGGTTAAAAGAGCGGAAAATTAACTGAGGGCAAAAATCGGTCAGCAACATTTTACACAACAACGACTTTGTCTTTCGTTAAGGCGTTCTTCAATTCGCTCGAATCTGTTTAAGGTTTCTTGCATAATCGGGTGATAGTATACCTATATGCTGTCTCTTAATCTCCTACCCTTCCAAGCAATTCCTTTCCAACCGGACATTTGTTTTCTTGCAAAGCAAGGTGTTTATTAACCAAAAAAAAAAAAAACGTCACTCCTCCATGGCGGAGGAGGAAGAGAAGAAAATGGGAAGAGCAGGAGCAGCAGGAGGAGGAGGAGGCCGGAACGGCCCACCAAAGACAAAAGGTGGCACCTCTTGGTTCTGCCCCGTGACGGGGACAGACGAACCGCAAAGGGGAGGCCACCGGAAGCGAAGGACCAGCAGAAACGGAAGGACGAACAGAAAATGCTGAAACTCTCGGGGCAGGGCCCCCGACAACTGTCTGGTGGTTCAAGGCCGCCTGTTGGCGGCGTCTTCTACGTTGTCTTCTACCACCTCGTCGTCGGCGACGACGACCGGCCTAAAAAGAAATAATCAACAGTCAATAGTCAATTTCATTGATATCTGATGCATCCATAAGATACCAACCAAGGCTTGCTGCTGTTGCTGTGGGGTTGCGGTTGCGAAGGAACACCCGCGAAAAAGAATTTAGCATGACTAATAGTAAAACTCATTTTGATAGTCGATCTTCATTGAAAAATGAAGTGGTTTTTATATTGAAGGAAAAATGCTCCAAAAAAAAAAGCCGGTTAAAGCTGCATAAAAATAAAGCTCTAAAAGTAGCTTGACCACTTTGAAAAAATAAAGAGCACACACAAATGCATGAAACAACGAGAAATGTCGCCAGATCAGCTACATAGGTGAAAGCATTCACCATTAGATCACCGAAAACTGAAAAATTAATAGGACACACATATGATGCTACGAAGACGACCTCTCGCCCTCATTGAACTTTTCCATATCTTCCATCCAACATTCTTGAACAAATATGATATCAAGCGTGGTAGCAACAAATCACAACTCCCAAGATCGAACGCGAATCAGCTTGTGGTCGGGCTTATTTTTTCTCTGGCGTCCTCTCCTGTGTCCTTTTGGTCGGATGTCTGGCTTTTTTATGTGGTTCCTCTTGTCGTCCCTGGGTGTTTCTTGGTTTTTCCTCGCCTCTCCTGGGCGGTTATTGCCGTCCTCCCCAGGATGCGGACTTCTGGGAGTGGGCGACCTCTACCCAGAGGTTACGGTAGGTTTTTCAATGAAGTGAAAGCTGTATAATTTTACTGACGACTCTCGTTTTCTTTGTTTTCTTTATGTCTTCTTCTCTCCCTAATATGGTCATTTTCCAACTCGCGAACTAATTATCTTTTATTTGTCTATGTTTGATTTACTCTCATCATTTGATGTTTATACTTTTTTATGTCTTTTTTCTCGTATTGCCATTTCTCTTTTTTTGTCTGTATCATAATTTGCATTTTTTTTTTTGGTAATTTTCAAGTTCCTACGGTGACTTTTGAAATAAACAGTATGCTTATTGAGATTGGCAGCCTATTTACCTGGCAACGCATGGCTTAATAAATTTTTGTGGAGTGGATAAATAAGGAGGAATATATAAACAAAGCCTCATTTATTCAGTAGCGTATTCGTATTTTAGCAAATTGTAATGCAACGGTTCATTGATATCACTGGGTCAAGGAAATTGATCCTTCGCTCACATAAGTTTTTCCCGGACCTGTTCGTCCCATTTTCATAAGATGCAATTTGTCAAGATGAGCCACGCCCAAATCAAGATGACTAAACGATTTCATAATAGGTCTTGCATCAAACGGCTGTCTCTTCTCATCTTTGGATGCGCCGCTGGAGGAAGCTCGGTTGCTGGTATTGATCAATGTAGCGTGGAGCTGGCAAAATAGCAACCAATATATAAGTCACTGCCCATTGGTTGAAAGTGTAAATGAATAAAATAAGACTTTACCTTGAGCGGTCGGGTATCTCTGACCATGAAACCTTCTTCTACCATGGCATCAATGATGGCCGCTGCAGCATATTCCTTTTTAGTTTATTTTTCACGGCAAGCATAACGGTCATTTTTTAACTTACTGCACACATCCTTTAAAACCTTTTCCTGGGTCTCATCATGAACCTGGACGTACAAAACATGTGCATCGGCTTATGAACAAAAAAAATGATGAACAACAAAGGAGATCGTTTAGTGTTGGTCAGAATTTTTCGGATTGCTGAACTTACCTTGATTTGTTTGCATTGTAGCCAGCTGTTTTAAATGCACGGACAGCAATTTCTTTTGCAGAATGTTATCAATGACACCAGGGATTGTGTCTTTGAGGAAACGGACGGCTTTTTCAATTTCAGCTTGATTCAGCAACTTAAACACGCCGAGAGTAAGATGCAAATTGGCAGATAAAACCATGATGGAAGGATCGATGCCTTTGCATTGGAAAGTAGAAGACAATACGGATGATTGGAACTCGCCCAGTTTGCGCGTAATAAGAGGAGAAGACAACGGGAATGACAGAAAATGGGTGGGACGTGCGCGATCATATGCCTTTTTTGTTACCGCTGGCATCAGCCAAACCATCGGTCACTCAGTTCGAATGTCATATGGACCTACCTTTTGAATCATATCTTCAATGGCTTCAATAGCCTTGGTCACTTTATCTTGGGTACCTTTAATCATGACAGTATCCTTGCCCTTGGTGATATCAATACGAGTACCGGTCGCTATTTTCAATTGTTTAAGAGTGCTTCCGTTCTTTCCTTTATCGGTTTTTGAAATCATCGTCAGTTGGCGTGACAAAAATGGTTTGTATGGCGACTTACCAATGAGCGATCCATGGAAAGCACGATTGACAGGATGATGATAAGTGATTATTTCCTCCGTATAGATTGTGGAATCGGCTTCATTGTCGCTGTTAGTTGAAGCCGAGGACTCTATGTAGGAGAAATGAGTGTGAACTATCCACAAATCAGTTTGGTAGTAGTGCATACGTGGTCTTGGTGGGGATTCGCTCCGTGTGCGACGAGGAGCTTTGAGCGATTCTGTCGATACACGATATGTTCGGTTCTGCACTTTGACAAGCGATACACCTTTTATGGCTTGAATAATGCCGGACTTGCTTGAGCTCATCGTTAGCAGCTTTAATGATAGAAGGCAAGAAAGCACAAGCCACACTGACGCTTTGACAGAAATTAATGTTGGCAGTGTTCGATAGGATATTTTATCCAGCCTTCAGCTTTTGGAGTATTGATGCGAACTTGGGAGAGTAGCCAGGAAAGAGGGTAACACGGCCCATGACAGGCTCTAACGCCTTCACATAATGAGGATGAGACATGCAATATTTGATAACTGACATTCTCCCAACATGGATTTCAGTGGCGAACACTTGTATCGGACATCAGATGTGCAACTTTTGTTTCACCATAGAGCTGCACAACCGTGTAAGGAGGGCATCCGGCAGAAACTTGGATGTCAGAATCAATGTATCAATCAGTCCTGTGAATTTTGTGCAAGAACAGCCTGCACCTGTGTTATTTAACGTTTGCATGAACCCAAGCGGGGTCAGAAGCGACAGCCGTCCTTCATAATTATCATCATTTTCAGAGGATTTTATGGCCCAATTGTGGTAAATGTTCATGAATCAGACGTGCCGATTGAAATTGATCACTTGATCCTGTCAGTATTTTCGAAATATACCCAGAAAGTGTTGTTTACCATGCCTTGTTGGAGTGGAAAAGCTCCCAGGTCTTGTCCTGCGTCGCATTCTTTACTAAATGGTATACAGCAATCATTTATTCTCGCATTGGTTTCTTGCAAAAAATGATATCAGAACAAGAGACGTAAGGAAGAGAGGTGTATTAATGACTGGTTGTGGAAAACATTCTTTTGACAAAAAGCTGTCGGCAACGACTTGGAGAGGTTTCTCTGATGGCAATTCCTTATATCCGGCATGAAAAAGATAACCAAGGAGTTCCTCATTCGCAAATACGCTACGACTTTCATCAGATTTATGAAGCTGTAAGGTAGCGTTGGCATTTTGAGCAAGTGTGTAACCTAAATTGCTGACTATGGCTGTACTTCTTATCAACTCGATGATTGTAGTACAAGAGTTAAGCATGCATTGCAAGCATGACCAACACCTGTGTTCACAATGCAAAGCTCTTGGAGACTGATAGGTTTAATCGCTTTTGATCGTTGGCTAAGTCCAAGCAAGGCATTTCGCATCAAGTCGATTAGTTCAATTAATGCGGACCTCAACGCGTGCCTGTTTCTCTGAATTCTCGAGCGAATCTTTGTTAGGTTGCTACAAATACCAGCCGATACTTTTACAGAGGTTTTCTGGTTACAGTGACCGCACCAAAATAGGGCACGCAAGCGTGTGAGCTTCGGGAACTGATGCCGCAGACGAATTAACGTATAACGTCAGTATTGTTGCGAGGAAAAGAATAAAAGGCAGCAAGGCAACTACACAATATGCGTATTTATTATTTTCAACCATTAACTACAAAAGCATCGTCGTAGAAGTGGGTAAAAAGTGTGAAGAGGCAGCAAATCCATGATTTCCTGATTTTCTTTGGGACAGTCACTAAGAATTTGCACTCAGGGCACACGCGAAAAAAAAAGAAGACTGCGACGATTCCTGCCACGCAGATATATCATTCCAAACACTATATAGAAAATGCAAGCTTTACGACGTGCTGCATTGGTTCGATCTGGGCAATTCAAAGTAAGATTTTGTATAGAGAGAAATAGAGGATTGAGAGTCTGACGTGTGGGCATTTCTTCTTTTTTCAAGGTGTCACCTTTGAGAACAGTGACGACGACTCGCTTTGTCAAATATAAAAAGGAAACAACGCCTTCTTCAACAACGGGCGATGCAAAGAAAGTGATTTCCAAGCCAAAGATAATAAAGGATGAAGCGACATCGGTAAAGGAAGAATTACCTTTGAACAATCTGGAAGTGGATCCTGCCGCAGCACTTGACGCAGGCACCAGTTACTTTCCGGTGTCTGAGAGTTTCGACAACCCTATCGAAGGTTCCGAAGGTCATAATTGGTCAGTGTCTTTCCATGGCCTGTCGACGCAGCCTTTTTCGAAGGATATTGCCGACGTTTTGATGCAACCTGTCAATCCTGAAGATATCGAAATCAAACCTGGTAATACATTCACTGGCAACCTTTTTTTTTCTGACCGTACGTCATGTTGTGTTATCTGACAATTCACGCTTTGATTTCATTGCAGATGGCCTCATTTATCTGCCCGAAATCAAGTATCGACGTATTCTCAATAGAGCGTTTGGCCCTGGAGGTTGGTTTACATTCATACACAATTAAGGTGACAAAAAAGCTCAAATAGTTTTATTTTAGGATGGGGACTTGCTCCTCGTAGCGAGCATTCTATTTCGCCAAAGAACATCTCCCGAGAATATGCATTAGTATGCCATGGACGGTAGGTGGCAGACATCAGGTGGTTTACATTCATGCGCCATGATCTGATATTTTAATGGACAGATTTATTTCACAAGCCCGGGGTGAGCAAGATTTTTTCGATGTCTCCGGATTACCAACCGCTTCAGAAGGATGCAAAAGTAATGCGTTAATGCGATGCTGCAAAGATCTTGGTGTGGCATCCGAATTATGGTATGAGAAAAATCCGTGGAAACAACCATGATTCATAACATGACACTGAGGGAGGTCATGATAGGGACCCTGTCTTTATTAGAAAGTTCAAAAGAAAATACTGCGTGGAAGTCTGGGCTGAACACGTTACAACCAAGCGCAAGAAAAAGCTGTGGCGAAAAAAGGATGATACGCTTGGTAAGTGTTAGACTTATTCTTTTTTCGATCAAGGAAACGGGGTTCAAGATCCTGATCTTTTCTGGCAGATTATCCGTATAAGGAAACCGGTATGGCTTAATGAATCGATCTTTTTTTTTTCACATTGTCATATGCTGTGATACAAAGAGGGAAAGGGGGGAAAAAGTGTGAACCAACAAAACTGTATAGAAGAAAGGATGATGGAGAAACGAAGGCACATGATTCCGTTACCTGAACCCGCATCTCCAAACTTTAAATTCCTTATATAAACGCTATCGACTGTAAAGATCATTCATAAATCATTCATTCCGCCATTTTTTATTTTTTTCTTGGAACCAACTCGCCATGGACGCATTTCATGCCATTCTCGCTTTCCTGATCTTTATGAAAGTGCTCACTTCTCTTATCCACGCCAAATCCGATCCTGATCAGGATATAAAAGAAGAACCTCTGTCGTATTCCTCACCAGATATCCATAAATCTGATCCGCATTCGTTCGCATCACAGACACTCACATCCACTTTAAGTGTCTATCTGTCAACGTAAAAAAAGAAAAAAAAAAGTTCAACCCGAATTTCCTCATCCATCTTTGATCCAACCGCTCGCCGTTTAACATTGGTTATCCTTCCTTTTCTCCTTGTATATACTTTGTATCATATCATTTGCTCTTGTAACAGATTTTGTATGTTTGGTTAGCATGTGAAAATTAAAATCTCAGGCTCCTTTGTTTCTTATGTTGGATGAATTGCAGTTTTTCTATTTTTGCTTTATTTCCATAAACATTTCAAATACGGTTAGACAATGCAGTAGTGCTTGCACACAAGCATCTTGCCGCGTCCATTTTTGCAAGGAAGCAGGGATCCAGTAGGTTCAAGTCACATTCCAATGATTGTGGTCTGATACGTTGAATGCTGTCTGCACCGCTGATGGGATCGATGTCGTACACAAGTTGCCAGGAATAGTCATTTTTAGCGGATGGGGAATAACCGGCGGTGCGAACTCCTTGCCCAGCTAGCGTCACCGTCACTTTGTCATTGTACGAAATGCTGTAAATGCTACAACTTTGGCAATCCCTGACCAACATGGTGCAGCCATCAATTTGCGGAGGTGGCAAGCAACTATTAAATTTCAGAGACACGGGCTCTCTCATGGGCGAGAACATCACCGTACCACGGAGGGCGTTGTAAGCTGTCCACTCAAAGTCAAATGGTTTATGTGCTATCCAATTGGACTGGTAAATCCATAACCGAACAGTGACGCGTTGTGCATATGCTTTCAGTCGAGGTTGAGCCAGCAGACGGAAAAGTCGACATACTCGAATCAGTTTGTAGAGGGTGGACGCATCAACGTAGATAAAAATCTTTTCAAACAATTCATTGGGTATGCTACATTCAACTGGACAATTCAACGCTATTGTATTGCACTGATGAGAATTTATCATGGCAAACGACAAAAGAAAGAAACTGGCCGAGGGGCATATCCTTATGCAGTTACGGAAATGGGCTTCTGCTTTGGCTCGGTGATTTTTTTTTTATTTTTTTTTGCTTGTTGTTTGACATGATACTTGGCGCGAGCCTGCCGATCGATATTTCGAATGTCGTCTTGCGCTAGTTGATCATATTCAGGCGAACCTCCCATATTGGAGATAAGATTTTTGCCTATACGAACTTTCGTCGGATTCATGATCACTGGCATTTTGCAAATAACGCAACTGGACAGTTTGTTCATGAGTTGAACTTTATGCGTCTATGAAAAGCCCCAACAACTATGTAAAAATGGCACGGATGATCCGCATATAGGAAACGAATCTAATAACAAAATGGTACATCACTATTCTATTCATACAAATTCTGTCCTTTGAAATTGTTTTATGTCAAAACTTCTACACCGGTTTCAGTGACCAACATTGTATGTTCGAATTGGGCCGATCGTTTGCCATCGACGGTGACGGCTGTCCAGTTATCGGGCCTAGTATTGAACATTTGATTAGAAAAATAACGTGTAGGATGCAAAATGATTGTGGATATTTACCAAATCTCATCGCGCCATGTGCCTTCACAGATCATGGGTTCGATCGTGAATACATGGCCAGGCTTGAGGATACCAATGGCCTTATTATCTGTGGGAAATTGCATTTGAATCTGTTATTTTCCGGTAGATTGGTTGTGGCGACAAAATCACTTACTGGCATAGTGAGGAACATTTGGCGCGCAATGGAAGAGTTGGTTGATACCGTGACCGCAAAATGTACGGACAACCGAGAAACCGTTCTTTTTGGCATGCTCTTCAATGACTTTGCCGAAATCGCGGTATCTGATACCGGGTTTTACCATCGCGATCGCTTTTTCCAAACATTCACGGGCCGTCTGCACAAGTTTCTGTCCTTGTTCGTCCACTTTACCGACAAGATAGGTTTCATTCAAATCGCCATGGAAACCTCCATAGTAACAAGTAACATCCAAGTTCACGATATCTCCTTCCTTCAATGGTCGCTTGTCGGGAATACCGTGACAGATCACTAGTCGCTAATGGTCAGTCTATGAAAAATCAAGTTGACAATGTATTTTCAGCAGTATACCTTCATTGACTGATCTGTAATCAAGAATCTTGCAGTTAGTATCATTAACACACAAACAAAGTCTTACAGCATCACTTACGTGCAGACGGATTTAGGGAAATTGTAGTAGTTCAGAGGAGAAGGGTAGGCGCCACGTTCAATCGTCGCCTCGTGGATGATACGGTCTATTCAATGGAGGGTGTTAAATTTCCAGTGATCCTGTTAGTGCCGGTATCGTGTGAGACATACCAATTTCGTCGGTAGTGATACCAGGGCGGATAGCCGCTGCGCCAATATCAAGGACTTCACGAGCGATCTACAGTGCATCACAGCCATTCAATATCACCGGCACTAAATGACACAATCCCAATGGGCCTTCTCTGTTCATACCTTGCAGACTTTACGCATGCCTTCGATCTCATCTTTGTCAAGGACCTTGATGGCCGAACCGCGTGTTTTTTGTTCCGAGATTGGGATACCTAGATACGCATTACATCGTGAGTTCGGAGTTGATTGCAGGAGACGGGACCGTTGCACCTACCAGTTACCGCATAATCAGCTATTTTCAGAGAGTTCATATTAGTAAATTGATTAAAGGATCTTCGAGACTCAACAAAACCTACGTCGTTCAATTGATTTGGGGACCTCTCTTTGGGGAGACAATGGATACACAGCTTTGAGGTCGCCGGTGTATCGGTAGTTGGGAAAAGGATCGTGCGGTTCACCTGGACAACATGGTGAGTGCCGTCATTGCTTAGTTAAACATATATATCTCAACTTACTCTCAATCTTTGCCTTATGTACAGCCTTGTGTTTGGCCTGGTCGTAAAAAAAAAAAAAAGAAAACGAGGGTTACAAAACGGAATCACACTGGTGGCATAATGACATGCATTTATCCATACCCAGTTGTTTTTGAAGCATTCTTGGGAGCAGAAAAAGGAGCCTTCAATTTTGAGTTTGATGCAGGTAGGGCATTGCAACTTGGCGGGCTTGTCGCATCCCGGGCTCTGGCATACTTTGTTCGAAATGTCGCTCATTGTGCTTGAATGGACCAAAAAAGAATCGAACCTTAATTTGGGCTTGAAATTTTTTGGGTCGTGAAAAAAAATAAAACCGTGCTTTGCAGAGTGACGGTCACATTCAGCATACGGCATTGTCCCAACAAGTAGTTTTGCATGGAAAAATTATTGCCACCAATGAGAATATTCCAAGAACCGTGAACCTGATACTCCAATGCCCAATCTGAATTGTTTCAGCACGACAAAAAATAAGATATGGAAAAGATAAGAAACCCACCACGGAAGAAGGAAAAAAAGCCCTGTGGAAAGAACCGTTGTTAGACGCCGAACGACTCTTTGTAGACTATGTGCAATTCCTCTACGGTATAATGATTTATGATATTAAGGTAGTTTCTGACCATAGTAAAAGGCTTGTGATGGATAGCACTGTGTTTTCTTTCATTATTGTATGCAGGTTATCATTGAGCGCAAACGATGGTACAGGCTGCTGAGCTTGTCAAATTACAGAAAAAGGCTATTGAAATGGTTATATGCTGCATCTGTGCTACTCTCTAAAAACTACGATTCTGAGGTAACATTCATGGATTCCATAATGCTTGATACATCCACGGGACCAAATTCGGTATAGACGGCTTTTCTTTCGTTCAGTACTTCAGTCACCACATCCCACGCACCACATGTCAAGTGGCGAATTTTGGTGGTGGTGGACTCCTCGAGATCCAATGCATCCACGAAATTCCAGATACTTTTTGCATACGCTTCGCCGCGATCATCCCCATACAGAGGATAAATGTAAAAAGCGTCTTGGGCCGTATAGAATTGTCCGGGAGACTGTGGTCCGAGTGCGGTGAGTGGACCATAATCAGGAAAATGGGCCGCATGTACTAAATGCTGAGCTGTGTGTTCAGGTTGACCATGGTTTCGATGATTGAAGAAGGCTGAAGGAAGGGCGAAAGGATTAACGGTGGTCACTTCCGGCGGAGTCGCAAAGGGATGTTCTTGTGGGACAAAGGCATTTAGTTCAGGCACTGAAGTAAAGAAAAAAAAGTGTTCATTAATGGATGATCATGTGCGGTTCCCCTCATTGGACTTATACCTCCGCTGACAGCATTGAGCGATCCATCGGGACCGTAAAGCACACCTACATCGAACACTTTTTTCTTTTTCTTCTTTTTCTTGTACAACTGATGCAACGGGGTCATTCCCCGCGACATGGAAATATCCACAGCAGAGTCTGGGCCGTAGAAATCAATGGACCCTTGCCGACTTTTATTGCGTGGGATATCCAAACCTAAAATGTCCACTTCTTCTTCCCGCACTGACGCGGCTGATAATTTGCGTAACGAATCGGGATAGCTGTTATTGGATGTGAGATCGTCATCGGGTGAATCGTTCGTATGCTGATGCTCCTGGTATACAATAGTTTTGTCCGCACGTTCAATGATTTTAAGTCCACTCTGTTGCAATCGATCGGCGTTACGCCAGTAGATCGTACTAGGTGCATTATACAATTTCGCATTGCAAACCACCAACAAAAAATCGGCGCGGAAATCATCCAAATGCTTATATTCGTCACGTTCGAGCTTCTTTCGCATGGTACTGAAATCCATTGGATGTTTAATCACGTCCAGATAATCGGTGACAATACGGGTATCCACAGGCTCCAGGAAAAACCCATATTGATCCTTCCTACAGCGAGCATTCACGGCATTCCGGCCTCTGCATTAGATAGAACTGCACTTTTTCTTTGTGTATTTCATCAGCCTATTTGCGCACCCATACCTTATCAGGGTATCCAATAATCTGGTGGCGACATTCTTTAGGTCATTTTTTGGTGATTCCCACACACGAGCTGGCTTCTTGGGAGGCGTGTGAACTTTAGGTGGTCGACCTCGTTTCTTCGGCTTTTCTGTTTGCGTCTTATTATTCTTGAATTTGGTTTTGCTGCTGTTGGCTGCCGTTGGCTGGGTTGGATGCTCAGCATCATAAGACCAGTAAGATTCGGCGTCAGTGCCAGATAAGGGGTCGCCCGTGATACTCTTGACCTCTGTTGATGGTGAGTAGTAGTCGTTGCCTTCTGCTTGATCGGTATCTTGCCATTTGGATGACGATTCTTGGGATTGAAGTAGTGCAAAAGGGCGCTTTCCTCCAACTGGCGTATGAGAAGAAGAGGAGGGAAGAGAAGACGGAGTATCGTCCGATGAAGAAGTTTTATGTTTCTTGTGCGAGCGTTTCTTCTTGTCCTTTTTATGTTTCTTTTTTGGAGGTACGTCCTGAGCGGAGGGAGCGGTTGGATTCAAGCGTAGTTTGAGCTTTATTCGAGGAAGAGATTTTGAAAGCTCCTCATTCGGTGATGGAGCGTCTGACATTTTTTTTTCCTTGTCGTTTTTGAAGAAGCGCCTGCTTAATTTTTAATGCCACTTCAACCCACACTGACCAACAATTTTTTTTTTTTGGGATGATGACGAAAAGCACATTCTTTTTCCTTTTTTGGAAGTTGCAATTTTGTACAGTGGAAAGATGAAACTATGATACAACAAGAGAGGATAAACTATGGGCAGGGAAAAATGCGATAACTTTTTACGACGTCGTTGAACTTGGGTCTGTATTTCTGGCGAATTTTCTTGACAACTGATCGATTAGACCGCCCAAAGCCGCGAATGGGGTGATGAGCCACTGGAACCAAGTGGCACCGTTGTCCGCAGTCGACTCTCCTGCAGATGTAAATGGTTCTTGAGTAGGATTCTGTTCGGTTGTGCTACTGGACATAATACTAGATCCAATGATGAAAGTAGTGAGAAAAAAGAGCAAAAGAACAAAAGAGGAGCTGCACCACTGGGCAGAAGCTTTTCTTTTTGAGACATAACAGCGAATCAGCGAGGAAAATGACGTAAACGCCAGTAAATCCCTTCCGGTGCTTCTTTTTTTCAATCATTTCCGAAGCTTCAAGTGGCTTGACTTTGTCTCCGATATATCGCAACATTGTAACCTGTTCCTTTTCATTTTGTTTGCCTTGGTCACCATGGGATGTTCTCTTGCTGTTGTCACGTCGAGAATATCATATTTCACACTCCGATACTCATGACATGGCCACCACTGATGAAGATCATCGCTATCATTCTTCCGACGATCCGAGTTCCTTTTATTTCTCGAAAAATCAGGAATAATGTCCTTAGTGTATCTCACCAACATATACAGATCAAATATCGATGTGGTTTGGGAGGATGCCATGACTGTGCGAAATCAACTGGCATTCGTGCGTGTAGCAAATTTCTGCCTTTTTTCTTTCCTATCTACCCAAAAAAACTATTAGCTGCTGAAGATTCGTTGCTTTGCTTCGCTTGCATGATCCAGATTATCCATTGAGGTGATTTTTATGCTTGAAAGCAACTGGTTGCCGAGTGATACTGTTTAGGTGTGATGGATCAACGAGCGATACGCGCCGACCTTTTCTTTTTTTTTTTTTTTTTTTTTTGCTTCCTATCTGGGATGTGGGGAGCGGGAATTTTGAGGGTACCGAAATCAAGTCAAGGCAACCACATGATGGTACACAAAAAGGAAATTGGGTGTTCTTGGGACACAGAAGAGGCATCTACACAGTGTCCTGTGACACCGTCCACTGACTACTCATAGTTCTATACGTCATTTCCTCTCAGCCCACCGGTTTTTTCTTTTTCTTTCTTCACCTGCTCCCCGCTTATTTTGACTGCATAGATTCTTTTTGAGTCCTGTTGTTCCTTTCAGACCCTTTTCAACCTCAGCCTTTTGAACGACATGTATAACGTGCAGTTTAACCACCACGTCCCATACTCTCATCACCACGATCCAGTGCCGCCACTCATGGGAAGTGAAAGACAATTTCACTCGACCGCTCCACCGTCCTCGTCGTCCTCCTCCACCTTTGATTCTGCACCGGTGCATATGCAACAACCACAGCAACAGCAACAACAACAACAACAACAACAGCAGCAGCAGGTGCCACCACGGCATCCGCAACAACCGTCCCAGACGTCCTCAACGCCACAGCAGCAACCGCCTTCCTTTATGCAGCTTTCAAACCATCACGAAACCTCCCCTTCTTCGCCCAGTAAAAGCTACTCTCAATATAGCACCCCGACACCGACCAATTATACCCAGCCAATGACCATCCCAATCTCTCATACTGAAAATGGTAGAAAAAATAGCACCGTGCCTGCACCCGCCTACTATGAAGACAACTACAATACTTACAATGGGAAACAACAAGACGCTTCTTTGGTATCACCGACAAGCCCTCACAGCTTTGACGAAGAAATGCAACAAAGAAAGTAAGTTTATCAATTTCTATCAAATCACTTGATTTCATACATCATCCCTTCTAGTTTGTCTTACTATTCCCATGCATTTCTGATTTTCTTTTTCTCTTTTTTTTCCTGTTTACATCTCATTTATTGATATCGATTTTATTTTTAATGATCATTCCAATCCAGCATGCAACATTTGTTTGAGAAGAAGAGACGACGGCGAGAATCACACAATGCCGTGGAACGGCGACGACGTGACAATATCAATGAACGGATCAATGAGCTGGCTACCCTGTTACCCGATAGAGAGGCGCACAAAACCAATAAAGGCACCATCCTGAAAAAGTCGGTGGATCATATTCGAGTGCTTCACGATAAATTGCACCAACAACAGCAACGCATCCAGGAACTGGAAAACATGCTGGATATGTATCGCGGACATATGAATCCATCGCCGTCCCAACCATCCTCCTCCGCTCGCCAATTGTCGCAACCGCAGCATCAACAGCATCAACAGCCCTCCTCACAAACTCCACAGCCATCTCAATTACAGCAACAGCAACACCAACAACATCAGCAACAGCAACAGCAACAGCAACAGCAACCGCTGCCTGCCATGGTTCCACCGGGACATCCTTTAGACCTATCTCGAATTCAGCCGCAAATGACCAGTCATGCTACGTCTTCTTACCGGCATGATGGCTAATGCTCTTTTTTTTTTCTCCTCCTATTCCTTTTTCTCTATTTCCATTTCTTCGCATCAGTGGGTGATTGCTAAAGTATCCTTTTTATACAGTAGTGCGTTGTGTTTTCCGTCTCCGTTGTAAACTAGTTTTATATATCTATTGTATCATTTTTTATACACTATTCTTTATATGAACAGCTGCTAATGCACAGTTAAAGTGGTAAGAAAACATCATCATCATCAACCGTAGTTTATAACCCTGTATTTTTCGCTTGCTTGAAAGCAACACCTTCCTCCACTTCAATGACTCGACGCAATTCGGCCATATCCGTATGTTCATCCCCTTCTGTTTCTGTATGCGCACTCTCTGCATTGAGATTAGCCTGCTTCTCATTGCTATTTATCGTTGTTTCAGCGTCCATCATATGCCTAACGTCGTCGTCGTCGTCGTCCTCAGCATCACCTATTTCGAAAGAGCCAGATAAATCCAACGTGTCTGATATCGGTGGCATATCAGTTGAAGTGGATATGTCTTGTAGTTTGGGCTCGGCTTTGGCAGGATATAAAGAATCATACATGGCTATGGCTGCTAGCAAACGATCGTTCAAACCAAGGAGCAGCGCTGTACCATTGTTCATCAGACCACCTTCCTTCTTTTTTCTTCTTTTTTTTTCTCGAAACCTACCTAATTCAGCAGTATCGGTTATATTTGGTATTTTGAGTTGATGTTCCGTTTGAGTATCGCGACATTGTTGATATAATTGCTGCAATAGGAGAGTAACCATGAGAATCCCGTCATCACCGTGCCAACACTAGACACCACTCATCGAAGCATATTGCCACAGACATTTTGCGTTGGGTGGGTCATGTCTAGAATCCGTTGTGAGAAGTGTGTAGCTTACCGTCATGATATCACTGGCTGGTAACAGTTCGTTGGATTCTCGTCTTCTACCTGTCTCTGCCGCCAGCATCTCTTCCAGTAAGCCCACTTGTCGGGTAGCTATTTCGACGGCTTGAGGTTGGCTCTTTAGCCATTTATTCTCTGACGACGATGTGGTGGATCGAATGGAAGGTGATCGTGCGATCTGACTACGTGTTACTGCGGCCAGTCTTTCTTGCAAGGTGAGACGAGCGGTGGCCTGCGCTGTGGTGATTTGATTCAAGGGATCATGCGAATTTTGAGAAGAGGAACGAGTTAAAGTAGGCTTGGTCGTATCTGCTACGGAATTTTGTGACGCATGTTGTGCATTGCGTGTACAAGTGGCAACAATATCGCTTTGTGTTCTTCCCATATCACGATCATTCCCCTATCGTACGTTTACATACACATGAATAATTCCTGCTTCCGTCTTCTCATGCGTTTTTCTGCAAGACACTTACGGGAACGCTCACGTCCAAGAACACGATTGAGTAATTGATCCGTACGCCAGCTGCAAGTGCCAACAGCCCCGCCAAATCCATCGCCTCATTTTTAGACAGATCTAACCGTACTAATGCCTTGTTTTCTGGTAAACTTTCCGCCAGTTCAACTGCAGCTAAAGTGACAAAGTCCCACCCAAAAAAAAAAAAAAAAAAAAAAAACAAAAAAAAAATCAGTACAACACAATAACAATGTTTGTCTTATCGTTACCTTCGGATCCCAGGCCGGATGCTGCCAGACTTAATTCTTTCAACGATCGATTGACGTAAAGAGCACGTTTCAGTGCCTGAATCTGCAAACAATGTCATGATTAACTGCATGTTCACTTTTCGTGAAAACCAGCCAATATTGTACTTACACCTTCGATCGAGGGGGCATTCAAACCATTGAAGCTAATATTAAGGTTTTCCAGTGATTGATTATATTTCTAATTGACTGACGTCAGTGATGGGGAACCCCTGACTATAAAACGCACAGACATTTCTACCATACCAATGCTTCGCCGATCAGTGCACACCCTTTGGAATCCAATTTGCAGTCTTGAAGAGACAGCGACCGAAGACTTTGATTCCGTCGCAAAGCTTGAGCAATGTACTGAATGCCTTGTCGGATATCATTATGATCCAGTGCTAATTCCGTCAAGCCCTGACTGAACACATGCCCATCATAATCACGTAACATGACCCCGATCCACAGAGCCCCCTGGTGTGTAATACGATTATCGCATAATGATACATGCCGCAAAGACCGTGATTGTCGGATACCATTAGCAAGCACTTCGAGCTGTGGAGGCCGTAATGAGCAACTATTCATGCGTAGCGTGTGCAAAGAGGAAGACTCGATGCCATGCGCCAGATGCTGAATTGATTTTTTGTCAGGGGTCGTGAAAGAAAGATCGAGTTTCCGCAGCGCCGTGGACTGTGAGAGGGAAAGAAAAGAAAAAGGAGTCAATTTTAAACAAGAGTCCTCAATGACAATGATGATATCACAACTTACGGTTTTGGTGTAGATGGCGATGTACTTGAATCCAGCTCCTCGAATTTTTTTATTGTTAGCCAAGCTCAGTTCTTCCAGCTGATCCTTCAACAGTAATCCGTGCAGCAGAATCTTGATGACCTAAAAATAATTTTCGTTCATATGAGTCCTTATTTTACCCAATATCATTCCTCTATAATATCCCACTTACATCATCTTCCAGGGCGCAATTATTTAATATCAATTTTTTCAACCTAAAATCCAGACTTAACAGATCAGCCAATGGCTCCGCTGAACGGCGATAGATGGCTTGATTGCTGAGATCGATCGTGGTCAAATGATCCATATGCTGACATGTCTACAACATGCAGTTGAGTGAAGGAAAGGGATGAATAGTTTTTGTCTATCAGCTTACGATGAGCATTGTAACGAGCTTATCCAATGTCGGTTCTTCTTTATTCCTGCATGCTGTTTCGTATACGGTGAGCAGTTCTTGCGGTGTTTGACACTTGATCGAGGATGGAGGCTGGGTGTTCTCCTTTTCAGAACGGCTGGTGTCGTCTTCATTGGCCAAAGGTGACGGTCCGTAAGGATAAAATTCGGTGGTTAAATGGTCAACGGGGAATCGAACTCTTTTTAATTCTTCAGGAGCAAGTTCGTCGAGCGATGCGTGCTTCAGGGCGGGATTATCAGGCGATGACGGCAAGGATGCATCAGGTGGGGTCGTTGTAGGCGGTGACACTTGAACGTTTCTTCGAAAATTGAAAAATCCGAGGGATGAGCGTTGAGTGAGGGGAGCGGCGGTAGGTGAAGTAGCCGTCAGGTCGTTTAAAGACAGTCTGGAAAGCCAAGAAGTGGCAGTTCCTTGACTTGTTCCCCGGTGCTTGAGGATGCTTTTAGTTGGTTTACAAGTGGGATCATAGGCAAAAGGCGGTTTCACTGATGCAAACGATGCCATGCCGAGAGAAGCAAAGGAGGGATGAGTTGAGTTTCTCAGGTGCACAGCCAATGTTTTGGACACCCGACAGCGAGGATAAACATTCAGCTCGTCTTCCAGGTTTTCTTAATTTGAAAAAATCTGAATATAAAAAAGAGGCAAGTTAATGTAGTCAAGTTAAAAGTATGTTTTAGGCTAATCAAATAACATAGAAGATCAAAGGACAAAAATGTAAGAAAGATGGATGCACTAGACAAGCCAGACTTATTCTTCTTTGTATTCACTTAACAAAAAAAAAAAAAACCTGGTTTTCACAGCATCGCGGGGAACCGTCACCGCACACCACCGAGGCATGGGGCTTTGTACATGTTTTTAAAATATAGAAGCACCCATAAAAAAAAGGTGGTTGATGGTGTTTGCTTTACATTAGTCTTTGTTGCTTATTGTTATCTTTTTCTACCATTCCCCAACCCACTGTCTTCGCTTTGAAAAAAAAGAAATCAGCCGCTGATTCCTTGCCGAACTCTAAACCCAGATGAAGGTTTGTGCAACGAGATGAAACCCATTTGACAATCACTTTATTCAAAGTCGAAATTGCGAGCGGTTCACATGTCGGCGATCGTGTATACAGTACATTCCGGGGGTAAATCTTGCATCTCCCTGTACGGCCAGCATTCTGTTATGACGATTAAAAAAGTCGCAAGGCAAACATCGACACACATTCGCCTCGATGTGCCTAGCCCTGTTTTTCAAAGGTGTTGGCATCAGGTAATCTATGTTGGCTAGCTGCCTGAGCAAAAGGCTGATGACACGCGAGAAACCGGCATGGCGCATGTCCCAATAAAAGGAACCTTCTTACGTGTAGAAATCTTTCCTGTTCTAGCCCCCACTAGTGAATTGATATTGATTGTTTAACAAGCCAATAGCGCAGTCGTGGCCACAACAGTTGAAGTCGTGGCTATAAAAGGTGGAGTCGTGCCCCCTCTTTTTGTGCTCTCTTCTTCACTTTCAGTTTTACTTTTTATTCAAGTTTCTATTGTTTTACGCTAATGACTATACATATCCACTGACTACATATGAACAGTTGTGCTGCATGATTTATCGTTATACGCTGATTGATTCAAACAGAATCATCGCTACGAACAAGCTGGGAACTTGTGAAATGGTTCCATGTTTTCCTTATGGCGGTGATCCGAGAACACCATTGGCCGTTACAAAGATTGTCATGGTCGTACGTTGGTGCAGTATCCAGTTTGTTTTACCCGATCATTCATTCCTTCAAGTTTTTCTATCTTTTATGGTGACGTTCTTTCGTTGGGGATTTGCGCACTTATCCGTACGTATTGACTGGATTGAATACAACATGATTTCGATATAGCTTGAACTACCAATGTCGATGAAGTTTAAAGGTTGGTTAGCTTTATAGAAAGAAAAAAAGAAAAAAAGAGGGGGGAACACTTACCGCAGTGCTTACCCTTTAACTTCCACAAATTACACCCTCATACACGCTCAGCTCCTTTTTTTTAGCGCTTTGTCGTTGGTCCCCATAAACCCGAACTACTAACCCATCGTTCCACCTGGTAGGAAGTGACATTTACTGGACCAAAATGTCGTGTCAAGTAGGCATACTGATCATTTGTGGACACAAATAAGTAGACGTATCCGGATTTGTTGAACCTGTACCCAACCTGTAGGCCAGTGGGGGGAAGGTGGACCAGTGGAAACGCTGGGGACCGCCGAAGTGGCAGTAGCGGGACCCAGCACGGTATCAGCAGGCCTCGAAACGGCACCAACAAACCTTGAAACGGCCGCAGGATCTGAAGAATGCACAGGGAACATTTTCACAGAATGGAGAAAGTACGTCGACACAACATGGAGAGGGTACGCCGACACGCATGGAGAGGGCACGCCGACACAGAATGGAGAAAGCCGCGGACGGCAGGCTCCACAGGAGTGATTTCTTTATCACAACTTGTTTGCTACTTTCAGCTGCTCGAGGATAAGGTTGAGAAACAAATGGATGACGATCCATGACAATCTTTGTAACGGCCAATGGTATTCTCGGATCACCGCCATAAGGAAAACATGGAACCATTTCACAAGTTCCCAGCTTGTTCGTAGCGATGATTCTGTTTGAATCAATCAGCGTATAACGATAAATCATGCAGCACAACTGTTCATATGTAATCAGTGGATATGTATAGTCATTAGCGTAAAACAATAGAGAATTGAATAAAAAGTAAAACTGAAAGTGAAGAAGAGGGCACAAAAAGAGGGGGGGCGGTGGCCACGACTCCACCTTCTCGTATCATAAACCCGCTTCACGACAGTTTAAGCAGTCTGTTATGTAGAAAAAGGTAAATATATATTGACTACAGAAGAAAAAACGATACAGATCCATTGCCTTTCATTCTATTTGCGCTATTACATGATTATAGTCGGCGTATTATTGGCTTTGATGGTGTCGTTGTTGACGATATGAACTCTCTGTTTCGACATTTATCTTAGCACTCGTAAGAATGCGAAACGAAAACCTTTGAAGTGACCTTCTCCTACACTTTTGCAAGCTTCCGTAATCCTTTTATTAAGTATCTCCTGCAAAAACCTATGGCGCTGAACCTTACTCATTGCCACCGCCCAAACTTGTTCTAATGGGTTAAGTTCGGGAGAGTAAGTAGGAATATACACACATTTATACCCTCGACACTCAATATATTTCTTTATATCTATTTTCATGTGTATGAATGGGTGCTTTACCCATTACTACATAGTGACTTTTCATATGCGACGTCTACAGTATTCATTTCATCGACAGTCATCTTAAAAAGGCTAATATAATGATCTTTTACAGTTCTTGAACTTGTAATATCCATCAGCTTTTGTCTTCTTCGCAGGTCGGGTTTGTTTGTTATTTATATGCGAAAACCGTAATCAAACCTGCTGCTAATATAGCATACACTATAGACGCCATATTTACGCTGGTACTAGGTTTGGTTACTATTTCACGAGTACCTCGTTAGGATCAAGCCCTTGAAGGTTTTCAAATTCATATCAAAAACCGATTCGGCAAGCAAGAGAGACGCAATGTGTCAGTTGTATTTTTCCCATTTCCCAACCCCATTATATTGGCTTCTCAATTTTTGCCGGACTATTTCGTCAAACCGAGATCAATTACCTAATTTGCCTTGAATAACAGAGAGGACGCTATCCAGCTAAAATTTGAATCAAAACTCTGTCTCGCTTACGCGGCATTGATGCAACTGTTCTGCATTCGGGCTTTGAAAACGGTTACGGCTGAAGTCGAGTCACAGCCGGTTTTTTCTGAACATCCTCTCCCGACCCCAGATCTCTGATTTGTTGGATTTATCTCTTTTTCTTCTTCTCTTCCCACCGACCGACCTCATATGGATACTGCTCAACATCAACCAAGGCGACGCTATTTAGGTGGCGTCCTCGCTCTCATAGCTGTGGTCTTTATATGGGTTGCATCGTCCTTCGCCATGAATGTGAGTGTGCACGCGATCACGAATCGATGCCGACAAAACAACCCATTAACCCAACATTGGCCCAGAGTATATTTGGAGAACAAGAATACAATAAGCCATTTCTTGTGACCTATCTTAATACGGCTACATTTTCATTCTATCTTTTATCTCTGTTTTCTGTCAACAAAAAGAGTCTATCGGGAGAGTATACAAAGTATGTATAAATATGGTAACGATTGTCTTTGTTTATTTGTTACTGACAAAATCATTTGTGTCATGGATGATTTAGGATAAATACACAATCCTCCCAACCCAACACAGTAAGTATCAACTTGTCAATGGTATTGATGTCTTGCCAATGGGTTATAATGAAATGGAGAAGAATATTCATCAATTTACTGATCATCTGGTTTTTTTCACCCCCCGTGAATGCAGACAGTGACCGATCTGTCGGCCAATGAGAGTCAACTTTCATGTCATCATAAGCTTAGTACAACCGAAACCGTCAAATTAAGTTTTGCCTTCTGTATTTTGTGGTTCTTCGCCAATTACACTACGAATGCAAGTCTCGCCTACACCAGCGTCGCCAGCAGCACTATCCTTGCCTCCATGTCAGGTAACGCATACCCTCTAAATCTACTCCCCATCGATCACAGCAGTACCACTCAACATGGCATCACGTAGGCTTGTTTACCTTGGGAATTGGAGCTATTTTCAAGGTAGAAAAGTTGAACACCGTCAAAGTGTTATCAGTCGTTATAAGGTATCTACAGGGATCCTTTTTTTTTCAATGTATGAAAAAGGCGGATTAATGGACTATGGGCTTTTGGAATGGTTGTAGTTTTGCAGGTGTCATCCTTGTTTCCTATTCGGATCAATTGCGAAAAGTCCCTTTCGATGGCGACACCGCAGCCACGGCCGCCACCAATGCCCCTGCCCCTTTAATTGGTGATATTTTAGCATTATTGGGCGCCATCTTTTATGGATGTTACACAACAATGCTGAAGCTCAAAATTGGAGATGAAGATCGGATCAACATGCCCTTGTTCTTTGGATTCGTGGGTCTCTTTAATCTTCTTCTACTTTGGCCAGCATTTCCATTGCTCGATTGGTTAGGTATTGAAACATTTCAATTACCTTACAGTCCCACCTTGTGGGCCATGGTCCTTTTGAACGCTTTCATTGGTACCTTTTTGTAAGTTCCGGCCGGAAAACAGGGCACTGGACATGTGATTGACGGTAGGATGATTTTCTTCGCTTGCATAGATCGGACTATTTGTGGTTACTGGCGATGCTCATGACCTCGCCTTTGGTGGTCACTCTGGGAATATCCCTCACGGTAAGTCATGTGAAGGGAAAATACACAAAATGGAAGCAGATGAAGTGAAGCGTGTTGGCTAGATCCCTCTTGCATTACTTGGCGATGTTGTTTTCAAAGGCTTCATTCCCAGCTTTCAATATGCTGCGGGAGCGATTTTGGTGGTAGCCGGTTTTTTTGCTGTCAATGTCAGTACATTGAAAGAAGTGCCTGAAGTGCAGACACCGGAGACCGAAGTACTTGTGGATGCCGATGCACACCATGGATACCAGACCATGTCTCCTGCTTCTGCATAGAATGTTGACGCATTCGATTCTATTTTTATGGCCATCGCATATCGCTGCCATCTCCGTCATCCCCTGAACTCACTCATTTTTCATTACCGATATCCCACCTTCATATAATCCGCTATTTTTTATTGTTACTCATGTAGATACCATACTCTATCAATGTCCTAGAGCCTGTACTCTCTTCCTAACCTGATAAATACTATTACCCCGTCCTGCTCTTGCACTGTATACTTTTATTTGATACTGATCTGTAAATGCTCACAGATCCCGATGTGTGGGTAAAGTAAAAACTTTGTAGCTTTTATCTGCAGTTCCCATATACATTCAAAAAAAAGCGCAAGAGAATGATTGCTGTATCTGCGTCCAATTCATGCGTATTTGATGCACATGGATCACTTGTCGCGTTTTTGATCCGCCTTGAAGTTTGTATTCGATCGAACCGTTGGAATAAGCCGTTTGAAATTTGCACAGGATGCTTAGGATGTTGATCTTGAAAGATATTGCGAAGCAGGCTCTCTCTTAAAAATGATTAAAAGAACGAACTAAGAGATCGCCGTTGGGTCTTTCTGAGGAGGACGGTTGAAGCTGGGTTTTAAACTTTTGAATCAGCAAAATCGCAAGGGAAGAGGCCGTAGCTGCGTCAAGCTGTTCCACGAGTGCCTACTCCACCTCTTACAATACCGACGTCCATGTCAACGGGAGATGTCTTCAAACTATTTTGGCCTTCACATATTTGCTCTCCCAAAACTCGAACAGGTTTTCTTGTAGGCTGGCATACCTCCGGTTCTACCGCATGTGTAGCTGCCGTGATTCCCGATGTCGAGGTAGACCTGAAGTTCCACCTTCCGTACTGTCTTTCCAGCTTTCACAGTCAATAACATGTTCTTTTACTGAATTGCAACAGCTTGACGATCTCAAATGCCTCCTTTCAGAATTTTGTGTATCAGGCAATAACCCGGAATTCGCGCATATTAACAATGTATGCAAAGCATCGCCCAAACTGCTAGGCGCGATTGTACCTTCCGATGCGCCAGTTTCCACTATCTCCATTCGGTCGAAAGTGGACGGTAGGATACACCAATCATTTTTTTTTTAGCATCTATACTTAACCGCGTCATGCTGTGTAATAGAGGAATACGGATTATGGCTATCGGTAATGCTAGACGAAGCTTACGTTCCTATACCGATGTGAGTTGGATCGAGACGAAGATTTTAGCTATTAATGAGAAACTGATCTGTCTTGGTGAAATTTATCAGATCCATGGTGATACGAGGCTCGGATCATGTTTTCCTCAACTACCAAATTATATTCTACGAACAGCCCAACCCTAGACAGCTGCAATTTTTGGCATTAGAACCTCTGGAATTAGACATCACCTCCAAGGAGCCTGTAGCGCACGAACCCTCAGAAACAAAAGCGAATCTGGAAAAGATATTGAAGTACTCTCACATTTTATCCGGACATCAGCAGTATCCACTTGTCGACGATCTGACGTCCGTCCTCGTTCAGGTAGGCTTCAATACGCTGCGACATTGTGTGTGGCGTGCTTACCTCGGACATTCCACCGGTTCTGTAAGATCAACTCGTCGTATTATTTGGAAAACGGCGTCAAGTCTGTTTGTGCACAAAGGCGTCGTCTGAAGAAGGGTTGGTTTTGGCGAATGCGTCGCATATGGTCAGGATTGCAGAAGATCATTCAATCGATGGTCCAGATACTGGTATGGAGTCCCGTGGTCGTCATCAAGAAAATCATTCTTTTCCCCTTGATATGCTTGGTTTTCGCCCTGTTGGCCATCACCGAATTCACAATTCATCTACTGAATATGCGATTACCCAAATTCTTTCTGAACGCAGTAGCCATCAAAGACTTGTCTGCAGCTGGTAATGTGGTATTTTGTTTATCTCTTCTCCATCCTGTCAATCTTCATCTGCAAGGGTTCCCCGGCATTGACTGATCCTTGCATCGACTTTTTTTTCCAGGTCAGCAGGTAGATTTGCGGCTACAACAATTGTACTTTTGGCCACGACAGTACATGAAATTACGGAAACATAACTGGGCAAATACAGCCGCAACTCGAGCCTACTACATCAGGTAAGCGACAAAGACAATACATGCAGTGGCTTGTTGAACAGCCACAACTCACGAAAAAGATCAGCTTTTATAATAGCATGTGGTTAGTTGCCAATGATATTATTATTGGCTTGGCCATCGGTTCCTTTCTTGTTAATAATCACCATACGGTGGCTCGGTTCTTGCATCAAGTACTCTATGTAAGTAGATTCACTGTGATTTATAACTGTGACAATACAGTTCTAAAGAAACTTTTCAACAGGAATATACTGTAGCATCGTTAAAATCCATGATGCTGTGGTTTCTTGAATCACCGGCCGGTCTAAAGCTTAATCATGAATTAGGCAGTTTTTTGAGCGAGTTATTCCTATGGCTCATTTGGGTTTGGACAAGTAGGTGCAAAGGCAAGCAGACGATAAGAAACGGAACCTAACGTGACGCTTTTTGATTAGATTGTATGAAGATCTTGGAACCATCCACGCCTCAAATTATTCGCTTCATTGGATTTTCTGGAATCTGTGGTGTATCTATGGTCATTTCTCTAATGTCCGATTTACTGGCGTTTATGACACTTCATGTTTATTGCTTCTACATGGTGGCGGCCAAAATTTTCAACTGGCAGCTTACCACCCTTTACTCACTTTTTAATTTATTCCGAGGTAAGCATCATCAACAGCCTGAACCGTGTGATTGCGGCTTATAAAGGAACCCAACAGGCAAAAAACGAAATATGCTTCGTAATCGAATCGATTCATGCGATTATGCTCTCGACCAGCTTTTGTTGGGCACTTGTCTTTTCACCCTCTTGACTTTTTTGTTTCCGACCATCCTAATTTACTACATGACCTTTGCCTTGGTAACGTACTATACTCACGTGCCGCCCATGGATGGAGCGACTTACAAACTTTGTGTAGGGTCGAGTGGGTGTCATTTTCTTGCAAGCCATTATGGAAACCTTGTTAGCCTTCTTTAATCATTTTCCTCTTTTTGCCATAATGTTGCGTATCAAAGATGCTGATCGGCTACCAGGTACAAATGATCTTTTTATGGAGTTGTTCTTTTGCGACGAATGATGTGTGTAACATAATGATACTAGGGGGTCTTCAATTTGATATCTTCCATCATGAGGATTTCGTATTCAAATATCACCCGATGTATCGCCGGTTGCGCTGGCTGCAACGATTATGGGATGGTCACGGCACATCATCTGACACACATTCTATTCGTCCTCATCGAAGAAAAACCGTGCGCTTCAAACTTCCTCAATCATCCAAAAAGGAAGCCACCCCATCTCCCCCAAAACAAAAAGGCGCCTATCTTTGGATGCGTGTATGTATCGCCAATTCTCTTGGCGTCAGGCACGCACAAACATGAAAATATGAAAATACTTCTTATTCACTGACGAATGCACTTTACAGAATACACCTATCCCATTCAGCGCCATCTTTTTTCAGTACATGTTGTTATGGAAGAGATTAAGTGCCCATTATTTTTCCGCTTACGTATTCAAGTGCCTGTTGTATGGTGAACCAATCAAACCTATTCCGAAACTCCAGGTAAGTCTAAAGCTGAAAAAGTTTCACAACGGCTCCATTTGTCGTTAGAGATGTACTTACATTTCCCTATCCGGCTGTTTCGTTCTTTATTCTATCAGTATCCTATGCTTCCTGATCAAAGGTAATTTCCCTTACGCTAGATATTGGATGATTAGTAGCTGACAATGACGCATAGACCGTTTTTGGCTGTTTTGTGGAAAATGTTAAAATCCAACGTTTGGGAACATGAATGACGACAGTGAGGTGACCACGATATCATGATAATAATAATACAGACATATTAATTCCAGACAAGATCCGTAACAGAATTTGTCAAAAGCTAGTCATATTTGTGAACCAAAGTTTTTTTTTATCTGTTACAGTGTTCAAAGATAATCAATGAAGGCAAAATCGGCATTATTTGTTTACAATATACATCGGGGATATGTTTTTGGAAGTGACTGGGTACATACAAAGAAAAAAAAAAGGGGGGGGGGATAACCATTGGGACTTGATAGAATATAAACGAGACCGAATAAAAATCAATAGTATTAAGGTGTAAAATGTATAACTGTACAAAATAGAAAACAATAGAATACATAAAAGATTGAAGTAAGGATGAAACCGGGGAAATGAAGGTGAATGCATGAAGAGGAATGATTACATAGTAGTTACAAAGAAAGAGTGGATGATTGGTCATCCCAATTTTTCCATAGAGCACGCTGGATTTCTGTATCATTTTTGAGTTCATCGGCGTGTCTGAATAAAACGATGTCCACATTCGGCAATTGTTTTCTTGCTTTGCATAGACGTTCGTGAAATTGGATACAGTTTTGGGACGGAAGCAGGGGATGAGCCGAGTGGCCTGTCAGGGAAGGTTCCAAAACCAATTCAGCCAACGTCGGTGTAGTCAGGGGATTGTCGACGTCCACGGGTTGTTTTGTGTCATCGTCGACGGACGACCGTTGCTTAGGTGAAAAGAGTGATGTCAAAGTATTGGAACGTTTTACAGGTTTGGAAGTGCTGGTGGAACGAGAAGCTTTTCGGAGCGCATGCGGTGTAGTCACATCGCGGATAAAGATTTTCAGAATCCGGCCGGGAAATTCGGTGGCGATTTTCGTATAGATCTCCAGATCAATTTCACCAGAATCGCCCACCAAGATAAACAAGCGTTGAGGGAAATCTCGGATGATACTAATAATAGCGTCTCGTTTGGCTCGACCAGGGACTTCCACCAGCCGTGCCAAGATACTCCCCTCCATACGCAAATGCATACTGCCGGGTGGGAAGTGATGTTCACGAAGGAACTGTTCCAGCATCACCATCAGCTGGAAAGGACTGTTCGATACATAATGGATGGAGGCTCCTTGGGTGTACTAGTGGATAATGTGAATGATGAGTCAATCGATAATGCGCCGGCCCGTGAGAATGACACAGTGCACCGTTCCACTTACCCATTGCATGTAAGCCTCGGCCATACCATCCACTTCCTTGGCCGGTTTGAAAAATGTATTGTTCAGCACTGCTCGGGCCCCTGCAAGAATTCTGGTGTCTTTGATGGTATCGTCAATATCGGAAATGATGGAGATTCCTGTTGGTTCCACTAGAGAAACCATCCCTGAACTGGCCACAAATTTTGGAGATTTTGGTATCGATTTGAGCTGGATCAGACGACATTCGACATGATCTTGCTGATTCGCCCAGTGAATCACCTGCGATTCAGGTAGTGTGAACTCGCCAGAGAACAAGCCAGACGATTCGGATTCCACTTGAGCCCCGAATAAACCGGTTTCTTGTTCAAATTCGGGGGAAAATAAGGATGACCCGTTGGTGGAATTGGATTGAATGGTATTTTGATTTTCCATGTAATTTAGAAACTCGGAACCACTGATTTCGTCAAATTCATCCGTCGCCACTGTGCTTGCCGAGGTGAGTGAAGGAATGCTTGACGAGGAAGCGGCATAATTACTACGACGGCGGTCCAGGATACTTGAGACCGGGTTCCCAGGGCGAGGGACCAGCATGGGATCATTATCGTCCGAGGAATACTCGGCCAAATAATCCTGACCTTCGTTCAAAGCATAAAAGTCGACAATGGTGGAAGTGCCGATGGCTTTGACGACAAATTGCTTGTTTCGTTTGTTCTTGGCTAAAAAGTATTTGAACCGTTGCTGGAATTGATTTGTCGTCGACGCGTCAGCTGGGGATTTGCCGGCTACGGTTTTCGTAATACCTAAGCATCGGCTTATAAATAACCCAACGTACAATAATAAAAAAGGAAGGACAGGATTTTTGAAATGCTAAAACGTGGTTACACTTACTGATCATCATTTTCTGTTTTGCTGCCATGCTATTGTGCGAGAGTGCCCAGCCTTTGGTTCGGACAAGCCATTCCGATGGATCTGTGAAAGATCATGGGTGTTATTTCAACGTTGCATTTTTAAAGAGTTCCTTCGACACATTTCGTTTTATATATCACAACATGTTGCAATGTTTGTGTGTCGATACAGAATGTTGTGATGATGATACGTTACTTTTTGGGTTCCGAATGGCATAAGTCGGAAACAATAGACATTCATGCTGGATCTCGGGAGATTCATCTGAATAGTTGGGAGACGCAATGGTGATCGATGGTGGTGAAACATAGGAAGCGTAATCATCGATGTAAAGGTCGTCTTGCGACATGTATCGAGGAGAAAAAGTGGTTTGATGGTAATCAATGTAAGTATTCATGATGATAGAGAGGCGGAGATAGTCATAAAGAAGGGAGAAAAGAAAAAGAAAAGAGAAAAAAGAAAGAAAGAAAAAAAGAAGCTACGATGAAATAATGATTTGTGGTGTTATTTTTTTTTTCGGTTGGGTGGCAGCTTATTCTTTTTTTTTTTTTTTTTGTCTACTCATTTCGTATATGTGAGCCTTTATTTATATATGGATGAACACTAAAAGAGATCACGAAAGATCCATGCATAAATAATTCGGCAAGACAACTTTAATTCCGTTTGGTAATTGTGTTGCCATGATGTAGTTTCCATATTATTGCTATGGTGAAGCTGTTAATGACATCAAATCACATCTTTTCATTTTTTTTTTCATACCTTTTGGTTGCGTTTCCAAAAGGCGCATCGTTCCGATGGTTAAGTAGCCATGTATAGTAATTGTAACCACCGTGGTTACAACGAGTCCAGGTTGCTGATTCTTTTGGTATTTCTTCACGTTAGTTCTTTAGTCTCGTCCTCTTTCCAGCACCAGTCATGTGAATCAAACATAATCCGTCATTGTATAGCAACACGGTATACTTTATTCCATTCCATGTTTAACTCCGATCATACTATTGCCAACATGGTAAAAATTCAAGACGCATATCCTATTCGATGATCACAAAATCCATGCGACGGTGCAACAAAGTATAAATTTTTTTTTTTTCGGGGGAGGGCGACAAGATGAAGGTCATTCAGAGTTTTGCCGTTGATACGTTTGACTGCCCATGACTCCCATGACGTTGCACCTCACGGGATACAAACGGGCTTCCTTCTTACCGTTCGATACTATTGTTCCCATGCTATGCTCGGTCACACAAGAAATAGCTATCCTTACAAAATGGCAAAGTGTTATCACACCAATCGGTCAACTTCCAAAAACAAACAGTTTATTACAAATGGATAAGCTTTTCTTTTCTACTTGCTTTCTTTTTCTCTTATGTCGTCAACTTAAAATAATTATCAGTGTAGGAAGTACTTGTAACTTTGTAGTGTCTATGACTTGAAGGTGGCATTGATTTCTTCCAAAGACTTGCCTGCAGTCTGTATCCAATAATATCATGTTGAGTAACCGATAACATAACACGATGGGAGCGGGGGATAGGGGATGCTTACCTCGGGTACCAAAAAGTAAACCAACAGCCATAATATAAATGAAATACCGGCATAGAACCAGAAAGTCCCAGCGGTTGTCATTGTATCGGTCATGGACAAAAATGTGGTCGAGATGATCAAATTGCAGATCCAGTTCACTGCAGTGGACACCCCGTTGGCTTTTCCACGGACCGACATGTCGAACATTTCACTCTGTACCAACCACGGAGCATATCCCAAGCCAAGAGCATAACTTGCCACATATACAATCAGTGAAGTCAATAGCACGCCTGTGATTGCTTTATCGTTGCCTCGAGCTGGACATCCGGATGCGCTTTGGAAAATATCACTTGGATTCAAGTTGAGGTTGACGCAGGTATCTTGAGAAATCGACCATCCGCAATCAGGATCCAATACACATCGTGAGCAGTGCGTCACGTAAGCACTGCATGAGTCTTGTTTCGGTATGAATCCCTGCTGTGCAGCAAATGTAGCTCCCAATGCAATCAAACCGGCAATCATTGTCAGCATCGTGATCACCAGCATACGACGTCGACCGGCCTTATCGATAATCATCACCGCTATAGCTGTAAACACCATATTGGTGGCAGAAACGATGATCGCCACACTTGTCGATCCTTCGTTGCTTCGAAATCCAGCCATCTGCAAAATTGTCGCCGCATAATACATGGCTGCATTGAACCCGGACAATTGCTGAGCGGCTTGCAAAATACAAGCTATACGATACGAAATTATCGACGTTTAGTTTCCATTCTTACCTAGGGAGCCTAATCCATTCTCTTTTTCACTCACCAATGATAAGCGGACGTAGATTCTGGCGAGTAAACAGATCACGAAAGGTCCCCGATTTACACAAGCGGATATCATTGTCAATGGCTGCGATTTCATTCTCGATAAACGATTCCGATGTCGATGCGCCATAAATTTTTCGTAACGCGGATCGTGCCTTGTCAATTTTACCAATAGCTACTAGTCGTCTCGGCGATTCTGGCAAAAATGGCATGACTAAAAGAAAATCAGAAATGAAGGAAAATAAACAGGACGAGCATTAGTATAGCAAACAGGCTGCGTGATTTGATGCGGATGCGACGTACTGATGAATTGGAAAAGTGCCGGAACACCTGCAAGACCAAACATGTAACGCCATCCGCTGGGAACACGAGTAAATGCAATGTTAATCACATAAGCAATAACCTGACCAAAAGTGATCACCAAGGTATTGAGCGTCGTCAAGCGACCACGGATGTGTTTGGGTGCAAGTTCACCTATAAAGTAAGGGTATGAGTGATTCATCCTCACGATGTAACAATAACTCCTGAGCATTGGTTACTTACTGACATAGACAGGCACGATCATGGAAGCAATGCCCACACCGAGACCGACCACCAACCGGCCGAACAGCAACAAACCATAACTGTTGGCCAGAGCCAGTAACAGAGCTCCTGCAATAAAGACCACAGAGGAAATGATCACCAGTAACTAGAAATACCGTTGCACACAGGTTAAAAACGACTTGATATTCGGGCCTTGAATGCCGGTGCTCTTTTTACCTTTCTGCCGAATCGATCGGAAAGCTAAATTTGATTTAAGAATAAGAAGAGAAAGGCAAGTTGGTCACAGGTTCGAGAAGAAGTCAGGGAACACCAAGGGACTTACCAAACCGGCAAAAAAACCGCCAAAAATGGCACCAAAGGTTGTACCTCCAACCACTAATTCCTTGTTGACCGTGCTCATATGAAAATCGTCCTGCAATGGTCCGAGAGCCCCGGAAATGACTTCCAGCCATTCATATTAGAAAAAAAAAATGATACCAATATTGCAATTGACCGTCACCAAAGACGGGAGACTTACCACCGGTATCATAGCCGAAAAGAAATCCTCCCACACAAACACAGAATACCAATACATAGACGAAAAGCGTGGGTTCCCTGCGTTGCTCTGCAATGAGAGTGATATCCTCATGAGGCAAGACGATCGCATCATCTGCAGACTTGTCTTTATCTGCATCCATGATGATATTCAACTGCAAACTCAAATCAGTATTTGTAACGTCATGACTCGAAGCAAATCGAAAATGTACCAAAGATCGTAATGAAGCAAACTGATCGAGGGCCAAAAGACCTTTAGATCTAAAGCTATACTTTTTTTTTTCTCTTTCCTTTTCTTTCTGTGCGGGATTTACAGAAAGAAAAAAAAAAGTTGAAGCGCGGTTTCAATCTGCGTGGTGTGAGACCTTTGTTTCAGCGACATTTGTCTTTCCCGTCTATTGCACCAGCATTGTCTGCGTAACCTTGTTGACACGGTGATTCAATGTCCCGAAGCGTGTATGCAAAGAATATACCAGAACAACACCAACGAAAACGTCTTGTGGTGAGTACAAGCGAACCGAATCCAATTTTCTGTCATTCTCGGGTAAAGAAAGCTTGCGAGTCAATCTTCTTTTTCGACATGATATAGGAGAAACGATAAGTTTCAATGATGCTTGGTACAAAAAGGACACAGAGATGATGGTGATTTACCAACCTCCGTTTCTTCCAGCAAACTCGCAATGAACCCGTTACATTGACGTGAATTAGAATTAGTCATGGCAAAGGCCGCACAATGTCAGGTACACCAGGAAATCTGGAATCTTTTTCCCTATGAAGTAGAAGACACGTTGCACGAAGAGTCAGTTTTCAGTGACTTGCTTTCTTAACTTCAAATGAGTGGGTTGGATAGCGTAGCCTCTATGAAAAAGGACCTTGACACATCTGGCTCTTGAATTTGCAGAAAGGGCAAGTGACTGCGAAATGTGGCAGCCGATGGTCCGCTTTGTTCTTTCTGCATTGATCCTTGCATAGCAACGTCCTCACTTTCAGTTGACTGTCTCTCACAGCAATATCGGTGGATGACACAAATTGTTGTAAATTAACTCTTTCTAACTTGCTCTAAGACATCGTTCTCTGCAAAAATATTCACTATCGTATGAACAATATAAAGCGGAAAGCGTGATTTCGATGTAATTTGGAGGTAAATAACCTTTGCAATCGTCGTATCAATGGAATGACTATAAGTAGCAAAAGGTTGGATTCAGAAGTTCAGAATCTTGTTGAAGAAATACAAGAAGGAAAAAAAACCAAAGACCTTTTACGTTCTCTGTTTTCCTCTTCAAAATCTGCCACACCTGGAATTACCAATCAATCTTTTATGTGAGTTTCAACCACATACACCTAGTGGAGCAGTGTACAAATTTTGGATCTCTTTTGTGGAAAGAGGACATATAAACAGCATAATTCACTATTCAATGTCAAGCTGCGTTATCGTAAAAACATCACAAAGTGACTAATGGAATGCTTGACAATGGAACGATTTAACGTAGTGATATGACAATATCATGTATACAGTCAAAGATCATATGTATAGAATGACGAAATATCTTAGAGAGCTTAAAATGCACTTTCCAATTCTAAAGGGATCAAAAAGGCGAGTAGGACGTCAGCAAATCGAAGCATTGATTTAGTATATAGAAACAGTATCATCTTGCATATGAAAAAAATGTTTCTGGATCCGGGATTGAGGGTTGATCCACCAATCAAAAAGCGAGATGGTGACCTGCGGCGAGAATTTTTTTTTCCACCCTTGGAAGCAGCATCCCTTCGTTTTTCAAAGTACGTTCAGCTTTTTTTGTGCCCAACCCAGTCACTGCTCGATTGTATTAGCGTTTTTTTCTTGTTTTGTTCCATTAAGCCGTGATATGAATCAGTACACCGGTATCAACACTCAAGGAAATCCATATCTACAGAATGGGTACATGAATGGAACGAATAATTTCATGGCAGGATTGACCCCGGAGATGCAGACAGCTGTGAATGGCTTTCCCCCTCACTTACAACAGCCGCAACCACAACCCACCCAGCCTTCCCAACCGCAATCAACACAGTCCAAATCGGAATCCATGGATGAAATGCAACAACCCACTTTTGATCCTAATAATGTCGCCATGGCAAACTTTATGGCCAAACGGCAAATGTATGCCCAGGGCGGATTTCCTGTCAACATGGCCGGCTTGACCAGCACTGGTATGGAAGCTACGCCATCGTCCATGGCTATGATGGCCATGCAGAATTCAGTTCAACGACCTGTGGCGCCAATGATGGCGCCCAATCAACATCAAGTCAACAACAACTTTCGTCCGAACAATATGGCTTGGTTAGCAAAACAGCAACAACAAGCGGCTATGCTTCAACGAATGGATGAACAACAACGACGACAGTTCCTGATGATGCAGCAACAACAGCAACAGCAGGGACAACCGCAAGCGCCATCGCAACAACCAATGGCAATGCAGAGACCCATGGTGACCACCACTCCACCGTCCGCGGGTGGATTTCCCACCAACGGTGCTATGGCCATGATGAATAATGCTGCGACGGACGCAACGCCGATCATGCCAGAAATAGCGAACATGAATAAACAAGCAGCGAGTAATCGCCCCAACTCTTCCGAAAATGGTGTCAATGCTAAACGAGTTGAAACAGTAAGCGCAAAGCAAATCTTGTCAAGCAAAAATGATAGCAATTGATCCTCGTATTTCATGTTAGATTTTGGCAATGAATCAAGAATTGATTCGATGGTTTGTGGAACGGTACAACAATGGGATCCCTCCCGATGAAGAGGTGAAAACGTAAGTCATTGTATTCCAGAATGGGGTGGTTCTGAACCATAGGATTAAGTATTGTGTTGAATGCAGGTATAAAGCTCGCTTACAGTCCAATTTGACGTATCTCGCTACCATGGCTGATATTGCCATGGTAAAACCTGGTGAGGTAAGTGTACAATACGGCTATATTAAAAATACCAAAAACTCACATGGTTTACCTGGGATGACGAAAAGGATCATAAAATCCCGGCTCCTCCAGATCTTTCACCATTGCCTACACCAAAGACGGACATCGCTACAAAAATACATGCTCTTTTAAGCACGGCGCAATCGCTGTTTGGCAACCAAATGAATAACCTCAATAATACCGCTAATAATAACAATAATCCGTCGACGTTGCAGGACAACAAGGCAAGTAATGGTCACGGAAATGATCCAACCGCTTCTCCTTTCTCGCAAACGAGTTCACATACACCTCAGCAAGCTCAGCAATCGCCTGTTCAGCGCCACACACCCCAATCGCAACCGCAAACCCCACAGCAGCAACAACAACAACTGCTTCGCCAGCAAGCCTCCGCGATGCGACAGCAGCAGCAGCAACAATTTCTCGAAAATGTCAAAATGACAAATAGTATACCAGCGGCTGGACGAAACGCAATGATGCCTGGTCAGATGGATTCTCCAGCCATGATGCGACAAGCGCAATCCATGCCGCCGCAACCTCAGACCATGATGCCGTCCCATCCAGCGCCACCACCTTCGATGCAGCAACAACCAATGATGACAAGTATGGGCATGGGGATGTCCATGGGAGGTACGATGGCAGGCACCATGACTGGGAACGATATGATGATGAACCCAGGCTATAACCCTATGACGCTGAGTCAAACAGGGTCGCCGATGCCGCAAAGCATCAATGGTGCAACGGCCGGGCTTACATCGATGGCGATGAGTATGCCGGGAGGTGTGACGCCCGATTTTATGAGCAATGGAATGATTAATCCGGCGCTCATGATGAACAACGGGACGGATTTGATGCAGATCTATGGTACAGTAAACTCTGATGATGCCAATAATTATCAGAATGTGCTCATGATGATGAAACGATTACAGCAACAGCAGCAGCATCAGCAACACCAACCACAGCACCAACCACCACAGGAATTTGAAGACCAATTCGTTAACCGTTCATAATCATCTCCCTGATCTATTCCCTTTTGTCGTTTCTTCTCTCCCTCTTTTTTTTGTTATTATTTCATTTTCAAATGTTCAGAGTCTCACCGCTTGATGCTACCGTTTCTTTTTTTACATCTTCATACTAGGTTAGGCATGTTTCCCAATGTTGGATGATTTTTCTTCTTCACGTGTATCTGTAAAAAAAATTGATTTTTGCATAATGTTCTTTCGAGTTACACTATAAACGAACAAAAACAATACAACATTATCCACGACATTGTATCCACTGTTACATCCTTCATCAAAAGTAATCGTATCATCTTGATGAAGCGCAGCTATAAAGCAAAATAAGAGGCGATTGTGATTATGATATGTTGCCTCTCTCTCTCTCTCTCTCTCTCCCTCTCTCTCTCTCTCTTTTTTCCCCTCTTTCACTGATCAGATATTTGGTTTTAGAGCTGTTCTTTGCAAGATGCCCTTTTTTCTTATTAGGATGTTTGCGTAATTTTTCTTTATATAGTGTGTGTATATGGGGATGATGTATGTTCATTTAATCTTGACTCAATCCGACCAACTCCTTACCCATCTTCTTGTCCAAGCGACAGATAGGATATTCCTTGATCATGCCGATGTTCACCTTGTGACCGAGCAAATCACGGATATTCTGGATACCGTATTTCACCATGGTAGGGCGTTCTAAACCGAGACCCCAGGCAATGACGCGAACATCCGGTGGCAAGCCCAATGGCAACAACATCTCTGGTCGGAACATACCCGAGTTACCGATTTCGACCCACGTCTTCAAACCTTCGTGGTAAGAGAAGATTTCCATACTAGGCTCGGTGTAAGGGTTGTAGGTAGGCTTGAAACGAATCTTATCCATGCCCATCTTCTTGAAGAAGACATCCATGAAACCAATCAAATCACCCAACGTCAAGTTTCTGTCCGCAATCACACCTTCAATTTGATGGAATTCGGCCAAATGAGTGGCATCCACGGACTCATTACGGAAGACACGATCGATGGAGAAATACTTGGCTGGCTTGAAACCTTCGACCTTTGACTTCTCGGCGAGCTGGTACAGCATGTATGAACTGACGGCGGTTGTGTGAGTACGCAAAATCAGTTTGCCAGCATCCTCTTCCTTCCACTTGTAGTTGTAACCGATAGAACCCGTATCACCACCATTTTCGTGGGTGCGCTTGATCTTTTCCATCAAATCACGAGGGAAACGATCGGTCGTAGCGGGATCTAAATGAAATATCAGTCAATGTTCGGACGAGGAAACCCCCTTTCTACTTCAAAGCAGAACAAAAAGAGGGAAAAAGTTAGAGCTTACCCTTGATGAAGAAAGTATCGTGAGCGTCTCTTGCAGGATGTTGTTGAGGTTGGAAAAGAGCATCAAAGTTCCAGAAGCTGGATTCAACAAAGCAGTTGGTGGGCATTTCCTGGAAACCCATTTCGAAGAAAATTTCACGGAATTCCTGACGCACCTTCATCAAAGGATGAAGATGACCACCAGCAGGAGGCACACCCGCGGCATCAAAGTTGTATTTCTTGAACGTAGCATTCTTCCATTCGCCACTAATCCAGACACACATGCATTGAATATTTTGAATATGTTTCCCCAAATGCCATTCCAAACTAGGCCAATCCTCACAGAAACTTACGATTGCAGCATTTCATAAGTAATGTCAGTGGCTTCCTTCTTGATCTCAAGCGAGAACTGAGGTCCCTTGACCACCTTGTAAGAAGTGAATTTCCTAATACACAAAAAAGACGTCGGCTTAGTTGAGAAAAAAAAAGGTGGATATACGATCAGACGGTCTTCGTAAAAGACTTACTGCTTGTCTGTTAATTTTCTCTTTTTCAAATCGGCCAACACTTTGGCATCCTTGTGTGTAGAGGTGCTCTGAATTTCCTGAAGCTCCTTTTGTGTCTGATCTACGATGCTGTCGACGGAGCGAACAAGGTTGGCTCCATTTTTGGCAATCCACTTGTTCTTGAAAGCTTTGCCTTGACCGACCTTGGCGGCATCTCCCAACTTGGCCTGTGGGACAAAACACGATTATGGTGTTTAGTTCCCATATCGCACACCATCAATAGACAAAAATGAACCGTTACCTGAAGTTCAGTGATGGCAATACCTTCGGGACCCGAAGGAACGGCGGCAAAGACACGTGCTTCGTGGCTGCCTTGGTCAACACATTGCTGACCTTCGGGTGTCAAAGTCCAGACTTCACGTTCAATAGCTTTGTAATCGACCATCTAAAAATTGAAACAAAAGGCCGTTTACGGAAACGCATAAGTCAAATGGTCGAGTGAGGATGACAAAGACTTGGAGTTACCTCTTTGGACTTTAAACTGTTCAGCGCACCCAACAAGGCGAGCTGATCGACGGCATTACCGTCCTTCTTTAAAGCAACCGAGTCTTCAATTTCATTCTGCTTGTCGAGGGTGGTAAGCACCAACGTCTGCAACTCTTCCGTGGTCGCCATTTTGAATTTCAAAGTTCTTTCAGAAAACCTAGAAGAAACCCTTTTTTTTTTGTTGAGCTGTGGCAGTTTCCTCGCTTCGGCGGGCTCAGCCACCCAATGAGCAACGATCCGATTCCTCTGATTCGCGGGTTTTCAAAAACAAAAAACTTTGGTTGCGCCACCTTCACCCTTAATCTTTTGATCGATCAAAAAGAAAAAATCATATGCAACCCTTCGAGTAAGAAAATATTAATAATTTGCATTATTTGTATACCTAACGAACTTTGTTGATGGGCTATTAAAATCTAGCATTTAATATTAACTATAGAACAATACAGCATGGACATTCTGGTTGGAGAGCTTTCAACGTCTTTGTTGAAGTACATAGAATGTAGATCTCTATGGGAACAGGTTATGGATATCGTCATCTTCAAATATTGCTTGCACTTGCTGTGTTGAGTTCTATCATTAGTTGCCAATGTGTCGACCGAGCAAGCAATCATACTGCTGCCGCAAATGTTCAAACGGAGAAAAAGTGCCATGGCAGGCCGTAGTAGTGTCTACCGCTTCACCTTCGGTTAGGATGCTTTGTCGCAGCTTTTCCCGATAACCCGACGCGCGTTCAACCAAAAATACCATCGCTGAGCCCGAGCAATTTGTTATCGCTTTTTCCAGTAGAATGGGACACCGATGCGACCCACCGTTTGGCTTGCTCGTTCAATTCAGCAAACCGGGTTTTGACCGCCAATGATATTGTAGTCGATCTGAACTGTGAACTTGCATAAAGCAGCACTAATTGACCCCCTCCGTTCTTTCAACGCTTAGGCTATGATGGATTAGGCCGGTTTGCTCGACATTTTATAATTGCCAAGAGTACTTTAATTCAAAAAACTCATTCAAGATATTTTACGCTATTCCTCTGCTTCTTTTCGTACACCTTCATCGATCTTTTCATTCGACTGCGTTACTTCTTCTCTCCACTGTTTTACCTGACAGTGACAATTCTGATTTCTTGATAGTCATTGGTAACCCAACATCATCTAGACCGTATGACCCAAAATCCAAATCCGTCAAGCCCAAAGCCTCCACAGCAAAACAGGCTCAAGGAAATAAAAGGAAATTCAATAGGGTAACCGCGTAAACATACTCTTGGGTGCGGAAAATAAGGTTGCCTGCATGGTCAACTTGTCGGTGTAACATTGTGTGTCGATGGAACTAGGTTGAAAAAGGCGGATCATTATCCTGCGCGGGAATGCCGACTAAGCCCTTGCTTAACCAAAAAGCAATACAGTGGTGGCCCATTGCCTCACCATCGCGAACCATTTTGTCCTTGAAATGAGTATGAACCATGAGTTCGTCATGTTTTCGTCTTCATTTCCCTTTTGCAAAAAGAAAACCACCTCTGCCTCTTCAATTGAATGTAATCCAAGATGAACAAAGCGTATCAGGATCGCTGGGAAAGCTTGTTGCCGATTCCTCGTTTTGTTATGATGATTGCGATCGCCGAGAGATTCGGTGGTGGTTCCCATTTTCCGCGTGCAATGACCAAATCACTCACCGAATTGCAGTCAAAGCAATCGGCTAATGATATAGTATGCAGTAACGAATGGAGTGGTCAAGAAGAGGGTGATTTTATTCAAGAGAAATTAATTACAAAGAAAGGAAGCCACACTAGACAACTAAAACTAAGGCGGCCAAATAGGTTTTTTTTTTCTTCTAATTATATTGATGTAGTCAGAAGAAATGCCTCCCCGCCGCACTCAGGAAGAGACACCTACCCCATCAAAGCCGATGGGCGAGGTAGTGCGTTAATTCGCTAAAGAAGATTCTGCTATCTTTTTCTGATTTATTATACGCAGGAAACCCCTCCATAGCTCGCATTTAGATGGCAAATCCTTTTCAGTCTTGCACATCAGACAGCCCACAGCCACTAAAACGCTGCGGTGTGGTTCAGAAATAAAAGAACCCCTTCCGGATGAGAATCAGTTAAATCCACTAAGGCCTGCAATGCAAGTGAAAGACAGAAACAGGGCTAGAAAAGCCAGACGCGGTCACCTTCCTTCATAGGGCCCGTTATACTGGAAGTCGTTACAACGACCTACCCCGCCTTTAGACTGAGCTTCATTCAGGAACAACGCATGCGGGATCAATTTCTGGAAACACCATTCAGGCTTCTAGGTCACGAGCAACCCGCACCACTACTGGGCCCATCTGCATTGGGGGACCGCCACAGGAGGAAGCGTAGCCGATGACTGACTCCGTTGAAGAAGCATCAGCTCTCCTGCGGAGGTTTTATACAGAGTTGCGCCTGAATAAACCTGGGGGTGCAGCAACGACGGCAGTAGCAGCTACGGGGTGATGTCTCTGTAAACCATGTCTCATAAAGAAACCGTTGCTTGACAGAGTGAAGGAAAACCCAAACGCCCAAACCGGTAGGGATGCTTCCTGACGAACACCAGGACAACCGAGGAAAGGACCTGGACCAAACCAATAGAGCTCACCGTAGCTCTGTCAAAGAAAAAAAAAGGTTGCTTTTACTATGACCTTGTTGGAAAAAAATGTAGGAAAAGGGAAAAAGGCCACTTACCACGAAACTACTCGTTATTTAGCCGCACCGAAGAGAGAACAGAACAGGCTGCTGACCACTGTAAAGAAAAAAAAGGTAAGATTTCTAGACCAATAGAATAAGAGGATTAAGTCGGCTTGCCAGAAAAAGCCAGAAAAAAGCGCGTTTTCTGGTGGCCCTCTTTTTATATTGAATTGAAAAAAGTGGTCACTTTCGGGATTAACGGAAGGATACGGCCGCCCAAAAAGCCTACTTGGGAAGCGACGTTACACAAATGGAACCTTAATTTGCGCATGGACGGGGTTGAAGATTTTTGTGGTAATGTCATCATCCAAGTTCACTTTTGATAATGTAATTGAGGAAAGCACCTTGGATTTTTTTCCCGACGTCTTTAGACCAAGACGGGCCCGTTTTACGAAACTTGGTTTTGAGGTCACATGAACCTTTAACGCCAAAATTGGTATCCGGTTTCAGATAAAGAAAGGAAGCTGCCCTATTTATAGTGATCACAGCCAAACTAAGGCCGCGTTGTTGTGGTGTATGCCGAATTAATAGTAAACTGATACTTGGTGAAATGCTAGGCAACTGGTAGCTCGTTACGTTGTTCTTGTTCTGTGCCATCTCAGCAATGCCAATTCACTAATCAAACACGTAATGTCACGATTGTGCAATTGCAGAGCAGATCAGGACGAAATGGTTCCTGACCAGTACCAAGAAATCTTGTATTGGTGATCCCGTTCTCCAATATTCTATTTTGGTTTTTATTTTGTCAGATCCTAATTTTCGCAGCATCATATATCCAGTTTGAACACAACATCAAACAACACACTAATTTCGTTATACATCCACCTCCGTGCCAAGTTTCTCGGGTATGATTAACTTCATATTTTTTTATTCTTTTAAATCTGATCCTCGGATGGCTTATTTATCTTTTTTTTTCGTTAGCTCGTTTGATTGATGATGTTATTGAACTCGTCCAATCGGTCAAGAGAGAATTAAGCTTGTCATTGCCGATAAGGGTACCAGGCCCCTCGCCTCAAAGATCATGACTGTTATCAATAATTTTCTTGACGTTGGAATCTTTGATTTCCGCAAGGATATCCTGATTATCCGTTACTTGGAGGGTGGCCTCTCTTCCGTGCTTGGTGACTCACACAGCAATAACTGGAAACAGTGATGACGCCAACTTGTCCACGGACGGCGTCGACTAGTTCGAATCCTCGTGCGAGAGAGTCCAGATTGTCGATGGCTGCCTTACCGGGAAGGAGCAAAATGATGAAGAAGGTTGATACATACACTGTAGTATATGTCGACCTTCCATCGGCCTTGTCCTTGTGTTCTTTTCTTGCGAAAGCACTTAACACCACCCCCTTGTGCAGCTTGTACTGAGCTAAGCAATGAAATTTGGATCGCACCTGTTTCGATTGGTACAGCACCGGACATTTGTGCGCAAGAAGTGTTTTCATTTTCCAGTAATGAGTAGGCCGCGACCAAAAAGACCCTGGTATTTCTCGTTGGCGTAAAGTGGCTTGTAATTGGGCCCATGTTTATCGACGTAATATCCAGGCGCATGCTAGAAGTAACCAGCAGGTTGCAGCTGTGGGTCCCAATGACCAGCTTCGGACCGTCATCTCGTTTGACTGGATCGAAAATATTTGGAAATAGCCGTAACGATCTTCGGTGGCCGGATACGATGAAGGCACACCAGGGAGACGGCGTTCGTAGTGACTGTCAAGTGACATGTCACGATAGTGGATCTTCTTCCTTCAACTTGGATGCCTGCAGCTTCGAGCGTGGGCGCGCGAAATGACTGGTGGTTGGCTCCACTGTTTACAGAAGCGATGTCCAAGCGCAAGCTAGAAGTGACCAGAATCGTCGTTTTCCGAATATATAGCGTTCCGTATCTTCTTTCATTGATTTGATCGCTGCAATTCGCATATAGTCAGCGCCGGTCTAGAGGCATCACCATGGGGAGCGGAAACCGTAACTCATAATACAGAGAGAAGATTAATAAATAATCGATAAATGGCAATGATCCATCCATTCATCGATCAACATTTATGTAAATTGGAAACACGTAAAGTCACGATGATATCATAACGCTCCTGAAAAAAGCTGAGGGGTCGAGAGATAAGTGCTTCAACTCCCGACAAACGGAAGACAGCGCAGCGGTCATAATTGCCATTACTTGCCCCTAACCAGTAAATCGCTTGCACCACAAACCCCAACGCCGCAGCAATATCAACAATTCAGCACTTCCAAGCAATTCCCACACTTGCTGCTCCCGTCCAAGAATGCTTCCAACCAAGCTATTCCCAGCAAGGTTGTCCTACTTCCGAGAATCCCACCTTAGTTCCGACGATTTACGAAGATCACGTTGCAGGTCAGGGACCTGTCAAGTCCTCCCACCCGTTCCGAATCCAGCGAATGCTGAAGAGCAACGGAACGGCAGAGTATACTTCTCAGCAGCCTCAATTAAGCCGGAAGACAGCATTCCAGCGAATCCTAGTCTGTGCAAGTGGACGTTCCTCTTCTAGCTCAGGTTAACATCCTGAACACTGTTACCGGTACATATAAAGCTAGGGGAAGGTCCCATTTACATCTCATCCACTTCCAACGACGAGCCTGACTTTAAGAAATTATCATCCATAGGAGGAAGGCGAAAATGATCAGCTTCAGGCCTCCTTTGAAGAATCATCCTCTTCTGTATAGAGAAATATCATAAACTCTCTTGGATTGCCGTCGTCTGGAAAAAGGCGTTAGCTACAATACACAGTCCTCATTTATGCACTTTCAGCATGAAGAGTCGCTCGGCCCTTCTAGCCCTGCAAGATACTGTGCCATCTTCCCTGAGGCCGTATGCTGCCTTTTTTTTTCCACCGCAAGCCCCACATCAGTTCTTGGTGTATTTCACACATTCGCAAGACCTTTTTTCGCCCTCCCACCTATCGTTCCGCGACAGTCGCGTCCTTCCAGCAGTCGCGTCCTTCCAGTTGCAGTCGCGCGATCACCGCTTAAACCCATTCTATCACTCTTCCCTGCTGAATCTGCCATCACAAAAATGAATCTTCACTCCGACTGAATCTCTGCCATCACTCAAAAGTGAATCTGATTCACAACTGAATCTGCCATCACAAAAATGAATCTTCACTCCGACTGAATCTCTGCCATCACTCAAAAGTGAATCTGATTCACAACTGAATCTGCCATCACAAAAATGAATCTTCACTCCGACTGAATCTCTGCCATCACTCAAAAATGAATCTGATTCACAACTGAATCTGCCATCATAAAAATGAATCTTCACTCCGACTGAATCTCTGCCATCACCCAAAAATGAATCAGATTCACAACTGAATCTGCCATCACAAAAAATGAATCTTCACTCCGACTGAATCTCTGCCATCACTCAAAAGTGAATCTGATTCACAACTGAAGCTGCCATCACAAAAATGAATCTTCACTCCGACTGAATCTCTGCCATCACTCAAAAGTGAATCTGATTCACAACTGAATCTGCCATCACAAAAATGAATCTTCACTCCGACTGAATCTCTGCCATCACTCAAAAGTGAATCTGATTCACAACTGAATCTGCCATCATAAAAATGAATCTTCACTCCGACTGAATCTCTGCCATCACCCAAAAATGAATCAGATTCACAACTGAATCTGCCATCACAAAAATGAATCTTCACTCCGACTGAATCTCTGCCATCACTCAAAAGTGAATCTGATTCACAACTGAATCTGCCATCACAAAAATGAATCTTCACTCCGACTGAATCTCTGCCATCACCCAAAAATGAATCAGATTCACAACTGAATCTGCCATCACAAAAAATGAATCTTCACTCCGACTGAATCTCTGCCATCACCCAAAAATGAATCAGATTCACAACTGAATCTGCCATCACAAAAAATGAATCTTCACTCCGACTGAATCTCTGCCATCACTCAAAAGTGAATCTGATTCACAACTGAAGCTGCCATCACAAAAATGAATCTTCACTCCGACTGAATCTCTGCCATCACTCAAAAGTGAATCTGATTCACAACTGAAGCTGCCATCACAAAAATGAATCTTCACTCCGACTGAATCTCTGCCATCACTCAAAAGTGAATCTGATTCACAACTGAATCTGCCATCACAAAAATGAATCTTCACTCCGACTGAATCTCTGCCATCACTCAAAAGTGAATCTGATTCACAACTGAATCTGCCATCATAAAAATGAATCTTCACTCCGACTGAATCTCTGCCATCACCCAAAAATGAATCAGATTCACAACTGAATCTGCCATCACAAAAATGAATCTTCACTCCGACTGAATCTCTGCCATCACTCAAAAATGAATCTGATTCACAACTGAATCTGCCATCACAAAAAATGAATCTTCACTCCGACTGAATCTCTGCCATCACCCAAAAATGAATCTGATTCACAACTGAAGCTGCCATCACAAAAATGAATCTTCACTCCGACTGAATCTCTGCCATCACTCAAAAGTGAATCTGATTCACAACTGAATCTGCCATCACAAAAATGAATCTTCACTCCGACTGAATCTCTGCCATCACTCAAAAATGAATCTGATTCACAACTGAATCTGCCATCATAAAAATGAATCTTCACTCCGACTGAATCTCTGCCATCACCCAAAAATGAATCAGATTCACAACTGAATCTGCCATCACAAAAAATGAATCTTCACTCCGACTGAATCTCTGCCATCACTCAAAAGTGAATCTGATTCACAACTGAATCTGCCATCACAAAAATGAATCTTCACTCCGACTGAATCTCTGCCATCACTCAAAAGTGAATCTGATTCACAACTGAAGCTGCCATCACAAAAATGAATCTTCACTCCGACTGAATCTCTGCCATCACCCAAAAATGAATCTGATTCACAACTGAAGCTGCCATCACAAAAAATGAATCTTCACTCCGACTGAATCTCTGCCATCACCCAAAAATGAATCTGATTCACAACTGAATCTGCCATCACAAAAATGAATCTTCACTCCGACTGAATCTCTGCCATCACCCAAAAATGAATCTGATTCACAACTGAAGCTGCCATCACAAAAAATGAATCTTCACTCCGACTGAATCTCTGCCATCACCCAAAAATGAATCAGATTCACAACTGAAGCTGCCATCACAAAAAATGAATCTTCACTCCGACTGAATCTCTGCCATCACTCAAAAATGAATCTGATTCACAACTGAATCTGCCATCACAAAAAATGAATCTTCACTCCGACTGAATCTCTGCCATCACTCAAAAATGAATCTGATTCACAACTGAATCTGCCATCACAAAAAATGAATCTTCACTCCGACTGAATCTCTGCCATCACCCAAAAATGAATCAGATTCACAACTGAATCTGCCATCACAAAAAATGAATCTTCACTCCGACTGAATCTCTGCCATCACTCAAAAATGAATCTGATTCACAACTGAATCTCTGCCATCACGAATGAAATTTCCAATGGAATCTCTCACTGCAACGGGAATCTGCAAAATCAAGCAACGAGAGTTTCGGGGATGGAATTCGGCTCATCAATTTTTTCACAATGATGGCAGAAGTGCACAGCAGCAAGAAAATTGACCGTTTGATGCAGATTGGCTGCACCTAACTGTCCCAAAAGTTGAATGCCGTTCTTGCAAAGCAATAAAAAGTTTTCCTCTTGGAAATTGTTTTCCACACTCCGTTTTCTTCTTTCTCCATACAGCCGTGTCAATTATAGTGCAAGTAAGTGATTGGATTTTCAAGTATCTTTCCCTGACAGCTGGAACTAGTAAACAATGGGTTCAGTCTAATTATCCCTATGGTTACGGTGCTGGTTACCTATGACATTGGTGTGGACCATATCTCCATATGTAAACCATGCCGAAGTTTTTGGCTGCTGGTATACAATGCCTTGATTGACGATGTACCGATGATGTACGATGCTCAGAATATTGTATGCTCTTGTGTGAATCTCATGTCAGAACATTGAGTAAAGAGCGCATCTTTCTGATATTTTATATCTTCGTTGCATGTATTGCATACCTCGTATTGGACTTTAGCATGACTATATAACCATGGACAAACTTCTTTCCTTCTTCATGGTTGACAGCTCTGATATTCAGTAAGTGGAAGCTGAAAAGTCTCCTGTCGTGTCTGCGTTCAAGATATTGTGGCTGCAATGATGTCATGTTTCGTCTTAGATAGTTCAACCGCGGGAATTTTCAATAAGGAATATAAGTAGTATATTGTATCTATAGTTCAGTTCATTTCTATACACTCAATGATTATAAAACGAAATATGATTGAGGCAAACAGTTCATCTGGTGCGATTCAAATATAGTTAAAGAGGTATGAATTTCTGTCTCCGCGCCTGATCCGCTCTTTTGCGTCCCGTTTCGAGGTGCTGATCTTGCTAAAGCCCAAGGTTCCCCTTTTGGTTGACCCCCCCCCCACGCCCAAGGGGTAGCGTCTACATGAATTTTTCCATGGAGTACAATCTCATCTTGTCGCGCTCCTCGTCCTACCGAAATCACTGTGTGGAATGATACATTTTATCTTTTACACAGCCACCAACCTTTGGGTATTGTGGCATCGGATGTCCGTGCTGCAATTGCTGAGCGACTGTTATGTTTCCAACCAAGCACAGTGGATCACAAATAAAAAAAAAAAAAGTCAAAACGTGTGAATTTGCCACTGGAACCGACAGCACAATCTCTCGGCCAACCAACCTCATACATCTCCTCCTGTACATCTCTGCTCGGTGCCACTCCCAATGAACATTGAAAAGTGTGGTCCTCTTTTTTTCGATCGCAAGCCGGTAACCAATATGTTATTGACCGGTCAATGCTTATTTCCGTGCTATATTATACTGTATGGGCAACACCGACCACCGAGTCTTTAACTGCCTGTATAAAAGCACTAGAAGGTACAGTGTCTCTCGGGTCCTTCGCAGCGACAACCATCTGCCGGTTTGATATTCTCACGAAAGCTCTCGCAAGGCATCCCAACAGTGACCAAGGATTCGCACCCGTTCATCATCATTATCAAGCGAATGGCGTAATTAAACGCTTTTTGGAAACACTGCCCAACATGGTGCAATCGCATGTCTTCCACCTGGGATATGCAAATTTCCGAGTTCTCTCTGGCGTACCATTCCCAATTTCCATCAAGCGACAAAATTCTGCCTTTCAGCCTAATGTATTCCGCGACCCCAGAACGTTTGCGTATCCCGATTTTTGGTTCCATCCAACACCAGCTACAAACCTAAGATATCCTGATTCGGGCGTGGGAGTGTGATCATCGGGGGGAACCCTCAAATGCAAGCTTCCAGAGTTATCTAGTATATGATCGGCGCGAGTCAACCGACTTTGTGGGAGACGACCTCATCTTGATGGATTGCCTGAATGCTGCCCTAGGCCAGGCCAAGAAGCTTGGCCCTTCAAATTCCTCACCCTGCTTCTGTCTGCCTGCCATGATCTGCTGAACGCGGCAAGCAACATGGACACGGTCGACCTCAAATGCCTGAATGCCATACATGGTCTGCGTCATGGTAAAGATTTTAATTACGCACTAATGAAAATCTTCACCTTAGAACACCAGTCATAGATTGATCCTTTTGCCTCAGTTATACTATTCATAGCTCCAGCAAGAAGAATGACTTACCCACAGCTTTTATCTGACACGAAATTTGCATCCGGAACTTTGGAACTCTCCTCCCATCATAGTTAATATTCAAAACTTGATTGCCGTGCACTGTCGTATCAGGATTGTGATATATGAGAGGATTTAGAACAAAAGAGACAATAAGAATCCTTTGAGACTGTTGGATGATCTTTATTTCGATTAATGTGATCTGCCTATTTATACTTTAGTCTTGAGGCGGAATTAATAATTATCAGTGAGCAGTCCTCGGTTATAAGGTGTATTAGGAAGGATCCACATGCTGTGATGTGACAGCTTTACCCGTATGAATTGATCTCGGCGATAGATCCAAGTTATGGATGAAGAGGCTCAATCGGTGTTCTAATGGAGAAGCTCACTCAGAATGGAAACACGTCTAGATCCCGATCTTTCCTGTTTGGGAACACCAGTCTAGGATGGATAATACGACAAGTAGTGGATATACCACAAGGATCTTTCGTTAATACGTCTCCGATGACTTTCTCGGATTGTAAGGTTATTGTCGTATAGATAGGGTTCATATACCACTACATAAGAATTACCTCGGTTTAAGCAGATAAGAGACACTAGAGTAGTTACACACTATTTGTACATTCAAATCCCGATACCAGTTATTATCTTTGAATACCAGATACTAAAGAGATCATCTCTTTCGAGAATAAACAACAGTCTCACCGTACTCAACGTCTCGATCCATCTATATCACATTTTTTACGGTGAATACTACCAAGATGAACCCCGCCAACGAGAATTTGACCGAGATGCACGCATCCAAGGACGTGCCAATGACGGATGCATCGGATGCATCCACCGATCAGGGTTCCCCTATGGCCCAGTCAACTTGGGCATCCAAGCATGTTTCTCCGACTGCCGCGCTCAAACGCCGTCTAGAGGATTGCCAAAAGGAACTGGAGGAGTTACTTATTCAGTTGGGTACTCAGCAACATCCTGCAGACAAAGCAGGCGCTGTTAGAGACGAGGCCCACAAACTCTTGGCAGAGAGAGACTCTCTCCGTCAACTCCTGGCCGGTTATGACGTTCCGGATATAAGGAATCCGCTCCAGTCCTCTGCTTGGGAGAGTAAGATTGGGGATTCTTATCCTATGAAGGGTATCAAGGGCCCTAAAATTACTGCTAGGGACATTCCTTTGTTCCAATGGCGTGGTTGTCCCTGGACCTTGAATAAGAACAGAGATGTTTTCACTTCGGTGGAGCACTTCTGTGCCAATTTCCGTCGCCTGTTGGTTCAAGCCAATTATGAGCTTGACCAGCATTGGGAAGAATGGTTTATGTTTGCGCTTCCGGACCAAGCAGATGATTGGTTCAACGCAAATGTGGCGAACCGTGGTTTGGGATGGGAACAGGCATGCGTTCTCTTTAAAGAACGTTATGAAAATCCCGACCATTATAACAAAGCGGTCAAGAAAATTGCCATTATGAAAATGAATGGGAGCGAATCCCTTACTCGTTTTGGTGAGCGCTTTTTGCGCGCTTTGAAAGAGTGCAAACTCATTGACGGTCCTCTGGCTGCTGGTGTTTTCCAGATAAACATGACCGCATATATGGAGAATCAAGTGCTCAACACTTGGACCCAACGTAACGGCTCCAAGCCTATCTCTTCTGTGGAGGCCTTGCTCCAAATTGCTCCGTTCATTGTCGACAAGAGAGTAACGGAGGGTGATAGTCACCATGGTGACTACAAACACAAGGCGGGTAAGCGTTACCACCGATCTGTGTCTCCCATTTTACGCAAGCGGCCCTTTAAGGGTGAGAACGTGAAGAAGGAGAAGGTCGAAAACAGCCGACCGAATTTGCCACAGACTTGCCTGTATTGCAAGAAAGCCTGGTTTCAAGGCCACCGTTGCGAGGCTTACCAGGAGGCGCACAAGATTAAGCGCCAAGAAAAACGTCTCCGTCGTTTGCGCCTGGATGAAAAATCCGGCAAAGCCAAAGTTGGTGCTAAGCAAGCACTACGTAAGCAGATGCAGGACGACCACCCTGCCAAGGAGGTTATTGATACCATCCTGACCGAGCTTGAAGAAGAAGAGCTCAGCCGAACTGCACAACGTAAGTCTCTTAAGCTATACAGTATCCGCAACGAACAAAATTCAAGTATGCTAAAGACACCTATCATGATTCAGAATGAACGAATCTTGGGTCTCGTGGACACCGGTGCAGAAATGTCCATCGTCAGCAAAAACTTGTGTTCGTTAAATAAATGGCCAATCTTTAATGCCAAAGGATCTATCTTGTATGCTAGTAGAGGAGACACAGTGAAGCGCATTGGAACTACTGCTCCACTGGATATTATTTACAATGGTCGTAACATCCGTCATAGCTTTGAAGTTATGGAGTTAGCAGATGAATGTGAATTAATTCTGGGTATTGATTTATTGCCGCAACTTGGAATTGCTCTCACTGGCGTCGCGACTGATTGGGATACATCAGAAACCCATCAGGCCAAAGAGGAGATGGCAATCGTGCCAAAAGCCGAAACATATCAACCCAATGAATCACCAGCAGGTACAGAAACAGAACATGTTCACTTCATGCGATCTGTTCAGCCGTTTATTAAGGCCAATGCTGCTATACCTAAGGGAAGTTTTTGTACTTTACCTGAATCTATTATTCATCTATCAACGCCCGAAGGAGTTACTGCATACCAAAGACAGTACCCTTTGCCGTTCACCATGAGACCAGTCATTGATAAGGCTGTTCAAGGTTGGTTGGATGAGGGAATTATTGTCCGTGCTGCTGTGAATTCATCCTGGAACAGTCCATTGACTTTGGCTGACAAGAAGGATGCATATGGCAATAAGACTGGCAAACGACCTTGCCTGGATCCCCGTCATATCAACAAACATTTACCTGATGATCGTTACCCTTTACCATTGATCAAGGAAATTTTTCAATCCTTAGGAGGAAACACTGTGTTCACTACATTGGATCTAAAAAGCGCATTTCATCGTTTCAAGATCCACGAAGCGGACCAGCATAAAACCACGTTCACTCACGATGGTATTCAATATATGTTCCAAGGATGTCCCTTTGGTTTGAAGCCGATTTCATCCAAGTTTCAGAGAGTGATGTCTTTGATTTATCAACATCTGCCATTCGTGCGGACATTTGTGGATGATATCGTTATCTTCTCTCCATCGATTTCTGAGCATATCACACATGTTCAAACAGCCATTCAGGCTCTGACCGACGTGAATTTACTGCTCAATCCTGCAAAATGCCATTTTGCGCAATCTTGCATCTTCCTACTTGGTTTTTGCATTTCAGCTGAAGGCGTCGTACCTGATAGCCGCAAACTTACCAATGTGATGTCATGGCCAATTCCACGTACTGGTAAGGAGGTCCAGAAATTTATGGGTGTTATCAATTATTTCCGCGATCATATTCCTACCGTTGCTACCATCAGTGCTTCTATCGATGCACTTCGTTCGGCTGGTAGTTTAACGAACCTATGGACCGATGTGCACACTAAGCATTTCCAGATGCTTAAAGATATACTGGCTCAACAGCTTTTGCTGGAATATCCTGATCTCAACAAGCCATTCCTTGTCGCAACTGACGCATCCAACTATGGTATTGGTGCTGTATTATTTCAGATGCAAGGTAAAAGGAAACAATACATTTCCTTCATGGCTCGAGCTCTCAGTAAGTCCGAACGCAACTACTCAACTACGAAGAGAGAGTTATTGGCCATTGTTTATGCTCTCCAGAAGTTTCACCAGTATCTTTGGGGTAATCCGTTCACACTTTATACGGACCATAAGGCGCTTGTTTATCTTCACACTCAGAAGATTGCAAACCCCATGATGCTTACCTGGTTGGACACTATCCTCGATTACACCTTTACGGTTGTCCATTTACCTGGTGTTCAGAATGTTCTCCCTGACTCTCTTTCTCGCTTGTTTATCCCTGATGACAAGCTGGAGGGGGGTATTGTCGTCAAAGGACCGAAGCCAGTTGTATCAAAGAAGTCTACTGATGGACACAAAATATTCAGGATTAAATCCGTTGCTTCAACTGATGATACGATGTGTCCACCAGAGAATGAAAGACACGGTATCTTGGAAAAAGCACATTTACTTGGAGGTCATGAAGGAGCTGAACATATCGTACGACATATCCATGCAGATGGTATCCACTGGAATAATATATTCCAAGATGCTGTGACATTGGTCAAGTCATGTATTGAATGTCAACGCTACAACATAGGGCAGAAAGGCTATAATCCCTTGAGACCAATCTATGCATACCTTCCTGGAGATCACTGGGCTGCTGATCTTATCAATTTTCACAAGACATCAAATGCCGGTAACAACTATATTCTGGTACTTGTGGATATTTGCACTCGTTTCTGCATTTTACGTGCTTTACCGAACAAACAATCAGATACACTCGTCAAAGCATTTGTCGAAGTATTCTGTGATTTTGGAATACCCAAGGTTATACAATCTGACAATGGTTCTGAATTCAAGAATCAGTTCATGAAGAAGTTTGTTGAACACCTGGGAATTGACCATCGGCTGACCACACCCTACCATCCAAGAGCGAATGGTGTGGCTGAACGACATGTACAGGAAACGATACATATCTTGCGGAAAAAGATAGAAGGTGCTGGCAAAGACTGGGACTACTATGTTCCCAGCACACAATTACACATCAATAGTCGCATATCAAAACGACTCCAATCCTCGCCTTTCTCTCTTATGTTTGCAAGACGATTAAATGACTTTGTGGACTACCGCTCAAGAAATGCTGTACCGAAAGATCCAATGACACATGAAGACTTGATGAAGCGTGTGAAACACATGACGGATATTGTGTTTCCGGCACTCCAAGAGAAAGTGAAGCATCATGGTTCCAACATGAAGGACAAATTTGATACCAAGCACAGACTCATGGATTTCCCAGAGCGAAGTCACGTTATGGTCAAGGTACAAAATAGAGCTGGTAAATTAGCTCCTATTTATGAAGGCCCATACACTGTTCTGCGCAAGACGCAAGGTGGATCATATGTTCTTCAAGACGAAACTGGTGCACTTATGCCCAGAGACTTTTCGCCCTCTGAAATGAAACTGATCAACGTAGATGATGTGGTTCCCGAAGATGAACTGTACGAAATTCAAGCCATTATTGATCATAAAGGTCCTAGAGGCAAACGCGAATACCTTGTAAGATGGAAAGGTTATGGTGCCGAGGATGATCAATGGCTCACCGCTGATAAATTTACCGACCCTGCATTTATTATGGAATATTGGAACAGACGTGGATCAAACGAGACAGAAATGAATCTGCCTGAAGATAAGTCTGTGAAACGCAAGGGTAAAACACAAAACGTCAACCCCAGACGTAGTAAGCGCAATAGACAATAAGTGGTGGTTCTCAAAAGATAATTCCATACTAAGCGCATAAGTCTCTGTAATTCATGAGCTAGTCTTTTCCTCATGTATTTTTTCCCACAGGGTTTTTTAGAGGTTTTTACAGACATGACCATGTAACAGAGCCTGCTTCAACCTGGAGGGGGGTAATGTCGTATAGATAGGGTTCATATACCACTACATAAGAATTACCTCGGTTTAAGCAGATAAGAGACACTAGAGTAGTTACACACTATTTGTACATTCAAATCCCGATACCAGTTATTATCTTTGAATACCAGATACTAAAGAGATCATCTCTTTCGAGAATAAACAACAGTCTCACCGTACTCAACGTCTCGATCCATCTATATCACAGTTATTCGCCGCTTGAACGAATCTCAAAACGGTGTGGAGAGGTGTAGGGATTTTTTCTCGCGATTTAAGTTAAAAGGTTAATCCTTTTTTTCATATTCCATTAAAGATAAGGACTTGAAAAATGCCATACGGGAGCATGGGCCAGCGCACACAGTTAGATATAATGACCGATCCGCAAACTTACAGTAGTGGATCAAGTCTTAAAACATGATGGTTGAGTTCAACCATGTCGATGGCCTAAATCGCCACCGAACCACAGAAGAACAATTCAAACTATAATATTTGTAAATTTATATATGTTTAAATTATATACTTCTAAATATATATATTATTATAGTATAATTATAAATATAATTCTAATTTAATTTATCTTTAGTTTTGCAATACCATTATGTGTGCGAGAACCTTTCTCTAAGAGAAAGAATCATAAAGAGTCGCAGTGCAAGTTTTAAGCAACTTACACCTACTAAATTACTAACTATATAGAAAAATATAAGTATAAAATAAGTTGAATTGTTTCTCACAGCACTTTAAAATTTAGGGTGCGCCCATTGCCACAGCAACGGCTGCTCCGGGAGAATTTCGAATAAATAAACATGTTTACTTTGTTAAACTTGAATGACTTTCCTTTTCTTATATCTTATCTATTGTCATGATTACTTCCGAAATCACATGCGACGTCTGCAAAGCGACATTTAGCTGTCTTTTTAATCTGAGAAACCACAAATTTCGTGACCATGTCAACAAAGTGCTAGTTAGTAACAGTAGGTTGCATTGCGACAAACACAAATACCCTTCACGCTGACTTGTTATTATGTAGGTAAAACGATTGTGAATAGAATCAATGGAAGCTTCTATTGTATCGTTTGCGAACGAGAACTGAAAAATGCAACGACGTTCAAGATACATCTTTCAAGCCACGATCTTACAATGGAAGCCGTTCCACCTGGTGAAACTGATATTGTCGACGACTCGTGTCAGCCAGAGACAAACACATTGCAAAAAAGTAAAAAAACCATTGGGTTATAACGACGCCATTCTGGTCACCTGTGATTCGCTGGTGGAGACTGACAGAGTCAAGAAAGATAAACTTAGTCTTACTAACCTTGGACGGTAGAAGCCATTGTCATACATCATGCCGGATTGCGAGTACAATTTTCTGGGTTCACCATCGACATGTTGTGGAAGCAGAACCTGAGGGAAGAACATTGCACCGACCCACACCTGATACAGAGGCGAGTTCAAGTATCATAGAAACAGATGGTGACAGCATCCTCACATATATCAAAAATACAAGATACGTGCTTTTTTATTCTGCCTCACCAAACACAGGATGCTCATACTTTTGCTTTATTAAATTCAGCAAAGCATCCAAATGCCTGAAGACTGCCTGGTTTCAAGAACTTACCAAGGCAGAAACACGCCACATGAATGATGATTGGCTTTTTGCGCGTCAGTTGCGCTACTACTGCTCACTGCTCTTCGCGGGAGCAGTGTTCATCCAAGGATCAAGTTCCATAATGGTCAACACAGTGAAGCCATACGGCCGAGACATGACTCTTGATAGTCATTTCAAACGACGTCTCCCCGGCGTCCCTTCATCTTACCCGGCTGCCGAAGGCCGTTAGGGGTATTTGCAACTGCTGACAATCCCATCAAACGATGGTGAGTCAAAGCTTCTTATCGGGACACGAAGTTGCAATTGCTGGTGACGTCCAGCATGCGGCTGGATATCGCATCCATCAACTTGGGTCCAGTTACAACTCATTTTACGCCCACAGCCAATACGAGGGTCTTTCTGGATAAGACGTCCATTGTCGCCGCAAACGCAGTGCTGGAGGATGAAGCATGTACTTCAGCACAAACCATTCCAGTCCTCTATCAATTAAAACAGGTCCGGTCGAAATTTCACTCCGCGTCGACTTACACAATGTGCCGGAGCTCATCTTCGTTTTGCTCCTTGCCAGAAAGGCAGCCTTCGACCATCTGGACGTTGTCGCGCGAAGATTCAAACCAAATGACGCCGTCAACGGATAAATTATCGTCTTCACTGTTTTCACGTATTGCCGTATTAGTTATAAAGCACGGAAGAGGAGCCACACTTCAGGCAACGGATATCCAGGATATCGTCGCGGAAGTCAAAGCTTCCAACGTAAAAAAAATTATTGATAACGTTAAGGATCTTTGCGGGGAGGGTCCTATTTTAATCATAGCAATGACAAGTTGAATTCGCTGTTGACAGATCTCGCGAACACCATTGTCACAGCGCTCAAACGAGCGAATGACAAAAAGGTAGCCTGGTTGCATAATGCAGCATACGATTGAAATAAAATTAATGTAGTAGTCCAAGTGGCATAGGAAAAACCGCAAGACACGCATTGAATGCAATGATGTCATCATTGGACAGCGGCTTAAATCAAGATCGAAGCCTCTGGTGCAGAGTGCTTTGTAACTCTGAAAAGAAAGGCTGAACAATGCGGCGATATTGGAAAAGAGAACGTCTTAGGCCTTGTTATACGTTCCGAGAGGGGAAATATGAGGAGTCTCTTCAAAAGACCACGAGTAACTGTATGGTTCGGGGGTAGGCAGCGAACAGCCTTGAAGCCGTGAGCTCCATCAGCTACAGGTGCCGTCATGACGTCCGCTAATTCGACCTGAAATACAGCACCTCCACCGCGCCATATCCGACGAGAACATCATCCGGCCATAAGTAATATGTATTAAGCATTGGTTAATGACGAGAAGTAATTCCTTGATGGTGTATTGAATAAAGTAAGAAGAATAAACAAATACAAGTTTATGATAAACAAAGTGAAGATGAATTTGATTAGCAATTGAATACTGCTTTCAGACCCCAGTGGTCGCCTGTGTTCATGATTGTAACTGTTTAGGCACTCGCTAATGTCATCATTATAGATGGTGCCATAGATATTGACGGAGTATGATAAGATATGGGACGGAAGTATAGTGCTTGGAACGCGTCGCATCCAGTCGCCTGCCATCGTAAAGCCAACATGTACTCAGATTCATAATAATCGATCCGAGTCGTGGGTTATTCTTGTTATCGGAACGGAAGATGATGATTTAAAGGCACAACCGCTTGCGGTGACAGAGTTTGAGTGCTATTAATGAGGAAAATACGACAATCAAACCAGCATGGAAGTCATATTGACTAGAGAAACAAAAAAGCACTGCATTCAGTAAAGCAGAATAGGGGAGATAATTTATAGCATGACAAAACTTACTATTGCAAATAGGATAATCAGCACTAATCTGTGGACATTGGGTGTCTTTTTCCAGGAGCCTAACCGTCGGCAGAAGCATAGCGATGGAAGCCACAAACAATGCGGCTGTCAAAATATGGAAATCCTAGTCACATAAATAACAGAACATGATTTAGCTCCCAGCATGAATTCAAGAAAGAAAAAGAAAACGAAGAAAATACTAGTAGTTTATGAATGTTCTCAATGTTTGTGAGCGGTGGATATTAGAAGCTTGACCGTTTTGGGAGCTTATTGAAACAAAAGTAAAACCGGATCTCAACACAAGAATTATTGCTAGAGGGGGGTGGAACATGCCATAGGCTCTACTTGTTGCATATTAAACCACTCATTGCGGATTACAATGTTACCAACTACAATGCTTTTCCAATATTTTTCTTGATTCGATATTACATGTGTTGTAGCTTCACAAATTTATTGAGACGACGGCCGCGACAAACCTTCTTTGATGCTCAGGGTACTGATACGTAACCATCTATTTATTGTAAATGCCGCACCATTATTGTGAGTGATGACTTTACTTCTATTTTTTTTATTTTCATTTTTTATTTTTACAATTTCTCCCTTTTAGAAACTGCGCTGATGTACAGTGCTATACGAATTTATTGGATACAACAAACACTCGCTTTATAGAAAAGGTAATAGTTAATTACCCAAGAGAGGGTACGCAACAAGTTCTCACTCCCGTGAGGCAGGGAAAGTGACCAAAAGTTTGAGGACACTGGGGATCGTCACAATGCTGATATGCGTCCTCTCGTGAATTCGCTTCGCATACTTTGTCTTCATCGGACGCACAATCTTCAGGGAAACATGTGGGCGGATATTGGCCTGCCCACCGAGCGCTCGATAGGGTAGAGATAGAAAGTAAGGTCAAGCAAATAAGGAATAGATACTTCGCCATGATTTTGAATGTGGACCTGATGATTGTTCTCGTCGGGTTTAAATATGTCATAAACAAAATCGTGCATGATTGTTTACTCTGAATAGGGAGTCGCAGCCGACATGGATCGGTTCCAAGAACAAGAATTTTTCGGTTAAGGGATACATCTGTTGTGCTTATCCAAAAGCAGTTGCTGAACGAATATCATGTCGGTGCCGCAGGGGCGTTTGCGATGAGACGCACGCTGGTATGACGTAAAAAATTATTGTGAAATCTTGAATCCGCGGAGATCTGACAGAACTTCGTATGGGATGCGCATGACTGTTTTCCTTAATGTAAGTCGATATCGTTCCCGGTTCCAAGAGTATCTCTATCACTAATTCGATGGCTGTTATCGTTTACCATTGAGAAAAAGAATAATGTGATGACTTTTGTCAAATGCGATCGAGACATCCCCTGCCAGACAGAGCTACGCTACAAGAAAAGCTAAGCGAAAGCATGCAGGGAGAACGATGATTTATCTAGCGACGATCGCCCATGCAACTGGGCGTAAGCTTCTTCTTTGTTTTTGCAATCCCAGAAGAAACATGTCAACGCTTTCAAAGATGACACGGGACTCAAAGCTTTTTTAGCACACATAAAGAAATAGCGGTTTCAAGGATTATTCGCAGAGCGAGATCGACAATGTCGGAGATCCTTCTTGGTATATATTGAATCACCCATTATGGACTACAGTATTATCATTTACAATGCTTTTGCGATTTTTTTTTCCTTACACGACAGCAACTTTGATTGTGCCTTGAAGCTTCCTAAATGCGTTGGGACGATCGCCACGGCAAACCCTATTTTTAGGCTCAGGGGGGCTGATGCTTGGTCACATTTCTTTTTTTATTTTATTTTTACAGTTTCTCTTTGGAAACTGCGTTTTCAAACTGTATCAATTTATTGGATTCAACAAAAGCTTGCTTTATAGAAAAGCTAACTCGAATAGCAATTAATTAGCTGCGGGGTAGACAACAAATCGTCTGTCCGGTGAAGCATGGAATGAGGCCGAAATCAATAGCACAGTTGGGGTCATGGCAATTCTCCTGTGCGTCCACTTGTGAAAAGACAGAGCATATTTGGACTTCATTGTTCCTACAGCCTTCAGGAATACAAATAGGCGTCCTGCTCATCTAGCGCTCGATAGGGTGGAGATAGTAAGTAGGGTCAAGCAAACAAGGAATAGATACTTTCGCCATGGTTTTGAATCTTCCATAATTTTCCTTGTCAGTTTTAAATACGTTTTCAAGAACTATGCACTATTCTGAATGCCGAATAACGATCCACTACATATAATAGTCGGCACTGATAACAAAGGATGCGTTGTCAGGATGCCGCACCTGTTGTATTTCAATATGCAGATCCATCGCCGAAAAATAATGTTACAATGGATGCATTTGCAATGATGCGTATGCTACCACCAGGAAAGAAATGTGGGTCCAAGAACTTTTATTCCCATTGATAAGTTGTGGATCTATGTTACTCGCTATACGACGATTTTGTTTTTGTCATACTGTAGTAGGTGACCATCGTCGAGAAAATGAAAAATAGCTCCACTGAATACTTGTGTGCGCAAAAGGCGCTACCGAGGTTAACTTTTTTCAAGCTAGAGGAACCGTTTAGGGGTATAAAATAGCATGGATCATAATAATAATTACCTTGGATGTTGCCGCTCCGGCATCCAGAAGCTCGATTTCTATAGGCCCAGAAGGTAGCACGTCTTTTAAATATGATGATCATCATTATAATTACTTGCAGGAATGTCTGCTTTTTACAATATTGTATGTATAGTTGTCTTTACTCTCATGATTATTGCACAGTTTTATTTAAAGCAGGAAGCCGCACAGAAATAAAGCTAACTGAACACCAGTCAAATGAAGGTAAACCAACAGTATCAGCTTCCGATCATGCAAGCAATGGAACCATAATTCCGGCGCTCGCGCGGGCAACTTCCCACTGCTCCAATTTGTGCTTTCCCTCGGCATATCATCACGTTCTTCCATCGTACAATTCATATTCGGCGCAAGGGACGTTACATTTGAATATTTAAGTCTTGATCGCTATTGGTAAGTGTAACATGATTTGGGCCATTCGACATCGAATCGGAACAGTAGAAATTCAAGGTATCCATAGCAAAAGGTTAAACGAAATAACATGCCGAAAAGAAAGGCAGGTTTCTCTTTGGTGCGAAAAAATAAGATTACCTTCAGAGTCAACGTGTCAGCGTAACAGTGTGTGCCGGTGGAACTAGGTTGAAAAATGCGATCATTATCCTGGGCCAAACTGGCGACTAGGCCGTACCTTATCCAGAAACAATACAGTTGTGGCCCCTTACCTCACCATTGCGAACATGAACCGTGAGTGAATCAGGTCTTCGTCTTTATCTCCTTTTTGCAAAAAGGAAACCACCACTGCTTCTTCAATTGAGTGTAATCAACGATGAAAGGAGGGCATCAAGATTGCTGGGAAAGGTTGCTGCCGAATGCTCGTTTTTGGTATGGTGGTTGCGGTCCGTTTGAACGCGAGTGAAGCTTTTTGAAAAAAAAACTGCGATCGCCGAGAGATTCTGTGGTGGTTCCCTTTTGCCGCGTGCATACCAAACCACTCATTGGATTGGGTTCAAAGGAATCAGCTAAATGATACAGTATTCAGTGACAAATGGAGCAGTCAAAAAGAGAGTGGTTTATTCAAGAGAAATAAATTACAAAGAAAGGAACTACACAAGGGAACTAAAAGGCGGCTAATATGGGTTTTTTTTTCTTCTAATTATTTTAATGTAGGCAGAAGAAATCCCTCCCCGCCGCACTCAGGAAGAGACACCTACCCCATCAAAGCCGATGGGCGAGGTAGTGCGTTAATTCGCTAAAGAAGAACCTATTATCTTTCTTTGATTTATTATACGCAGGAAATCCCTCCATAGCTCGCATTTAGATGGCAAATCCTTTTCAGTCTTGCACATCAGACAGCCCACAGCCACTAAAACGCTGCGGTGTGGTTCAGAAATAAAAGACCCCCTTCCGGACGAGAATCAGTTAAATCCAAAGACCTGCAGCCAACTTGCACTGCAGTGGGGGTGGACAGCACAGAAAGTGTCCATAGATACTAGATTTCAGGAATAAGACAATCAAGCTTATTCCCAACTTTCCTGCAAACAATCATATTGCAGCTGGGACCGATTTGTGATCCCGCATAAGGTTCCAACAGCTACGGAGGGATGCCTTCGCCATCCCACAGGCTCGGCCGAATAGCTAATGCTTCAAAGACTGCGTACGGTTGTCCATTCCCGGACCTGTAATGCACCTGGTCTCTGCGTCAAGGGGAAAGACAGAAACAGGGCCAGAAAAGCCAGACGCGGTTACCTTCCTTCATAGGGCGCGTAAATACTGGAAGCCGTTACAACGACTTATCCTGCCATTAGACTGAGCTTCATTCAGGAATAACGGGTATGGGATCAATTTCTGGAAACACCATTCAGGCTTCTAGGTCACGGGCAACCCGCACCACTACTGGGCCCATCTGCATTGGGGGACTGCCACAAGAAGAAGCGTAGCCGATGACTGACTCCGTTGAGGAAGCACCGGTTCTCCTGCGGAGGTTTTATACAGAGTTGCGCCTGTATAAACCTGGGGGTGCAGCAACGACGGCAGTAGCAGCCACGGGGTGATGTCTCTGTAAACCATGTCTCATAAAGAAACCGTTGCTTGACAGGGTGAAGGAAAACCCAAACGCCCAAACCGGTAGGGATGGTTCCTGACGAACACCAGGACAACCGAGGAAAGGACCTGGACCAGACCAATAGAGCTCGCCGTAGCTCTGCCAAAAATAAATAAAGAAAAGCTGCTTTTAGTACGGCCTTGTTGAAAAAAAAAAATAGAAAAAGGGGGAAAAGAGCCTACTCACCATGAAACTGCTCGTTATTTAGCCGCGCCGAAGAGAGAACAGACCAGGCTGCTCACCACTATAAAAAAGAGAAAAAAAAAGGTAAGATTTCTAGACCAATAAAATAAGAGGATTAAAAAGTTGGCTTACCAGGAAAAAGCCAGAAAAAGGCGTAAAAGAAGCGCGTTTTCTGGAGGCCCTCTTTTTATATCAATTGAAAAGCGGTCACTTTTCGGGATTAACGGAAGGATACGGTCACCCAAAAAGCCTACTTGGGTAGCGACGTTACACAGCCGGAACCTTAATTTGCGCATGGACGGGGTAAAATATTTTTGTGGCAAGATTACTCATCCAAGTTCACTTTTGGTTTGTAATTGGGGAAAGTGCCTTGGATTCCTTTTTTTCCCGACGTCTTTAGAGCGAAACGGGCCCGTTTTACAAAAATTGGTTTTGGAGTCACATGCACTGTGATGCCAAAATTGGTGTCCGGTTTCAGATAAAGAAAGGCAGCTACCCTAAATATGGTAATCACCTTTCAACAAGTAGAGGGCGTTGTGGCGTATGCCGAGTTAATAGTGGAATGACACTTGGTGAAATGCTAGGCAACTGGTAATTTTGCTATGATTTTTGCTTCTGTGTCTCTCAAACAAAGTCGGTTCACCAATTAAACACGTAATGTTACAACGATGTCATTGCACAGCAGTTCAGGTCGAAATGGTTCGACCATAACCAAGAAATTTGAACCCGGCATACCCATTACTTTCAACTTTCAACTTCCAACTCCATGCCAAAATATGATTAGCTTTTGGATTTTCTTCTTATTTCATCTGATGCTCGGGTGACCTACTTGCCAACATGTGCACAACCGTTCGTGCACCTAGGCGTACATTTTTACAGACCCAGATGGTGCATGTTTACGTCCTTAAATGAGCATGATTGTCAAGTTTATTTTGAAAAAGCGACAATTGTATAGGGTTTTTGCATATCCAAGCTTTTCATCGTCATACGTTCTATCCGAATGCTTATCTTAAGCTAACCTACGGTTTTTATACCGACGATTGATAAAGGTTTTCTGATGTTCGTTTCGGTATTAACTTTTGGATATGCCTTTTTGGGGAGGAATGAAATAGTGAGAAGGACTGTTTTGCATCAGACTTTAACTCGAAGGTCAAAGGATGATACTTAACCGCTCTTTTTTTTCGCAAATGTCTCTATTCGTTAACCTCAACTCCCAATATACCTCCCTTTAATCCCACGTTTAGATGGTCTATTTCGAAGGTCGTCCTTGGAGGACTGTAAAAAGCGCTGAAGCAAACTGATATCGATGAAGGAGTTAATGACTCCCAGCCGATAAAGTGGATACCTGTCAAACATTAAGACTTTCATCGAAGCCTGTCCCGGAAAAATTCGTACTTGGACAACAGACGCTGAGAGTTTCTCCATTATATGTTGGAAAGGTAACTGAGGATTAATAACAAGCATCAAAGTGCACGCTAATGCTATACTATTGCGATAGGACAGCATTCAGTGAAAGAAATTTTACGTCTGGAAAACTGTGCTGTTGGATGCAGAATGTCCAAAGCGCGTGCAGCGTGAAAGTGCCGAAATGATTCGAAACGCCGCTCATGCGATGTGTAGTGTGACTTGCAGTTTTCGCGTTTCCATTAAAACGTATTTGGGCGTGAAAGCCAATCTGCCAATTCAATGACAGTGTCAACGACGAACAAAAAGCGAGCACATCCGCTGGGCAGTAATGACGGATCTCGGAGAGTTCAGTTGAAACGCCAGGGGGTGCCTTCAACCGTCGCAGCTACAAGAAAGTCCAATCAAGATCTCAAGGGCATGTCGCAGCAGAACGAAACGGCGACATCATCTTTGTCTTCCCATCAAACACCCAGGGCAGAAAAAACAGGCAACGCCGGTCGTTCATCGAGAAAGCAAGCGAAGGAACAATCACCGTGGAATATGCGGGTAAGCTGCTGATCTGCTGTAATACTTTTGTTGGCCATCTTTGGTATTAAAAGTATGATATTCTAGGGGAAATTCCGTGATATGCAAGAACAATTGAAAGCAGCACAGAGTAAATGTAAGTGCAGTATGTATGCATCCAAGGAAACTATTACTCATTGTTTACTTAGTGAATGATCTGATGGAATCGCGCAAGGAAATGGAAGCCTTGCTGGACACGCGTGATTCGGAAATCCAAAACAATCTTCAACGAGAAATTGAGCTCAAGGCAGAAATCCAGGTACGTGCTTTCTTCCAAGCTGATACGGGAAAATGCCAACGGGAAATCCCATAAATCATACGCTCTCTATAGTCTATGGAACGATTGCATTCCCAAGAACTTGAAAACATCAGCTCAAAGCAACGCATTCATCGCCAAGAACTGCAAGATAAAAGCATTATTCACAAACGGCACATCACTAATATAGAAATCGATGTCGAAGATTTACGACGTAAAGTGGAAGTGCAACAAAAGAAATTGGATGTTAAAGTGGCCGAGAACGATATATTGAGGGTAATAAAAAGGATCATAAATGCAGCATCACCACACATGAAGCTCACGTGGAACCACTTACAGGATACGATCTCCCAAACCACCAAGGCTTTCACCGAGGTGCAAAAGGAACTAGAGGTTTTGAAAAAGCGACAAAAGGTAGGGACCCAAGAACAGACACATGGGCGGTTCAAGTGAACTAATGGCAACATGTCATAACAGGAAAATGATTTTTCGATGGCTGATCTTGATAAAGCCATTGAAGAAAAGACCCGGCACCTTCAAAAGATCCAGTCACAAGTCAACGTGTTGCGTGGAAAACTACGAAAAGAAGAGATCGCACGAAATCGCTTACAAGGCATCATCCAAGAACTTGAGCGCAGTCGCAGGAAGCATCCTCTCTTGCCGTAATGTTTGCCTGCTCTTTTTGCTTTCCTTTTATCATTTGTAGATATTTCGCTCCATCATTTCGGCTTATCATCGTCCCTATATTGTATAAAAACCGTCGATTCACCATAGCACCATACCAAAGCCTCACTTGGGATCTTGCAAAAGTAAAATCACTGAATATTCTCTTGTACTAAAGGATATGTGGTTATCTCTTGAACGAACTATCATGCTTGATTTGCACTGTTGAATCAGAAACCAGTGTTACTCAGGAACAACGACCCTCCTACACCAAGAAACCTCATATCATCTTCTTACATGAGTACCATTGCCCTCTTAAATACTGTAGCTGTTTCAACTATTTACATCCATATAACTTTTCACAGTAAAGTGGCCGTTAACCGTGAGTGGATGTATGATGACGCAGCAAGGCACAAATACAATATGACAGGAAGAACTATCTACCATACCTCTATTTGCGATTAGATTTATTAAACAGACAAACCCAATTTTACATAATATTAATTCATTCTAGAGTTATTGATTGTTTCAAACAGTTGGCGGTCATTACTACAGAGGGAGCATTAGTGAGTGCACTTCAAATGGCCCAGCCAAAAAAAAAAAAAAAGGCCAACGTTTTTACCACTGGCGGGCCTTTAGTCGGATTATAGGACGGTCACACTGTTGAATTGGATCCCCGCTCAGCATGGGACATCTGCAACGCGTCTCCTTCTTCCCGTGCCGTTCGTTGGAACGATCCCATAATTCCTTATATAAAGAAATCCTGTTTCTTCTCTTGAAAGTCTTTAGTTGATTTTTGTGGAAGAAACGGCCATTATGCAGCAGACTTCACCTGTAACGTCTAGGTTTGCATCGATTCTATAGTTCTTGTGGTATTTTCCGGAGCTCTGACAACTCGAGATAATTCCACCGCCCCCTCCCCAATTAAATAGGTCATCGGAAACTGCTTCCAGTCTATCGAACATGAATAATCGACCGACGACAAGTACACCGGAACCGTCACCGCAACCTGCTGCCGACAACACACAACCATCCGCAGAGGACGTCGAACGACCTCCGTCACCCACCCCCGCACCACCAGAAACTACATCCACCTCAGTTCCAAATGCCGAGCCTTCATCCAACCCTCAGTCGTCGTCTGCCATGCCCACTACCTCATCTCCAGCACTGTCACCGTCGACCCCTAATGGCACTGCCGCATCATCAACTGTGTATCGACCACTCAATGTGAAGGATGCACTGTCCTATCTTGATCAAGTCAAACTCAAATTCGCTGGACAACCCAACGTCTACAATCGATTTCTGGACATCATGAAAGACTTCAAAAGTCAACTGTAATTATCAAATTCACCGCTGGGTTTCACTTATGTTTTTTAGAAAGGGAAGGAGGGTTGTCACGGCAAATTGGTTTATTCACCCATGTTTCCATGGACATAGGATTGATACACCCGGTGTGATTGAGCGCGTATCGGCCTTGTTCAGGGGACATCCTTCACTGATGAGTGGATTCAACACCTTTTTACCTCCGGGATATAAAATTGAATGTTCACGAGATCAGTATGATCGTGACATTATTGAAGTCACTACACCTACAGGCACGATCCGATCCATTGCAGATCAACCTTTAGATTTACGTTCCAACACGCCGTCTCACCCCGATTCTCACGTCCCTTCCTCCTCTGCTGAGCGTCAACGATCCCCCTCCATTCCATCGCACACCCCACTCTATCGACGACGATCGTCGGATCATGAGGCTTCCTCCACAGACAACTTTAGCGGACGACAAGCGCCCGTAGAATTTGATCACGCCATCACATTTGTTAACAAAATCAAGGTAAAAATGCCGTTGGAGAGGGATCAAAATTACTCTGTTTTCCATTGCAGGTTGGTTGACATAATTGACAGAGACATTTCAGCGATCGACCCGACATCTACAAGCAATTTTTGGAGATTTTGCAGACCTATCAACGGGATCAGAATCCAATACAAGAGGTAATCATTCGTTTTTTATCCGATACAAAGATCTATACGGAATCGGCAGGTTTCCGCGAAACAAACGAGCACATACTTAAATGTTCCTCTAGGTCTATCAACAAGTGCGGGTTTTATTCAATGACGCGGACGAACTCCTGGCTGAATTCAAAAAGTTTTTGCCGGATGTATCGGGTCAAGTTGGTGCAAGTTCATCGGCTTTGTTTGGATCCAAAAGTCGACTTATACCATATGGTATGTTATTTTGAAGTGGTAAAAAACAAAAAAAAGATTCTATGATCGGGGAAACTCACTCAAGTGTATTGCATGGCAGGCAAATCGGGGATGATCAGTATGCCGAGTCTGACTAAAAAGCGCGTGGGCACACCAGGAAGTGGACTGTCCAAGGTAACTGGGAAAAAGGGAAAAACGTTGCTTGAATTGGGATATGTAATTAATACTCTTGATATTTAGCGCACGAAACTTCATCACAAGACTGACGTGCAAATGTCGGATGTACGGTCTGCCGGCGCTCCGATGGAGGAAGAACCAGAACAATCAGCAATTCCTGCTGAAGAGAAAGAATTCTTCAATCGTGCCAAGGAATTCATCGGCAATGAAACAACGTACATGGCTTTCCTAAAGGTGCTTAACCTGTTTAGTCAAGAGATTGTGGACCAGAACGTGTTGATCAATCGTGTGGAGAGTTTTATCGGTGGTGATCGCCAACTGTTCGATTGGTTTAAGACGCTGATAGGCTATGATGGAAAGGACGACATTATCGAATCGACCTCATCCGGGGTGCTGAAATTAAGCACAAATCAGAACGGCGATGTCGGACCTAGTTATCGCACCGTGCCGAAATCGGTAAATACATTTTTAGACGGACATGAAAAAAAAGAAGTAGAAATGTTCATTTTGCATACATAGTGGCAACGTCAGCCATGTTCAGGCCGAGATAACCTGTGCTGGGAAGTATTGAACGACGAATATGTGTCCCATCCTACATGGGCCAGTGAAGATACCGGTTTTGTGGCATCCAAGAAAAATCGGTCCGAAGAAGCCCTTCATCGTGTGGAAGAAGAACGGTAAGAACGCGGAAAAAAAAGGAGGTTCCTACCCACTCTTGCCGGCCATCTCACGGATTCGTTACTTCTAGTTATGACTATGATTTGAACATTGAAGCCAATTTAAATACAATTGCGCTTCTGGAACCCGTCGCAAAGAAGATTTCCGCCATGTCGGCTCAAGAAAAGGCCAGTTTCCGTCTTCCTCCGGGCTTGGGTGGTCCTTCCAAAACCATTTACCAGCGCATCTTGAAGAAAATCTATGGTAATGATAAAGGACTGGAGATCATTGATCTGTTACACAACAATCCCGCCCAGACGGTGCCCATCGTGTTGAAACGATTAAAGCAAAAAGATGACGAATGGAAACGAGCCCAGGTAACGTTGAAAAAAAAAGGGGGGGGGATGACGATTGGAAAAAATGGTGATGTTAATTACATGCTGTTCATATTTTAGCGTGAATGGAACAAAATCTGGTTGGAAATTGAAACGACAAACTATTACCGAGCATTGGATTACCAAGGATTCAAGTTCAAGACGAACGATCGAAAAGCGATGAATATGCGAACGTTGGTAACACAAATTGAAGCCATTCAACGTGAACGGGCAGAAGCCCTGGCTAGTGAGAAAAAGCAGCGTGATGATGCAGGACAATCATCAACGACTATCCAGCAAGGCCCTCAACTTTCGTACGAATTCACACAGGCCACAGTATACAAAGATATTCACCGATTGATATTGTATCTTCTCCCACGTCAAGAGATATTCAATGAAGACGAGTGTGATAAGATTCGAAAATTCATGGAGGAATTCATTCCCTTGATATTCCACACCTCGGGGGGAAGTACAACCATCAGTACAGAGGAAGATGAAATGATGAACGAAGCCGAAGACGAGGCAGACGAATCACGGTCCATGCAATCCTTTGACTCGGACGGAGATGCTGTGATGAGCAATAACCGTGGAACGCCCAAAAAGACACGAGCGCAACGCTATGCAAGTCGCATGAGAGCCATGGGCGAAGATCCCAGTCTGTTCAATGGGACGGCGTCTCCCGTTCGCCAATCCAGACAGGATAAAGATCAGGAGGGAGATACAGAGGCATCGTCAACGAGCAGCAAGGAACCAAAGGCAGTGCACCTCTTTTCAAATGACGCCTTGTACTGTTTTATTCGAGTGTACCAGGTATATTTTGCGTCACTAGTGGAATGAAATGGCACTTCCATTGTTGTCTAACGCTTGCTGTTGTTTGGATTTTTTTTTCAAGATGTTGTACGAGCGCCTGGCGCGCATGAAAGCTTTGGATGCTGAATATAAAAAGGATCCCGAGAAGGCCAAAGAGTGTAATCGAGCGGCCCTTGAACTGGGTATTACCAGCAAAACATTTGACGGTAAGCCTATAAGAAATGGGTTGTTAAAGTGATGGAATACCTTGGCTGGTGCTGAGCTATTTTGTTTTAGCTGTCAAACTCAACTTTAAACGAGGCTATTATAACGCTCTGCTGAGGCTGATCAACAAACTTATCAACGGCGATGTGGATCAGCAAACCTTTGAAGACTGTACCCGCTATATTTTTGGAACGAATGCCTATGTTTTGTTTACGATTGACAAGATGCTACTTACACTGATGCGTTGTGTAAGTGGGAATTGGATGTGTTTATTGTTGACATGGTATACCGACTATTTCTATATAATAGACACATCGCATTGACACTGGGGCTCAAACAAAAGAACTACTGGAATTGTTCAAAAAAGAATTGGAGATCCAGGCTACATCCGATACCGACCCAGTGGCAATGTATCGTGTCCAGGCGGAAGAAATTGTTAATCCAGGAGAAAACCTGTATATTATCACTTTTGTAAGGGGTTTTGCAGTCATGGTGCCACGGGAAAAGAGATACTTATTTAGCTTTCGTTTGATGTAGAAACCGGATCAGCACAAACTTTCTATTCAGCTGCTTCGCAAAGATGAAACTCTTTCCTCCAATGTAACACCGCACGAGGGATATGAAGAATACGTTGCAAATTACATTGACTGGGCTAATGAGACCAAGGGCATCCCTCAAGCTCAGTTGACACCTCGGTTTTTGAAGCGGTAAGTAGGCGGTTACGTGGAAACCATGCAGGATGAAAAAAAAAAAAAAAAAAAAAAAAAAAAAAAAAAAAAACCAACTCATCGAATATAATAACAGGAATCTTCGAGATAATGTCCATGATGACCGTCTTAAAGATATTCTTGTACAATCTGGCATGCAGTACAAGATCTGCCGCAATACATACCACATGTTCTATATTATCGGCACCGAAGATACCTTTATGCGGCGACGGGCCGATACAGCCGCTTCCACCTCCGAGGATCGAGATAAAACATGGCGGGCATGGCTGGAATCCGAAAAAGGATGGAGTCACGACATCGCTGACAAGACAAAAGCAGAACAAGACGCAAGGAATTGGCTCAATGGTCAAATCTCTGAACCTTCTGAATCCTAATTTAAACAACATCCGAATCCAATAACCTCTCCTCTCTTTTTCTCATTGCCATTTCGCAGGGAGCCATCAAAAAAAGTTCGACATCACATTAAACAAAAACAAAAAATGTCTTTCTAAAAAAAATTGTACAAAAATACATGCTTTTCGAATGCTTTGAATCAGGTATGCTAGAGAAAGGATAGATAGTTATTTACAAAATGCCCCATAATTCTTCGACGGCGCATGCAATTTTGCCACATGCAACGGAAGCTGACAAGGAATAATCGGATACACTGATCTTATCATCCACATACGCATCAGCAAAGTCATCCGTACCGTGAGCCATGGCACCCACGGCAATGACAATATTCTTGTCTTCAGGAATGGTGGGCATGTACTCGGATAATCGCACGGTGGGGGCATCCCAAGATAAAGCTATGCAATGAAAAAGATAAGTCACCACAGCTGATTAAACCATGAAGGGAGAGGAAAAACTTACCGATCTTGTAGCTATTGGTCGGTAAATATTTGGTTACTGGGTTTTCAATGACACGCAACAGTTTTTCGTTGCCATTGACAGCACGAATACTAAGTTTGTGGAGCAGTTGAACTGGAAAAAAAAAAGGTTGCACCGCATGCTTAGTATAACCTCATCTACACCTTTTACATCACAATCGCTGCTTACCCATCAAACCGGCGAAACGTTTGAAGGTTCTAGGAATTCTGATATGGGGATTGACTTCGATCAAGACATTCTTCTGGGTATGAATGAAGACTTGCAAGAGACCCGCCTTGTTGAGAGGACTGTCTAGCAACGTCAAAAGACACTGCTCAAAGAGTAAGTATGGGTGTGCCCTTGTTGACATGTTCGACTGATCTCGAAAATGGTTTACCTGGTGCAGAATATCAGGTCTAGCTTCGTAAGTTTCTCGGCCGGTTTTCTTGAGGATATGCAAGTGATCATCGACATTCAAGAGTTGATAGTTTCCTTCTTTCTGTTTGCCCACTTTGAGAGTTTCAAGCGTAGCACCTTCGAGAATGACGATGAGGCGTCGAGCGTTCTCCTTTTCAGTCATCGTCTTTGGCACTTTGGGTGCTTGAGGCACCATGTGCACATCGGTGGTACGGGTAGCTCCTACTCGGATACGCTTCGGTTCCGAGGCTTCATTCTCGCTTGTCTGTCGTTTCGACTCGGTGGCCATCTTTTTTTTTTCTCTTATTGTGATCTGATCTGCAAAGAGAAACCAAAAAAAAAAAAAAAAAAAAATCAGAAAGGGAAGAAAAAAAAAAGAGCGACATGAATTTTCAATTTGCTCTACAAGCCACTGCTGTGCGATCTGAGGTGCCACTTGCTTTTTATTTTCTCATGTCCAAAAGAGTGCGTGAAAATGAACATGACGACGATTGGGGCCTCATTAATCGAGACAGCAGTGATGACAGCAGCAGTAGCGAGGACAGTAGCGAGGACGAAGCCTCACCGCCGACGAAACGCTTGAAGATGGTGAGCGGGTTGACCCGCTTGCCTTTTGAAGTACTAGCCAAGATCTTTATCTTATCTTCCAACCCGCAGTTGCCAGTCACTTGCCGATTCACTTTCCACATGCTGTATCATGCTCCCGACGATCTGAAAGTGGCCTGGTTACTGTATCGACATGGACACATTCTCACGGCCGCTTGCGAAGCCGCTTTGAAATTTCCATTCTTTAGCATGTCGCTATTGGAACGTTTTGATCGACTCTATGCACGACAGCAACAGCAGCCGGACGCCAAGATATTGTTTACCAAAAAGATGGTGCCGCCGCAACTCTTTTCGAAAATGGATGCGGCAAGTGATGCGCTGGCGTTCACTTTACTCGAGCGAGGCGCCTCACCGAACAAACCTCACGGATACCCACTGATCAAATCGGCGCAATTGGGACGCCTCGATATTGTGAAGCAACTGATTACCTTTGGAGCCGATCCGACGGTCCGACAAAACATGGCATTACGCGTATGCGCAGCAAGAGATAACAGGGAAATGGTGCTGTATTTCCTGGACCATCTGCAAATCAAACCCGACAGTGAATCCTTGCGAGCGTGTGTGCAGAAAGGCTTGTGGGACATGGTCAAACTGTTGGTCGATCACGGCGCTGTCCCCGATATGAACACTGTCAATTTCACCTGATACTTCCCCATCCCTCTCGCCCCTTTGCTTCCCTCGCCATCTTCATCCTTACATCATTTTTGTATAAAACTCTACTGTAAACATTTCGCAAGTTCCAAAAATACTGGGTTTTTCAAATTTTGCAAAAATATGTAATACATGCGTTTAACAAGGGCATTTTATTGACGTTTGGCCACGTCCCAGTTAGGGTGAAATGCTGCTACCTCTAGACGATCGCGACAAGGATCTTCGTCTGTATCTGTGTCTTGATGACGATCTGGATCTGGAGGGTGATACGGAAACACGTCGATATTGACGTTTTATGGGAGGCGAGCGCGACACCGAACGACTCAACCGACGACCCCTCGCACTAGACCGTGAGATCGATCTTTGTCTGTCAATGGGGGAAGGAGAGCGAGAAAAGGAGCGAGGACGTCTTCTTGGGGGTGGGGATGCTGAACGTGATTTTGACCTTGATCTGTATCGACGTCGAGGAGGCGATAATGATGTTCGTTGTGAACGGGAAGAACGACGCCGTGTATCTGGGACATCTCTGTGGTATCTCGATTTTCTGGCACGTCTGCTGTCTCGTCGATCACTTTCGCTGCCGCTACTGCTGGACACACTTTGGCTACGGCTACGACTACGACTACGGCTGCTGTCGCTGCTGCTGCCGCTGCTGCTGCTCGAAGTGGACGAATCGGAATCCGATGACGAACCGGAATCGGAACTGGATCCGGATGAATCAGAACCGGAATCTGACTCTGATCCAGATGATGACGAGGAGGACGAGGAAGATGACGAGCTAGAAGAGACAGAACTAGAAATCCTTTTTTGGTTACACACTTGATGGTTCGCACAAATACAAGTGTCTGTTCGTGCTTACCTGCGTCTTTTCTTGCGCGATTTCGCTTGTTTGGCCAAAATTTTATCAGCCAATCCTTGTCTACAGGTCCCTTTTAGTATGCTGATATCGTTGGCGTGTCATGGTTTTATGCTGCCAAAGATGAGACTTACGGATCCAGCAGTTCGTCAGGTAGAGTAGGTTGAACCAATTTTAAGGGCTTTTCCAGCTGCTGTGTACGTGTAGGACGTGCTTTGTACGGACGTGGTTTTTTGCATTCATACGTCTATCATAGAGTTCTCCACTTAGCAAGGCACCAATCTCACGGGCTGGATTCAAAAAAGTTGCCGCCACTTACCCAATGACCATACTCCAGGCATCGTTGACACCGCGTCGATGGCGATGCTTTGGGGGCATTACTCGAATGTCTATATATACAATTTCACAGGTTAAAATAAATATGCTCACATTAACTTGAGACGGTAAGGGCTGCCTTATTTTTTACCTATAGCCTGTTCGATACATAGAAGACTTCTGCTTAGAATTACAAAAATTTTTGCGAGCCAAGGGAAAAAGGGTTCACTGTGGGTGACTGAGATTGAAAAATGGGTCGTGACTGACTTGCTCCAGCTTTTTTCTTCGGTTTTATACGATGAATAGCGACGAATAAGCTGGTAGTGACTCCAGCGGGCGTTTTTCTTCTCAGGAGACAATATGCATCGAGGCTCCTGTTAAGTATGTTCACCTTTTTGATATCCTATGATGGAAAACGTTATACAAAGCTCAATACAAAGAAGGGCTGAACCGAAAAAAAAAAGTAGACTGTGGTGGTGTTCAAAACTTACCAAGCTCCGCTTCCCGAAGTCTGAAAGGAATGACGCAACATCGCCCTGCAAATTTGGGAAATAAAAGCACCTGAGACATTTCTTCTTTTCTCTTTTTCCGTTTCCACCCATCTTTTATATAATTTCATAATGGTAAGAATTTCATCGTTGCTCTGAAAGCTCTTTGGGGGCGGGGGGAGATGATGCTTCCAGATGATGGTGGGAAACGGGAAGCGGAATACAGTGGAGATGAGACTAGGTGTGCGCATGCGTTCTTTCCATCTCAACCTCTCTACGCGTTAGTCTTCCGGTGTCGCTGTCAACGATAAGTGTCTTGAAACTTTCCAAGAACTCAAGCTTCGCAAGAAGTACACCTACATCATGTACAAGTTGTCTGGTAAGGTTTACCTTTTTTTATTCTTTGGTCACTTGGTTTTTCTCTCCTCCCCGTTGGTTAGCCCTTTACTTTTTTTTTCTCGCCTGTCTGCTTCTACTTCCGTTCTTTAACTAGAAGCGGCAAAAAGAGAGAGTGAATGGGTCAGTCGGGAGACGTGAAAACAAAAAAAGTTGGCTGACTGATTGTGTTTGGATGATATCCTCATGATTCATACTGTAGACGATAACACTGAAATCGTGATTGACAAGACGGCCGAATCTGCTTCTTACGATGACTTGCTCAACGAAGTGCCCGAGAACGAGCCCCGTTACATCGTATTCGACTTTGAATTTGAGAAGTCAGGAGAGGGTATGAGAAATAAGATTGTCTTTATTAACTGGTAAGTTGTCTCCTCCAATCAGAAAAAAATTGGAACCATATACTTATTTCTCCACCTCAGGACTCCCGACTCTGCCAGAATCAAGTCCAAGATGTTGTACGCCTCAAGCAAGGATGCTATTCGCAGATCCTTGGTCGGTATCGCTGTTGAGGCTCAGGCTACCGATATGGCAGAGGTAAATATATTCTGTGTTCGGCTGTGAAAAGAGCCAAGGTTTGTCCCCCGCTAAAGTTGGATTTTTTTTTAGATCGCGTATGAAAGCATTCTCGAAAAGGTTGATCGCAAGTAATTTACTAAATAGCATTAACCCACCCCAATTAAAACGCTGCTTTCGAAATACATTGAATGTTCTCTTTCTTTGATATGATAGTACTTCACTGGCTTCCCAGTAAAGTAGGACTGTCCCCAAGAGCAAAATGCGTTGATAAGCGTGGTTTTTTCGCTGACAACCTTGAACAGAACCTTTTAACAGAGGATGGAATTTCCTTTGTATCTCATTATGTCACTGCCACTGCACAAACCGTCTTGGCATTGGTTAAAAATTAATACGACTTGAGTTTCAGCCTGTCCATCACTTGGTCAGATGTTCTTATATGAGAAAAATCGGGAAGATGATGAGAACCTGCCACAGTGAATATGTTATTGCTGATCGATTGATCAATGTATTTTCACATCAACTAGGATATCTTTTTTTTTATGTGTGTGTATGCAAAAATTCAACAAAGGAAAGGAAAGAAAAAAGAAGGGAGCAAATGGGCATGGAAAGAAAAACTTAAGGAAAAGAATCATTCAAGGAAGAAAGGATATATAAAAATAAAGAAAAAAGAAGAAGGACCAGATTAAGAAAGCTATTGATTACGAAAGGGACAACGATTGCTTTTGAGTGGGACAGAGCTAATAAAAATAAAAAATAAAAAAAGACAAGGCAAAGTTCGGGGCAGTGACGACCTGGCTCTCTTTTTTTCTTCAACATTTTTTGGGTGAACTGTGGGGGGTGCGTGCGTGAAAATAAGGCGGAGATTCAAATAGAGGCTGTGCGATTTTTTTTGATTTATGTCGTCGTGGTATACCCGACGCGCCATGGGTTTAGCGGTGGCAGATCGAGCGTTTGTTGGGAGGATGGATGGAACCGTTGCAATGATCTCTGTTCTGTAGTCATGGAATTTTCTTCTTCGGACTGTTGGTGATCGGCCCGCGATGCCAACATTTCAGGGGGTGGTGATGCGGTATGTTCTCGTTTCGGCAAAGGTGGAGATGAATGGCTTGGATAATGGTACGATAAAACGGTATCAGACCGGTCTTCTACCGCCGCAGTAGGATCTTGACGTGCCACCTTCAAATCGTGTTGGATATCATCTTCATCTAAACCTAATGTCAAGGAACGTGAAGCATTGGTTAAGGAAATAATGTACAAAGAGACGTAAATAAGGCATGTCAATAGATCGTCTTCATAGTAAATGATGTGAACAAACAAGTAGATCCACAAGATGCACAAATAAATAGCCCCAAGAAATAAAAAAGGATATTAATCATGGAAGGTCGCTCCGGTGGCACCCAATCCGCGAGATGTTGATTATCGAGCGAACCTGAAATTGGCGTTTAGAATATAATGTAGAATGCGTCTGAATAAGGCAGCGAAACGGTCTTACTCTGGACGTGTTGTGAATAATATTCCTGTTCAAGCATGTTGATCTTCTTTTGCACCTGCTGCATCATAGATCGTCGGAGTGTTAACTTGTCCAACTATAAACAAACGGCACGATCAGTTTGAATAGAGAAAACCAGGGAAAAAAAGAGGCCAGCCAGTCAGCCACAGCGGTTTGGAGGTTGAAGCAGCGACTGGAACTTACATAGAACTGATCAAAAGCGACTTTCTTCTGAGCAATAAAAGCGCTTCGGATATTCATTTCTGCTAATGAATGACGACTTTCTGTTGCATTGACTTTCTTCGTGCGTTTGGCTTCGATATCACGAAGCAACTTATGATACTCGGCATGCGATTCATTTTTGACGGCTTTTTCCAATTTATCCAGTTCAGCCAATCTAAAACGGGAATAAGATATAAAAAAACCAACAAGAGTTAATCACCATGATGGTAGGGTTTTTGACGGATGTAAATGAGAATACACCCAAAAAAAAAAAGGAAAAAATGGTAGATCACTTGCCTTTCTTTGATGATGATTTCACGTTCGGCCTTTCTAGCCTCTCTTGCTTCTTTGGAAATTCTCTGGGTTTTATTTCGGGTTTCCCTATCTGTATCATCACGTCCAGAAGTGGATTTGCCATTGGTTTCTGCTTTTCTTTTATTGTTGCCAGGCCCTCTCGTCTTCCGATGTCGTTTTTTCGTCTCTATAGGCTCTACGCTGGATTCAATAGACTGTGAACGAGTGACACGTGCGTTGGGTTCTGGTGACGACGACGAAACAACACTTTGCTCTTCTAGATCGCCAGCCGCCATGATGGGTGATTCTAATTGAGCCGACCGACTGTTCCTTCGAAACGGGCCTCGATTACCAGACGATTCTTCAGGTTGCCCTACCACCATTTCCACAGTTGGTTTGACGTTCGACATCTAGAAAGGATAAATAAAGAAAGGGAAAAAAACAATAATATGTATGGTAATAAATGAAAGATAGAAGGGAAAGAAAAAGGCAAATAGAAGCAGCTGGAGAAAAGGGGAATGCGGTTGGCTGCTTGGATGGATTTTTTTAAAGTTCAATAAGAGAGAGAGAAAGAAAAAAAAAAAAGGCGGAGTTCAGCGGCGATTAAGAAAACAGAACCGACTTGTTCAGGTGAACCTCCGCTATCTGTAATACTGACAGAATCAACCGTCAAAGAGCAGCACCAACTGGTATACAATGACAAAAAAAAAAAAAAAAAAAGTCGTAAAAGGAATGGAATAAAAAAAATCGTCCGTTTCGCAGAAAAGTCTTTCTTTTTCTTCTCCAAAACCGTGTTTGTTTGCTGAAATGAGTGAAAGGGAATTTGAGCGCACTTTGCCACTGATATCATTTTGCCCAAAAGGAAATCACAACAGCCGGACGGACGGGCGGGCCGGACGAGAGCGTGGCATCGGCTTTTGAATTTAGTTAACACGTGACTTGAATGCCCGTCCTGAGTAAGGCATATCTTTTTCCTTTTTTTTCCCTTTCCTTCCTTTGCTGTTTGGAGTTTTCTTTTCACTGTTTATCTAAAGCAGACTCTGTATATTATCTCTATTACCAGATAATTTTTTCTCAGTATGTCTGTTAATACTACACAACGCTTGCAAGCTCTCCGCGAGCTTATGGCATCCGAGAAATACGCTGTCGATGCTTTGTGAGTTGCCCCTGCTGACGCATAGTGTCGCTTTTCTCTTGCGTCTTAGATAACCCGCTGTGCCGCGTTTATCCTATGCTTATCTTTTTTATCTATTTGACAGCCTCATTCCATCCGAAGACGCTCACCAGGTTAGGATCCACGAATGAAACGCACGGTTGTCACCGATGAAGGAATCGCGTTACTTACGCCTACCGTGCACTCTTTTTTTTTTCTTTTTTGGCTTCAGAGTGAATACATTGCCGATTGCGATAAACGTCGTCACTGGATTTCCGGCTTCACCGGTTCAGCAGGTACTTAAAAAGTGACAAATTGCCTTTTATCGTAATCCGTCGGCTCGCTAGCGTTCAATGAATTTATTTTTTCTCACGCCGATGAATAGGTTTCGCCATCGTCACCGCCAATGAGGCCGCTCTTTTCACGGATGGCCGTTATTTCCTTCAAGCTTCTGAACAACTTGATGGCAATTGGACCCTCATGAAACAAGGTCTTCCTGGTGTTCCTACCTGGCAAGAATATCTGGTCAAGGTTAGAAAAAGGGTTCCTTGACCCCTTTGCATGCATTTTTCTTTGAATGTGTCACACAACTAACATCAGCATACCACGACTCGATGATTAGAATCTCGCGGCTGGTTCGCGTATTGGTTTGGACCCTACTCTTATTACAGCAGGTCAGTGGAAAAAAAAAAAAGGTGCCACAGGGAATTGCATGGATCCATGAGTTGACGGACGGCTTTACTTTTTGACAGCTGATGCCGACCAATTGACGGAACAATTGAAAACCAATGGCTCCTCATTGGTGCTTCTTTCAGACAATCTGGTGGATATTGTCTGGCATAAAGAGAGACCCTGTAGCCCAAAGAACGTGGTCAACGTTCACTCACTTCATTTTGCTGGTAACTTAAAGATGGCTTCATTTTCCAAAAATTATACCCAGCTCCTAACAAAAGTCACCGTTGGTATTGGTAGGCAAACCGTTCCAAGACAAGTTGGCCGATCTTCGCAAACACATTAGCAGCAAGGATGCGTATGGCGTGATCCTCTCGGCCCTGGACGAAATTGCTTGGCTTTTCAACCTTCGCGGTTCCGATGTAGAGTGTAACCCTGTTTTCTTTGCTTACGCTTTGGTCACCGAAGACGCAGCTACTCTCTTCATTGATCCTGTCAAGCTGTCACAAGAAGTCAAAGATCATTTGGGGGCCGATGTCACTGTGAGACCTTACACTGATGTGTTCAGCGATCTTCAAGCTCTTCGTGAAAAGCTTTCCAAGAAAATCATCATTGATAACAAGACAAGTTTGGCCATTGAAACCGCCATCGGCAAGGTAAGATTTTGTGTTTGGGATTCAATAGGGAACATCAGTATGCTCACTCGATGATTGGCTTTTAGGATCTGGTATTGCAAGACCGTTCGTTTGTGACCGACGCTAAAGCTGTCAAGAACGAAGCCGAACTCAAAGGCATGCGTGACTGTCATCTCCGTGACGGTGCTGCCTTGGTCAGCTATTTCGCATGGTTGGAAGATCAACTGCTAAAGGGAGCTACGCTTGACGAAGTGGATGGTGCGGACCGTCTTGAACAATTCCGTGCCGCTCAGAAAGACTTTGTTGGACTTTCTTTCGACACCATTTCGTCCACTGGCGCCAACGGGGCCATTATCCATTACAAGCCCGAGAAGGGTTCATGCAAAGTCATTGATCCCAAGTTGATCTATCTCTGTGACTCGGGAGGTCAATACAAAGACGGTACAACGGATGTGACCCGAACCCTCCACTTTGGCGAACCCACTGAATATGAAAAGCGATGCTTCACCCGTGTGTTACAAGGTCACATTGCCATTGATGTTGCCGTTTTCCCCAAGGGCACGACAGGTACGTCATAGAGCCATCCTTTGATAGACCAATGATTCTCACGTCTATTTTGTTTATTTCAGGTTATCTGTTGGATCCTTTTGCTCGTCATGCTTTGTGGAAGGATGGTCTCGATTTCCGTCACGGTACAGGTCACGGTGTTGGATCTTACCTCAACGTGCACGAGGGCCCTCACGGTATCGGTGTGCGACAGGCGTACAATGACACCCCCTTGGCGGCGGGCATGGTTGTCACTAACGGTAAGTGGTGGGAGCGAGATAGGAGAAAAAAGACACAGAAAATCTTATGAGGAGATGACCACAGAGCCTGGCTATTACGAAGATGGTCATTTCGGTATCCGTATCGAGAGTGTCCTGATTGTCAAGGAAGCAAGCACCCCTCACAACTTTGGTGGACGTGGTTACCTTGGCTTTGAACATGTCACTATGGCTCCCTTGGGACGTAAATTGATCGATGTCAACTTGCTGTCTCCCGAAGAGCGCAAATGGGTCAATGACTACCATGATGAATGCTGGGCGAATCTTTCCCCTCTCCTCAAGGATGATGCATTAGCCACCGCATGGTTGAAGAAGGAGACACTAGCGATTTAATATCATAATGGATAGTCTGCGTGAAAAATTCCGTGAGCCAAATGAGTCAATCGTAAATAAAAATCAAAATGTACAATCTTCGAATTCTCGTTTCCTCCTCTAACATGCCGGTGCTATTAAATGTCGCCGACTTGCTCGAGATCACTTTCATATTGAGCGGCTTTCGTCGGGCAAAGTCCAAGATGTACCAGGAGACAATCTTGATGGAACTTTGGTATAATTATGCCAATATTTTGAATGAACATTGACTCGCTCCATTACTTCCCGCTCAAGGATATGATGGATCTGGACCGGTCTGGTGGATACTTTCAAATGCATATAAGAACTCTTTGACTGAGGAATTCCTTCAAGATGTTTTACCTTTTGGTAACTTGACCTTGGATGTGCAGTGTCTGTTTAAGCAGCGGCAAAATCTTGATCTAAAATAAAAGGAAGTTCATGCTACTCATCTGAAGATTTTTTGCAATTCTCCCAGGACAGTCTGTGAAATTACTGTTCATACAGACGTCGGCAATACATTTTATTGCATTAAGGATGACTTGTACCTTTAAAATAATGTACATCCACTTCGAGAAGAGCCCAGCTTACGATGACTTGTTACCAGGGCGGCACAATATACAACAGAAATCCAAGAGGCAATTCATCACGTTGTATGAGCTTGACCTCGAAAAACTTTTTATGATTGCAATGCGCAAAAATAGCAACCATACCTGCTCATATGCTATTCAATCATAAAAAAAAAGAGAAAAATTGGAAGAACATGTACGATCCACTAGAAGTAGTTACATATTGCTGTAAAGTTGCGACTTCAGTTTATCGTGCATTCAGCAACCCCAATCTTATTGCAACCTTATCCCAGGACAATGACAAAGTGCGACGAGAATTTTGAAGGGCCACTCAGAGTGTAAGCAGAACTATCTGCGGATTTCTCTTGGCTTCTCAACGTGTCGGCTAGATAAGGCGGAGAAGAGGGCCAAAGCGAAAGCGAACCAGATCGATGCCGAAAGAGCCAGCAAATGATTAAATTGGCTCAAGCAAACAAAGTTGCCTCGTCAGTAAAGACGCTATATTTTTATCTTATCTTGAACGAAAACGGGCTGCTGGAATACACTTGCCTCTTTTGGAGAACACAGTGTTCTATTTTGTAGCCATGTGTTTCTTCTCAATTAGCACCTAAATATTCCTCTCTCCTTTGGGCGTTCACAGCAACTACCGGCAGTACAACGTTGAGAAGACGGTTGTCCTGCTACGGAGGCAACCGGTGAGTGGAGCGCAATCTTGGCTGAATGCCCAAAAGAATAAGAGCTTCCTCCTGAGTCTCGTCATTTGCAATTTGAATGTTTTCAAGAAACAAGGCTTCCAGCAATACCTTCAAGGCGTTTTGCTGAATTTGCGGAAAAAGCTAGACTTCAACAAGAGCGCCAGCCGTGCTTCCAAATAAACTACATTGTAAAATGCTTGACTTTGCGGTTTTTTTTTTGCGTTTCTGGCTACTTGACATTATCCAATCAGATAATTTCTGCGCCGAAATGTTGTTGATGACGTCAATTTTGGCTTGCGTGTTGGAAGAGGACGCGCGACCCCTCTTTTTTCCTCGGTGGTTCAGACTACTGTCCTTTTTACAAGTTACTTTCTCCCATTAAAGCTTTTTCATATCGACATGAGTCGTGGATCAAGTGCTGGCTACGATAGACACATTACAATCTTCTCCCCAGAGGGTCGATTATATCAAGTTGGTATGTGGTCTATTTCCCATTGATAATGACGTTTTGCAACCATGTTAATTATTATGCGTCATACTTCTCTTTCTTTCTGTAGAATATGCCTTTAAAGCCATTTCCAACAGCGGCATCACATCCGTCGGTGTGCGCGGTCGAGAGGGTTGTGTCATTGTCACTCAAAAGAAAATTCCTGTAAGCTTAAAACTGGAGAATGAAGAGGTGTCAAGACATGCGGTATTGACTATCCATATTCTAGGACAAGTTACTTGATCCTTCCACCATCACACACATTTTCCAATTGACACCTAAAATTGGATGTGTCATGACAGGCATGATTGGTAAAATCACACGCGCTTTATATTTGTTCACTGATGACATTGTATTTAACAAAGTGAAATGTATTTAGCGGATGCTCGTACACAAGTGACAAGAGCTCGTCAGGAAGCAGCAGAATTTCGTTACAAATATGGTTACGAAATTCCTACTGATATGCTTGCCAAGCGTATTGCCAACATTAATCAAGTATACACGCAACAAGCAGCTATGCGACCTCTCGGTGTTTGTAAGTGGGGAAGAGAAAAGTGAATGCCAAAAAAAAAAAGGCACAGGGAAAAGAAACTGACATATGAAAAAAAAATGGTTAGCTATGATTTTGATCGGTCATGATGACGAATGGGGTCCACAGTTGTACAAGTGTGATCCTGCAGGATATTATGTGGGTTACAAGGCAACAGCGGCCGGCGCTAAACAGCAAGAAGCATTGAACCATCTGGAAAAGAAGCTGAAGAAAAACCGCGAGTTGAACATGGAGGATACCATTGAGGTCAGTTTATAAAGAGGTGGACATAGGTGGTGAATGGAGGTTAAGATTTTTCGTCGATATCCCGTAGCTTGCTATTACGACATTATCAAGCGTACTGTCAGTCGATTTCAAGCCCACGGAATTGGAAGTCGGTATTGTGACAGAAGATGATCCCAACTTCCGCACATTATCAATCGATCAGATCGAAGATCATTTGCAGAGAATTGTAGACAAGGATTAATAGCATGAATCGCTTTTAATTAACACTTCCCCGTGCGTCCCTTCTTTAATCTTTTTGTTTTACACATGAGGTTCACTGGATCGATCTTTGTATTCCTGTTTTATCCATTCAAAAAAAAAAAATAAGTCGTAAAAAACAAATGTTCATGGTAAAGTACACATGCATGAAAAACATGAAAAACATGAGAAACGGAAATTGAAAGGGGGACGAAAAAGAGCAGTATGCGATGACTATTGTTGTATCTGAGGAAGATGAACTGAACTAGAACGGAAAAATAGAAATGAAAATCAATTAAGCAATGAGTTCGACGACTACAAAAAAAAAATTATATTGTGTGAGTTTCAAGAGTTTGGGTGATGCTTTTACCAATGATTTTCAATGCAGCGCACTTACCACCACCGGCAGCCTTGATCTTCTCTTCAGCACGACGAGAGACGTAACGAGTGCGGACAATGACGGGCTGGCTAACGGAACCCTTGGCCAAGACCTTGCCGTAACCGTTCTGGAGGGCGTCAATGACGGGGACCTTTTCGGTGTTCTTGTATTTTTCACGAACACCCTCACCAGCCAAAGACCAGATTTGGTCAAGGTTGATGACGGGGCGCCAGGTCTGATTCTTCTTCAAATGGAAGTGACGCATACCGACTTTACCAAAGTAACCGGGATGGTACTTATCCATGTTGATACGGTGATGATGCTGACCACCAGCAAGACCGCGACCACCAGGATGCTTTCTGTGCTTTCCAACACGACCGTGACCGGCGGAAACGTGTCCACGCTTCTTTCTGTTGTGATGAAGTCTAGTAGGCTACATGGACATTGGGAAATTATATAAGTCATTGACCTTTTTTTTTGGCACCGGATGGCTATCCAAATAAGGCATCCTCATGCTCATCCCATATGTAACTATCCATGGGAAATCAAACTATTCATATGGAATGGCATCGATGCGGGCCAACGGGGTGTAGTCGATGCTTACCATGGCAAAAAGACTTTTTGGGAAAAGAGCGATGACACTATGGATGGATGACCGTCCTTCAAGGCGCCTCCGGACTCGGGCCGTTTCAGGAAGTATCCCGATGGCGAGATCCTTTTGTCAAAGACACACTGAGGGGCGGGGAAACAATCCTCCTTCCTTCCGGCCAAATCCCCGGAGTAATGTAAATGTCCGGATCGAAACGTTGCGCCGGAGCTCCCCTCCACTCACACTTTGGGAAGTGTGTGCATGGACGATTCTGTTTCCTCTCCCCTCTAATCGCAAGGTATTTATCCATCCGTTAGCAGTACCATCCACCGTCGATTCATCGTCATCTAACGTCATATCATCAACTACAGAATGGAAGCCGTTCAGACTTTCGGTCGCAAGGTGTGTTTTCCATCTTTTAGACTTGCTTAGTGCTTCATTCGTCATGCTGAGTGGCATAGGAATGGGGCAAGCATTGAACCGTATCGAAAAACTTGTAGTGAAGCGGATATTAACGTGGATTTTGCTTCCTTAGAAAACTGCCACGGCTGTTGCTCACTGCAAGAAAGGACGTGGTCTCATCCGCGTCAATGGCTCTCCCCTTGAGCTTCTCGAACCCGAGATCTTGAAATTCAAGGTCTACGAAGTCGTCCTTCTTCTCGGTGAGGAACGTTTCGCCAACATCGATATCCGTCTCCGTGTCCAGGGTGGTGGTCACACCTCCCAGGTTTACGCCATCCGTCAAGCTCTTGCCAAGGCCGTCGTTGCTTTCTACCAAAAGTTCGTCGACGAAGCCGCCAAGAAGGAAATCAAGGAAATTCTCGTCCAATATGATCGTACTCTTCTTGTCGCCGATCCCCGTCGTTGTGAACCCAAGAAGTTTGCTGGTCCTGGTGCCCGTGCACGTTACCAAAAGTCTTACCGTTAAGAAATTCTGCTGCTGTAATAAACTATCCATTTTTCGCTTCCACATGTGCAGGATTCACTCTTGTATTGTTTGACTTGTAGGCTGTTATTGCACTCTGACCTTTTTTCTTTTATTGCTAAAGCGGAACTTAAGCTGACACTGTGTCTATGTAACCTCCACCAACTCAAATTACAATCGTAAGCAAGTATTTGCGCCTTATTTCCGAATAAGAATGATTGAAGCACGTCGATCAAACACCCGAGCTCTCTATGCTGACCTTAAACGGGGAAAGATCGAAAAAGTAATAGAAGATGTATGAAACGCATATCAAAAGAAAAGCAAAAAAAAAAAAAAGGCATCCCGTAAGAGAAGGGTTCAAAGTACACACACGTCGTTTGTGTGGTAGTAGTTGGTTTATGATCCTTCAGTTATGGACAATAGCTGAAAAGAGCGCTAGACAGTTTTGTCTTGAGCTTGCGATAGTGAGAATGAATTCTTCCGCTGGGGCAGAGATGAGAAGTGCGGAGATCCGGTCCGTTCATATTGATAAACTTACTTGCGCTGTTTCATTTTCCTTCCTGTCTCTTCTGTCAGTGGCTACTCATTATGACCAACTCTACCATTCGTATCGGTTACGGTAAGTCGCGGCTCTTTCCGACGGAGTGATTAGTTCTTGTTTCGTTGATGTGGTTTGCTGATGGTCTGATGGTCTGATGGTCGAAATGCGCGCTTTCTCGGTGCTTGCAGTGCCTGAACATTTCTCGACCCCACTGTACATTGCCCGAGATCAAGGGTTCTTTGACGAACAGAATGTGTCTGTGGAACTTGTTTGCTGTCCAGGTATGTCTGCCAATGAAAAAAAAAGCAGGCTGTCAGCAATAAAAAGGAACTGACATTTTGTCATTACATGGATAGGCGGCACGGGTGAAGTAGGTTCAAGTGTATGGACGGTTGCGGAGATGATCTGACTCATGAAAGGAAATTTTCAATCTCGGTTTAGATGACCCAGAAACTGCAGGATAAGCAACTGGATCTGGCCATTGCTCTCACCGAAGGTTTAGTGGCCGGTATCAATAAGGGACAGGACTGGTACAAGATTGTCGGTACTTATGTCGACTCTCCTTTATGTAAGTGCTGTCATGAATGTACCTGAAACTGTGAGTACGATATTGATGTACCGCTCTCACCTTTGAAAGGCTGGGCTATCAGCACGGGAAAGCAATCCAAGCACTCGTCGATCGATAGCTTGCATAAATCGAATGTCGGTATCTCGCGTCTCGGTTCCGGATCGCATATCATGGCGTATGTTCTCGCGGATCAGCAGGGCTGGCACTCGGAGGAACCCTTCACATTCAATGTGTTGAACAATTTCAAGGCGATGCGCGATGCGGTCAACGATGGCTCATCGGACGTTTTTATGTGGGAAACCTTCACTACCAAACCTTACCATGATTCGGGCGAAGTGATGCGTATCGGTCAGATTACGCCCCCTTGGCCTGCTTTTATGTTTGCAGCTCACACAGATTTGTTGAAGCAGCCAGAAACCATTCAAAGTGCATTGCAAGCCATCCAGAAAGCCACGGAACTGTTCATGCAGCAAAAGGACGACGAATCCATTCAACGAGTGATGGATATTCTCGACTATACGGAGGAAGACGTACGTAGCTGGTTCAAGATCGTGCATTATGCACCGGACCATCTGAGCATTTCCCAGCGCGCACTGGAAGTCACCACTTCCACTCTCCTGAAAGCCAAAGTCATTGAACAACCTGGAAACCCCACCGAAGACTTGTGTGATAAACAAGTAGCTCGTTTTATTGAATAAGGCCCTGATTGCAATAAAGTGGTCTTGCGATGAATATATGATCAAAAAAAAAAAAAAGTTTGAACAACTCATTGTTCACTGGCTAAATACCTTGAATTGATGTAATAAACCTAATCTGCAATTCGCTGAAATTTTTCCCTCTCACTCTAGTTACACCTGATCAACCAAGCAATGAATCGCGCAAGATCAGAGTGACTAATTGTAAGAGCTAGCCATGCTCCTCGAAATGTCTTGACGTAAGCTTCCGAAAAGAGCTTTATTATTTCGATCAAGCATGTGTGAGAGCATCTTTTGTCACGGTTAGGAGCCATCCATGATGCTTCTTTTACTAAGTTTGTATAAATAGAGTTGTTTTTACCGATAGATTTCTAGTTTGTATCAAAATAGCATGCCATTTGTACTGCTGTATTCTTGAATGAACACTTTTCATAGAATGGCACATTTTCATGGCTGCAGTTGAGAATGGTTTTGTAGCATCCGACTTGTTTGGCTATATGGACCAACTGATCAATCAATCTAAGTTATTGGCCAGTTAGCATATGAGCGGTTTTTACTGATTTTGATTAGAGCTGTTGTTTACCGTGATCCGAGTCGTTTACCACGCTGGGAGTCATCGACCACCACATCCTCAATATGCCCCGCCTGTAAAAAATGAAAGACAAGATGTTCATGGTAAGTATAAAAAAAAAACGTCAAATTGGATTAGGGCATCAGATTTGTCACCTTGCTGCAACCATGCAAGAATTTGTGCTCCACGACCAAGGTGGCACAGGCGACGATCCGTTCACGTTGCTCAACGACAATGATATAATATGATTCCTGGCGTTTCATCATATTGAATTGCTCTAATAAAGATTTTCATGTGTAAACGGGTATATGTCAAGTGGATGATAGCATCGTGATACCTTCAAATGCTTCCGGGGAGACATCTCCTATGTTGGATAACTGTGACAGTAACCTTAGCAAACCTAAGTTATTTACGATCAGTCAAAGTATCTCTGAGAGAACGATTTTGAAAGCACACACCTTTTGTGTGATCATCGCGTTGCAATGGTCGTAATGTACAATCGGGTGGTAAGGCGTTCTGTTGTTCTTGAGATATTAGCTTTGCTGAAAACAACTGAAGATCAGCAATGGTCATGATACGCGTTACGGAAACTTCTCTGCGGAAGGAAGAAAGACGATGGAGGAAGAATCAAGGAATAACAACAAAGGAAACTTTTTTGCTGTACAAAACAACGGACAGTAGGAAAAAAAAAAAGAAGCAACGAGAGATAAACAAACGAAGACTAATGTTTATTTGAAAAGGCATGGTTTAATTTGACATCTCGCAGGCGTTCCGCGGAAGAGATTGGCCTCTCACTCGTGAGAAAAATCAGTGTGGCGTTACACCATGCTCTTAAAGATTTGAGCGTTCATCACTCATAAAAAAAAAAAAAAAGGCCAGCCCGATAAACAAACTTGAACATTTTTCGTCCCTGAAAAACCCAAATGAACTCTCTGCTTCGATCCACTCGTTCCCTTGTCAAAGCGCAACGTCTCCTTCACACCAGCGCATCGGGTGAGTGTTCCCTCACAGCCCCGCGAGCTAGTTCATTGACGTAACCCATCCTTTCCCTTTGCAAAAAGCTCATGAACGCAAACAGTTTCTGGTCGTTGTTCACGACTATACTGATGCTCAAGGGTTGGACCGTCGCATGGCTGCTCGGGATTTGCATCTTCAGCAAGCCAAAGAAGCACAAGCCGATGGAAGCCTAGTGTTGGGAGGAGCGCTTTTCAACTCTCACGAGGTAGGTCGTGACAAAACCATGTCACTGTTCCAGAAATGCTGAGCATTGGGAGGTTGGAATGGATAAATAGCAAGGCAAGATGATTGGAAGTGCGCTTGTATATGAGGCCGAGTCCGAGGAAGAAGTGCGTCAGATAATTGCCAAAGATCCATACGTCAAGGGCAAAGTATGGGAGAAATGGGATATCTATCCATTCCGCATGTAAGCAATAAAATCATAATGAGAGAGGGGGTGTGATATACCAGTATTCATGGTAAATATCTCTACTGAACAGGGCCATTACGCCATCCAAGTCATGAAAAAAGAGCGGATAGGCGGAGATACAAAAAACCAACAGTGACAGTGACGCGTCTTTCCTTTCAATTTTATCTTACTTCCCTTTTGCTTTTTTTATTTCACTTGTTCACTCTTTGTAAAGCAATAAAACAAAAAACAATGGAAGCTAAACAATCTCAAAGACCGGCTTCTTTGAAGCATATTCTTGAACGGTCCAAGCTTTTGACGTCGCAAATTGAACAAAGCACACTGCCGTCCATTGAACGTGGTTTGGACCAGATCGACTCACAATCCCAAAAATTGTCGTCCGCCCCTACCGATTCCTCAGAAGACAATGTCAGAGCGTATGTGACGAAATTCATTAAAATCGTGAATGAATATCTACTGATATATACGGGCGTTTTTTTTTCTTCAAACAAAATGCAGTCATTATTTCTTGGCGAAGGCAGGTGTCAATACCAGCATTCTGGTGCGAGAATTAGGCACCATTCACATGGGTGCGCCTACCGAACCTCGAAAGCCGATACAAGACACCGACCTTGAGGTAGGCCGAGTACCGAAATGAATGGAAATAATTGCTTGTCGCTCATGGAGTGTTAATGTCTTTGATTGATTGTGCAATAGGGATACTTGTTGCGCAAACAGACACAAACCATCGTTGACTTTGTTCAAGCTAAAAAGCAAGAAGTAAACTTCGTTTCACATTGCAGATACGTTTTGACAATGCTTTCAACGTAAATTGACTTTTTTTTTACCGTGTCTAGATTTACCATGACACCGACGAAGCATTTGATCGAGATCTTTATTGGCGTTGGCAGGAATTAAAGCAGAAGCTTGATGTTGGTGAAGCCGATACTGCTGAATTTGCTTCGTGGCTGCGCACAAAGCACTTTGCAGATGCTGCCACCATGACTCTCGGTCATACAAGACATTAAGCCGTTGTCACCACCACTCACGCAACGCAATTTCATCTATCCCCTTCGAACGCCTGCTACCATCGAAAATAACAAATATCCCCATTCGTGGAAAAATCCGATCCTTGTCTCATCTTGTAACATTGCATACTCTAATGTTTTAAAATTCTTGCCAAACTAAAAACCAGTCGCCGCACGCCAAAATTTGTGAGCTAAAAAACAGCCACATGGTGTTCCTTTTCATCATATGGATTTAGCAGCTACTTCGCTTGGTGTTATTTATTCATTCAAAGATGTTGGAAAAGTTCAATGGAAGGGGAGAGCTTTCTGTAAAGGGCTATTGTCAATGTCGATCTCGCGTCTTTGTAGCATTATTTAATAATTTGTCGTTGTCTGTAAATGTGTGTCCTTTTGATTTTTTCTTTCCAGTTTTCGGTGATTAAAGGTGCATGAGCAGAAATGCTTTACCAATGTAGCTGATCTGGCGACATTGCTCATTGTTCATTCATTGGTGTGTGTCATTTTTTTTATTTTTAAAGCGATCATTCATACTTTTAGAGCTCTATTTTTATGCAATTTCTTTTTGCTTTTATCAGATTCTATTTTTGGAGCTTTTTTTTTCATTTAGAAAGTGTTCATTCATACCTCTTTTGGAGCTTTAACTTTTATACAGCTTCTTTCTGCTTTTTATCTTTACAGTCTTCACCTTCAGTTTTTATTTTGGACTTTTTTCTTTTTCGCTTTTATATTTGAAGCTTTTCTTTTTGGAGTTCTTTTCTTCTTTTTGTCTTCGTTTTTCTCTAACTTCGGTTCACCTAAGAAGCCCTGGTATTATTTTATTTCATCAAGTTCCTAGCTGCGTCCATCGCCACGACTATGGCTTTCCCGTGTAGCTGACTCGGTTAAATCCACCATCACCATCAGAAGGTACCATCAAATGGTTTTTATCATTTCTTCAACAAGAAAAAACTTACCTGTTCTTTTTTCTATTCTTCCTTAGCTTTTGGTCTTCTCTCCGGTTTTCTTTTCGCCTGGCAAGCCATCCATCCTCCAAACCTTTCTACTTTGTTCCCGCACCAAATGTGGCCAATCCGGTTTTGTCGTCAAAGGGCATCGTCGGCGGTTTAGTGCTTACGCGTCCTCCTCAGGTTCCTCTTCTTTGGATTGCCACCCATGGTATATTGTCTTCGATATTTCTTCCTGACCATTTTATTTTGTAGTTTGTAGAATGTAAATTTGTATTTTAGTATAGTCTTCTTGCGATCTTTTCCTTCCCACAGGGTTTTTAGGGGATTTTTACGGACGCACCCATTGTTTTACTTCTTTTTTCGGTCGGGAAGCTCTCGATATCTGCTGCATCGAATAACAAAGGTAAAATATTTTGACGACACTTGAATCAATCAAAGAGCGTATTAACTCATTTTTTTGATACCCAACATTCCCACACATCATTCTAGGTCTATCATAACGTTGGGCGGGACGGGACTGAGGGGGTCAATAAGTGCTGCTGCACACATGTTTGAAAATCATGACTGTACGGTATGCCAGAGTATTGACATTAATATACCAAAGTTCCATCAAGAGTCTCGCCCAGGTTATGCCGTATTGCGTTAGGCTTTTGTCTGACGAATGTCGCTCAATGTAAGGGGGCGACGTCCAGTAGCAGGTGGCACCCATTGCACAGCGGGTGTACGGCTTGTTAACGCTCGATTAAATCGTATCCGAACCACCTGTTTTTACAAAATCCGTGTCTCTCTTTATCAAGAGATTGCTGACCGCCATGGACAAGCGATGAAAATAAAAAAGACGATTATAACCTTGTGATGAAAAAAAAAGACCGCCTTTCTTTATCTCTTTATTTATTTTTTCTGCGAGTAAGATGAATGAGAACCGTATTTTTCTGTCATGCCCTGAATAAACTGTAAATTTGTACAACATGACTTACTCGAACAGTTTTTTCTTGATTCAGCCAATGAACTTTTGACGTGAAGAAAACAAAAACCACATGAAAAAGGAGTAACATTATTCCTTGCGTCCTGTTGTTGTCACAGGAAGCATTTGATAATTCGGTCGTATCATGGCAAAGAAATCGATAAGCAGTAGCCCTGGGGAGGCTGTCATAGAATTTTATGGATACTTTTCTCAATGTTGCCCAAAGTTCATCGATCCTTTCAGAACATTAGCAACCTAATGTCCGTTTAACCCTCCATTGCGTTTTTTTTTTTTTTTTTTTTTTTTTTTTTGAGGAACTCAAAAGTCTTTTTGTTCAAAAAATATTAGGACATTCCTAGGACGTTTCCATGGAAAGACAAGGTTGATATTGGAGACCCCGTCCTATTATGCGATTCCACGGATGGTTTTTGCGAGACCTGACGTAGGTTGGTTGCTTTTGCGACCAATTGGGTGTCCCAAGGCCAGACCGTTTTTTTTTTCTGCTATTATTGTTTTTTTTTTCATTTCGGACGCCGGTCATCCCGCAAATTTTCTCTCACGAACGATCTGCAATTGGTCGGCCAACGAAGGAATCGATGGCTCTTTTATTGTAAATCAACTGGCTTTATAAATGATAAAGCGGTCGTATTACACAGAAGTATACACCGCTATGCATGCCACGGTTTGCCATGATGATTCATACAAAAACAATACGTTGCAAGTTTCCCTTTGATGATGTGCAGAAAAATCAGGGTGGAGAAAATAGGTATAAGTCTTTCCGGATCAATGTGAAACCTACCCTCTGATCTCAGTCGCTCACCGTGGATAAGGTCTCATTGTATTGACGGAGGTTCAAAAATCTGCCAAACAAAGCCCACAGACACAAATTGTCAATCGGTTGATCGTTTGCCCTTTTTTTTCTCCTCTTTGCCTTGCACCTTTTTTTTTTCGCCCCACATTCCTCTTCCCCTTTCCAAACCAGTCATGTCCAATTCTGGATCGACAGGATCCTACACCGATTCAACGGGCTTTACTGGGCTATTAGGGGATACGCTGCAAATTCCAGGCTACCATTTTAAAGCAGCACCTACACCTAGTCTAGCTCATGGCGAGAACATTGATATCGTTTATGGCTACAAGTAAGCAAACCAAATCCCCACTTCCGCTAATCATGGGTTCGGTTTCATCTTACCAATTTCCCCCACTTTACTTACCTCCCATTGCTTTTTTCCTTTAACAGAATTACCAACAAAAAGCCCGTGGTGGCCAAAGTATCACCGAGTTCGCTACGTCTTGAAAGAGAGTTTTATATCATGAAGCGACTCTACAATATGCCGGATGGCCCCTCTTTTCTCGGTAAGACATGAAATTATCGCAAAAATATTTTCATCACCCATTCTTTTTTTACTCACACCTCTTTTTTTGTCCATGTTGTTTTTTCTTGGCTTTGCTTCCCTTTATTACCTGCTTTCCTTTGGTTGTAACTTGTATGAATGCCCGCACCCTCCTGGATTTGTTCTTTTTGTGTGATCAGTACGACCTCTCGAATACATCAATTTGCCCAGCGGAATCACCGTCGTTATTTACGCTGACGAAGGACAAAATTATCTCGATCGTCGGCGATCTTCGGACGATACACGACACGCCGGCAGTGAACGATCGTCTTCGGCTGGAAGTAGCGTTGCTCACGATCTTAGCGAATCAAATTTATTCTTGTCAAGCGAAGCTCGTCGACGTTATCGTCTCCATACCCACGACGCATGCGAAGTGTATTCACAGGGCTTACCCGCGGGACTCCCAGCTTCCGAACCGGCCTACGATCTCGGTACCTTTTTACGTTTCGCTATCAAATGCACCGATTGCTTGGAATTCATTCATCGACACAATATCGTTCACGGCGAAATTCGTCTTTCAGCATTTCAATGGGCAGGCGACGATGGCAACCGAGTGAAATTGTGGAACTTTGGTTCCAGCAGTAAATCCTTGGAAACCTACCTTACCAGTGAAGGATGGCGTAAAACGGTCATGAACAAGGAATCCATGGATCTGCTGAGGAACTTGCTCGTATTTATGAGTCCCGAACAAACCGGCCGTACCACTTACGTTCCTGATCATCGATCGGATATCTATTCATTGGGTGTTGTGTTCTTTGTTCTAATGACGGGTCGTAATCCATTCGATGGAGGACCGCTCGAAATACTCAATGGTATTCTCAGTCGAAAGATTCCTCTTGTACATGAAATTCAAATGGATGTGCCTGAAATCATCTCTCGCATCCTCGAGAAAATGACGAGCAAGGTAATTCTCTGCTTCCAACGGATCCTGATTTTTTTTTTCGGTTACTGATCTCGGTTGCTTGGTTGTTTTTTACTGTGGAATTTCCCACTTGTAGTCACCTGATGATCGATACAGCAGTGCATTTGGTGTTCGTGCCGACTTGAAAGAATGTCTTAGACGTTTAAAGAACACTTCCGATACGTCCTTGGATGTAAGTCAAGTCTGGGTGGTTTTGCTTTCTGTAGTCTAGAACAAAAAGAGGACTCACCACCACTGTCAATTGATGTGTAGACTATTGCTCCCTTCCCTTTGGCAGAACATGATATCGCCTCTGTATTTACCCTTCCCAAGACCATTTACGGTCGTCAGAGCGTTGTCGTGGAAATGACTTACATTATTCAACGGGTTGCCGGTCTTTATAAATCCATGCGGTATCGACGCGAACGGTCACAAGCCGCCGTGTCCTCTACGCTCCCGACCAGCGATGTCACAGGCAGCAATGCCAGCGCCACCGAATCCATGAGCGACATGTCTTCTTCCCATGAGGTGGCCAGTATAATAGGCACCAAGTCCGTTGCTTCACCAAGCTATTGCAGCGGATTAGACGGGAGCGATGTATCGAGTGGAACGTCCCGAGCTATTGGGAGCTCCAAACAAGGCACTGAAATTATCGCTCTGTACGGGCCTGGCGGAGTAGGAAAATCGACCTTGTTTAACGCGGTACAGAACGTCGCCAGACAAAATGGGTAAGTTTTGGTTTCCATCCGCATCTTGCTGTTTTTCCACTCCATTAATAACCAACCTCTTTTTTCCCTCCTTCGACCTTCTTTGGGATCTTTAGCTACGTCGCCAATACCAAGTTTGATGCTCGACATAAAGGTCCTTACGGGTGCATTCTGCGCTCTCTGTCTCAAATTTTACAGCAAGTCTTGTCCGAATCCGAGGAGGATATCAAGCAATTTTACGACCATCTTAAAAACCATCTCGGCAGCGGCCAATTTTACAACGTCGAATTATTGGCGGATCTCGTACCGGAATTGAAACCACTGCTTGAACCACGAGCAGCCAACAGTGAGCCCCTGGAAGCGATTCACCTCGACAATGTCGAAACACGCGTACGTTTCCACAATCTTTTCATCGAAGTGTTCCGTGCACTGTCCCATTGGCGGATGGTTACCTTGGTAAGAGAGTCTTATTTGTTTCACTGTTCATACAGGCAGGATGATACTAAAGTGGATGGATGCATACAGTTTTTGGATGATGCGCATGAAGCGGATGAATCGTCTTTGGAATTGCTAAAGTCTCTTGTGAGCTCGAGAATCAAAATCTTGCTTTTGGTCTCGTATCGTGATCAAGAGGTGACGCCCAAATTGACGGAAATACTCGAAAGCGATTCCGCCATCATTCACTTCATGAAAATTGAAGCGTTGAGTTTCGATTCTCTGGTAGAATACATCGGCGACGCCTTACATCGACCCCGCGAAGTGTGTCATGATGCCGTGCTTCCGCTGGCCGAAATTGTATACAAGAAAACCCGCGGCAATGCATTTTACATTTCGCAACTGATCACGGCGTTGGAAAAGAAGAAATTGATTTTCTTCAATTGGGAAGCCAACGAATGGGACTACAATATCAGTGAAGTGCAGCAAGAAGTCATTGCCGATAGTGACTCTGAAAAAGAAGCCGAACTCGATATCAGCTTTCTCGTAGACCGGTTACGCGAATTACCTATGGACGGTCAACGCCTTTTGAAATGGGCGTCGTTTGTCGGCAACACGTTTTCATGGAATACTGTCAAAAGTCTCATGCTTCAATCGGATCCGGAATCCGAAGCTTCCGACGCCGACACCGCCTCGGATAACACGGCCAAAAGCGACAGTATCGTGGTGGAGTCGCTGCATCCCTTGATAAAGTTCACCCACTCGGTAGGCGGCAACCGACCCAATAAAAAGAGAATGAGTACCGCACGCAACCGGGATCCCATCAGCGGTCTTCAAGCCGCTTTACAAGAAGGCTACATTTTGCCTCTTGACAGCGATGAATTCAAGTGGACTCACGATCGATATTCGCAAGCCGCCATGGAACTGGCCAACCCCAAAATGCGAGCCAAAATTCATCTGAAAATCGCTCGCCATCTCATCCAAGGTAAAACTCGAGGCTCAAGAACTAGGCGGTAGTTTTGTTTTGTGTGATTTCTCATTTTCTACATCTTTTTCCTCAGTAGATGCTGAACCCGATATTTTTGCGGTGTCGGATCATTTGCTCAACTGCTTAGATCTCGTGATCGCAGATAATGATGTGGAGCAAAAGATGAAGTATCGAAGTATCCTGATCGATTCTGGTAATCGAGCACGATCCTCGGGAGCGCACAACATGGCTTTAAAATATTATCTCGGTGCTATTCAACTCCTGTGTCCGAATGCCTGGGAAACTGACGATTATACCACTGTACACCATTTATATACTAATACGGCATCGTTGAGCTGGATTGTCGCCGACTATGAACAGACAGAAAGCATGCTGCAGGAAATTTTTGACCATGGCAAAACCGCTATGGATCGTATCGTGGCTTATCGAATCAAATCCAAATACTACTTTTCGCGACAGATGCATGAGGAAGGACGGCTGGCTCTGTACGACTGCCTGCGCGAACTTGGTATTGAACATTTCCATTACGAGGCCACGCGTGAAAATCTGTACGAGGAGTTCTTTTTGGTCAAGAAGATGATTGAGGACCGAGGCATGGACAGTCTGCCCGCCATACCACTCTGTCAAGACGATCGTCTCAAAGCCATCATGGGCGTCGTGGAAGAATTGTAAGTATTGCATTTCTTGTTCGTGCAGTGACTAAGTACAGTCTCATCTCTAATTTTTGTGTCTCAGATGTACTCTCGCCTACTGGGTAGGCAACCAAACAGAAGTGTTCTATTTGGCATGCAAAACGGTTCGCTTTTCGCTCGAGTCAGGGATGGCCGCCGTGTCCGGCATTGGTCTTGTTTTCATGGGATTGGCCGCCGTCGAGTTTTACAAACTATACGGCTTTGCCGAGGTAAAAATTATTTCGTCAAACAGGAAAAATGAAATGGTTGTTGCAAGAGATATTTATCATGTTCTGTAGGAATTGGGTGCAGCAGGTGTGGCTGTGAGTGATCGATTTGGCACGAACAACGAAAAAGGACGAGCGTTTTTCCTTTATGCGAATTTCCTGTTGCAGTGGAAATACCATTACAAGGAAGCCATGCAGTGGTATCGTTCTGGATTACGTCTGTCTCTTGCCGCGGGTGATCGTATTTATGCATCATTTTCACATCTTCACATCGCCACCACGGCATTTTATACGGGCGAAAACCTTTCAATGACGCTTCACGAAGCGGAAGCCTGCTACGACGAAATTCATTCATGGTCTACTTCTCTCGACACCAATATTCTCATCATGTCGGTTATTCGAACTATCAAGGCACTGCAGGGCCATACTTATACCAATGATCCGAATGAAATCTTTAACGGTGACGATGGATTCAACGATGCTCACTTTGTCTCCGAAAGTTGCAGACAAAGCGCCAATCCTGATGTTCCCATCAACTGGTACGATTCTTTCCGCTTACTACCGTTGGTACTGTATGGCCATTATAACTACGCCGTAGCGGTGGGGTACATGTGCATTAAAGGCTACCATAACCATCCGTGTCATCGTCACACCCGTCTGATGCTGTCCCTGCTCTCGCTCGCAATTCTGGAGAAACTGCGCGTCGAAGACTTGGACAAGGAAGAATACGACATGTTTATGGAACGAGTGCAGATGAATCAAAATCAGCTTGGCGATTGGGCCGATCACAGTTCGATCAATTACCGGATGTGGTGGACTCTGGTTGAAGCCGAGATCTCCTCCCTTGGCACCAATATCGCCAAAACATGTCAACTCTTTGAAGATGCCATCAATCAATGTCGCGAAGGAGGCTGGAGTCTCGATCTATGCATTGCCCATGAATACGCTGGCAATTTTTACGTCCGCGCCGGCATGCGAAATGTAGCTTACAATCTTGTGAGAAAGGTAAAAAGGGGAAAAAAGAAAGACATGTCATGCAAGTGAATATCTAAATTTAGGATATCTTTGTTTTTGGAATGATAGGCGATTGATCTGTATATGAAGCATGGATCGTATGGAAAAGCGCGTCATCTGGGTGTGAAGCATGCTCAGTTACTCAGTGATCTCGATGATGAAAGAGAAGAATCAAGAGATGTTGGTATCCAGACCGATCCCTTCCCCTTCTTAGACGCTCAAGGTGCCTGGAGTACGTCGTCACTCGGCAATATAAATATTGTCAATGAACCTTATGCCTCCGAGACGATTCCCCCCGTGACCACCGAGCAAACCCTCATGACTTTGGATATCGTAAGTGTCGATCTCGAAAGACGAGGTTCTCGCCGTGTGTATACTAACACTTCTCTTTTTTTTTTCTTGTGATAGTTGGATATGGCTTCCATTTTAAAGAGTTCTCAAGTCATGTCTTCAGAAGTCAAATTTGACGGTCTGTTAAAGTCAATGATCAATATTATCTTGGAGAATTCCGGAGCCGACTGCGGTGCTATTATTGTGAAAGAAGAGAAATACGGCATGTGTGCTTATGGCAGTCAGCAAGAGGGATCTATGACATTTGATCCTCCACGACCTTTGAAAGACGATGATGATCTGATCTCGAGCCGTATTGTACACCATACCATTCACACCGTGGAATCCATCTTTGTACAAAACGTGGAACAAGATGCGCGATTTGCTGTGGGACCTTGGTTCGAACGGGCAGGAAACAAATCGGTTATTTGTATGCCCATTATTCACAAGAGTGCATTAGCCGGTTGCCTGTTCTTGGAAGGTTCATGCGGCATTTTCACTCAACGCCATATTACCGTTCTCAGCCTTTTGTGTCAGCAAATGGGTATCTCCATCACCAACGCTTTCCTTTTCAAATCTGTTCAACGCGTCACCATGGCCAACATGAGGTAAGCTCTCTTTACCGAAGGCCACTGAAGAAGATGACGGATCTCCTCATGATATTACTTTCTTTTTTCTCTTTTACAGAATGATTGAAATGCAAAAGCAAGCGTTGGAAGATGCTCGCAAGAGCAAAGAAGCTGCGGTGCGTGCCACTCGTCTTCGCGAGATTTTCTTGGCCAATATGAGTCACGAAATTCGAACACCTTTCTCTGGTTTTTACGGCATGATCTCATTGTTGGCTGAAACAAGGCAAGTATACCTTCTACCGGTTTGAAGGAAAAAGGGTGCATGAGCTAACTTTTTGCTGCGTAATAGACTGGATCCCGAACAGAGCGATCTGGTGAAAACGGCCAAAGAGTCGTGTGAAATGTTACTGCAGATCATTGATGATTTATTGAATTTCTCCAAGCTTCAAGCGGGCAAGGTCGCGTTGGATTTGTCACCGGTGGCTCTGGAAGACATTATCGCCGATGTAGTAGAAATGCTGACGGCGATGGCAGTACAAAAGAATATCAACATTACCTTTACCGTAGCCCACGATGTGCCGCCCATTGTTATGGCCGACGACAACCGTTTACGACAGTAAGTATGGCGGCAATGCCAAGCTTTGAAGAATTGGAAGGGGGATATCTGGGGCTTAATAATAACCTGATCCATCCTAGGGTGATTATCAATCTGCTGGGCAATGCTATCAAATTCACCCATGAAGGTGAAATCAGCATCCGCTGTTTCGTCGCGGAGCAGCAAGGTTCAACCAAGGATACGGACGGTCTTGTACTACGATTCGAAGTCATGGATACCGGTATTGGTATCAGTGATGAGCAACGCAAAGTGCTGTTTGTTCCCTTTTCGCAGGTCGATGGAAGTACCACGTAAGTTTGCCGCCTAGAAGCCATGGTCACAGAATATTTTTTTATTTTTTTCATTCTAACGCAATGGTGTGAACTCTTAAATTTTAGGCGCAAATATGGTGGCACCGGTCTTGGCTTGAGCATTTGTTTGCAACTGGTTCAGTTGATGTCGGGTACGATTGATGTGGCGAGTGTGCCTGGCAAGGGATCGAATTTCTTCTTTACGGCCAAGGTGGGCAAGGTTCCCAAGAATGTCGATTGCCGAGACAAGGTGAATAAGCAACGTGAAATGCAAAGCATGCACGATGCTTTGAGCAATATCAAGGTCTTGGTGGCGGCTCGTTACGCTTCGACCATTGGTATGGTGCGTCATATTTTGGACGGAATTCACGTGGATGGCGTGCGCAAAGCCGAGGAATTACCTCAGAATCTAGCCGCGGTGCCTTACGATGTGATTATCCTGGGCCTGTTCCTGGGCAAGGAATTCGAAGATCCTTCGTGGGTGGAAAAGCTGACGTTCAAAAAGGAAGATACGGTCATGATCATCATGCATTATCCGAGCGGCGTTCAATTCCAGCGCAACCATTGGATCGAGCCTGTTGATGTCAGTGTTGGCAAAGCCAAGGTGATCCGTATGGCGGTGCCGTTGCGTCGTGGTAAACTCTTGCGTGCCATTACCGATTCCATGGCTCGCTCTACTCCGAGGCCGAAAAAGGCGGTTCAATCCAAAGCAAACGAACTCATCTCGGAAGAAGAACGCGCCTACTTTAGCACGTTGCATATTCTCATCGCCGAAGGTAAAAAGAAAAAAAAAAGGAATTCGTGGATGAACCGTTAACTGATCCCGGTTATTGTTCTTTTGCACATTTAGATAATCCTGTGGCTCAGAAACTTTTGCTGAAACAGCTGACACGACTGGGATTCCAGGTGGAGTGCGCCAATAACGGACAGGAAGCCGTTGAAGCGTGGCTCAAACATCCAGTGGGTTACTTTACCATGGCATTTTTTGATCATCACATGCCTGTATGCGATGGTGTGGAAGCGACCAAACGTATTCGCCAAATCGAAAAGGATGAAAACCGCACCAGTCGATTTGCCATTGTCGCGTTAACGGCCGACGTTCAGGAAAGCGCTCGCAAAGTGTGTATGAAAGCGGGCATGGACGGGTAAGTCGTCATCGAACCATCATCATTCGGCATTCTAATCTTTTATTTTTCTCGATGGATTTTCTAGTTACCTCACCAAACCTTTGAATCAGAAAGTATTAGCGGAAGCGCTACGGAAATACTGCCACAAACCAATGGGTGCTTCTTCATCAAATTCTTCATAATTGTAATTTTTTCCCCTTTCTTTCTTTTACCGAACCACCCTTCTTTCCTCCTTTGCTTTTTTTATAATTATGTGCATTTTGTATTATTACTTGCAAATTTTTGGTTATTCATTTTCACGTACATTTCAGGTACATTTTCACGTCATTTCATACATTGTATTTATTTACGCCTTGCGCATGAATCGGTGAATGTAAAAAACGAAAAGACACATTATATAAATAATCACCATGTCTTGTAGACAAGAGGAATACAATAAAATCATATCGGACAGGTCACCGAATACATTTATTTCCATCTGTTTTTTTTCTTTTTGTTCGGACATATACAACGACTTTGATTTTATATCTTTTTTTTTTCTTGTTCCTTTTTTTGGTTTTTTAATTATTGAGGGGTACCAAGAGGGGTTAAACAAATGGCAAGTGTAGGATAAATACGTGATTTCTTCAGGACAGATATATTATATCCCAAAAACGAGCATGAAAAATGTGGATGGGTAAATCTCTTTCTTTTTAGAAACTTAAAGGTTGGTCGTAGGATCGGAGGGCCGTAAAGAGGAGAGATCAGGGTTGTCGGAGGTAGGTAATATGGGAGTGATGGTGGGTATGGGGGAACCCGATGGGTAGGATGGAAAAGAGTACTGACTTCGACTTCGTTTATGGTAGACGACGTCCTTTTCGGTGGAAGCTGATCGAGAGTCAAAACCTGGGTCTTCCACCAATGTTCCGTCAGGACTGGGAAGAGGCGCCGGCCGTTTTTGTCTGATGAGCTGCGGCTGGCTCGTCTTTTCCCCACCTTGCTCCTCCCCTTCTTCTTCGTCGTCGCTAATAAGATTAATCACATTCTCGGTTTGCGCGACTGTGACTTGAGCAAGTTGAGGTGACGCATTTTCGTTTTTGATCGGCAATTGATCGTTTTCTTCATCGGAATAAGGTTCGTCAGGATCCGGCAGTTCGGTTTTCGTCGCTACCCATTCATTGCTCGATTGACTGAATTCAATTTCATACACATTTTTAGGAACAGTCGCCAGCAGATATTCAAAAAACAAATCGCGTGCCAAGGTCTGAATCGGTGTGTAACAACTGCAGTGAGGACACGTCCACCCTGCGTTACCATGATTCACGGCCAAATAACTGGATAAATCATAACACTGTCAGAAGAAAAAAGGCCATCATGAGTTCAATCATCAACTTTTTCCCCTGCAGTGATCAGTTTCAAGCAACTTACATCGGCATGTTTGCAACGGATACCTCGAATAGGCTGTGAAATACGTTGCATAGAGATCGGACATTTGAGATTGATGCGATATGACGACTGGACTACTTCAATTTCATCATCATCGCCTTGCTGTGCCGCACCAATACGACGTGTACTGAGACGATCATTGATAATCCCGCGACTCACGCTGGCATCAATTGGGGTTCCCTTCAACACTTTTTGTGTCACATGGTCCTCGGTCTCCCGTGAATAGCAATCAATAGCAAAGTAGTATGACTACAATTCATAAGTAAAAATAAAAAATAAAAAAAGACGAGTCAGTTTGAAGTATTCACATGAAACAATACGGTATTGATGGAGGAATACAAACACAAGCGCAATCGTTTTGAATCAAGACAAGATGATTTGTCCCTTGTACAAGATAGCGATTAATGTCGCACGGTTTATCTTTGCCGCTAAAAGAAAAACTTCCGTTGGGTTGCCGTATCGTTGTTCGCTAGATGGAAACAAAATCGAAAAAAGAAGGCGGGTCAGTCATGATGTTGCGTATTGTGATGGTTGACCAGATAAAGTATTTACCCGTTCCATTTGCGGTTTGACGTTATTGATTTCAATGGCTACAGCAAGAGGCCATTCGCATTTGGTTTTGTACGAATTGATTTTCCACGATGTCAGCATATAAGTTATGGGCCATTTCTCGCTATCCTGAGGTACTTGAACAGGTGTGCCGTGATACAATCGACGATAATCCTCGGCCCCGAGAAAAAAGGTACAATCGGTGCGTATTTGTTGATGTTTTAGGCGGAATCCGTTGAGAGGACTTTCAATATGACGCATTAATTGAGGCGTGACCAGGGGAGCTTGAGCAACAGGTAGCGCCACATTGGGCAATGCCAGTGGCAGACCATCGGGAGTAAACCATTGCATAGTGGCAGGCATCACAGTCGGCTTTCTCTGTTGAACCACAGCAGTCGATTGGGCTGAAGGGGCCGACTGATTTCCATTCACATCGGCGACCGATGACAAAGGTACACTGGAAGACCAGGACGGCATAGGAGATATATATACCGCTCTGTTCTGTTGCACTTGCACCTGTTGCTGCTGTGAATTTGGTGGTTGTTGCTGCTGCTGCCTTATTAGCTGCTGTTCTTGGAGTTGCTGTTGTTGTAAGAACTGCTGTTGAAGTTTCTTTTGCATTTGTAATTGTAATTGATGCTGCATTTGTTGCTGCTGCTGCTGCTGGTGCTGCCGTTGTTGAAGATGTTGATGATGTTGTTGCTGTTGCATCAATTTCCATTGTTGCATTTGTAGCTGGAGCAGTTGAGGGTGGTTCAATCGGACAGCACCTGGGGGTAGGCTCAGCTGCGGTAAAGCGACAATCGAAGGGGCCACAGAAGATGGAAGGGATACAGGTAAAGCCGCCGGAATTGGTCCTGACAAGGAGGTGGCCATCGATGTAAGTGGTATAGACGGCTGTAACATGGATTGGTTTTGGGTTGATCCTTGAAGATATGGATTAGAAGAATTAAGGTCGGATGGTATATTTTGAGCAGGTTGAGTTGGTAGTCCGGCTGCAAATTGGGTTTGATGAGGGGATTGCGGTGGTTGTCGAAAGGTATGTGGTTGTGCCGCGACATGGAAGGCCTGTGATGTTATTGGGAATGATTGCGATGAGGGTGGTTGTATGAACGATTGAGGTGATTGCAATGAAGGGGAATTTTCCAATGGTAAAGAGGTGGTCTGGGTGAGCACCGGCGCATGAGGAGAGGAAGATTGCGTTGTCGTCGTAGTCGATGGTTTAGTATGCGTAACAGCATTCGCCGGCAGACAATTTTTCGCCTCCAATTCATTCTGCCATTCAACAATCATAGCTGTATTCAATGAAGCGCCCATACGTCAGTAAGTTTAGTTTGCCTGGTCGCTCTTTCCCCCTTTTTATCCCCGGGGATGATCATTACCTTGAACCTTTGACGGTAGCCGTTGTCGAATACTATGCAACTTGTCCCACACACGAAGACCGGTCCATAACCCATATTCTGCATATTTCTCTCGAACAGCCTGTCATGTAAAAAGAACCAGAATGGGTTACTCAGGTTCATTTCTATTTTCCCATCGCTTGGACATTTACCGTGGCACAGTGAAACAAAGTATCTTCATATTGGGCTTCATAAGCGGCCGGAGTGTCAAGCCAGTCAAAGAATTCATCGCAAGCCAACCCGTACGTAACAAAGTCGCGAATCTCCTTTTCCAACTCGAAAATACGATCAGAGGATGAAGTAGCTTCTTGATCTGTCAGAGTCGTTGGTGTCAATTGATGAGTTTCGACAGTCACTGCCTTGTTCGCAGTTGTTTGTGTTGTAACACGGAGGCTAGGGGTGGACAGATCAGCATTCATTCCGGATGGGACCGATGCTGGCGAAGATGCCGGTGTCAGTGGTTGCGTCGGTAGAGACTGATTCGTTAAAAACGCTTGCATAATAGCGGCTTGAGCGGTTTGCGATGTCGTATAACCTGTGTTTGGAGTGGACCATGCCGCTGGTGATGCAGGTAATTGCATTGGTGCGGTGGGATAATGTGGCGAGGGGTAATTGGTGAACCGTGGTGACTGTAACGCTTCACTGATCGGTATCGAAGATGTTGATAACTGCTGAACCAAATTATCTAGAGTAAAATAATTCAGAAACCTGGGATCCAAGGAGAGGCTAGCAACATGTGGTTGGCCCACACAACTTACTGCTGAGCATTAAAGGTGGCGGCGGTTGTTGCAACTGCTGCGGTGGTCGAGGTGGCGGTTGCTGTATAGAGGAAGCAGTAACGGTATTTGGTTGCATATATTGTTGACTTGCAAGCATTCGTTGCATCGCTTGATACGCTAGCAGGGAATTCTGAGCAGAGGTGTTTCCATTCGTTGACATTTGCAAGTTTGAATGCTTCGGCTTATTGGGAAATAAGAAAAAAAAAGGTAAAGGCCGTAGTGATATCTATTACTGAGAAATCTACAAAGTAGAATCAAGACAAAAGGCGAACGGTTAATCAACGCTGACCAACGACAAGAATTGCAAAAGAGGAACCGAAATGTACGCTGCGATGATCGATATGCATAGAGTTGATTCGGTCTTGTTTGCTTTGGGGAAACAACCAGCAAAATTCCAAAAAGGTGTCTGCACAAAGATTTTCGGGCTCAGAAAACCTGCCCAGCCCGTGACTGTTGGATGGTGGGGGTTAAGCATTGGCACCAAAAGAAGTCAGCCAGGAAGAATCGTCGATAAGAGTAGTTGCTGTGACTTATTGTCTTTTGCCTTTGTAGATGTACACGTTCTTGTATGATGTGTTATTGAATTAAAGAGGATAGATAATATGGGCATTTTCTTTGTATCCACTTTAACTGACCTATGATTGGAAAATTTTTGAATTTTAGATAATGCGATTAATAGATCATGAACAGTTCAGGCACTAGTGGATTGCCTCTTTGTTTGTTTAATTACTCGTCATATAACTTCTTGTCCTTCGCATGCTGTAGTGCTATTATTCACCTTTCACCAAAGGAAAAATTATTAGCTTAACAATGATAACCGTGATCAGTTCCGTACCTTTGGCAACAATGTTTATTATTACATTAGGGCGCGCTAAAGGTCCAAGAATACAACTGTGACAAAGATTTCTATCAGTGAAATCAAAATTATTTCACTTTAAACCGTTTTCAAGACATCAAATGACGTTTTTTTTGCTGCAGGTCGTTTATATCCTCCATTATGTTTTTTATGCGCCTACGCCACGTGTCCAATTTCATCGATTCAATATCATGATACAACAGTTTATACGTATTGCATTGCACACAGAGTCATAACCCAACCTACCCTTCCCCCTTATTTCAAGAAAATACAATAAGCCTTATTTTGAATTTCATGGTTTTCTTTGTGTGAATTTTTTCTTGATAAAATGAACAAATCGTACCAAATTCAACCACCGCAACGGATGAATGAAAAAAAGGGATAATCGCGCTTGAAAATGACAATCAAAAAACCCTTGAACCCAAGGTTTCTTTGTTCACCTTGAATGGTGTCGAGAAACGTCAAATATTCATTCAAAAATTCATCACAATCAATTTATCCAAGTATCAGAGGAAAATGAAAATGTATTATCGTGTATAGCTACAAAAGAAAAATCCCAGAGTAAAAAAATATGAACAAATCGCGATATTGAGAAAAAAAAAACGAAAAAAAAAAGTCGTGTCAATAAGCACTTCTTTTTTTAAAAAACGGTGAATGGTAATGTGAGGGAATAAAGGGAACGACGGTATTTAATATAACCATGTTTCTGTACAGTGGATTTTTTTGAGTCGGCCCACTTATTTGGAGCTGGTGTACTTGGTGACGGCCTTGGTGCCTTCAGAGACGGCGTGCTTGGCCAATTCACCAGGAAGGATGAGACGAACGGCGGTTTGAATTTCGCGAGAAGAGATGGTGGAACGCTTGTTGTAGGTGGCCAACTTGGAAGCTTCGGTGGCGATACGTTCAAAGATATCGTTGACGAACGAGTTCAAGATGGACATGGCCTTGTTGGAGATACCAGTATCGGGGTGAACCTGCTTCAACACCTTGTAGATGTAGGAAGAATAGGTTTCCTTGCGAGAGATCTTTCTCTTCTTGCCGTCAGTCGACTTGATCTTCTTTTCGGTGGTCTTGGCAGGAGCCTTGCCAGCAGTAGCAGTCTTGGGAGCCATGATTGATTTTTAGATGGGTAAGTGTGTAAGAGAAAAAAAAAAAACGTATCTTATTGCGGCCAATGCCCGTTCTTTTATACTCCCTCTCAATGCCAATCGCGTGACTAGGTTTTACAGCTTCCATGGTGAGCGAAATTTTTTTTTTCACACTTGATCTGGGTCTGAAAAAAGATTTGGCTCCTGCTGCGTGGAAAAAAAAATTGTATACACGTCAATGATTTGTGGTCCACGCGTAAAGATTATCATTGATAAAACATACCTTTTTCACATCGATACACGAAATCAAACACGTTTAGGCACGTAATGACACGCTTTTATATCGAATAATCAAAAATCGTTTTTTTCACATAGTAAAAAATTCATCGTCTCAAGAAATGGACACTTTTTTTTTCATCATGTCAGAACTAAGAAACGCGTGGTTACTCAATCCACCCAATGAGAGAATTTTTTTTTCCTTGAAAAAAAAAAAAAAAAAAAAAAATTGATTTCCCCCATTGTGTGTGACTTCTACCTTTTTTAGCGTAACACTCCGATGATATAAATATATAAAGCTTGGACTGCAGCGGCATAACGTTTCTACTTTTTTCGCTACTTTTTCACACTTCAAGTTATCTTATAAAAACAACTATCATCATGTCTGGAGGAAAATCTGGAGGTAAATCTGCTGCTGGTGCCAAGTCCCAAACCCGTTCTGCCAAGGCCGGTCTTCAATTCCCTGTTGGTCGTATCCATCGTTTGTTGCGTCGTGGCAACTATGCTCAACGTGTGGGTGCTGGTGCTCCCGTCTACTTGGCTGCTGTCCTCGAATACTTGGCTGCTGAAATCCTTGAATTGGCCGGTAACGCTGCTCGCGATAACAAGAAGTCTCGTATCATTCCCCGTCACTTGCAATTGGCCATCCGTAACGACGAAGAATTGAACAAGTTGTTGGGTCATGTCACCATTGCTCAGGGTGGTGTCCTCCCCAACATTCACGCCACTCTTTTGCCCACCAAGACCAAGAAGGGCGGTGCTTCCCAGGAACTCTAAATCTCTCAACCTCTTTTTCTTTCCGCAGTTTTATGTTTTTACATGTTTTCTCAATATTCCCTTACGTTTCTTTGTTGCCCTTTTTCTTATCGAAAATGAAAGTTGATCCAAGAGTGCAAGAAGCCAAGCAGATATGTTTGTACAAATAATGAAACCTGTTCACTCTCGTCGTTTCCTTGGATCCCTTCTTCAGTCGTTCCCTTTTTTTTATTCTTTTTCCTTTGGTTTCTCTTGTAAATATAGCGATGTTCAAATGTCAATTAAAACAAAGAAAAAAAACTCATGAAAAAACAACTACTACAAGTCCAATATATAAAAGTGTGCATTGGTATTCTTCAATTTTATTAGGTTGCTTTTTATGATGCTGCATTGGAGGATGATGGATTATTGGGAACAGGATGTGCGATTTCTATGATACGATTGCGTTTAAGATTGAAAGTGACGCCTCGTCTGGAAGTAGACGAAGACGTAGACGTAGACGACGGTAATTCGGTTTCTGATTTGTAGGGATCGCTAGCCGTGGCTATGGAGCGTTGTCGAGCGGCCGAACGGGCTTGTCGAGCTTCCCGTTCTTCTCTCACACGCCAAAATTTCAGTTGTTCAGCTCGTTTCGCTTGACGTGCCCGTTTCTCTTTGATGGATAATTTTCTAGGAGGTTCATCTTCATCTTCTTCGTGTTTAGTCTCAGTTGGCTTCATCCCTACCTTCTGGCTGAGGGGACCATGGGGTTTGGCACTTGCTGGTTTGGACATGGACGTCACAGGAGTACTTTTTGTCGCTTTCGCCGTCTTGGTCGTCTTGGTCGTCGTACCGTGACCCGTCATGCGTGGAATCCCAGAAGCACTTGCATTCGTCTTGCGCACCGCATTGTGACCGGCCAGTTTACCGCGCACAAGAGGGATCTTGCCATCACCTTTGGTATCGCCATGGGCCGAAGCAGATCCTTTCATGGGCAATGTCGCGCTGGCGGAACAAGAAGGGGGTATCGGTGAAGCCGTTAACGGAGAGCTTCCTTCTGCCTTAGCCACGCCAGTTTGAGGAATCAGAGAGATAGAACTCGATTTGCGTATAGGCAATCGAGAGGGTCTTTTAGGGGGACTGGAAGACGAGGGCGATGAAGGCGTACGCGCTGTGGTGATTCGATCGTGGCTCCTCATTTGGCGTGACTGGTCGTCTTGATAGTCCTGTGAACGGTCCCGATTTTTCACTTCAGATGGTAAACCAATGGTGGTGGGATCGAAAATGGAATTGGACAATCCGTTTCGCTGTGTGAAAAAGGAATGCATCCCTGGATCCTCCACCCTCTCCGTCGCGTCGCCCGCAAGTTCAATTTCATTCTTTACCTTTTCGGTCGTGTCACATGCCGCCACCGCTGCTGCTGCTGCATTGTCGGCATTGTTTGGAGAAGAAGGATCACGTTTGCATTCGATTTTGTATGACACTTGCTCGGTTGTCTCTTGCTGTACTATTCCTGGACCATCCTCTCGTAGTGAATCGACTTTATCCGATACTCGATCTGTGCTATTCGCCGCCGCAATTGACACGCTGCGCACTTCCTGTTGCGGAAAATCGACAGCCTTCTTTTGCTCGGTTGGCATCGACATGAGGGCATCCTTGGAAGCTGTCTGATTTTGTGGCAAGAGAGCGTCCATTTTAATTTCTTTTGAGATCAATGGAGATGGCATGACAGTATCCGTCGGTGTTGCTGTGTTTACGACATTACTTTCTTGGGGAATCACTGGAGCTGGCGTGACAGCATCAGTTGATGTCGCTGCGTCTGGTTGCGAAAAAGTGACAGGTTCCTCAGGTTCCTTTTCTTCTGGCGTCAGAGTATCAGTTGGTATTTGTGCATTTTCTTGCTGGATCGGCAGGTTTGTGTTTTTTTCTTCTTGCTTTACATCATCTGTGGTAACTATCGGTTCCTCTGTGATTCCCTTTTCTTCGCTTGACTCGTACACAGTGGTAAGACGACTTGCTATATCAGTCAATGGGGATACATCAGAAGACGTCGCGATGTGTAAGCATGTGGTATCATTGGTAAATTTAGCAGTTGCAGCAATGTCATGTTGGTCGTCTGGAGTCTGAGGAGAGCAAAGCAACGGTTCGGTCACCATGCCAGCTGCGTCGTCACTGTCATCCAAGACTGGTACTGCATCCGGTAACTCGGGTGGTTCTGTCAACATATCGATGAGATGAGCCCACGTATTCACTGCAAAAAAAAAAAAAAAAAAAAAAGCTCCAAGTGAGATTTTACCTGCACATTGAGCCTTTGGAGCCTCGGCTGCAATTGATTTGTCAAAACGACGTGGCAGCAAGTCGGTTGGTTCATTTTTTGGTGAACAAAGACGGTCGGTGGAAGAGGAAAGGCCATTGTCCAGGAGTGAATGCTCGGACCTGCTGGATGGAAGGGTGACTGGATGTGGGTCTCTGATACCAGGAGGTGGGGTAGTTGCACGGTCGGATACGCCAAAGGTGGGTGGTGCAGAGTATGTTTTTCGAAGAACTATGGATGGTGAGGACGTAGCGGGGATGGCCAAGTGCAGCGACGGATGGTGGATGCCAACGGCCACAACACCGCGACCTGGGTAACTGTACCATTCCTTGGCTGTACGTAAACTTTGACTCGCAATGGGAAATGGAAAGAAAACAGCCACTCCCGATGATGTGGGGCCGTCACCCTGATGAGCAACATGGTCTTCAACGGTCATTGGTTACTCCATTCAACGTTGGGCATGAAAACCAAAACTATATGCAAACGAAACAGGCTCCCACGTAGAGATAGTCGAAGGAAAGAATATATGCTAAAGAGAAATAAACGACTCGGTACTTGGTTACAGCCAACTTTTTTTTTCTGCGAAGAATAAAGGGGGAACCCTTGAACTGGATAAAAAAAAAAATAGCAGCATGCCGAAAAAGGAGATCCACTGAATGCCAGCCCAATCAATTTTTCAGATAGGCCGCCGTTCCGTCATATCACGCTCAGAATTTCCCCATCTTTTTTTTCCTCACATTTTCATGTAAATAAAAAACGTGTCAAGTTTGCTTTTTTTTGTGTTGAAAGAGATTGTATTTAAAAAATCGATATTCAAGCGATAGAAAGAAGCTAAAGCTATGTACAAAGACGAATGCTAATGAACGGGAAATAGACACGCCAAATTAAAAAAAAAGAGACAGTAATCTGTTTTTTTCAGAGGAAATAGAAAAAAAGGAGCTTGAGAAAAGAGGGAAGTCAATGGAAATTGGTAAATAGCAACAAGTAGGTTTGTTGATGGAGGGTGCTTAACCGCCGAAACCGTAGAGGGTGCGGCCCTGTCGCTTCAAAGCATAGACGACATCGAGGGAAGTAACAGTCTTTCTCTTGGCGTGTTCAGTGTAAGTGACGGCATCACGGATAACGTTTTCCAAGAAGACCTTGAGGACACCACGGGTTTCTTCGTAGATGAGACCAGAGATACGCTTCACACCACCACGACGAGCGAGACGACGAATAGCAGGCTTGGTAATACCTTGGATGTTATCACGAAGAATCTTGCGATGACGCTTGGCACCTCCCTTTCCGAGACCTTTTCCACCTTTACCGCGACCAGTCATGTTTGTATAGAATGTAGAAACTTGATAAAAAGTAACAAGAAAAAAAAGGATGCTCATCGTCAGACAAGTCCCCCTTTTATAATAATTCAAGCAAGTCACACTTCTTTTTTTTTTGCGGAAGATGCACAGCGCGTTACAAAAAAAAAAATTCGCGACCTCTGAATTTTTTTTTTCAGACAACTCACTTGACGAAAAAAAAAAAATAATCAAACGCGCATCACCTCAAAGAATATTTTTTTTTCCTTTCACAATATATTCCATTAACACTGTTCACCTTTTTGAAGCAACAATAAAAAAAAAAGTTGGTCTGCAAAAAGGTTTAATAAAGTCGCATGGTCTGCAATTTGTCAATACAATAGGAGTTGGTTAAAAGAAAAAAGCAAAAGGATGTGTGGACAAGATATTTTTTTTTTTTGCGAGGGAAAGCGTGTTTCGCGATCCATGTGGTGAAGCGCGCTAGCGTGATGAAAAAAAAAAAATTTCAATGGGGGAGTATGAAAAAAAAATTTCAATTCATAACATTTGGTGCCCACAAAAGGCAATTGCTGAATTTGTACCACCGCAGGTTGAAAAGAATATAAAAAGGGCCAAGGTTGGGCATCGATTTTAACACTTTTTCCACTTCAACTTTTTTTTTCACAACTACTCTATAATGGCTCGTACTAAGCAAACTGCTCGCAAATCCACTGGTGGTAAGGCCCCCCGTAAGCAATTGGCTACCAAGGCTGCTCGTAAGTCCGCCCCCTCTACTGGTGGTGTCAAGAAGCCCCATCGTTACAGACCCGGTACCGTCGCTCTTCGTGAAATCCGTCGTTACCAAAAGTCCACCGAATTGCTTATCCGCAAGCTTCCTTTCCAACGTCTTGTTCGTGAAATCGCTCAGGACTTCAAGACTGACTTGCGTTTCCAATCTTCTGCCATTGGTGCTCTCCAGGAAGCCTCCGAAGCTTACCTTGTCTCTCTCTTTGAAGACACCAACTTGGCTGCTATCCACGCCAAGCGCGTTACCATCCAGCCCAAGGATATCCAGTTGGCCCGCCGTCTCCGTGGCGAACGCTCTTAAAGGAATTGTTTGGCACGTCACCGTGACATTTTAAAAAAAAAAAATGTTCACAACAAAGGATTCTCCTATTTGTACAGTTTTTCACCTATTTGACACGCTCTTCATTCCCTTTTTTAAAAACAAGGTCTTCTGTTGTATGTAATGTCTTCCTTTTTTTTCCCTTCCGCCTCCTTTTTTTTCGCACAATTTCCCTTAATCGTCGCATATTTCTCTTCATTAAAGAAATCTGAAATTTTTTTTTCTCATCGAAAACTGTGTGTTATGTCCAAATTTTCGTTATTGATTTTTTAAGTGATCAAAAATTTTGCAGCAAGTTACTGCACTGATCAAGCTTTGTTAAATAACTTGTCATTATTATCAAGAAAGTCAAAGATAGGAAATAAATTAAAGATTGTTCGTCAACAGATGTCAACTTTTGTTTTTTGATGCACATTTGAAAGGTGGGTGGTAGTTTGGGGTTATTTTGATTTGCATCATTTTGTCCGTGGCAATTTGCAGAAAAATAGGTTGAGAAAAAAAATGTCAAGCGCGCCACGCCAACGCGATGGGATGAGGAAAAAAAAAATTACGTCGCGCGATTGAAGGGAACGTAAAAAAAAAATTGGGATGGGAGCGTGAATTTTTTTTTTTTTTAGCGCGATTGAAAAAAAAAAAAATTGGGTTGGATTTTTTTTTCAGAAGCGAAAAAATTCGGCGCGCTACAAAAAAACAGTGGAGGGACTGCGAAAGTGAAAAAATTATTGCAGCTGCGACTTTTGCATTCCAAATGCGGATCAAGTCAACTATAAAAATCATTTTCCTTATTTGTGACGCAAATCATACGTAACCTTTCCATGTTTGGAATGATTACGACTAAAAAGGGTATAAAGGATCGGCATTTCACGCCTCTCCTTTGAACTTTAATCCAAACCAAGTAATCAAAAGATACATACCTCAAACCAAAACTTGAAAAGGAACCAATCATATTACGTTGTCTAAATTTAGTAAAGTTCACATGGTGTGCGTTTTAAAGGATCAAGCTGTCCAATCAGCGATTAGCCCCAGCCTCACAACGCTTAATTGTAACTGACTTGACCCAAACAATGATCAGAAACCCTCACAAGCTCGAAAGACACCCAACCTTGACGAGCTTGCCAAAAAAAGAAATTCACTCTGGGTCGGATTGCTTTTCCTTTTATATTCTCTGTTTTTCAGCCTTACCTCCTGTAAATCACGGTGTGGATGCTATCGCGATGCTGCATTTTCCTGCTCTTCAGGTTAATCAATATGTGAACTTCACTGCCTAAAGCCTCAAAATCGCTCTTAAGCACCAATTAAGTGTAATCATCGTCATCTTTGATTTTCATAAAGACAAAGGGTTTGGATTCTGTGTGGTGACAGTATTTTGCAGATTGTTTTTATTTGTTTATTTTTTATAAAATAAATTCATTTATCTCGGCTGGACGGGGACGATCAGTTGATGCTGAATACGTTACCGCCTTATAAAAACTCGTTGATAGACCAAAAGCGATGACATAAAAGATATAAGAATGTATATCGAGTACCGGATCGAAGAAAAAAATCCCAAAAAACTACAGTATTTCGACAAATGTTATTGAAGTTCCCGGAAAGAAAGAAAACAAAGAAAAATGTCAGAACATGAACTTGATTTCAGTAAAACATCGTTGCGCCAAAAGATAAGATCTTTTGTTTTCATATGCCTATCTACGTTATTGGAAGAATAGGTTAGTTTCATCCATCATTTTGATAATTCATATGAAAGTACGTAATGGCTCTTCGCAAAAAAAAAAAAAATTAAAATCAAACAAATCTCTCGTGCGAACCAATACAACGCTAAGGTTACAACTCGAGACACAGATACAGTAAATATGGTTCAAGTCAAGTAAGCTTGAGTACACCTGCGATACCATTTTTCAGGTATTTTGATATTTTCGTTTTGTTTCAATTTCTTCCGTAACCTTTCACCACTATAGCAAGTTGGTCTTTTTAATGCCTTTTTCTAAAGCTCACTTTATCAAAAAAATAAAAACATAATCTCTCCAGCTTATAACTACATTCAGTTTTGGCTTTATTCCATGAAAATCTACAAAAGATAAGCAAGGAAATTCCAATTACTCAAAATAAATAACTGCAAAGTACATCAAACCAAAAAAAAAAAAAAAAAAGATTATCTCGATCTGAAGCCAAATTTTTTTAAAAAAAGATACAGCACCACTCAATGATGACTCCAGATCTCATCAAGTCGTAAAAAAGAAGAACCAAATGGCATTAAAAACGCAAAAAAAAGGCTTGCAAAACGACTCGAACCTGCGGTCTCGCAAAACAAAAACGAAGAGATTCCGAATCTCCAAAAGTTTTTAACTAGCAAATTTTGGGGATTTCTATTTTATAGGGATTTAAAATTACTTGATTTGGTATGAATGTAGCACAGGCACCAAGAAGGTCTGCTGTTCTTTGTCACCTTCCTCATCCCCCACATTGTTCAGCGATCGGTAGGACCGAATGAAAGCAAACACAATGGCAGAGCTCTTTAATAACCCAAGACGTGTTTGCTTCGTTATTTGTTCAAGCTTATCCCATGGTCAGATACTGAAGGGACGCTGTCCTTGTTTCCTAAATTTCTTGTTTACTTGCGTTGGTATTTCCACACCACAGGAAGCGTAGCATCAGAGAGAAGCTTTACAGTCAACTGGACAGATGATTGGGAAGATGGACAGACAAAAGACTCGTGTTGCCTTTTGACTTTTTGGCCGCTTGTATATCAAAAGGTGCGCCCATATAGAGTTTTTGAACTTTTCTTCCGTGCTCCTTTGTGCATGTTAAAAATGGGCTAACCAGTTCGCTAGTAATCAAATGCTCTCTTGCATTTATCCATTCACTTATTCTATGATGCATGTAGTTATATTTTAAGCAAGCTTGGTTAACGGACCAACCTTTTTTAAATTGTAGTTTGGATAAACGTATTTACAACCCTACTCCTTGTTTTTCAATTTGATACAAAATCATTTCCAATTGTAGGACATCAAACTATATCTGATTAAAAGAAATGGACTCTCCTCCGTAGAATGTAGTGACTATTTCAACTATGATTGAACTATCAGCCAGCAGCACTCCAACTTGGTTTGATGTGGGAGCGTGTACCTGCGAGCGCTAGGGATCGACTATAGCACAGGCACAAATAATTGTTTACGGTTAACAGATCTTTGCATCAATGTAGCAAGGTCTACGCATTCAAGAAAGGAAGCGCATACTATTAAGATTTCAACACCCGGACCGATCTTGTCACAAACCAGGTAACCAGTTACGTTTTTATCCATTCATTTTTTTTTTCTGTTGATTTTAAAATTAACCAATCAGGAGCAATGAGACCAAAAAAGAAATACGACATTGAAAATAGAACCCAATTATGGTGACTCTGAAGCAAACATTTTATAAGGGTAAGAATATACACAAGCAGTTAGAAAGTTCTGCAGAATGGAAGTGGAGGGAAGCAAGATGATATGATGACGAATTTTGAAACGAGAAAAAAGGCAAGTTTTTGAAATAGAAACGGTATAAGAGATTTAGAGTTCCTGGGAAGCACCGCCCTTCTTGGTCTTGGTGGGCAAAAGAGTGGCGTGAATGTTGGGGAGGACACCACCCTGAGCAATGGTGACATGACCCAACAACTTGTTCAATTCTTCGTCGTTACGGATGGCCAATTGCAAGTGACGGGGAATGATACGAGACTTCTTGTTATCGCGAGCAGCGTTACCGGCCAATTCAAGGATTTCAGCAGCCAAGTATTCGAGGACAGCAGCCAAGTAGACGGGAGCACCAGCACCCACACGTTGAGCATAGTTGCCACGACGCAACAAACGATGGATACGACCAACAGGGAATTGAAGACCGGCCTTGGCAGAACGGGTTTGGGACTTGGCACCAGCAGCAGATTTACCTCCAGATTTTCCTCCAGACATGATGATAGTTGTTGTTATAAGATAACTTGAAGTGTGAAAAAGTAGCGAAAAAAGTAGAAACGTTATGCCGCTGCAGTCCAAGCTTTATATATTTATATCATCGGAGTGTTACGCTAAAAAAGGTAGAAGTCACACACAATGGGGGAAATCAATTTTTTTTTTTTTTTTTTCAAGGAAAAAAAAATTCTCTCATTGGGTGGATTGAGTAACCACGCGTTTCTTAGTTCTGACATGATGAAAAAAAAAGTGTCCATTTCTTGAGACGATGAATTTTTTACTATGTGAAAAAAACGATTTTTGATTATTCGATATAAAAGCGTGTCATTACGTGCCTAAACGTGTTTGATTTCGTGTATCGATGTGAAAAAGGTATGTTTTATCAATGATAATCTTTACGCGTGGACCACAAATCATTGACGTGTATACATTTTTTTTTTCCACGCAGCAGGAGCCAAATCTTTTTTCAGACCCAGATCAAGTGTGAAAAAAAAAATTTCGCTCACCATGGAAGCTGTAAAACCTAGTCACGCGATTGGCATTGAGAGGGAGTATAAAAGAACGGGCATTGGCCGCAATAAGATACGTTTTTTTTTTTCTCTTACACACTTACCCATCTAAAAATCAATCATGGCTCCCAAGACTGCTACTGCTGGCAAGGCTCCTGCCAAGACCACCGAAAAGAAGATCAAGTCGACTGACGGCAAGAAGAGAAAGATCTCTCGCAAGGAAACCTATTCTTCCTACATCTACAAGGTGTTGAAGCAGGTTCACCCCGATACTGGTATCTCCAACAAGGCCATGTCCATCTTGAACTCGTTCGTCAACGATATCTTTGAACGTATCGCCACCGAAGCTTCCAAGTTGGCCACCTACAACAAGCGTTCCACCATCTCTTCTCGCGAAATTCAAACCGCCGTTCGTCTCATCCTTCCTGGTGAATTGGCCAAGCACGCCGTCTCTGAAGGCACCAAGGCCGTCACCAAGTACACCAGCTCCAAATAAGTTTCAAGTCAGAACACTTTGGCAGAAAAAGACTACACGTTTTTTCTCTCCATTCCCGACATTGACTTGTTCATGAATTTGCGAACTTTTTTTCCCTTTATTTCCCATTTCCGCATATGTTTCAATCGCTTTTTTTTTTACCTCTTACAAACCTATACGGAATATTTCTTTCCATTCTCCAACCTTTCCTGTACAGATCTTCACACCGTTATCATATCCCCCCAAAAAAAGATTCTTGAATAAACATTTAGCGCTTAATTGCTTGTTGAGCATCTAATAGTTCGGGTGGACAGTGTTTTTCACTAGTGCCTTTGTGTACTGCATTTTGGGAAATGGAGAGGGGGGTATTTTTTTACCTTATTTTCTCCTTGAATTGGTCTGTACAACAACATAACAGTGGGCGCTTGCGACTTTATGCAGAGCGACTCTTTGCATAAAGAAGTAGATGATGAATTTGCTGCAAGATCCAAGGTTTGAATATGGTACAATTGATTGACACAAATCCATATTCATCTTGTTCATCGGTTACATAGTTTCATGATGGCATTGGCATCGTCTACAAAGAAAAATAAACAGGACAAGACAAGTGGTGGAATATACTATGCCTGCGGGCCAATAGGAATGAGAACTGCGGCCAGTAAATGTAAAGTTTTCGATTGGTCGGAGAGGTGTTGAGAGGAATATCCATTTTTGACATGGAGTGCCAGAATATGATTTGTGAAAAAGAAAAGATTGCCACATGGGTCCTTGATAGGCAATGTTTCGTGAATGAACTGAATCTCCGACCTGGGCTCCCTTTTTTTTTGGATTTTTCGGGTGACAAAAAAGTTTGGTCACCCCCTTTTTTTTTGTCTTTTTGTTTTTTGTTTTTTCTTTCGCCTTTACGTCGAGACGATGCCGCTGGTGTCTCTTTTGAATGGTCTGTGGGATCCTGTGGCTTCTCGTTTAGAGAACTGGATTGTTTCCTTTGCAGCCAAGCTGCCTGTCGAGACCGATTGGACCCAGTCAATTCAAGGATCTTGGTAAGTAGTACGGTTTTTTTTTTTCCTGATCGCAATAAAAAATAAAATTCTTGTAATGCATCAATTGTTATCTGACCCGGCCCAACTCCAAAAGATTAAAAAAAAAGCTCACCGTCGATTGTATTTTAATTACAGGTATGTGCATCCTCGCCAGCATGCCATCGAGATTGTATTCTTGTCCAGTGCATTTGTATGTGCTTCGGCCTACTTCTTGCGTCGGGCCTTGCGTCCGGGTACCCTGAATTACAAGTTGCTGTCAAACTTTAGTCCTCCCACCCCGCCTTCGTTGACTGAAAAAGTCATGGTGGGATCGTTGATTGCTTCCTTGGGACTCACCTTGACTCACAAGATTATGAGGGACAGTGTCCTGTTCATGTTGCAACCTTGTCATATGAGTGCCCTGTTGCTCATCCTGACCATGACCTTCCCCGACAAACGGTCTCCTATTCCTCACTTGTTTTTCAACATCTATTTACACACCCAGTGGGGTGCCATCGGGGCCTTGGTTTTTCCCGATCTCAGGGATCATTACTTGATTGGCGAAACCTTCAATTTCTTCGCAGGTAAAGTTCTTTTCCATTCATTGTCGTCTTGGAAAAATCTCGGTGTCTCCAACCGACATTGCCATAAAAAGGAAAAACGTCCCCAACAATTGACCAACTTTTTTTTCATTCCAAACTCAGAACACATCTTAATTCTATTGGCCCCCATTTACATGATCTACAGTAACCGTTATTTGGTGTTGCCGACTTCGCGTGATCTTGCCTTGTTGTCTTTCTCCATCTATGGCTTCTTCCATTCTCCCGTACTCCATTTCTTTGCTTTGAAATCGGGATTGAATCTCAACTATTTATTCACTCCACCTCCGAGTAAGTCCACCTCCAGATCAAAACGTTTCATAAAAGGGTCATCCTAACACTTCTTTTTTTCTTTCCTACCCCCAGTCAAACTGTTGATTCAATTGGGTCCCTTTTATCGCATTACACTCTATGGTACCGCTCTGGTTGCCATGTTTGTCACCCGATACGGCCTCGTCAACGGTATCATGGCAGTGTTGCCTAGAAAGGAAGCGCCTGCACCCAAGAAGATCAGCGCACCCAAGAAGATTCAATAGAAAAAAGCATCATCATGTACATACCATGCATTCATCTTTTTCACGTAAATTCATCTGGACGTAATAATATTCAAAGTTATTCTTTCCCATCATCTTTCGTCGGACAATCTCGTTTTGTTTTTAACCATGCATGATTCTTATTGGTCCGAGTCTTTAATTGCTTTTTTTATTGGTAAATGTGAGGAATAAATAAAAGAAAATAGAATTGCTTTATGACGCCGCCACTTCCACGGGAGGCATGGTTTTTCGGTTCTTTCTATACCATCGTGTTTCTTCAGGGTCAAATCCGGCTTCCGGGGTACCAAAGATGGCCCAGTCAGGAGTTTTGGCCATGTAATCGAGATCGGTAAAAGGCTCTCCGCTCTTGACAAGTTCAAAGAATCGAGGGTAATCAATATGCGTGTGCCATTCTCCATTCACCTTGAAGCTCGTTTTGGCAATCAGAATGGAGCAAGAATGAGCATGCTCTGCCGCAATTTCATAACCTCCACCCAATTTCTCGACAATCTTTTCGCAAAACTCCACCACTTCCACATGATAAGGAACCTAGTCAAAAACGTAAATACAGATGAGAAATGACCATTGTGAAAACTATCGAGAAAAGAAGCTTACATTGGCCATGGTCAAATTGCTGGCTCCACTGTAACCACAATAAGTCACGCCCTTGACTTCAATGAATGATGGTCGGCCGCGACGAATCAATTCCACATAGTTGTCAATTTCTTCCGTGTTGTGATCCTTGACCAACGTTAAGCGGTAAACCGTTCGTTGTCCCTAAAATTTTACATCGTCCATTGTCAGTCTCTTTATATTAACTCGCTCACTTCCGATCTCCCCCCACGATGCAGCGATGTTTCCGCTTACCTTGTTTCCAAGCGACTCCAAACTGCCCAAGAATCGTTCCCAAAAGTCTCTGAACAAGGGACGGTCAATCTTCTTCAAGCCTTCTTTGGTGCCTGCGTCGACACTGACATAAAGCTGTGTCACAGGGACCATGTCTGCAATTTTGTCGGGAAATTGAGCATTGGTCACAAGGAACGAGGAAATATTTCTTTCATGCAAAAGCGTCACAAATTCATTGATATGCGGGTAAAAGATGGGCTCGCCAACCAGGGAAAGCGCACAATGACGAATGGTAAATGCTTCTTGGAAACGATCGGCTTTCACACCAGGAACACCTAGATGAAAATTTTAAATTGTGTCAATACAACATCCATGCGTCGTCCTTTTTTTCATGCCAGTCTTTTTTTTACCTTTGAGCTGCTTAATCATTTTGTAGTGATTTTCCATGGCACCGTCCAAGATAAATTTGGGATCGTCAATCTTCCATCGCCACGTGGTGCCGACAGGATTGGTGTGATGTCGCCAGCAAAACACACATTTATTGGCACATGCCAACGAAGGTGTGGTCTCCATACACAAGTGACTCTGAATACCGTAAAATGCGTGCTTGTAGCAGAAGCCTCGACCTCGTAACGCCGATTTAGTCCAGCGACAAATCTTGACACCGGAATGGGTACCGACAATCTTGTACCCTTGCTTCGTCAAGTTCTTGTGAAGCATCGGGGACACCATTTCGCGCACTTCCGTTGACCCGGCCGCTTTACGACTCACCGTCTTTCCGTCGACGCCAATGGATCGTTTTGCTCGGGCTTTGCTGTTACTGAAGGCCTCTTCTTCATCCGCTCGATTCTTCTTGCTTTCCTTGATCTTGGCCGCCATACTACCCATATCTTCCAAATCGACCATTTCCTCACCCGAGCCAACGTTGACATCGTCCGACTCCTCTTCATCTTCGCCTTCCGAATCATACTCAATATTCGTCGGTGAGAACTCCAACGATCGCTTGTCTCTCAACTCGCCAATAAACTGTTCTGACCAAGCGTCAAATTGGGCCTTTTGATCGGCATTCTTATCACAGCTGCCTAAAGGATAAATTCGGGTTGCGCCCAACTGGCCAAGCCATTTGTCGATGTCTTGAGAAGCCACATTGAATTCGTCCCCGTAAGCTGAATCACCCAAACCACACACGGCATATCGCAATTTTTGCAGCGCTAAGCGATCGACTCGGAAATCGTAACGCAAATCACGGAGCCACTTTGTAAACCTAGCCACTCTTGTGTGAATGGATCATGATCGTGACGAGTCACATTTTTTCGTGTATACGACTTACCAGTCCAGAGGTCCTTCGACATTATAAGACGACAAGACGAAAATGCATACCGAGGTTTCCGTCAGCAGGTTGTCATTGTCGTATTCTGTGATATCAAGCACTTGGAGCTCATGGACGTGAACATGTTCGGCAGCTTGAAGCTTTGTTTGTAACTCCACGGCAAATTCTTTGGCGGTACCGGTTAATGACGAATAAAAGATCTTGAGCGAGTTAATATCGACCGATCCGGTATGCGATTCGCATGCACAGCCGTCCTTGGACACCGAGGATTCTTTGCTGGATTGGCAACAGCCGTCCTTGGATGCGGCCGATTCCTTGTTAGATTGACAACAGCCGTCCTTGGATTCCGATGCTTCTTTGTTGGATTGGCAACAGCCGGATTGCGTTACTGATCCAGGACTCGGCTCCATCACCTTGGTGTCTGGGGTTGCCTTGGTTTTACAGCAGTTTCCGTCGGCTCCGGCGCCTGAACAGTCGCCCTTTTCGTCGTCTTCTCTGGGAACATCCGGTCCAAACGACAATATGCTTGAGAAGCCGTACAGAAGGCTATTGACCAAATTACTCATTCTGCAATATGGGACAGCTGCAAAGAAAAACGGCTCGTTTTCGAAGGCTTGATCTTTCAGGAAAAAAAAAGGCTGGCCTCAAAAATTTTTCATTTTTCCCGGACTCACTTCGGCATCCCACCAATGGTCTTGAAGCGGGTATAAAAGTCACTTGTCATTTATGGATTTTGGAAAACCAGGCACGTTCACTCAAATTTGGGCCCCACTGGTGTTTGCCAAAGTAGAAACAAGACCCCATGGCCTCCACAAAAACCAAACAAGATGTATTTTCATTTTGAATATCACTTTCTCTGATTGCATGGCTGTTGCAGTTCTGGCCAACAAGCCATCTCACAGCCAATCAAAATTATGCAACATTTTCTAGAATTGTTACCATTTTTTGTTTGCCCACTCGTCGCCTTGTTCAGAAATTAATTGGTGGTTTTGGGCATTTGAAATCTAAATTAGTATCGACCGCAATACGAGCTCACGCAGGTGAAAGAACAAATTCTGTACAAACGGGCAACAAAGTGAGCAAAATGGGTAACAAATTTGTGCAGCAAAATTTGGGAGGAAAATGGACAGGGAACTTGAGTAGCAAAATGGGTAGCAAAAAAGTGGGTAGAAAACAATGAGCAAATGAGCAGAGTGGGCAAAATGGGTAGGCTTCGATCATTGGACAAAAAACAACGAACAAATTTAAAATTATTTTTTAGACCCTGAAGCTGTATTTACTATGCATCAATATGCTAGTATGTACAGTGATATCATGGATACTCAAACTGCTATGGCTGCCTTGTCTGGAAAAGGTATTACTGGTACTCCTTTTGCTGTGGTTCCTGGTGATAGTCAATTATCCCAAGTTGTCTTTACTTGGAATATTGACTATATCTGTGCAGTTACTTCTATGGTGGCTGATAATGGTCAATTATCCTTGTATCTTCATTCAGCTTTTGAAGATGTTATTAAAGGCAATGATTATATTGCCTTTTGATATCTCAATGGATAACATGGTGCAAACCATCAAAATCAAGGAGTTGCCGATCTGATGTTGGCTAAATTTGGTGACTTTCTCGTTACACAGTAAGTAGTTTTGTAGTTTTATTGATTTGATGGTTTTTGATTTATTTATTTTTATTTTTAGGTCAACCTTAGGTTTCCTCATTTGTATGAAATGAGGAAATGCAGCATAAGTATGCTGTATATCCAGTATTCATGCAGAAGGACACTACGGCGTTACGAAATACTTGGGAGGAAGCTACGATTACTTTACGTGCGTACCCAACTTTACGATGGGACCCGAGACGTCGTTCAGCAATGCGACACCTGCCAAGAAAGGGCAAGACACCCTTGAAAATGGTGGAGGCTGCACCAAGACCAGGGCTTCCACTTGGAGGAGCCGTGCGCATTGGATCTTTTCTTCACCAGAGCTACTCCATTTGTACCGTCCTCGAACCTTTGCATGCTTCCCTCTGCTACAGCGCACTGCCCCGCAGCCAACCTACGTTATCTCAAAGGGCGTCACAGTGAAATCGCAGTTCAGCTAGGGCATTTATAAGAAACTTTGAAATTACCACGTTCACCGACAGCATGTCCACTAGAATCTTTGTGGACAAGAAATGCCTGCACAAGCCACGGCCATGATGAACACGGAAGCCGAAGGTGTCACCCGTCTCTCGGATTCGTTAATCTTGTATCAACTCAGACAAATTCGCCCCAAGTTCGATGCCGCGTCAACCTACGACCTTGTCCGTGCTTTCGGCCCGCTCACGCAAGCTCACCTATGCTACCCTTTCACAGTTTTTACAATTGCGGATTATGACCAAATCAACAACCCTGCGGCCATTCTCTTTCGTTCAGCCGCTTTGCAAGCAAGGTCACTGGGAAAATAAAACGGGCCTTTGACGATATTCTCCGTGCATGCAACAATACGACGACAGTGCCAATACTGAACAACGAACATCTCGCCAAATCATTGGCGACCATGGCTGACCTCCATGCTCCGACCATTGTGGCAGCCAACAAACTCGTTGCAAATTTCATTATCAAGAATTTACGAGAAGTATCTGATCTGTCATCACTCAACTTCCATTAAATAAATCAATCAATTAGCATTGCATCATCCATCCCATTGTACATAATAAGAAGCAGTTGTTGCTGTCGGATTTCATAGCGCACCGATTTTTTTTCGTTGCTGGTCGTCGTGTCGTTTACTCCTTCTTATTGATGTACTGTACTATGAGTGGTAAATGCATGGGGTCTTGCTTTGACATCTTTCCCGGCGCTTGTAAAAATGCGAAACAAAGCCTTTGAAGCGACTTTTTTCCACGCTGTTGCAGGCTTCCGTAATTCTTTTTGATTTTGTATCTTTCTGCAAAAATCTTTTTTTCCACTACCCAGGGAAGTTCCATTGGTTAAGCATGGGAGAATAAGTAGGAAAGTGTCCACATTTGTATTCAGCGATATTCAGCATTATACTTCATTATGTTTTCATGCGTATGAATGGACGCTTTATCCGTAGCTATATCAAGGCCTTTCATATGCGGATATTTACCTCTTAATGTTATTTTTAAGAACTTCATGTACTGACCTGTTACAGTTCCAGGACTTACATATCCGCCAGCATTTCTCTTTTGCGTGCGTATCGGGATGTCATTTTTTTATATTTACTTTGCGCTGACCGCAATCAAACGTGCAGCAGAGACAGCACCCGGTATTGTGCTGTGTTGCTGTCGTAGTAGGCCCAGTAATAATGGCACGCATACCTCTTTTGGATCAAGTTCTGGAGCATTTCATATTGATATCAGAAAGCAGAATGCATCAAGATTTCCAAGCAAAACGGATGACTTCATTCCTAAGAAACATTACAACTGACATTGATTGGCCAATGACATTAATTTTTGATTGGCTGTAAGATTGCTTCTTGGCCTGGGAAACACTCAGACCGTGGCCCTATCGCCGTCTGCCAAGAGAAAGACGCCGTGACCTCCATAAAATCAACAACGTTATGTTTTCCTTTTGAAAATTGGTCCTTGTGCTAATTGCATGACTATGACTTATTATATACCCAACAATAGCCAGTAATTGAGTCCTTTGCACTATTATCGATACGCTCCTACACAATGTCAAGCGTTATGGTTGACTTGGCATATAGACGCCAAGGGATTGCCTTTTGGCTATCCTTGCCAACGACGCGTCCTCAGTTATACCCCAAAAGCCTGCGCTTGACTCATCTATTGCCGTCCGTCTGGAAGTTTGAAATATAGTCCTCTTATCTTTGACTGATATAGACTCTATCAAGGCTTGACAGCCAAAAATTCCCGTTCTCTCCTGTTTACCACGCCCTGACCATCTGAGACATTTCCAAATCCTTATCAGTCCTACTTTTTTCTTTGCATGCGTTGAGATCATACAATATATATGTGAAGTTTACTTCGCAATAAAAAATTCTTGCATTTCACAAACATACGATGGCGGTTACAATGATGGTATGACGTACGTACAGTAATCATCGATTGCTGGACGATGAGCACTAGCTTGTTATTCTATTGTCTCTCTTTAAACGCGTTAGTCCTACCCGAGAAAAAATAGCCGCAGCGAGAATGCGCAGCTCCTGTGGGACCTACTCTACGTAGTCACATAACATTTTACAGAGGGCCATGAAAAACAAAAAAAAACAAAAAAGCAACCAAAAAAACAAAAAATGAATATAGGTTCTTTGAGTCATTCCAGTACCTCGGATTCTATTGTAACACAAAAAGAAAGGTCGACACGCACATATTCAGTAACTACATGGATCAAGCCCCATTTATCATGTGTAATTATGCTGCGGTTCGATGACAAAGATGACACATCATAGCGAAAGAAAAAACAAAACAACAACAAGAAACATAGCCCCCCCCTTTTTTTTTCTATCGTAATGAAGAAGTTTTTTGATTCTGCATAGACAGACACTTTCTAATCGATTGATTAGACCATGAATCAGTTGTGCGTTTTATTAGCGCTGATAAAAACAAACCGATTTACTCGGATCAAAAAACAGATGGTCATCACAATTTGATCCCAATGCGATGGAAAATGTGGGCTTTGCCGATGGGACCGGTATATGGTTTACCATAACGGGTAGGTCGGGGCGGTATAAAAGTGATGGCGGATGTTGAAATCCGGGATGAAATAAATAGTCAGTTGTGCCACGCTCCGTATTTTTTGTTTCGTTTCGCCTTCCTCTTTCGTATCTATACTGTGAACTCCATGTTTAAGAAAAAGCAAGTTGCGCATGATGCGGCCGCTCTAACGATTGAGCTCTTGCCTGAATTTGGCTGGACTCACAAGAACGAGCCAGTGTATGGCCCAGGGTCGATTTTCAAAGGTGACAGAATTTCCTGTCTAACAATAAGACGGTGACGAAGCAATAGTATGCAAACGCTAAAAAATTCCATTTTTTCACAGGCGTTGTACGCGTGGTGTTACTGCCAGGGATGCATCCCAAGCAGCTGCGCATTGTCTTTCATGCGTCCGAATCGGTGCCGTTGCATTGTGTCCATCACAAACACATTGTCAATGCACGTCATCAACAATTCTTTGGGACTCAGCGAATCTTGTGGGATAGCAACAACAGCAGCAGCAGCAGCCACAGCAACAGCCAAGGTCTTCGTGACAGTTACCCGTTTATCCTTCAGATGCCCATGGTCCAATTCCCTCCCTCCATGGACTGCTGCCGATACAAATGTAGTTTTCGATTGACAGCTACCCTGGATATGATGAATGCTGGACAAAAATCCCTGGTTACGCATAAACCGGTCCATTACATGCCTTTTGTGGAAACCTGTCTTTTGAAAACACCCCTTATCAAAGATCTTGGTGATGCCCAAGATGATCACATTAAAGTCAAAATGAACTCGCTTGATTATCTCCCAGGTGATACAATTCAGGTGACAGCGCTTTCCCTTTCCGGGGCTCGACGAGGCGATACCTTGACCCTCACGCTGTACAGAGTGACGACCTTTATGAATCAGGAAGATGCCATACCCAATCAAATCCACCAGATCTGTTCGAAAAAGACGGCACTGAACGGCAATACATCCGTCGACTGTGGTCTTGAACTTCCGAATGATCTGATACCGTCGTTTAGTTACGGTCGTGTGATTGCCATTAGTTACAAATTGCACCTTGCTCTTGGACGAGCGAAAAGTGGATTAAGCAAGCTGCTGGTATCCGTCCCGTCATTGGAACTGCCGGTGACCATTGGCACGTTAGGTTACGGAGTCCGTGCAGCTCAGGATCTCCAAGTGTATACAATGTTCCAAAGTGTTTTCGACGATCCCGCTCAACCATCATCGTCTCCTTCTCCCGTACTACCTGTACCGAAATTTATCCGGGTGGTTGAATACGAAGATGCCCTGCCACAATATGAAGCAACTCGATTACCCTCCTATTATTCCGACAGTATGTCCCATCATGATGACCACGCAAGCGCACCATTAGCTTGATGGCATTGCCAACGAATAATGTGCCTTTTTAATTTTCATTCATGCTTAGCATTGTTTCATGCTTCCGATTCATTTGTATGATGTAACCATTCATGTATCACGTGTATAGAAAGGGTAGCTCGAGTAGATCATTTTTTGGGTGGTGGGGGTTGAGGATGATACCATTACAGAAAAAAAAAAGTGGAACCCGACTTGTAAATAAAAAACAGTAAACTATGGGGACCTCCAGACGATCATCCTATTTTTTTTTTTTTTTGCCAACGTCATTGTTCACCACAAAAAATTGTGTCTATTCCCAATTAGGAATACCAGCGAAATCTTGTATTTTTTTTTCATTCCGTAACATCGGAGACAATTTGTAGTTTTTTCTCAGCGTAGCTTTTTTCGGAAGTAAAAAAAGAAGAGGAAAGACTAGAACGTGGGGGATGACAACCAAAAAAAAAAGGGGGGGGGGTTGGAAGCGGCGTCAAATGAATCCGTCATTTTGAGTTTGGTGAGACAAGAAAAAAAAACCTTGTTACTGCGGTGGAAACTGTTACCATTGGATTGCTGCGGCAGGCGCGTAGATCCATGCATTCACTGTCGTATGACAAATCACACATGGAAAACTCACAGTACCACATCTCAAATCAAATTTTGCCTAGTAACTTGCGTAATTCCGAGTACAAGATTTCCCTGGTTTTTTTTTTGGGTCTTCCCAGTTCGCTGGTCTATATAAATCGAGCTCGGCGTAAACATTTACGGTTCTTTCCTCGTTATACAAACAAGTCTTTTTACTTTCTTTTTTTTGCTCCTACATCTCATCTTTATCAAGCATGCACAGTGCTTCTGGTAGTCCTTTATCAATTGAATTATTTCCCGAATTCGGTTGGTCGATCCATGACGAACACGTCTATGGTCCCGGTTCCGTTTTCCAAGGTAAATGTCACCTTCAGTTTCGATTTTTTTTTTTTTTTTTTTTGATATATTATTTCATCCGATATTGACACCATGGTTTCGTGATTTTTACAGGCATTGTTCATTTGAACCTTACACAACCATTGGAAGCTGAACGCGTCCGGCTTGTATTCCGCGCCTCGGAAGGATTTGCATCGTCATCCATGGGATACCACGTTTCCGACAGCACCAAAGAACATAAACTGTTTGCCATCCAACAAGTGTTGTGGCAACGCGATCGCCCAGGCCAGAAACTCGGCGGATCCTCCTATACTTTTCCATTCACGGTACAAATGCCACTGATTCAATACCCTCCATCGATGGAACATGAAGTCTACCATTGTCGGTTTGAGTTGACGGCTCAGATTGACGAACCCAAGAAACTGCATGTACCTCTGTCTGTAACTCGTCGCATCCTTTACATGCCTTTTATTGAAACCACCATGTTGAAGGAGCCGGCCGTCAAACATGCATCACGACCGGACATGGAAGCCAGCGTCTCCACGTGTATGTTGGACTACGTACCTGGAGACACGGTTCAACTGTCAGTGGATCTCGCTACCACCGCGGACAAGAAACCTCACGCCAGCTCGATTACGGCCGAGCTTCGACAGCAATCAACCGCTATCATCCACGGCGTCTCACAGAAACTGGTCAAAGTGATTGCAACCACATCGGTTCAGCCAAAGGAATACATGGATCGTCATTCCTACACCCGCTTGGAACTCCCACTGGCCAAGGATGTGACGCCTTCGTTTGACTACGGTCGCCTGATGACCGTCGACTACTTGCTCCGAGTGACGATCAAGCGCAAAGGACCTTTGGGCGGTATCTGGTCGTCGACGGTGACGGTTGACTTGCCCATCACCATTGGCACCCTCGGTTACGGCATCAAAGCTTCGCCCGATACCCAACTCTACACGACCAAGGTCGAAGCAGGCGCCGTGCCCTTACAATGTCCTCAGTTTATGCGCGCAATTGAATATGCCGACGCTCTTCCTGTCTATGACTCCATCCGTTTACCCGCTTATGGCACCGTATGAATCAATTCTTCTATTTATTATCGGCATCACTCATTTCACATAGACGTCATGACCTTGTACATAGCATTTCTTTTTTGTTCATTTGTATCCTTTATTTATTTGGCAGTAAGAAAAATTCCTTAGCGCCATCGTTTAACTACTTAATCTTCTAATAAAAAAAAGGGCATAAAAGAATGGCACACCTGAGTGTTGTCATTTGTATTGATTTATTTATACGCCGTTTCTGACTGCAATGTTTTGATGAATTCTGTTTTTCGCCAATAAATAAAGGTCAGTAAAAAACGATTTATTTGTACGTCCTGTTCCAGCGATCGGGGACCCCTGCCTGGCTGGGCTGCCACGCGAATAGGAAATGATTTAACTTAATCCCGGCTGCGCCTTGTTGTACCACGTAACAGTAACATGCATGCCGTATTTGAAGCATTGTACCCAAATGTCAAGATTCTTTTGTTTACATTTCGGCGCCTCTTCCACGTCCAAAAAAAAGGCACCAATTATTTGCTGCTGTAACACTAAAAAAAAAGGAGATTGCAAACAAGCTTTTTTTTTTCTTTTTTGTATTTTGCCAGATGAATAAAAAAAAAAAAAAAATTGATAAAAACAAAAGGGAGGGTGAAAGGAAGAAAGAAGAAAAAATAGCCCATTAAAAAGAAAAGATGCTTTTTTTAAGTTTGTGAACAGCTTCAAGGAATGATGAGGAATGATGAAAACCAAGGTGGAAGAGAAGCGACTCTTTTTTTTTTTTGGTGACCTTGGATCATCATTATGAGTTTGTTTTTTGCTTAATCTTCTTCGCCAATCTTGGGTGCCAAGTAGTATCTGACATAACCGAGATTGTCAAGCTTGTATTCGACAAGCAAAGGCACTTCACTTGAAAGGTTTAAGCTGACACGGCTGGACAAAGGAGTGGCTTTTGTGAAACTGACAAGGTACTTGACAGAGAAGGACATGGACACACTTTGCTGGAGTTCAATCACTGTCGCTTCTTCCTCCTAAGGTCACGATTCGATTCACCATCAGTTTCTTTTTTTCAGTCACACAGTCACCGGAGCAACACACTTACATTATCGACGGAACCGTTGGCCTTCAATGTGACGGCACCTTTACCCACTTCACCTTCACTGGAGAATTTGATACCTTCCTTTGTGCACTCCACCAACACTACGTTCAAAAACAGCATGCATTCTTTAGTTTGCTGGTCTACCGAAACCACAGGCTTGGAATAATTACCTGAATCACTGATCATTTGCAAATCACGGCAGATTTCGAGGAAACGAACCGAGGACATATGGACCACCGCATCATAGGTGGTGTCGGGAATACCCAAATGTTCGCTGTCGATATCCATCAGTTTCAAATCATATTCACTGATCTTGTCGCTGTCTACAAGGACAAAAATCCGTCAGCCACCAAGAAAAGCCAACACTTTGCCTTGTTCTTTCACACCCATTTGAACTCACCTTTGCTTTCAAAGACCATGCTGAGCACGTCGCCGCCGTCGTCGGCCTTGAGGGTGAGAATGTCGTCGTTGCGAGCACACTTGAGAATCTTGTTCAAGCTGGTGAGATTGATACCCAAGGGAAGATTGCGATCGCAGCGGTAGGGGTCAAAACCATCGGAACGGAGCAACATGGACACAAGGGCGACGTGAGAGTTGTCCATAGCTTGGAGTTCGATACCGGAATCGTTGCATTCAAAGTTACATTCGGTGACAAGTTCTTTGACGGCTTCAAGAAGCGATTTCAAGAGCTTAGCTTGTTGGAGGCGAGCTTCAAGCATAGTAAAGAGATCTAATGGTGGTATGGAGACCAAGTGAACATCAATAATTAGCGCATGGGAAACGCGTCAAAAGACAGAGAGTATGTGTCGTGCCAAGCTGTTCGGGACTGATGCCCCAGTTATCCAGGCACCCATCGTCTGCAAAGCCAAGTGGTCCCTTTGTGAGGGAGGTCCCTTTATAACCGTAAACACAACACACCCATAGTCAACTCCAGCAGCAATACTTACGTACAGAAAAATAAGGAGAAAAAAAAGGTGAAAAAGCAGGTGGGAGAAGAAAATTGAACGCGTCGAAAAGAAAAAATTGCACAAACAAATTTTTGAAATTTTTAGACGCGCCTCTCACGTCATCATCTCGACTTTGGTACTGTGGACTTCCAAACACCTACGCCATGACACGCCCTGCAAAACGCGGCTCACTTGGAAAAACCTAGACGCGTTTTTCTTTGGTTGTGCATATGAGTAGTGATACTCGGTCAAACTACCATGTTGAAATCCTTTTAGATCCATATGTTGTGCTCAGATTCTCGATCACTTTGTTTTATAAGTTTTGCTTTGGACAACGCTGATGCTGCTATAGTTACTGTGACATGACATGACTTTGTTGTATTCCCGTAGTTGAGAGAGTTATTCTAAAGATTATTGTCCGATGCTTCATCTCAGCCCTGGCGCAAGAGTGAGATCTTCCGCCTTTACCGCATACTCGCGTCGAAATAGCAATGCTACATTCACATTGTACTAGAAATCATGGAAACATGAAGGCACGGTATGGTTGCCACTTCGCAAACGTAGTCTCCACTTTTTTCAAAATTTTATCGATGCTTTGATACGTAATATATCTTGGACAAGATCGAATTTTTAGCATCTCCTCGGTTTGATAAAGCTAGCCATTGTGTTTCCTCAACCGCATTTGGTGTCTGCCTCTTCATGAGCTTACAAATAGTACTACGGAGACCTGTGCATTGAAGGACACTAACGTAGTCAAGAGCCCATTGCTAGTGCCAGTAAATGTTGAGATATAGCTGGTTCATGAAGTGTGATCGAGGAAGCAAATGCCTCATATTGTGCAATCTTTACCCAAGCAATTTTTTTCTTGGTCCAATATCATCCGTCTACTACTGCGCTGTAGAAGCATGGGCACATGGAAACAAGCTTTGTTACTGGCCACTGAACCATTGTTTTGAGCCGCATCTCATCGGTTACAGAGTTAGACCTGTTGATTGATTAAACGGAGTTTTGCGAGAGGGGATAATCTTGTCACGAATGTTCATCATGTTGCCAAAAATGGAACAAATAGATCATGTAGCAAAGCTAACGAAAGTGTAAAAGAGATTATATGCAGTATACCTTTTTCTGCCAAAAATCCATCAGACTTTAGGCAATGTGGATCTTTGGTATGAATGGAATCAGCGAGAGCCCGACTACTAGGTGCGTGTTTGCAATCGCATGATGTGATGAAATGGTTCAAAAAGGGTTAAATTCAAACTCCACAATCACCAAAATTCAAGCAGCTTTTGCCTGTGGTTGCATCGTTTCTTTGCATAACGTAATGTCTCTATAACATCAATGTGAATGGTGTGGTTCAATCTAACATGCAATTCATCCTTTATTCTAGTTATTTTTCTCTGCTTTGGTCTCGACTTGTTATATTCTTACCATGGACGATCCTCTAAGTCGCTATGCCTTGGACGACGGTGATCGGCTGTGTGATAATAGTACCAGTCATGCCACTTCACCTGCTACCGAGGTTGACCAGCCGTTGCGTCCGGAGGATACAGGGTGGTGTAAAAAAGTGAACAAGTGGCATTTAAAGTTTAGTCAAGTGAAGATCACCATGGCGCCTCACTGCGAAGGCTACATCTTCAAAAAGGTGGTTTATGTAGTGGAAACCCCCCAGCGTGGTTGGCGCGTTCTTCGGCGATTCAGCGACGTGTATTGGCTGTGGGAAATACTTGTGTGCCGTTATGCGTGTCGCATGATTCCCAATCCGCCCCCCAAAAAAATCGGCAAAAGTGAGCGAGCCATGTTCCTGCCAGCGCCATCCGCAAAATGCACACGTTGGACTCACTCGATCGGGTTTTAGGAGACGAAGCGTTTCTGGAAGCACGTCAACGCGGCCTTAATCGGTTCATTAATGCCGTCATGCGTCATCCTGTGCTTGGAAAAGACCCAGTGGTGGAAGCATTTCTGGGTTATCCTTGGGTATTACATGATTCTTGAGAGGGCGCGGGGGGCTTTTTTTATGGATACGTTAACGCTCATCATGGTCATCATTAAATCACGTCATAGGCATTTGCCACCTGGTACAAGATGCATAAACCGAGTCTTTATGAAGAGTTTGTTCGCGGCGAATATGATATCGGTGAATTGGAACGCAATATTCCACGCGATTTGAACGATCAGCTGATCCGCATGAAGAAACGGTTGTCGCTCGCTATACGGCAATACCAAACACTGTGTGAGGCCATGGAAAATATGATAGGTACAAAAGAAGCCAATGCCATGGATTACATTCGCTACAGTATCACAGTCAAGTAAGTGGTGACTTGCGTGCGTGGAGAGTTTTTTTTTTTTTTTTTTTTTTTTTTTTTTTTTGGGGGGGGGACTCGTCCTTACTTTTTTCGTTGTCTAGTGCCCTGAATGAAGCCGAGACAAACACTCCTTGTTGCATGCACTCATGTTCATCCTGTATTGATATTATTAAAGGATGTGAAGCCGTATCTAAATCCATGCATCGCACAGGCCTAACTCTAGATGAGCAAGTAAGTACAGTTAAAAAAAAGCCGCCTCGTGGGAGGTCGCGATATGGCCGATCCTGATAATGTTCATGGATTGATAGGCAACATTGTTGAACGATCAAATCCTAGAAAATCTGCGGCGTCACTATGAGCTTTTTCTCGGATTCGCAGTAAGTAATGCCTCGTTTAATTTGGTCCCTGGTCTGTTTATAACATCGCTTCTGCATAGTCAATGCTAGACCGTAAAAACAAGCTTTTGCAGAAAACACATATTGAAGGATTAGCAGGACGATCATCATCGCCGCGGTCAGGCGTTCATGCACAGCACAAAGTGAGCGACACGGACAAGTTTTACACTGCCGGGATGACATTGCAACAACAACGACAAATATACATACAGTACTGTCTCACGGCCGAACTCGCTTACCTGCATCAAGAGCAGAGGTTCATTACGTTTGTGTATCGGGATTTTGTTGAACTGCAATTGAAGTTCTCGGCGCAATTAACCGGTCAGTGGAACGCACTGGAAGCTTGCACAAAAGACATATCTACAAAAATGACCGATTTATAATCCATGTTTTTGACTGGTTCAAAATCCATGATCCCATTACCATTCGTAATAGTCGCCTAGTCATCTAGTCAAACCTACTCAATATCCCGCTCTTACATAACCCGTCATTATTCCCAAATCATTTTCACACATTTTTCACGATACAAACACATCATATTAAAAGCTTGAACTAATTCCCAGACGATACTTGAAGAACAGATGATAATTGGATCACAAAATTGTTTATATTGTTGTTGAGTGGGGATTCCGTCTTTTTTTTTTCAGATAATCATTCCTCTTTTATCGTTTTTGTATATTTCGATTATTTATTCTTTCTCTAGAGCGATAATTTAGTAGAAAGTCTTGCAGTGGTTCTCGCAGATGGTACGGAGCTTGCCCTCGAGGTCCTTGGAGAGGACACCCTGGGTGCGGATTTCATCAAGGACGGCACCCTGTTCGGATTGGATGTGGCTGATAAAGTCCTTTTCCCAGTCGACGACCTTGTTGACGGGGATCTTGTCAAGGAAACCGTTGACACCAGCGAACACAATGGGGACCTGGACCTGGATGGGCAAGGGAGAGTACTGGGGTTGCTTCAACAATTCAGTAAGACGGGCACCACGGTTCAACAAGAATTGAGTGGAGGCATCCAAATCGGAACCGAACTGAGCGAAAGCAGCAACTTCACGGTACTGAGCCAAGAAAAGCTTCAAGGAACCAGCGACCTGCTTCATGGCCTTGGTCTGGGCGGCGGAACCGACACGGGACACGGAAAGACCGACGTTAATGGAGGGACGGATACCCTTGAAGAAAAGTTCGGCTTCCAAGAAAATCTGACCATCGGTAATGGAAATAACGTTGGTAGGAATGTAAGCAGACACATCACCACCCTGAGTTTCAATGATGGGAAGAGCGGTCATGGAACCATAACCGAAATCCTTGTTCATCTTGGCAGCACGTTCCAACAAACGGGAGTGAAGGTAGAAAACGTCACCGGGGTAAGCTTCACGACCGGGGGGACGACGAAGCAAAAGAGACATTTGACGGTAAGCAACAGCCTGCTTGGACAAATCGTCATAGATGATCAAAGAGTGACGACCGTTGTCACGGAACCATTCACCCAAAGCGGCACCGGAGAAAGGAGCGAGGTACTGAAGGGGAGCGGCTTCGGAAGCAGTAGCAGCGACGACAATGGTGTACTTCATGGCATCGTTCTCTTCGAGAGTACGGACGAGCTGAGCAACAGTGGAACGCTTCTGACCGACAGCAACGTAGATACAGTACAACTTCTTGGACTCGTCGTTACCGTTGTTCCAGTTCTTCTGGTTAAGAATGGTATCGAGGGCAACGGCGGTCTTACCAGTCTGACGATCACCAATAATCAATTCACGCTGACCACGACCGATAGGGACCATGGAATCAACGGACTTGATACCAGTCTGCATGGGCTCGTTGACAGAGTGACGGGGCAAAATACCGGGAGCCTTGACCTGGACACGGGAACGGCCAACGGTCTCAAGAGGACCCTTACCATCAATGGGGTTACCCAAAGCATCAACGACACGGCCGAGGATACCGGGACCAATTGGGACGTCGACAATAGCACCAGTACGCTTGACGGTGTCACCTTCCTTGATCAAACGATCGTTACCGAAAACGACAATACCGACATTGTCAGCTTCCAAGTTAAGGGCCATACCCTGGCGTCAAAGAAGAAGAAAAAAAAAAAGAGCGTTAGACACCATTATCATTCATAGTCGCTTGACCTTCCCAACACAAGGGGGGGGGGGGAAGAAACTCGTTTTTTTTATTACCTTGAGACCGCTGGAGAATTCCACCATTTCTTCGGCCTGGCAGTTCTTCAAACCGTAAACACGGGCGATACCGTCACCAATGGACAAGACGCGACCGGTTTCCTGAAGATCGACTTCAGAAGACGAACCGAGGATACGTTGCTCCAAGATCGAAGAGACCTCCGAAGTGGAAGGCTTAGCCGAGGCGTAGGTACGGGCAGCAGCTGCAACAGCGCCGAGGTTAAGACGGGCCTATAAACAAGAACAGGATGATCAGTACGCATGTCAACTGGAAAAAATAAAAATAAAGAACAAGGCAAATGAGAGCATGAGGAAATGCCGAATGGGGGAATCCCCGGATAAAGGATCATTTTTTAAAGAAAGAGTTTGATTGCAAGGTCGGTCGTCAAGGGATTTGAACATGGTTGTTTACTCTTGGGGGTTGGGGGGAGCGAGAGGGCTCTCTCTCAAGAGAGACAACCCAAACCAAAATGACGCCACGAGGGGGAAAGGGAGGTTGAGGGCATTTCCGCCATGTTCTCTCTTGCTTTGTTTTTTTTTTGTATGATTTGTGTAATGTAAAAAAAAAAAGAGACTTACAGCAGGTGCAAGACCGCGAGCGGCAGCCGCAAGTGACAAAGGACGAGCAACGCGAGCAACGTTTCTAAGCATGATTGTGGAGGCTGTTTTTTACGTGGAAGAAACGAAACACAAAAAAGCGAACTTTTTTTTTGACCACAACTTTTTTTTTTTAATTCAACCCTCCACTGGGGCCTCAGGGGTCCGTCTGAAACGTCATCAAAGTGACGTCACGCCCTCCCAATTTTTTTTTTGCAGTGGGAAGAAGGGTTGAAACTCATCGTATCCATCTTAGCAATAGCGTGACGGGATCCACTATCTTTGATAAGTATACCAATGGTTGTAGAAGGCGGATAAATCTGACCGTTCTTCCTGTATAAAAAGCCATTTAGCGACAAAATGTATGTTGACGTGGGAAGCCAGGGACTCCAATTATTTATTGTTGATAGTGATTACGAATTAAAAAGCTTGTATAAAGTTAAATAGTTTGCAAAGAAATTTGCTATATGCTTGTGGAAACGGAAAAGAAAAAAGATTAAATAATAAATGATGTACAAAAAGCCAAAAGCCAAAATAGGATCCATAAAGAAAAGGGCGGGAATGGGAGACGTAACTGCAATTAAAAAAGTTAATGAGGCTGAAAGGTGAATGGGTAGATAGAAATAGTATAATAAGAATAAAGATTTTGTGTAAGAGGCACAAAAGATCAAGGCTCGATGTCCTGGTCGGTATCGCCGTCGTGGTAGAGAGTAACTGGTGAAACGGGTGTGAGTGAGTGAGTGGGTGTCATTGGGACACGGGGAGATCAGGTCAATACAACTTACTAGAGTTGAATTTTTCAAAGGGATTGATGTGATGAGAGTTGACCATATTGTCTGATTCCAGATCGAGGCTGATACTGTCGGGTGGCATGTGTCTAAAATTGATGGCATCAATCCCGTTGGATTGCTGCATTAAAGGGATAATAGGAGGAACACAGTGTCGCAACAGCGCAAAATTAAGATCCTTGAAAAACGGATGATGCTTGATATCCGTGGCGCCAGCGCGGGATCCCAACCGCCGATGCTCGTCTTTATGCAATAATTTGCGGATCAAGTTTTTGCAACTGTTGGATAAATGACATTCGTACGGAAAAGGCTGGTCTCCAAATGTGACATCGCAGTGCAATATTCTCGAGAACGTCTCATTTCGATGGTTCCCCTTGAAAGGTGTCGTACCATACTGGGATAGATTTTTTGGCTTAGGGAGACATGTTTGGCATGAACATTATTGACTGTAAACTCTTACCAGCATTTCATAGATAAGAATACCCAACGTCCACCAATCCACGGCGCTGGTATGTCCACAACCCTTGATCACCTCGGGAGCAATATATTCTAAAGGAAAATGAAATTGGTAAAAAAAAAGGATCGTCCAATCCAACAGTGACTCATGGGATCTTTACCTTCTGTACCTACGAAACTATTGGTGCGCAAATTGTTCACACATTGTCTCGTATCAATAAAAGGAGGCTAGCGTGGACATTGGTTTTTAGCAGCCAGACGTTGATCAGTATCGAGGGATACTTACGAGGTGCGGTGCGGAAGATCGAATGACGCCCGGGTTGCCAGGCGGACTTGAGCCTTTACTCAGATCAAAGTCGGTCAACATGATGTGACCGGTATGGTGAAGTAAAATATCTAGAAATATCCATGATGAGTAAAGGACTGTTGCGCAGCAGGATGTTCGGAGGAGTGTTTTCTTTTCTTACTTTCAGGTTTGAGATCACGATAAATATGACCATGCAGGTGCAGGTATTCAAGGGCAGCGGTGACTTCGGCGGCATAGAATCGGGCCCCTTCTTCGTTGAGACATTTTCCCGGACGTAGTTGCAATGCTGTCAAAAAAGAGTCGTATTTGTTTAGTCTTTGTGGCGGTTTCTCCTTTGGATCGAACTATCCATCCAATATCAAAATTTTCCGGATTTTTCTTACCTCGAAAAAATTCGCCGCCCATGCAATACTCAATGACAAAATAGAGGTAGTCCTGACTTTGAAAAGAATGATACAGGGTGACGATAAAAGGATGGTTGGATGTGGTAAGAATCTCTTGCTCGGCCAAAGCGCGTTTGATTTTGTTACGTTTAATCATCTCGCTTTTTGATAAAACTTTTGGAATTGGACCTCGGATCAGAACATTGAAAAGATAGGGTTTTTTGAGATGTGGTTGCTTACCTTTCATGGCATACAGTTTGCCGGTTTCTTTCTGTTGAACCATGTACACTTTGCCCACGTCGCCTTTGCCAAGCATGCGTAATTTGACAAAGCTGGAGGGACCTACTTGGGCCTTTTTCACTTTGATGCTGCTGCTGCTGTAAGTACGACGACAGACCCGAGTGGGATCGACGGAAGAGGTGGTGGTGGATTTCGTGGATAAATTGGGCGCTATGACCGACGGATGGGTCAGACCTGACGTTGGCTTCTCGGGCGGACAGGACTGACGAGTCATAACCAAAAGGCGGGCATTGGGAGCCGAAGCTACGCGACGCACAACTTTATTGGTTTGACTAAAACTTGTCACAGAGAACCAAGAGTTGCTTTTCACGTTGGGCGGTTTCGCGGTGGTATGAAACTGATGAGGCACAGTGAATGCTGGCGCACTGGAAGCCAAGTCTTTGGACCCCGGTGAGGACGGAGATGGTCGGGTGGCGGGGTGAGAGGAGATAAAGAGGGATTTTAACCGAGATGCCAAGGGTAAACCATGGTACGATGGTGGAGGTGGGGGGAGACTGTCGCTTGGCGATGCCAACTCGGAAGAAAGCTCAACAGTAGGTGGCATATGAGGGTGTGGACCGTTTTCTTTTTTTTTTCTACCCTGACAGTTGCCACAATTTTTTATATATCAAAAGTTCTACAGTTTCTATAAAAGACCTCAATGAACAAAAAATAAGGAAATAAAAGGAAATAAAACAAAACGATCAGTAAAATATCCGCAAATGCAAACAAATGCTCGTTCTTGTGTCACAACATAATCCCTTTTTTTTTTTTGGGACGCGAGATTGTGGATAATACATGAATCAATCATGCTTTGTGGGGGAAAATTAGGGAAGATGCAGCTTTTCCCCACAGGAACGAATCAGAACGACGGAGAATTGCACTGGTGCTGTGTCTGCCTCAAAAAACTATGAAATCTGATAGGTTTCGATTGACGGCTCAACAAATGAAGCACCGATTATCTCCATTCGGGATTGGGCCGATTTGTGACTCAAAAAATAAGGTGCCACCCAAATAGGTGCTTGTCAATGGAAAAAGCTCATCCCATTTTTTAGGCTTTTTTTTTTTTCCTTATTCTTTTTCTTTTACTTTTTTATCATTCAATCAAGAACATAAAATCATGCACAGTTCTACACTTCAAGTAGGTGGTTTTTCCTTTCATGATCCAATTAATGATGGATACCATTTTTGCTGGAGTTTGTTCATTTTTTTTTTCTTCTTGCTTGGTTTGACAGACTCCTCACAGTCAGCGGCGTGTCAGTTTCGATCTTGATCATAACACGGTTCACGTCCTTCCCACTTTGGAGGAATGCCGTTTGGAAGCGAGTCGACGTGGACGAGAACAATGGGAACGCAAAACCCTCCTTCAAGACATGTTGGATGAAAGCATCATTCTAGAGATTCAGCAGGACTGTTGTTCTTGTTCTAGAAACACCGATGACAATGACAACGGTAGTCAACCGGTCACGCCGTGTCCCTTGAAGAGCTGTTTGAAGAAACCAGTATCTTCACCCACCGTGAGCGCGCCAAAGAAAACCATGAAAAAGACTACTCACAAGAAACGCAAAAGATCCCACGGCAAGGGCTGTGCCGTTGAAGCGCGGAGTAAGTGGTTCGAATCAGCGTAACACAACTCATGCCCCAGAATCCTAATCATTCATTTCAACTCACTCACTCACTCATTTCCATTCACCTAGTGCAACCATTTTTGGATCCTAACCTGCCCATTCATTGAATCCATCTGAACCGAAATCGCGTATTTCATCAACATCTTTTCCGCCAAATCGGCCTATCCATTATTGGGTCGCATGGTCGTCCCGTCATCCTTGATGATGGTACTCGGTTCTCCAGAAAGAAGAAGAAACGAAAAAAGAAAAAAGACACGGATTCCTACCGCTGCCGGCCAAAAGTGTGTCATGGACTCACGCACTTGTTCTTTAAAAAAATTCATGCCAATTTTGTTGTTCCATTCCGTCTTCAGACCGGTCTGCTTGAAGCCTCACTGGTTTCCATGAACTGTGATAGCCAGTGAAGACTTTTCATATATCACCACTCATTTTTTTTATTTTATTTTGTTTGGTCAGAGTGACTTGCGTTGTCTCAATCTCTACCTTATCGCTGGTTTTTTCTTTTGTTTTGGCAAATAAAGAGAAAAAAATCAGAATACCGTTTTAATTTACAATCGAAATGGAGCCATGTCGTTGGTCACCTGATCACACTCTTTTTTTTTTTTTTGGGTCTTTCCGCTTTGACTCTTGCTTTTTCTCCTGAGTATGGATTGGGGAACGAGGATGTGATAAAAAAAAAACCAATGCATTCATTTCGTTTCCTTTTTTCTTATTTTCACACACACATTTTCTCGGATTCATTGAAAAAAGGGATTCGAGATCATAATCTCGGCCTAGGTGCTCTTCTTTCTTTCTTCCTCTTTTTTTTTTTTTTCCTTTCTTTCAGAGACTACTGGATCTGTTAACTTCTTTAATCTTTATTTGCATCCTCCGATTTCAAATTCATTTTTCATGCTAGAACAGGTAAAAGATTCAGCGTCAACGGTTACGACCGTCACGTCCCTTGTACTGATGGCACCTACATCGTTCTCCAATTTCTTACAGCAAAACCATCCATATTTCGTGAGTCCATGGAATAAACAACGACAGGTACGAACATCCCGTTCATTTTTTGCGCTGATTTTTCTCTACTACTTTATTAACAACCGTTTTTCTCGCTTTTGATTTTTCTGAACCACCACATTACAGACCCCTAATAACCTCGAGGCTTCGGATATGGACCCTTCTTGCTGGTTGGGTGGCCCCCTCGATCAGCTTGCCGTCATTGAAGAAGATGAAGAGGAAGAACGTCGCTATCTTCAAAAGATGCGGAGTTTGCCGTACCGTCGTCACTCTTTGGCCCACGAAACCTTAATTCCATCCGAACATCAATGGCGTCGGGAACGATCGCCTTCCAATTCCTTTCTCGCACCATGGCCATCCACCAACGATAGCACGGGATCCATTTGGTCCCTTGGACCTCACAGTACGAAAAACGCAGCGGGGCCCAGCACCAACAATACCCATCTCGCCAACCATCCTAGTGGATTGCCTTCCCCTTCCTTTTGGGACCCCTCTAGCTCACGACCTCCTCTTTCCATTTCTCCGATGGTAATGAGCTCCTCATCCTCCTCTTCCAACACCTCCGCATCCCTGTTTTCGCGTCCACCATTAGGCAATACCATTCGTCGCCTTTCATTGTCCCCGATACCCAGCGAATCCACCGCCGACTACCTGAATTCCCGAGACTTGTTGCCCAGGTAATCTCATCCTTCCCTGTTCTCTTCCTTTTTTTTTTTCTCACATGCGTTTTGATTTTTCTCACCGATTTAAAGCATCAAGCATAGTGTTCCGGAAGAGCCTAATTGGGTTCCTTATCGCCGCCATTCATTGGCCGGACCTTTGCAATCCGTACCACCTTCATGCGGAAACCGGTATTTGGATCCTACTCCCAGTCTATTGTCATCGGATCTTTTGGAATCGGTCGATAAGAGCGGCTATTTTGATCGGATCATGTCCGCTGCCCAACCTGAAGTGTCGTGGTGTATGGTGGAATTCAAAGCCGGTCGGGCCGAGATTTACTATACAGTGACGCCCGTCGACAAGGAAGACTGGGTTATTGTCGAAGCCGACCGAGGTCGCGACCTTGGCATGGTGGTGGCCAAGGATTTACCACCTGATCAGGTGGCTCTATTACTGCAGACAAGTTCCATGATGATGATGGAACCTGAACAACGTGACGCCGCTTCGTCCTCCACCCCCAAAAGAATTTGTCGTTTGGCTACGCCTTCGGAAATCACCCTTTTAGTCACCAAACGCCAGGACGAACAAAAAGCCCTGCTGATTTGTCAAGCCAAGAGTCGTCAAAAGAACTTGTTAATGGACATTGTCGACGCCGAATACCAATGGTCAGTTAGAAAAAAACAACTCCCTCACAGACAATCGTTGCGGCATGGAACGTCCAAGTTAATCCTTTGCTTTTTATTGTTATCCATTTGCTTCTACAGGGATCGTCGCAAGTTGACCTTTTACTTTGTAGCCGAACGACGAGTGGATTTCAGAGAACTCGTGAGAGACTTGTTTAAAATTTACAAGACCCGTATATGGATGTAAGTATGCCAACACACTTGACCCTGTCTTTTCCCCTACAATCTAACGCTTCTACAGGTGTTCGGTTAATGCTATGGGGAAAAAACCGTCAATGATCTAATCTCGAACCGCAAAAAAAAGAAAGAAAATCCAAACCCATATTCCTCTCCTTCATCATAGATCCTCCCCTTGATCGATGCTCACTATTATTTCTCCTTGCATTTTTTTTCCTTTCTATTTTTTTCCTTTTCTTTCTTTAAACATTTATTCATGCTCAAGAAACGCAAGTACTTATACACATATAAAAGCTATATAATCCACCCTGATTACACTGTAGTTTATTGGAAGAAGTAGTAGTACGAAACAAAATCAATGAACAAATTTTAATAATCTTTACAAATTCTCTTTTTCTTTCTTTGTTGCGCCGAAATATCATCTTGGAGTACCTTGTGCTGTAAACCCTTTTTAAGGGTAATGGCGCTGTAAATGATCGGGACATATCCTACACAGACATCGCGATTGACAGTATCAGGAGAAACAAGGGAACCTGGTGTAAAGAACGTGGACCGTTTGGTTGCTTTAGCGCCATCTTTTTCAGTCAATTATCAAAAACGTCCTGACCATCGGCCATGCCAGTATTTTTCAAATACTCGCTGGCGCACAGACTTGTTCCACCTCGAGGCTTTACCCAGGCAGTGTCCTAACTTCCAAACATCGCTATTTCTAAACAGACCTGGTTATCTTTCTGCCTTTGCCACCTACAGTCTACTTGCATAACACTCAATCAACTTAATGTGTTAGTCGTTGCTAAGCTGTAGACACTGACGGAGGCACCTATATTCCAGACAGGCAATGTATGTTTCCGACGGCTGGATTATCTTTTTCGGTGCGTCAAGAAAAAGGAGTCGGATTTTCAAAAGTACAAATTCATCCTTTGATTCTTGTCAAACTGGGTGCTTATTGACGATTTGGGATCTCGCTTGTCAAGGTTCAGCATGTTTGTGCATCGACTTGGTTCATTACGCTTCTTGCGACGATTACCAACCATTCCAAGTGTACGGTTTCTGTCCACGGACGTGCTGCCTTATCCCCGAATCCATACACCCGTCATGCTGGAGGAGGTCATGTCACAATTGGCACCTCACACAGGTGGTGTTTACTGTGATTTGACATTTGGAGAAGGAGGATATACCAAAGCTATTTTGGGTGAATACTTTTCCGAATTGTAAGATATTTAAAAAGGGTAACAATGGTCTCATACGAAGTATAGACGCTTGTGATTGCAAAGTTGTGGCGGTGGATCAGGATCCGGTTGCTTACGAAAAAGCGCTGCAATTAGCTGATATGGCACCTTACAGGTAGTTTTGCGTTTTTCCCCAATCCTTTCTATTCTTTTTATCTGAAAACGATGGCGATTAGAAATCGTTTATTCCCGGTATTAGGCCGATTCGGACAAGTGCAAGACCTCGTGAAACGTGAATTGGACTGGAGGTAAATAACAACGCTTTTTTTTTTTGGATAGACAGACAAACTGATCTTCATGTCATTGAAAAATCTGTAAAGTATGCCATGTTTTGATGGCGTGGTGATGGATATTGGTGTTTCCAGTGGTCAGGTAAATATTTAGCGTGGTGCTGCGTTTCTGAACTTTGCTCAACTCATGCGAGGGTAGATCGAAACCGCTTCACGAGGCTTCTCTTATAAACTCGATGGTCCGTTGGATATGCGCATGTTTTCTCGCGGCCGCGAAGCTTGGACGGAGCAGCCGTACGAGAATGAATCCTATTTAATGCATAAATCCATTTCTGCCTTTGAAATCGTCAACTTTTTTCCACGGGAACAGTTGGCCGATATTATCTATCAGGTACGTATTGGAAATATAGACAATGACGGGCTGTGATTCACATAACCTTTTTTGATTTTGTTTGGTTTTAGTATGGCGGTGATCGAGCCTCGCGTAAGATTGCCAATGCCATTGTAACTGCAAGACAAAGGGCTCCCATTGAGACGACGGCCAGTCTTGCGACAATCATTCAAAAAGCATGTCCGCAGCCTCAGTGGAAGCGCGGCGATGATAATATGCTGAGGAATTCGGCGGCGCGTACTTTCCAAGCTTTGCGTATCTACATTAATGATGAAGTAAGCAGTCCTTGCACTACTATGACGGAAGATTTTCTCGCGACTGATCCATGGTATCGATAGCTCGGTGAATTGAAACGAGCGCTGGATGCGAGTCAAAGAGTGCTCAAACCGGAAGGAAGATTGGTGGCCGTCACGTTTCATTCACTGGAAGATCGGATTGTCAAGAATTTCTTTCAACATTGTGCTGGCAAGCGGTCGTTTGCCGAAAGTGAGCAAGCAGAAAAAACACGAGTGGCGATTCGCCAACATCGAAGAGCGCTTTATGAAGGACGCCAAGATTATGCGAGACAACCTTTCACCGCCAAAGAAACCATCATTCCTTCATTTGAGTTATTGACCAAACGGGTTATTCGACCCACACGTGAAGAAATTGCTTTAAATGCAAGAAGTCGTTCCGCTAAACTGAGGGCCGCCAAACGAACCTCTGCAGATCCACTGGCCCCTTTCTCTCGAGCTGCTTATCCGTAACAGGAAAGTCGAATGACCATCTTTGGAACGACATGTTCACTTGTTACAGAAATAGAAAAATATCAAATCTCTCATTGTAAAGGACAATATCCATTGTACATATCCTAAAATCTTATTGATCTTTTTGTGTTCTCCAAATTTATAAAAATAAGGTTCGCCTGAATAACTTTTACATTCACGTGATTGTGACGTAACACGAAATGTTTTTTTTTTTCGTTTTTTTATTTTGGCAGTGCCGCTTCGAAAAGAGAGTCTCTAAAATTCCTGTCGCAACAAGTGTGAACATTCTCTTTTTCTCTGTTTTTCTTTTTTGCTGTGAAAAAGTATCGGAAAAGTTCAACAGCTTAAAAATTATAACGATCATGGACGATAATTGGGACCGTACGATATTTGACAAGGAGCTGAAAGCAATATTGGAAACCAAATTGCCAGTGTCGGCTTCCAGAATCACCAATTTGCAGGCGCTGGCCACCGCTCACCCACAGGTATGTCAGAACAATCAAAGTTCTTTGGCTTGAAAAAAAGTCGTACCATCACATTGCTATGTTTACTGACCTATGCTTCATTTCGAATACTAGCATCACAATTACATTATTCAATGCATATGTCGCTTTCTTGAGACCGCGCCTCCTGATTATCGGTTAGCAGGTTTGTATGTGATTGATGCCATTTCACGCTCGGTGCACAAGAAATTACGGAAACGGGAAGAAGCCGGGGACAAGGGAGCACCATTGGAAGTGGAAGGGTTTTTAAAACGATTTGCTATCGTGTTGAAGTCGGATACTTTGATTGGATGCTTTGAACCGTGCTCGACCAAAGACAAGGTAGGAAAGCGTTTTTTTTTTATCCTTCATATATTATTTTTCAAAAACTTGTGTGAACAATGCTTCCTATTCCATGTAAATCGACTTGCTCTTCGGTGAGGAGAGAAGAGAGGAAGAAAAAAAAAACCATCACAGCACCACCACCAACGACGAGGGTCAAGAGTTTTCAATCCTGGAACGGAGGAAGTCGTGCAAACGCGAGCAGTATCTTTCACTGCGTGGGAAATGGCAGCAGTTGGTCGGACGATGAAGAACAACGTTGGTTGGTGCAGATGATCACTTTTGCTGATATCTTGGACTTGTCCATGCTGTTTTCTCTCTCTCCTCTCTCTCTCTTTCTGTCTCGTCTGTGCACCCATACACACAAACGCACACGCACACGCACGCGTGCGCTCTCTCTCTACTTGCTTTTTTTTCTTATTCTTTTTGGCTTTGGCTCGCGTGGTCTTGATGTCGAAAAATGGTATGCAATTTCTCTTAATCTTTATGTCCAATAAAATAGGATAAGGTCAAAAAGACGCTCGATATCTGGGAACAAAGCGGCATTTATTCCAGAGACATGGTGCAACATATTAAGCATACGTTTATGAAAAGTGCGAGTCCGGCTGGTCACGACGGTAATAAAGGAGCTCAAACGAAAGGTTTCTATCATCATCATCATCATCTTGCAAAAGAGTCGCTTTTTACTTTGTGTCCTTCGTAAGCAAAGAGAAAAGGAAATCATTGGCATGGGGGGTTCGCGTCAAAGCGACCTTCTTACACCTTTGAATTTTTCATCTCACCTGGATGAATCTTTTCTTTCTTTTTTCTTTTGTGGTGGATGAGAACACACAAGTGGCAAGCGGAAATGGATCAGTGAAGTACATGAGTGATCTAAACTGCTTTTTTTTTTCTTGGGGCCCGCCCTTGTTCTCTATTTTTTTTCTAGAATCGGCCGCACCTGCTCCTGTCATTGATACGGCGTCACTTCTTGCTACACTCAGTTCACTTGGCAGTCTTGGTCAAACGGGTCTACCGGGCGCTGCTCCCGCTTCGTTTTTACCGTTCCAGGCGTCAACGGCATCGCAACCATCGCAACCCAATGATCCTACGAAACCCATATTTGTCGGTGACGATGACGACGATCTGTCTTTGGCGACCAAAACCGCTTCGACCGCTGCTCCACCCACTGCCCCGGTAGGTCTTCCTCCTGCTTTGGCCAAATTGCTCGGTGGCCTCGTTTCCACTCCTCCAAGCACCCATGCCGCTGCAGCGCCGGTGACAAGCTCGCCTATGGTTATGGCCACGCCTCCCATGTCCAACGTAACACCCATGAGTCCTTCGACCATGGCATCGATGGATCCACGCATGCGTGCTGATCCTCGACTGGGCACCGCAGGAGATCCTCGGTTACGTCAACCTGTGGTTCAAGCCACGCCACCTCACGATGCACGTCAGATCCCGTTGGGCCAAGGTTCGGAATCTCGTCCGGCCTGGCTTCCTCCTCAAGGCCCGTCCGTGCGACCTCCACAAGGCCCTTCAGTTCGACCACCCCAAGGACCCTCGATCCGACCGCCTCAGGGACCTTCCATCCGACCCCCGCAAGGCCCTTCGATTCCACGACCGTCGTTTGATCAACGACCTCCTCCTCCTCCCTCGCGTCCTTCCCAATGGAATGATGCTCCGCCAGGTGGTTGGGCTCCTCGACCTGGCTTTGGTGGCGGATGGAAAGATCAAGAACCTGAACCCCGAGGACGCAACAGTCGATGGAATCAAAATATGCCACACAACGTTCCCGGCACTGAACCACGTCCCGACGATTCATTACCTGAGGGATGTATTCGAGGTAAGCTCCTGATTCGTCTTTTCATAAACCAAAAATGTCATTAATGTCTCCTATTTCAATGGAATCTAGTGTTGACTCGTACTTTGTTTGTGGGTCCTTTGCCTGACGATTACGACAAAGGCGATGTGGCCCATATTTTCGGCAAATATGGTGATTTGGCCAGTATCATTGTAAGCAAACTCTACAACTCCACTGCACGAGTGATCTTTGCGATCCAACTCAAGATATATTAATCAATGGCCTTTTCTATACCTTCTTTTCTTTATCGGTTTTTTCTTTATTTCTTTTTAACTTGCACAGTTGTCGCGCAAACCCAAAGGCAAATGCAACGGATTTTTAAAGTTTGTCACGCGAGCGGCCGTCGAGGATGCCAAGTTTAATTCTCGCAACTTGGTTTTGGAAGGCGTTCCGGTCAAGGTATGTTGATATATTTTCATGATTTTTGGAGAAAAAAGAGGCAGAAGGCAAGGAAAAAAAAAAGGTCATGGGGTAAAAAAAAAAAAAAAAAAAAAAAGAAAGATAACTGGGCAAAAGGCGAGGAGTGGGGAGAGAAGGGACAAGAAGAACACGTCGTCCTGCAAGTTGGAAATCAGTGTCGGGTTCAGGAACAGAATTAAAGCAGACGCGCGTATGCAACAAGAAAACCCCTCAAAAAAAGTATGGATGTTTTAATGCGATTATTATAATAAAAAGGTCAATTGGGCATATGGCTTTGGACCCAAAAAGCTGTTCAATTACGATGTCGGGGAATCCGTCATTCCTCTCACCCAACTCAGCGAGGAGGAGAAGGCGAGCCTGGTCACGGCCCCATTGGGAGGATTTCAAGGCCAGCCTGTCCGTGATCAAATGACCATCGAAGAACCCGAAGTCCAATACCGCCCCGAATGGAAAAAGCAAGAATTCAACGATTCGCATCGCCCGGCGCATCATGACCGAGACCGTGAACGTGAACGTGGATGGCGATCCAACCGTTTCGATAACGATATGCACGACGCCGGTGGCTTGAACACCATGCCAAACAAACGATTTGGACCTCCCCATGGCCATCGATTCCGGGATGACGGTCCTGGAGATGGCATGAAACGTCGACGCATGGACGACGAAATGCATTCACCGCCCTCCTGGGACAATGCACCGCCATCGTTCCGCCCCATGCCACCCGCTGATTCTTCCATGAACATGTACCCTGGAGCTTACGGTATGCCGAGACCGTCCCCATCGTTTCCAAACCACGCACAACAACCCCCGTTCCCTTACCCATCCGATCAAGTACAATAATCCTCTGGCAAAAAACAAGAAATATTGTTCATAATCTTTTTATTTTTTTATTTTTCGTTTCGTTTTCGTCAGCGATTTCATTCCCCCATAATATCACTTTTTCGAATTCTTTGTTGTTGTATCCATTTAGGCTTTTTTTTTTTTTTTTTTTTTTACTTCTCTCTTTTGCATTATCGATCATATGGAATAAAAATCCCAAAAATTTTACACATGTTTAATGGTTTGATTTAAATACATTGCAATTCGTTTGAGAACTGCATCCACTTTTTGCTTTTCTTTATACTTGATAAGATCCAGGATAACAGTAGTAAAACAAGAGAGAATATAATGTGAAACAAGTGGTTGTAGATGCCGTAAAGGGGCAAAATAATATGTGTATGAGATGAGAAAAAAAAAGAAGAGATTGAGAAAAGAGATGGAAAAGGGGAATAGATTTACCAATCCAACCATGTTTTGAAATATTCGCAGTTGAAAGGGGAGACAGGTCCGTCTTCTACACAAAAGGTAAAGACAGGACATTTGCCACAGGGTGTTTCTGATAATGCTTCGGTAGGCAATCGACTGTGACTCTTGCGGACGGCTTTGTAGGACCACTGTACCGAGTCATCATTCAATTCATCTTCATCGTCACTGAAATCATCCATGCCAACCATGAATGGTAGTCTTTTCTCGACCGCGCCATCGTACACAAGCACATCCAGCAAGCTCGTGATATCTTTCACAGAAAGATCAATGGACGAAATACGCGACTCGGTAATGAATCGTCGAACCTCGGAAGCCGTCGGATAATGTTCGTATTCAGGTCCGAAAACCGCATCCTTCATATTCTCCTGACGAGGGAAACTCTATTCACGCATATTAATCCCACATTTTGTTCCCTCTTTTGTCTTTTTTTTTCTCGATTTTTACCCTTGCAGAAATGTATTTCAAACAGGCGGCCTTTAGGCTGTCGATGAAATCGGTATCAAGTTCTTGATCGGTGTACCAAGCGCCACCCGTCACTTCACTGGAGGGCGTCAAATTATATAGCATGTAAATTTTGCGTGTTGGGTACTATAAAAAACAGGAACGGTCATCAGCATCATATACTCCCATTTCACATTAATTTTTTCCCACATCGTCCTTACTTTGACATGTTTCACGGCTTTGATCTCTTGCTTTTGTTCGAGTACTTTCAGGGTTCGATTCAGCACAATCGTATGAAGGTTCGTCTTCTTTTTCAGATCCCTCGTCCAAATACCGACGTTGCCAGCAGCACGAATAGCATTGTATACAATACGTTGCTCGTCATTCAGTCGTCCCGCCCTACATTAACGATGGTTCCTCTAAGTGACCTGTCATCCCAAATGTTGCTTCTTTACCCGCCTTCCCACTTACTTTTCGGCATCCCGCAAATCAATAGCGCGTATAATATTCTCATTATTGATTTGCACTACATCGAGGGCGTTCTAATCGACCATGCTCGGCGTCAGTTTGCCTTGATCCACTTTGCAGCCTTCGTCTCTTGTTGTTGATCCGTTCAGTTTACCTTTTTCAGCAAGGCGTTCATGGCCAAGTAAGCTTGTTCGACGGTCATATCCGGTGGATGATCACTGAATTGCACCCCCTACAATAAGCAACCCATGGTACGTTGGTTAGGATGGCGTTGAAGTTTTTTTGACAGGTAAGTTTTTTTCAAATGTGGAAAGTGGATATAACGCACCTGTTTACTCTGCTGGACGAATTTGTAGAACTTGTATTCTGAGGCCGACATGCCAAGAGGCAAGGTTTCGTCGGCCATTCCCTCGACGGGTTCGTTCTTGACTTCTTTCATGTCCACATCGATTGCGGTGCTCATGATCGTTGAACAAATGAGGCAACGATTTTTTTTCTGCAGAAACTCGCTTTTTTTTTATCAAGTCGCGGTCACGCAGCCAGTGGCCAAGATTGGGATGATCGGAGTTTGGACCTTCTTTTTTGGGACCCTTCCAAAGCCCCCCACACTTGAAAGAACCTTTACCCAAACAGTAAGGTCCATACAGAATATCCGTAGTATATCATTTATTTAACTATGCTAAAGCCTCCAAATCTTAGACTTTGCAAATGCATTCATCCTATTCCCAACGAACGGCCTCAAGGTGCCGCAGTCCACTGGTGGCTTGGGCTTCGTTCCTGTGCAGAGGTCACTCCACTTTTTGGGCTTCACAGAAAAACCCACATTTCACGCCCAGACATCCATGATGAATCAGGTCATCTCTCTCGATTTTATTACCATGGAACAGCCAGAAATACTGCCTGGAGAGTATACTCATCTAAGATGTTTATTTCTTTGGACAAACCAAATTCATGTTTCTATTTCGGACAACTCGGACGTTCCTGATTTTACAGTTCATCGGTCCATTCCATGCGCGATTCTTTGCAACCATAGGCCGACGGGGTAATTTCCAAGAGGCAAGAGCGTGGGATGGAAATGGAAGGAATTTCCTATATAAAAGTAAGCGTGTGATACTCCGCCTCTGTTCATTTTGTTTACTCACATCTTCGGGACGATCAAACAGGTACGCATACAGACAGCGTAGTACAGTGTCGTGTGCAATGATGAGCACATCATTTTTCTCCCGTTCCAGTTCCATAATCACCGCTTCTAAACGAACCGCCAAATCATGGTATGACTAGACAAAAACTTGATCGTCAGCAAGCACATTTTTCCTTAGCCATGACAAAAGCAGATTCTTACTTCACCGCGAGGATAACGATGTCGATATGGATTTTCTCTTGCTTTTACAACTTCTTCAGGGAATTTTTCCTAGGAAAAAAAGACCTTTTAGTAGGAAGTTGGAAAGCCAAAATACGGCAATAAAAGGTATACTTTGAGTTCTTCGTTTGTCAATCCATCGGCTTCGCCGGGGTTCATTTGTGTAAGTACCGAATGGCCTCGTACGGGAAAACCGGCTTCCATGAATGGATAGGCGGTTTGCTTGGCCTTCTTTCGTGTGGATGTCCACACCTAGAATTGCCACAAAGGTCAGAAAAAGCATGAGGGGCCTCATTGTAAAAAAAATGAACTTACCACCAAGGGCCGGTCTTGATCCTCTGATACGCCTGATTCGGTGATTTTCTTTTCTCGATACGCGACCACGAAATCTCTTAATTTGGCAGCATACTTTTTTCCTTCGTCTGATAGATCCGCATCAATCTTGTAGGAGCGTTCATCGATAGCAAGGCCCGTCTGTGAAAAAAAAAAAATCGTCAGTAAAATAATTCATCCGTTTATACGCTGTATGTTGCCACCCTACCCTAGCAAAATAGATCGTACGTCGGTTGATGTGAAGATTCATGAGAAAGTAAACAATGCGTGACTACAGTTACCATGGAGAAATCAAAAAGGTATAGGATGAGCAACAAACTCGTATACGACACATGTCCTTTTTTCTTCTCTCTTATCCGTGTGTGTACCTGAAGATAACCGACGCAGTTATTCACAATGAGTTGTTCTCCCGCATTAATGAGCTTCACAAAAGGCAAGGTGGTGTCGGCAATTGTCTCGTATTTTGCTTCATGCTGCTTGATACGGTTCTGTCAATGCCAAGCATACAACATTAGTGCTCAGACCCCTCAAAAGCCTAGTTCCTATCTAAAGTATATACCCCATAATCGACGACGGCATCTTCTGGATTCCATCCAACATACTGTCCAAAAAATCGTGTAAGTTTTTTCATGAACCTATCGTGGTCATTGGCAAAAAGAAAAATCGCTTACATCTGGGGATGAAATTTTCACATGCTTAATGTTATCGAGGACAATGTCAGGTTTGTTACAAACAAACTCTGCAGGACAAACAACATGTCAATCCGCCGCTTCTGTTTGGCATTCCTTTCACCATATGCTTACCAATAAATAAAGGCTAACAGTCCCACCATGCACCAGTCAATAAGTAAAAAGTATGGCCACGAGGTCGTTCAATGTATTTATACTTACATGGATATCATGTGCTAGCAATTTGTCATTAAGTTCTCGACGTCGGCTTTCCTTGATATTATTGCCATCATATATGGCGAGCTGTCCGCCGTCTGTAAGCCATGCAATCATATCGTCCAAGCATTCGTCTGAAATTTGTTCTCGAATGCGGGCCGCTTCCACATTACCTACATGCCCATGGCGTCAAACGACTGCCACCAGAATGACGGTCATGGCCATATTGTGTACTTACTATCATCGAACCAATCCTCCGGCATGGACCCAAATCGTTCTCGACGGTAGTTGCCAACACTAAAAACTTTGGTGGCTACGCCCATCCATCGCATGTACCGACAAAGCGATCGGGAAGAATGAGTTTTGCCTCGAGCAGGAAGACTAGAAATCTCGGCAATGAACAAACATGGCATTTCTGACAGGAGCCGTGCGCGAGTTTTTGCTACTTTACCCTACAGTAATGACGGCAACCGCGCCGGCATGGAAAAGACGACCGCTGGATGTTTTGTACAGTTGAGCAGCCATGACAATGAAAAAGAATGAGAAACGGGGAACCAAGGGGACTAGAGCATCGACATTCGACTTTGCAGGCGGGATGAGAATATCAAATTTCCGCTTGTTTGAGATTCAGCAAACAGTGTTTTCCATGGATCAAAGTGCTGGCGGAGAACCGATCTCTGAGACTAGCATGATCAAAGGTAATAAAGCTAACTTGAGGATTGCACTACAATTATACAAGCTTGGCACCTATTCAACAAAAACTATCATTTTGGGATGACGTCTAACATATCATGGCTGGAACCATTCACACGGTCCGATGAAAACGTCAACATGCTCACTTGAAAACCAGGAAGCGTCGCAGGCTTGACAGCTGGGAGGTCTAGTTGGAGTAATCTTTTTTTATGGACAAGATGTCTGATCGGTCTATAATAATGTGTTACATCCCATTTTTAGTAATCATGGTGGAGAAAATGTTGAACAGTGACACAACAAGCCGTCTAAAGACGGGGGGGTCAGCCGATCACCCGACCGCTTCTAATTTGCAGTGAATAGTCCAATGTTATGATGCATAAAAATGCACACAAATTTAGGATGCTGCTTATTTGAGGGATTAAAAACAACGAATGGCAAAAAAGAAGCAACCAAAGATGATTCAAAGATTGCAACCCAAGCAGGCAAGGCATGGCGGAATCCGTTTTTTTCTCAATGCTCTTAACGAGACTCGTGGCTCGGTTTTATTAAAAGTTTCCTCATGAGAGATAAAAAAGCAAATAAGCAGTTTAGAGTGAAATAACACTTGCGCCAGTATAAAACATTAGCTGACGAAAGGTGATGATGGGGGAATATGTTGCTGTGATAAATGAATGAGGACCCAACGATGCGGTAGCTACTAATACCATCCTAGTAACTTCCACCAGCCCATGCCCAAAGTAAAATACACCGTCAAGTAGAAAACGGCCATTTGCGCTCCGATGATGAACCATTTGGACCGACTAATGTAGCCGGGCGCATAGTACATAGCCGCCGTTCCTGAATCCACGCCTTCATCAGTACACCTTACTCTGCTTTGTCTTTTTTTTTTTCGAGACTTACCAGTGGAAAAATTAGTCTAGAACGCCATCGAAAAAAAAAGAGAGAGTAATCTGATGAGCCGACCATTCCAAATAAAAAATACACAAAAAACAACAGTCTACAGTACCATGCAACCACCAAGAGCGCCAAAATAGGCGAGAAGCGCCGTGAGAACCATGGGCTGTGCACCCAATGCATGACCTGCATCCAAAAAGGTGCCGACAAAAGCGACGGTGTGCGCACTGAGGGAGGAGAACATAAATGTAGTCAAGAAGTAAGCCAATGCCAAGCACGGTACAGGCGGTAAGCCGAGGTCATTGATGGTTTGTGAGATTTTTTGACCGAGGAACGACGAAGCCCCGGCTTCAGATAATTGTTGAGCAATCGTAACAAATCCACCTAACCAGAAAAGCGTATCCCACTACAGGAAAAAAAAAGCAACAGGGTACATCACATGACCGCATGAGGACCCTAATCATTCGACAAGAACAAAAGAGAAAATGCAGGGCCAAAATAAAAACATAGGCGCACGCACGCCTCCCTCCCCCCAAAAGAAAATAAAATAAAAAAGCAAGGCAATTCACTTACAGCGTGGGTATTATTGGAAATATCTTTCCACGTAATGGTGCCCATATGCAATAAGGCGACCAGGCCAATCAATGCCACGAGCGTCGAGTCCAGTTTGGTATAACTGGCTGTAATCCACAATCCAAGGCACATAAATAATACTGCACATAATTGCTACATTTTCCAAATGGTGAGAAAATTTGGAAATAATTGTCTTCCCCTTTTGTGACCATTCGTCATTGGGCCGAGGGAGGAGGGGAAAGATGGAAGGAACCCAAGAAAAAAAAAAGGATCTTTTACCCATTCGCGAAGTGACATGGGTCCCATGCGCGCCAGTTGAGCTTCGGCGTGTTTGATAACATTATCACTTGAAGCTCTTGATTGAGGTGTAGTCTTGGACAAACCGCAAGCGTATTGGAGGATGAAAGGGATACACAACGCACAGAACAGGGCGGGGACAATACTGCCTTGAATCCAGGTGACAAACGAAAAGTTCAGATCCGGAAATAACTGGTTGGCTTTGGCGACCACGATCGGATTAGGTGCCATGCCTAAAAATAGACATATGTATGTGAGTGTGGCGAGGTAACGAGTTATTTTGAAGAGGAAGAAAATGACCTGTCAAGTACATAGAAGCCGAAAGGAAGTTGGTATGGGCGCCTACCAGCATGAGGAATCCACCCACCAGAGGATCTTGTGACGGAGTGGACCCCAGACTACGTGCAATGGATAAGACGACCGGAAGCACAATGCCGCCACCCCGCGCGGTATTGCTGGGGACAAACGGGGCCAACAGTAATTCTACAAAATTGAACAATGGAAAAAAATATGTATCGGTATAAGCACACCATACTCGCTGGGGATGGGATGTATACCGGACAAAACAATAGCGTAGGCTAACCCCATGATACGACGACCGAAATGGCGGATCATTAACAATGATAATCGACGTCCGAGTTGAGTCACTTCGACGGCTTTCCCGAGATGGAAGGCGGCAAAGATGAGCCACACCACCGAACTGCTAAATCCTTCGAGCGAGTGAAGAAACGCCTCTTTTCCGCCCTTGCAATCATACATTTCTCCTGTCAAGGGGTTTGGTTCGCCGCACAGTCGACATTCGGTCCCTTGGCCAGTAGCATGATCGATACATTGAAAAGAATGAGTGACCGATAGAAGCGTCAGCGCCGTTAGAACGAGAAGTGAAATATCGACCGAGGTGGTAATCAAGGCAAAAATACAACTACTCAAACAGTGAGATGGACGGATAAAATCAAATCGTCATCCTCACGCTTTTTTTTTCTCCCAACCAAGGCGTGAGCCAAATGATCTTTCGTTTTTTTTGTTACCTGACGAATACAGCTAAAAGATGGATGGCGGTCACTGAAAGCTCATCGGTCGGTGTGATACCAAACCAAATGACCACACCGAGAAATACAGAGGGTAATAATTTAACAGCTTGACTGGTTTTCAACATGTCCCAGATCGAGCCTTATAAATAAAACAAAAAAAAAAATAGATGCATCCAGGGCAACCCGTATATCAATAACGTTGTTGGCATGAAAACATGCATCGTTGGATAAAAAAAATCCAACAGAAAAAAGTATACAAGATAGTTACGTTGGGGTGTGCCTGGTGAATGGCCTAATAAATAAGAATGTTCATCGGCCGCATCGAAATCTACTGTATGATGAATATGGGTCGACGGTCCGACAGGAGGATGGCTCATGGATTCAACCATGACAGAACGGAAAGGTAAGGAAAAAATAATAAAAAAGAATAAAAAAAGCTCCCCAAGCTGCTAAGAAAGTAAAGAAAGAAAAGAGCAGAGATGACAAGAGAGAAGGAATGATAAAGTAGCTATAATCAATGGCTCATCAGAGATCCTTTTATATGAAATGACTGGTGGATTCGTCGTCTTATTTTTTTGTTTTTACTAAAAGCGTCGATTTATTAAGATTTTTTAAAGGAAAAAATGACAAAACTGACTTTTGACCTATCAATATCGGAGTTGGAATGGGCGTGATTGGGTGAAAAAAAAAAGTGAGAAGCATATTCATTAGGATGTCAATGGGTTTTGTTGCTCCCCCATCTCCCTGTGTTCTTTTCTGATTTCGTAATGTGATGCAGTTTCGTGACAAACTCAACTGAGCTAGAAAAATACAGATTTCAGTAGAAGGAGGATGGGTGAAACTCGTGATTTATCATTCTTTCCCTTTAGGTTCTGGCCCTTTTTTTTTTTCAGTCCTCTCTCGAGACAAAGTGAACCTGCCGCAAATGAGCAAATAGTGTATGTGGATGGTTCTTTCTTGTCTTGGATGAACCCCCTTTTTCGCTTAAATATCTCATCCCTGAAATACCGTGAATCTTTTTTTTTTTTTTTTTGGTGCATTGCATCGATTTGAATTGGCCATTCACATATCACAGTTGTCTCGAGTTGGGTTAGACTGTTTTTAACATCCCATTTTCATTCATCTGCTTGTCGCTTTCGTAAGAACTCCCTTTGCTTTTTCACATCTCTCTCCTCTTCTTGAAAGTCCCCCCCCCCAACCTCCCCTCCATGGTTGATCTGCACACCATTCTTTTCTTTCTTACTTTCTTTTTAACTGACATATGCAGGTGATGTCACCCATGTGTTGCTCATATTTGCAGCATGTTCGTCAGGAATAGGAGGGAGTGACATTCGTTCTTAGTCTAGACATCATTTTCATGGTTCTTTCCCTGATGTTGACTGCATGTCAAAAAAAAGGAATAAAACAATTACGCCACTCGGCCCTTCATGTTTTTAGCCTATGATGCCATCCGGTTCGTTGTTGTTCCTGTGTCACCGCCTGTTGAGCAAATGGGCTTTCAGTTGACCCGACAAAGTGGAGACATGTTACACACCCAATATTCATTTTTATCATGAGATCTTGGCTGTCACTGCCATTACCCCAGCGGATAAAGAACTTTAAAAAAACACCTATTCCAACCAGCCTCCTTACTTTTTTTCCAATCGCTTTATTGGTGATGGCCAACACCGCACCAATCTTTTTATGACTAAAAATTCCGGCCATGAATCTTGCCTCTGTATCGTAGCTTGCTCTTCAGTGATGATCTCATGTTTTTTTTTATATATATTATAAGGGTGCTTACAAAGATGCCGTCGTCTTCAGATATACGGTGTGAGCCATTTTGCCATAGGTTGTGTTACGTAAGAATTACTGACAAAAAGGTATGGGAGGTATCCAAAAGAAACCTTGTGTGAATTATGCACTCATCGGGATAAATTTTCCCATGTTTAGTCGAGCTGGAGAAATGACCGATTTCGATTTTCTACCTCCAAAGGATGACATTGGTCAGCAACAACAGGTCAAAGTAAATTGTCTCGCACGCACATCTTTCTACGTGTCCCGGCCCCCCACGTCATCTCCAACTTGCTCTTTTGAAAGGAATACATACATGGAACTATTTGAGATGATGAAACCCTTTGGAACCATGGCTCAGTGGACATCACATCAGAACTTGACAAGTGTGCAAACGTCAGGTGGTCATCTAGTAGGCAATTGAGCGATCATGGCCCACGCGCAACGTCATCTTTTTTATCGCAAATCAGCAGGTTGGATCGGGATACTGCATTTTTTTTTTTCCATGTGTCAATGACGTGTTATACAAGAGTTTATGCCAGAACACACTGGCACCCAACTCTCTGGATTGAGATCCATGTCAAAGACGCATTTTAGCTCCACCCACTTAATATAGCTGCGATGAATGGATCACTCTGGTATACCTTGTAAAAGTGTAGTTGACGGTCCTTGTGCCGATATTGGGGTGAAAAACAGAAAGCTTTTTCGCAGCCAAATAGGGTGGTATGCACACATGTCCAAACTGGATGTTTAACTACCTAGTAATGCATTCTGGTCACATCATGTAAATTAGAATCGGTTTAAAGAATCGACCGCCAACCTATGATAGACCCTCATTATTCGAACCCGTCATGCTCATCCTATAAATTATCACATGCATTGCAAGCGATCTATAAATACTTTGATCATCATATGCAGGAGAGGCCACGATGTTACCTCACAGATCCATTTGCTTGATCATCGTACTGCCCACCAAGAAAGAAGAAGCCATTCATCAAAGCGTAGCTTCATCACACTCATATATGACTTGCGAGATGCATCTTTATTAACGCAATCGGTTGATGAAGAGGAGGAGGAGCATCAGTGGGGACCTATCGGATTCGTAAAATGCTCTGACATGAGACCATCTGAAAATTCTTTGGTCCGCATCAAAAGTGCTTGTTTTCTTTTTCGTAGACATATTGCCAGTCTTGCCGTTTCTCAAATTGAGTTAAATGACATGTACCAGACAACTCTGATATTCGATCCTTTTTTGATTCCGAAAAGTTGCTTGATCCAGACAAAAGACACTACAGATACTATTACGCTCTATGGGCATACAGTCATTATAAGCTTCAGATGTGCAAAAAAAAAAAAAAAAAGAATCAGAATAATGAACAAAGAATGCTACGTATCCCTTCTTTCTTTGGTGGTCCCATAGTCTAATTTAACGTTCTTAAAAGAAACACGCTGGAAGGTCCTTTTTCACTCTTGTTCTGCCGTTTTACATGAGGATATTGACATTATCAGTCACTGAAGGAAAAATATGAAGAACTATCAATATTTTGAATAGTCTACTTTTACAATAGTTTTATTGCTTTGGTAAGCTCTATACGATCGAATAGAATGACAAACAGTCCTTCGTAAAAGGAACGGCAAAACCCTGCTTCATTCTTTGTAATTTTTTTGTACAAGATAAAGCTCAAGAGTATAATAATTCTAGTAATTATCAAGAAACATGATCCTTATTTTCCTTATCACAAAGCTGATAATATTTGCAAGCTGCGTCTGATGTTCCTGGACTGAACCTCGTCGCCCTCTTCCCCCTCACTCTCTGATCGCCAAAAAAGGAATCAAATTTTAACTCCGCGATTTTTCCGCAGTCCCCCCTTGGGACCGTAAACAAAAAAGCCAAAGTGACGGATTCTGAAGCTTTTTCGATTATCATCCTTGAACACTGTCATGTCATCGCCTGCGCCTGCACGACTGGCCCAATTGGCCCAGCTTTCTTGCAAAGTGTTTGAGAATGTCTATAACCCTACGGCTGTACGTACCGGCAACAAAATCTTGCGCCAACGTCTTGTTGGCCCCACATTCACACAATACCATCCCAAACAACTTGTCCACTTCCGTGACATCAAAGCCTTGTTCCCCGAATTAAATCTCATCAATACCGAAGAAAAGGAACGATTAGACGAAATTGCACGAAGAAAGAGACGAGGCAAAGGAGCTCCCAAGAAAGGTAATCCAAGTTACTGGAATCGATGAGTGCTATATGTTTTCATTCCCTTTCCGATCACCTGTCACTCACACTCTTGTTTTTTAATCTGTCCAGGTCAAGGCAAACGTGCATCGAACAAGAAACGATAAACAGCCATCTTCATTTGTTTCCTTTCTCTTCAATAAACAATTTAGATCACGGTTATTTTTGTACAGTCATTCCTCCATCGACCGTTTGCTCTTTTTCTTCTTCTGTTCAATCCTTGTGGAATCCCCAACTACGGACTGAATGATATCAGTTTGACGCCAAGTATCCATGGTTTCAATGAGTATTGGAGAACAGAAAATGCATGGATATTCACACATGAGGCTTCTTTTTTTTTATTTTAAAAATATTTCTATGCCAGTCGACATTGTGTCTTGCCCAAAAAGGATCGGCAAGAGCGTCCCCTTTTTACTCTCTTCTTTTTTTCTGAATTTTTTTTTTTACATTATGAACAGTTTAGTAGCTTCGGCCAAACAACATGTAATGCTTAGCATCTTGACCGCAAGCAACACACTTGGTCTCGCCAGGAATGATGGGAGTATCGGTGGGTTGCTTGAAGGGCTTGCAAAGCGACTTGGCACCCATGGAAGGAGCACGTTCATCTTCTTCTTCACCTTCCATAGCACTAATCAAATCATTGTCAATATCCATTTGTTTTTTTACGCAGAACATATGATAAAACTTACGTTCTTGTTGATCGTTCCTTGATGTCATCTTCACAGTCCATGCGATCACACCAGGGGATCAAACAAAGCTTCTTGGCGTTCAACGTGGGGACAAAGTCTTCCCACTTGTTGACGCGGACAATCGACTCGTCCATCTTGGCCTTGGCCTTCTCGTACATTTCACGCTGCATCTTGTTCATGAGAGCCTGAACATCGGCTTCCAGGGTGTCCAAAGAAATGGCAACCTTTTCACCGTTATCACGACGCACCGCCGTGACTTGGTTGTTCTTGAGATCCTTGGGTCCCAATTCAAGACGGATGGGCACACCGCGGATTTCCCAGTGGTTGAATTTGAAGCCGGGGGTATAGTTGTCTCTCAAGTCAGTCTTGGATTTGATACCGGCCTTCTTCAAACGCTTGGCAATATCGGAACAGCTATCGTAGATGCGATCGAAATCTTCCTTGGTCGACTTGGCCGTCAAACCGCAAGGGATGACAACAGCCTGAACAAGCGCGACACGGGGAGGCAAGACGAGACCTTTGTCGTCACCGTGAACCATGACCATGACACCAATGGTACGGGTAGAGAGACCCCACGAGTTCTGCCACACGTGAAGTTTCTTGGCTTCCTCCGTAGCATTAGCAGCGGCATTGGGATCTTCCACGGTGATGTTGAACATCTTGCTAAAGTTTTGTCCCAAGCAGTGAGAAGTACCACCCTGGATAGCACGACCCGTGGTGGGAATGAAACCTTCCACGGTGGTAGTGTAGTAACCACCTGCGAATCGTTCCTTCTCCGACTTCATGCCCTTGACTACAGGTAAAGCCAACAAATCGTTGTACACCTGCTCGTACAAGTCCAAAATTTGATGCACTTCCTTATCCGCATCTTCCAAAGTCAAATGAGCCGTATGGCCTTCCTGCCACAAGAATTCACGCGTACGCAAGAAAGGCTCTAGAATATCACATAAAGACAGTGAGACCTTTTTGTTAACGACATTCAACCCGATTGACCGACTTACGGGGATTCTTGAATTCCCAACGAACGACGGAACACCATTGGTTGATACGGAAGGGGAGATCACGGTGAGAGCGAATCCACTTTGAGAAGTAAGGGTACATGACGGTTTCGGAAGTGGGACGAATAGCAATGGGTTCTTCAAGATCACTAGAACCGGCCTTGGTGACCCAAGCCACTTCAGGAGCGAAACCTTCAATGTGGTCCTTCTCACGCTGCAACACACGGTTGGAAACAAACATGGGGAAGTAAGTATCCTCCACACCCATCTCGGTGATCTCACCATCAAAGAAGTCTAATTCAATCCGTTAGCCCTTGCTCGTTGCACGAAAAAAGTCGTTTGTTATACATACTGGTGATTTCCTTCCAGACATTGTAAGCCAAAGGACGTAGAATGTAACAACCCGAGACGTCATAGTAATCCAACATTTCACTCTTGGTCAAGACTTGCTGGTACCATTTGGGGAAATCCACGTCCTTCTTGTACTCGATACCCATCTGATGAGCATCCTCCACCAAGGCCGAAGTTGCTACACAATTGAGAAAAGAAAAAGAAAACGTTTACATATCAATACCGCGTTTCGGGCCCATTCACGATTGGTATTTACCTTCTTTCTTTCCGGCATTCTTGGCAGCAGGTTTGGCAGCAGCGGGAGCAGGTTTAGATGCGGCCAAAGCCTTGAAATCAACTTCAACGGCTTCCTTGGAAAGAGACTGCAGATACTTTTGCAATTCTTCGACAGTGACAAAGATTGTTTTATCGGCGGCCGAAGGATGGAAAGCAAGAACGGTGGTAGCAGGAAGAGCGAGAAGAGCGGCATCGACCACCAAGTGAATCGAAGCAAGATCAGCCACATTGCTCAAAGCAAAAGGAGACACTGGAGAAAAAGAAAGAGCTTAGGGCTACTTCTGGGTTTCCGAGATACAAATGTGGGTTTGGTTACCTGCTTCCTTGGTGACGCCAAAAGTGCCTTGAAGAAGGTCTTCATTGGCAAATCGGCATTCCTTCAAACCGAGATGTTTGCCTAAAGCCGTAGCGTTGGTTTCGGTGGCATCCAAGGCAATGACAACGACGGGCGTGGGTGCGGCTGTTTTGGCTGTCTTGGGCTTAAGAATCAGGGTTTTGGTGAGCTGGAATGTCAGGTCGTTGGCAGCAGTAGACAAGACGGTGGACCAAGCTTTGTTGTCGGGAACGGACTCGTGCGACACGGTCTTTGGAGAAAGCGAAAGCTTGGAAAGAGTTTCCAGCACAGCGTCACAGCTAGCCATTGGAAGAATTTGAATGGAGCGAAAAAAAAAAAAAGGTAGATGTGGAAGGAAAATATAAGAGCTGAGAAATAAACTTTTTTTTTGTAGGAGGTATGTGGAGCACACCCAGCCAGAAAAAACAAAAAAATTTCAAAGCGGAGATCTAAATGGGATCTGCCCAACCTCGCACATCCTGTCAAAAAAAACACAACCCGCGAAAGGAAAAATCATAACCACCGCGCCCATTGGTGCATTCCATAAAGGGCATCCTTCCCCAAAGAATGAGTCACCCTTGTATGCTCAATATATTGTATACCAAAAGAAAACACACCACCTTTTTGCATTCATTATCCGTTATTCCTTCATGGGCCTATCAAAGAGGGACCAGCAATTAACGCGTCCTGTATTGTTCGCTATGATCTCAAAGGTCACCACATCCACAAACATTCTCAGTATTCCTTTGGCCATACTCGCTGAGAACATCTGGTAACCCATAGAGTGAATATTGGCTGCGGTGTAAGGGGCATCCATTGCTGTCTACAGTACTGCGGCCTCATTCATCCACATGATGAATGATGATTGGGCGGGGTGTCTCTACGCGACAAATCATAGTGCCTCGAGGTACATTAAAACTTTGACTTGCTCTTTTTGAGCTATAACCACATTTTGTCGTCTGTGAACAGAGATGCAGCATGAATTATCCTCCATTGATGAGAGAATCAGCGTTCGCAAAAGTATTAAATAGAAGGGATGATCCGAGCCATTATTTGATCCTGTTACATACAAGGAACAATTTATAAATTTTAAAAGTCGACGATGCAATGCAGTGCAGAGCAATGCAGTCAGAGTGAAGGAAAAGATGGCGGGATTTAGTGACTCGTTAAAATCCAGAAATTGTCCAGGGTACGTTCCTGAACGACCATTTGTGCTGCACGTTTCCGTCGGCGGGCCGTGGATCCATTGGCTGAATTAGGTGGGGGGTCGGCAGGGTGTCGATTCGGTGGAGGTTGCGTCGGATCCAGTGGTTCCTGTCCCGCGCAACCGCGTCCTTCTCCTTCTTCGTTTTCCTCTTCATCCTCTTGCTCGGTTTCGTGAGCCTCATCCACGGTGTAGTGCGGTAATCGTTCTCCGTCACGGGTCACACTATGGTACGAAGGCAAACCGTCGGCATTGTTATCCAATAGTGTGATTTGGCGAGTCACTGCAAAGGGTAAGCCGATGCAAATGGGCGGGATCACGGTCCGTTCATCCAAATCGTAATAAATCAGCACGCGAATGTAATGTCGAATTTGTAAAAAGGGGGATTCCAGCGAATAAGTCAATCGTCCTCTGGTAATGGTGCTCTTGATGTCGGGCATTAAATAGAAATGGTCGTCGTGAATGGTCGGCTGCAGTGGCACGGATTTCACTCGTCGTAATCGGTATTTGGTAGTATCTAGGATCGTCTGAAGAGGGAATGAAAAAGCAATCGATGTATTGAGAGGCGGATGCAGGTATATAGAAGGTTGGTTGGAACACACAATTAAATGCCGTTTGGTGCCTTGAAACTCGTCATCACTATATAACAAAAACCATGGCCCCCAATTGAATTCAGAGCTTTGTTTCCCCCCCAAAAAAAAAGGTACGATCTCCAGGGTGGAGCTTACCTTATATCGTAGCGATACAGTTCTTCCTGAATGACGTCGACTTCGATTCTTGTGATTTCCAAAGGCACGTCTGCGAGACTTTGCAGGTTGCCCACGAATTCGATGCCCGCATCATTTTCGAGGCACACCCAAGTGGGCACTTTGAATTCCCATTTCATGTTGGCCGGTCGTTCACCGTGCATGATGACTTTGGGAACCTGGTAACCGAGGGTTTGACCCTGAGCCACATGTTTGGGTAACAGCGTTTTATGAATTTGCACGGGTCGCTCAATATGGGTCTCCTTTGCAAATTTCCCGCATCCCAGGATCTTGGCCGTGATGAGATATTGGATCTCCAAGAACTCCGATTTGAAACTGGGACACAAGTACCCAGGAATCGTTACTTCGAAACCTGCCATCACCATGTCGACAAAAGGACGTGAATATGATTTGTGTCTTTCGGGTCATCCATTTACCTTGTTCCAATTTTTTTTCCTAACCTAAATCCGTGACACCAGCAGGTAGTGTTGCATCTTGGAGGAGAATGCTTTTTGATTTGCGTAACGTTTTCCAGGCGTGCATTTTCTGAGCGATAAAGTGGGCTTTTAAAGGATCGCGCCAAGTGAGATGAGAGTGACCTTTAAACTTGATCTCGATGGACTGAAGTTTGGTCGGTCGTGAAGCCACGAGTCTTAGTTTTCCCCGTACTTTTTGTCGTTTTGGATAACTGCAGTGTTTCTCTTGCATAGGACCAAAAAACTGTACCGTTTCTGGGAAAAATAGATCCACCGCAATAAGTTTCTTGGTCATCGTTGCATTGAAATGAAGGAAAAAAGGGAATCAGGCACAACAGGAGGACGGTGAAAAGGAAAAAAAGAAGAAAGAGAAAAAATAGAAGTAGCGAGTTAAGTTGAACACGTGAAGACGCACAAGAAAAAAAAAAAGAGAGAGAAAAGAAAGATAAGCAAAGACAAGGGAAGCAAAATAAAAAGAAAAAGGGTGTTTGCACAGAGAGAAAAAAAGAGTAGCGTGTCACAAAGCGAAATGACAAGAGAAAGGTTTGAGTTGTATGAGCAAAAACTATTCCTTGTGCGTGCGGCCCCGCTATTCTCTCTCTCTCTCTTAACCGTGCGGAGGATCAAACTTCATTTCTCATCCTTGTTATTTTTTCGGAATCCCAATTTCCCGTGCCCCGCTGTCCATTGTTCATATCTTTGCCCGCTCCTCCCCCCCCTTTTTCTCCCCTTTTGGGCCTTTTTTTTTCATTCTACTTACACTGTCAGTTAGCCTTCTTTATCGGTCATGGATGAACACGAACACGGTCATGAACATGCCAGTGGCATGGGTCACAGTCATAACCTAGATCCCGCCTTATTCTCGGAGTACGCCGCCACCAACGAACCCATCGGCACCATCATGACGCTTCACATGGTATCCATGATTGCCGGTATATCCTAGGCTACAGCATAATCAAAAAAAAGTTACGCACGGTCCTAAACATTTAATTTTTTGCATAGCTTTTGGATTCATGTATCCACTCGGCCTGGTACTTGGGTTGGTGAAAAACAAATGGCATGTCCCTGTCCAGATCCTGGCCACTGCTACCTTTGTAGCCGGATACTTTCTTGCGCACGCGCATTCAGGACGCAACTATGTAATGATGAAAAACAGCATGGCAAGGCTCCGTTGTGTATACTTACGCACGTTCTTTTATTCCCCCTAGGAACCTCATATTGCTCATCGCTGGTTTGCTTACATTGTGATTTGGGCCATCGTTATCCAGTTCTGCGCCGGTGTTTACCTGAAACTGCACTTGGAAAAAGGAATCCATGGCCGTATTCGACCGGCATTCAAATTATTGCATCGCTACTGTGGTATCTCTGTGCCTATTGTAGGTTATGTCCAAATCATGCTTGGCGTCATTGCCAGTCTCGGATTTTGTTACGGAGGTAATCGCCCGGAAGAGAAAAAAAAAAGTGAGGGCACAAAAAAAAAGATGCTAAAACCCACCAACATTCATAGACCACACGGGACAATGTCTGGCCCATTTTATCATGGGATCATCGTTTGTCGCTTACGGCATCTTGTTATTGTTATCGTTGCGTGTGGGTGGGCCCTGGTTACTTCGGCAACAAAAAAGCCCCGAATGGTACGATAGCTGGGTTATCATGCTTTGGGGTATCGTCAATACATTTACCGAACATCGGTAAGCACCCATCCAATGGCCTAATAATGGTAATTACTTATCGAGAATTCGAAAAGATGGGGTCAGGAATGGAATCACGGCGACTATCAGCACACATCCATGGGTATCATCTGGTGGATCGCTGGTATGGTGGGCATCGTGTTGAGCCGAAACGGTAAACGTACGGTCGTACCAGCCGTATTGATTATTTTGACGGCCGTGGCTTTCCAGGTGGGACAAAGACGGAAAAAAAAAAGTTGGCAATATACTGATTCAGACGTTTAGGGCCACGCGCAGCACGTTCCTAACAGCGGCCAGATCCATTCATACTTTGGCTACATGTTGATGGCCGGTGGACTCAGCCGTATCATTGAAATTTGCTTTGTCTGGAAAGAAGGCGATTTTAGCATTACCCCTTGGCAATATCTGCCACCTTTGGTAAGTCATCATGATTGTATTAAGTGACATGGGACTGACAATGGTATTTTCCTTCTTTGTCCAGACATTGATGCTCTCTGGAATGCTTTTTATGGGATCGACAGAGGAACAGTTGGGTTATCTGTCGATAATTGGTGTCGACATCAGTTCGTACAGCAACATTTTACTATCGTTTGGTTTTGCCGTCTTCTTATGGTCGTTTTTGCTCATTGCACTGTGGGAAAGACTGTCGAATTATGATCCTTCCACGGCCTCCCGACAAGGCTACACCGAAGTGGCCCGTCAACAGCAAGATGAAGAAGACCGCCACATCAACACCTTGCTGCATGATAACGGCTCTGGATTCCTCGACGACGATGAATTTGATGACGATGCCGTTCAACTCAAACCTCGAAGCCAAGGCCCTGCTTTATAAAGCACTCGCGCAATCTACGATTTTTTTTCTCCAAGATTTCCCTATTTTTTTCATTGCACACACGCTTCGCTTTCTCTATTTATACACACGTCATTCGCCAGTACACTAACATCCATTTCGGCAAATCATCTTTTTCCACTTTTAATAATATCAGTTGATGCTTTGTGATTCAAACAGAAAAAAGCGTATACGGACAGTTGAGACAGGGGAATTGCGATGGCAAATGTTTCAATGTCCAAAATAGGAAAGAGGAAGACTATCGGCCAAAGCGGGGCTTTTCGGCTATGCGGCCGCAGTCGAGATGTTGAAACAGTTGAAAAAAAACCAAGTCTTTTTATAAGCTCAAGAGAGCCAACCCGTTTCATTCTATTTATTCTACTCTTCTACTTGTACTCTATTTCATTAACGAATGTATTTCTACGCTTTGAAGCAACGAGTTGACGACGACAGCGAATCGCTTCCTTTCAAATACACAAGCATCATCGACTTGTTCCTTGCTCTAATGGAATGCTGAAAGTTGTCCCACCGCCGCAAACCCCCGCCCGCCTGTAAACGACTCACGCTCGAGCCATCCCAACTTCCCTCTGTCTTTTTGTTTTTCTTGCAGTACTGTTCCGTATCATACCAACCATTCAACACCAGGTCATGGAAATTTACGCAAACCGGTGCAGTCAAGAGTGTGCTGTTTATTGCCTTATATCTAAACTGCATAAACTGGTATTCATTTGCACTATCAACTTTTTATCATACAAACTGTAAAAAATAACTCCTAAACCTACTGTATAAATTCAAGCATGTCATCTTTTTCTTTTTCTCATCATTCATTCTTATTACATTTACTTCATCCAATAAACGCAACATACAAAAAAAAAAAGAAAAAGTCACCAAAACATCTGCGGTATTCTTTGTTTTTTGTCCCAAAAGAATTTTATTATTCTTTAGTTTGGGATTCCAACTTTTTTGCTTTTTTGGTTATCCTCCAATGCATGCTGAAAATGAACCACCACCCTCAACGTCGCCATGTGTTAGCATTACCTACGTCAAAGAGCAATTGGTGAAAGCCATGGACCTGAGTGATACACTTTGCAGCTCGCTGACAAACACGAACCAAGAACAACCATCGGAAACCGCCAGCAATACCAGTGAAGCGACTATTCCTGCTGACGTACAAGCATCTCTGGTAAACACGCTTCTCGAAATTGACAAACCCCCAACCGCAATGGCTGTAGCTCAATCCAATTCCGTCCTTTTTTTTTTTTTTTGCTAGCTGGCATTGGAGGACATTGTCCGTCAGTTGGACCACTCAGAGTACCTTGATCGCATTGCCGTCAAGCTGAAAAGGCTGAACAAACACAAGGCAAGTCAACGTTTTAAATTATTCACCCATAACGGTCCCGACTGATAAAATGCGCTGTAGGCTTGGCGGAAACGGCATATCAAGACATTACAGCGCAAACGTGACGAAAGACAACGACGTTTGAAAAAGCTTCAGAAAGAATTGGACTGCTGGCGTATCGAGAACATGAATGAAAACGAAATCCGCAAAAAGGTAGACCAAAATGACATTTATTTTCTCGTCTACTCCATTTGCTGATCTTTTTTTTTTTTTGAACTCCAAAAAAAGCAACAACAAGACAAACAGCAGCAGGAAGAACGAGAAAAACAGAAGCGCAATAGTACCCATGCGAGGATCAAGGAGCTTTCACGTCTTTTGCAACGATTGACGCAGTTGCGCGATCTAAGACGGAAAAGGCTAGAAAGCAAAGGTAAGAAACGCGAACCGCAAATACGAGAACAACAATGACTGAACGCGTAGGTTTGCAGGCCGCTTTTTTGCCGATCAAGGCAACGCCTTCTTTAACAAGGTCAAAGCATGGCACGATGCCGAGGCGCAAAAGACGGAAGAAGAAAAACCTTGGGTAGACGACGACCACTCAACATCTCCATTGACTATTGACCCGCTGGATCATTGGACCGACGCCCCATTGGATGAGTCCGCCTACCGATACTGGAGGCAAGCATTTCAACATCCAGACAGTTTACGTCGCGTACGCAAGCATTGGGATCAATATTTAATCCATGATGATCACCAAGATCCCAATAGCATTTCGTCCCTTGAACAAAAGATACCACCTACGTGGGTAACTCCTTCCCCTCCTGCCAACTGGATTTGGGCATCCTGCCTTGTCTGATGGTACACCTTTTTTGCATACAACAACCTTGTACTTTATATACTTTCATTTTCTATTATTTACATCATTCCATCATCCTGTCTGTATCCATCCGCTAATGTGATTAAAGTCTCCTTCATCTCTGCATAATCCTCGGATCCAAACCCGTAGTCGCCTTCTGCGTATTCAAAATGGTCCTTGAAAGAGATGCCCTTCAATGACTGAACCATGTCTTCAACTACAGCACCCAAACGGTCTCCATTATACAGTCGAGATAATGCAGGCACTGAGTGAGGTGGCATCAATGATTTCGTGGATTCACTGCAAAAAAAAAAAATCAATGGGTGATCAATCCATGCCATGTACTTTGTGTGTCTTCTTACATCAAACCATCGGCACCAATAGACGAATCAAAGAACCGAGGGAAGGATTCGGCAATCGGATAAGGTGCGTCAATAACCGATCGATAGTGAAAAGGGGAATGCTCATGCTTGAAACTCGAGCATGCCTGTTCAATATTGTCCTCGTAATCCATTCTGTTACCTCTAGTCAGTAGATCTGGCACAGAAAGACTTATTTGGTATATACCTTGAGTTTGGAATGCCACGAAGGACGACAACTTCTCCCGTAACATCTTCACGCATCTGTTGTTGGGGAGCTTGGATCGTAAGGTCAAGCAAGCAAGGGTCGAGTGTGGCCTTGTTGGCTTGTTCCTGTACAGGCACAGGTAAAGACACTGTGAGGCCAGCTAACCGTGTCGGTTGTTGGCGGTTGAGCAACGCTATACTGTCGGTTAACGATAATCCATTCTTTTTCAATCGGTAGGGTAAAGAAGCGGTTTCAATGGCGGCAGAGAGAATGGCGCTTGTATGGTACAGGGATTCACACTAGAGAGGGTCGTCATCAACAGGCTAGACATCTTACTGAATGGAATGGGGGAGCTAGCTTACATTGGCATGCAAATAAGGACTGTTGATTCGTTGGGGCGTTCTTAGCGGGACGTACAGAGAAGAGAGAGGGGATAATCGAGCCAGACTAAAGGCATGACTCAGGGCTTTCTTCTGACGGGCTCGCTAGTAGATTCATGTCAATAGGGTTCCTTTTTGCGAATATACGAAAAAAACTCACATCGGAAGAAGGAGTATTGGAGGATATACCATAGGTAAGTATGGCAAGTTTCGGGAATTCATCTCGAATATCTTGCAGCAATCCTTCTGCGAATCCACCAAACGCGTCATCGATCCCCGTAAGTAATTGGAAACCTTGGAGCTGGTCGCATTCTTCGGCAAAGAAGCGGAAATTATCATCAAAAATGTCGGTTTCCTTTTCATTATCGTCATACGCTTGGCGTCCCGCAGAGTAGACATTGAAAGGATGTAAAGGGTTTTCTGCAGTATGCGTCTGAATTGTGTTAACTGAACGAGGATGGTAAAAGATGCGATTATAATCGGACCACGTGGTCACTGTGGTATCCAGCATTTGCGCGGCCACATCTAGATCCATAGCGTTGCTTGTATTCTATTTTCTCATCATTATCATGAATATTCAGACAGTTCATCAACACTCTTTTTGTAGGCTCAAACCTCGTCTAATCGATCTAATTCCTGCTGATATCGATTCTTCTCCCTCACATCCGTGGCGACGGCGTTGATCCCATTTTCCCTAGAAAAAGCAGACGATATTTTCGAATCACCTAGAGTTTAAAAGAATAACCCGAAGCAGCAGTCTCTTACCATGGCACCTGATCGGCCTCGTTTGCTTCGCCGATGAAAAGCTTGTTGTATTTCTGCAACGATCCAAAGGCGCCTTTCAGATCGTAAATGAGGACACGCGGAGTATACGTCTCCATTCCCTTTATCAACCAGCGTTTGCATCAATATCCAGCCCAGTTATGCCGCCACATTAAATCACTTACATTCGGGGTCAAGCCAACTCGATAAAGGATATCATGATTGATTTCCTTGGGCTTATTATCACCATTGCCGTAATCGAAATACTCTTCCTAACATGAAAAGAAGCGGGGGTATTAAGCGATTGACGATGTAAAAAGTTGACCAAGAGTTTTACCTGAGCATTCCAAAAGTGAGTTCCAACAAAATTGGCTGCTTGGCCTAATTGTAAGGTAATAATTTCACGCATGGGGACCAACACGATGAACAGAGCAAAAAGGCAGTTTCAATGGCAGCTGGCCAGGCACACAAGTGACTTGTTTCCCTCAAGTTCTCTTTTTCATGAAGTGCAAACCCTTCCTATCTTATTCGTCTTTTTTGTTTCATCAAAAAAAAAATATAAAAGCGTGACAAAGCTTTGCTACAACAACAACTCTGCTACATCATGTATAGTACAATATTCTTGCTTCCTTCTTAATGACCGCTGTGTCTTTTTGCATATGCCCAACTGCGGAGTGGAGATGACCCATGGTATTGTTCGTGTCAGTAAGGATCAAAACTGGACAAAAGAAGAGTGGGGTGGATCAAGAACCATTCGATCCAACAGAAAAACCGTTTCCTCGAGATTAAAAAGTTATCGTCGTCTTTTGTGCCGTCTCGCATCCGCCGTCTCAGATGGATTGTATTGGGAGCTGTAGCGTCCTGCTGATTCTGGCTTCGGCTCCGGCTCAGTAATGCCAAATACCATACTTCTTGCTCGTGCTCGTTCCTTGCGTTCGCGTTCCAGACGCTGAGCACGCAAAGCTTCAATGGAGGAGGAGGACGATGAAGGCGAAGAAGATTTGTCCTAGATACACGTCCATTAGTAGATCTGCCACACGCAGAGATTACTATCTATTGGTCGCATCTTTTACCTCGCTCTTTTTCTTCTTCTTATCCTTCTCTTTATATTCTTTGTGAGAGTGCTTATCTTTTTTAGCCAAATGGTGACGCACAGTGGCCAAAGGATCTTCGCTAATTTTCACCGGCTCTCTTCGTCTAAAATGCATGAAATGCCATATTCATAAGACCGCTAACCTTGCTTGCTAATCCATGCAAAAAAAAAAAAAAAAAAGTACCTTTTCTTCGGATTGTTTTCATGACGAACATATCGCCTTACATGTTTATCAATGTATTTTTCATCTTCCTTGGGTCGACCTGCATACCAGGGAGTATCGGTATCTATTTCAATCACCCATCAATGAGACTATTCAATGGCTCTCTCAAAATTGTACCAGGCTCACCTTTCACGTCTTTATCGAGATACATGGTAATCTGTCGATTCCATTTTTCATCCTTGGCTTTTTCTTCTGCTTTGCGTTCTTCATTTTCCGCATTCTGTCGTAGCTGTGAGTCATACTGCACAGACAATACATCACTTTCATCGGATCAGAAATGCCTACCGTTTCCAGATCATCAAACAATCGGAAACCTGCTGTGGATGAAGCAGGAACCAAAGCTGCATCGTCACTGCTCTGTCTCCCCGTTGCACGATGTCGTAATAATTCTAATCGAGCTTCACTTTCCTATTTTAACTCCATTGGTTAAATTAACTACCAGCTGACGATGCTGTGCAGACACTTACTGCTTTTATGACTCGATCCCGTTTAGCATCTTCTTCTTGTTTCGCTTTAGCCTCGTCCTTTCGGACCTTTTCAATGTTTTTCCTGTTGTAGACATGCCAGCTAAAAACAATAACGGTTGGAATATCAGTGTCTCACGAAAAGGATTAGTGTTGCAAATACCTTTTGTGAGGCAAGATATTCATGATCAGAAGCAAGCAAGATGAATGAATTTGGCAGGTTTCCACACTCTGCGGGAAGTAAAGTGCCGGTCCCGCTTTACAGAAACAAGGTCAGCGATTCATGAGGAATCAGGTGTGGGCAACGCGATTTGCACCAAGCCCAAATGAATGTTGCATTTTCTTACTCCGCACCGCCCATTTGATGAAAAAATAAGTTTCGCTCTTGTGCCTCTTTTTTATTTTTTTCTCTTTCTTTTTTCTCTTCTCACTCACCAAACGAACTCGTTTGCTTATCACACCTTATTACCATGGAAAAGTTTAGAGAGGTAACCACCGGTGCCACCGGTAGGGGGATAACATGAAGGGTTCTTTGTTCTGAAACTGTTCGTTACTTAGAAAATGACCACCTTGCGTGCCGAAGCTGAGGCCGCCACCAAGCGTGTGGAAGAGTTGGATATCAAAGTGACTCAGCTCCAGGAAGAACATGATGCTAAAGACAACGAGATTGCCGATCTTCAAGAACGAGCAAAGTTATTGGAAGAGCAACTTGAAAAAGCCGAAGCCGATCTCAAAGAAGCTAGCGCAAAGTAAGTTAGGACTGTAAAAACAAGGGGGGAGGGGAGACCTTTTTCTTTTCGTCGCCGTGGCTGCCTTGATGGCCATGATGACGCTTTCCCCATCTGAAGATGGTGTCTGGATTTATATCGTACACGTTGTGAGGTTGTTGCACGGTATGTATATTGACGCTTCTGTTTTATTCGCGACTAGTTACCGTGAGGCCGACTTGCGTTTTGAACAACTTGACAAGAAGACCGTCAAGCTTCAACAAGAGGTAGCCACGTGGGATAAGAAGAATGCAGAGTTGGAAACCAAGTACGAGGCTGCCAAGGCGGAGATGGAGGAATTTGAACAACAGCTCGAAGGTGTTTAAAGGACTTTTCAACAAGAGAAGTTTAATTTCACTGTCGGAAAAAGAAACCACAAACATACAAAGGCAAAATACACATGTCAGCATCTTTCCAACGTCCCCATTATTTCTTTGAGTAACAGTTCAGTGGACGACAAGTCTTCCTTTTTTATTATTGATGTGAAGTATAACACACAAAAAGGCGAAAAAAAAAACCATCAAGTGACAAAGCTTAGACAGGAACAGAGAGGTCGGGACCATTGCCCATGGGCACGACTTGGGTGGGGTTGATTTGACGGTGAGACATGTAATAGTGCTTTTTGATATGTTCCAAGTTGACGGTGCCAGCAACGTTGGGCATTTGATAGATCTTTCGTGCCCATTTCAGGATGTGAGGATAGTCCTTTTCGATGCCCTTGATGTTACATTTGAAGTGACCGTGATAAACAGGATCGAATCTGATGAGAAAAAAAAAAAAAGACAAGTCAGTTGATGATGAAATGATGGTTCCCTAATTTGTTTATATTGACGTTACCTCACAATGGTGGTCCACAAGCGAATATCAGCTTCTGTGAATCGCTTTCCGACCAAAAACTCGTTTTTGGAAAGTATCTCCTCCACACGATCCAGTGACTTGAACAGTGGCACCACATTCTTTTCGTCTAACAAAAAACAAAGGTGAGATACGGTTTATGGTGAACCAACAACACAAAAAGATAAGGACATACAGGCTTCTTGAGTTGTGGCAAAACCACTCTTGTAGACACCATTATTGATGTCGTTGTAGATCCAGTCATTAATCTCATCAATATCCTTTTGCAAATCTTCCGGATAGAACGTCAGAGCCTTTTTGTCTTCGGACAGGAACTTGTTGAAAGCGGTGTTGAACATGCGGATGATTTCCGAACTTTCGTTGTTCACTGTGAACATAACAAAAAATTGAGCATATTCGAGTCACAGTTTCTTTTTTTTTTTTTTACTTCTTACCAATGGTGTTGAGTTTCTTATCCCATAAAACGGGGACAGTGAATCGTCCTTCATAGTTTGGATTCACTTTGAAGTATAAATCGCGCAAGTAGCTGGCATGGTTGATATTGTCGGGGATGGCCCCAGGACACTCTTCGCTTGACGAAAATTTCCTAATTTGGACATCGTCAATGTTAAGACTTGTTTCTAAAAATAGATGGAAAAATAAGGCGCGCGATCGGTTACCATCCTTTATCGAGCATCAGATAGTCGACGGCAGATAAACCGATAAATTCGTCCAGACCCTTCAATGCACGGACAATCGCTGTACGGTGAGCCTATATCATTGCAGACGGGGGGTGAGCTTTTATGGTTATTCCTTCTCTGCACGAGGGAGCATAGAATTCATTTTTTTGTTGGCACTTACCCAAGGACACGCCCAGCTAATATAAAGGTGGTAACGGTCTCTGTTTCCATGGTATATTGTGGTCAGAGGGTTTTGTTTTTTTGGTTTTCTTTGGGAATAACGCAGCTTACTTTTCGGGTTGGAATTTGGCATCGGGTTGGTCGACAATGACATCGCGAAACACGGATTGCTGACGACGGAATTCGCCGTCTTTGCTGGCCCAGTTCAAGATATTGGTTTGAGGTTTGGTGTTTGTGGACATGGTTCTTACAAAAAGATGAAGTCTTGCAGAGAGAGTAAAGAGCGGACGAAGCAACATGCTCTTCTTTTTTAAAAGCCAGAATGGGGGATTTTCCTGCGATGGGGATGATGATTTTGAAATTGCGGGAAAAGAATTTCGACATGACACATCGATTTGTCAGATTTGTCATGCGGGTTTTTGGTTGTGACGGTTGAAAAAATGATTCACATTCACCAAGGCCACGCAACGTTTGGTCTGAAACCTGGTCAGAAAAAAGAGCACTGACCATGAAAGATTCCAAAAATCGTAAATCAGTGAGCCTGGGGGGAGAAGGGGATTTCCTGGAACTTCTTTTGCCCATCACACCATGTGGTGTGGTTGATCATCTTGATTTTAAGGTTCTTTACCATCAAGGCGGAAGCAACGGAATCCGCCCTCCATCACAACAACAAAAAAAACAAACACATAAAAAAGTCTATTTGATTGTAGTGCGAAACTTTGGTTGATCCGGAAAAGTCTGGAATCTTTTTAGGCGTCGATAAAAATTTCCTTGAACACGGATCAGGATCATGTACAATCTTTTTTTTTCTGACTGAATCAATATCTCTTTTTGCGTTGCTTACGCGTCCATACATCATGTCCATATCGCAGCGAGTCCCAAGATATGGGAATCGGAGTTGGCGATGGAAGCAAATTGGAAACCGTTAATGCACCCACGCCGATAATGTGGCGTGCTCGGATGGCGGAAAATGGCTCCTGAGCTGTCTTGAAGAGTGATAAGCTTTTTGATGTCTGTCCATCGTTCAACCGCAGGGTATACAAAGCGGGAATTCAAAGTGTGGATGGCTTGATTGGCAGGCTCGATGAATTTTTCTTTATTGACACAACTTTCGCAAAATGGAATGGATACCTGTGCAACATACAAAGAGCACGCTTATATGTGGGTTGGTGTCCAAGGCGTTTGATCATTAACAAAAATTTTACTCTGTCCTACTTTTTTCCCATATGCATTACCATGGCTTCACATCCTAATACATGAAATGTTGCCATGACCATCCTTTGCACGGTTTGTTGTGTTGAATCACGGTTATATAAGGCTTTGGGAAACCTTGAGGTTCAGTCTCTTGGGACTCGTGAGAAAGAAGGTCCGGATACATGCCATCGGAACCAAACACCGCCGGTCTGTCTCATCGCGACAGCTGGTTGGAAGGTTCTGCACACCAATGGCAAGAAATGAATCACTGCGGATAGGGTCGCCAAGAGTGACAGGAATACTGCAAGTCACAATAAAGATCTTTTTGACATATCGGGTCGCTCGGTCAAACACAAATTTTGACACGACAGCTTTTGACATGAATTATAAAGTGTTTGGCTTGTTATAAGTTGTCTTTATTCCAAAGGAACGACATGGAGAAAAATAGTGCTTTTGCTTTTTGTGTAATTGGATGAATAACGTGCAAAAGTGGAACGACGTAGGGAAAATAAGAAGAAAACAAGGTTGCATTGGATGTGTTTGTTATTTATCTTGGATGTTGGCGGCAAACTAGGCTGAAACCGATTTCTCAGATAAGCGAAAAAGTTGGACCAAGAAAAGTAAAGCTTTTTTTTTTGCCAATGGATTCCCACTATCGAAAATCGCAATGTCTGTGTATGAGAGTATAAAACAAAGAAAAAAAGAGTCTAAATATCGGTTGGTTATACTAAAAAGGGGATAAAACGACGGGTTGAGGGACGTGAAAAGTAGAAAGTTTTGTGTATTTGTTTACTCTGTTATCAGTTGCCATCAGAATGGCCTTTGTGCCAGTCTGTGCTTTTTGGAAAAGCCCAACCTATCATGCCAAATAAGACACGATTCCTAAATTCTTTTTAGTGTGGAAAATCTGAATTTGTTGACAGTTCAAACGTGTTTTTTTGACTCCTTGAACAAAACGGAACACGGATCCGAACCTTAATACCTTTTCCTTTTCTTGGCCCCCCCCCCAAAAAAAAAATTAGAATGTGAGTATAAAAGCTTCAAGGATCACCCAACATTTTCACCTCATCCATTTTCAACGTTTTATCTGCATCTTTTTTTTTCAACATCATTTCTGTCACTTTTGCTTCAAAAGCTTTCATTCTTGCATCTGTACTCATCCCATTCTCATCTCATCACCAAACCCACAAGAACACATCATCAATTATCATGGTCAGCTGCACTGCTGTTGTCAAGTATACCAACAATAACACCCCCAACTGGGAGGTAATGCGAGATTCTATTCGAGACATCAACCTCAGTGGTGGTCAATGGTGAGTGATTCATAATGGTATACAATCCATTGCTTGGCAACTCAACGTTTCTCGTGTCTTGATTAGTTCATGGTGCGGAAAATACGGTCATAGAAGAGGTGCCTGTCCGTTCCTCAAGTAAATCAAGCATAAACCAAAAACAAAGCACCGCATCATTCATTTTACCAAAAGATCTCGCCTTTCTCATTTCACCCTTGAGAGGAAGTACCGCTCAAAAAAAAAAGTCGTCCCGGTTTGCAATCAAAAGAACCAAGTTAGAGAATTGTTGTTCATGTTGAACACAAAAAAAAAGTTTTTTGTTTTTCTTCCATGTCTTTTTTTATCGATTTCCGTTCATGTACATTCATCCTTGTTTTTGCACAAATTTAAACTGAAACATTTTGTTTGTAAAAAAAGCACCCATAAAAAGTAATCGTCACTTTCACAAAGAAATCGCGTTGGTTGATAATTTATACGATTTGGGACTCGAGTTCACCCTGCCTAGAGATTCCTCAGTTTTCATGAAGAAGCATTAATCAAGATCCATACATTTTCCATTGCGAATTGAACTTTGATTGGAGTTGTCAACTGGATTCCTAGGGATCAAAGAGTATAGAATATAGGTCTTATAACTCTATTCGTAGCCCAGATACTTGACACGACTCTCCTGTTTGTTCTCAGTGATAAAGAGGCAAGGTACGGACCGGCTCATCAATTTATGCAAGACTTTGTCATTCTCTATGCTGAAATTTGGCAAAATTGAAAGAAAAAAGACAGCGTCTAAAACGAACTGGGGTTCTACCCATCAATTAAGTTACCAACGTGTTTGTTAAAACCAGCACGTCAGTGTATCTGAAGAGTCAGGTTGGCTTATCGCTTGAACTTCCATTGGTGTCAGGCAGTTTAGATTACCGCAGCAAAAGGTCATCCAAAGATCATCTAAAACATTTCGAGTGAACATTGTATTTTCGCGGATTTCTGTCTTTATCTCCTCATCCAATTCTTTATTTCAGTATCACATATTTATTGAAAGAATAGCCGTCCACTAAAGTATATGCATCACTGTTGGCCAACTCGCCTAGGGAAGCAGTGTCGAATGCGGCTTTTACATGCATTCGTGGCGTCTCTTGTCGGGAACGAAACACGGAGTATCAGGAAAAAAAGAACATCAAAAAAACAAAAAGAGAACAAGAGAAAAATAAACAACTCTAACCTTAAATCAAAAAAGGTTCGGTGCAACCTTTGTCAACCCTAACGTTGTCAATGTAGGCCAAAGCACAAGAACGAGGTCAACCATGCCTCGTAATATAAAGAAAAGACAAAAATAGTTTGTGACAGACACTGTTTGACATGCTCCGCGACGCTCACAGGGACAGAGAATCATCATGTCATCCTTCGCTATTCTCCACCATTCATGCCTTTTTTTATGTCTCGGCCATCCAATAATTGATACGACGCTACAGCTTATCATGCCGAAATGCTCGGTAGAAAGGACCGTGTCAAAATCGCCACGCAGAAAGCTTTTTTTTATTTGTTGAATTTCTTTATCGATGTTTTTATGCGACATGCAAGATTTAGAAAAACCAAGAATTGACAAAACGGTGTATTAAATGTACATTGGTTATCAGCTGTTGTTCATTCATAATCATTGAATATCAGATACAATGGTTCGTATGGCAGGCCAAGGGAAACTATGGGTAATAACCGTAATATATCATACAAGAGACAACAATTTACTATCGGTCCAAATTTTTTTATTATTTTTTCGAGACGGGCTTTTGTTCCGTGTTTCCCTTGATGTGATACGGTATCTAAAGGACCATGGTGCAGTATTCAGGCAAGGATTACAAATACGTGCAAGAGGCTCTTCAATACCTGGAAAAGTTCACGCCTCATCACCTCCGAGTTTTTTCCTTTGCCACTTCCGACTATCACTTTGGCCATAAACTTCCTTTCCACTATGATCGCTGTCATGTGGAATTCCATTCTCACTCACTCTACCAGGATCCCGTCAAAGGTGAATTGTGTCCACCAATGCCAAAGGCGAAAATAATGTGGCTCACGCATTTCCACATGACGTAGCTCAAATTGTGTTTGATTCAAGTAATTACACATTTCCACCGGACATTATCTTTTTGAATCCTGCTGCATTGCCCAACGTAGAACCTCAAGCTTGGTTGCCTACCGACTGGGATATCACAGCCAAAACGTGTCTCGTAGAATGGCTCCAGCATATTGAAGAGCTCTTGTTCCAAGGGACCAGTCGCAAACTCTCTGTACCCGATATCATGGCGGTGGATTCTGAGGAGGTAAACCTTGGGGCTTTTGCTATTGTTTTAAGTGATTGGTTTTGATCTCTTGTCTGGAAACGCAAGGACCGATCGGAGTCTCTGAGTGTCAGAACAGGTGCATCGGTTGAACCCGTACGAAGTCCTTCTCACGGTACAGTGACAAGACGTGTGAGTAATTCTGGTAGCCATCCTTCTTCCATTCTCCCGCATGCGGAGATGGTTGAATTTCGACGTTCTTTTATTCAACAATGTCTCATGCAATATAATGAGTAAGTGCGACGGCTGAAAAAGGCAAACGAATCGATTATCAATCACTGGAATTTCCTTTTATGCTTTTTTATTTTTAGCCATGTGATACGTTACGACGATAAAGAGTTTTTTTCCATCAGTCTGTATCTCACCGTGAAAATCCCGTCGGATCTGTTCCAGGAACTTCAAGAATATCACTGCCAAGCCGTGCAACAACGGCCGGAACCCAAGGTCGCCAAAGCACGACAGGAAGCGCCCGTCATTGTCTCACGTAAAAAAATTGTCACAGGCCACTTGGATGGGAGTTATTTTTTTTTTTTTTTGAACTAGGTTGTGCTCACTTATCGAGTTTTTTTTCCACTAGTGCAACTGCCGCAGGATTTCCCTCTATCTGATATTCGGGTCCACTTTATCTCTGCCGTCAACACCCAATCGCCGTCCATCCCAATTCCCGATCAAGCTCAATTTACATTTCCTGTCAACTTGGAATCCTCACTGCCAGACATGGTAGCCGATCTCTTGTAAGCATGAAATTTGTAAAAATGAAACCCTTGGTTAAAGAAAACTTATGCTGTCGTTTAGCCAATTGGTCCTGGACGACATCCCCAAATTTCATTCTCAACTCTTTGTGATTGGCCAAATCGATCATTAACAAGGACGGAAATTGGTTTTTCCACCCTAATTGACTTGCCGTTTTTTCCCCAATGAGAAGCATTCTTTCTTTTCCTTGGTTCCCCAGTGATGCCCCATTCTCGAAACATCAGTGGAAACATCACCACAAAGAAAAAGACGGAATCATCATCATTTACTAAAAAAGTCTCCTATCATTTTTTTTTCTCTTCTTTATTTTTTATTCATTTAGTCATTTGTTTACCTGCACATGATTTTCAGCTGAAGAGCTAAAAGTGTTTTAATATAATGGAAAATTCAATCTCATTCTCGCCCCAGATCAAGCCTATGCCGAAAGGAAGCGATCGCGTGGCGGCGTTAAGAAATCTAGGCCTTACTTTTGAGGAAGGCGACCGACGGATATCCAAATTAGCTACACCCACCGCAACCGACAAGATGCCCACCTTTGTGGATGCGAACCAAATCGAGGTAAAGAAGGGGAAGCTGATGTAATCCGACCTTCTTTGATTAAATCATTGCGTCACAGATACTTTTACGTCGAAAGCTGATGCAAGGAAGATCCAACGAGCAAGACGAGTCGACCTCCACGTAAAACTCAGCAGCGAGTGATATCATAGTCATGAAAAGAACAAGTGTAGTAAAAAAAAAACTCAATAATAAGCTTTGAGCATTTTCCATACAAGGTTGACACGAATGGACGGATTGGAGTAGTGTAAAAGACAGTTTATGGTAAGCGGCGCATGAAAGTTAGGCAAATATCGTGAGAAAACGTGGTGGGCTCTGTAAGCATCATTACCAAAAGAGGCATGACATGCGGGAGTGTTGAGGGAGACGGAGGGAAATCCCTGCAAGAAAATTTTTTTCCATTAGAGGAACGTCATCCCCCGGACTCAACCACAGTAAAATCACGGGTAAAATTTTATACTGGTCTTCCGACCAAGGAAAAAACAAAATCCACAGTTTGGGATTCTCTTTGTTTCTTTGTTCTCCCCATATTCCCTTTAGATTTCCCTCCCCCACTTCCCAACCATCATGTTACGTCAAGCAAGCACACTCACTCGTCGTCAGTTATTACAGCGAGCGACACTGCAAGCAAATCAGCAAGCGCGGGCATTTTCTCTATTGCGTAGCGTTTCTCCTATCTTTTCAAACAATAAAAAAAAGCAGAATGCTTCGTCCATGGCCACTTCTAAACTGATGCCCGATGTCTCCCATCGTACATCGCCATCGCAACAGGCAACAAAAGGTAAAATAACAAATAAAATGCAAGGTTCAAAAACCATAAGAACAGTTCAGTAACCTTTAATCTTTTATGTGATCAGTTCTCTCTCCCCTGGTCAAGTATGATGAAATCACTTCCAAAGGTCTCGTCAACCCCGACCATCATCAACGAGAAGTCGTCAAGCACCTCGAACGTCTGTGGCATGATTTAACACATTATCATCCAGAAGATCATACTGTCCAAACCACCACAAAGCGTATTTTTGGTCAGGTAAGGTAACTCACGATGGAAGCATCGTGATTTTTCTTTAGAAAAGAAAAAAAAAAGTCAAGGGTTCAGCATATTTCAATGTTGACTTTGACGTACCGTTTCAAAGAGATCAGTAAACTCATCGACTTGCTTGCTTTCATTTCATAGTTTTCTAGTTGGTTCGGATCAGATAATAGCAGTGCCAGTACACATTGGATTCCCAAATCCGTGTATATCTATGGCGACGTGGGTACGGGCAAAACCATGGTCATGGACTTGTTCTTCGACAGTCTTCCTATCAAGCGGAAACGACGAGTGCATTTCCATGCTTTCATGCTCGATCTTCACGTCCGTATTCATCAAGTGAAAAAGGCAAATCCCGGTATCAGCAATCCATTGGCTCCCATTGCCAGCAAGTTGGCCGAGGATGCCTATGTTCTGTGTTTCGACGAATTCCAGGTTACAGATATTGCCGATGCCATGTTACTGCGCAAATTGTTTGATGAACTGTTTGATCACGGTGTGGTCCTCGTGACCACTTCCAATCGTCATCCCACCGAACTGTACAAGAACGGTATTCAGCGTCAGTCGTTCTTGCCTTGTATCGATATGTTGCTCGAAAAGTGTGACGTGCTGTGTCTCGATTCCGGTACCGATTATCGTAAAATGAAGCGTGAAATGTCGCAAGCGTTTTTCCATCCACTGAACAATGATACGCAACATCGTATTGATGCTGTTACCGAACAACTGTGTCATCATAAAAAGATGCAACCAATGACGCTTCAATTCTTGTCGCGCAAACTCGTCGTGCCGGCTCAAGCTGATGGTGTAGCGAGGATGCGATTTGCCGATGTGTGTTCCAAAGCGCTCAGTGCGGCGGATTATCTCGAACTGGTCAAGAATTTCCATACCATTGTGTTAACCGATATTCCAAAGATGACAATGAAGCATCGTGCCGAAGCCCGACGATTCATCACTTTCATCGATGCGTTGTATGAATCCCGTTGTACGTTGGTTGCGAGTGCCGAAAGCGATATCATGGACATTTTCAACGCAGAAGAAGGTGCTAACGAAATCGAAGACGGTATGCGTATGATGATGGACGATCTCAACGTCGACGATATATCTTCCCCGTTGTTCTCCGGTCAAGAGGAAGCGTTTGCGTTCCAAAGAGCATTATCGCGATTATTCCAAATGCAGAGCAAAGAATGGGTGAATAAGGATCTGTCTTCGATGACTGCCTAGACTTTGTTGTCTGTTATTTTTTTTTTTTGTCTATATCCATTAGAAATAGTGTTTCTTCATTTCCTCCCATTTTCCCCCCTCTCCTCATTTTATTTCCCTACACATCTCTTTTTTTCCTTTTTCTGCATATTTCCATTCATCAATACATATTTTTCTTTCCTTTGTGTCTCTATATACATACATCGTTTTCTTGTTTTTTGCAGTGGGTCGGAAATGAGAAAAAAGACAAAATAGTAACAATTGGAAGGAAAAAGAAAGAAGAAAGTCAAGTTTTTTGAAAAAAGTGGTGTGAGAAAAGAAGAAGAAAAAAGCAAAAGAATCAGTTTATCAAAAAAAAAAAAGCAGTTCTTGTATATTTTAGAGCAGCCATGTGCTCGTCGTAAGTCGCCATATACCCTGCGGACCTTGAATCCATGTTTTTATACTTTGAGAAAAAACATCATAAAATACTACATAAGAGGAAGGAAGCAAGCGGCAAAAGGACCATAACAGTCAGGAGGTGTGAGAACTTTTTTCCTTCTTTTTTTCAATGTTTCCTTTTGAGTGGTTGGCACACTTATTTTTTTTTGTTCATTATTTCATGAAATGGGGAATGGGATACGTTGATATCTGACATAAGTTGCCATTGTTACAATTTTTGATAGCTTTTGTGGGGTTTTCTCGGGGCATACGGTTCCGATCCGAGAAAAAAAAAGACAACGCTGAATACAAGTAATACTAGTGGAGAAAAATATACATAGGGTGATAAAAAGGATGGCAAAAGTATACAGATTAGCGGGGGGGCTGACACAAATACAATGGCGATCATATACAAGATGAGAAGAGGATAGGTGAGGATTAGGAATAGTCATCGGCATTTGAATGGATAAAATGCAATACGGGCGTACTGGGTCTTGATTTATCACTGGAATGAGTGGAATAACTGGTATTGGGAGAACCCATACCGTTGGTCGTGATAAAAGAGTCGTAACTGGAGCCGGATTCGTCGAATAAAGGTTCACAAGGCTGCGTTCCCGTGTACACGGCTTTGCCTTTCCATGAGGAAGCAGCGGTACTTTCAGAGCCATGTGACGGTTCAGGGATCGATTCCTTTTTGCAGTAATGGCTGGGATTTCGACCTCGGACAATGATGGGCATGGAACAGCAGGTGGCGATCTTGTAGTTGCGATCGCTGTGGTGAGCAAACAGTTCCACGATCAAACGGAAATACTGCTTCTTATTGCGTCGCTTTCTGTTCTTGGCCGTCGCCATTGAAAACTGAAGTCGACTGTAATGAATGGTGTTGCCGTGCATCACGGATTGGATAGCCACCGGCGTTTGAGCACCCTTGTCTCGCTTGCTTGTAAACTGCAGTATCGCTACCGGTGACCCGTCATCTACATCTTCCGCACGAAGACTGAGAAATAGATCGGAAACAAGATATCCATTATGATAAAATGGCAGTTGATGACCACGATCGGTTTCCAGTGTAGCACTGATGTGAAAGTAGTTGCGACGATAGCACGCCCAGTGATCATCTATCTTAAAGAACCCGTGGTTGATTTGACACTGGATGTCGAGCTGGCATCTACCCATAAAATATGGTTTAACTTGGTCATTATAACCGTTGTACTGTATCAATACGGATTGTAACCTACATCGATAAATCAGAATAATGGAGATAGTCGTGGATACAGACTGGACCAAACTGAAAACAAGGTTCATCGATGCTTGTCTGCTCAGCAACGGGAGCTAGTGGATGAGGCCAACCGCATTCATAGGAAGGATGATTAGGTAAGAATGAACTAAATCCATTCTCGATTAGTGATCTAGATGTACAGTAAAACCAGTAACGAAGGGTTTGTTTTAAGATCACTTACGTTTGCGCATCATTTATCATAACAACATCCTCGTGGTTCATTCTTTTCATGATCGATTAGAAAAAGAAAAAAAATTGGAAAGCTTAGTTGATGGAATCACTTACTTTGAAGGGTCCCGCCCCATCACCGATTGATCTGGGAACTCCATTGTTCCTCATCGACTTGAACCGAAAAAAAAAGAGAAAAAAGAAGTGGTGTGCCACCCAGCACTTTTATCCGATCCGTCACCAAGTGAACTATGTAGGAAAAAAAAAGGTAAAAGAGAGATAGTACCCTTGGCTTGGACCGGTTTAAGTAATAAACAAATGGCGCAATGGACATATCAAAACGCAGCAACAAAATCTCGCCACTTTTTTTTTTCTTGACAAAAAACTGGACCTCATTTCTTTGAATCATAGGTTGACCTTGTAAATCCTTGAAGATATACGGTAATATGATATGGACGCCATCGAGAATCAATTCTTTCCTTGGAACACTACGTATTATTATTGTTCCGTTATTTTTGTAACCCAGTATCCGGGTTCTCAACCCTCCCAGGCTTGCAATGAGAGTGTCCTTGTCACACAAACATTACCTAACGATGACCGAGGCCAAGGCTGTCAACAATGGACTGCTTCATCCTGTGTTTGGCTCCGTGAAAAAAGACTGAGAGAGAAAAAGAAAAAAAGAGAAACTCGAGAATGTTTCAACATGCATTCTACAGACCTATCATGCTTGATCAGACAGTTCTCGATCCAGTGGACGATTTGAAAGAATAGTGTAAAGTTCGAGAACCTATTCAAACTTCTCACCCACAACAGCACGGGATTCTGGTCTTGCATATTTCACGAGATCGTAATATGCAGATCGCAGATCGCAGATCGTTTGCTCAAGCATGGTACAGTTAGCATCATACGAATTAGGTGGTCTTTATCTTGCGCGACGAGAATTTAAAAGGATTAATTTGAGGTCGAATCAGCAAAAAGCCCATATCTTTTACTGATAATCATCGATGTGTACTTGTACTGCTATCTAATGGATGGCATGCCTTATTCCGTAACATGAGTTAGTTACAATTCATTCAAACGGCGCAGCGTCAATATTCTAATAAATCATCATGGAAAATGTTTAGACAAGTGGTTTAGATTAGATGATCGCTATGGCAACAAACCAGATTTGATGTGATATGATGTGACAAGTCAAATGGAAGAGAAAAATGTAAAAATAGACAAGTCAGATTTACAAGTTCCGATGGATAAGTAGCAAAGCAATGTGGTATTTTATCATGTACATGGATTTGGTTTAACTTGCCTGCAAATCGCTGACGGGTCTTTGTTTCCCGATAATGTTAAACGTCAAAACAAATGGCCCGGCCCAGTAAAAATTTCATCCCGCGGACGCGGACAACCCAGTGCACGAACCTGGGTAATGTGTAACGTGTCCAAATGATCTGCAGAATGAGGTATTAGATCCATGCCTGATGACGCTGATAGACCAGCTTCGGAATACTTTCCGAAGCGTTGAGAACATCGAACTTACACGTACGCGGCATAGCACAAGGGACGATGGTGTGCACGGGATCCTGTTTGTCGTACGGGACCTGAACGTCCCGTAGTTAACAGTTCCTCGTTGACTTGACATCGATGGTGTCGCTGATAGATTACTATTTATATGAATCATTAGTTTTTAGAACAACGACATTGATCTTTCTTGGTACTTCAATTAGAAAAGTAAGAGCGATCGAAAAAAATAAAAAAAAAAAGCTCTTGGAAGACATGCGAGAAGTACTAAAGAAGAAATTTTTGGGAGGAGAGCGCTTTGACACGCACCCACACACATATATGCCGTGGGACATATAACCAGGAAAATGATTACTCACAAAAGTTTACCAAGGAGAACGACGCATAGAAAGCTAATGCGACGCACTCCCCCTCGGCTGCCATCGTACCAGGTTTCCGGAAACCACAAACTAGAGTTACAATGCACCAGCACACGTAATGTAGTAGGAAAAGAAAAAAGGCAAGAAGCATTTTAAAAAGTCTCTACACCTACCTGAATAAGGGAGTCTCAAACATCAGCTGCAATGCACCATGAAAATTAAAGGTCGATCATCGGTTAATCTTTTTCCGCCCATATTTCACCTTCCTTCTATATAACTCTCCTTGTATTATGAACTCAACTGTTATTTTTCACGAATTCCAGAGCATGAGCTGTGACGTAAAAGATGACCTTTGATCGCATCTGGTCGTCAGATGCTGTTAGCCAATTTTCATTTGTGGTTACGATGTCTGCTTGATTGTATTTCCGTCGCATGCTCGACAGTAACGGACAAAGCCGATTCAATCTCCACGCGTTGCCACGAGTTGTCCCAGATCCTTGCACATGAATAAAACAAGAGCCTATCATCAAACAACAAAATACATTGGATTTTCTTCGAGGAAGACTCGTTGACTGACTGAAATTGATTCTAGTACTCATGAAAAGGAATATGCATTATTATTTATTTATTCAATATTTGGTACATTCAGCTTCCACAGAGAGATGGTTTTTTTTCTGTATTTCTATCATGTTGTATCAAGCAACATATGAATAGGGTACTACACAACATCAACGAGCAAGAATAAAACGGCGAAGTGAATTAGCAAACTAGGGTTGAGGTGAAATAAAACGTAAAAAAAGGGTAGCGGATACAGTGTTCTTGTTACGTGACGATTTGGAGTTTGTTTAAACGACATTGTCCACGCCAGTACCACCCAGGATCCTTTGAATGTGCCAAAAAGAATAATAATATCAGCACCGACCCACAAATCCAAAACTCAGGTGCACCGTCAGATGCAAGACTTACCTGGAACTTGCAAAGGCTTGGCCCATAGCAGCCGCAGCACCTATTTTTATCGTTTTCCGAATTACTTGGGACTGCGAACGATCATGGTTTATCAGGAAATACCCATGAAAATCACTTACCATAACTAATAGCCGCTAACAAGAGACAAACAGCGCATGCAATCAATGGACTGGCACCCATCAAGTTGGAAAGGAACATAACAACGGCAAACCTGAACCAGGATTTTGATTGTCAATTTTTTCTCTCTGGTGTTTACTCTTTTTCTCCCATTCACGTTTTGTCCACTTACACAAGGTACATGATAGCACGGAACCAGCAGTTCTCGAAATACGCAATGAACGTGTCGCTGTCGACATGAGTGGCAATGACATGAGTGTTTAGTGAAATGAACAATATGTGGCGGTCGCTAGGGAAGCTGTGACACTTACAATTTCGGGCTGGTGGGACAAAACTGTCATTGCGTATCAGCACACCAGTTTCGTAATGTCATGTCCGAGAGGATTTTTACTTACCTTGAAACAAAGTGGAATTTCAACAAAGATAAGAATGACGGCAATCACCCTTTACATCATCGTTTTAGCGTTGATACTTTTTGCCACTCATCTGTCTTCTTTTTTAATCTGCTTACCAGCCTACAATACTAAACACAACGTGTCCGATGAAGCCAACAATGCCTAAAGCGATCAATACTATAACGGATACCCTCTGTCAGTTCCAAGCGTGCTCATCAAAATCCATAGCTAATTACATACAAATGATCGATGCAATACCAAGCCTAACCAAAGGGTCTCGATGAGTAACAAGCCAACCGTATAAAATAAAGACGGCAGAAGCTTACCATTGGCCATAAAGCGCAAAGTTCATTGACTTGACTTCATCAACGCAGCCCATAATGATGTGATACTATGTATGAATAAGAAAACCGGAATTGAAATGAAGAGAGTAAGAGATAGAAAAAAAATAGAAAAAGAACAAAGATGGCAAACAAAATAAATGCAAATAGAACGTAATGACATAGCAATTCTTGATCAAATGATTCTTATTGGCTCACACCCCAAAATTCAACGAGGCCACAGAAAAAAAAAAATCCGCCTATTCCAGATGGTCGGCATGACAAAATACGCGCTTTTTTTTTGTTCATTGTCTTTCTCTTGCAGTATTGCGATTTTACAAGATGGAAGCGTTTTTCCTTTTCCAAATGTTGTTTATTTTAAAAATCTATGTACAAGTGAGAGCAGTTGATAAAACGCTCTTTTAAAATGAACTAGCCGAACTGTATTCGGGCCGCGTGCGTTTCGGTAGCGGAGAAAGAAGCATATCTGACGATTGGGTCATTTCTTCGTCTTCCGGTTCGACCATGTCTCGTTTGCGGTTAGCACGACCGGGCTCCGGTGTGCGGTCGACAAATGCCAAATCACTCGACATGGACAGCTGAGACGAGGTGAATATTCTGCATGGAAAAATAAAATAAAAAGAATGTCAGCGGGGATCCAAATCCGAAAATATGCAACGCCCAATAATTTACCTTTGATACGGTTCTTGGCTTTCTGCCAAGCTCGTACCGCGTCTGACGGTTTCGCCGCCCCCCATAAATTTGTCTTCCTTGACACGCGTGATTTTTTCTGCCAAGCTCGTTAATCGATGGAAAGAAGCAATCTTGATAGCCGCATCAATCGATCGGGTCATGTGAAGCGTCGCCACAAGATCCAAAGCTCGTTGCGTCTTATCGGCTTTGCATGCAAGCTGCAGTGGATATATAATGAGTACCTTAATATCCTAGTTTTGTTTTTGCGTGGTCATTCACGTCACATGCTGTTTACCTGAATCAGTTGCAATAAAGCTTTATCCATTTCTACGTCGGCTTTATTGAATTCTACATAGAATTCATCTTCGGTGTTTGTGGCCGCGGCTTCGTCACGCTCATGCAGGGACATTATGTTGGTACGCAAGTATCTGAGATTTGTGGCGCAGGCCCGTGAGTCTCATCTTGCATCTTTTTTGGGCCTTGGCACACACAGGTTTCACTTACCGTTCTTCCAATTGTCCGACCTCACTCTCAAACGAAACCGTCGGCATGCGCAGTTCCACTTCGCTCACCGCAGGTCGAGGAAACGAGGGATACTCGTGTTGTGCCTACATCAGATACCGACAATTCAATATTCGCGAACTCACCATCGTTTAGAAAATTCCATACCCTTAATACAAGACACATGAATCGATCTCGTAATAAGCCAATGGGCCAATACCGTTCCTTTCGATCCTTGGCGGCGGCAGCGGCTGGACCGTCGAAAATGGGAATCCAAGCCGCTTGACCCGGCCGTCGCTGACGATGAAGGACCGAAAGTACACCTTTGGAATCGAAAAAGGCCGGTTGCTATATTTGGAGAGGGGGTATTATTAGTTTTTGCCCCGATCAGGTCCTTCATCATAGAAACTGAGGGATGAATATCTTACCGTGGTTTCTGAAAATCCTGCCCAAGTAATTTCAGTATTTTCTGGAATGGGGAGCGAATCTTTTTGCAGAATATCCAACGAATCTGTATTCATGAGCATGAATTTCAGATACTGATGACCTATGGAACATACATGCACGGGTACGTATTAGTGCCAAGCCTCAGCCCAAACAATAGCCAAGTTTTTACCTTTGAAACAAGGTCCTGTAGCGTAAACGAACATGGCTAAATCGGCGGCTGCAGTGACCGTCACCACATCTGCAAGGCGGAACAAGTGAATTTGAACGCCTGACAATGAGAAAATGCGAACCAAGCCTGCCGTTGTCACCACAATGACTGAAACGCGGTTGATGGCCACATCTACAAATGTTGGTGCACGTGCCACGTGCGTGCATGCATTAAATCCAGGGGTCTAACCGTGTTCAAGCGTGCGGACGAAAACAAGGCTTACTTTGAATATCTTCGCCGAGCGGCATATGGACAGTCCACTCGGCATTGTTGGCCCAATGATTCAGTGGTCGGAAATACAGTGCAGAGGACACTCCTTGAGCTTCTTCCTCTTCCTCTTCCTCTTCCTCTTCGTCGTCGTCCTCATCACCATCTTCATTTCGGTTGCGACGTTCCGAAGTCGGTTTTTCGTGTCCTTCCACTGCAAACACCGCGCCCTTTTCCCCTACGGCGGCAAGACTGTAGTGATGATAGTCGGTAAAATGAAAATTTCGATTCTGTGACTGATCATGAAATTCCACGTTTACAATGGAATGCGAGCCTTGGAAAATGGTATAAATGACACCGATCAGGTTGAATGCGAGATACCGACGTTCGCCCTCACGAGGTCTTGTCGCATCCGAAGCATCCATGTTGGGATACGGCGTAGCGTTAGGTTGGAACGATCGCGGCTTTTGGATGGCATAGCTCGGCTCTGTTCATTAAAAAAAGTTAGACCAAAAAAAAACCACAAATCCCTTCATCGTCTATCTTGCGCTTACCGTGAAGTAAGCGACCCGCGGGTCGGGGACGTGGCTGAGCATGGTCAGTGGTTTCCGCGTATCCAGCGCCGTCATCATCACTCACGAAATCGTCCAGGGTATCCAGCAAGGACATATCCACATCTCCGTCCGCTTCGCGTTCTCCGGCTCGACCATTATCCATCGCAATATCGTCTTCATCCTCCTCGAATAATTTATCTAATTGGGTTTCCGTGATACGTGGGCGTCGATGAGCGGGATGCGGATGATTGTCGCTGATATCAATCACGCGGTCCCATACCGTCAATTGACCATACAGATCGGTCTAAGCTCCCCTTAGCAAAATGTTTTCGTCAACCCAGTTATACCGCTCTCACTTACAAATGCCAATTCATTCTCGGTAGGATGCCATGATATTCCAGATACTTGGATGGAGCTTGTGAATTTTTTCACCACCGATTTTTTGGAAGTATCCCATATAATCACTTGATTATCCATGGCCGTGGATGCGAGGTATCGTCCATTCGGGGACCATGCCACTGTAATTACATCCTATGAAACAAGTGGAGCCCTATAAGTCACTTTTTTTTCGGTTTTCGCATCCTGGAAGCTGTATTCTTACATCCACATGGGCCTTCTCTAATGTATAAGCCAAGGTCCACAACGTTCTTCGGTACACACAGATATCTATCCCCATATTTAGCATCTTTTTCAGAGTCGTATCCATTGTTGATGGCTAACCATTATTTTTGCCGGGCACAGCAAAATAGGCACCATCTGGCCGCCAAGCCACGGTGCTTAACAGATTAGAATCGGACAGGGTGGCTCGTGTGACATTCTTCAACACTTGTAAGCAGGTCGGTTCACCGTCGATAGGGTTGGCGTCCCACACACGCACGTCGCCTTCACAGCCAGAAGAAACCTGTTGACCACCCCTTGCTTAGATTTCTCTGAAATGTAGCCAGTTTCTGAGCCAATTCAAACCTACCAAATAATCGCCGGACGGATCGAAAGCAACGCTCTTTACAAAGCGAGTATGTCCTCTCATGTTCACGACACGAGAAATATCATGGATCAAGACAACGCGAATGACATCCTCACTGTAGAAAAACGGAATTAGATCAGTCATTCTATTTGTTTGTTCTTTGAACGATATGGTTTGTGTACGTACTCGGTAGCAATGGCCATCTTGGATCCATTGTGGTTGTAAGATATGCTGCGTACAGGTGAGGTGCTGCGAACCAAGTATTTCTGAAACTCTTTGGAATTACTGTGAAAGAGGGCTACAATGCCATCTGCTCCGGCCGTCACAAAGCTGTCTTTCTGCCATCGTTTCATAAACTCCATTAGCGAATCTGTCGAGTAAAAGGGGTTATGAGTGAGCGGGCTTACGTTGACGGCGATACAAAGAACTGCCTCTGAATGCTTGTCAAGCACCAGAGCATCGGAATTCCGTTCTGCATGGGAAGTTTTGAAAATGCGAACGAGTGAATCATTACCGGCCGTAATAAGTTCACTAAAATAACGGTTGATCAATAGGTTGTCCGTGACCAGGAACAACTGTTTCTAGATGGCCAAAAGTTTACCTTCCGTCGAATGTGTAAGCAACCGTAGTGAAGCCTTCTGTATGAGCGAATCGTTGAGGTAGATCCTGTGTATCCATGAATACGAAAAGCAGACGATCGGGTGATGAGCGAAAAGGAAAAGCTGCAGCAGTGGATCTGTTCTTTTTTTTTTTGTGGCTCCGTGAGCGCGACGCGACGCGATCTTTGAAATTCAAATGTGACCAACTTTCCCTATTTGGAACAACCATCATCCGGAGCAACGATGCGGTTACTTTTTCATGGTCCTGATAATGCAGTAAACATACAAAAAGACCTTGTCAAACAACCACATCATCCGATGAATGTTGGCTGAGTGGCTGCAATTTGTGATAAGCATGACTAACTAGGTGCAGTATTGAAAATGATATATCATATTTTGGCAGTGGTGTTATCTGTTATGAAGAAATTGACTACATTGTGATCTATGCGCTGGCCTATTGATTGCAAACAGCAATAGCGTTAAAACATTGAGCCTTTATGCACTTTATATACATAGCACATTTTAGCATGCAGAGCCAAAAGAGCTCTAAAAAGCGACAAAGATCTTTTGGAAATGGAACGTCACGACCTATTTAGACCGGTGGAGGAGGGGGTGACTGGGAGGCGAAAAAACCAAGCCTAGCGGTTTTCTCCCAGCATGCCTATTGTTGGGCATTATTTGGATGAGGTAGAACATTGTGACTTTCCTGGCAACGGCTACAAGTTTATTTACATGTCAAGTCATGTTTAGAATGAGACTCTCATACTCAAGGTCTCGTCACCCGAATATAATATCATGGAGGAACTCTCCGCACGCCAGATCCTCGGTTTGGAACCAGAACAGATTGAAGTGTACGAATATTTTTACAATGATATCCAATGGTCCCCCGAGCCGAAAATCACGACGTTGAGAAAGAGCATTCAGACAAAGTTCAGCAGTATGATTCTCGACTACATGGACGTCGGCCATTGTAAGTTATTGTCACTGGCACGAAACGTCGAAAGAAATCTCAGAACTCAAGCTGCTTGTTGAATTAAAAAAAAAGGGAATGCGGCCATGGATCTGATCGAAACATCCATTATTGGGAAAAGGAGACCGTCCATGTAAGTACCCAAGACAAGATCGGCCCAGCGTTTTTGATAGTTTGTTGATCGTCCCTTTGGTTTTATCAGAGCAATGACGTTGGCTTTGTTTGACTTGATGTTGAAGCCGGCCTCGTTTCACAAACAACGACGACAGTACGTACGTCTGTGTCAACGAGCGGAACGACTGTTGTATTACATGCTGGAAACCTTTGGTCCGAGTCATTTTAATTGTGTGTGGTCTTTGTTCGGCAATACCGATACGAATGCGCGCAAATTGCATCAGGCTTCCGCCGGGACGCAGGGCGACAGCGACGACGAAGCTGAGGAACATGGCAATAATTATGTGCTGTCGGAATACATTGACTTCTGGATGTTTATTTCTGCATGCTTTGAAAGCGACCAATTGCTTGAACTACAGACACAGGTAAGAAGGCTTGCAAGGATCCTCTTTCTCTTCTCTGCCATCCTGAAATTTATTGGGTCCGCCTTGTTCTGTAGGGCCGCCGAAGAGTAGCAAAGTTACTGATCAGCGTACTGGAACATGATTTACGAGAGAGACAAGGTAAAGCAGAGTGAGCAAAGGGGCGGGGGACATATTGATCATCTTTGGAGGAAGCACTGGATTGACGGGGAATGATTAGAGGAACCCGGTAAACTTGAAAAATCGACCTTTCTGTCTATGCTTCGAAAGGACACGTTTGGGTATCGTGATCAGTTTGATCGGTATCTGGAGATTTTATTTGCTGTGTTTGAGCGCCCTCAATTGAATGCAACCAGTGAACGCGATAAATTGAACGAGGCATATACAGAAGGCACGGAATTAGCTGGACGATTGCTCAACATGGTTAGTTACCTATGTCAACTCCCACCCGGCGATCAGCGATTCATCCCATGTTTCTTTTTTTTTTTTTTTTCTAGCTCATCATTTTATCCTATTCTGCCAATCTTGTAATGACCTCGGCCCTCGTGCAACAAACCTACCGACGGTTTAGTTATCTTTCGACCGAAGCCGTCTCTGATTTTTTGCAGGTAACGCGCATTGTTGGACGATTCACCGGCGCCCCCCCCCTTTTTTTTTTTTTTACAACATCCCAAGTCTTATTTTTTCTTCATCCAGATTATTCAATGTAATACGTTCATTTCGGCTCTCTGTGATATGGTATTAATGGATTGCGACTATGGATGCGTGGAGAAGGAATATCGGCATTTCCGAAAACAAAAAGGGACCACACTCAGTATGGACCGACTGTTCCACTATGTGATGAAGACAAGGCCGCTTCAGAGGTCGTCCATGGACGAAGTGTGCCGACACGTGCTCATTGTTCTCCACCGATTCATGAGCTTTATGAGCGAGTGTTCGCTTCGATGCGACACGTATCAAGTGAGCAGCACCGGTGAAGCGGATTGGGACCATCAAGTGTACACGGGCATTTTGGAACGTGAGATCGTGGCGGTCATCGAGCGAGCGCCTGAGGCTCTTGAAAGCTGGCGGAAGCATGTGGAAGCGATGGTGGTTGAAGCACGTCAGGGGGAACAACAAGACGAAGCGAGGACCAAAGAATTGGAAGAGAAAATCTGGTGGGCGTTTCATCTAGCCACCTTGAATTTTGACATTGTATGATATCCCTGCTGGCCAGTGATCATGTAACCAAGAGAATAAGAAACAAAAAAAAAGGAATCAACTATCACCATATATGCAGAAAACAATAAAGAAAAAAAATCAAATGCTTGATATGGATCCAAGGGATGAAGCTTTTCTGCGGAGCCGAAAACAGATGAACCATAAGATCTCATGGTTTTAAGTATTCGTGTATCAAACAATGCGCTTTTTTAGGCACAATCCAACTCTTTTGCCTATAATAGTCTTTTTCGCAAAAGAGTCACCACGGCCTCAAGGGATGATCTTTCCGTGATTGGATGGTCTTGCAAAAAAAAATCTCCTTACAGCATGCTTTAGATTTTCTTTAATGATATGGGGAGAATGTGAAAATTATATTCGAATGATCGGCAGGTCACGCTGTTATCCCAAGCAAACAAAAATTGAAAATTGGTTACAAAACTATGATTTATATACACATACAGGCACAAAAAAAAATATGGAGAAAGAGCGAAAAGAAAAGTGCAAACGGTTAAAGACATCATCATCACCGAGATCTGCAAAGATAACGAAAAAAAAAGTGAGACTTTATACTTGATGAAGATGAAGATGATGGATCCAGGATATTCTACCTTTATCAATGTTATACTGTATGCTTGGAGTCGAGGTTGATAAAGTGCAAATCGGTTAGGAAAGGTTTCATTAGAGATCGTGGCCACAGTGTGGACACCAAGTGTTGGAAAAGTAGACTTTATGCGTGAGACAGTAATTATTGATCCCATACGATGAATACACTGTCGACAGCGTATGGTGATGGATTAATGTGTGACCAACTACCAGTACCATGTTGGGGGAATAAACCGAAAAAAAAAAAGAATAAGAACGAGACAAACAAAGAAGGAAGAATCAATGCAGAGGTCCGTTTTATCAATAAATAACAGAAAATAGTCAATGCTTTTTCATTTCCTCAAGTAGGAAACATGCCCAAACGTTTTTTTCTTTTTTTATCTATACCAGATGAAGGCTTTTTCATAGAGTCATCATGCAGGAATTTTTTATTTATCTTTTCTTCGAGCACTTTCGGAGGCAGGAAATTTCCAACTTGTGAATTTTTTAATCTTTTTTAAAATTACGATTGGAACATGTGGAAGAATTCCAACTTTTGGGTGTGCCTGATATTGCCCCATCGGCCGATATCATAAAAAAACTTGATATCATACCAGATATTCTTTTCAAACTGATCACCGATTCGGATGTGATTACCGAGATTGTTGTCAGTATTTTTTTTACATAAGCATGTCTGGTTGTATCTTTTTCATTAGTTTCAACCTCCACCATGATGGCCCGACATGGGTGATGGTAAAAAAAAAAAAAAAAAGAAAGTACAAACAGCGTGAGGGGTTATGGCCACGTTGTCTGTCTAATCAGTTATGAATCTGAGAGAAATATTCCTTTTTGTTAGATGCCATAATTTTTTTTTTTACGTAGTCGTTCCACTATTTTTTTTTTTGAATCTGCGATTTGATATTATCTTTTGGACATGGGAAGCTGATAAGGCGTATCATCGTGCTACAACAACAAGATGGGAAAACAAAAAAAGATAACGCCAAGCTATTTTCAGTCATAACATTGTTATAGCTGACCAGGCGGGTAAAAAAAAAACATCGCATTTTATATAAATAGTAAATCATGGTTCTGTTGTATTCACATACCAGAGTAGAGCGTGTTTAGGCGTATTAATAATCTGTAGGCTCCAACCCGCGTCACTTTCGAAAAGAAAAAAAATTGGAACTTTTAGTGGCCCGAGAAAATGAGAAACCCACGCCACACCCGTCGGCAATCTGGAAAAAAAAAATTCATGGGAGAAAAATTTTCCCTCCAAAAAAGTTGGGTTAATCGATACACGGTCACAGTTGGGAATGATCTTATCAGTTCATTCTACTGGTCGCCTTCCTAAATGTGTATAAAAAAAAAGTCATTGCCGTGATCAACACCAGTCGTTTGGACAAACATTTAAGTGATTTTATGTAGTAAATAGGATTCCAAAAGAGAAATCAAGGTGCTTGGGAAAATATCGAGCTCTTGAAGAACGGTTTAGGAAAATAATGACACGTTGTTCTTTGAGGAAAACTGTGCTGGTATCGCCTTATACCCTGCAAAGGCAAATCAGATCTGAGTCAAATTTTCAATTCCCGCCGCCAACCATCACTCACGCGTACCTGCACACCCAAATCCCGTTTCGAAAAGATATAAAAGAAGGTCGCTGAACACCCTCGCGTCGATTTTCTTCTTCTTCTTTTTTTCTTTAGCTTTAGAGTCTTTTTCTACATTCTACACATCATACATCATGGTCGTTCAAGTCGGTATTAACGGGTAAGTTTTGATACACTGCTTTTTATTCTGTTTGGTCCATGGCTGGGTTCATGCAGACAACCAGGATTTACTCATACTCATACGCGTATCGGATAGTTTCGGTCGTATTGGTCGCATTGTCCTCCGTGCTTCCATTGAGAACCCCAACGTTGAAGTCGTTGCCATCAACGATCCTTTCATCCCCTTGGACTACATGGTCTACATGTTCAAGTACGACTCCACCCACGGTCGTTTCAACGGTACCGTTGAAGCCAAGGATGGTAAGCTCGTTGTGAACGGCAAGTCCATTGCTGTCCACGCTGAGCGTGATCCCTCTCAAATCCCCTGGGGTCAGTCCAACGCTTACTATGTTGTTGAATCCACTGGTGTCTTCACCACCATTGAAAAGGCCAAGGCTCATTTGGTCGGTGGTGCCAAGAAGGTCATCATCTCGGCTCCCTCCGCTGATGCTCCCATGTTCGTCTGCGGTGTCAACTTGGAAGCCTACAAGTCCGAATACCAAATCATCTCCAACGCTTCCTGCACCACCAACTGTTTGGCTCCCCTTGCCAAGGTCATTGATGACAACTTTGGTATCGTCGAAGGTTTGATGACCACTGTCCACGCTACCACTGCTACCCAGAAGACCGTTGACGGTCCCTCTGGTAAGGACTGGCGTGCCGGTCGTGGCGCTGGTGCCAACATCATCCCCGCTTCCACTGGTGCTGCCAAGGCTGTCGGTAAGGTTATCCCCCACTTGAACGGCAAGTTGACCGGTATGTCCTTCCGTGTCCCCAACCCCGATGTCTCCGTTGTCGACTTGACTGTCCGCCTCGAAAAGGCCGCCTCTTATGACGACATCAAGGCCGCTATCAAGAAGGCCTCCGAGAACGAGCTCAAGGGTATCCTCGGCTACACCGAAGACGAAGTCGTCTCCACTGACTTCTTGGGTGATGCCCGCTCTTCCATCTTTGATGCCAAGGCCGGTATCTCTTTGAACCCCAACTTTGTCAAGGTAAATTATACAACAAAATCATCAGCGCAGGATATAAGGACGGGGTGGAAAGAAAATAGGAGGGTGGGAAGGACTTGTGTGTATGTGTGTGTGTGTGTGTGTGTGTATCTGTGTGCGCAAGAATGGGTGGCAAAACGGTGAGGCGATTTAAACATTGTTGACATGGAAACTGACTCTTCTCTTTCTGCTTTTTTCTAGTTGGTCTCCTGGTACGATAACGAATTCGGTTACTCCAACCGTGTCATCGACCTCTTGATCCACGCTGCCAAGGTCGACGGTGCTCTCTAAATGCACTGCCTTCAATGTCTTTTTGATCCTTTTTTTTGCCATGCCCATCATGTATATAAAAACCATCCATCATCTTGAATGAATGGTCCTTTCTCTTTTTTCTTTTATCATTGCATCAAGAAATAAATGGAAAAAAAAAGAATACAGACACTTTGCGAGTCTGTCATTCTTTTGTTTGAATGAATACATTTAAACCGCTGGTTTACCCATTGTTCTCTGATTATTCACATTTTGTCTTTATGGTGATCGCCTCATTCTACAAATGTTGCGTGATTTTTTTCATCGTTCCATGTTTGAACGGTTTGTTTTGGTTTCGGTCTGCTTTGGGTCATTCGCATGTGCATATTGTTTATGCTGTGTCCTGTCAAAGCGCCGCGTTTCGGGTCGTCATTTTTTCTCGGAACTCGTCGGAGTTTCAACTACTGGTCAACATTGGTCGACGTTGTTGCACCATGCCCGGCCACACGTGAATATCATTCCTGCTCGTTCCCTCTGCTTCGCCGTGTTGCTCCGTTTGTTCATCCTTAAGATGAAGCTCACCTTCTACTCATTGGGCCCCGGTCCCGTTTTCTCACGCTTTTTGCATCTCGTCATATTCCTCCACAAAAAGCTCTCGGACCATTCCTGGACTGTAAATAAAAACGCGCTAGTGCCTCGTTATTTTTTCTTTTCTCAGCCAACCAACGTCCGGGACACTTTATTCGCTTCATTAGTTACTTCTAGACATGTCGTGCTACAAGCCGAGATGATGGAGTAAATAGAAGGAGTTTCTTGGATGTGGTTACACCGTCCCGAAATATCGTCATGCTCATTTTTTTATTTTTATTTTCCACAGGACGCGAAAGCCCAAGATCGACCAATGTTCATGTGTAACGAGCACTGACGTAAATTCTTATTCCTAAATTGGGGTTAGTTTCCTTCCCCCATACTTTTTTCGCAGCACCCTCCATTGGAATCCAGATCGTAGAGGAACAGAAAAACTCAATATATTAAAAACAATTGGATCCGCGACAGTTCAGTGTTGAAAATGACAAATCCACAATCACTGAAATTTTGAAACTAGAACTTTTGGAGGTGTAACTATCGAAATTCGGGCCGAAATTTTTATTCTGGCAACAAACAATGAATTCGATATGGCATGATTCGAGGCTCTGTTATTTTCCTCTATTCTCATGCTGCGATCGTCGAGGCGCATGGAATAAGTCAGAATATTATCAGTCTCAAAAGAGCCGATCCTGAGCCGTGGAACGATGACATTATATAGCTTTTGGCCCAAGCCAAGTTACTGTAATTCTGTGATCGCCATCTGCCTTGAATGGGCTATATCGCATCATTACAATGCTGTTTGTTTCCGGTCTTTTTTTTTCATTTTATTTTTACACTCGATATCTTTCAAAGTGATGAGTCAATGCAACTCTATCAGGTCGCTTCCATTCTACAATCAATTGGCTCAGATCGCATGAATTATAGACAGGATGAAACATTGATTAATGGTTCTTCCTTTTTGTTTTTGCTTTTGTTTTCTTCCCTTTTTCCTTTACCCTTTGATGCTATGATTACTCTTGTAAAGCTTATTTGTCCGCTTTGCGGTTTGGATGAGTACTATGAAGAACCCAGAAGTTTAATCATGCATTGCTTTGAGGAACATGACCAGGTGTTCCCGCCCAGACTCAGACGTGTACACGACATCACACGGAAAAAGTGGAACGCGAAAAATATCGCCAAGTATCCAACCGCGCCTGTGAGGCTAGCTTGTCTTTGCTGTTCTTTGCTGTTCAAAGAAAGAAGGGAATTGGAAACTCACATGTGTCGGGATCATATTCGCTTGCAAGTCAAAAAAAGAATAGGGAAAAATAAAAAGTAGAAAATGTGTACTAACAACAACTGCGTCTCCGATTTTCTGCTTTGTAGCCATTATGAATCCGACGTCGGGTCAGAATACAGCTCATTTGATACCTCAGAGGACGAAAGCCAACAGGACGAGTAAGTGAATCAAATCAACGGGCAAACGCAAGCCTTCTTCGAACGATTGATATCGCCGTTTCTTCCTTTTGGTAGCAGTGACGGATCATGCAATGATAGCGCAGACACGTGGATGGTGGGTGACATCAACGTATCCGCATTATTTCGAGGAATCCGCGATAGCAATCCAAACGATCCACTGTCTGACGACGAAAGTGATGCTCAAGTGTTTACATCTCAGTCATGTAATTTGTCCCTCGCATACGGTCCTCATTTTCCTGACAGCATCCTCTATATAAATGCAATGAACACGTACGAAGATTGGCCCCCGGACCACTTTTCTCCAGCTCTGTTGAAGGCCATGCGGCATGATCTTCTCGGCACAATACAGTTTCAAAGAACCATGACCCCTAGTACGGCTATTTCAATCGAGGATACGCTCATGGTATGTTTGTATATATAAATATATTTTAAGAAAAAACAAGACAAGATGACAATCTTCTTTATTATTATTATCTATCGTCCTCATCAAAGGCGTTTCGAGACGACGTTATGGATGGCCTAGAAGCCGAATTTCAGCTTATCGCCTTGGCTAGGACTGTAAAAGGTGCTGAAAGACAAGTTGTTCTTGCCATTGCATCCCTGTAAGATTTTTTTTTCGCTCATGTGGTTATGAGTATGTCATGTAACTTTGTTACTTTTTTCTTTTAGGATTCCTGCGTTGAAAGGCCGGGACGCTGGACGTCTTCCTGCAAATCAGCTGATGGCGTCGCATATCCATCCCTTTATGCAGTGTTTCTTTGCCATTAATCGACCGCAAAAGAGCTCTTGTTTGTAAGTGTCGACTATATCTCATTGATGGCTTATCACGCAATTGGCTTATGTAATTTTTGTTTTTACCATGTTATCCAGTCACGATAATATGACGACAGAAAACGACGGTAAAAAGCGGTCAGACTACGTTGTCAATATCTGTGGACAGAATCGAGACACCTTTCCAAGCTGCGTAGGGGGAGGGACCGATGAAGGCACTTCTGAGTGTCTCATGACCAAAGCCACCACGGTTGCTGGTTATTCCATGAAAGCTATCTATGAACATCATCTCGATGGTATCCTATCTTTCCGAACAATTGGTAAGCCGTTAATTGCGCTGATTCAAATATAGTCTTGGATTCATCTTATAAAATAGATGAAATCATCACGTTTTACTACATGACTCGTCGAGGTGGGTTTCTGCCATTCGTAGAATTGGCGTCCGTCGCCATACCAACTCAGAAGCAATCCATCATGTCACTTGTTTCATCACTTGATGATCTGGTTTCTGTGTGCGTTTTACACGAAACCATCGCTAAAAGGGACGTGGTGGATGGTGCACCAAAGCCAAAATCGGTGCCGCTAAAACGACCTTCTTCATCTAGTTCCATGCCCTCACTGTAGTCGTTAAAACGGTGAATTTGCTCTTTCCCTTCTTTCTCTTCAACCTTTCATCCTTTGCTATTCTGGCGCAGCAGGCTCTCATGTATTCCCCTCCATAACATGTCATCTCTTCTCTGATAGTTGGCTTAACTCTCTTACCGATCGTTTGCTTTATTATCAATAATAGCTAATTGCTGGACGTAGTTGCAGTTGCTGTTACGGTTTTTGCATGTGATTCTTTTTCTTTTACAGAAGCTGATTTTTCATTTTGGAGATGGTTTTGTTTGTCCGAATTCGCCGTCGATCGTTAAATCTTATACCTATGCTCTTCCACATGATGGTTTTCATCGGTAAGTGACTCAGAGGATCGGGTGATCATAGGGCCTGACAGGAACATAGCTCTGTGTGATTAATATTCATGGCATTGGTTCCTCGTTTTGCCACGATTATTCAGCTCCATTAATTACGTCTCCAGTAGCTCGCCACATGGAGAAAGCCGCACAATTTCGCAACATCATGTATCAATGGCACGCGATCTGAATGAACACAGACAACAGAAGGAACAAATGACATCGGACGAGAGCACTTTTTTATGCAGTATTTTTTGATCCATCTAACCACGGCAACCATGTTTGCAGTGGCAACCAACGAAATTGCAGGCTCCAACACCACAATACGGGGTGCCAAAACTTCCGTCGCTGCATAGCTTGACACCGGGCCAAAACTTATTGAGCGCATAGCAGCATTTGGCAGACACGCTGTGGAGGCTGACTAACACGGACAGTAAAGCAAAAAGTAAAACGTACTTCAACATGTACGAGAGATCGGTTGCGCTGTATCATTGTACCGATATTAAAAAGGAAGGTTGGTGACTGTCTCCAATGCCATGATCAATTGATTATAAAAATTACCTTTTCGAATCTGCAGCCGTGTGTGAATTGTTAAAAGCTAAACTATGTGTCATACAGCTTTATACGTGCGCTCTATGGCCAACGAGCCGCCTGCTGATACGAATAGCTGGGTGGGGAATAAATGCATAGCAATACAATACCGACTGAATACCCACGTTCGAAATGTCGATCCTTTTTCTCACGCGCTGTGTAAGGGCTCCCACCAAAGCCCCTTCATCTATCCCGATATTTTTTTAGACATTGCAACAAACCAACATTCGGTTACAATTATAATTTCTCTTGTCAGGTGTATCTGAGGGCTGTACTACCTTGTGAGATATGTGTTTCTCGATCGTGCAGACCGAAAAAGGATCCGTTCTGTGTAATCCGATCGCCCAACAAGGTATGATTTTTTGTTGTCAAAAACGTCACAGTGAATCATGTTCCAAGTCCGCCTATCGATCGGAATTTCATGCGAAGGACAGGCTCTTGTCTGTCACTTTTTATCAAGTCGCTCACTCACTCACTTACCCATGTCACCACTCACCGTCTACGTTTCTGGTCATACCAACGATACCAGCCGTGGCATATATCAGTATGAATTCGATACAGAGACTGGCGTATTAACACCGAAAGGCTTGGCGGCCGAATCAAAGAATCCTACTTTTTTCGCATTCCACAAAAGTGGTCAGCATCTGTACGCTGTCAATGAAGTGGCAGAGTACAAGGACCTGCCGACTGGGTATCTGTCGGCGTACAATGTCGACAAGGATACTGGCAAACTGACGTTGGCCAACGAACAACCGACCGACGGTGAAGAGCCCTGTCACCTTGCTCTTGATACTATTGGCGGCGAGTACGTCTTGGTTGCCAACTACAGTGGAGGTTCGGTCGCGTCGTTCCCCATCATTTCACCCGGTTCACCTCAATCGAGGTTGGGCGAAGCTGTCTGCGTTCATCGTCATGCCAATCATCACAAGGCCAGTGGAGGTATTCCTGACCGTCAAGAAAAGCCCCACGCTCACTCGGTGGACATTGACCCTACGGCTCACAAGTGGATGATCTCGATGGATTTGGGCTGTGATTTAGCTATTGTCTATCAATTCGATCGGCGTAACGGTGGTAAGCTGGCTCCTCACAGTACGTTCCAATTTCCCAAGGGAACCGGGCCTCGCCATTTGAAATTTGCTCCTCACAACGACGGCTACTGCTACGTGATCAGCGAATTCTCCAACGTCATTTTTATGCTCGAGTTCAACTTTTTGGAGGGTAAATTCTATGAGGTGCAACGTATTAATGGCTTGCCCGATGATTTCAAGGGTGAAAATCTGGGTTCCGAGATTGATATTTCTCCCGACGGTAAACACCTGTACGCTTCCATGCGCGGCCACGATTCCATCGCCATGTATACCATTGATGAATATACGGGCAAATTATCCCTGATTGGACATCAGTCTTCGGGTGGCAAGCATCCCCGTCACTTTACCATTGATCCCAAGGGTCGCTTTTTGCTGGTGGGCAACAAGGTACGTTTACTTCAGGGGTCACAGGGGAGAGAGACACCGATGAATTAAACAATTTTTTTTTTGTTTCACCTTAGGATTCAAATAATATCACTGTATTCAAAATTGATCAAGAGACGGGTCGTTTAACCGAGGTTCACAAAGCGGAGCACGAGCAACCCACTTGCATCAAATTCCGTCCATGATGATACTGTGGATTAGAAAGACAAAAAAGAGGAGGAATATGTATAAAAACAATGAAAATAAACTGGATGGAATATACAGAAAGATGACAAATTTATGAGGATGATCCTTGGTTCGACTGAGCATTCAAGAGCTCTTGCATGCGTTGCTGTGCCTACCATCCGATATCTCTTGGTCAGCCATTGCCAGAGCAATGATCCACAGATCAAATTGATTTTTTCTTACCTTTGCTGTCAAGTAATGGAACACGGCTTCCTTGATCCAAGGCTGTTTATAAAACTCGCTTTGTCGCATTTCTTCCAAGTTCACACGGCTGTCTCCCATGATCACTTCGAGATCCCGCGCCTGACTGGCGATCCACTTGTTGATGAACTCAATAGGGTGACCGGCAAATTGCGTCAAGAAATCGCGCTTAATTTTTGAATTGTTGATACTCTGAACACATTGAACGATCTTGTCATCCAAATTCATGATTTCGCGTTGCAGCGGTGTCGAAGACACCACATTCATCATCTTTTGGCGTACTACACTGTCCAATTCTACGTCGATATCATAAGCGTTGGTCGACTGATGAAATTCTCTATCCACACTAAAGTCCTTTTGTCAGTATGCCTTTATATTATTCCCGCCATTCAATCGTGTGCTTACCGAATCGTATAATTCAGTACAATGGGGTCGGGCCGTGCCAGGTGTTGATTGATCATATCGGGTAACTGTGAAAAGTCGATCTCCTCGACACCAAACACCTATTCATCGTGAATTCAATTAACTCCGTACAAAGATCCCAAAGAAAAAGAAGATGACAATGATGTACCTTTTTTAACGGCTCATCGCAGTGGATAAGCCGCATATTATTGGCATCTTGTAATTTGTGATGCTGCGCAAAAAGAAAACAATTCATCAATACTGGGACGTCTTTGCATGACTTGAGCGCAGACAGTTCACCTTGACATAATTCCAAATGCCCATGATCACTTGAGGTTTGGTTTCCAGCTTCATATCAACCAAATCGGCTAACGCTGGGCTCAGTTTGAACTTTTGTGGATTATACTCTGGCACAAGAATGATGCGAGCATTGACATCGGTATCCCCCTTTCGTTTCACTTCCACACCGTCATAGTCTCCACTGTGTGCCTGTTTATGCCACTAAAGATAATAACTGAATGAGAAAAAAGGCATCCCTCAAGGCGCTGTTTTCCTCATTGTTACCTCAATAATATTGCCTTCAGGATACAGATTCGGGTCACGGTCCAGCTCGACAAGAATGGTTCGAAAAAAGGAGGTAAATTTTTGTACAGGTTGGGCTTTTTTTGTAGGAATCGGTGGCTATGAGCGTTTCCAATAAGTAAAGCTGGCCAGAGAAAAGAACTGGGGCGATTTAAAAACACAACAAGGACTTACATCCAACAGACGTCCTTCGACCTTTAAAGTCCATGACGGCGCATTGCCGCTATTGAATTCAAAGGCGTTTTCTTCATCGGCTTGCTGGCCTGATTCCGATTGATCGGCGGCTGTGTTGGAGATAAAAATACGCAAGGTTCGGCGTACCTGATACCGATAACAAAAAAAAAAAAAAGAAAATTGTGAGCTGACCGTGTCAACGACGTGAGCTCGAGAATGGCGTATTTACTTTGGTGGGTTTGCCTATAGCTTCCTGAATCTCTAATCGGGTGCGCATGATGGTGGCATCCAATTTTTTATCAAACTCATTCAGCTCAGTATACAGTCTGGATTCGGGAATGAACGCTTCGATCTGGTTGAGAACGTGGTCTACATTAATGGAACGACACTATACAAAAAAAAAGGGCGGCCAATCTTACTTTGGGTGGCAAGTTGCGATCCACAGGTCGCTTTTTCCTTGTTGCACATTCTAATGTAAGTATAGGTTCCCTATATTTCGATCAAATTGTAGGCCTACTTTATGTGTCTTGCCAAAGAATCGCCCTCATTAGGTCGTTTACGAAACTGGAGGGGATATGACTGCATCGTCTGCAAAAAGTAAGAATGTTCAGACACACACGCTTTTTTTTTTCCTTTTTGGCCGCTACAATTAAGGCAATATTTTCATTTTCCGCTCACCCATTCTCTTGGAATATGCTGTGGCAGCCGTTTCCACGTAGTTGTTGGCTGACCTTTAATGCCAAAAAGGAAAAGAAAGAGAGTATTCAGCTATACGCTCTGTAGACTCTGACATAATCGTTAGTCTGATAAATGTCACCGCTTGTGGAGCTCTCACAAAGTAAAAAACACACACAGAAGCACCGGGTGGGTAGTTTATCCTTTTATTCAGGGACCAACTGGAGAACGACATTAAAGCACACGAATCAACAAGCTTCGTTTGAATATATTATTGTCATTTATGTACAGACCGATGCTGTCCATATCTTTAGCTCATTCAACAAGCCGGTCTTTTTGCTGCTCATATCAGCAATGACGACATGGAATGTATTCGTCATTTCCTTGTGTTTCTCAGGGTTTTGAAATTATCTATATAATAGACAATAGACAACACGGATTAGCGTTGCTTTGTTTGTGAAGAGGTATTTGAAGAGGCATGATTTGGATGGTAGCATGAATTTTCGTCACGTGCTTGTACGTCAGCGGCGGTTCATTGCCTTATTTTTTTCTCTTGCGTCGACTTTATCTCCGGTCCCTTGGTTTGGACGGTTTTCTTTTCTTATTTCTTTCTTCATCGATCGTCATGTCGAAATATTCGTCTTCGGGCTACACGCCTTCCGCTGCGTCGCAGCAACCAGTGGAAGATACAGGTGATAATAACTAGACGAGTTTCTCTTACCGGTGCTTTCGGCTTTGGCGGTTGAAGCACTTTTTTTTTTTCGGCGACACGCGAATCACTCATTCAGGCACTTTTGTTACAGCGCGCATCATGGATAAAGCTTGGGAAGTCATTCAGCAGAAAAGTAAGTCCAAGAACATGTTGTTTTCAGACTGATCGTTGTTTGACTGACTCGGTTGTGGAATATAGCTTTCACAAAATGGTATGATTTCCTTTCTACTCTGGAAAATCGGCGCACGGACATTTAAAAAAAAGGGCCACTTTCATTCAGGGTGAACAACAAACTCGACATCAAAAGCATACCGCATATCCAAAATCTCAGTGACGATCTTGCCAACGGTGTTCGCCTTATCCAATTATTAGTAAGTGCTAAAAAAAAATGACGTACATACGCATCATCCTGCGCGAATGTCAAGCCCACCGTTGTTTGAAAAGGAAATCATCGGTGATGCCGTCTTGGGTCGCTATAATAAGAACCCACGCATGCGCATTCAGTACGTTGAAAATGTCAATATGGCCTTGGAATTCATTAAACAACGCGGTGTGGCACTCACCAATATTGGTGCAGAAGGTAAGTCCTGGATCATTTTCAAAAGTTGGTCTGGTCTAATGCATTCATGCTCCGAGATAGACATTGTCGACAAAAATTTAAAGCTTGTTTTGGGAATGCTGTGGACCATTATTCTGCGTTTCACTATCGCCGATATCAAGTAAAACATCTTTTGTGGAAATACATGTGATCCCGTTTCTGTCAACTTACTGTGATTGCGTTGCATAGCCAAGAAGGAAAGAATGCCAAGGAAGGTCTTTTGTTATGGTGTCAACGCAAAACAGCGCCCTATCAGGAGGTCGATGTACGCGACTTTACCTACAGTTGGACAGATGGTTTAGCCTTGTAAGACTTTTTTCTTTGAAAAGCCAATTCATCGTACATCTTTTTTTCTAATTTTTTTGAAATGTAGTTGTGCTTTGATCCATCGCCATCGACCAGATCTTCTCGATTTTTACAGTCTTGATATGGTACACCTCAAAACAAGCTTCCTTTTTTGTAACGTTTCCTAACGTTGTTCTTTTTCACAGAATGACCGACATGGGAACACGGCCCTGGCTTTTGATGTTGCAGAGAAACATCTCGGTATTCCGGTAATGTTTTTGTTGAATGAGACTGTATCACTGTGGCCCCAAGCACTAAACGAAAAACGCCTGGATATAGAAACTTTTGGATGTTGAGGATGTTTGCGATATTTCAAAGCCAGATGAACGTTCCGTGATGACTTATGTCGCTGAATATTTCCACGCATTTTCGGCACTAGGTAAATATCTAAGACTGACGAAAAAAATGGAGATCCAGGGGATTTGAGGAAATCTCATTGCGCAACCTATTGATAGACAAGGTGGAAACCGCCGGCCGACGTGTCGCCAAATTTGCCGAAGTTATGGCGTCGATTTGGCAAATGCAGCATGATTATGAAGAGCGCGTATTAAGGGTATGGCGGATGTACAAATACTTGATTTGTTCATGCCATTTTCTGACTCTTTTTTCTTTATCCGATAGCTAATGGAAGCCGTAGCCGACATTCAAAGCAAGTGGCGATCGACTCAACTAACGGATCGGTACCTAGACGCCAAACAGAAAGGCACCGAATTCACCAACTATAAAAATGGTCAAAAGAGAGAATGGGTAGCTGAAAAGCGCGATTTGGACTCGTTGTTGGGAAATATCCAGACAAAATTGAAAACCTATAATCTCAAACCATACTATCCGCCTCAGGGATTAACTTTACCGGTAACTCGTTTTTTAACATGGGTCCTTCTGTCATTGATACTAACGGTTGGCATCCTCAGGATCTCGACAATGTATGGCGTGATCTACTGCAGCATGAAGCCGACTATCATCGAAGTATTAACAGCAAACTAAGACAGTAAGTGGAGTTATACAGAACTATCACTTTCAGGGCGTATTTTTACCGGTGTTCAGAATCAAAGAAAATCTGCGCAAAGCTTATGCGAACAGCGCCAATTCCTTCCAACAGCAATTGGATCAAATTTCGGCCGAGCTTGCCTCGTTGGATGGTGATTTAAATGTAAATTTTGCCACATACAGATGCACCAGATGATTCTTGTCATTCTAAATTTTTTCTTTATAGCAACAACTGAACAAGGTCCATCGTATCACGGAAAAAGTGCCTCCATTGATTTCATCCTTACGACAAGTGGAAGGATTAGACAAAGAGTGTACTGAAGCTAATACGGAAGAAAATGACTATACTGTCTATTCGGTGGAAGATCTGACTTTTGGTCTCGATTTGGTGCAACAAGCGATACAGAAAAAGAGTGCCTTTATTCAAAATCAGGTAATAGGATAAAAAAGCATGGCATGAAAAAAGATAGTTGCGATATGAGGGAGCGAAAAACTGAACCTCGGTGGGTAGATTGTATCACGCAATATGACAAACTTGACCCCGGCTCAATTGGAAGAATTTGAACAAGCCTTCCGTCACTTTGACAACGACTACAGCAACACTTTATCAAGAACTGAATTCAGCGCGGCGTTGGCAAGTTTGGGCTTATTTTACGAGGAGCATGAATTCCAGAATCTGTTTGATCGCATTGCTGAAGGACAAGATGAAGCGTCTTTTGAGCAGTTCATTCGATTCATGGTGTCCATCACCGAAGACAAGTCCACGCCGGAACAATTACGGGACTCGTTCCGAACCATTGCAGGCGAAAAGCCATATGTCACGGAACTCGATTTGAAAATGTGCTTGGTACCTGTGCCTGTCATCGATTATCTCAAGCATGAAATGCCGCAAGCTCGCGAAGACAACAATGGCTTTGATTATAATTCCTATGTCAGCCAGGTGTTCAAATAGACGGGATTCACTTGGATTGAACTCCTTTGGGAAGATGAAAAAAAAGAGGTCCGTTACTTACAACAGGAACACTTGTCAAAGAGTGGTTATTTTTCAATACATTGTAGATGTCTACTGTACATGCAGCGCCCTAAAAAAAGGCTCATTGAAAAATCGCTTCCGAATAAAAAGGGTTCACCATGTTGGATATTCTCAATGGCGAAAAAAAGAGAGACCATAAAAAAAGGAGTTTGCAACTCGAATACTTTTTTTTTTCTGTCAAAGTAGAAACACATCTAACCTTGTGAAGATGAAATGGAATACATCCATCGTCATGCTAAGCATATCTTACCGAGTTCTATTTATGGCCATATGGATTACTGTAATGAGCATGTTCAGTTTTGTTCAAGGTCTGGTTGAAAGTCGTCGATTATGAGACAAAATTCCAACGGTTCATCTGCGGCCTGATTCTTGACGATGAATATCTCGCTGCTACTTGAATAACCAGGAGGGTGGCACTTGACAGAATCATGACGCTCTTTCTATTCGACTTTTTTGACCACTGTATGGATGAAAGACAGAAGAGAGTGAGGCTAGTGCTAGCCAGGGGTTAGCAATAGAGGGATCAGTCTTATTAAAAGCTACTACTGAGATCTCTCATTTGTGGTTCGCAAAACGGTAGCTTAGCATATAAACGTTGGGACACGTCCTTTTGCCATATTCTCAATGGATCATCTATGGCATCACCCTCTTTTAAGCAGCGAATATTAGCATGTGGAGATGTGGATCATTTTCGTGTTCTAAATCGTCCATCGTGACCTCGCTTAAGCAAGCATAATCAATCTATTTTATGCTTTCATATTAGCATATCTTGATTTCTGTTTCCCTTTTCTGCTCTATTCTCTTGCTTTCCCATTTTTTTGTTTTTGCCCTTGATTGCTTCTTTCTTTTGTTTACCATTATATTTTGTGTAAAAATTTCATATAATTATTAGCAATGGTACTGGGTAATCGATATTCAGGTACCGTTTTACCTGCAGACGTGGAGAAAAAAGCAAATCAGGCTCGACCGCGCTCCCGTCTACCTTTCCTCCTGAAATTTCGATCTTCCAACCAATTCATCTTTTGTACAGCCGCCATTGGATTATTTACCAGTGTAAAATACAGGATGCCACGGGCCGTTGCAAGTACACCCGAAAAACTGATGGCCCTTTTTCATTTTTATAGACCTTTGTTCATTCCATATTATTTCCACTGGCACCATTCATCGTAAGCTATATTAAACATGGCACCGACGATCTGGCTCATGCAGACGAGCAAAATGCTTCGACTTCATCGGAAACCGGTATCTTGGTAGCTGCTTATGCCATTGGATTACTAGGTAGCACGGATATTTCATATTATGCAAAATGGATACCATCGTGTAACATGGCAATCACTGATGGATTGAGGACTCTGTTGTAGTTGGATCACCGATATTTGGTTGGTTGGGCGATAAGACGACGCAACGACGACTACCAATGCTTTTGGGCATTACGGCATCACTTGCAGCCAATGTATTATTCATGTTTAGCATCGCTTACTGGATGCTTTTATCTGCGCGTTTCTTGCAGGGAGTCTCCAACGCTTGCGTATGGACCATGTGCTTATGCTTGATTGCCGATAATTGGCCCATAGAACAATTAGGTAAGTCTACTTTGCTCCTGACCTCTAATGTGTGTTTAAATTTATTCAATGGCACTGTGATGGTTCCAGGGTTGCAGATGGGCAAATTAATTGGATTCTATCCACTGGGCATGGTCCTCGGGTTGCCCGCCGGAGGTAAGCCTTTTAATTCGTTGACATTGCACTTGTGATATCCCCATCTCATTCGCATGCTGTATAGGTGGTATGTAGTCAAGACGCTAGTCAGCCTTTCACAGCATGTGCGCTTTAACGATATATTGTGCGTTTTTCTGTTGATAGTGTTATACAGCAAGTTGGGTTATCAGGCTCCTTTTATCGCCTCCATCATACTATGCGGATTGGATTTTATCATGCGATTGTCCATCATTGAGCGTACCTCGGCTCCCAAAGAATGGTTTCAAGACGCCACCAGCAAGGCCGACGTGGCTTCGCTGGAATCCAAGATAGAACAGGGCGACGAACAAAGTTCCGTGGACGAAAGAGTGTCTGAAAAAACCGTACTGCGCCGCATCACATTGATGCAATTGCTGAAACGACCGCGACTTTTGGTTTCCCTTGCCCTAAACGTGGTTGTAGCGTCCGCCATGAGTGCTTTCGAAGTAAGTCATAACAAAGATAAAGATTCCATGCGCGGGTATCGAATATTTTTTGTTTTTCTTATCCTGCAACAGCCTACTCTATCAATGCGATTGGCAGCCGAATGGGAATTTGATGCGGCACGATGCGGACTGATCTTGCTGTCTTACATGGTACCTTGTATCGCTTCGAGTGCTTTCTGTGGATGGTTATGTGACAAGTATGGAACCAAGATTGTGGCTCTGGTTTCGTTGGTTCTCGTTGGACCGACCTGCGTGGCCATGGGAATCCCCGATCGGAACATGTCCTTTTGGACGTTGGTGCCTATTCTTATGTTGGGTGGTATGACCATCGCAGGATGCCAGGCCCCTGTGTTTCCTGAAATTGCTCAAGTGGTTGCGGAGGAAAATGAAGATCCAAACGATCGGAACGGTATCGCGCGAAGCTATGCTTTGGTCAATGCAGCGTATGCCGTGGGCTTATGTGTTGGGCCTTTGCTAGCAGGTTATGTGTATGGTCAAGTGGGATTTTTCTGGCTTTGCTTCATTCTTGCCATGATTTTCGTCATTTGTATTCCCTTGGTTTATTTTTACATGGGCGGTAACCGCTCGAAACTTATTACCACTTCAAAACCCTCCCTCACTTGTTCCTTATCTTAAACTACCCTGTATCGTACTGTATTACTGAACACAAACAGACGTATTAGCACGTCGTTATAAATATACACAAAGAGCTATTCTAGCTCCTCGTTAACTGTTAAACAACCGAGAGTATAGTCGATCGTGCATCCCTTGACACACATCCAGCAACGGATTCGTTTGGTGACAGTTGTCCATGGAGATATCTTTGGTATGTTTGGTAATCTTTTCAATCGGTTCACGTGACAGCAGCAACAGTCTCTGTGCTTCGTATGGACCAACAATATTCAGTCGAACCGCCGATGAATAAATCGTACGTGTGAATAAGTACAGCCATAAATGTAGCGTATTATCTGTCAATGAATCCACCCGTCAGCGAAAAAAAAAAAGGTCCCACTGTTGTCACGACAATGGATTGTTCCGCACTTACCGAGATCCACATCCAGATATCGACATACAAGGCCAAAACAGACAGGAAAATGACCGTCTGTTTTCTCGGCACGAATCATATTTTTGAACTTCTTGACCACGGTGAGATCTTTATCGTGGGAGGTTTGTACGAAACATTTGATATACAAGGTCAGCATGGCCACGCCTTGCGCCAATGAGGCTCGACGTGCCACACTGTTGGAGACCATGACGGCATCACACACGGCGTCGCACTCCTTTAGCGCTGTGAGAGGATCTTCCGCATCCAGTGCTTCGTAACCGGCCCGCACAAAACAATTGGTTTGAGCGGCGTAAGAATGGGCTGAATTGGTGACAAACGGAGGTAAAGCCTCGGCATTCAAAAGACCAGCTTGATAGGATGCCTCGAGACCGGACGATGCGACAAAACCGCCAGTAGGTAAAGCGGAATCCGTCAAAATATAAAGAAGCCAACTACTCGTTTCACTCGAAACAAACGGATTCATGGCCGGCAAATCAATGGGCGATGGAAGAAAACGTCAATCGATCTTGGGAATCCCCCCTTTTTTTTCCAGATTCAAAATGAGCAAGTGTGGGGGGAGAGGGAACCAATGAATCCCACGGCGGAGATTGACACCATTTGGACATTTGCTTGTCAGCATCGCGATCTCTTTTTATTACGGTTTTTTTGATAGTAGTGAAATAGCCAAGGAAAAAAATTGTAAACTGCTAAAATGTTACCTCTCCTTTTGTCTTTTTTTTTCTTTTTATCGGAATGAATAATGATAGGATGAATAGTTTAGTGAAAGAGTGATTTTACTCGTAGGATTTAACAATGACACCTTCAGTAGGCTTGAGCGTATATCTGTGCTTTTCGAAAACTTGAGAATGAAGGAATGGTTGCAAATCATAGATATGCATTCGCCGTGCCTAGAGAGCGGATATCCCTTGGTTAATAATGCACTGGGTCATTTTTTTCACAATTCAATAAAAAGGCCACATACCCTATTTTCGAAATCTTCCATCTTGATGCTGACTTCGCTAGGAAGAGCCTTATGCTTGAGTTGATACAGTCGTCGGCTTTCCTTGCACAGACCATCCAATGTGGACAGTAGCAATTCATCGTAATCATGGGTCTGATTGATATACTTGGCAAAACGCTACGGGAAATAAAAAAATAAGTACAAATCGGATCGACAAAGCATGAGCGATATGATGCACTTACTCGACGCAAAGTCTTCATCATGCTGTATTTCTGTGCACTGATGAAACTGTCCAGAGCCACCTTGATAGCCATGTCCACATCATCGGAACGTACGTATTCTCGAAGATGCATGCGAGCGTTGGCTTCTGCTAAACGGATCATCGATTCCAAGTGACGCACCGTGATGGGAACGCTGCCACTGGCCAGTGACTCTTTTCTCAACTCGGAATATAATCGCGACAACTTGTCTTCATCCACTTGCTGCAATTTGGGATGAATCTTTTCACGAGCGTACATGATGTATTTACGAAGAATATCTTGAGGAATAATCTAATAATAGCACGACGTATCCCGTTTAGTGATATGATCCACTCGAGAGAGTAATCTCGTTGACTTACTTCAGGATCTTCTTCCATGGGTTGTGCAAAATGGCTTGTGGCCGCGCTGTACAAGGGATGGCTTCGTACGTGACTATTGATGACATTGGTCGCTAAAATATGATCTTGTTCGGGATCCACAATATCCTTCACCACACAAAGGACGTCAAAACGCGACAAGATGGGTTCTGTCAATTCGACGTTTTGAGAAAATGGAATAGAGGCATTGTAACGACCACGGATAGGATTGGCAGCAGCAATGATGGAGCAGCGAGCTTGCAATGTAGTAACGATACCAGCTTTGGAAATGGAAATGGACTGTTGTTCCATTGCTTCGTGAATGGATGTTCTAGAAACCCAGAAAAAAATGGGAATGATGAGAAAAAAGGCCAGCTTTTAGCACGAGCATCCAATAGAGCAACGTACCTGTCTGCGTCATTCATCTTGTCAAACTCGTCAATCAAACAGACACCGCGATCAGCCAACACCAGTGCACCACCTTCCAAAGTCCATTCACGTGTAATAGGATCTTTGTGGACGGATGCGGTTAAACCGACCGCACTGGCACCTTGACCTGTCGTGAAAACGGAACGATGCGCTGTCTTTTCGACGTATTTTAAGAATTGGGATTTAGCAGTACCGGGGTCACCGAGCAACAAGATATTGATATCGCCACGAATGGTATGCTTTCCTTGGATGTTTTTCGGTACACCACCAAACAGGGACAAGGCAATCGCGCGCTTAATATCCTCATGGCCATAAATGGAAGGAGCCATGCTCTTGAAAATCTGTAAAGCAGCAAAAGAAAAGACTTTTAGTTTCATGCCCAGTAGGTCTTTCCAACCGATGCGGTTGTCGTAGATGCGTTTTACCTTTTTGCCAATACGCTTATCTTTGCCCATGTTGGCAATGAATTTCTTATCATCATCGGTCAGGCGGTAAGCCGCAAACATATCCTCCTTCTTATTGATGTAGTTGGCTTCGATGATGGTGGCAAAGACAGGAAAACCATTCTTGGTGCTTAAAGAAGCATCAAAGTTGTTGCGATAGATACCAATAACTTCCTATGACCCCGACCCGATTCAGTGATTGTCCTGTGGCGTTGAACATTCCCCCCCCCCCCCCCTTAAGGAGACAACTTACAATTTCCTCGCCAGGTTTGGCTTGGTCAATGAGATCCCATAAACAGATGACTTCTCGATGACGCGGTAATCGACCAGGAGGCACCGTGCCAGGACTTTCTTGAATCGTCAATTTTTGATAGTTACGGTAAACAGTCTTGGGTACAAGAATAAAAAAGTTTAAGTCTCACACAATCATCACATTGGTCTTGGGGTCAGTCACGTACCTGCTCCATATTGATGATGAAGGGACCCTTACTTTGACAGCTGGGACAAGTGTTGATCTTGATTTCGTTATGGATGTCCTGATAGAAGGGACCCAAAAGTTCGGAACATTTGCCACAGTTGTATTTCACCCATTTCAATTGCGGGAACACACCGGTACGTCGGGTCACGACACCGGAGACACGGACAAGGCAGTTGAGTTGACTTTGACGTAACTGTCGTAACGTGTTGATGGTGGGAAGATCGGTGATTCTGACATGAATTTCGCGATGAATGCGCTCGTATTCAGGGAACTGCATGAGCGTGACTTCCAAAGCCACTTCGTCAAAAATCTTGAGCATGGCAATAGGCGAGTTGGCCAAGAAGTAGGCCAAAATCGTTTTACTTTGGGTCAAGTGTTCATAGTTGATTTCAAACGACTCACGATTACCTACATCATCCATCCCTTAGTTACGCTGTTTCCCCCGCGCTCTATCAAAATAGCTTACGTTCACCCATGTCTCTGATTCTTTCACCGTAGACGGAAAAACCGTGTTCGTCGACATACGTTTGCAAGAAATCTCGGAACTCACGCTTGATTGTTCTGCGTGGGGCTTCCTGACTGATCCAATCACCAATTGTGGCATTTTTGACGTTGCGCAGTTCATCCAATGTCATTTCCTGTGAAAAACAACAGAAAACCCAAGTCAATCTTCACCCAGAAACCAGCGCTGGCAGGGTTTAGCCTCGTAGGAGCACTTACGGGTGCTTCGTCTGCTTCGTCAAAATTTTGCGCTTCATAGAACCGTCGATGGCGACGACGAGTGGGAATAGCCTGACTGTCGATTTCCTCGTCGTCCAAACCTTCAAGGAATGCTTTGGCCATTCGACCTTCTCGACGATTGATTTCAACGTCTCGTCTGTGCAACTGAGCATCAACGGCTTGTCGCAAAGCAGGGTCCAAGGGTGCGTAGTATTCGTCGTCCACATCCTGTGTTTCGTATCGATCCAACTGCGAGTTTTGAGCGTAATCTCTGCAATGGTCCAACAAGACGTTTTTTAAGTGATATGTGTGCGGTTGGACTAGGTTTTTGGAATTGGTTTTGTTACCTTTCCATGTCAGAGCCAAACAAATCTTCGCCATTATCAGATTCTAATCCAATAGCGTCTTCAAATACTTCCTCTTCCACTACCTCTTCGGCTTCATTTCTGTAGTCAGCTTCTGAGAAGAAGACGGCAGGTGAGGAAGGAGGAATAAAGGGAGAATCGGCTGGAATGTCACTTGATCCAGCGCCAACCTCTCTGGCGTTACTATCTCTTCTTCTTTTGCGATCAGACTAAGTAATGATAACAATGAGTCCTGGAGTATCATTGGCGAGCATGGGCCTGAACTCACCATGACTGAAAATGCGAACAGGAACGAAAGGGTGAAAACGCGTCTTTTGGGGCAGTGTTTTTTTGTTCAAAAATTGGGACGCGATTCGGCGCGCGGGGGTTTGCTTCAGTGTGACAGTGGACTGCCGCCAGTGGCTGGTGTGGGTCACAAATCGTCATTGGTCAGAAAATTAAGCATTCGAAAATTTCATGCTTTTGCCCCCTCATCTCTTTGCAATTCTACAGCAACATAGTGTAAAAAAATTGGACGCTTAAGCCTCTAAGCTTAATAGACACGGCTCTATTAGTATTTTCAATCATAAAGTCAAGGGTGCAAATGGAGTGGTAATAGCATACTCTACGTTAAATGTGATATGATTATATGTTTGTGGAATTGCGGCAGCAAACGCACTGCTAGCCCACACCTGGCAGCATTGCTTACTGTAAGCTATTTCTCCTATTACCATACCAATAACTGTCAGGAAATAATGAATGAGCAGCTTGCAGTAGAAAGCCTCTTTGGGTGATCGATCTGCAACACCCCCTCCCCCATTTTCATTGCGAAGTAGAGAGTGTTTTCGGGTTTCTAAGGTTCCTTGAGGCATCGAATCCGTAGTGATGCTGTAACACCGTTATTTCATGTGCGGTAAAGGGTGGATTCAAGAATAATGGCGTCATATGACAGGTATTGATCATTCATCAATGACTGTGGGTTGAGATTTTATGTAGTCTGGGAAAAAAAAACCACCAGTAAAATAGTATATCTTTGATTCAAGCAGTAGTGGGACGGTCCAGGACTTGATAAGCGCAAGGTCTTGTGATGGACTCATAAAACTTTCACTTTGGCGGATTCTATAAGTGGAAAAAAAAATCCTTTCTAATGGATGTCATCAATAATGAGTCGAGCACTGCTGCGGTGAGAACGAACGTGATCTATAAACGGTGATTGGATCATCAGCTGGGTGAGCGGCATCTTTTTTTTTTATTTTTAATTTTGAGCATCAGGAATTTCTTATTCGCAAGAAGGTGCTCTTAAAAACAAAGTCCAGGTACGATTTGATTGGTCCCGCGTGTCATGTGTGATTATCTTTTCCCACAACATGAAAGGGACACAAAGTAGTTTCAGCATTTTTTTTCTCTCTACTTTATTTGATGCCCTTTATAAGTTTATTACGATTCACAAAACATACTATATTTGGAAAGAAAGATAAACCGACGAGACAAAGCCTGTCCTCAGGCAAATCAGTACGCTTCATGGACGGTACAGAATCCATTCATTTCACTCACAGCAAAGACGATTACGATCGAGGACCCATGGAGGAATGTGACCATGGCGTTATGGCGGAAATTCTCAAGTGTCCTTTAAATGATTGCAGTAGTTCCATTACACAGTCAACAGACGGCGAAGAAGTCGACGAAGCATTCTTTCAGTTTGACGAAGAGGTGCTGCGGAACACGCGTGTTAACCGAAAGCAAGGCCACCACAGTATTGCTGCTCTCGTCAGTTACCGTTCCAATTTTTAACGCCCAACTTTCTTTCTTATTTTACCGGCATTATTTAATTCAACCCTAACTTAATGACTATTCTTACTCACACACACATACACACTTTGGCTTTATTGAGGAAAAGGCTGGCTTTTAATTCATTTGATACCTCTGGGTGATCTTCTTTCTTTGACCAATGAATAAATAAAGATCCCGAATATAAATCTCAATGGAGACCAAAAAAAAGTGGCTATGTCTAACAAAGGAGTATGCAGTAAGTGATAATCGGAGCAATACCCAGTGAAAAGAGATGAATGCGATGGGTTAATATAGAACAACGCACACACGCAAAAGAATGAGCCCCATTTTTCGATTAACCTGAAACGCGGAAAGAAGCATGGATGGACGGATATTGCTAAAGTAGGTGACACCAGCTTTTTAAGAGGTGCAGCTTTAACAATGGCGTGGACACGCGAATTCGTACGTTTGTACGTCATTTTTCGTTACATTGCACAAGGCTGCAAACCAGGGACAGTGGGGCGATGATGGAGGAGCGGAATGACGAGCTGTCACAGAAAAACGGCACTAAACTCAGCAATGCTAAGCTTATAGTGGGTGTGATTATTCTCTTGGATAGGAATGTGATCACAAAGAAAGTGAAAAAGATGCCACGAGGACGATGATTATTACATTGTTGAATTTAGAAAGCGCTCGTCAGGTTCAGACGCCGAAATGAACGGAGCTTTGCTGCCTGATGGATGGAGCTACCTTGCACTTCCCGCAATAAAACCACAATGGTCGTGCCAAGAAAATGACTTGAAATAATATATATATATAAAAAATGGAAAAAGACCGAAAAGTAAAACATGCATTTTGCGCCAACGTGTGTCTGCTCACACCGGCGCCCCAGCACCTGTTCCATATGATGTAGCACCAACACGCGACCCATGTTGCTTCATTATATGGCAGACTCATTCGTGAAGGTTTGAGAACAAAGAACTTTTTGGCAATAAGCAAGACCACTTTGTAAAGAAAAAATGGCCATGGTGGTATGTGTGTACCAAGTTAGTACAAGAGCGACGCCATGCTCACGTAAAAAAAGTCATCGGAAGATAATGTGCGACGACGAGATGGTTCGATAGAAATGGACGAATGAATTGGCGGTTTTCCATAGAAAATGTCGTCATGAAAATTCGCTTGTTTTCCTTTGCGTGCCAAATAGACCGGCTAATGCCATTTGTGGATAATTCTCGATCAGTTGGCCCACTTGGATGATACGCTTTTTTTACGACTCCGCGTCGACTTTACAAGAAGATTTTTCAATCTAATCGGACACGTCTGCCGATGATCCCGAACTCCCCGAGGAAAGGTTGCCTAGGTTATCCCTCCCGCGGAGCCAAGGAGTCAACGAGTGTACAGGCAAGATCCGATGAGCGGAAAAGCGAGTAGCAAGGGAAAATCGGATGAAACCACAAGGGAAACAATAATAAAGCAGTTGCCCTGTTTGGATGGTTGACCTGGAACTGCATTCGGTGCAGTACTGTACAAAGATGGTTACACTGACTCTGTATAATTATATACGCCACCATTGGAAAAAAAAAAGAGACTCCATTTTACAGACTATTACTGCGTTCTATTTTTCCAGGGCCTTTATTGTGTCCCCCTTTTTTTTTTTCTCTCCCCTCTTTCTGTTTTTCTTTTTTCTCTCGTTTGTTTCACAGACTGATTGTGCAAGATGTCCAACTTAAAAGTAGGGCCGACTCGATCCGATGACGTTGGCAGTAGAAATCCCATCGAATATCCTCACTAAAACACCCGATCGTTATTATCGTTTGCATTGTAGGAAATAAAATCCAGACTGGCCAGCCTGGGCTTCGTTCACGGGTGGAAACTCGTCAAGGATAAAGAACAAAGTTGTGGCCAGTATCTAAACAAGCAACAGGACGGTGATTTTGCCGACATGTTGCTACGAAACACAAGAATACCTTTAGTACGTTTGGCGTTTTTGACATTTTGACAGCTATGCGAATTTTTTTTTCCTTGTCTTACCCTCGGTTTTTTTATTACTTCTATTACACGTTGCTCACGGCTCTTTTTTTTATTTATTTTTCTTTTCCTGACAGAGCCAAAATGTCGATTTTATTATACCCGAATGCCAAAGGAGCGCCAGTAAGCATATCGCCGTGAATATTCATCCATTACAACATCCACTGAAAAAGAAGGAATACCCAACTTGCTCCCACACTAGGTCGACAGCAGCAACTCGAACAGTTTCTTCACATTGTCGGTCAGCCCATGTCACAACAAGATTCCGCATGCGATCCATTCACAACGCATCAGGATTCTTTATCCACGCCCATTTTATCCAATGACCATGAGGTTAGAAAACAAGAAGTGAAAAAAAAGCCGTCGATGGATCGAACAATCATACCTACTCTCAATGCCACAGTTTATTCAGGATGACGAGCAACGCGCTTACCACATTCAGGAATTCATCAAGACCGAAGTGTCCTATGTAGAATCACTGTGTGGCCTTGTGGATCTTGTTGTACGACCATTACGAACCGATAGTCATACCAAATACCCAATTTTGAATCCCTTCAAATGCACCAAAATTTTTCTCAATATTGACCAAATCCTCCACGTCAACCAACAATTTCTAGACGAATTACGAACCAACTCCAAACAGGCCATGCCCTTTGGCGACATTTGCGCAAACTATGTAAGTGGTCTTCTCGTATATTGTATTGCAGAAGAACGTCAAATCACCATAGAAAAGGAAATAAACCAATAATAAGAATCCTCTTTTTTCTTCCAACACAACGAAACATTGGATCCAATTTGTTTGTTTCAATTAGATGGCGAAATTTGAATGCTACAGAAAGTATCTGATGGAACACGGAGAAGCCCAAAAACTGCACGGCAAAGAGTTCAAAAGCAATCAAAACTATCGCCGTCTTCTTCTCAAAGCTCAAGACCATCCTCAATTCAAGAAGCGACGCTTGGAAGACATCATTGTAGAACCCGTGCAACGCATCAGTCGTTACTCCATGATGCTCAAAGGTACGTTTTTCGATAAAATTACTAGATAAAGCCATTTAAACCCACATTGTCCCCACAGACCTTTTGCGTCTGACACCAAAATCGCATCCAGATTTTGAGGGCTTAACGACAGCCTACAAGAAATCACAGGAAATAGCTTCCATGGCCGATGACCATCCTACCAAACTCGCTACCATGTTTCTCAACATGTACAGCATCATCAAAGACTCACCGGTACGCTCTCACCCCTTGCCAGTGCGCAACTCATCCACTCCCTCATTAAATTTGTTTTTCTACCTTTTAAACAGTGTTCATTGATCAACCAAAACCGCGCGCTTATTGCCCATTTGGACGCCTTGGAAATTCATAGAACAAGCAATCGGGTTACACGAGCTGTCACACTTTTTTTGTTCACGGACAAAATTATGATTGCTAGTCGTCCTTCGATGGAGTGCAAAGGCAGTGATCTTTGTGCATTGGCGGATACGGATATCATCACCTCCAAGAAATTGGAAAGGGTCATTCGCAAAGACTCTTGTTGGAAATTCAAAGGTTGGGCCGATATAGAGCAAGTTGAAATATTTGGTGGCACCTCGGGTAGGTTTTGCTTTGTCGATCTATCCGGTTTTTTCTTTCTCATTTTCGGAGTTTTCATTTCTTCATGTGGTACTTTGATTCTACCTCTTAGCCCGACCGGCATCTTTCCTATTACGCGCTTCATCCGTTCAACAACAGCATGGGTATGATCCACTCTCCACCGTCACTTCCTTTGAAAAATATTTTCATAAAGGCGCTCGCTTTTATTCAGCCATGGTGCCAAAGGAGCACTTTGGTAAACGGGAGACACAACAAACCTATATCCAGAAAACACGCGATTTTATAGCCAGTTATCAAAAAACCCAAGCCTTGGCCAAACAGTATGGTAGCTACACAGATTTCACCCTGTAACAGAGATTTGTTGTTGATTGTATATCGTGATAGATGAACATGATACCCTCTATCACCGTCAATGGCAAAAGATTCCCGTTTACAGCAACATGCATTCACCTTCTACTTATATAAAAGCAAACTACAAGGTATGTTTTTTCCTATATCGGCCTTTCGTAAAAAAAAAAAAAAAAAAAAAAAAAAAAAAAAAAAAAAAAAAAAACGATTGAGTACTCAAAAGAGGTTCTTGTAGAATAACATTGCTGTGTTGTATGTGGAGGATGGGACTGTCGACTTTGATGGGCTCTTTCCAAATCACTCGGCTATGCCATGGATAGTGGCCTTGGTACAGCCAGATCTGCGCGGGTTTCGTTACCAGATTTCAAGCAAGGTCCATTTGGAAAGAATACAGCAATTCTTCAAGCCTTCATCCGCCACGAACCAAGAAGGCCAACCCATTGACTTTGAAATGGTGTTTTGGGATAACAGTACGTAAAGAAACCCGTGCTCTTGCTTGTTTTTTTTTCTGATATTGAACCATGCTTTGGTAGTCTTGCTTTGTGAACGGCAACTGCGTTTGTCACCCGTCTTTTCGTATGCAAACGATTTTGTCACCGAAGAAGAAATCCAGAAACAGACGCGAAGCAAGGCAACAACACGATCAGGAACATTAGCCCCTTTCAATAAACTCTTCAGCAGTAGTAACAGCAATCTCCAAGCGAACCGTACACAACGTGATCAGCGAAGACCACCCCCATCCCCTATCCGACCGGTCAATTCGACCTCTTTACCCATGTCGACAGGTAACACGAATGCCACGCGTGATGTATCCGCTACGGCTACCTGGCGATCGGCTCCAATTACCCAGGATCCATACAATGATACCGACGATACCACCTGCTCTTCCCAATCCGCCAAAACGGAACCAGAACACCCGGCACCACCTAAAAAACAACGGTACCCACTCGCACAGCTAAAATTACCTTCATCCAGCTTGGGTGAAGACATTGCTTCTCAGTTGAGGCGTCAATCGCACGAAAATCTCGTACGGGAATACTGTGGAGTCCAGGTATAACCTCACAACTCGATGTTATTTTGATAAGATGATGTGGGAAAACTCACATCAAAATGATAGGCAAGCCATAGAAGGGAAGACGAACTAACCATCACCTCGCCTTCCGATTTGAATTTGCGTCGCGCAAGCATAATCAGTTATCCATCTCCTACAACCCCCAATTTTGACCGTCCTCTTTCTTACCATCAGCCTGTGTCTTCACCCGGACCCATGCATTGGATACAAAATCGACCAGGCACGGGCGATTCTCATCTATCGCTGGCTAATACCCTGTCTTCTTTTACCAGCAGCCTGAGTACGAATAGCTCGGCTGCATCTGACGACACTTCGATCACTCGCTTAGCCGAAAATCCGGATGATTTGGTTCAAAAATTACAGCAACTGTTGCTTACACAGCCCATCGCAGACAACAGAATGGAGCAAATATCACAAACCGCCGAAAAGCTGAAAGTTCAATGGAAGTTGCTCAGCCAAAAGCATAAGGAGATGCATGACTATGTATCCGAACTAATGGAAAAGACAGCCAAGGTAATTTTTGCCAACACTTGCCGCCACTCAATGGGCTGTATGAACTCATGACTGCTCTTGTAAAACAGATTGATGGAGAGATCAGCATCGTTTCTAATGCTTACAACGAAGTGTATACGGAAACTTGCTCTTTATATGATGTAAGCGATTCGATACCTACGAACAAGAAGGGACATCTACTAATCACCTTACTTTTGTTGCTGTAGAAATTCAACCAGGAGCTTGATCAACTGACGGATCTTGTACAGCCTCGATCGACTTGTACGACTGGCTCGAAATCTAGTCTTCACTCTGAAGCCCACGAGCAGGTATCGGGCAATACGTTGACATTAACCGAAAAGTTGTGGGAAGCGGAAACTGAAAAGGAACATTGGCAGCAACGCGCCATGTGAGTATGACTTTATGAGATAAACCGCTCCTAGGGTAGCTTGTTTTTACCAACGTTCTTTCACAGGGAATTGACTGCACTGATCTGTGATTATACACAGTCGCGTTCGGCGACTTTTGAAGATTCGTCAAGTAAATAGCTCAAGTAAGATTAGATTAAGTAGACCTGTACAACGGTTTATAATACCACTTTTTGGTTTGGCTTTATTTTTTATTTCTTATTTTTTTTTACCACATTCATTCAAAGACTTTTTGCAAGACAAACAAAAAAGAAAATGGAAGGTAATGCGGGATTGTGAACACATTTGGTAGTTGTATCATTGTGGCACCGTCGCACCATGTCGCACAGATGATCTCGAGCGGGCCTACCAATGAACGAGTCTTAATAATCTCATACCGTTGACAGGTTACCCCAAACAAGGATGGTAACACGCGGTGATATTTGTTCTGGTCAAGTTGGAACAGAGTAAAATTTTTTGGGTGCATTGTTATTCATGCATCCCATCTTGTCAAATTTTATGACGTCGTCCTATGCTCATAGGGATCCTGTATGGGCACCAAATTGGTCAAATATCATCCTCCTTCACTTGTGGAAAAACATTACGAAAGTGAGGTTACAGTACTATATAGGCAACCTTTGCTATTTTTTGAATAACAGTTCACAGTAAACATTGACTGTTTCAGAAAGAATCAACCTGCTGTGCCAAATTAGGCAACGGCGCAAGAAAGGGTTTGCTTATCTGCAACCGTATATGTGGAAGTGACTCGTGAGCATAGATTTGTGCGAGTTTCCAGCCATACCCAGTGATTATGTTGAATTCTCAGATCAGGATCGTCTCAGTGCATCCAAAATCCGCCAAGCATTTTGGAACTGAAACAGAGTTTATTGGTTGCAAAACTATTTTCTTCTCAGAAAAATTAAAAACGGCAGGTATAGATAAACACACGCGCAAGCTGCATGCAAACGCCAGCGTGAGGGATTCAGGTAGGGAAGTTAAGAGTAGGTTAGTGTACAGTATACCACGATTCTGCTGCAACCATATCAAGAGGTACTTTATCCCGTGATGCAAAAAAAAAAAAAAAAAAAAAAAAAAAAAACTAGTCGTATTGTTGTAGACGTGATCAATGCAGCCACACACCGCTTTTTTATAGTTCCTTATAACTGTAACTTTTTGCCGAAATAAAATATTGTTGTTTTTTTACGAGTATGGGCATGTCGTATTGCAAGATGTGTTGAAAAAAGTCTATTGCGCTTTGACTCACCGGGTGGTCTATCGTATTGCGCCGGTTGTCGTGCCGTAGATTTTTATAGCACTATGAATTGAATCATGAGTTCAACAGTATACAACGCGTCCTATCAGTCGGATCCCACTGAATATCTTTTTTTCGTCGGTTCAAATTGATTTTATGTACAGTACATTAGTGTGTTAAATAGCTTTCAGTCACACGGACAGAGAAGGAGGGATAATGTTGTTCTTTTCAGTCGATGTGACACAGCAGGGAAGTTTGTTTACGATGGAAGTTTTTTACTGTTGCACAAGTCTGTGTTCGGGTACACGGTGTTCGGCCGATCTCAAATGGTTCCATCACGTGGCATGCTTCTAAAGATTAGCCATCTTTTGGATCCATTTTGATGACTGCAGCTGCAGGATTTCTAAAAGTGGCCAAGCGGTCCTTCAAGAAATATATGAGCTGAATTTCACTAGCAAAAAGTGAAAAAGTTCTCCTCATATTGATAGTGCAAATGAGCGTCCTTAGTTCTTACTGCTAATAGAAACTCATTGAGACACTCGTCGTAGAATGACGGCAATATTCGGTTGTGCGCCTCTTTCCCCGGTCCACTTGACTTGCCTTTTTTGGAAGCGGCGACTGAAAAATATGCAGCCGTTTCTCTTTTTTTTTTTTTTTTTTTTTTTTTCTTGGTTCCTCTTCAAACACCCAAGTTCCCTTGTGCAGCGGTTTCTTCTTTCTTTCCACTCGACTCATTTTTATTCTTACTTCTGCAATACGAGATATAAAGAATTACACTACACTGAAAGAAACAAAGTCAAAATAACCTTTGTAAAAAGAAACCATGTCTGATAGTCCGGATGACCAAATCAAGTAGGGACTCATTCTGAACGTAAACCTGTCTGGTCATGGCACTCATTGTCTGTTATAGCGCTGATTCAACGACAAGCACCTTCACATCAGCATTGTGGTTCAATGCCGCCATTGGTATTGGTCTATTTGGTGTCTTTAGTATTCTAAGAACGCGACGACCGCAGACGTACGAACCAAGACTTTATGCCGTTGACAAAAGGTAAAACCAGCAAAAACTTACACGACAATACGTGATTAGGTTACACAAGACTGATCGGTCAGTAATCCAACAACAGTCATCGACCTCCTCAGCTTTCGAGAGGGTGGTTTCTTTGGATATATCAGCTATTCAAAATACCAGACGAAGATTTGATCCGGTATATGGGGTTGGATCGATTCATGATCCTGAAATTTTTACGCATGGGCATGGTGGTCTTTAGTTTATTTTCCATCTTGGCCATTCCTATCTTGATCCCATTGAATATTATCAATCAAAACAATTCACCGGGATTAAACATACTCACCATGGGTAACATCAAAGACTCTCAAAGAACATGGGCTCACTTGATCCTCTCCATTGTTCTAACAGGTAACAAAAACAGAAAAATACCCCTCTGCGCAAAAAGCCCTGTGTTTCAAATTAATTTCCCATCAGAAACTAATTGACCATTCGTTTAGTGGGCGTCATTTATTATACCTACCGTGAAACGCGCAAGTACATCAAACTTCGGCGTAGCTTGCTTCTCAGTCCCGACTATGCCAAATCCGTCGTTGCACGTACCATTTTTATTCCATCCATTCCTGCCCGTGTCAACAATATCGATGATTTGAAGGGCATCTTTGACAAGTTCCCCGGCGGTGTGCGTCGCGTATGGCTCAACAGGTAATCCCAAACTTGCTTTTTCCATCTATTTTTTTTTTTTTACATCGTCCGATCCTGTGTAACCTCAATTATGTCATGCTTATAGAGATGTGAAGAAATTGCCTGACAAAGTGGCCGACCGAGGACAAAATGTACAGAAACTCGAAACTGCCGTAACAAAAGCCATCCTAGCCTCTTACAAATACCATGCCAAGAAAGATATACCCTTGGAAGAAGGCACCACACCAGGCATCCCCGAAAAGCTTCGTCCTACCCATCGGGTGTCGCCATTGCCTATTCCTATCCCTTGCATTGGACGCAAAGTCGACTCTTTGAATTATTATCGTGAACAAATTCGTGATCTGAATGAAGAAATCTCGGCCGAACAGCGCGCCAGCACCAGATACAGGCAATACAACTCGGCCTTTATCGAATTCAACTCGCAGGTAGCAGCCCATATGGCTGCTCAAACCCTCATTCACCACAAAGAGTTATCAATGGAACCACGCTACATTCAAATCTCTCCCGACGATATTATCTGGGAAAATATGGGCATTCGTCCTTACGAACGTCTCGTTCGACGTGTCATCAGTATAGGAATCACCACGGCTATCGTCATTTTCTGGGCCATTCCAGGTAAACGAAAAAAGCTGAATGGATCAACAGCCATATCAATACTCACATCCCACAATTTTTTTTATACTTCATCCAACAGTGGTCTTTATTCAGTTGGTTGCGAATATTGATGCTTTAGCCAAAGTGCTTCCGTTTCTGAAACCCATGGAAAGCTGGAGTCCTACGATTGTTGGTATCATTCAGGGTATTTTGCCAGCCGTGGCCTTGGCCATCTTGATCGGCCTTGTTCCCGTCATCTTTGCCTGTAAGTCTCCCTTTTGTTTGATGAATACGGCGAAATCACTCTCTTAATTTCTCTATCCTATCCTATAGGGTTGTCAAAGATGGAGGGGATTCCACAGAAATCATTCGTCCAGTTATCCCTGTTGCACAAGTACTTTTTCTTCCAGGTAAAAAAGATAATATGCTTAACAAGGTCATGTTACCACTCGAATGGCACATTTACGTTGCATTTTCATGGACCTAGTTTGTGGATGTCGTTCTCGTATCTACGATTGCTGGTGGTGTGATCCAAGCGTACTCCAAGATTATTCAGAATCCTCTCAGTATCGTTAATACGTTGGCGGAAAACTTGCCCAAAGCTTCAACCTTTTTTATTACCTTTGTGATGCTTCAGGCAACCAATGGTTCTGCTCAAGCCATCCTTCAGGCCGTCCCATTCATTCTTTCCTACGTTTTCCCTTTCCTCTGGACCACCCCTCGCGACATCTATAGAGCCAAAGTCACACTGCAGAATATCAACCTCGGTACTCTCATTCCATCCCAAAGTGTGATCTTTATTCTCGGTAAGCATTTTATCACTAGGATTGAATCGGTGTCAACCTCGTCACGGACGACTCACTGTCCTTTGTAGGCTTGGAATATGCTGTCATTGCTCCCTTGATTCTTCCCTTTGTCTGCCTCTATTTCTATCTGCAGTATTTTGTCTACCTGTACCAATTTTTGTACGTGTACGAAATGCAGTATGAAACCTTTGGTCGAGCCTTCCCCCGTGCTATTCGTCACGTCTACATTGGCATGTTTACTTGGCAACTCACCATGATTGGTCTATTTGTGCTTCAAGGCGATGCCATTCCTCAACTCGTGATCATGATTATCACGCTCGTTGTTTCTTGTTGCGCTCTCTACCTTTACGATATATCTTTCCAGCCTTTATTCAAGTATCTGCCTGTGGAAACCATCAATATCGAGGAAGCCAAGAAGCGTGAGAGTCAGCTGTTCAATGACAACAGCAAAGATCAAATGGTCAAAGCAGGCGAATCGTCCAAGGATGAAGACCGTAAAGCGCTGACGGAAGTGGATGCATCAGACAGCAGCAGCAGTCGATTTACAGCGGACAGCAATGGTCTTCATCACCGCACAACGGCACGGTCATCTGCAGAGAATGATGAAGATGCACTGCTCAAATCTGTGGATGCTTACGCGGTTCGTGATAAGCTCAGCAACACCATTGATGTCAAGGCGAAGCATATTGAGGATTCGCGAAATCCCGACGATACAAAGAAAGACGAACAATCGTTTGTCAAGACGGCCAAGGATATGTATGAAGTGGTGTCTTACATGAACCCTGCTTTAACAGCCATGCAGCCCATTGTATGGTTACCGCAAGACGAATTAGGCATCACACAAAACACCATGGAACAATTGCAGGCAGATAATATCCACACCTCGGATCGTAGTGCCACCTGTTTCCAGTACAAGAAAGGAAAAGGAAAGGTCAGAATCGATGAACAACGGCTTGTTTGGGACGGCGAAGGCATGCCAGGATCACCACGAAATACAGGTCAACTGTCCAAGGTCAACGACTTTGTTCGTGTGGTGGCCGACAATTACAACGTAGTCGACGCTCTCGGAGTGTCTCTATAGTAGTTGAACATTTGCTTTTTTTTTTCCCTCAAATTATTTGCCTACCATAGCATTTATTTTTTATTGATCCCTTGCTTCGTTGCCTCTTTACATTCTTATTTCTGTAGCGCCTATAAAATAATACGAACCCTAACAAAAGGGTTATTATCCGTTGCCTGAGCGCGGTGATATTATATTCTGTTGTTCGCGTAAATACTTTCGCATCATAATATCATACGCGTGTATGCTTCGCTATGTGGATTATGAAAATTGATATTAAGAATTGATAGCGTGGATGACGGATGCGATGAGATCATTTGCTCTATCCTCTTAAAGCATTGCCTGGTTGGCTGTTCCACTCTGATAGGTCCGTAGGAAATTCCTTCTGGATCGAGGTCGAATTAAACAAAATGGAAGAGCACAGGCAAAAGGCGATCACGAGGTTTCTAAGGTAATTGCTTTCTATTACGTATAGGATGACCGGAATTTTTCCAGTTTGTGTGATTATCTGTCGTGTTATCTGTGTAAATATGACAATGTACATAAAAAAGAAGAAAAAAAAATAGACGGAAAGTATGCGCTAAATTTAGACGGCATTAGCCCTTGTAACCCACAAGATAGCCCAGAATGTTGGACAAGCTGACAATTCCGATAAGTCGATTGTCCTGATCCACTACTATTAGGCGATACACTCGTTGTTTTCGAATGGTACGGAAAATAGAGTATAACGTATCATTCAACGTGCAGGTGTGAACGCCAGGATACTCCTATGAGAGGACAACAGCGTGATGAGCAAGTGGACATTTTTTTTTCTGATCCAATCACACCCTGATTTTTTACCTTTGGACGCGCTTGCATGGCTTCCCCTACCGCAATATCTAATTCATGATACCTTCCAGCCCTTGCTATACTCTGTTGAACCATTTCCATACGTGAGTCACCCTTGTTACAGTCCTTCTCTGTAAAGCGCACAATATACGTACCATGACATCGATCGTCTCATACACATTCAGAACAACACCTATCCACCCATTTCATCCGTCAGTTCATCACGGTAATTCATTGGGAGTGGCAAACGCTACATACCATCCTCATCAACAATTGGTACGGCACTAATATTTTGATCGACAAACATATTGATGACTTGTATCACGGGCGTGGACATGTGTGCCGTAGCAATGTGTTCATAAGTTCCGATCTTGAGCTCCGATAACGGTTGTCGTAATACTCGAGTGTGTTTGAACTGATCATGCAATTTAAAAGAAGAAACCGATATGTATAAGAAAACCGATCTTTATCCATTTTTTTTTTCTCTGTGTGTCTTGCTTACGTTGACGGCAATGAATTTCAAAAGACGATACTGTGTAATAACGCTGACGATCATTTCTGGACCGGTTTCCGATTCGCGATCTAGAAGCGGTACACGATGCGCTCGACTTTCTGCCAGCATACGACAAGCATCATACAGTGTGACCATGGGATCCATCGACAGCATTTGGGGTGCGGGTGCTCCTACTTGTCGTTCGACATTCCGCAGATGACCCAATTCGAACTTTTCAATTTCCCGTAATGCTTCGTCGACGGAGCTGTGGGTATAGTAGTACTGAATAAGATTGATGAAATCGGCTACCGTGAGCATACCCGCAAACTTTTGTTCTTCGCTGGACCAAAGAGGTGCCGACACAATGCCTAACCAATAAAACCCCACACCGTCGTTTAATATATGCAATAAAAATAATAGCCCATCATTACGGCAAAGTTCTCAGTAGAAAAAATAATTTCCACCGTATTGTATCGACTTACCGTTCTGAACGAGGGATTCCAATGCCTTTTTGACGAGTAGTCGAGTATCAAACACGACAAGACGATAGCTGACGGGCAGAACATCGTAAGCGGTGTGTTCCTTCAGAAAGCTTTGCATTAAGGTCTGAATTTCGCACGCATTTCCTGGTGATAATGGCCCCGCTGAACCGTAGGAGGTCACGTCATTTTGAGAAGCCATGCTTTTGCAAGGTATAAAGGGAAACTACAGAAATGGAAAAAGAAGAAAGGAAACTCAGCGGTCGCAAAAAAGCGCACCCAACCCGTCCCCCCAAAAAAAAGCGCATGTCCCATATTGTTCGCTGTGCAATGATTGGCTGATCTTTTCCTCCAATAACATTGATGGAAAAGATAAACGATGCATTGCCCACATTGCCCACACTGACTAATTTACACAACATGGGCAGATTTCTTATATCATATGGTATATCGATTTTGTACTCGAGCATGACTATTTCACCCTTTAAAAAAGACATGCACGTCGCCTTGACATTTGGAAGAACTTTCTATTGTTCCAAGTTCCGTGAATACAAAAAGAGGTCATGAAAATAACCGACTACAGTCTCGAGCATATCCTTCATTCACCAGTTCTTCGACATACTGGGAGCAGGAACAATACATAGCAGGATACTGCTTGCCAGATATCAAAAGAAGCGAAACTTTACCAAGATTTAACGAATATTAGAGCTTGCCGTTAATATTTCATAGACAGATGGTCGAGTAATCCAACTGGAGTCCCTTGTATCTTGGTTATGAAGGTTTATAATATGCCACAATGTAAAAGTAGATCAACTGCCCAATACCCTGCGGATTATGGACACAACCATGCATACATCTTTGACGGGCGTGGAACCCTCACCGTTCCATGGTGGATCTGTAGTGTTACAGTGAGCGTTTCACAAACGATCTGCCAATGCAGCACCTCATAGGTCTTTGTCTTGAGTATTTGCTACTCTTGGATGCATGTCCATTATCCTCTGCTGATCAATTGTCATAGGATGTGTTTATCAAAGATGATCCCGTCTTTATTTTCTTGGCGCGGGTTCAGTTTAGTTGAATCGCTCGTGTTCCTTTGATTCACTTTTCCACATCAGCGGCCGATGACTATGCTATGGATGACTAGAGAGAGAAGAAGATCTCGCTGCATTCGGTAATTTGTCCAAATTCGGCGCAAAAAGTTCTCATTCCCATTTTTATTTTATTTTCTAGCGATTGAAATCAAGAGCTACTGTAGCCGATGGATCTAGTTTTTGGCATTTGTAATTAAAGCGAGTCTATAGATTTGAACGCTGGATCTCTGTTGGCGTCCCAAAAATGGTGTACAGGATTCCTCATTATTCGGTTCATATGCCTGTGGCAACAAGCAACCTTGTGCTCGTTCCCAGTCTACATGCTGTGCTGGTGGTATATTACTGCATCGTCGAATATCAAAGTATGGCTGACACAGCTTGAAGAACTGCTGTTCTTCCGTACTGCCGAACCCTCGTCGCTTGTATCCCAGATAAATCACGGTAATACCTGGCGTGCTTAGATCTCGAAGAGTGCGGATCAAGGGTACAAAATCACATGCGTTGTACAATAAATCCGATGCAATGATAATATCCACCGGTCGTTCCTTGACGATTTTCTTGGCAGCTTTGGTATCCCCCCAATGAAGTGGTTCGATCTTTGGACGCATCGATGAAAATTCGTTCAATCGGTGGTTCCTTCGAATATGGTCCAATCCCTCGGCAATATCCGTTAATATTATTTCTGGCGGTGCCTCGTTGCCTAACGATTGACAGTAATGGTCCTGCAAATGTGCCATCAATAGACCGATGTAACCCGTCCTACAGTTACAACTCGTTAGACAGCGACTTTACCGTCACTTTGTTCCGACTCCTTACCCTGCGCTGAGATCAATGATACGACGGTTTGCTAAAAGTTGAGGATTTTTTTGCATGGCCTGCGTAAAAATGCTGGCCAAGATCAGAGCGGAATCCCAAAGCTTTCCCGTGGTGGTGTGGCACCAGTTCTCTTGAAGCATAAAGTAAGTCTGATGACCTGGAATCCGCAGAGCACGGTGAATCTGCTGTCGAGTTTCCGCATCACTCACGGCAGCATGAGTGACAAGTGAGGAAGACTGGTTGTTTGATGTAGTATCCAAACGAAACGGTCCTAGGGTGACAGAGAGTATACGAACTGAGGACGACTGAGGTTGACATGCATCGATGAGGAGATAAAATTCATCGGCAACGCATCTTGTGAATCGGTAATCCATTCCTCCGTAGCCACTACCGTCAAAACCAGGCCAAGGACTCTCTTGGCTTACCATATCCCATGCGTCACAAGTCAACGCTCGAATATCTACTCCTTCCACGGCTACCCATCCTTGCTGCTTCCGGCGACAAACTAACTGACATTGGAGCTCAAGGGAACAAATGTCCGCTACGGAGGGTTCCAAAGGCAGTCCCATTTCCGTGACGAGCTTGAGAGGAAGTCGATACCATGTATTCAGTTGGACCCCTGGTGATAATGCGTATTGCGGAAGTAATCGAAGCAAAGAGGAGTTTTTGTACAGTGATCGTTTATAGCATGCATCCCCTTGAACATTGCCTTGTTCGGAGGAAAAAATCGGTGAAGAGGTATGATGACTTGAGGCACGAGGAGCCACAGGTGAAAGGTCAACAGGCAAGATACTCCTCAACAACATGTTAGGTGAGACTGGGGAAAACAAGCAGTTAATAAAAAAAATAAGATGTACGGAAAGATAATGAATGATAATAAAAAAAAAGGCTTCAACTCGTTCAAAAAAGTAGCTTGCATTCTTTATGAGATAATGAAATCGAAGTATCGTTTTGCAATTGCCTTTTGCAGATTTGGAGGATATCAAATGCGGATCGCTCACTTTTTTTTTTAACCTTCATTTGCATATAACCGAAATCTTCATAGCGACCAATTAGTGTAGTGAGGATCTGTATATAGTATAAAAGAATACAGCGATAGGGTTGAATAGACGGCTTTTTAGATAAACGAAGATTGGCTCCAACTATGAACTGGTGAGGCTGCATATGAATCCTGGGTTTCGTATGAATCCGTGGTGGAAGTTGAATGACCAAAAGAGGCAGGGTCGGGAGAATCACCGAAACAACCGATATTATCGGTCTGCGCGTACTTTGGTGAAGGATGGTGATGATGATTGCGTTGATTGTTTAAAAGCTGCAGATTCAAGTAGGCTTCCCTGGCTAGACGTTTGTCGTGATAAAGCTTGCTACGGAGCAGCAACTTTGTGATTTCGGGGTCGATACGATGATGGACAATATCGTTGAGGAGCTGAGAATACGAAAAGCATTCATTGTGTGGATCGTACCGGGAAAGCTGATGATGATGGCTATCGATAGTGTCCATCAGCTTGATGGGAGCTGTGAAAGGTTCCTGCAGCAACATTCGGTCACAGTTTTGGGGTGGCGTATTTCTCCTGCATGGTTCCGAGGAAGGAAGGATAGGACACTGGCGATCAGGCGGCGCTTGAGTCGGTGGATCTTCAAATTGGGCGTTGCATTCTTTTGCTTCAAGCATCATTCTTTCTTTTTATAACAATTTACATATAAAAAGTGAAAAAAGACGTGCATGAAAAGCAATCAGGTGTAAATAAATGTTTAGATAAAGGCTTGATGCATAGTGTGCGAGATAATCCTGTCAAAAACAGGTCATTCTGTTTTCCATAAATTTTATGATACTGTTATGGAAAAATGGCTATTTCATTATGAACGATCTTTACCAAAGATGAGAGAGCGATCTGTGATGATCCGGTTCTGGTTACGCTTTTTTTTTTCGTATGGCCTACTGTATCTGCGTAGTGAAAGATAATAATCATGCAATACAGACGTTTAATTACAAGAGGGAGATTGCATGATCTTGCTTTAACTGAACTCGGACTGCTTTTCCTGCATCCCTTGGGGCTCACTGATGCTATTTTTGGTGCGATATTCGACTTCATTCGGCTCTCTTTTTTTCTTTATTCTCTGTACCATCAACCATGATCATGCATGGCTATACCATGAATACTATCACGAGATAGCAGCTGCGCAGTCGACGGTCATTGTCTTTTTCATTCCTGATATTATCTCGTAGACTTTTGGCTGCAGTCTCCGGGGTCACTTGCTTTCTTGCACATATCTGATTACTATGGATACGTGGTATAAAAAAAAGATGAATTGCATCCTTTTTGCAGCTTTCTTTGAAAATGTTCCAATCCAATCCTTTGATTCGATTTTACCATCGACCATTGAAGACGAAGCGAGCAACTATCATTGCTGTATTTGTGATGATCGTGGTTCTCGTGTTGTTTTATGCTTTTCCATCATATTTGACGCATCATCTACAACGAAAAAACCCACGCCATCAAAAGAAATTTCTTGCGTATTTACCTCACTCGGGATTTTCGAATCAGCGCATCGAACTTGCTAATGCGATAATGCTCGCTGGCCTTTTGAATCGCACCTTGATTGTTCCACCCGCACGTCTCGGAAGAGGCATAGGATGGAAGCCAAAAGGCCAGCTATTTTCTCGTTTGGAATGGCTCAGAGCACTCAAAGATTTTGCCAATCGGTGCCAACCTCCCACACCATCTAAACCAGCAACCTACTTATTAGGCACTAAATGTGAAGAATATCGTCATTTCGCTACTATTCGATGGTCCGAATTGCACAATATCGCCACCCTCGACAACGACGTTCGGTTCCGGTTTGTCGATTTTGTCTCACCCACCAAGCTTCAGGATATGTTGCGAATTGATGCGGCGGAGACATATACACATACAGACGAGCGATTATATGATTGGTACTGTATGAAGATCGCCATCAAGCGCTGCAAGTCCTACGCAATCGGGAGAATTTTATAGATACCTCGGTTTTACAGGGTGTACACGCTCGAACATTGGGAACGGCCTGAACGCTTACTACATCTGGGAGGCGTTTTTGACAGAAGCCGTTTGAATTCGTCAAATCTGAGCATCTGGCGCTTCAACAGCGAATTGCTGGCACACTACGATATCGTCTGGACACCCCTTTGGGAGAAACGGTGAAAGGTATCGTCGACTATCTGGGCGGCACAGGATCGTTTATGGCTGTTCACTTCCGGAACGCCGATCAACCGTTCCGAAAAATGTTACCAAGCAACATGGAGATGTTCCTGGAAAATATGATCATGGCCCATGCATTCCTACAGTATTCAAGCATCCAACTGGAAGACAGAATGCCACAACACACCGAGCAATCGATCCGAGTCAGTAAAACAGGGAGCCGAACAATGGTATACGTCGCCACCGATCACCGAGATCCTCAGAGAGAAATGAGCCCGTTACTTCCGTGGTTTGAGCAGTTTCCTTGCAGCGTGATCCTCGACGATCTACCACCGTATTCGCGCCTTTAGCTGACATGCACGATATGATTGATCCCAACAAATCACTCGCTTTTTACTTGATACCGCTCGTCAACGCCATGGTAGCAGCCCACGCACGGAAAGTCTTGCCTACACCTCGATCTCGTTTTCAAAATACATCGACGATCTACATCAAGGGTGGGTTCCTTAACCGTGGTCTTTTTCGCCTACTTGTCCTCGCTCATTTCTCCCTCTTTTTTCTGTCCAACAATCATAACCATCGTCATCTTTCCATCTGCAGCAAATACAAAAAAAAAAAAAGATAGAAATAGGACCCTTTTATAAAGCCAATAATACAAATGGATAACAGTCCCTTCAACGTCCTTTTTCCATATCATTCATGTTTCTTTTTTTTGCGTATGCGTTATTGATTGGATCATGGGGGATATTGAACTTTATACATCGAGCCTCCACGTTTACGAATCAGCTGCAATCAGAGCAACGATCATGCGATACAAGAAGTAGAAGAATAACTATTCACCAGGGAAAAAGGAAAGAAAAAAAGGTGACTTAGCCCCCATGCACTTCCATTTCAACAGATTTTTGCTGTGCCAGATACTTACGACCAAATAGAATGCCAATTTGATAAAGGCTTCCTTCTTGTGCGTGGATAAAGTTCGGAAGATCTCGGTAGCGTCATACATGTGGCGTCCGCTCGTGACTCTGTTGAAACAACCACACCAACCATTAATGCACTTCTTTTCTCGTCTCGTCCCGCTTTGTACTTGGTCTACTTACTTTTGTACATTATATACAACCAAAGGCAAGTTGAGTAATACGGCCATCCAGCTGCCATTGACAAGGAACATGAAGAACAAGAATGCATGGACACCCATTTCAGGAAGAACAAACTAATAGCAAACACGGCATACAAAACCCAGTCAGCTTTATTTCCATAAACCCCTTCCTCAATATCGAAACCCAAAATGTGCATTACCTGGTTGAGCTTGTTGCAAAGGTCGATGGGATTGATATAGTCGCATTCCAAGTCCGAGAACATGATTACCTATCGAGTGGTCCAACCGTGAATACGACGGGTGTTTCGGGCGAAAAGCAAACCTCATCCCAACTTACAAAGAAGACCATCATAAATAAGAGCAGTGCGGCGACAATAACGCCGAACAAGAAAAGCATTGCCTCGCCAACCATCGTGAACAAAGTCTGGATTTACACGTTAAACCGAAAGGAAAAGTTGGAAGAAGAAAAAAACGAAAAAAAAAAAAAAAATTGGTGAAAAAAACCGAAGACCACAGAAAGAAAAAAAATGGGATCATCGAGATTGGTGGATTCGGTCTCGGAGCTTGCGGTGAGGCCACGATTACGTGACGATTGGCTACAATCCCTTGCGTCGGCTTTCACAAGGAATCTGTTCGTTCAACCATCCTCTTTATCACCGCTACCTTTTTTCTTGGTTTTTTTATTTTTTATTTTTATTTTTTTACATATACGAATTACATACACCATGCAAAAAAACACCTCCAATACCCAGAGCCTATATACATATATATGTACATCTCAGACAATGCAACACTAAAATACAACCATTGCTATGGAAATCTTTGAATATCTCGGCATACAAGCGAGACTTTTTAACAGTCTGCTCGAAATGGTTGAACACAACAACGTCGTCAAGCTATTGAATCCGTTTGACACCTCATCTACATCACCGTAACACACGAAAAAACATGATGATTGATAGGATGCATATATGGTACCCATCTTTCAGTGGTTCATTTATTGATAAGCAATCATCTACAAGCTCAAAAGAGTTATCGAGCACTTCTAAAAGGTCGACCTGTTCGGCTTTTCTAATAATCATTCATTGAATGCCCCGATGAAGAAAAGAGAGCCCATATCACTTAAAATTCGAATAGAAGAGTAACTTCTCTTTGGAGTGGACTATCTGCGCTGTCTACGGGCAAGTTTTTTTTCTGATCTAGAATAAGCAAGAATATGTTGCCTTGAGGCTTCTCTTTCAGTCAATGCTTCAGTGCTCTAAAAGTTAAATGTTCTCGGTCGTCTCAAGTGGGTCCCTGCACCGAGCTTTCTAGATATTTTTCTCTCAATCACCAACTGAGTGTTCGCAAATCGAATTCAGAACTACATCTTCAATGAATGTCATGACATAAGTAAACGAGAAAAAAAAAGGACTTTCATTCTTCCATGGTTTCCCCTTGAGTCTTATTGGGAGCCTCGGGGCTCCCGTCTTCTCATCCTTTTTGTCGGGGCTTACTGCCTTCTTGTCATCCTCCGGCTTTTTTAATTGATATAACAAGAAGGGTTAGTGTCCAGCTAGCTCAAATATCATCACTGAAAAATGCGGTTACTTACGTGTTTTCCACCGGAATGGTAAGAATGAGGAGGACGTTTTCCATCGAATCGGCCAAAATGAGGAAAGTGCGTTGGGTTTGCCCATAGCGAGAGATGGGGCGACATAGGCTCTGCCCACTTGATCTTCGATAGTTTTTTATACGCATCCGTGTGATGCTCGAAAATTGAAAATTGTGGTCGGAAACACAAAAAGAACAGAGTTCGGGAAACGTCTAGCAGCTGATGAGGGGCGCAAATCGGTGAACACGAAAGTAAACTCTGCATTTGATTGCTCAGGATCGTAATATATGGTTGCAGATTGCTGCCGACCTAATTTTCGATCCACGGCGCGCTGAATGTGCTAGAGACACATTCGCAAGCTACGGCCGCCCCTAGTCGACTAAATCGCATACATCTGGGGCTGATCCTTGCACTGAACATGAACGAAGGTTTCAGACCCCTTTCCTTCAAAGCAAAGAGGAAATGCCCGAGTGTCTCTGTCTTCAGGGGCACAACATTGGTAATAGCGTTGGGCATCTCGAAAAGCATATACGCAAGGCGATATCCGGAACCACCAACATCAGCAAGGATTGCATACAGTTCACTTCCAGCCCTGTTGGTCTTGTATGTGGCGTCGATGCAATACTCTTCGATGTATTGGCATCGGGTCAAGGAGCGGAAAAAAGAGTGAGGAACGCCAGAGGATTCACGCCATTGCCGTCTGATAGTAAATCTAAATAGTTTTATTATTCGGCTCTCCCTTTCTCTATTTATTTTACCAAAAGGCTTTGAACAAAAAAACATACCTCTGTAAACGTATTTGTGGTCATGAAGTATGTAGAAATGAGGAACTTGACGATGGTGGATGTATACAATTGAAAGTATATTTGATTGGGGTGTCGCGCAGTGCAATTTTATTTGAGTGTGGTTTTCAGCAGCCATGGCAACAAAAAAATTCTCATGCTGAAAAATACGTTTGGTTGGACGATGCACGTGATGATCAGATTCTGAGTTTAAATGATTTTCATTCCAATTCATCCGGTTCGCTCAACAAACTTTTTTCGTCGAATCGAATACAAGCTCATTCAGTTTTTGATCTGTCCCGTTCTTTTTTTCCCCTCTCCTTTTCGAAATAATGAATTTGCAAGAAGTCACTTCCGACGCTCAAGTGATCGATGCCATTAACAAAAAGGATGCCGTTACTGTGCTCAATTTCTGGGCAACCTGGGCTCAACCTTGTTCACAAATGAACGAAGTCTTCAAAGAGTTGGCCAAGAAATTCCCAGCACTTCAATTCCTACAGGTAAGAGAAGGAACATTGTTGATTGTAATTGGTGTGATACTCAAAACTGGCCATTGTGTCTGTAGATTGAGGCCGAAAACTTTCCTGATACATCTGAAAATTTTGAAGTAGCTGCGGTACCTACCTTTGTCATTGTCAAGGTACCTCTTTTTTCAGTGGTGGAGAGAATGGATAGTCATTACGTTTCTGCAGATTCCAACTCACCAGGGGATTTGAAATTATAGGGTGACAAGGTGATGGAAAGAATTGAAGGTGCCAAAGCGGCGGAACTGACCAATGCAGTGGCTAAGCATGCAAAGGGTGTCTTGAGTTTCACCACCGCGTTGGACACCGCTAAACCTGTCAAGGATTTGAACACTCGTCTCAAGCAACTGATCAACAGTGCTCCCGTCATGATCTTTATCAAAGGAACCCCACAACAACCTCGATGTGGTTTCTCTCGCCAACTCGTCGAAATGTTGGCCAAAGAAAATGTCAAATACAGCTCCTTCAATATTCTCGCCGATGAAGATGTCCGTCAAGGTAAGTCGGATATCAACAAGTTATTGCACTTGACGGTTCTGACATTAAGATTTTTAGGTCTCAAGGCATATTCTGACTGGCCTACTTTCCCTCAATTGTACATTAACGGTGAATTGATGGGTGGTTTGGATATCGTGAAGGAACTTATCGCTTCGGGTGAATTTGCGGAAATGCTGCCCAAGGAAAAGGACTTGTCTGCGCGTCTTCAGGATCTCACTGAGAAGCAACCTGTCATGGTCTTCATCAAAGGCACACCCCAGGAACCCCAGTGTGGATTCTCAAAGCAAATGATCGCTCTCTTAAACGACCGTCACATCAAGTACGGTTACTTCAATATCCTTTCCGATGACGAAGTAAGGCAAGGTCTGAAGACTCACGTCAACTGGCCCACCTATCCCATGCTGTTTTACAAGGGCGAGTTACTCGGCGGTTTGGACATTGTCAAAGAGATGGTAAGAAAAACAAGATGATAGTATGATCATTTCGGAGCATGCATGGGCTAAAAGAGTGTCCACGTAGATCGAAACGGGCGAATTCGATGAGGTGTTAACAGCGTAAACCGAGTTTTCCGACGGTTATCTATATCTTTTTCTATTTATCACTTATGATGAACTATACTTCCAGCCAAAAATCGTGTCGCAGCTCAATCAGCATCGATATGCCCCTGGCCATTTCAAAAACCGATGTTGCTGTCATTGTCCATATTTTAGAAACCACATCGTTTTGCTTAGAAGTCATGTCATGATGTTTTGGCACAAAACAAATATAAACATTGAACAAAAATTCATGTATTTACTTATTTATTTATTTGAAAGATGGATGTGGGAATCTTGATATGAGGATGGCCGTTGTGGCGCACTCCGGTAGTCGTGGTGTGGCAACTACTACAGACTTTGCTGGTCTTGCGTCGTCCACACATGGTACAGGAGCTTGCTGCGCCAAGACTCCTGTTTGATCAGTGACAACGTGCGTCCGATAGTGGTGTCTGTGGCGTGGGCGAAAATTGTCTCGGCCTCTTGTAGTTCCAGGGTCGCGTGTGGCCTCTAATGATCACTTTTGAGCGATCAACTGGAATAATGACGATGCAATTTTCTCTTGTGACTTTTTCGTTTGCACCGAAACGTCCTCACACAAGGTCCAAATGGTGGCGGGCTGGAGTTCCAGGGGTGAATACAAGCAGATGATGCGCGGCACATTGTGTACGTTGATAGACAATCAAACTTGGAGCCCACTTGCTTCAGTTGAAGCATGGATAGCATATCCTGCGCTTGTATCGTGCTCTCGCTTGTAAATTTTGGGATCCTCTCCCTGATGGCATTGGGATCCTCTCACTGATGGTATTGGGATCCCCGAAAATTTTGGGATCCTCTCACTGATGGTATTGGGATCCCCGAAAAATTTTGGGATCCTCTCACTGATGGTATTGGGATCCTCAAAAAGATTTGGGATCCTCTCACTGATGGCATTGGGATCCTCAAAAGATTTGGGATCCTCTCACTGATGGCATTGGGATCCTCAAAAAATTTTGGGATCCTCAAAAAGATTTGGGATCCTCTCACTGATGGCATTGGGATCCTCAAAAGATTTGGGATCCTCTCACTGACGGTATTGGGATCCCCGAAAATTTTGGGATCCTCTCACTGGTGGTATTGGGATCCTCAAAAAATTTTGGGATCCTCTCACTGATGGCATTGGGATCCCCGAAAATTTTGGGATCCTCTCACTGATGGTATTGGGATCCCCGAAAATTTTGGGATCCTCTCACTGGTGGTATTGGGATCCTCAAAAGATTTGGGATCCTCTCACTGATGGCATTGGGATCCCTGAAAATTTTTGGGATCCTCTCACTGATGGTATTGGGATCCCAAAAAATTTTGGGATCCTCCCACTCATGGCATTGGGATCCTCAAAAAGATTTGGGATCCTCTCACTGGTGGTATTGGGATCCTCAAAAAATTTTGGGATCCTCTCACTGATGGCATTGGGATCCCCGAAAATTTTGGGATCCTCTCACTGATGGTATTGGGATCCTCAAAAAGATTTGGGATCCTCTCACTGATGACATTGGGATCCTCAAAAAATTTTGGGATCCTCTCACTGATGGCATTGGGATCCTCAAAAGATTTGGGATCCTCTCACTGATGGTATTGGGATCCTCAAAAAGATTTGGGATCCTCTCACTGATGGCATTGGGATCCTCAAAAGATTTGGGATCCTCTCACTGATGGCATTGGGATCCTCAAAAAATTTTGGGATCCTCAAAAAGATTTGGGATCCTCTCACTGATGGCATTGGGATCCTCAAAAGATTTGGGATCCTCTCACTGACGGTATTGGGATCCCCGAAAATTTTGGGATCCTCTCACTGGTGGTATTGGGATCCTCAAAAAATTTTGGGATCCTCTCACTGATGGCATTGGGATCCCCGAAAATTTTGGGATCCTCTCACTGATGGTATTGGGATCCTCAAAAAGATTTGGGATCCTCTCACTGATGACATTGGGATCCTCAAAAAATTTTGGGATCCTCCCACTGATGGTATTGGGATCCCCGAAAAATTTTGGGATCCTCTCACTGATGGCATTGGGATCCCCGAAAATTTTGGGATCCTCTCACTGATGGTATTGGGATCCCCGAAAATTTTGGGATCCTCTCACTGGTGGTATTGGGATCCTCAAAAGATTTGGGATCCTCTCACTGATGGCATTGGGATCCCTGAAAATTTTTGGGATCCTCTCACTGATGGTATTGGGATCCCAAAAAATTTTGGGATCCTCCCACTCATGGCATTGGGATCCTCAAAAAGATTTGGGATCCTCTCACTGGTGGTATTGGGATCCTCAAAAAATTTTGGGATCCTCTCACTGATGGCATTGGGATCCTCAAAAGATTTGGGATCCTCTCACTGATGGCATTGGGATCCTCAAAAGATTTGGGATCCTCTCACTGATGGCTTGGGATCCCCGAAAATTTTGGGATCCTCTCACTGGTGGTATTGGGATCCCCGAAAAATTTTGGGATCCTCTCACTGATGGCATTGGGATCCCCGAAAATTTTGGGATCCTCCCACTGATGGCATTGGGATCCCCGAAAATTTTGGGATCCTCTCACTGGTGGTATTGGGATCCTCAAAAGATTTGGGATCCTCTCACTGATGGCATTGGGATCCCTGAAAATTTTTGGGATCCTCTCACTGATGGTATTGGGATCCCAAAAAATTTTGGGATCCTCCCACTCATGGCATTGGGATCCTCAAAAAGATTTGGGATCCTCTCACTGGTGGTATTGGGATCCTCAAAAAATTTTGGGATCCTCTCACTGATGGCATTGGGATCCCCGAAAATTTTGGGATCCTCTCACTGATGGTATTGGGATCCTCAAAAAGATTTGGGATCCTCTCACTGATGACATTGGGATCCTCAAAAAATTTTGGGATCCTCTCACTGATGGCATTGGGATCCTCAAAAGATTTGGGATCCTCTCACTGATGGCATTGGGATCCCCGAAAATTTTGGGATCCTCTCACTGGTGGTATTGGGATCCTCAAAAAATTTTGGGATCCCCGAAAAATTTTGGGATCCTCTCACTGATGGTATTGGGATCCTCAAAAAGATTTGGGATCCTCTCACTGACGGTATTGGGATCCCCGAAAATTTTGGGATCCTCCCACTCATGGTATTGGGATCCTCAAAAAGATTTGGGATCCTCTCACTGATGGCATTGGGATCCTCAAAAAATTTTGGGATCCTCTCACTGATGGTATTGGGATCCCAAAAAATTTTGGGATCCTCCCACTCATGGCATTGGGATCCTCAAAAAGATTTGGGATCCTCTCACTGACGGTATTGGGATCCCCGAAAATTTTGGGATCCTCCCACTGATGGTATTGGGATCCCCGAAAAATTTTGGGATCCTCTCACTGATGGCATTGGGATCCCCGAAAATTTTGGGATCCTCCCACTGATGGCATTGGGATCCTCAAAAAATTTTGGGATCCTCCCACTGATGGTGTTGGGATCCTCAAAAAGATTTGGGATCCCCGAAAATTTTGGGATCCTCTGATGGTATTGGGATCCTCAAAAAATTTGGGATCCTCACTGTGGAAGTTGGTGGTACGAAGCTGAATAATGGGGTACTGGCTCTCCTAGCCCCACTTTATTCTACGCTTTCAATAAAAATATGCCTAATCTACTATTCTTCATATCCTTTTCCTTCGTATTTATCTCTCTATGTTTTTCCTTTTTCTACTTGTGCATTTGGGCGGGGTTGATAGGTTTGGAATAGGCGTCCGTACCAAGGAGATGGGCGTATCCCATTTTTAGCTTCGTTCCGCCAAGTTTGGTATTGTGCGTCGTGCCTAGCGCAATCCATGTTGGCTTCACTTCGCCTTCCAATGGGGTACCATTTTCCGGAACCGAAAAAAGTGCCTTGGTAATGGCGGTACTTCAGGTCGCTTGGGCCGGTGGTTTATAGCAGTATTCCTCGAACGTTTTGCTCGTACGGCTCCAGTTTGCATGTTCCTTGGCAGACCTGATCGAATGCCCCTGTTGAACGGCTTTGGTATTCACCGCCGATCTAACAGAGTGTGCTTCTCAGTGGGCGCTTATATGCAATTTCGAGACAACATAGAAACGCAGCTCAAGACATTGAAGTTAGGCAAAATCCCAGAAAAAAGCATGTGCCCGATGAGCACCCTCGAAAGGTTCATGGAGAAATCAGTACCCATGAGAAACGGACTCCCGAAAGAACACACAGTATTCCTGGCATACCTAGAAGTCGTACCGAAAACACGATCGGTGAGGCCAATTACAGAAGCGAACTGGATTAAGAATCAAATGAGCAAAGCGGGCATTGATATACGAAGACGTACTGCCTGTTCTTCGTTGGTCAGGTGCACGAGTCGATATTGCAATCTTCCTAATTCCGATCTTGGCCTTCCCAAGCTGCTGATGTCTAGCAACAAAATGGTCTTCTCTTGTAATTTCTCCAAAGATAGGTCGTCCGTACTTGACATTGTTGATCTGATATAATCTGTCAAAATGTCCAAATCCCATGTTTCAGTTTTGTATGGATGGAATGCGAGTCGGTTCTCCTCTTTGGCCTTGAAAAATTCTGCGATCAAGGGTTGGTCAGCGATTCGAGTTTTGTTCGGGGTAAATGTTTGTAAACTGAGGCCACTGCAGAGCACATGGTGTTCAGATTATGGTATGAGAAGTTCGAATGTTCCATGAAGAATTCCGCTAGGCGTTAAAGTTCATATTCTCCAGGATCCCACGTTGATTTTTCTTCTACACCAGGCCGACCATTTGTTCCAACCTTGATTAGCCTTTTGCATGTTGAGCTGATTTGCTTTCAACAGTTACTTTTGAGTATCTTCGGTAAGGCCTCTCTCCTTGTGTGCTCTCCTGATAATAGCCAAGCGACCATTGTCCATTTCTTCATCGAAACAGTATCGGTTTGGCTAGATGTTTCATTTTCAGGAATCATGGAGAACCAGACTTGCGTGGGCCAGAATGGCGTTACCATTACTGTTTTTTTTTTTTGACCTTCTGCTGTTTGATCTCCCTCAGCTCTTGGTATGAGTTTCCACGATGGATGGAGAAACAAGCCTTCCTTCGGCCACTTCTGATTGAATGCATGAGTCTTCGGCTTCCGGATCGGAAAGCAGGCCCCAAAACCCTTCCAATTTCTTGTTGACTCGTGTTGCATAGCCGTCTACCGTCACTGGTGTCCACCTCCTTTGGATCTTGGCAAATATTCGATTTGACAAGGCTTCTTCGTATAGTGGTATCTTTCTCCTGCTGAGACAATCTGCAGTAATGTTGTTTAGTCCTGGCACATGTCTGTATATTACCTGGAGATTGAGGTGATTGAAAACGTCTTGCATATCTACTGCGAGCTCCTGGAATAAAGGCGATGAAGTCTCCCCTGCTTCGTGACTTACTTGATGGCGGTTATGCTGTCGCTGCATATCTGGATCGTCGAATTTTTGAAGTTTTCGGCATGGAGCAACAATGCAAATTATATCATCCTCAATTCTCTCACGTTAGTGAGTGCTGTTTTTCCGCGTTCGTCCAAAAACCCAACGTCTGAATCATGTCTGATGAGATTCTCCAGTCCGTTTCCGAAGCATCCGTATATATCTGGATTTTTGGGTTCTCCATTTTCAACAGTTGTATTGGTAAGCCATTCCTGAGCGTGATACGTTCTTGCCACCATTGTAGTTCCTTCTTGCTGGACTACGACGGTCCGCACGGTTTTTCCCAGTCGTGGCCATAACCCTGTAGACTCTTCGCCAAGTCCCTCTGTATAACGAATGTGGAATAATGCTTTCTCCCTTTGCTGGTATCAATGCTGTTATTTTGCCCAAAAGACTTGCTATCCTCCTTCATGATCTCGGGACTTGGCTTTGTTGCGCTTGCCTGAGTCTGTGTCGTAATTTGATGATTTTGACCTGGGGGATTGTCATCGTCATCTTCTTCGAATAGAATAGGAAACCAAGGAATTCCTGCGTCTGTTGGCGAATCAAATTGCTTTCCTGGAAGTTGATCAAGAATCCAAGGCTCTGTATATGTGCCATTATTTTCTGGGTGTCCCTCGTCATCCCTTGCTTCGTCTTTGCTAGAATCCAAATATCGTCCAAATAGTAGATCATTCGAATTCCTTCCTTCCTCAGTGGCTCTACAGCATACCTCATTATCTTGCTGAATACTCTCAGGGCTGTGTTTAGTCCGAATGCGAGCGATCGATACTGGTAGACTATTTCCTCGTTCAGAAACGACAGGAATTTCCTGGAGTTCGGAGGGATTGGGACCACCACATACGCATCCTTGAGGTCTATCTTGCAAATATAGTCCTGCGGTTCGATGATGTCCCTTAATGCCGGGATTTCTTCCATTCGAAAATTTTCGCATTGAAGGTATTTGTTCAGTCTTTGACAATTGAGAAATGATCGCTGTTTGTTGGCTTCCTTTATTGTGAAGAAGGTCGACAGTCAACTCCTGTCCTGTGTTGGCGATTTCGCTATGATACCGCCCGAAGAAACTTGTTGACTGCAGTGTTGATCTCTTGTTGATCCTTGGTCGATCGTTTCACATGATTCATCCACCAGGGTATTGGTTTCTTGATAAACTGAAGATGGTAACCGCTCTTTATCGGTAATTTTCTTCCATTGTGGTAAAAATCTGGAGAGGCGATTTCCCGGTTGGGTCCCATTGATAGAATACCGCAATGTTTGTTGTTGGGTGAGCTGTTGATATAGTCTGTTTCATAAGTGGCGCCTTCTGTGCTGTTTCTGTTTGTTTCGTTTGATCGATTTGTGACGTCGGCGCTACTGTTGGCTGATCCTTGGCCGGTGTTGTTGTAGGTGGTAAAATTGTTGTCTTGTGGTTGGCCGTGGAGTAACCACCTCTTCCTCGGGCCCCTTAAAAAGAAGGTCTTGCATAAGATCCTCGGAACTGCCGCGATGCTGTCCTCCAGTTGGTCGATAAGAAAAGTTGGATCCTCTATTTCGGACTGCCTTTAATCGAACCTGGCTTGATACAGATGTTCGATGAATCCGTCGTCGAAAGCGTTTGCTTCCATTGGGTTTCTTGAGTGTATTCGAGGTGTCTACTTGACATTTTCTGATTTCTGGTAAAAGGATTTTGTTGATTGTTTGAGAATTGAGTCATCCACTAGAAGTGTATTTATGGGCTGCTCGTCTATGAACTTTTTGGTGTTGCCTTGGAGTTGTTGGTAAGAAGATGCCTTCAACTCGGTGAGGATTCCCACTGGTATTTCTGTTTCGTTAGCTGATTCTTCGGCTTGGTTGTTATCTTCGATGACCATTCTTTGACTGAACTCACTAAGGACCTTGTCGACTTGACTTTGAGTGTATACTTGTTCGGTGTTTGTTGATTCACCATTTTGATTTTCTGTCATAGTAACTCTACAATACGCGGTCAAAAGAGATATGATGAAAGTAGATTAGGCAGCAGAAGAATATTTTATTGAAAGCGTGGAATAAAGCGGGACTAGGAGGGACCACCAACTTCCACAGTGAGAGGATCCAAAATTTTGGGCCTTGACTGATCCAGTTGGATCACCACCTTGGATCAGCTTGGATCATTGGATCCAACACATTTGGTCGGTCACATTAGATCCAATGATCGACCTTTGATCATCTTCGATAACCTTTTGATCACCTTCGATCACCTTCGATCACTCACCCTTGATCAGCTTCAATCACTCACCTTTGACCACCTTTGACCACCTTCGATCACCTTTGATCACCTTCAATCACCTTTGCCATCAGTGAGAGGATCCCGAAATTTTCGGGGATCCCAATGCCATCAGTGAGAGGATCCCAAAATTTTCGGGGATCCCAATGTCATCAGTGAGAGGATCCCAAAATTTTCGGGGATCCCAATACCATCAGTGAGAGGATCCCAAAATTTTTTGAGGATCCCAATGCCATCAGTGAGAGGATCCCAAAATTTTCGGGGATCCCAATACCGTCAGTGAGAGGATCCCAAATCTTTTGAGGATCCCAATACCATCAGTGAGAGGATCCCAAAATTTTTTGAGGATCCCAATACCACCAGTGAGAGGATCCCAAAATTTTCGGGGATCCGAATGCCATCAGTGAGAGGATCCCAAAATTTTTCGGGGATCCCAATACCATCAGTGGGAGGATCCCAAAATTTTTTGAGGATCCCAATACCATCAGTGGGAGGATCCCAAAATTTTCGGGGATCCCAATACCGTCAGTGAGAGGATCCCAGAATTTTTTGAGGATCCCAATACCACCAGTGAGAGGATCCCAAAATTTTTTGGGATCCGAATGCCATCAGTGAGAGGATCCCAAAAATTTTCAGGGATCCCAATGCCATCAGTGAGAGGATCCCAAATCTTTTGAGGATCCCAATGCCATCAGTGAGAGGATCCCAAAATTTTCGGGGATCCCAATACCGTCAGTGAGAGGATCCCAAAATTTTTTGAGGATCCCAATGCCATCAGTGAGAGGATCCCAAAATTTTTTGAGGATCCCAATGCCATGAGTGGGAGGATCCCAAAATTTTCGGGGATCCCAATACCATCAGTGAGAGGATCCCAAAATTTTTTGAGGATCCCAATGTCATCAGTGAGAGGATCCCAAATCTTTTTGAGGATCCCAATACCATCAGTGAGAGGATCCCAAAATTTTCGGGGATCCCAATACCATCAGTGAGAGGATCCCAAAATTTTTTGAGGATCCCAATGTCATCAGTGAGAGGATCCCAAATCTTTTCGGGGATCCCAATACCATCAGTGAGAGGATCCCAAAATTTTCGGGGATCCCAATACCATCAGTGAGAGGATCCCAAAATTTTTTGAGGATCCCAATACCACCAGTGAGAGGATCCCAAAATTTTCGGGGATCCGAATGCCATCAGTGAGAGGATCCCAAAATTTTTCGGGGATCCCAATACCATCAGTGGGAGGATCCCAAAATTTTTTGAGGATCCCAATACCATCAGTGGGAGGATCCCAAAATTTTCGGGGATCCCAATACCGTCAGTGAGAGGATCCCAAATCTTTTTGAGGATCCCAATGCCATGAGTGGGAGGATCCCAAAATTTTTTGGGATCCCAATGCCATCAGTGAGAGGATCCCAAAATTTTTTGAGGATCCCAATGTCATCAGTGAGAGGATCCCAAATCTTTTTGAGGATCCCAATACCATCAGTGAGAGGATCCCAAAATTTTCGGGGATCCCAATACCATCAGTGAGAGGATCCCAAAATTTTTTGAGGATCCCAATACCATCAGTGAGAGGATCCCAATGCCATCAGGGAGAGGATCCCAAAATTTAGAAGCGAGAGCACGATACAAGCGTAGGATATGCTATCCATGCTTCAACTGAAGCAAGTGGGCTCCAAGTTTGATTGTCTATCAACGTACACAATGTGCCGCGCATCATCTGCTGTATTCACCCCTGGAACTCCAGCCCGCCACCATTTGGACCTTGTGTGAGGACGTTTCGGTGCAAACGAAAAAGTCACAAGAGAAAATCGCATCGTCATTATTCCAGTTGATCGCTCAAAAGTGATCATTAGAGGCCACACGCGACCCTGGAACTACAAGAGGCCGAGGCAATTTTCGCTCAGGCTAAAGACACTGCTATCGGACGCACGTTGTCACCGATCAAACAGGAGTCTTGGCGCAGCAAGCTCCTGTACCATGTGTGGACGATGCAAGACCAGCAAAGTCTGCAGTAGTTGCCACACCACGACTACCGGAGTGCGCCACAACGGCCATCCTCATACCAAGATTCCCACGTCCATCTTTCAAATAAATAAATAAGTAAATACATGAATTTTTGTTCAATGTTTATATTTGTTTTGTGCCAAAACATCATGACATGACTTCTAAGCAAAACGATGTGGTTTCTAAAATATGGACAATGACAGCAACATCGGTTTTTGAAATGGCCAGGGGCATATCGATGCTGATTGAAGCTGCGACACGATTTTTGGCTGGAAGTATAGTTCATCATAAGGGATAAATAGAAAAAGATATAGATAACCGTCGGAAAACCCGGTTTACGCTGTTAACACCTCATCGAATTCGCCCGTTTCGATCTACATGGACACTCTTTTAGCCAATGCATGCTCCGAAATGATCATACTATCATCTTTTTTTTTCTTACCATCTCTTTTGACAATGTTCAGACCGCCGAGCAACTCGCCGTTGTAAAACAGAATTGGATAGGTGGGCCAGTTGACGTGAGTCTTCGGACCTTGCTTTACTTCGTCATCGGAAAGAGTATTGAAGTAACTATACTTGATGTGACGATCGTTTAAGAAAGCTATCATTTGCTTTGAAAATCCACCTCGGGTTCCTGAGTTGTGCCTTTGATGAAGACCATGACGGGTTGCTTCTCGGTAAGATCCTGAAGCTTCAAAAATGCGTAACCGAAACAGCTGGCTTAAAAGTAGAAGAATCCTGCGAGCCAACATTGAAGCACGTTATCATCTTGATTTCCCTCCTCGTTCCTTCAAAAATCTCGGCGCGGACAACTTGCAGTTGGAGCAAAAGGTATCGCCGACTAACTCCTGTGAGTCTAAATAATTCCGCTCCCATTAGTTGCCAAAGTTTAATTGCTCTAATGAAGTATCTCTTCGAGCAACTACGCTCTTATTTATGGCGGCTTGTGTCAGAAATATGGGGACGCTGTTTCAGGAGTTGATTTTTGGAGTGATGTTTCATAAAAAAGATTTTGACCATCCCAGAAGGTTTGCCAACCGACATTTTCTAGTCTTGTATAAAAGCCATTTGTTTATTAATTAAACAAAAAGGACAATACTTCTTTTATCCATACTCCCAACTCTCAGGAAAACCATTTGGCCAATGTATCAATTCTGCAATATTCGCAGTTCCCACTTGATAAGTATTTTGACGGAATATACATGTTAGGTGTATCGTTTCTCACAACGTGTGTACTGTGCTGAGTCTGGTGGACGTTAACACAGGATTTTCATTAAGGGATGGGAACAGTTGATGATGCGAGAGGGAATTTGACCTTTATCAAAAATTTGTAATTCATCCTTCAGGCAAAAGCTCATATTCTGCGGTCTCATTTTCCAAAACTTCAACTGTAATACAATGTATAAAAAACAATGATCTGAGGTCGGAGTCTATGTGACGGTTCGCGAGGTTGGTCCAGTGAGACATGCGATCTCCGCGAGTACCTGCACTATCGCCTTTTGCTTCTCTTGATCGGGACTGCGCCTCCATGACAACCTACAACTGTGAGCAGTGCTCAAAGGAGTTTGATACAGTGCGCAACCTTGGTGCTCACGTGCGAAGAGAACATGTGAACACTATATTTGTTGGAGAAGGTAACCATGGATCCAACTTATGCGGTGGGCGCGTCCTAAGCTGGCTCCGTTTCAAACGATATCTTCTATTTTTAGAGAAACAGGTTGTTCAGAAAACAGAAGTCGGCTTTCCCTGTCCCCTATGTAATGCCGTTCCGATAAATGTACGCAGATTCCAGTACCATATTCGTCAGTATCACGATTTGCGTTCCACCGTCAGTATTTCCGGGGAGAGGGCTGAAGAAGAAGAATACAGTGGATCTGACGACGAAGACGACGACGACGACGACGACGGATCTAATGACGATCAAGAAGCGTACGCCGAAGATAATGAAGTCAATGATAACGTTATTGTCACGTACAAGCATATACCGCCCCCAAATTTGCAAGTCCTTACTACAAGGGCCGCCAAACGACGCAAAACACTCGGTTACAATGAAGCGGTTTGGGTCTCCTCCGACGCTGCACTTGCCACCGATCAAATAAAGAAGGAGCGACTGATGTTGGCGGAGCTCGGTCATTGGACCCCGCTGTGGTATTCTTCAAATGGCCACGATTACGCGTGTTTATCATCGTCGGCAACGGCAAATGAGTTGACAAAGGAGAACGAACCGACGCTTGGAACTTGGTTTCGCCCTACCCTAGGGATGCCTTCGACAGCACCAAGTAGTGGCGCAAACGCTGAACTTGACGGAATGATCATAATCGACCAATTAACGCTGACAAGGTATGTTTCTCCAGATAAAAAGTGTGTGATTGAGCGCCTATACTCAGTAAGCATAACTTTTTTTTTACTGGGAAAAAAAGCCAAGCCAAGCAGTTGCTTTCAAAAGGCGAATTTAGCGAACTCACATCTGCGCAAGTGTCAACTTTGAACAAGGATTGGCAGTTGTATCCACAACTGCGATTCTACGCATCTCAACTCTTTGCTGGTGCTATTATGATCGATAACGGCCGAGCAATTCTCATTAACACAGTCGAGCCTTATTCGCGTGACTCATCATTGGATGCTCATTTTGAGCGTCGGTTACCCGGGATGCCTTCGTCCTACCCAGACGCACGAGGAAAGTACGGACACTTCACGACTGTGCTTATGCAAAGCGATGGCGTAAAGAAGCTAGTAGTTGGTACACGTACCTGCAACCTACTAGTTACCTCGAGCATTCGTCTTGATATTGCCTCTGTCAACATCGGCCCCGGCACATCTCACTTCAAGCCCTCAGAAAATACACGCGTATTCCTCGACGCTGAGTCCGTCGAACTGGCCAACGAAAACATGATGAATGAGCGCACGATACAAGCGCAGGATATGTTGTCCATGTTTCAACTGAAGCAAGTGCGCTCCAAGTTTGATTCTCTATCAACGTACACAATGTGCCGCGCATCCTCCCGCTTGTCTTCACCCCTGGAACTCCAGCCCGCCACCATCTGGACCTTGTGTGAGGACGATTCGGCGCAAACAAAAAAGTCACAAGAGAAAATCGCATCGTCATTCTTCCAGTTGATCGCTCAAAAAGTGATCGTTAGAGGCCACAACGCAAGCCTGGAACTACAAGAGGCCGAGGCAATTTTCGCTCAGGCTAAAGACACTGCTATCGGACGCACATTGTCACATATCAAGCAACTCTTCGTCCAGGAGCCATCCATTACAATCATCGGGAATGCCAATCTGAACAGCTTACTGTTCAATCTAGCGAGCACCATGACCTCGGCTCTTCGAGCAGCAAACAAAAGCAAAATGGAACAAATGAAGGCGAGAGCTTACGTTTAAGAACAATGACATTCACACTCATTTACGCTCACTTACATTCACTTACACTCAAACTTGCTCACACACATTCGCATTCACACTCACACTCACACTCACATTCGCTTTTATATATCATCATCATCGTCATCTCATCATTTGTCAAAGTTACTGTTAATTAAGAATAGTGACTATTTGTATTAAGAATACTGATTGAAATGTTCCCTTGTTAGGATTTCAGTGCGCATAAACAGGCTCGTATATGGATCCATTTATATGAACCGGGCCAGACAATAAAGTTTGATAAATCAGATGCCATATGCATTTTGACTGGAACCGCATTTGTTCGAAATTTCAAATGTATCTATATGAAATATAGGCTAATTCAATAGCCTGTTTTTTTGTTGGCGGAGTCGTGGCGCCCTATCCTCTATTTTTTTGCTAGTACTGTAATATTTCTGCACTGCATCGTATGCAGTTTCTCCATCTTCAATGATAGACTTCCATGTATTTCAACATCGTTGATGGAACTTGCGTATTTTTACAGGTGTATGGTTGGATGGAGAGACAGTATCTAAGAATGCATGGCGTATGAGTAGTTGCACTCTCTTCTAGTACCAAGTTTGATGCATCCCAATAGCAGTCAGTCCAATTCGTCTCGCAATAGTATCTGGGAAACCAGTCATTTACATGGCTGCGCTTGTGTTACTCCATGGAGCAACGTCAACCGTCCTTTGAGATCTGGTTGCATAGCACGCAGGTGGTGAGGGCAGCAAGAGTGGTCCAAGGCTTCCTTTTGTCCGCATCCTACATCCCAACGCTCCTGTTCAAATAATCTTTCCGAACAAATCGGACCCCTTTTTCCAAATTCATCGGGAAACCTTTTGCCTTCAAACCAATCTATTACATTTGCTTTTTTCCGACTCCTCTGGTTTCTGAGGCGTAAAAGACTGGTGAAGCCTTCGATCTATTTCACACGAACCATCCAGATATACGACACGTGTTTGTTGAGATCCTTTTTTTTTCATCGTTCAATAGTAATCTGGATATCAAGGGCGCATTTTTTCTTTGATAAGCCTTGTGGTTGCTGGATTGATCGAATGCTGTGCAGCCGCCATGCAACGATTCACATAATGGAATGACATAATTTTTAGCTTTTCAATTAGATGCGCCGATGTCCAGTATCTCTCACATTGCATTCCTGCATAGAACAACTGCTGGGATGTCCAACCTTTTATGCGCATCGTTGCATGACAGGCATATTGAACTCGCTAACCATGATAGAGTCTCCACGTGATTTTTTTCTTAGATGTTTTCATCTTCTTGTAACCATGAGACCTTCTTCAATTCATCTTGGACCAACCATGACTAGCTTATTCTGATCCGGCAAGAGGTGTTGGGGGATGATTTGGTCTACATCTTCGTCATCGTAGGTATCCGTATATGTCTTATATCTCATTATCCCAACGGTCCATCTTTTCGATACCTCACGATGTCGCGCTTTCCTGCCCATCGAAGTACACATCTTTATTTACATGACCATGCTTGAACTCCCATTTGTATATATATTTGAAAGGGTGGAATCGCTGATGCTTCCAGGTATACCAAGCTTATCAGCAATTATGGAAACGTTCAAACGCGTTGCTATGTCAGCAAATCTTCTCTTCTGTGAAATCGATGCTCCTGATATATCATAGATAGCTTTGCGGATATCTTCGTCGCTTACAAGAAAATCCACTTGGGATGTTTTGCGTAGTGATGAGGAGATATGTTTCTAAATAGGAAATACTCCTTGGCCCACCACCTGATAGCCAAAGCTCGGTAGTGTTTTGATGGTATTTCCCAAACTTCCAGTGCGGTCAATCGTGAAGCCTACATTTTCCTTTGTTCCATTGAGATGAAGCTTACCTTTTGTCACAATGTTATATCACTAATTCATAACCATTCATCGTTGTATAAGATGACTGCTAATTGTTCTGTGGTATAACCAATGAAATGATATTATCGAACGCTACCTTGAAGGATTCAGGATTGACCATCGCTGCCATAGCATAGTTATCGACACCAATCCATCCGCATTTTCTTCGTTACTATCGTACAGAACCTTAGGAAGAATCTTCTATTCCGTACAGGTGCTGCTGGCTTGCAACACTGTGCCAAATTCATAGACCCTTTAGCCTTCTGCTTATGTTTTTTTTTTTGTTACGGTTCCATAGGGTTGTCCTTCCTCTTTCTGTATATTTTCCTCGTCTTACACTTGAATCCACTTTAACCAAGCGAAACATGCATATCATTGGTAATCTCTGTGGCTTCAACAACATGTCCGTCTAAAGCGGGAGTCTTTTTCTTCGTTAACTTCATGATTAGATTCAGTGTCAGCGACAAAATATACATAATCGCGCGTTTCCAGGTACAATAAAGGTTTTGACTTTGGTGAGGCGCGACATGATAACATATTGCTGCACAAGCTTTGAACTGCCGTGCTTAAATTATAAAATGTTGCCAACCTCCAAACCCTTTCAGTGCCTTGAAATGTTTTTTTTTGTTTTGTTTTGCTTTGTTTTTTGCAAACCAAACCAATGGTGAATAGTAAAAAGATTATGCTTAGGGAAGATTTTCAACCATTGAGTAGTCTCCCTGCAAATTACGAAAAATTTCAGGGTTCCAGTCAAAATGCACCACACATGTTTTAGTTATTTGTATTCTGCAAACTTTATGAGGAGGTCTAGATGTATTGAATGTCATACAATATCGGGTTTTGTGATATTATTTGATTAGATTCTAACTTGCTGATTTATTTACTTCAATACATCGAGACTTGTACGAAATATTGATCCAGTTCAGTCGTTTAAATAATACTGCGTAATCGATTCGAGGGTTCATCTTTCCATGTGCGACATTGAGGGCTTTTCCTGCGCTTGCGCCATGTACTTATCAGTCACTATCTTATCAGCCAATTCAACAGATCCTTTATCCAAAGACGTAGGAGCGTTTGTAAGCGAGAATGCCGTAGCAAGAACCGCTAATGACGGACGCAATCTCCAGGGGGATGCTTGAAGTCATTGAGAAAAGGCCGCATGCGCGCACACCAAGGACGAACTTCTTGGCGCCATCACCTTGGATGAATACGGTCGTCAAATGAGTTGTATTTACCGTGCGTGTCTGAATATGAAATACATTCCAGGTAAACACCAGTGAACATGTGCATCGAGAGAGGAATCACGGTATATGGCACGATCATGTGGAAAAGGTTTCCCGGTGGTTATTGTGGTCGAAGCGTAGGTGCGGATATGATCGGCAATCCTTGTTCAAAGTTGACACTTGCGCAGATGTGAGTTCGCTAAATTCGCCTTTTGAAAGCAACTGCTTGGCTTGGCTTTTTTTCCCAGTAAAAAAAAAGTTATGCTTACTGAGTATAGGCGCTCAATCACACACTTTTTATCTGGAGAAACATACCTTGTCAGTTTAATTGGTCGATTATGATCATTCCGTCAAGTTCAGCGTTTGCGTCGCTACTTGGTGCTGTCGAAGGCATCTCTAGGGTAGGGCGAAACCAAGTTCCAAGCGTCGGTTCGTTCTCCTTTGTCAACTCATTTGCCGTTGCCGACGATGATAAACACGCGTAATCGTGGCCATTTGAAGAATACCACAGCGGGGTCCAATGACCGAGCTCCGCCAACATCAATCGCTCCTTTTTCATTTGATCGGTGGCAAGTGCAGCGTCTGAAGAAACTCATATTGCTTCATTATAACCGAGTGTTTTGCGTCGCCTTAACAAGAAGAGTGTATCCGCTGGTAATTAGGGCGGCGTATGTTTGCAGGCGAGGCCCATCTTTACATCAATGCTTACCTTGCTGTTCAGCGTCTCAATTGGTGTCTCCTTACTTGGTGTAGTCTTTGTTACATGGTCTTCATCGTCACCAGAGCCATGATGTTTATATACTGCATTCGTCTCGACACTACCGATGGCGGCTGAAAACAATGAGCTTTGGATGCATGAAGCTGCGGACTCTTGTCAAAATTGCTTCACAAATGGAACACGGAAATCCAAGTTCCGATAGCCAGTTTACTAAAAGCAAAGTAAAGCGCTTGAGACAAAGTTAGTTGGGACCCATCCAAAGCATAAATCCCGCCTTTGATTACCTGCTTCAAACACGATGTCGATGGGGGAACGTGGGAGTTCTTCCGTGCTTTTAAACACCCTCTCAAAGTTATTTTCGTGCTTTGTACCATGATAAATCGTGATCGTCAGTAAATGCGCCGATAGGAGAGGCACGAAGCAAAAAGGGTTTTCAAACTGTGGGAAACAGTGGGCTTGACTAAAAAATGCCAGACTTGGGTGCATTCGAAGGCGTCACGCTTGAGGGTACCGATGGTGCCGATGGGTACCAATCCGATGGGTACCGATAGTACCCATCGGTACCATCGGTACCCTCAAGCGTGACATCACTATCTATGCATGCGGGCCCCTTGTGTCACAACTCAAATGCTTAAAACAGAAGGGAGTATGCTTCATTTTTTAGTGCCTGGGAAAAAGCGCCCGATAACCCATAGACCATAAGCTTTGGCACGCCGTGGCCGCCTTCATGCGCTTGAGAGCAGAAGAATGACGGATGTATGCTATTTTCTAGCAAGAAAGACCTGATAGAGAGACCATGATTGACAACATGCGACATGTCGACTAATGAAGAACACCGAAGAATCAAACGCGCTACACGGCCAAGTTTTTTCAGCATTTTAGAGTTCGCGGTTTGCTTGACTTGATTACTGGCTATCAATTGGGATCGTCCTTGTTCTCCTTCATCTTTGAAGGATGATCAAACCAAGGGCAAAAAGATTGGTTTTGTGGGAGTGCAGCGCGAGTTTTTAATCAAATCATCTCGACGTCACCCTGACCGGTTTTATTTATTATTTTATTTATTTATCTGTCTTTATCTGTCTGCTGCACCTGATGAGACTTTCCTACTTGATGCAATCTGCAGTGCCCAAAGGAAATATCGTAACTAAGGATGCTTGGGATGCGCGAAAACCAGAGACTTGGCTCCCTCTAAAATTGCATGAAAACCGTTTTTTTAATGGGAGAAAAAGCGAATCAAAGAATCCTGGTGATGAGGGCAAGACACCCATATCGTGTTCTTCCTCATACTTGTTTTATTCTCTCAATACGTACATGAGAGACTTTCATACCAATTGTGATTCAATTATTTGTTTTCATTGTTGAGATAATGAGCTCCTTAGACGACAACTCATCATCATTATAAGATCGGAACTTGCAGCCGTTGTGTGATAATTTTTGGATATGAAGGATAGGTTGTTGATTAGTTTATGATTTGATGAATACTATGTACATGACTATTCGACACCTGGTGGACGCTGCACTCGTACTGGTTCCCAGTCTTCCTCTGTTTTGGCTTGTAATCGCTGGAAAGAAAAAAAAGTGACCAACCATCAGTCCAAATATCTCATTGAACATTTCCCAAAATTTCTGTTCACTTGCCCAATATTCTTCTTGTATACTCAGTTTTCGTCGATTCTTATCCATGCCTAGCGCTTCTTCTTTGGCTACCTAAAATCACCACAAGACAAAATACGTTAAATTATGCTGAACAAGGGACTTGGCTGTTTTTCTTTTGGGTCTTTCGCTCACCTTTCTGTGTCGCATGTCTCGATGATCGTAACGAGTCTGAGTCAGTTGGGCAAGGCCAAATGATCCTGCTACCATGATGGTCAAAAAAGGTAGACCAAAGTACAGCATGGGCCGTTGCTTGACTTTTTGTGCCAAAGGCGCAAATGCGGATTCTCGTCCATACGACTTTGACTGAAATGTGGGCATTGGGCTGAACAAAAAGAACAAAGCAGAAAACAAAGCCACTGAGATTGAATTTCTTTCATGGCAATTTTCGCTCGACTTTTTTTTTTCTTTTCTGCAGACCTCCTGATTATCTTTTTTTCATGCAATACCTATGAATGATTTCGAGCAAACTTTTTGTTGATATCTTTAATCTTTGAAAGATGTTTTTATAATCAACAATCACTCTTATGCTTTATGTCATAATTTGGGCTCTCATTAAAATAGCTATGATGTTCATTGCTTACTGAATCAAGGGCCCACCCACGTTTTCTTCACTTACTGTATTCATGAAACATCGGCAATTAACGGCGTGATGATCCGTGCCTTGAGTATCATAGACACGTTTTTTTTATGGTTAAATGGTAACACTGTTTGAAAGGGTGTATCTATTAGCCATGCTGATACAAATAATAATTCCACAGCAAAGAACCTTGAGCCAAATACCAGCACAAGGCAGCCAATGACTGACTACAGATTGTCAAATATGGTGGCGATGGAGCTCGTGTTCAGTGCCACCATTTTTGTGCATTCACCATGACTGGTTTATCCAATTGGAGGTGTTTAGTTTCAAAGCTCCGCTTTTGCTTAGATCCAAATCGGGTTTTTTGGCAAGAGATTATATACGACATAGGAGCCAAGGATCCTCTTGTTGAAAAAAAAGGACGTGCATTCGTTGGCCAGTTTGCTTACGATGCCGCTATTTTCAAGACGCATTCTTTTGGTGGGTGGGCTCTTGCTTCTGATCTGGGTTTACTCGCGTTATATTTCGGTCGATTCGCCCGTGGCGGAATTGGTGGAAAAACCTGAATTCGAAGGCTATGTTCGACCTGTCAATGACGCCCACGCAGGGTACATTCAAATCGAGGATCATTCACAACGTATGATCAATGCGCGGAAACTAGCCGTCGATCGTAAATACTGCGGTGGTACTTGTCGTTTTATCGTTCCCATCGTGATTACAGAACAAGGTACGTCTAATTCATCGAAGAGCCGATCATGATCATCCGCCGCCAGGCTGACAGTGGGGCATTGGGATAGAATCCAAGGCACAGTTCCATTTTCGTCAGTTGGCTTTTCTTTCGGGCATGGTAGGCAGAACAATCGTGTTGCCCAACGTGTTCCGGTCCCATCTCGGGGCTTGTCGTCACTTGCCTTTCAGCTTCTACTACGAGTACGACTGGCTTGATCGCAACAAAGAGCATTTCAACTACATCACTCTGGATGACTTCCGAGCATGGGCAAGAGAACGGCAACAAGCTGGCGCCGTAGCTACGGCGGAAGAATTGTCCATCGAACTGACCGAACAAGCCATGTCTTCGCACTTGCAAACCAACTGTTTGAAACATCTGTTTGATTTTGGCGACTCGTCCATGGCTCGTTTTGTCTTGGAAGATCCTGAAACGATTTCACGTCGTCAAGGCGATTATACTGAAATTCTGAAAAATGAGTTATTAAAGCATGATCATGTGGAAACCATTCATTTGTATTACGATCGCAGGTAAGCTTTTCATACATCACAGAATGTGGGGAACGGGGCGGGGCTTTTTGCATAGTGAGTTTCCATCTGACTGGGTTTTCTTTTGATGATCTGTCAAAAAAAGATTCGGATTTATTGACGAAACCGAAGCACATCGGCCTCTCTCTTACAACCGACGGTGGAACGATGTGGCGGATCGTATTGCCGATCAGCTTCATCCATTTGTGGCAGTTCACTGGCGTATGGAACGTTTGGAACCCATCGATAATCTGGTGCCTTGCGCCGAGAATCTGGTCCATCAACTGAAAGCGTTGATGAATGTGAAGAATGTGTTCTTGCTCACGGATTATCCTCATCTGTTGAATGCTTCCAAGACCGCAACCGAGTCCATGTCGTTCCGAGCAGATGAACTGCGACCAGAGCATCATGCGGCTATTCGCCACGTGTACGAATCGGTGGATGTGACAGTGACGGCACTGGAACGACCGGGTGTAGTGTACGACGGGTTGCCGGCGTCGTGGCATATTGTGACCATTCCTCCTTTTCAACGACCAGTGGATGCGAGCGTGCTCGGAATCGTGGACAAACTCATTGCCATGCGTGCTGACTGGTTTTTGTCCGGTCAGCCGGGTGTTTGTGGCAAACTTAGCAGTTTTACTACGCGTATCATCGAAGAACGCAACCGACTGGGGCTGCCCCATGACATCTTTACCACTCAATAGACGAAAACTCCATTTCTCCCCCCCCATCGCTCCCCCGCTTCTCATCACATGATACATCATAAAAAAAATATTGACAAGAGGTCATGACAAGCACAACATGGTTTTTTTGGTTGATCGGAATATAATGCAAAAAAAAGAAGACAAAATACAAATGATCGCTTGTGATGGGCCTTCTCCCCCCAACAGATGGGATGTTTATGTCCTACTCTTACCCTCGGTCCGCTTATTGGGATTTTTTCCCAGAATGTCACCGAGCTAACATTTTCTTGGATTGTTTTCCAATACTACTTTTTTTTTATCTTTTTTACAGCTCATTACTTCTTTTTCTGCTTTTTATTTTTTTCTCCTTTGCTTTCGGTTTTTTTTTCTTTTATTCTTTCAGCAACGCCAGTTTACAAGAGTGATTGTCGGTTGCGGATTTCTGTATCTCTTTGTATTGGATTGATTTGGTTTGGATTGATTGTCGAAATGGCAGAAGCGCAACATCAACCGAATTTATCGATGCTGCCGGAACCATTGGCGGCGGAAGCTCTGATGATGGAGTTCAATCAAGCGATGCAGCATCCCGCCTCAATTTTAACTTCCGCGCTGATGGAGTCATCCAACAGCACCTCCATGGACCTGCACGGACCAAAGACGATTGCTGATCAAATTTCCTATCAGCTAGCACAGATGGATCAAAGTAACAACGAATGGTATCAGCAGCAACAGCAGCAACTGACGAACGGCGACCTCATTGATCATTCCTATGCCTACACCACGGAGCAGGTGGTCGAGATCTCACCTCACAAACGATACGGTCGACTCAACACACTGCTGGGCAAGGGCGCCTTTAAAGTGGTTCACAAAGCCATTGACCGAGACGAAGGCTATGAAGTTGCTTGGAACGTATTGCAGGTACGAGATGCTGCTTCTTCTGGCACACTTTTTTTTTACTACTTTTTTCGAACGAGTCATTGGTCGTGCATATATCTAGAGCTGCGGACCTGCTTCTAAATCTCGTACTGTTTTCTTTCTATCTTTGCTTTGTCCTTATTTTTATTTTTACGAAATAGATTGGCGAGCGAGATGATGACAAGGACATGGGACATGAAATTGAAATTTTAAAATCTGTGCGACATCCCAATATTATTGCGTTTCACGATGCATGGATAGGCGAGTCTCAAACGGAGTTCGTGTTTGTTACTGAACTGATGACTTCGGGCACGTTGCGTGAATATATTCGCAAGTTGTCGATACCGACATCCAAAATTGTCAAACGATGGAGTCGCCAAATACTCAAAGGGTTGGCGTATCTGCATTCGCATCATCCGCCCATCATTCACCGTGACATCAAATGCGACAATATATTTATCAATGGCGCACACGGTGAAATCAAAATTGGCGATATGGGCACGGCCGAAAACTTGTGGTTAGGCAAAAAGAAATACACATTGATTGGAACCCCCGAATTTATGGCCCCGGAAATGTATGAAGAACGAGGCTATTCCGAAAAGGTCGATCTTTATGCTTTCGGCATGTGTCTCTTGGAAATGGTCACCAGTGAATATCCTTATTCGGAATGCAGCAATGCAGCGCAGATCTATAAGAAAGTTTCGCAAGTAAGCCTTCTTTATGATGATTTTATTTTCTTTTATTTTGGACCCCGTCATTTCTCCAACAAAACAAGCTTATTTCTCTGCTCTTTTTTTCTGCGGATCCTGTCTCTTTTGGGGTATTCGCTGCGCTTAGCATATCAAGCCAGAATCTCTAAGCAAAGTACAGGATCAGCAGGTCCTCGAGGTCATTAACAATTGTTTATCCATTGACGAAAATGAGAGGTGAAATGACGCTCGTTGCCATACTTTCATTACAATGTGTTTCAACAAGTTCACTAACGCCCATTTCCGTTCATGTTGCCAGGTTATCGGCTCAGGAATTGCTTGAAAGCTCTTTCTTGGCCGTCGAACCGGATGTGGTATTACTCGCAACAGATCCATCTCATAAGATTTTAACTCTTCAAGTCGTCTTTAAAGGATCTGATAAATTATCAGTCAAATTCGAGTTTAATATCGTAAGTTTAACAGCAGCTGAAAAAAAGGCCATGTTCTTTACTGGATCGACCCGTCGGGCCCACTCACCACCATGATGCTTTTCTCTCATCTATAGGAAAAGGATACCGCCGCTGAAGTGGTTACAGAGATGGTAAATTGTTTCGAGGGGGGATCCACTGGAGAAAAATAGCTCATTGCGACTTTAACAGATTGATGAAAATGTGTTGCCCGAGCGGTATCAGCAGTGGATTACGGACGAGATTAATCGAATTCTGCGTGACATTTGTAAAAATGGAGAGGACGACAAGCTCAGCATTCAAGATACCCATGCAGTGTGGCGCCGGGAAAAGGATATTCGTACCGAGCTCGCCAATGCCAAAGAAGAATTGGCACGAATGACGGAACGGATGGCGGAGTCGGAAAAACGAAGGGAAACCTTGGAACAGCAAATGATTCAAGCTGAAGAACGGTATTGCCAAGTGACACAGGAAATAGACCGACTGGCCAACCATAAGCGCTCAAGGTGAGAGAAGAAACCCCGTTTTCTGACTCGGAAGAAAATGAGGCTGGTACAATCTTGTTCACTCACCCGCGATTAGGACTTGGACTTGTAGTGTACAAAGTCCTGACACGGGATCGTACGGTGAAAACGATCAAGACGCCTCTCCATACCCCATTTCCAAAGGTAAAACTAATGAGGATCGTATGACCTAGAAAAGGCTGAGTTGACTGACGCCAACAACCAAAAAATCCCATCAGGCTATGCCGCTGACGTTTCCATTGATGATTTTGTACGAGACACGGCAGTGGCGACGAATCGTAACCGGGAAAAAGCCATGGAATGGGCCGCCAAACTAAAAGATCAGGATATCATGACGGTCGGTGATTTATCCGGTTTACAAGATGAAGATTGGGCGGGCATCGGTTTGACGGTATTTGCGGTACGCGCCCTAAAGAACATGCTGGTCATCCAACCCTCCAAACCTCCCGTTACCCCTGATCACTCTCAATAAAAAATGTCCATAAATAAAACATCATCATCATCATCATCGTCACTTCCCAAAGACCCGGGAAAAAAAGTAAGCGGATTCAGTATCATTGTGGCGCAGAGATAGATGGCTCAGCATTTCACAAGAGTGACACAAACCAGAAAATCAGCAACTGAGAATCTGTAAAGCTACCTTATATGGCCGTTTCTTCTTTATTTATATAACTTTTTGAAAGGGTTCATCTTTTCTTCTTTTTTCTTTTTCTGATCTCTACTTCTTTTCTTTTTTCTTTCGATTACCATCAACTATGGATGCCAAGCAACCCATGCCTGCCTCGGGCCCGCAATCGCCTGTGATGATGCCTGATAGTCCTCCGGCTTATTGTCCATCTGCCATGGGTTCTCCCGCAGTTGGCACACCCTCCAGTATGCCCGTTTACCACACTACTCAGGGACAAGGACCTATGGTCCCTGGTCAAGCCTCAGCGTCCAGTATGCCTGTTTATCCTGCTCAGGCAGCAGGCTCCGTAGCGCCTGGTCAACCTGTCCCATCGAATATGCCGGCTTATCCACTCCATGTGGCTGGATCCACAGCACCCGCTCAACCGTCTCCGTACCCCGCTGCTGCTGCTCCCGTCGTTTCGTTGGTCCTCGGTGAGATGCCACAACTCCTCGTTTGCCCTCACTGTGGCACTCAAGTACAAACGGACACCCAGCATGTTGCCGGTGATCAGACTCATTTGATCGCCTGTGTGTTATGCTGTTGTGCTCCTGTCGGTTTATGTTTCCTGCCTTACTGTTTGGGTTCATGCCAAGATGTTCAGCATACATGTCCCTCATGTCACAATGACATTGGTCTGTTCACACGAATGCACAGCAAAACCGTCCTGAACCAAAAGCCTCATCCAAAGCGATAAATATCAGCTGTAGAATGATCTCCTGCATTATGTTTCCTCGCTGCTATCCACATTTGCTTATTATTTTTTATACCATCATATATTGTCAATACATATAATCATTATTTTATTGCACCTTTGGAAGCAATCTATTCGTACACCTTTTTGTTTTCTTTCGTTTTGATGAAAGGCTTGTGAAGAATATATATAGGTTCATACGCATTTGTGTCATTCTGTAAACTGTAAGGCGCGTTGTATAGTGCAATTTAGTATTTATGGAACAATATTTCATTTGTCATTCCATTGGCATCACAATGGGTATTTCACTGTCCCTCCTTGTGCTCGCACTCAAAGTTGCACACGCATACCTTGAACTTTCCGGGACCCCTCGTCGTTTTAGCGTGTCACCACTGTACACCGCTTTTTCAATCCATAGATTTGGGAATTGCCTGTTATTCAATGGAATTTGATAGCAACCATGCAAGAAGAATATAATAAAAATGAAGCTAAGTCATGATGGATACTTGAATCGAAAAAAGCCCATCGGAAGAAAAAATCCAATCTAATCTAATCAAACCAAAAAGTATTGACAGAAAAATCCACCAAATCACTTTGATAAAGGCTGTTCAATTGGGGGGCACAAGGTCAAAAATAATAGGGAGAAGGATGATTCAACATGACATTCGTGTGATGACACTTTGAGTGGCCACGTGACTTTTTAGGAGCAACGACAAGATACGACATTCTTTTTTTTTTTTTTTCATTCATGGGTGAGCAGCCCGATTGGGGACTTTTTGGCCTAAAAAGCGCAAATCAAATTATTCTTCTGCTGGCGTGTGATTGCGGTAAATCATGCTGATATCATCTTGGGTTGGAAGGGAAAAAAAACAAGATAGAAATAGGTAGGAAGGGTGGTGGAGAAACATGCCTAGGCTTGTTTTTTTTCCGGCTTTTTCAGCCGCATGATCCAAACAAATTGCCTTTGGCCTCCGTCCGTTTTTTCTCCCCCTTGTGTTCATGCATGAATTTCACATCAGATTAGCGGGTACGCTGTGGAATTTTTTTTTTTCATATTCCATTATCAGATGCTCATTTTTTCTGCGTTCTTCTTCCAAAGGTCCTTTCTTCTTTTTCTCCATTTCTATTTCTTTCCCCTTCTCCACCTATACGGTTGAATACGACTCTCAGTAGCGCACCCGTCATCTTTATCGTATTTGTCATCTCGATCTTTCCCTTTATTTTCCCACTGCTTCTATCTACATAACTGTCATGACATATCTTGCTAGTGGTAAACCATTGACGGGGGTCATGGCGTCCGCTGCGGTGGAAACATTTCCTTCCGTAGACACTTTCGCCTCCAATAACACATCCATTTCTCACACGGCAAGTCATGTCAACCATGCGACGGCCGATAAGGGTCATGTTGCTACTACCATAACGAGTGCTAAAACACAACACAAACTGTCCAGCCGTGAAAATCAAGAAGATCAGGGTGTGCTGGTCCTTCGACGCCGCGGGTTGAACAATGCCGATGATTTGTGGTACGATTTAAAGAATAGTTTGCATGATCCAAGTACGTGGTCGAGGGTAGTGGAACTGGACATTTCGCGCAATCACTTGAAGAGTTTACCTGGGTCGATGGCGTCCTTGACACAGCTGAAAACGCTCAACGTATCGGGCAATTGTCTAAAGGCGGTTCCGCCCGTTCTGTACCAACTACCGCAGCTTCAAGTGCTGATTCTTTCAGAGAATCAATTGTCGCATTTGCCAGAGGAAATGCCACGGTGTCTACCGAACCTCGTGCGATTACGCGTGGTGGCCAACTCTATCCGGCAGATTCCTGCCACCATCGCTGCTTGGCAATCCATGTGTCACTTGCTGCTCAATTGTAACCAATTGGAAACAATTCCGGAAGCCATCGTCGCCATGCCGTCCCTCGAGCTATTGGACATTTCCCACAATCGACTCAAGGCGTTGCCAGACTATCTGAATTTCCCCAAACTAAGTTACCTGAACGCCTCCAACAACGCCCTTCGCCATCTGCCCAGTTCCATTGCCCAATCTCAGCATCTCAGTACGCTAGATCTGTCCCGCAATCGACTCACCAGTTTACCCATTGATTTGGCCCGTCTCGCCCTCAGCCAAATCAACGTGTGCGAGAATCAGCTCTGCATCATTCCATCCGATATCCTGGAAAAGCGCAGCACCAGTGTTCTTCTCACCGGCAACCCATTGACCCACGACTTTGTCGGTCAACAACAACGCCAGATCTCCGATTCACTCAAGACTTTCAAAGATATGCTACGACACATGGCCGGGCGTCCATGGATCGTCCATCACCAGCATTCTGCGACCACCAAGAACTCCGACGAAATGACCTTTGCCAAAGTAGACTACCTCACGCATGCTTCACCAACCACGTGGCCCTCCAAACCAGGCATTCAGCCTTTGCCGGACAACGATGCCTATATTGATCATTACCTCTCATTTCACGCCCAGTCACTGAGACTCTATGGCAACAATCGATCCCATGGCCCCTTTACCAGTTTACTAATCCATCACGAAGAAGAACACCAAGAAGAAGAAGAGGAAGGGGAACCGGGAGAGCAACAGCATGACGTAGGTTCTTTGCAAATACAGCAAACAAATGATGTCACTACCGATGAAAATACGGGGGATGGTTACGGCTGGTCGCCGCCTCCGTGTCATCTTCTTCATTCTCTACGTGAACTAGCGTTTCGAACACTGTTAAATACTCAGCATGATTTATCACCAAAAGCTACAGCATTGTGGCCGGATCGTGTGGTGGCGGACATTCATCATATTTTCTCTTGTCGGCAATGCGGCCAACCGTATGTGAAGGAATGGGTGAGTTCGGTGAGTCTGAAAACGTATCGTGGTCATCCGTCCGTCGTTCAGAAGCAACGATTCTGTTCACTGTCGTGCTGGCGATCGTATGTGAGCAAATACAAGACCAAAGCGGCGAATCGACGACCTGTCCATCACCCTCCTCTACCGCGACAAGGCGCAGGCGGAGGAGGAGGAGGAGGAGGAGGAACCTGGGTGCCCGGATCCATGCAATGGATCATGGCCGCGGTAACGGCTTCGGAAGAACAAGGCGATGAAGATTGGGTATTTTGACAGCCAACATTGAAAAAAAGAATGATGCCCCGTTAAATACTGGATTGACTATGATATTCTATTTCTGGAAAATTGACTTGTTCTTTATTTGTTCTGCATTACCCGACATGGTACATATCTTGTGCTGATGATAAGTCATGTCTGTTTTAAGAAAAGAGCTTGGGAAAAATACTGCCATCCGTGCAGCTTCCCAAACAAAAGAGTAGCCCAAAAAAAAACCAGAAACCTCCATAGCTGCCTGATAAACTGCATGACGAGATCTGCAATTTTTTTTGTCATCCCATTTTCCTTGAAAACCCAAAAAAGAACCGATTGGGCGAGATAAAAAACAAGCCAATCATCGTTGATAAATTCATCACGTCGATCTTAACAGTATCTAAAAAATCAGGGAGCTGGTTTTTTTTTTTTTTTGGTGTTTTTGACGGGTGCTGTGCCAATTGGATTCAGGAGGAGCCAGCCGGTGGGCTCATGTAATAATAGAAACAATGATGGTCCTTCTTTTTTATTTTAGTGCGCGGAGGTGGAGCTTGAATCTTTGGGCGATCACCCTTCACGTCTCACAGCGAATTGGGAAAGTCGGCCCTCAAATTTGGCTTATCTTTTTCCTTCCAGGCTGGACCCTCCAAAGCTCCGATTTGGCACAAGGTTCTTTTTTATTGCCTATAAAATTGGCACCTCTTTTCTTTGTGGATCATTCTCTTCTTTTTTTTCGTTTCCTCTTTCTATTTTCCTATTTTGTCATGATGATTACGACCAGTGAACCAGCGTCTACATGGCATCGATACCCTTTGGACCGTATTCATGATGCTCCCTCCAGTGCCACGCCCAACAACGTTGCGCGGCTAACTGACCTTATCCGTTACCACCATTCCCTTTATCAGATGGAATACCGTGATCGACCCAATGTGCTTACACGCGTGCTTGTATGCCTTTACGACTTGGGTGGTAAGTAGACATGGAATAAACTACGATGGACAGTGAATAAGTGTACTCACAGCTATTGTTCTATTATTTTTTTAAAAGCCAGTCAAGCCCAGTTGGAAAAGGTCTATTATACGGTTCAGGGCAACCTTCAATCCCTGCGAAGTGTCCATGCAACCATCCATCAAGACAACTGGCAGGAACATTTGGGTCATTCATCGTAAGGATAGAAAAATATCATCTGTACGACGGGGCGTTGTCTCGTTCTTATGACGACATGCCAACCTTTTTGTTTTTTCTTCTTTCTTTAGAGCTTACGGTGACTATCTGATGTTTTTCGACGGTGAACTGGTTCGTCTCGGATTGGATACGTTGGTCGACACTTATTTTTATCAGTCCAGCTTATCGGATTCGGCGGGATCCCAGCTCCAGCCGTTAGTTCATCTCGCTTTTGGACTCGAAAAACGGTTGCCCGACATTGTCACACAAAGTCTCGCTTATTTGGCGAGCACCCATTTACCGGTTTCTGAATTGATCGAACCATTGTCAGAGCCGTTGATTGGCGACCGAACCACGTCGTCAACCAGTAGTGCCCAATCGCTTGAAACCTTGTTACTCGATCTTGTAAGCGCCGATCCGCGTTTCGATGGCAAAATGGAAGGCGACAATACATTTCATTCGGCTGTAAAACTGTTACTGAAAAGCAAGCACGATTTACTGCAAACGTACATGGCGGAATGGGTCAAACTGCCTTTTGAATCGTCGCAACAACGGTTGGGATCCCTCACGTTATTGGCGATTCGATTCATGAGCTTAGGATCACAACAGTCCCAGGAACACGATCAAGTCGAACTGGACCCGTTCCTGGGAGGGGGCCAACTACTCCAATCGGCCTTGGCCATCCGCACTTTGACAAATCATCGTCCCCAATACCTCGACCGATTTGTCAACCTTCAATTTGTCGCCACCCTTTGCACGTATGTCGTGCAAGGCCGACCTAAGCCATCAAAGAGTGTACCGTCAGGACTCACACTTTCGTCTAACACATGGGCGGACTGTGTTGCCCACATTGTTGAATCCGGAGATCCAAAAGCGATTTTGGCGATCCATTCGCTCATTCAAGCACGAGAATTAAATGAGCAACAATGTCTAGACACAGCCGCCATCCTTGTCCGCTTTTCTCAGAATGGAAGCTGGATCAAAGGGGGCATCGGTCAATCGTCTCGCTAAATCGTTTTATCATCCATCATGAGGGCTTTCCTTCTTCTCCCACCATATCCATCCCTCGTCGTTTCCTTTTTTTTTGCCATGTTTCATTTTCCATTACTTGCCGTCTCGCCCTTTTTTTTATTTCTTTTCTTTATATCCCCCCTGCATCTTTCTTTTTAAGACCCCATTTTCTTTTTTTTACCATCTGTTTGTACATATAAATATCATGCTTTATTTTTGTCCATGTCGGTTTCAAACCAAAACAAAGAATCATCGATTTTCTAAACTTTATTTTTACTTCAGCATGATGATGATCACTTGTCGCTGATTTTGATTAGTTCCCATCTAATTTGTGTCACCCGTATTGTATGATGTGATAGCCTCAACATGATGAGCCGGGGGACGGATCGTCATGACCAGGCAACAGTGATTGAAACAAAGAGCGTCATGGCTACATTCTCACTTTTTACATGGCTCAAGGAAAAAAAGATTCTTATCAACCCCATCTTTTAGTCTCAAAAACAGTCAATCGATCGAGATGCCAACAGGTTATCATCAACATCCCATTTCGGTCACACGTGTTCCGTTTTTTTTAGCTTGAACTTGATATAAAAAAAAAAAAATGCAATCAAGTTCCCCAACTTAACAGAAGCACTCAATATGAAGCGTATCCCATCATTTGACAAAGAAACTAAAGCATAACTTTGCCCACTATCAAAAGTTTCATTGAACAAGATATACTGTATGAAGAAAAACATGGAATCAAGTCTTTGAACGTGTTATCTCGAATACTTGATAATGGTAGTTATCCAGTCTCTGATGATTTGGCGGTTCAACCAGACAAACTTACTACTACTGCACCAAAGCAATAAATAACTAATAAGATGCTGTATGTTCCTTTCCTCACCCATATGAATAAAAAGCCCATCTCAGCAAAGGAAAGAAATTAATCCCAAAAAGTAATATACGTGAATATGTTTATTACAAACATACAGAATACGCACGAGGTAAAGCGGAACGCGCGGCTCATAACACAATTCTTGGTAAGCCGGTACGTGCTTCAGATCCGTTGTTTTGGAGTTTTCGAACCTCGCACAACTGGGCATAGCGCCTACCATCCTGTTCGATGTTTCGTCTTTTAACGATGCCTTGACTTCCGTTACCCTGTCAAAATATTGCTACAGATGCAAGCCTGATCAGAAATCAAGTCGAATGGCCGCGCGTCTGGGCTGTTCCTGTGTCAGGTTCCTGAACCCAAGAGGGCCAGTACAAAACTCACCGGTATTCCGTTCTCCACACACACACACAGTAAGAAAGTGGTTTACAAAAAGGATCCTGTTTTCCCTGCTCTTTTTTTTTCAGACAAAAAGCAATTAAAACAAGACAGTTGGTTACTTGTATTCTTTTTGTATAAAGCATCATCAAGCTGTGGGTAGCCAGACGCAGAGGCAACCATTCGGGCCAATCAGATTCTCTGATACCTTCATTCCATCGCCATTCGAATAATTCGATTTTATTATGGTGTCGCTGCCTGAGAATCAATTGCAACTGAATAGCATGTCGTGTGTATTTTTCTTGAGGAGAATAGTAGGCCTTGTAATTTTTTTTTTTTTTTTTTTTTTTTTTTTGCAAAGCTAGACACCATCAAAGACTAACAGATGACCCTAATTCCAACAAGGTGGTGCAGTAATTAAAAAAAAAAAGCAGCAGTCAAATGATTTGCTATTTTTAAACTTGGTTTGGTCCTAAATTAAAAAGAAGCCCAACTATTGTTCAATTTAAACATTAGAGCGATCGTGGATTAGCCAATCAATCGTCCAGTTCAAACATTGGAGTCTCCAGTTAATGAAAGCAGTAAAATGATCGTCTAACGATATCCTTGCCGAAAGTATGGTTGTATGGCAGCGGTCAAAGATTTATGAATGGATTTGGGACAAGGACCACTGCGCATTTTCTTTTTGCAGGAAAAAGTGATAACGGAGACGAAATGATGTGTGACAATAACGGTGGTGCAATACTCCATATCTGTTCCGTCGGCAGTCGAATAGCATTTCTTTCATGCTACGTGATTTGTCGACCTGATTAAAAAAAATGGTTAAAAAAAGCGCATGTTGCACAGAATAATGTAGAGCAAAAAAAAAAAAAAAAAGAGTAAAAAAGAAGGAAAAAGCAATCAAAAAAATTGGATGTAACTACTCCACCGCTGGAGAAAAAGAATATCAGTGGATGAAGCTATTGAAACACAACTTCAGTGACCTCTTGCAACCAAATGAAAGCATCTTGATCTATAAGACCAGGATAGCTCGAATTCTAGTATATTGCCTACTCATATATTAGTCCATTACCCAAAGTGTTCTTGGATACGATGCTCGTTTTACAAAGACACCATTGGAACCGACTAACTTTTTTTTTTGCCCACTCGCTATCCTTTTTTTTATTTACTTTTTTTTTTCTGAGCGCTTTTTTTTTATTCTCTTATTCTTCTCTTCCCTTTTTCCTTGTTCCTTTTTAATTTACTTTTTTTAATTTTTTTTTTGTTTTTGCTCTAATCGGCGTGCCACGCCCCACTGTCGTTCTTTTTTGTTACCACCAACCGCTCATTTTTCACCTTTTTGCGCCGTTTTCCGTTTCGACATTGGTGTCTTTCCACTCATTTTATCGACCGAGTGTATATACTTTCTCCATTCTTTAGTTTAACAGCCGCCATTCCATTTCCTTTGCCATGGCCACTTGTTGTGCAAGGTAGTTTCTCACTTGTTTCCAAGACACTGAATTCCATGGCAACCATGGCGATGTTCACCAGTTTCCCCCTTTTATTTACGTGTTTTGACCTCCTCGCTGGTGCTCTTGTGCTTTTCTTTCTTTTTTTTTTTTCTTTGTTTCCTCTTTTTTTTCTCCTGATTTTTTTTTCTTATACGTGTATGGAAAGCGAAATAAGGCTGAATGAAAAAAATTTATTAGACTGAGCAAGTTGTACACAGTTACCACCAATTCACTGTGCGCATGTCTGGGCGTCGCTTTTATCGCTTTCGGTCTCATTGGATATGAAGACAAGTTTCACGGCGCCACACTCTTCCCACAAATTTATTTCACATGTAAGTTTTTTCAGTCAGTCCTTTTTTTTTTCATGCATGGAATTTTGGATTCGTGCCTTGTTATCATCCTACATTTGGCTTTCCCTGGCGTCCTCTTTTTTTTTCATTACATGATTTGGCACGAATTCTATTTTGGGTTGACTGACAAAGGATGGTATTTTAGTAATTGCGGTTTTGGGCGCGATCATTATCGTGGCGGCTCTCGTTGGTATGATAGCTGCGTTTATTAAACGACGATCGTTGGTTATCATTTATCTGGTGATTGTGTTTGTGGCGCTCGTCTTTCAAGTCATCATTGGAGTGAAAGTGTATCAGAAAAGTGGCGATCCCGTTCAATACCTTGCCAGTTTGTGGGGTAATGCCTCCATCCAATCGCGCGCTGAACTCCAAAACGATGTAAAGTACCTTTTTCGGCTGCGACGCAAAGAGAAGAAAAAAAAAAGTTGTCTGTCTCTTACGCCCTGAATTTTTGGTCTTGATAGTTTTCATGCTGTGGATTTAATACGGTGTCGGATAATCCTGCGCCTACGGATCAGTGCGCGGCGGGATCAGGGGCGGTGATGAATCCACCATGTTATGCGGTGCTGAGACAATATGTCAACTCGAGTTTCAGTAAATTGTACTTGGTGATTTTCGTCGCTTTGGCAATCGAAGTGCTGTGTATTTGCAACGGCATCACCGTCCTGTGCACGCGATCAATCTACGGCCGTGACGATGACGAAGAAGAACGTCGTCGACGAAGAAAATCAGGCATTAAACTCGACGACATGTCTATTTCCCCCGATACACCCACCACCGCCGGATCTTACAATCATTTTGGCGATTACTACAAGGAGGATGCCAACAGTACGTATGGCGGTAAACCCCCCGGCAGCCGCTATGATAGCTACGATATGTACCGACAACATCATGCTTACGGTCGTGATGGAGATGATGCCTATAACGATGCGTATGCTCGAGGCAAATACTACTAGTGACCCACTTTCTTCCCCCTTGTTTCTGTTATTTTCTGTCCCTCCTCTTACTGATCGCATACCCTCTCTTTCTTGGTTTTCTTTGCTTCATCTCGTTTTTTATTTATCTTTGTCACAAACATCATGAATTGTCATGCATGTTGAACCCTTTTTTTTCCTTCTGTTTTTCTTTGATATATATATTTCATTTTGATTCAGAGCTTTCTATTCCGTTGTTTCCTTGTTCCTTTTTTTTTTTTTCCTTTTTCTGTAATATCATTACTTATCGTTTGTTCTTTTCCTAGTATGCATTTTTTTCATTTGATTTTAATCCTGTGATTGTTTACCGATCAGTTTTTCTAATATCGCTTGTTGCTTTTATTTACATTTATGAAAAGGGTGAAGAATTGAAGGAAAAGGGAGCGAGGGATGCAAATTTTTTTAATGATGGCCTACATGAGGTCATCCTTCGATGAATATACAGTAGTAAGAAACAGAAAGATGAAAGGACATAATAAGAAATACTATAGCCATACATGGAGCAACATTCTAGCTGGCAGATTCGCGGATTTGCCGAATGGATTAACAAACTTGATTTGGTTTTTTTTTTTTTTTTCTTTTTCTACTCGCCAAAGTAAAGAACGACTGTACAAGGATAGATTTTGGCTTGTTGATTTTGCGGGTTCAATGATCGTCGGCGAGAGTCCACCAGTGAATCTTCATTATTCGTGAACAAGGTCGACGTGTCAAAAGTGGTATCTGGATCCCCGATGGCTAGTTGGTCGTTATTATTATTATCGGATGGCAACTTGCCTTTCCCAAAACGGGGCGTCACGCTTTGAGATTCGTAATTCGTGTACAAATGTTGACCGACCGCCGGATCACTCGATGTCGTCGTGCCAGACGTTAAAGCGTCGCCTGAACTGGACATTTCTGGCGTGCTTTCAGTCGACTCGGAAGACACCTCTTCTCCCATCTCTGTATGTGAAATAGGAATATCGCGTTCCGTGGCTGCAAGAAAATATTCGATCGTTCGAGATAATTCGGTATTTTTGGGTTGCGCCGTCATTTCATGACTATTCGTCTGATTTTTGGAATTGGTATCTTCCCCAGCTCGATTTTCTGCAATTAATTGCGTCTTAGTTATGTATTGATGCGAACCATAGCCCCATCCCCTTTCGCCCTATCTCAAAATCTGTCTCTCGTCCAACCTATTCCCACCCCCAAATCTATGATGTCGTGTTAATAAAATATGAAGACCTACTTGCAGGATCGGAATTGAAATTGGCATCGTAAGTATCGACGCCCCCAGCTTTGCCGGTGGATGTGATGAGCGCTTTTCCTTTCCAACGAGACACGGCAGATCCTCGACGGGTGCCGGAGTTGGAGGATGGAAGTAGAGGGGCGTCGTCGCCAATGTACTGTTTCGGTACCGCTTCGTCAATGGACATGCTAATTTCCCGCTTCTCAGTCAGTGTACTGGTATCATGGACCATCCGCATGCGTTTCTCTTCACTCTCTTTTTTGCGTCCACCGATGACATAGACGTAAAATCCGCCGCAACCATGCGATATTAAAGCGGTGCTCATGTCAGATAACACTACAGGTAAGCCGTGGCAATTACCATCCATCGTTGTCCACAGTCGTAAGCGTGGATTGAATACGCAGATTTCATCCAGTGAATAGTTCCACATATATTCGTTGTCGTCCTCGTCGTGTCGGATCGTCAATCCGCCAAATACGATCAATTTATTCTTGTAAGCAAACATGCATGCTTGGAATCGATCCGTCGGTCCAAACCCGGCCGTGAAAATAGAATTATGATCCTTGGTCTCCTCCCAATCGTCGGTTTTCGCCGGTCCAATCTCCTGTCGCATGTACTTTTCCACATCCGGATGCTCATACTTGTACCATGTCCATGTATTGCAGTCCAACTTGTACAGATCGTTGAACATGACATACCCGTCATCATTGCCAATTTGGGCTCCTCCGTAAATGTACAAATCCGTCCCGTTGACTGTACTCGCATGACCGAATCGTAGATGAGGAATTGGCCTTGTACAAAAAAAACCATGTCAGCACGAATCCAAACATACAACCAAAAACGCTCCCATGCAAATAACATGTCAAAACAATTCCATTCTTTCCCCTCATCAAAACTCTCTTCCTGCCACTCACCCTCGAATTTGTGGTAAGAACCATCGGTTCTCAAAAGTATCATAAACAAATACGTCATTTTCACCTGCATGGGGTAACGAGGGAGACCAGAAACAAATTTTAAATGAGAAACAAAGAAAAAAAATGTCAATCCGTGTGTACCACGAGCTTCAGCGGCTGCACACTTACCGATTGAGTTGTAGCACAGACCACCAAACATTACAAGATAACGTCCCTGGACAGCATCGACGGTATGTTCGTGGCGAGGCCGTGGTGCATAACCGGTGGCATCCTCCACAAGCCGCAAGGTGAAGTCTTTGATGTTAAGAATGAGCATGGCATTTGACAGTGTATAAGAGTGTAATCGTCGCCCGCCAATAAGATAAATATTGTCGCCAATTGCACTAGCGCATGTAATCAGTGGGTTTGGTCGATCGATGTTCACGAGTTTGATCGGATGGCAGTCCCACTGCTGCGTACGCATATCAAATGTGTAGCACACCGAAGCGTCGCGCATGAACGGCATATAGAAAATATTGCCCACCGTCACTCCAGCTCGATAATTCATCGATTCCGGATTGTCTTGCATCATGTATCCAAGCACGTTTAATCGAACTGACTGAAAAGCAAACAATCCACGCACAAGCGACGCTACATTTTTCGTCCAAAACGTTAATTTTTTGTATTGCAATGTAAATCCCCACACCCTCCACCAAAGCAACAAATTGATTCGATAAATTGAGTTGAGGGGTGAAGAGTGTTTTTTAGGGGATGAAGTGTTAAAAAAAAGTGGAGACGAACGTACCAAAGTAAGTGCATGTTTGGCCCAAGCGGGCCATGGATCGACTGTCCAGATAACTTAGGATGGCGAATTTAATATCAAGATTGAGGTCGAAAAATGTAGACGAAGTCATCTCAAATGTCTTCGCATCAATGAAAAAAGTTGGATATACGATAGGAAAGGTAATCAAAAATCAACCAATACACAAAAAGAAATACCTCAGAACCAGGTTTCTAGGTTTCCAAGATATCAAGGTTTCAACTGCCTCCCATTTTGCCGGATTTGACGTCATGTGTCCTTTTGAAACTCAGACGAATGGAACATAGACCACCCCCCATTGGGGAAAGCTCGGTCTCATAATGCTTCCCAGATACTCGGCATACCGCACGCTTATCAGCTATGGCTCTATATAATAGGAAGCTAAACTATCAGAACAAGTTAAAAAAATGAATCATACTAAGCAAGATGTGGCTGACTGATACAAACATTGTTTTATTCATGCGTCTTACTTATCCTATCTCCATCTGTTATGCTGCCCACACCAAAATGGCTACTCTGGGACCACCCGAAAGCCTACTGCGTAAGCGGTTATGCGTCGTCCACGTAAACATCTACTTTGATGAACTAATATGCGTGTCTGTGCATAGAGTGAGTGGATTGATTCATCAAATTATTTCACGTATAGTTTGATGGAATTAAAAGAGGGACCTAATTATCGACATGAAAAAAAAAAACCCTGGATACTTAAAAAAAAAAAGAGCTTGCCCTTTAAATCGGAAACTGAAATTATTCAATGACGATTTTACGGCTCATTGATCTTCATAAACTGACTATGAGAGCGTTTCAACAGGTATCTCGCACCGAGGTAAATAAGCAAATAGAAGATTTGCGGCACAAGTCATACTGCGTGCTTGTATCATTGACCGGTTCTCACCGATGGATCGACATCCCACAAGGGCGAGCCAATGCACAGCAAAAGCATGCAAATAAAACAACAACAGCAGATCCATTGCATTTACTAGATATGGTAACCGAGGAAAATATTCTAGACCATTTCCTTATTTCGTCCAGCCGGATTGTCCACTTTCAAGGGGTGTGGACAAAAGGGTCAGTTGACTTATCCATAAGCATCACGGCTCTTGCATATGTGCATGTTCATTGAAGGGACTAACTAAATTTACCTGGAAGCTTTTTCCAGCGTCAGATCCCTGATAGAATGGACACAACTAGGCTGAAATGTAGCGAAGAGGAGTGTTTCCGCTACCAAAGATGCACTATGCAGCCAAATATGGCCCATGCAAGATGATAAGGGATAAAATCATGTCCCAGCTAGCTGAAACAGGGATGGAGGGGGTTTATTTTTTCTTTACTGTACGGTTTTTATCGAGTTTTTTTTTATCGGTAGAAATGATTATGGGTTATAGATACGGTGTTGTCTTTCTTGGTATTTCATGATTCTGAAGATAGGCGAATCGTCATCGCTGTCGCTTTCATCCGAAATGTATTCATTCGGCTTATGAACACGAACACGAGCATTGGCGCCCACTGTGGATGGCAACACGGATTCTGGTTTAAAATCAATATCGTCATCTTGAGCCAGATCCGGCTTTTGTGACATCATGGATGTATCCGTTTTACTCGCTGATGCGGCGTTGTTATGGTCCGGGCCATTGGGTAAACCAGGAGCATGAATGGAACGAGGTCTTTCTTTGGGTGAAAGAGAGCCATGTTCGCCAGTCGTATATGGGTCGGTCGCAATGGAGGTTGCATCCTCTTTCTCGGATGATGGAGCAGATGGCACGGTGGCTGTGACGGAGGTGCTTGTGGTGGTGGGCACTTCGTCATCATCGCTGTCCCCAAAGATATTAAAATAACTCACATCCGCCGAACTGTCACTGTCACTGTCATTGCCGTCTAGCGATTCACGTGCGATGGTCCGCGAGGGAGTTCGCGAAGTGGAAGAGGAGGTGGTTCGTCGGGCGGAAGTAAAGGTTGATGGGGCTACTACCGATTCCATGGTGGATCCATTGATCGCCACGGTGTGAGATAGAGATGTTTGTCGGCTCGAATTTCTTGACAAGGGAGGCGAATACGGTGAGTCATTGTCATGGATAGTTCTGCTTGAATGCTGGGCTGATTGCTGCGATAATCGCCTTTGAGAATCATAGTGGGATGGCGCCGAAATAATGGAACTCGACGTAGCTTGAAGTGTCAGCAATCCACTGGCAGCGGGAGTCGATGATCGAGAATATGGTGATGATCCTCCTCCTACGCCTCCTTTCTGACTCATTGACATTCTGGAAAAAAGGGATGGAAGATTACTGTCTTGCTTTGGCGCCTTGATAGAGCCTTTGGCCGGTTTCTGCAGTCCTCTCATCCAGTTGGAAATCAGTCGCCGTTTCTTGCCTTCCTCTTTTGGCTGTCCATTGGATACAATACTTTGCTGATCACTCGAACGATCATCCGCCGGCGACGACACCGTACCAACGACAATGGGGAAATTAATATTGTCCCCTTGGATGACACCGGAGGCTTCCGTTTTCACACTCAAATGCAGTCTGAGTTGGTAGTTGACGCGCAACATGTCACACCGATTCATGGTAGGAGTAATGTGACGAGGTAGATCGAATTCCATATCGCAGACGGCGTTGTCGTAGTCCGAACCCCATCGCACCGGATCTTCCTTTACCACATCCACTGGCAACGTACGCCAACTACAAATTGAAACCGTCAATTCAAACAGACTCGAGATCAGCGGCTCTTTGATCACATTACCCTTCACTGGTGTGGATCTCGATGATGCGAAGAAGGGATATTTGACCGGCCACGGTTCCTTGCCACTGATCGGGGTTCTGACAGAGCATCATGACTTTGAGAAACAAGGGTTTTCCTAATGAAGGAATGCGCGGGTTGATTTATTTTCTTCAATCCAAAAACGCACAGAAAACACGCACGCACCTCTTTCACATTCCGAGTTTTGTAAAACTGCTTTAAAACAGACAGAATCCATGTAAGCGTTGTCTGCGGACGACCATTGGCAAAGGGCTTCGCGTGGACCGAGGGGGACGGAAGAGACAAGTACGCGTTCCACAATGGGGATTTCGCACGACGTGTTGCATAAGCGTTCGGTGGGTTGCGCTGCGGCGAGGACGACGGCTTCCACAGTGTAAATCACTGAGATATCGGATGGAAAAGCAGGAAAAGGCTATTGTTATTCTATAGGTTGAAGGATTGTGTACATCGAAACTAATATGGATTGTCTTTTTATCTATTTTTTTCTGGTCAACTTACCTCGGTGGAGCTGGGAAGATCCAATGGGACTTGAAGGTTGAAGTATAGATTGTGGCATCCCTTGGACAGTGTTTGATTCAAAGGGTGCGGGTGGTCCACGGTACTGAACATCATACTGTCACCCTGTTTGCTTTTCCATTTGTTCAATGCCTTTGGCAGTACGTGATAGGTGGTATTGAAGAGATAGGTTGTCTGAGGCGCTCGACCTTGGACAGATCCAATCACTTTACCGGACCACACCAGCTGGATATCGCCTACCGAGACGGATTTGGATAGTTTGAGTTTGACCGACCCAGCAACGGTTTCGCCGGGAAAATACGAAACACTCGGTTCCCGCAGCTTAATCTCGGCGACATTGGAATTAGCCATGGTAACAACAAGATGATGAGTACCAATGACGTGATGAAGAAGAAAAAGAAGAAGCTGGTCGCGCAAAACCAAGCAATAATTACAATAAGAAAAAAAAGATAATAATAAAACAAAAGGTACAGAAAGATGACTACAGAAAAAGAAGAATGGAAAATAAACATACCAGAAAAAGTCAATTGTTCACGAGTTCACTTTTTGTGCACCCTCTTTGGTGGTGGTGCAAAAGAGAAAATTAAACATATTTATTCTCATTGACCAACAGAAACATTCATGTGGCATTCTACATTGATATGAGTGTTTATTTTATATATCGTGTGGAAAAAGATGGGTTACAGAGTATGTAATATCAACGGTGCTCTTATCAACCGTTTTGTCTTGATCTGGGATTTCTAATCTATTTTGCAAGGTCTAAATTGAGGGCACAATGTGGAACCATTTGAGTAACACAGAACGCCTTTGTGTGGTTTCTTCGAACCAACCAGCGATGGATCTATTGTTTTTCCGGTTGGATCTCTTGAATAGAGGGGACTGTGGTAGGGAAGGGCTTCAAATCTGGAGGTACAAATTCACGTCGTGCTTGGTCTGAAGAAAGCAATTGCGGGGAATAGTAAGATTGGATGGTGCGAGGGTCGGTCAAGACCGGGAATTTCTCCATGAAATCAAAGAAATCATCCTGGTCTTTCAAATCATTCATTTGGTGCGATTGCATGGCGAGATCGATCAAGCCAATGTAGAAGGAAGTGATGGTTTCGTGATACTTTTGCTTGGTGGTAGGGTTCTTTTCGAAATGGGAATGGATGATTTTCTTGATCAGAGGCTCAGCCTGGTCTCTGGGCTGATCACGCAAATAATTCCACGCCATACGAATATGAGCGCGATGCATCCATAGACGGGTATCCAACGTGGAGTCTTCCAGCGCTTTCATGAACACTTGATCCCCCACACTCCGGTATCCACGGTCATAGTACAGTAAAGGTTGCGCTTCTTGTCGTGTTCCCAAGGTGCTGCCTACACCTTGCTCTACTTTCAGGACCTTGGTGATCCACAGTTCGTGATCGCCCAGTTCGAGGACCTGGTATTTCTGACAATGCATGGATCCCAGAGTTCCCATCAATACCGGCAGTCCCGAGCTTGAATCGTCATAAAACGGAACATCTTTAAACTGATCGGCCGTAGGCGACGAAAAGGCGATGGATTGTTGCACCTGTTCGTGGCTGAGCATATTGACAATCATATTTCCGGACGAATGGAGCAAGTCCGAAGCACGTGAAGGGATGCGAACACAAAACGACACGAGTGGTTCAGGATGGAAACAAATGGATGTAAATGAGGAGACGGTAATTCCACGTCGATGTCTCGGTTCCGTCGGATGCGATGTCGTGACCACCACTACGGGCTGCGGGACCTTGCGCATAATGGCTCGCATGTCCTCTGACAAGACTCCCGGTGAAACGGTATGCAATGCACGCGTCCGAAAGGTAGGCCATGACCGAGGTCCAACCACGGTTCGTGTAAATAGCGTGACTGAAATACGAAACGCCATTTTTCGGATTCCTGCAAACGATTGGAGACGCCAATGGATGGTGCAGGAAGGGAAACCGGGGGAAATTGACAAGTGAAAGATTTGTGACTTTTTTTTTACAGAATATCCGATCCCCATTCACCCAACCAAAACCACTCTATACAGCACATATTTTCCATTGTCTTGCCCAACATGCGCGATAACATGAAAAAAGATCTTAAACTGCTCCATGATGATCTTTTTGTGGCCAAACTTTGATTGCGTCTTTGTCATATAACGTCATAAAAAGATTTAGTGTCCGAACCACAGAAACAAAAGAGACTAGATGAAGGTTCATCATTTTCTTTAAAGCAAAACAAAAGCCACGCAGTGCCTTGTCTTTATCGCTAATGCATGTTGGGGAACAAAAAGAAGAAGAAAAAAAGAGAGAAAGAAGTTGTAACATGCGTTTGCCAAAAAAACAAAAAAATATTGGTAGAAGAAAAAAGAAGAAAAAAAGCTAGGATAAATGCCGGGCCAACTCAAAAGTCGGATCATTTACGCTTGCGAGTGGAAGTGCCACGACGAGGAGATTGTCTTCCATTGACTCTGCCGTTGGGTGGAGTGCGGCGACCATTTGCCGAAGGGGTAGGCGACGGATCGATCTCGCTAGAAAAAATGACGATGAGTTACTTGATGATCCACAGTTTACAAAAGTAACAAAATGTGATAGTGAAGGTTGATAACTTACTCTAGTTCTTCGTCTGTTTCCATATCGGAACTGTCCGTGGACCCAGCTTGCTCCTCTTTGTCGGATGCTTCACTTTCATCAGATGGTCGACGACGCTTCCTTTCACGCTCGAGACGTTCTCCCCAATAGTTTTCGTACTCGTTATCCTGAACCAAGTCACTCGGTCAGTATAAAGTGGTAACTAAAATGTATGAGAATAAAATACCTTCCAATCATTGTCGTCCTCGACTTGATCATGACGACGTTTGGGAGACACGGGAGGTGAGAGTGGGGCGGAGGGTTTTTCAAACTCGCCGGCTGCCAAACTTTCTTGCCAGTGATGGACCGCGTTCCAAAAGATCACATTGTTCTCTTGATACAAGTTGGGAGCCACGCGCGGGGAGTATTCTCTTTGATTCTCCAAACGGACCGCTTCACTATTGGATCCAGGATGGATTTCGTTTCCGGATGAATCACGATAAGTCACTTCAGGCTTGGGCAGGTGTTTCACAATGTCTGCATGGTCACGTCTGTCAAGTTGATCAAAATTAGCCGCCTTCATCACCATCTAAAAAGGCCATAATTAAAGTGAGTGGAAGCGATCAAAATAAAATAAAATAAAAATAAGGCTTAATAAAAACCCACTCTCATATCAATGGTGGCCAATGGACTAGCTGCATTCGTGAGCAATTCTTCCAATGTCCAGTCTCTCTTCTTCTTTCGGCCACCACGTCCTTTTCCCGTGGTCTTTTTGCCGGCTTGAGTCTTCTTAGCGGCAGCCGCTTTCTTTGTCGCCGTAGCTTTCTTTGTCGCCTTGGCCTTGGCAGCGGTTTGCGCTTTCTTTTGAGCGGCCGATGGACGGCCTCGAGTGGGTTTGGTCGTTCCAGTTTCGCTCACAGCCGCCTTGCTGGCAGCTCGAGTCCGCATCAAAGTCACTAGCGGTTTTTCCTTTGGACCGGTGATCTCGGTCGTTTTGGTGCCACGACCACGACCTCTTCCACCACGTTTCGCCCCTCTACCTGACCCTCTACCTCGACCTTTCCCAGTCTCGGTCTTTTTGACCGTACCGTTTTTACTGCTGCTCCTCGTTCGAACCATTGAAGAAAAAAGAAAAAAAAAAGAACAACAATGAAAATAAAGGAGCACCTTCTCACATTTTGAAACCGTTTTTTTTTAAAAAGCAAAAAGTCCATCCATTGTCTCATTGTTGATTTGATAGGAGTCCGGGGGACAATGCGTGTGACCTGGGAATTTTTTTTTTTTTAACCATTGAATTGCTGTGTCACCTCATGGCCTTTTTACATATTTTTTCTATCTCACTGTTCCCCGCATAAGCATGGATTCTACCAGCATTCGGACATTGGGTCAAGGCCATATTTCGGCCATTTAGAAGTGTTTACGTGAGACAAAAAAAAAAACGTGGCGTTCCTTTTTTTTTATTATTGTTTATGAACGATGGAGAAATGAGAGAGGAAAAAGAATCAATGGAGAAAAAAAGTGATCATTGAGATTTTTACTCTTCATCAGCTTGAGCCTTGACGAAAGCGGCCTTCTTGGAGGCAATCTTGGCATCACGCTGCTTCTTGTTAAGACGTTGAGGACGACGGTAAGCCTTGGCGGGCTTGCCCTTCTTCTCGGTAGGCTTGGCGGAGGGATCAGCACGGATGGCTTCGTGAGCTTCAGCATACATGTCTTCGACCTTGTCGGAGGTGATACCGTTCTTCAAGAAGGTAGCGAACTGCTTCTTGTAACGTTCCTCATCTTCTTCTTCGAGGTATTCCATGTATTCGGCAACGTGAACACCGTAGATGTAGTTGCGGAGCAATTCATCGTCGTTGGTCTTGCTTTCGATATCGAAACCGGGGAAACGGTTACCAGAGTGGGGGACAAAGATACCACCATCGGAAGCACCCTTCATGGCACCAAAGACACGGGCACCAGTGGAAGTGCGAGCAAGACCGACATCAAGGAAAGCCTTGAAGGGACGGGGACCTTCCTCGTTGGCTTCGGTCATTTGGATAGTGCCATCGGGCTCAGTGACACCCTCGTACTTGTCGGCAAGACCGAGCTTGGCCAAAGTACGGCGAGCCAACAAGAGACCAGTGGCATAGGCAGCAGCCCAGTTGGTCAAACCACCCTTGATACCGTAACGGGGAAGTTCATGAGCATAGGCGGCAGACAAGACAAAGTCACCCTGGAGCTTGGCGTAGACGATCTGGCAAATGATGTCCTTGTTGGTGAAACGGACAACCAATCTGTACTTGGGCGAGTTGTACTTGTTCTTGGCTTGAACAACAAGACGCTTACGGGCATAGTAATCAGTCTTTCCCTCTAAAAATTGATTTTTTTTTTTAGGAAAACAATTAGCCACTGTTCATTCACTTTAATCTTGAAATCCTCAATGCCACACGTTCTGTGCCACAAATCCTCCCAATTCATCCATTCTCGAAACTCTGAAATCAGCAAATCATAATCAACTTGCACGCTGCCCATTCATGTTGAACGTCGCCGTCCTGACCGTAATGGTGATGACAAAATCGAGTGCAAAGGATTCGTGGGCATTGGAACGTGATAACATAAAAGGGTCTCCCATGGAGTAATAAATTACCTCTTCTTCTGCGGTACTTGACCTGGTAGCGCTTGAAATAGGCCTTGTTCTTCTGTTGCTTGACGAAAGGCTATGGAATGCATCCGAAAAATAAGTCATCCATCGTTTGTATGTTCATCCAATGTATATTCATGAGCCAGATTGGGTCATTCGATGGCATCACCATGTCTACATACCATGGTTCGACGTGGCTGTAAAAAGGAAGGATCACTGGAGGCGATGGCGCCCTTGCCACAAAATACTGCATCCCGGGATGGATCAAGGTCCGGACGCTGTTTCGGACATGAATAAAGTGGCTCGAACCTGACATCGAAACAGCAGTCTTACACCGGACATTTTTAGACAGCCGCTTTTCATTTTCTTCTCCGGTCTCCCAGCCATGGCCCGCTTTGTGCCTCCCTCTCTGAAAAAAGAAGGAAAAAAAGAAAAAGGTGTGGCAAGGTCAACAAATCGGAAACCACCGGAAAAGGTTGCATTATTAAGGTTCCTCAAGTGTCTATGGGTGATCGGACCGCGCCCATTTGCGACGAGTCAACGGTAGCTACAGTACGATTACCGCGACGTCAATTTAGAAGTCAATGCAAAAAGGCACGACGGCGTCAACGGCGTCAAAAGGAAGCCGAGGCCCGGGATCGGCAGGCCCCGCTCCCCACAGAAGAAGAAAAACGGCACCAACAAGAACAAGCTTTAGCCGACCAATTGGAATACGAGCGACAGAAAGCGCTTTGGGAAGAACGTGAAAGACAACACAATCTCATCAATACAGCGAGGCGGAAAGCTTTGGAAACCGAACAAAAAGCCAAGGAATTGGCCAAGGTAAGCAAATTCGTTGAAAAAAGCAGGAAAAAAAAGAAATTGTTTATTGCCAAGGTAGGAAACTGGACTAACCCCAAACCTTTGTGGTACGCAGCAAAAGTGGCAAGCCGCATTATTAAGTATGCCGATGATACCAAGTTCATCTTTTCCCATTGAACGGAAAGTCGAGGTAATATATTTAAGGGTGAGCGAAAAAACCCAAGTCAGTGAATGAAAGGAAAAAAGGAAATACGAATAGGGTGGGGTTACCATGGGAGAAATGGAGACCATGAATGATTGGGACGGAAAATTTTTAACTTTGTGAATTTGGGAATAGAGGAAGAAAACGAGCAATATGAAAAAGTTCATTGGGTCTGAACCTCTTGGTGGCACAAACCTGCCTATTCCCCGAAAACGCTACAAAGATCGACTGAAAGATACCAGAAGCAGTAGTAACCGATTAGACCACGATCCAAACAACGATGGTGATACGCTAACCCATTGAACAAACACACCAACTCATTGGCCATGATCTCACCGTTGGCCCATATCCTTTTACTTTGACGCGCACTTTCTCTCCTTTTTTTTTCTTTACTTTCACTCTTTTTCGATGCTACAGCTAGTCATGGGGCTTTTTCTTGGGTTTCTATGATGACGCTGAAGAGGAGTCTTGGCGGATACAGTGAATATAACTGCCGTCTATATTATCTTGCATCTATTTTTTTATAGGTTCTGTAACGTGGGTAACCAAAAACAAAAAATAAACAAAAAAAATTCGATAAGAATAGGAAATTAACAAATTCACTCTTTGCATAGAAAATGAAATCTGCGATTGGACCAACTTTAAAATAAAATAATGACTCCACTGAATGATGAAATCTCCATTTTTTTTTTTTTTTTGCTTCGCAGCCCGACAAATGTGTGGGGGAAAAATTATGATTTCATCAAGGGACATAGAAACGGAGCCATGGTGAGAAAAAAAGACCATGGATAATGCAAAAGTAAAACCAAAAAGTGGAGAGGATGGGATGGGGTGGGGTGGAAAGGCTCAGAATGAGAGATGGAACGTGGAACCAATGGAGATGATGAAAAGGTATGTTTGTAAATGTAGCTGGAGTGTATATTTTATGGCGACAACCATAAGAGGGAGTTCATCAAGTGGCTGTCTTTGAGATTGATAGCAATCTATCTCCATTTAGATGAGCGGTGGTAATGAAGCCAGCCGTTGGTCGGTCAGTCTTGCCCGCAAACTACCATAAGAGTCGTGCCGCCTAAAGGTGTGTGCTTCATTTAGACATTTTCCAAAAGCAGCTCGAGTTCAAGCCTGATTATCGCTCACAATTATACCCTTTACCCCGCTTTTTTTTCGAGGTGGGCCAAATATTAGCACCCCGTCAGTTTTCAACACCAGAATCCCCGCCTCTTGTTGCGGTTATTTTCCCACCTTGGACCCTCCCAAACCAATGAATGCGCTTGCTTTGTCCTTCTCCGACTTTGCCCGACGAATCCATCTTGTCGGTCTCTCTGGTCCCCCCCCCAAAAACCTTACTTGTACCAGAACCCAAATTTTCGCGATACGACGAGTATATATGCCACAGATCTCGCGTGGACCAATTCTCCACACATCAACCTTTTTTTTATATATATTTTCCTCTTCCGCCTATTTCACCCAACCAAACAACCCTCCCCCTATAAAAACCCACCCACCCACACCCACCCTCTCCTACCTCGTTGTAAAGAACCATTTTCAAAAGACAAAAAATATACAAGATATAAAATCATGAAAGTCATCGTTAGCAAACCTACGAAGGAAGAGGCCGAAAAGAGCGGCGTATTCTCCGTTTTCAAGCAAGATGGCAACAATCGCCACACACCTTTCTATTGTCGCTGGACGGCTGAAGAAGATAAGCTGCTTTTTGAAGCAGTGGAAATGTACGGACCTCACAAATGGTCATTGATCGCTCGCCACGTTCCTGGACGTACACCTGTTCAATGCTCCACCCGTTGGCTCGGTGCTCTCAAGTAAGTATAAGTGGCCTACCCGTGATACTTGTCATTTTTTTTTTCGACTTGGCAAAACACTGTGTTTGTTTGATGAACGGGAGACTCACCCATTTTCCCCCTTTTCCTTTCTAGTCCTCATGTACACAAGGGACGATGGTCCAAGGAAGAAGACGCCGCTTTGACGACGGCGGTTCACAAATACTTGAGCAAACCCAACGCAACGCCGGATTCGTTGCCATGGAGTCGCGTGGCTCAATGCATTCCCAACCGTACCGGTATTCAGTGTCAAGCTCGATGGACCGAAGCGTTGGATCCTACTGTACGTAAAGGCCGATGGCGAAAGGAAGAGGATGAGATGCTGCGGGCCGGCGTCGCAAGATTTGGATGTTGTTGGATCCGAGTGGCTGGATCGATTCACGGACGAACACAACGTCAGTGTCGTACTCGATGGAATCAAATCCGGTCCAAGCAGGAAAAGGTGGCCAAGGAAGAGAATGCCACTAAAAAACGAAAAAACCGTTTGTTGTGGCAACCTCTGCAGCAGCAACAACAACAACAGCAGCAGCAGCAAGACCAACAACAAGAACCACAGCCACAACAACAACAACAATCACGAGTAGAGTCTCCGGTTGTCTCTGCTTTGTCCCCCTCGTCACCTCACCTCACTGAATCATCTCACCTCTCCACCTCTTTCTCTCGATCTTCTCTTCACATGCCTCATCAATCCACCATTGCTTTGACCATTCCTACCAACCATTTTATGAACGAGCCATTGAAACTTATCACGACCACCGCGTTAACGACCCCGCCTCCGTCTCCCGATGCCATGTCGACTCCGAATCCGTCGACTCTGTCCACCAAGGATTACTTTAGTTCCCCTTGCTCGTTTGCCACGCCTTCGCTCCACACAGGCGATGATTTCTCTTGCAAGTCACCGGATTCTACTTCGCCTTCCACCATTATCTCGCCCTCGGATTACTTTAGTCTCTACTCTTCTTCCTCCGATGCCATGGTGATCCCCAATCTTCCAGACGATCATTTTGACTCTCCGGTATCTCCGCTTTCGTCTTTCCCGTCGCTCTTGTCACACGAGCACGCTTCTTCCCCCTCTCTCTCTTCAATCACGTCATCTCCCTATGCTCCTGTCCACATCGGCCTGCCGATTCCTCATCAAACACAACAGCCACAACCGGATTTCATGTGTCGTTATGATCCTGATCTTCCTTCTCTTATGCTTCCTGAAACCGATTTTCTTATGCTCGATAACCTTTTAAGCCCCCACTTCCTCTCTCTGTAGAATAGTCGCTAATTTTTAGTTTTTTTTTCTGTGCCTTCTAGACCCCTAATAAGTTTTTTTTTATTGTTTCGCTTTTTTTTTGTTATCAACTCATCTACACGCAACCAACCATTATATATGAACAAACCAAGATTTTTCTCGTTTTTACATTGTTATAGAAAAAAATAAAAAGCATAGAATACTGTGGCATTGTATAATTTCTTCTCGTGTTCTTCCATTTCGATGCATCTCCAAATGAAGCTTCCAAAAAAAGCGAAAACAAGGGTTCCGTTTGCTGATCATGCAAGGAAAATCCACAAAAGATAGCTCGCTTTCATAAAAATAGGTATATTCGTTCATTGATTGGCAACTTAATCGGAAGGTAAAATATTGACTCCTGTATCCGATGGATCGGATATTTTTTCAGAGTCAGGGCGGGCCATCAAGAAAAAACGGTATTTTAGGTTGGCTCGTTCCATTCTACTCTTGATCGTGAACCAAAAAAAAGTGGCACAGACAATTTTGCGAAAATAAAAACAAGTCATGAGATCATAAAAATTGGGCACGACCACGTGGACGGAGTTTTTCTTTGAACACAAGCCAAACTCAGCTACAGTAACCGTAACATGCATGAAAAAAAAAAGAAGAAACGAATATGAACTACAATGACAAAGAAACAAAGACAGCGAAAAAAAAAAGGGGAGAAGAATGAAAAAAAAAAAACCTGGAACAAGCAAACAGAGTGCGGATTGGATGCGTTATGGACCAACGTCTGTCACTGAGGCATGCACTTGGATGTCGTAGGTGGGCTTTTTGATCGCGGATATTTTACGTTTTTTTTTTGGTCTTGGCGAGGTCGATGAATGGGGAAATAGCGTGTGCGAAAATGGTTGGATTGGTTGGATTTAATTTTATCGGTTTTGTTCGGCCGGGGCTCCGTGGACTCGGACACGATACAAGCACGTATAATCGGAATCCCCCCAGTTGGACAAGACACGAAGCAACACCGCGTCGAAAATGACATAGCGATTCAAAGCAATATCAAAGGTTTGAATGGCTTGCGGTTTGCGAATATCGTACCGAACCACGGCCAGCTTGATGGCACGACCGTCGGATTCCTCCTCCCAGGGACGTAACTTGGATCGAAAGTGGCGTCCTTTCACACCCCACACTTCAATATCTTTGGGCGCCGTCGTCATGTTCACCAGGATGTCGCGGGAAGGATGCTCAATGGTAACGCCTTGAATAGCAATGGGTTCACTAAGAGCGATTCCCAATGTCCCGTTGTGGCCTTGCATGGGCCAACATTGACCCACTCCGGTGTCTGAAGTGAGAGCCATCGTAGGTGACACAGGGGTAAAAGCACCGACACCGGTAAGTCGAGCCAGCCATCGTTTCCAGAGATGTCGAGGATACGCCACATACGTCGCGGACGTCCAAGCAGGAATCACTCTTGCACCACGATTCGCCAAAGCATAGTCGGCCGATCCGAGCACATCCTGATGGTATCTTTCCAAGGCCCGTTCCACCAGCATCCACACGCCTCGAGGGGATAGACTGGTATTGTCGTTGTCAGGTGCCTGGAATTTATTCAACTCGTCCCAGATACTGTGCAATTCATTGGTCAGGAGTTCCATGAACATGTCTTTACTCATAATAACGCCTTGTTTCATTTGTTGGTCAAGTACTTGTTCGACCGAACCGGTCAAGAATTGCTGCATGGATGCTTCGTTGGCCTGCAAGAACTGATCCCACGTGAGATCCAAAGAGCCACCCAAGTCTCCCTCGGATCGTGCCTGTCTATCCTCCAGTGTGTCTTGCAATGTCTGGAACTCGGATCGTGCCACAAAGTATTGTTGAATGTAGTTGAAGATGCCTTCCACTTGGAACTTTCCCGTCTTTTGATTTACGTGAACATAGACATTGGGAGGCAGGATTTCTTCAATGAAAGAGCGAAGTTGATCGTATAAATCGTCGTGATTGGCCGGCGTTTGTTGCTGTATCCGTTGTTGCAAGGCGTGAACGGCGTCTTGCAAGTCCTTGAATTTGGGTTGCATGTGTCCAACGGATTTATCAAGCCGGTCGAGTGTGGACTGCATGGCGTTGACTTTGGTGACGGTATCGGCGGCCAGATCGGCAAATGCTTGAATTTGGTTTGTGTTACTTGCCAATCCGTCAATGCGAGCTTGTTCCTTCTGGAGCAAGAGTCTCAGCTGGTTGATTTGATCCGAGACTTGGTCCAAAGTCGGTGCGCCTCCAACGTGGATGAGTGGATTGGAGGGGGTGGAGGTGTGCAAGGATGGTCTAGACCAAGTTCGCATGGGTGACAGTAGGTGGCCAGGGTACGCGATGAGGTCCGATAAACGGGGAATGTCCCGCAAGTTGTTGGTGCTGGCAAGGAACATGATGGCGGTGTAGACGGCGACGGCGCAAGCTAGAATGGAGGCCATGCCTGGTTGTCGAACAGTAGATGAAGAGAAAGGGAGTGATTGCAAGGGAGAGGCACGAGCGTAACCCAAGTATTGAAGAATGAAAACAATGGGATTCACGATAATGGAGGATGCAAGTAAATAAAGCGCGCTTCCCAGGACCATGGTGACTTCCTTAATGGTCCAGAAAATCATAAACACCCAAAACATGACAAACTCGAATGTTCTGTCCCAAACTACTTTGGATTTCGACCACAGTGTGTCGACGCCATCGTCGTCGTTGTCGTCGTCGTCACTGGATATGATGGATTCAGTATCAGACGGACTGTCAGCCATGGGTGTGAAAGTCTTGAATCGATCGCGTGACGCCGTTTTGGACTCATTATTCCCAAATCCGCTCATGTACAAATGACGTCGCCGGCATTCTTCCACAGGATCATTCGCCAGCAATTCTTCCTCTTCATAAATATCGGAATCATCATCCAAATCATCCTCCATCGTCCCACCAAAAAATTCATCCATCGCTCGTTCTTGAGCTACCGCTACCCAAAAGCATCATCCAATCAGCCAATGTTTCGCCACTAATTTTGCAAGCCTATTATGCGAGCATAGATAGGCCGCTTTCTATGGGCCCTTTTTTCTTGGTGTAGGAGACCCTAACTTACTTTTGGGATCGCGTTGGATAAAGACTTTATCCTCAGAGCCAAAGGCGTGTAAAGGGCTTTCGTTATTCTTGTCTCCCAAAAAGTCGGGTTTGGGTAGTGATGGACTGGTATGCTTGGTTTGACTAATGGCGGTAGCGATATTGACGCTTGTGTCGCGCAGTTCACTGAGACGCGACGATGGCCTTTTGTAAGGTGATCGACTGGTGAGAAGTGAGCGATGACGTTCGTTATTTAAAGGAGAAAATGGAGAAGACGCACGACTGGTATATCTGTTGGGATCCATTATGGCATGGTTTTCTAACAAGGACAAGATGAAGAATGAAAGAGGAAGAAAACAAAGAGAGAGTGAGAGACGCGGTGCCAGATTTGCATATTCACAGAAATGGGACAATGAAAGTTTGAGGGGGACGAGCCAATCAGAAGGCGTGACTTGATTCTCTCCATTTTTTCACTGCGAGAAGGGCTGGGCTGGGCAAGCAGCTGAATGGTGGCTTGTGAGACTAGGCGATTTCGCCGTGTGTTTTTCCCCGGGAGATTTTTTGTGTTTTTTGTTTTCCCTTGTTCAACGGCAAACAAGTCTTTTGATACAATACGACACTATGAGCGATTATTCTTCTCAGTACAATCTCGGTGGTGATGCCGGTTTGGTACGCTTTGCATTCGAAACGAGACCATTTTCAGAAAACCAGTGGCATTGACCGATCGCATGTATTTTGGCTGATATAATAGAGCAACAAGAAGCAGGAAGTCATGGATCAAGTGCGCAGCGAACTTGCTTTGGCCAACGCTCAGGAACTTATCAACGTGAGTTGTTTCTGCGTAACCCAAGATGGCGTATGGAAAACAATGAGATTGACGTTTCTATGGGCGATCTTTTTTTTTTTTTTTGGTTCTGATTGTGTAGAAAATCAACGAAAAGTGCTATTTGAAGTGCGTTCCCAAGCCTGGTGCTCGTTTGGAAAGCGGTGAACAGCAGTGTCTTTCAAAGTGCATGGATCGTTACATGGAAGCATGGAATGTCATTTCTCGTTCGTACGTCAGCAGACTTCAACGCGAACAAGGTCAAATGGGCGGCATGTAAAAAGGTCGAAAAACACGCACAAGTTTAATATACAACCCTTTCCACTCTCGACTTTTTGGTTTTCCCAAAGTAAAAATCTATATACAATATGTTTTTTTCTAGAATCAAAAAAACAACACTTTTTTAAATTGTGAAATATTGATTTTGAATCTTCCTTTGACCATCCGTTGGCCCTTTATCACGTCTGGACCTCGTCTTGTGTCTCTGTGAACGGAAACACGCGTGAATTACATTGTAAGAGGATATCGTATGAAGGAGCATATCATCAAAATGGTACCATCGATAAACTTGCATGAATTAGAACCATGGGACCCAGAGTTTCATCTATTCATCAACATTGCATGAGCAATTTGAAAGAGTGATCAATTTAGGCATGCATGGCCTGTTTTGCATGGAAACAATATCGTATGGCAATACTGTATTTATTATTGAACGAACGAACAAGACAGAAAAACATGTAAATGATGAAATGTAACGGTATGAAAAATAATATGTGAATGATTTCACATGCGAGATGGGGAGGAAAAGATTTATTTTTGAGGGTTTCGAGTTATGCTTGGATGGTTTTTTTTTTTTGAATGATTTATATTTGACATTGTCTTTTTTCAGAGAGAAAAAAGAGGGCATGGGTATGTAAATGCTTGTTGGTTTGAAAAAGAGAAAAGAGAGAAGGATAAAGAGAAAGGATTTTGAATGCAAGATATGCTATTTACAGTCCTTCCCATGCCATCGAAAAAGAAAGGGGAGAAATAAGCCTAAATACTAATATTTTTGTTCTTTTTTTCTGGTTAGGGGAGTTTTTTTTTTGGAAATTTGAAATGAGAGAAAGAGGGTAGAGGGTTTTTTTTGTTGTTGATTTAGACAATCAACGAAGGTTGGCGCGTCAACAGGGCGGTGGCCACCGTAGGCGAACTGGAAACGACAGGTTGACAACGTCGGGCTACCAATACACCGTGACGGCGACGGTACAACGGAATCCAGGGATAGGCATTGGATGGCGCAGTAGGACGTTTACTGCGCAACGATCCCGTTTTGATAATGGGCTTGGGCGACTGCACTTTGAGGAACGAGGTGAAAGAGTTGGTGGCAGGAGGAGAAGAAGCAGCCTGGGCTTGATGTTGGGATTGATCGCTCACTCTGCAGGAATTGGAACAGTACAAGGATGAATCACTCTGAAAGAAAGAAAAAGATCAGAAAAATGAGTTAATTTGAAATGAACAACTGATCATAGACGAATCAACACAATGATCGAAACTTACCATAACATTGTCGTCAATACGGTTGTCACAGATGATACACCAAGAGAGATCCATAGCAAATGTAGGTAAAGTGATCAGAGATCCAACAGGAGACGGGAGCGGGGAAAAAGGAAAAAGAGTAAAGAGGCGTGTATTTTTTCCTTCTGGCTTTCAAACGTAAGGAAATATAAAAGATTGAAAGGAGTTGTAAAAAAAAGCAGTCGATCGAAAATTCCGGATGAATCACACCATCAGTAGAAACTTGTCGAAAGTCGTGGAAGAGGAGTTCGATTGGGATTAAAACTCATCATCCTTCACCCAATCAAAAGCAAAATGCGCGGCGGACGGCCCTTGGCTTTTTTGGCCCATCCTCGTTTTGTACCATATCCATCGATAGAGCCGAGCATTCATATACAAACATGAAAGACTCCTTTTCCTCACCAAAAATACTATGACAAGATGCACACCGAGAAAAATGACATTCTATTCTCTACTGGTTTGTTATCCAAAAAGATAGAGTTTCAGGTCCCAAAAACTCTATCGACATTTGTGTCACCCAGAAAAAATAATTTACAAAGCGTATGTACTGCATTCACACAACGACTGAGTACGCCGGTTTGCCTCGGAGCAAGTGTGCGATCTTTGATGCGCTCACGTCAGACTAGCTTGTACCAAAACGCGCGTGTAAAAAACAAGCTAGCCCACTAGCTTCCCTTGAAAAAAAAAATGAAAAAAACGTGCCACATCGTTCTATCTGATGCATGCTGATTACTGTTTCTTTTTTTTATATGCAAAATGAAAAAAGATGACATGTTGTGCCAATCGCCCTAGACGCAGCTTGAAAATTGCTCGTGTTCAGTTCAGGACTCCGAGAATCCATGGTTCAAACGAGACTTGAGAAGCCATGCTCCTGCACAATCAAGAACGGATCACCAATTCCGCTAACAATTTCCAAGCTTCATGTTCCAAAAGAAATAGTGGTGCCATTGAGGATGCCATCAAAGCAAAGGTAAGAGTCACCTGCTTCTTGTCAAAGCTTGGATTTTCAACCTTGACGTTGAGAACCATTTTTTTAAACTAGAACAAAACAGCTCAAATTCTTAGATTTTGAAAAAACGTTCTTATTATGAAAGTAACAATGGCATCACAAATGTTGTAGGGTGAGAAACAAATGTCGTTTTCCTTGAGCGTGTTGCTTTTCTCTCTGATAAATTATCACCATGTCGAAACTGATATTCGTTTTTCGCGCAATTAACCACGCTTGTCTCGCATCGGTGGCAGCCGAAAATGGAAAGGGTCAAAGAGCCCTGCAGAGAAACCCAAACGAGTGGTAAGCCATGACTTGTCACGGCAAGAAAAAAGAAAAAAGGCTATGGGTTGCGTCTTTATTTTGCATGTTTGTTTACCTTTTGATTTTTCTCTTTCCCCTTGGTATTTTCCTTATGATAAAAAAAATATAAATAGTTCATGGTTATGCATGCAAACAGTTTAGGTTCCCAAACAATCCTGCACAATGGACATCCAATGTCTAAAAAGTGAATGTCACTGGATTTATTTTAGTCTGTTGGTGTCACCACGTGTGAATGACGAATGTGAGTTCTCTCTCGGAGGGTTCGTCTATTGAACCAAAATGATATCAGACTCCTTAGCTTGTTGTTATTTATAGAAAAGAAGACGCTCGTTATCAATGAAACGACGGGTCATTCACGCCTTGTGATTCTTGTTTTTCAAAAGTGAAGCCCACGTTCGTGGTATTGGCCAATGAAATTCGCGATGGTATCACCATGTGAGGAAGGCTGGAAACTGTAATGGGAAGAGATATATACAATTCAAGGTTTGCAATATCCCAGATTGAAAAATGTCACAAGACGCCAATTTAGTTCTTCTGGAAGCTTAGCTATCGGACAGATGATTATGATGCGAGCCAACCCTTCATGGCACACACACAAAAAATGATCGCCGCAATTTATTTCAGAAAATAAATATATCGCATGTTGGATGCCATTTGAGACGAGATAAAAAAAAATTATGGTTACAGTACGTGGAATATTGAATAGAAAATGAAGAAGATTTGACCAAAAAAAGGTTGGGTCGAGACTGGCCAAACGTTTTCTCTCCGTTGGATCCGTTCCGTTCAATTTTATGCATTCCAGTTCTCAAACAGACTACGGAACGATGTTTTTTAAACGGACCATGTTGCCTTACATTCAGATGAGCCCAATTTCTTGAAATTATCGCCGTTGAGATGAGGTATTGAAATCACGAATGCATGCCTTTCTGTTGTATACGCCCCCCAGACCTCCTAAAGACACGCGTCCTGACATCTGCCTGCGTGTTGTCTACTGTATACGCGAAATTTTCTCTCACATTCGAACGAACATGAATCCTATTGCAGGAAACTTGTTTTTTATTTATTTTTTCTCTCTCGTCTCTCAAAAAGGCGGTGCTCCCCAAAGAATCCATAGAAAAATAATGATAATGCAACCGCCCCTGCACCTGCATTATCACTAGAGCCTTGTTTTTGATAAAAAGCATTGTTTCCCAGTTGTGGAAGTAAAGAATGTGAATGACAAGTTAGCTAGGGAAAACGATGTCCGTGGGCCATGTCGCCAGATTCTTTGGATTCCAGCCCAGGGTGACACCAAGTGGCTGTAAAGGGGAACTTGAATTGGCAATGGAACAACATTTATCGAGCTTGTACCATGGCATATCTGTACGACGAGAGATAACCGATCTTTTTGGCAAATTGCTAGATTTGGAAGTGGGACAAAATTACACTAGCCGCATGCACAGCTTAAAAATGGGTGTACGATATATTGGAATAGGAAGGTGAACAAAGCCATCCGTTGCAAAGGAAACAAGATCAAGAAAAAGAAAAAGAAAAGGTTGTTGTTTGGCTGTCATGACCACGTGTTGCCCTGTCCCGTATCCATCGATGAATGATTGGATGGGTATCCGGATACGAAAAGGGCGCGCCAAAGGTGATGATATGGAAATTGACATAAATTGAATTTCGATTGACGAATAGATTGCATAATCGGAAAGCCAGCCTCGATGTGTATACACATGTATCAACTCTAGAAGCATGCAACCCTAGACCTTGATGCATATTATTGAGCTAATTATTATGTCTACTTGATGAAGACCGAAACCTTGTCCACCGATACACATGCAAGCATTGTACATCAATGAGTAACGGAAATAGATTGCAATCCCACGCTGAGTGCGATAGAAAGAAAGATTTACAGTACACGCGTTGGACGGCGTAAAAGAAGAAAAAAAAAACCACTCGGGAACTTTTTTTTATCAGTACGGCCTCAAGCTGGGCTTTAAACAGTTCATACACGGCTGAGCGCCACCATTTGGGCGTGTGTCTTTTTTAGGTTAGTTGTTTTGGACACACGGATAAACCTCAGATGACATGAAGGAGGAATCAAAACTGTACAGAAATATTATTGATAAAATGGTAGAAAAACCGAAAAAGATGCAAACAAGAAAATGAAAATAGCGTGAAGCGTGTTTTTTGCTGACAAGGTACGTCATGTTTGAGCTTTTGGTATGTATTAGCCCAATCTTTTTTGGATGTGGAGGCAACTGAGACCTGCATGGGGTTGGGGGAAATTATTTTTGGTTGTGTTGCTTTTTCTTTCCCAAGTGAGCAACCGATCCCATGATGATGTAAATACCGAGGCAACCGACGAGACAACCGATGAGATTTAGCTAGAAGGGTTAGCAAAAAAAAAGTTTGTAGCTCAAAGAAAATAATAAACATTCGATAAGCCGGTTACATTTTAAGCGTAGTCGAAAAGGCAACATCAACAACCAAAAGAAAAAAACAAATAGCGTGTTTGCCTTGGTTCATCGTAATGCTGTCATGCTGCAATAACCGGAATTAGCACTCCGCCCATGGGATGGGTATGCCCGCGGAAAGGGGATTTTCTGTTCCATGTGAGACTGATTTGGGTCATTCCACTTGCAGAAACCTCAATGCCAACCTTAACGAACCCAATCTCTCCACTGTTTTCGTGAATGCAGCATGTTGTGTTCGCATACTGAGTAGTGCTACACAATGACCCTATGAGACGTGGTAAATGAAATAAAAGACACAATGACTGAGCTCCAAAAAAAAAGAGAGGAAAAATATTGCACGGACGAAAAGCGAAAAAAAAAACCGAGTTTCCCAATTTTAGCAGGCAGCCGCACCTCCTCTTTCCGTCCTTCCGCGGAATGGAAAAACCAAAAAAAAAAGAGCGACTATAAATATAAAAAAAAAAAAGACAGCAAACAAGAAAGTACGCTTTTTTTTCTTTTAATACACTCTTTCTCTTTTTCCTCTTTTACACTTTTCCTGTATATTCCATGATGACAAAGCGAGTTCAATTTGGCCAAGTGGAATTTGGCAGCACCTTTGCAAATGAAGATTATGGTATATTTATCGTTCTTTCACTCTTTATCTGAAATTATACGTGATGATGGTGTTTCTTTTTGCACACCGGCTCTCTGTTGACTACAGACAAAATTAATGAAAAATCCCTTGGTAACTCAATAGATCGAACTGCGCAAGAAGTAGCTAAATTATCCTACCACGACATGGTTGAATTACTCACGATGAGATCACAATGGCGTCGTGATATGGAGCGAATGCTAGCTGATCGCGCTACACAAGAGAAAAAGGACGACTCAGCATCGCATCTCTATTCGTCCGCCACCGAAATTTGCATTTGAAAAAATGCCAACCTTTCATTGATATACCAGTCCTTTACTCTCCCGCATCCCAACCATCACCGTACAAAAGACAACTATTCCATAACACATAGTGGGAGGCTACCAGTGAGCAGTGAAAATCACCTACACACGATGAGGGTCATTTTTTTTCTTCGTCTTTATTTGGCTCTTTGACTCGCTCTTTCCTGGTTCTTGGTCTCCCTGCTTTTTGCTTTTTATCCGGGTCCTTCAATTCCACTCCTCGTTCTCAATTTTCTCGCCCTGTACAAAGAAAAAAATCCACCTCATCCGTCCTTTTTTTGCACCATGCCACCACCATACCCCAGACACCAAAAAACGTGATTTCCCACCTTTTTCATCCAACTGTTTTCGTGCTCGATCTATAATCACACTTTTTTTTTTGTTTTCTCCTTCATCTATTCATATTGTTTTGCAATCTCTTCTAATACATACCATATGCATTATATACTCTTGTCACTTTACCCTCCCGTCTCTTTATTTCCACGTTTTCATTCACTGATATACTTTTTTGTCTTTATTTATCTCAAAAGAAAAAACAAGAAAGATATTGGATGTGGCTAGTTTCTTTGAAACTGTTTGAGATAAATTGATTGAAATCTACAAAATTTTGGCTGGCGTTTGCTTATCAAGGTGTCACAAAATAGATTCCAATTTGTGATTGCGACATAGTTTGGGCTTTGTTCGCAGAGTTGGTGATTTCTCCGCTTTTTTGATTTTCAGCAATTCTCAAAAGAACTAGACCTTGCATAGGATGCTTCCAACCAAGAAATGTCACAGTCAATCAAAATCGGTGTCACGGGTCAATGAACCCCCACGTCACATTTTTCTCCTTTGCTGCATTAAAAATTGCTGCGCACCTGCGTAAGCATCTTTGTTCAACCATCACGGAACGAACCTCTTCTCTATTGTCCAAGCAAGAAGAAAAGCCCCAAGATGGCGTCCATGCAAGCAGAGGATGCCAATTCTTTCGACGTTTTCCGAGAATCTTTTCGGTATTGAGTGTGCCGTGGACGACACGGAGCATGTCTTGCGGTATGGAGAGAAGGCGTTATCCCAAGTGTTGACCCGAGCTTCTGACACTTCTCGATTACGATTTCCGCCACCGACCTCATCTCCATCACGCCATCGCCAGGCTGCACACCGGCGCAATTATCAAGGACCGAGCACTCGTCTTTGTGCTGACAGCCGAAGCCTATTACAGGGGCAAGGCGCCGGATGTCCATGCTGAGACAACATCTGACATCATTGCCGACGCCATCAACCGTCGCTTATGACACCCTCTCAGTTGGAGTTGACGAAGGTGGCGTTGCGGTCCTCAAGGGAACCACTCCAACTCAAATTTTCGACGAAGTTTGCGCGCGCCTTTTGGCGTTCATTCCCACTGCGCGGACCGAAGCCGATGGCAAAGCCATTAAAAGAAAACTCAAAGTGGGCCCTCAATATTGGAACGTGCTTGTCACAGATGGCAGGCACATCCAAAGCGATCCAACGTCGGTCCGGAGACATCGACCCAGAGACATCGGTCTAGAGACATCGATCTCAATTATGTGAATCCGCGTACGGCACGGATTTTAGCCGTAAAGCGGTTCAAGGACGCCATGAAGCATTCCGCGAATTACAGGCCACCTAGAGGTCTGAGCACGTTGCGGCAACTGGTGTCGACGTTTGACGACCTCCACGTATCACTGCGCGCGCGCTTCTCACGAAGTTCATCAATGACCAGCTTTTGCCCGCGTCAGTTTTTACGATTTGCGATCTACCGCATAACGCAGGCTATGGTTCCGGTGCGAATGCGTTGAAGAAACTCAGTTCGCGGTTCGTGCAAGCACTGGCCATTTTCGGTCATGAACAAAACACTGGCAACTTTTGAAACATTCGCACTTTCACAAGACGCGAAGTCGCCGACGGAAACTTCAAGCTCCTGGACAGATGTTGAGAGAACAACAACTCAAGCTCCGGACTGTTCTCAAAACGCAACCCACCAATCCATACGCAAGTGGTCTGGCAGGTGCTGTGCGACTGCTTTCACAGGACAATGTCACTTTGCCACCGTTCGAACCGCGGCCTACAAGTACCGAAGGAATATCATTTTATTTAATGATACAACGAATACCATCGCAACTATCAGGCTAGATACGTGGATGATCCCACTCAACTTAGGTGGATTCAACAATGGGGACAATCTAAGACTAGTTATGACTAAAAAAAAAAAAATGGATGGAGAATCCAGTTTTTCGAAAAACGGCGTTGAAACCAAAAAGCAAAGAATGAAAGATTTTTCTCAGCCAAAAAAGGACGCTTTTTTTTATTGTTGTTAACCTTTTTACTTATGGCTGAATGGTATTACTTTGGATGAAATCTGCTGCAGACATCACATATCTACATTTATCCAGTAGTTGTTGATGTCGTTCGTTGTTATCATTCCTTTTTTTTTCTCATATTCATGTTCATTGTCGTTTTCGTCTCCCTTCATTTTTATTTTTTTTAGATAACCCCCTTTATTAGACTCAATGCTTTTGAATAATAGAAAAAAAAGGTGTTTATTATGGATGCTGATGCTATATGTACGAAAAAGATATATTATTTACGATTAACATAAGGAGAAATTTAGAAAGAACAAAAGCAAAAGTGACATGTAATAACTAACTAACATTTGGGCATGCCAAAGCAGGTTGTGTTTAAGGGTAAAAAAAAATAAAAAAAAATGAGTCATAAAGATCTCTTTACTGTCAAGCAGTAAAAGAGGTGTAAGCGTAATAAAAACGAGTACTTATACTTTTTTTAGGGGGAGGTGGGGGGAAGGGTAGGAAATCAAAGGAGCCAAACGTGTAAAACAAGTAAAGTGTAGCAGCTTATAAGTGAACGAAAAACATGCAAAAAAAAGAGGAGAAAAAAAAACAAAGAAACAGATGATGAAATGCGAAATGAATTAAATGCAAATTGAATGGTGCGACACTGGTGGAAATAAAAGGATCTTGAGATTTCGGTGTATGGACGGTTTATGAAGCGAAGTCTTGATGGTGCGATTGAAAATACTTTTTTGTTGGATTCGTTTTTCTCGATGTTTTTTTGCGGATTTTTTTCTGGAGTTTTTTACTTGATGGGTCTTCTTCTTCATGGTCGACGATGTACGCACATAGAAGAAAAGAGAAACGATGACACGAGAATAAGGAAGAGAGTGCATGTGGATGGCAGGCGTTTGTGTGTGTGTGAGTGGAAGAGGACGGGGGATGGTATTAGTCTTCGCGTAACCAGCTGTGAGTGAGGATTTGATGAATGGTGGGACGTCTTGAAGGTGACTTTTCCAGCAAGCAGGAAAGCAAGTGCATGCACTTGGACGAGACTTCAATCTTGGGTTGGACAAATCGACCAGCGAGGGCCATCTCCTGATTGTGAAACGGGACTTCTCCAAATAGGATAGTGTACAACAACACGCCCAGTGACCACACCTCAGCAGGCTCAGCACGGTACGGCTCACATCGAAGAATCTCGGGCGACGCAAAAGAAATCGTACCATAAAATTTGCTGAACAGATACGTCTTGTTGTGCTCACCGTAGTGTCGGGGTAAAAGCACCGAGGATCCGAAATCGATTAATTTTACCTTGTAGTCGCTGTCAATCACGATATTTTCGTCCTTGATATCACGATGGCAGATGCCTAATTTATCCAAATGCGCGACGCACCGAGCAATTTGACGGAAAATGTGCTTCGCCAGCGATTCATCAAACCGCTGATGTTGTTCGATGCATTCAAACAAATCACATGACGTTCGACGTACAAACGTACGTGGTTGTGGCTCTTCATCCAAAGTAGAGGAACTAAAAGTCGATTGGGAATCATCCGAAGTATGCGACAACGTGGGAGAGTGCATGATGGGTGAAGGTATGGAAGAAGGAACCGAGGAAGACGACGACGAGGAGGAGCTTGACAGAGGAGGCGTGGCCGAAGTCCATTGAGTACCGTGAAGTTCCATGACCAGGTAAAAGAATCGTTCATCTTGATAGGCATCGACAAAGCCAATAACATTATCGTGTCGTACGTGCTTGAGGATATAAATTTCCATGGGGATCAATCCCATATCGCGATCTTCAGCCCACGCACTGGAAGGCACTTTATTGCGGAAAATGAATTTCACGGCGCGTTCGATTCCCGTGGCATGTTCGTAAGCCGAGACGACAAATCCAAATCCGCCACTGCCGAGTTCCTGACCCAGCGTGTACTTGGCGAGAAATTCCGGATGTAAACGGTGATGACTCAATGCTTGTGTTGACACGGTTGATTCCGTCGGCTTGACGGTCGTGGTAGCGGTTGAAGACAAAGGTAGTTGCTTGTAAACTGTGGTTGGGGCCACCGATACACTGCTGGCCAGTATGGGTTTGGCGAAAGGGTGAATGGGCATGTCGACATTGGTCTTTAGCATGGTACTATGATGATATAGGTGAACGGGTGAAGTAGTCATTTTATATAATAGGAAAAAAAAAACGTTATACTAGATGGATGTAACGAAAAAAAATATAATAAAGAGAATCGATTTGTATTTATGGAATGGATTGGAACAACAAGACGAAGAAGAGGAAAAGAGAATAATAAAAGACGATGCGTATTTAAAAGAATGGAGTATTCAAGGAACCGACATTGATTGACGTGGGATCGTCAATCGTAAAAAGGGGAAAAAAAAGACCAACAAGGGAGGTGTTTTTTTTTTTTTTTACTTTTTTAGGCTTTCAGCGACAAGAAAAAAATCACAGAGAGAAAAAGAAACTCACAGAGAGTAAGCGAGCGAGCGTGGTCAATCAAAAGCAAGACAAGAGAAGGGAGGGGAGCAGGAGTGATCCATTGGAGAATAAGGAAAGACCCAATGCCCAAAAAACCCTCCAATAAGATCGAAATAGCAAATTGTCATCAGTTGTCGTCGATGTAAAATAAATCAGAAGCTTATGCAAAGGAGAAGTCAAAAGTAGTACACACTACCATTTTACACACATCGTTGATCCAACTCCCTCAAACTGATACGAGTAAAAGAAGATGACCACACAAAAGAAAAGAAAGCATGATTTAACATTGTGAGTCTTATTGACACATACACACACATATACATACACATAAACAGAAACACACAGACAGATTTACACCACCTTAACAATCCATGAATAAGGATGAATAAGGAATCTAAAGGATATAATTGGAACGTTTCAAAGATCAGGGGTAAAAAAGTAAATGGGATATTTCCTTTTTCTTGAATGAACGAGATGGAGAAGGAAACATTATTAAATCGTACTCATTCAGGGGCATCTAAAAAAGGTGTGGTCAATGATTAAAAACGGAAAATAAGCGACATATTTCACCCATCAAGCAAAACCTTTATTTCACACACTCTTACCACACTTTACCATAACTCTACTACCACATTATGCCAACTTGCTTGCACTTTTTCTCAGTCATCTCTCTTACCCAAAGAACTCGTCTAACTGGTTCTTTACGATCGTGTTGCTTTATGAACTATATACAAGTCGCTTTAGAACAAGTTATGTCGTGCTTTTGCTTGACAGCTTTCGCTTTTTGTTTTTTTATCTGCACTTCATATCCGTTCATAGCCGCTCATGTCCGGTTTTGCGTGGAATGAAAATGATGCATGAACGTTTAATTTTCTAGACTTGACATCCCCCCTTTTTTTTTTTGTCTTATTTCCTATTTTCTCTTGACCATATTGTTGTCAGGACTCCGTTACATCAAACTAAAAAATAAGACTAAGGGATTCTTGTAAATTGCCCATTGTTTAAAAATAGCCCAGCTTGTAAGTGGACCCTAATCCCAGAAAACCAGATTGGATTTTTTTTTTTTTTTTTTTTTTTTTTTTTTTTGGTGGGCTATGCTTTGCTTCCATCGATTCCTTTGTTCAATTTTCGTCTCCCTTGTTTTGTCCTTCATCTTGCCATGCAGCCTCCTTCAATCGAAGGTTGGCATCCCGGATCACATTTACCGTGCTATCCTTGTCATACACGCTATACCATCCCCTACGTTCATGTGGAGGATCTACATAGTTTACTTCCGTTTTCAGTTTGGCCTGCCACACACTCAACCCCCCCCAAAAAAAAACCTTGCCAATCGGTTGTTGAATCCCACACATCAACTTACCACCGAGCCAAACCATGCCGTATTCGTTGGGTTCATCTGTCGATCGACCAAGTCCACCGTAAGCCCAGAAATTCCACCCTGACAATGGATTTTCATTTACCATGGATGTGATCTGGTCAAATATCCCTTCATAATATTCATCCTTGTGTTGCGTCGGTGTTTCCGGATCATACTTGTATTGACTGTCCTTTGGTCGACGCCAAGCATCCCGAGCCATCCCGAACTCTTCCAAAACCAAGGGCTTTTGCACTTTTTTGGCCCACGCCGCACGCGTCGTCAAAAATTCCTGAACATACGATTGCGCTCGACCCAAGTCATCCGGATCACTTGGATTATATTCTCCCCAGCTGGTAAAGCAGGGATGGTTAGCAACATAACAACACCAATAGTCGGATGGATCGAGCAACGTACTTTTCTACCCAGCAATGACAAGTGCAATAATCGATAAACTCAGAGTCATGCGCATTGAGAAAGTCGGTTTCGTCAAACTTGCTTTCAATGCCCGCAGACACCAACTGATAAGGCGCCCCTTGTTTGATAAACTGCGCCAGTTCAACAAACCACCATCTGGGTGCCAGTTGCGGTTCATTGGCGATTTGCCAGGCTAAATATCACACGCATTTCACCCACGATACATAAAAAAAAACGACCCCCAAGTTCAGGAGAGGTCAAGGTGAGTTTCACGACAACATCATTCCTCTTTTTGGTAAAACTTCCAGTGTCACGTTTGGAAGAAAATAAAATCAAAAAAGGGACCCTGAAACCAAGATTGACACATGAAAAAAGAAACTCAAAATGTTCGTATGCCCATGTTTGTTTAGGAGTCCATGGATTCCAGGAACACAGATTCAGCAGCGTGGAGCCGAAACACATACAGAGAGAAAGAAGGAGAAGGATCACAGAAGAATAGGAAAAATACAAATAAAAAGATGTGGCACTTACCCATAATCACAGGATCTTCCCGATACAGCTTTCCATTTACTGTATTACGACGAGATTGCACCTGATAAATGTGATCCTTGAATAGATCCATTGCCTTTTCTCGAATATTGCTGTCCGTCCACATCCGTGACGCATATTCAGTAAACGCATCCCACGTTTCGGGTCGATCAGGGTAAGGGATACTTTGGTTCTTTTCCACCCAAGCCACATATTGGCCAAACCTAAACATTCTCCCTTGAACATAAAGTCTCTTTATAGGCGACTTGTTGGCTTACCCTCCACTCCAATGCCAAAAGTTATTCAACGTTACTGATACAAAAGAAAAGCACATCAGCCAGTTTCCAAATGTCTCCACCAACTTCTCTCTCAACTCCTGTCTCTCTTCATACACAAACACAGAGGCTTGGAAAACTTACGAACAGCCGCCATATTGTAACGACCCATGGCATCCAATAAAAAGTCCAAGCCTTCGAATATGGCTTCATTGTATTTCCCTGGACTGGGCATCAGAGCGGGTCGTAAGCGATAGGGCTGATCGTTGGGACCTTCGGCTGAGGCCATGATGCGCAAGTTGTTGATATTCATGGCCGCCATTTGTTCCAATTCCAACAGCAACCGGCTTCGATTACCGCCATGGTAATCATCGGCTGCTAAATGCATGCCTTGCCAGTAATTGGCTCCCGCTATAACATAAGGCCGTCCCTGAAGGATAAACCCTTGATCACGAACACGCACAAAGCTATCCATTGCGTCAAAGTACTGCTGCTGACTTGAACTACTCCCTGGACAGATCAGGATAGCCGTGAACACCAAGATAAAATACAAAAGAGAATGCATGAAATTTGTCGGAGCAAAAGGAAAACCGCTGCCCCTTTTTGTTCCATTTGAAAACGTTCCGTGAGAAAAAAGTTAAAAAAGTAACTTCTTCCTTGCCTCCAACTTTTTCATCGAATGAATCGATGCCAAAACTGTTTTCAAACAAAAATAACAAAAAAATAGTACACCTTTTAATTAGGGGATGACCCACCTACACCAATCTGTGAACATATACGGACAATAAGAAAACATGAAAAAATAAGCAGCTTGATGAAATAAATGAATGATTGCAAACAAGAGAAAAAAAAAAAGAAAAAATATGGAAGAGAGGAAAAATCAGTCGACTTAGTTCATGGCTTCGACCAACTTGTTAATGTCACTTTCTATGCTTTCGACGCCTTCGGCCTTGTCTGTTAATTGTTGCAATCGTTTTTGACGCCAGCCCTTGACAGGATTGCTCAAACGGAAAGAGCCGATGAATGCATTGACGGTGTCAAAGTTTTCTCCGAGGGTAACGATTTCGTGAATGATATCTTCCACACAAATGATGCCTTTGGCACCCAAATGTTCTTCGACCATGGCATTGTCTGAAATAGGTACTCGCTTGCCTTCAATTCTTGCCGTACCACGCTTCACCACCAGATCACGCACCGTTTTTAAGCTGGGAACACCGTAAGCCACGTAAGGTTCGGCAATGTCGATCAATTTCTTTGTATCCTTGTTCAAACGCACAAACACACCATTGTTGATGTGAAGCAGTCCCAATTTCTTCAATGCGTGGGTCATTTTTGGGTGCACTTTGCTGTCACCCTTGATACGCACCACAAATAACAACTTCGAATCCGATGTTTCCAAACCGGATCGCTGATTGTTCTTTACTCGCTTACGGATCTTGTTCCCCATATTCTGCTTGGCTCGGAATTCACGCACAAACTCATCCGCTCGCTTAAATTGGGTCTTGCGATTGACTTTTTTCTGTGCCTAAAACATAGTCGAGGATCCAGTTAGTCTTTGTCATCGTGATCGTTGCATTGTAAGATAGAGTGTGTACCTTGCGTAATTCAGCTCGTTCTCTTGCTGTTTCAATGGCCTTCTTTTCATTGATCTTTCTCTTTTTCAAGAGAGTCTCGGGAACGTACGAGGGATTAGGAATGGTCAAGCTAATAGTAAGTGTCGTGGGTGAGTTACCAGATTGGAATGTGAATCAAAGTGTGATTACTTACTTATCAGCCATAATGATATATTTGAAAGATGCAGAATGAAAAAAAAAGGGAAAAAAAATTCAATTGTTCGATTTCCCAGTGGGTGTTGCAGTCACTTTTTTTGATCGTTGATTTCTCAGAAAAAAAAAAGGCTCGGCTGTCAACCAATGGAGCGGTGGCTTGGATGTGTCCAAAAATGCGCGATCCACGTCACTTGGAGATATTTGGCGGCGCCCTAAAATCGTGAAAGCGACGTGTGTGCCTCTTGGAGGATTCTTCTTTCTTCTTTTCCTTCTTTTTCCTTTCCCCTTTGTCCTTACCCTTTTTTTATACTTCTCCACCCAATTTTTCTTTATTCAACATGGGTATGAGCTTTTCAAAGTTGTTTTCTGACCTTTTTGGTAAAAAGGAAATGCGCATCCTAATGGTGGGTTTGGATGCCGCCGGTAAAACCACCATCTTGTACAAATTGAAACTGGGTGAAATTGTCACCACTATTCCTACTATTGGTAAGTTTCTTTTGTTTCCATTCCCTACTCTCGAACCGACTGCCATAGACCTCCCACTTGGGCAAAAAATGAACCACCATCTACGTTGGTTGGATGGAGGGTCGACACAGGTCAAAATGGCCATGTGGGTTGGGTAGGTTGAATCCGCTGATTTCGCTGAATTCGAATATTGGGACAATAGGTTTCAACGTCGAAACGGTCGATTACAAGAACATCTCTTTCACTGTATGGGATGTCGGCGGTCAAGATAAAATCCGTCCTCTCTGGAGACACTGTAAGTTTTTTTTTCCTATATTGTTCTTTGGTTATTATTGGGTCAACCCAACCGTGTCTTGCCACGTTGATCGTCTGGTTATTTCCCTTTTTATCTGGGAATTTTTTTTTTCTACATCATGTGATAAATTAGAGAAAACCATGACTGACGGCCGGATGTATGTCGGTTTGAATAGATTTCCAAAATACGCAGGGTATCATTTTTGTCGTCGACTCCAACGACAGAGACCGTGTGACCGAAGCTCGCGACGAACTTCAGAGAATGCTCAACGAAGATGAACTCCGTGATGCTCTCCTTTTGGTGTTTGCTAACAAGCAGGATTTACCCAATGCCATGAATGCCGCTGAAATTACCGACAAACTCGGTCTTCATTCTCTTCGCAACAGACACTGGTACATTCAAACCACTTGTGCAACCAGCGGTACGTATCAAACGGCAAAAATAACTTTTATCTTCTGGGTTCCATTTTGTACTCATTCTGTCTTTTTTTCTTTCTCTCTTTGTCGGTGGATGTTATACTATAGGTGATGGTCTGTATGAGGGTTTGGAATGGTTGTCTAGCAATTTGAAGAGACGATCTTAAGTATCGGTTCCCCGGCTGGCTCTTGTTCTCTCTTTTCTTTCTTTATGTGAAAAATCTGGGAAAGGAAGAAACCTAGAGAATGTTTTTCAGTGTTTTTTTTTTACTCGTTCCCCTTTCTCTCTTTCTTTCAAAAAAATGAACCGAAAAGAAAAAAAAAATTGTCATCGATGGAGTAGCTTGACGAGTGGGAAAGGAGGATATATAGCTTGCATTTCGTCTTTTTTTGGAATACACGCTTGGATTTATCTTCTTCCCTTCTTTTTTTTCTTTGTTTCTTTATACATACACAATAAAAAACTACATTTAACCATTTTACACTCCATTTCGGGCCAATTTTTCTTGACTAACACGTTGCACGTGGGGTACAATAAAGCACTAGCTAATGAATGCGGAGATGCCACTTGGTTTCTTTTTTCGCATCCGTCCACCTTCTCTTTCTTATTCATTTCTCTTTCCCGCAGCTGCATTTTTTGCCCGCCTTTTTTTTTTTTTTTTTTTTTTGTTCGTTGGATCATCCCGCTCATTTATATCTGTTTTGCGTTTTTTTTTTAACTCTGTTTGATGGAATCTGCGTCTTTTTCCAAAGCCCAACAATCTGCGGTTGATCTGGATCAGGCCCGTTGTCGTGGTCAGTGGTCGGCTATTCCAGACTTGGCCAAACGCTTCAAAAAATACAATCCCAATGAAACAGGTACATCTATTCTTGTTGTGGTCGTCTCTTTCACCTTTGTATCCCAACATCATTTTATCTAGTGTTGGAAACCACGGCACGTATCGAAGCTGAATTTGCTTTGCTTGTACAGCAGGCTCGATCCACCGTGTCATCCTCCGGCAGTTTGTCTGTTTCTTCTTCTTCCTCTTCCATGATTGCACCCACCTTGACCGTCGCAGCAGCGGCGGCGGCTGCCTCCAGCTTGAATGGATCGACCCACGAAGCGGCTTCCACGTCTAGCAAAACCCGTAAACTATCAAAATCCAACGTGCCGTCGTCCCAATCTACTATCGATTGGTTTCACCAATTTGACGATCCTCACACCATTGCACTCGAACCTCGCCTTGATCACACCCACGTCCAACCTTGGCTCAAAAGAATCGAAGAACAAATCGTACAGCACAGCTCCGATGATCCCTCGGCTTCCAACGAATGGCAAGCACAGGTAAAAAAATTTTGCTTTCGTCTCACGAAACCAACGATCCCGTCTTCGTACTTACCAGTACCGTGTCATTTCAACCCAGTTATCCAAAATCTTGCTGGCTCGCATTTATTTTGAATCAGGACAATTTAAAAAGGCTTTGGAGGCGTTGCAGAACCTTGCATTGAGATTGGAAGATGTGACCGCAGGATACGGCATGGTGTTACTGGTGCAAGCTCGAGCCATCAAAGGTAGCACAAACACCATGTTGAACAAAATAGTGAATAGACATGTGAATCCCCTTTTTTACTTTTCCTAGGCATTTGTCTTGAGCAGCAGCATGATCCCAGTAGCGCCATGGAAGCTTACGAGGCTGCATGGGCCGTTGTCAATGATCATCCCGACGAAAAGATATCCGAGTCCCTTTTATATTGGATAGAGATCAGCTTGTATCGCGCCATCCTTTTACGCTTACGCACGCCTTCGTAAGTCTCTCGATAATTGTCACCGTGGACAATGAAAGATTGAAGTATAATGATGTAGATATGGCATTGCTACCACGCTCATGTTATTGCGCGCTTACGCTCAACTGGTGGCGATGCCTACCTGGAAAACGACCTGGCGCATGTACAAGCCATGGATTATCTTTAGAGCCTATGCCCAATTTTTATATACCGTGTGTGGAAACGATACGTATGTCGCACCAAATAACCATTTCAAACACAGGTCAGTGTTCCTGCCCATTTCCAGACAATGGATCCCCTTTTTCATGTGAAATCTCACTCTTGGTACCAAAAAAAGCCCTCAAGGACGATTGGTGACCTCGGCCGCCACGGAGCTCGCCTACATGATGCGACTCTTTAGGAACCAGCTCCTCATCCTCGCACCTTATCTGTCGCCCACAGCATTAAATGAGCATGTCCTGGAATTAGCCCATCTGATGGATCAATGTCACGATATGATTGGTTGGGGTTCCGTGCTTGAACTTAAACGGATACGACAGGTAAACATTGAAAGGCATCGAACTATTCAGCGCCATTTTCATCTCCAATGTTTACTGACTTGAGCTTCTGTTTTTCTCAAGTATCTTGATAAAGTGCGAGAGTTGACGTTTAACAGTGTCTGTATCGCCCGCCAAACCTTTTTTGTGCTCGTACGCTTGGGCCACCACGACGAAGCCAAGTTCGCCTTCCGCAGCTACATGGAATTGGTAGGCCTACCCGATATTGACCAGATGGGTACTGTCTACTTTGATAACAGTCATATGAATGAAAATACCGTTCTGGAAGCGGGTCCCTTGGCCAGCAAGATTCTGAAAAAACTGACGACACTGGGACAAATCGACACAGATCAAGCTTCGGCCCGTGAACAGCCATGGCAGACCGAGACGGCTCATCATGTGGTGGCTGTACTGCTGGCGGCCATCCAGCACCTTTACGCTCATGACGGAGGAGACGGAAAAATGGCGGCGGTGTTGTCTGAAGTGACTCTGGCTTTGGGACAGAGTTGTGAGACTGACACATCTCCTGATCATCATGCCATGGCTCAGTTGCATCGTGTACGAGGTGTATCCTATGGACTTTTGGTAGCTCAGTGTAAGTGCCAAGTTTATGGCAACCACTTCTTGTAAGCACACCTGTTGTCATGTACTAAACTTTGTTGTTTTAGGCGACCATCCCGATGACCGACCGCTGTATCACTACGAATCGGTGGCTTCCTTGAAACGAGCCACCGAGCTTTGTCCGGATGGATGGCAGAACTACTTTGAACTGGCGCGACAGCAAGCACGTATGCGTGATACGCATGCCGCGTTCCTTTCGGTCTCTCGAGCTATTGAACTTCAACCTGACCATTTACCGAGCTGGCATCTGTTTGCTCTGCTGTCGTCTTGTTCAAGATACAATCAAGTACCGCAAGCTCTGGAAAAGCTGGAAACCACCGATCCCTCGGGTTTCTCAGCCACACTTCCCTTTCCAGCACTTGATAGTAAAACCGCCGCTTTACTCCCGGTGGTTTCATGGATTTCTGAGGAACCGAACCTCTCCAATCGATTTGCTCTGGCTGAAGCCCATCTTGGGTTGCGAATGGCCAAACTCGTGTTTCTTCAACAGGTCAAAGGAGCCGAAGCGGTCCTGGAGCTGTATAAAGACGTGTTTGCTCAGTACGCTTTGCTGTCGCAGCAACTGTTTGGGGACACCATGCCGTTGTACGGTGACATAGACGAACCGTCCACTCCCAGCGACTTCGATGACAAGTATCGTGCTTCGACCGATCGTTTTTCATTTACCAGTCGCCGTAAATCAAAAACGACCGAGTCTTCGTTCGCATCGTCCAACACCACCGCCGCCCGCTCGGGTCGATCACGGTCGGTGTCTATGGCGGAGCAGCAAAGTCACCGTCGTCGCCGTTCCAGCAGTGTGACTTCCGCTATGAGGAGTCCCGACGATTTGGCCCAACCGCGTCCGTCCGGTGACTCTTCCTTTGGAGAACGACCGAGTGTGACGCCCATCACAGGCAAAGCGTCCTTGAGCGAGGTTGTCAAGAGCGATCGAGCCCCAAGTTCTACGGATACACTTTCCGAGCCGCGCAAATCGTTCCGAAAGAAGAGCTTGCATTTGATGGATATCAGAGGCGCAAGACGTCATCACAGTAGTCATGGCAGCTCCATCACTCAGGCACCCACGCCACCAGTGCCCGAAAGTCCCGGAAAGACGACGCAAGGACGTGCCCGACACGACTCCACGGTCACCGACCGATCCACGACGAGTACTTCCTTGCAATCGCTGTTGACCGCCTCCTTTTCAATGGCGAGTAGACGAAGCAGTAGCAGCAGTATGACCACGAGTATGCAGAGTTACACCACGGCCACGAGTATTGCTTTCCATGCTCAAGAAAAGAATCAGTATTTACGCCGTCAGCGGCTCCGATGGCATCAGCTACTCGTTCGACTTTGGCTCATGTCGACCTCGAGCTTCATCAAAGCCGGTCGATTCCCGGAAGCTAGCGCGGCGCTCTTGGAAGCTGAGCAACTAGGGTTGCATGATGCGGACGTGTGGCATCAATTGGGACGGTTGTGTCTTTGTGCACAGCAAGATGCGGGGCAAACCAAGGATGGGCTTACTGACACTGCCTTGGAAGCCTTCAAGAAAGCCTTGTCGCTTGACGGAAATCACACTGAAACCCACGTGTCGATGGCTTCCACCTACATTGGACTAGGCGAATGGGAACTGGCCGACGGTTTACTGGATCGCACCATCAAGGGGTTAGGATGGGACCACGCTGAAGCTTGGTACCTGATGGGAACCGTTGCACAGCATTACAACGATATCGAACGTGCCAAGGATTGCTTCTTATACGCGCTCGAACTCTACGAAACTACCCCACTACAACCCTTCCATCTCCTGCAACCTGCCCACTAAATGACCTATTTTTGTTTTCAATTGTTCGCGTTAAAACCGGCGCATGTCCGTGGCTCATATTTTTACCCTAGAAATCAGTTTGCGCTTTGAACGTCTTTTTCGCGCTTGAGCGTCTCTTTGCGGATTGTTCTGCGAATTGTTTTCTGTCCTTTTCTTTATTCCGTTTAGTTCTGTCGTTTCTTTAAACTTTTGGTAGATTTTCCGGTATTAATATATTACTTTTACAAATGAAACAATGTCATCGTGACAAGTTGAAGGAAGACATGCAATGGAATAGAGACGATTAAATTCTATTGTATAAATAACAAGTGTGTAAACAGGGCAGAAATGAAACAAATGGAAAAGAGTCGCGCATGAGAAGAGGGTATGCTTTGATGGTAACGAAAAATAAAAAGAAAGAGGGGGGAGAGGATGGTTGTGATGGTTTCCAATCTAGAGCTGACAGAAACCGAACTGTTCCCTGTCACTGACGAAACTTTTGGCGGCCACGTAATGGAACCAGATGCCTCCGCATACAAACAGATGCCACAGTTGATGTGAGTGACCGAAATGATCAAATTTTCCCGGCCAAAACACCTCTGGCAGCTGATTAGCATAAACAGCAACACCGAGAATGTAACACAACAGTGACTGCACCACGGGAGCAATCCACGTCATGACGGCCGTACCGCCATGCACGGCAGAGAGATGAGCAATGGGAACGATCCCGGACGACGCGAGACAAATGAAGAAGGCAATACGAATCCATCGGAACTCTAATTGACATGCGAATACGAGTTTTTAATTTCTTTTTTTGGTCTTCCATGGTTGCACCGAGGAAATTCCCCTCTTATTTTGAATTGAACCTTACCTAATTTGTCAAACCAACTCATAAATGGCATGGTGATACCTACGATGGCCAAGGTGCCGGTGCCAATGATATACGAATTGCGCCAAGCATCGTGGCAATAGAATCCATAGTATTCGCATAAAATGATACTGGCGCAGATGAGAACAGAGATACCGACGTAATCGAGACACGCCATTCGGGTGAACGTATGGTAATCATTGATGCCTGACAGGGTATGCCATACTGTGGAACACATTAAACATTTGCAAGCGGCGAGAAAGAAGATGGCAAAGATGATACGATCCACATTGGGCACTTCGGAGAGCAGAGAGGAATAGAAAAGCTCGTAAATGCCGATGCTGAGGAAAAAGAAGAATCCGACAAGATGGGTGTAGATATTGCCGGTTTCGTTGTGGATATACAAGAGCGAGTGGAAGCAATCGGCCGGCGTGGACAAGAATCGATAACCCGTCAGAATATACTGTAATCGTCATTGAGGGAGCGTACAAAATGTGATGTGAGTTACCAAAGCAACTTGAGAATAGGTCCAAATATTGCCTTTTTGGGACCGAAAGCGCGGCTACAGGCCTTACCTTATTGTTGCGCCAGGGCACGGGTAACTCCTCGTAATGCAGTAATCGTTTGGCACCGTAGGCAATCGCCTTTTTTAGTTGATCATGAGCCATATCTGCCAAATCGTGAATCTTTTCGTGAACACGATTGCGCATCTCTGACGCTTTTTGGAATGTGTCCGAGATTTGATTATCGACTTGTTCAATGCTGAACATGACAGCATCCATGGTATCGTCGAGGGTCTTTTCAAAGTAATCGTCGGCGACCAGCGTTTCCAGTTCACGGTATTTTTCGGTGAGATCGGCCAGCGATTGTTCCAGGGTTTGACGGAGGAGTGGCATGCTGTTCATATGATCGAGTGATTGTTTCCATCCCAGTTGACGTGCTTTATCCAATGATTCTAGTAGCGAGTAGGTACGTTTGATTTTGTCAATGGTATAATCCTGAAGTCGCTGTTTGCTATCGCTCTCAAAATGCGATAATCGAGTCTTTAACTTTTGCAGCACTGGCGTCAACCGTTGCTGAAAGAAATCGTCCAAGTCAAGAGCGTCCTCACACCCTCTTGTCTTGTTGATCGTAAGAAGATTTTCCATTTGGCCTCAACAAGCTCCTTCCTCAGAGAAACGAAATAATATGTGTACAAAAGAAGAAAAATAAAGAGAGGAGAAAGAAGTGTCGGACGGATATCAAAAAGATGCAACACCCAAATTTTTTTTTCGCTCCCCATCCCCCCAAAAATGTCCAAGTGCGCTCTCAATTGGGTGAGTGACGTCAACCGCCTTTGTCCAGTCGATGCTCACGACGAGTTGCTGTTCCTGGTCTCGGAGATACCGGGCTTTTAAATTTAGGAGCGGGCCGACGATTTTGGCGCCCCACCGTGACCCCGGTTTATGCTTTGGGAACCATCAGCTTGCCTATCATGAGTGCGAGTGGTGAATTTGTACTTTAATGCATGGTGCGATCCTAATGATGAGTGAGTGACCGTGTAATTGAGGTGGTAGGTTGTAGGTACACATGGCCCGAGTGGTGGTTTGTTTGTTGATGTCAAAGAAACCTGATGTCGAAACAGAATATGTCTCACATCAATTCGTGTAACACGTGAGGAAATTCTCCACTGTGCAACATTAACCAAAAAAGTACGAGGAACGGTTAGATTGCATTGCCATGACTGCTTTTGTAACCACAGCTATTTCCCCCAGCCCCCACCTTGTGAGTAATACCGTTTCCTAAGCACTCGCTTTAGCCGTGATTGCCGGATGATCGGAAACCCTATGTGTGCACTTTAAACAGGATGACCCGCCGCCAAGCTCGAAATTCAACCCCCCCCCCTTTTTTTTGGCATCCAAACAATCCTCCTTCGACAAACAGTACCATCAACAGTGCCTGACACTTCCTTGGCATTGCCAAAAAGGTATTGTTAAAGGGAATATAATTCATTGCAATAAACTTTAAAAGTATTTTGCTCTTTTGTTGTTGCATATTGCGCACATCAGTAGACGTGCATGATCGATACAACAACGAGCTGCAGTATTAAACTTGATTTCATCCTGCATTCTACATTCTACATGCAGCATTTTAATATGGGCCTTGCAAGATTTGATCAACCTTGGACACCACAACTTTTGCAATAAATTGTGGAACAGGCTACCAATAGCCAGCACATCTTGTGTTTCAGTAGTCTAGTTCTGAATATCTTTTCAGGTACATAGCGGGACCATATCTAACCGTTTATACGGTATGGCAGAATGATCCCAGGCCAATCGCATCGGCTGAATCTTCCAAGGGGTTTACAAGCTGAGGGAGCAATGTCAGGCATATGCATTTCGCTGCAAAAACAACCATTGCTTGCCATTAAAAAATCCGATCAAAACTGTACGACGTCCTTGTGTTCTTGTACGCTACTTTTGAAACAGCAATCATATATAAAGTTTGGCAACGTGTTCAATATAATTTGCCACGGGGGTTAATGCGAAGAATTGGTGTTAGTGGGCAGTTCCTATACTGTATATCACTTGATTGTATCAATAGTTGCATGCTACTTCAAACGTTTGACACGCCAGTTGATAATGTCCGTATACACATCACGTATCTTTGATATTTGATATGCCAGCATGACTGCCTATCATGCATGAGAATCGTGTCTGTATAATGGCATTGCTTAACGGGATGTGAAAAAGTCCTCTGCAACGAATTGAAAAAACAAAAAGATCTCTATTCCCTAAACTCATGTAAACAGACCATGCAAAAACTTGCAAGTCTGTTGAAAGCTGCATGGGTCGTATGTTTGACTAGGGACTCGAGCACACGATACTATTACAGTGCCTATTTGCAAACCAAGGGAAAGAAGCCTGTGAGGATCTCTCAAGAATAAACTGCTGCATAACCTTTGCATACCAAATGGAGAATAAGGATTTTTCATGCCAACATACTGTATTGATCTATGCTTTAGAGGGAATCTTTATCGCTCGCTTTATCTTTGTTTCGCTGCATTCTGTCGATCATGAATAAGCAGAAATTGTATTTTACATTGAGCGACATTTTGTGCGTGGGTGTTTTTGTGGAATGTGGTAAACGCTGGGGCATTAGCGCGCTTTGAAAACCATACTACAGCATAGCAGTAACAAAATTGTTGCTTCAAAAGTCATTTGCTCCCACATGAATGAAAAAATACACAATTATTGTTAAAAAAGCATGAATAAGGAATACATACTCGACAATTATGGTGCATTCGGTTCATAAGTTTTCTATAAGGAAAAGAAAAGAAAAAGACAATGGATCCGTTCACGTGACTGTTCATACTTTACCATTTTTGGATGGTCAAAGACATATCGAAAGGCCGTTCTTTTTTTTTTGCGGACATCCGTCTCACTGACGCGCTGCTGAAGATAAAATGGAAAAGCAAGAGACACTTGTGCCGACTCAATCGTTCCCAATGCCGCCATCGGACCAGCTTGTTGATGATGAACAAGGCGTCATTGACCCCGAAGTCTACTTTCAGATGAATAAACCTCCCGCTAACTTGCCCGAATTCGAAGCTAAGCTCACCGCATTCGTCGACTATCATCAAAAACTCGGCAACCGTCTCGTGTTCATCACCGTAAGTAGTTTCGGTCGAAAGGGAGAGAAGAGGGTTATTTGTGGGAGAGTGACCAAAAACATTGGACTGACGTACTTGACAGAGTGGAGGAACTACTGTGCCGTTAGAAAACCAGACAGTTCGATTTATCGATAACTTTAGTAACGGTAACCGCGGTGCTGCGTCCACCGAGTATTTCCTCGAAGCCGGTTATGCCGTCGTATTTCTGCATCGCCAATTCAGCGTCGAACCCTTTCACCGTCATTTCACCCATAACGCCAACACGGGCTTCCTCGACTATCTCAGTCCTAACGCCGATGGATCCGTATCGGGTACTTGTCACCTTTTTTTAACATAAATCAGAGAGACAAGGATCACTGACGCGCATGGTCTGATTTTCATTAGTGAAAGGTGAATATGCTTCGAAAATGCACGAGGTGTTGGAAAAGTATCAAAAGGCCAAATCAGAGAACAAGTTACTCTTTCTTGATTTTGTCACCTTGGCCGATTATCTGTACAAGCTCAAGTCAGGCAGCCGGATTCTGGCCCGACTCGAAGATAAGGCCATGTACTATTTGGCCGCAGCTGTCAGTGATTTTTTCATCCCGTCCGAGAAAATGGTAAGTCTTACCTGCTGGTAGAGCTGCGAGATCCCTCTTTTTTTTTGTTGTATATTCATCCATCGATGTAGGCGGAACACAAAATTCAGTCGCGCAGTGGTGCATTGACGCTGACATTGGACCAAGTGCCCAAATTTTTGAAGCCGTTGGTGAGTGTTTGGGCAAGCAAGGGAATGATTGTCTCTTTCAAGGTAAGTTGTCTTTTTCATGTTTCTGTACCAGGGAAGGTGTCTAAAAAACAATGGTTTTCAGTTGGAAACGGATACCAACTTGCTGGTACCTAAAGCCCGTCAAGCATTAACGCGATACGGCCATCAAGTCGTTGTTGCCAATATGCTCAATACACGTAAACAGAGAGTGACCGTGATTACCAAGAGTTCCGAGAAACCTCTGTCGCTCACCCCGGAAGAGCTCGCTCAAGGTGCCGAAATCGAGAGTCAGATAATACCAGAACTTGTGCAGATCCACAACGGTTGGATCAAATCAGACGCTACCGAAGCTCACAGCTCCTCTTTCACCTCATAGAAAAAACCCCGTCAGCACTCAATCAACCCTTTGTGAAGCTGCGGGAAATCTTGAAGAAAAAAAAAATCAAAACAACATAGATACAACATATTGTAAACCACTCACAGTTTCTTCATCGTGTTATTGGCAGCATTAGTAATATATTCGTCGATAAAAACCTCCTCTGTAGAAAAAAAAAATGTAATGGTATCCCATTTTCCGACCTTGCATTATCTTCATTCATGAAGTGATTGCAAATCATTGTATGGTGTCCGCACATTGGCAAAGAGACGGAAGTACCACTTGCGTCAAGCTCTTTTTGGAAACGTGGCATCTCGCGTTGAAGACGGGGCGATTGGATGAAGCAAAACTGATACGATGGTAACACAATCGGCGCTTCGATCTCGTATCGTGAATCGATTGAATTTCCGATCATCAAAGTCTTCATAAAATTGACAGCAAACAACCTATTGTTACAAAAAGAAGCGCAAAGCTGCGCCATCTCGTTCTTGGAAACATAGCACGAGACTTTTAACTGAATTCCTTCAAGAAACTTCAACTTTTTGATTTTCATCCTCGCATCCTAGCAATAACTACTAGAACATTTGATATAGTTTTGCTTATAAATTTTTTTTATTACTATTGTTGTTATTTTTAGCATGTTTCCATATCAGCGAAAGAGTAGCCTTCGTCTGCTTTCAGGGCATTAGCCATTTCAAGTTTTCGAAGCTCAGACTGTGATTTAGCGCGTTGCGTGGACAACACATGACCTATAAAAGATACTCCCATGACAGCAATCACAGCTCCCACTAAGAAATTGAACAAAACGGTCAGCCATGGATTGTGTATTGATGGCTCATAGCACACGAAATCCACAATCACTTACTTAATCCCTTCCAGATAGTTTCCCATTTCAAGGATTCGATGGACGTGGTTGTATCACCCAAAAGAACGGTCAAGCGATTATTTAATTCTTGGATTCGGAGCTCGGCATCTTTTTGATCTTGACGGATGTCAGATCGGTATTCGTTCATGGTAAGCTCCAGTTCCGATCGTTTGTGTTCCAATTCTTCATTTAATACTTGTTCCAACGTCTGTACTTCTCGAGATAATGCTGTCAATTCGGATTGTAGCAAGGCTTTGTCATTTTGCCGTAGTAACTCGACCTCCTGTCGTAGTTCTGACAGAGCGGCATGTAATAAATAAGTTTCCTATCAATCAAAACAGTCTCATTGTCAATGGGATCGAGAATATTGTTTCACTCTTAGATTATTTACGTTTTCCATTTGCGCATTGGCAAGCATATCGGACTGCAAGCTAGCGGCGTTCACGCGCATGCGTTGCTGCATCATCTCCATGAGCACTTTGGCTTGACACCTGGAGAATCCTCCCCAGGCTTGAAGATGAGTGACTTGCTCGTAGGTATCAAAGTGGTGAGTCACCGGGTATGATGGTTTCACGACGTTTTTTTTCTCGACCGGCGATGTCGTGGTGGAAGGAGGAGGGAGGGAAGGAGTAGCAAAAATGCGATGTCTAGCGTATAAAAGGGCGGGATCACTTGATGATCCGTAGTCGGTGGGTTCGTACAGTGAGGGGGGAGTGATGAAGGGCGCATCGGTAGGAGTGGACGATGTCGATGCAGCTGCTTCAGTGTACAACCATCGTTTTAAATGGAAGTTGTGTAGAGAGTGACGAGTGAAAGCAATGCGAGGAATCATGATGAAGCGAGCAATAGTATAAAAAGTAAAATAGGTTTTAATATATCATCAAGAAAGAAGAAAGGGGTAAAACAGAAAAAAACAAGCATGCAACACTGATTTAAACTCGTCTGAGATTAGATAGATAGAGTTCCGCAAATCTCTTATCGTCTTGCGGGTGCTTGATCGCTGGCCGGTGGGCCTCCGGACGACAGCAATACAAAAGCCACACCAATAAGGATATACCAGTATTTCTGGAAGAACGTTTTTTCCGCTTCCACTTCTTCGATGCCTTCTTGGAGATTTTTAGCAGGTCGTCGCGTCGATGTGGTGGATTGCTTCTTTGTCGTAGCCTGATTCAGCTCAGGGGTGGGTGCCTTGGCGACGCCGGCCACCGTCACCTTGGTAGAAAATGGTTTCGAGGGGGTCTATAAAAAACGTTCGATTTAATGCAATTATAGGCAAAAAATCGTTGCATGACTCGGTTTGTCCTACTTTGTTGGTTTTCTCGCAGACGTCTCCAGCAAAGTAATCCACGTGGTATACTTCATTATTAGCATCCAAGTGTAATTGGAACTCGTCTTCCCAGTTACTGCCTATAAGTTGACACTGCTTCTTGTCAGCCCCTTTTTTCTCCTTTTACATTTTTTGGCAACGGTCGTTTGATACCAATACTTTTGGCATATCCACTTACAAATTTGATGGAGGTCATCATGATCTTTTGAGTGCGTTCGTCGCGAATCTTGACTTTGTACAAATCGTCGGGATTCTCGACGGGTTCGACGGCATCCGCCAACGTGGCCACGTATTTGGGTGCATGAGGAATATCGACGATCTCTCCGCGTTTGATATAATTGCCTCCACGTTGCTGAAATACGCTAAGCTTGTTTTCACTAGGCTGTTCAAACGTCAATGAGCCGCACAAAGGGGTGAGAAGATTCATATTTAGTCTAAAGCCCATGCTGCGGACAAACAGAGGTAGCTTACCTTGGCTTCTTCAGCATACACAAGCTGGATAATTAAAACGATGCATAAGCAAAGCTTTACAAAATAAGATGCCATCTTTCCCAAGTAAACTGTGAAATGGGCTCGACCTCCACTTGCAACGGTGAACTCTCTTGGAATTGGCCAGTGCTGTGACTGGAAGCTCGTTTTTTCGCGTCTCGAGTTTTGATACTCCGTCATTCATCCAGCGTTCTCCTTTCACCTGCATCCCCCATTCCGTCAATAACGGAAAAGCCGTATTGTTCAAACAAACTTGGAACCAATGACGAAAAAAAAGGGGCTTTTAGACAATTAATAGCAATTAAGACGTTGAAAGTATTGAAGTAGTCTATCAATATCAGACAGAGGGGCGGAAATGGATTTAAATAAATGCAGAATGTACAAATAGTAAGAGGGTATGCTGGGTGTCTCCTTTTTCTTTTCTCTCTAGGAAAATAACTGGCAACGTAAAGTGGATTGATAGATTTCAGACGACGATGGGAAAGTGACCTTTTGTTATGCGAATCTTTTTGGTCAGCCTTGTGACAAAACGAAAAAAGAAAAACCCAGGCATTGTTGTGTGGGGGTCTCTGGAGTCGGTGGATAACCCACCAATAAAGTTGACGTGACTTTTCGTCAACTGGTATGCCATGCCAACCGTTTCCCTTGTGTCAACGCCCTAGGAACAGGCTTATTATGCTTCCAAAGTAAGATCCAGATGCAGATGTTCCGCTCTTTACAGGTTTTACGACGTCTTTTTCCACAGGGGACGATGCTGTATTTTGGTCACTTGTCACATTGGAAACGGGATGATCGTCTCCGGTGGATGCTACACTTGCTATCGCCAACCTATCCATGTGCTCGTCTGCCGATAAGCTGATAGAAAGAAAAGAAGAAAAGAATCCGTCATTGATTAATAACCTCTGATACCGTTTTCACACTCGACATGTTCTACCTTGATGCATGTCTATCGTCAGATATCGCTTCACTTTTCTCTGGAGAACCAAGCACCACGTTGTTCGTTGTATCTTTATGACTGCCTACCGTCTCTAGTGCTGATGGTCCCACCAACGCATCGTTTGATGGATCGGATGCTACGATATGACTTTCGGACGTATCCATTTCTGACTGTTGTTCGACTGTGGAATCTGGTATTAACGTCTCTGAGGGAGTTTCAGAGCTCGGTTGCAATAAAGAGGGGGATACTTCGTTTCGATCGTCAGTCGTATCTTCAGCGTCATGGTCCGAGTCAATGATTATATAGGTAGGTTGGGTATGAGTGGGTAAAGATCGTTGTGGAAAAAAATTGTGATGACTTAGATCGACTTGGGTATGTTGGACGAGTTTACATAATTTATCGGCCATTGAATCTGACCTTCGGTGTCCGCGCTCTTTGACACCTCCTCCTATGCCAACCACGATGGGTGTTGTATCTTGCATTTCCAACAACGAAGACGATCGTTTCACATGACCAAACGTATCGCTGGTATCTTCATCAATAAGCGAAACATCCGGATTCCATGCATTAGAGGACTTGGCGGGATGACGAGGTAGTTTTCGCTTCTTGGGGTGGCGTATACTGCCTTCGGAACTCACACTACTTTGTCTCGATGGCATCGGTGACCTCCGTTTCCTACTCCGTAAGCAGTAGCGTGGATGGGTTTCACTTGAAGGTGTCGATTGGTAACTGGCATCGTCCATGTCCATGGCAGGCACATCCAGTTCTGACTCGTCACCACAAGGGGATGGCGATCGTTGTGAAAACACATCGTTCAGGTCATCGTTCCACACCATGGGTGTTGCGACGGTAGGATACCGCAGTAAGGGGGATCGTTTAGCAATGTCCATTATGCGGGCTGTAAACCGTTGTGCGCGTGGAGTGCTGAAAATGGAAGCTCGGTCAAGAGAGTCCGTCAGCGACCAGCTGGACAGTCGATCGTGCAGTCCTGTCATGGGCGACCCACAAGGATCTACAAATTCCATGGTTATTTTATTCTTCGCGCACAGCCCAAGCCAATGTGTGCCATGGACACGGTCAAGTTGCTACGCTACCTGTAGGCAATGAAGCTGATTCCAAATGGAGGGTAGCACTGGACTGAGAACATGGCGAATCGGGGGTATGGTGACGGGTCGGTGTATTTTTCGACGGGTAACTGTGAGGGTGTCCCAGCATAGGAGGATGGTATATTGAGAGAAGGAAAAAAAAAGGGAAAGAAACGCCGATCTATGCGAGCAGCGAGCTGTACAGAAAAGAGGAAAGAAGGGAGTAAATAGAGAAAGACAGAAAGAAAAGTATAAAGGAACAGCAAGAACAGAAAAAAAAAAAAATGCTGATAAAAAAACAACTTGCTGTTTTGAAAATAATGAATTTAATTTCGTGTGACGCGCGTTGGTTTCTCTGATCCGTTCAACACACCGCAACTTCTCACACGCTCGTCTCTACTAGTTGGTCAGCAGGAAGTGTCTCCAAGGTGGGCTGCTGAGGGAAGATGGTTTGACGCACACCTCGATATACATCCAATAGAATTGGCTGCAGTTTCGGTAACAAATGCTTGGTGGACAAACAAAAAAAAAAAAAAAAAAAAAAAAAAGCGGGACAAAATGCGCGCATCAGTCAATTCCGAGCCGATCGCCCCAGTTTTCCAGTTCCCGCTTACCTCGAATACCACCGTCATCTTTTCCTGATCCTTCACCAAGAGGGCCATGTAGGACTTGATTTGCCACATGGTGATCCCCTCGTTGAGAACCACATCCTCAATCTTTAACCGATTCACAAATCGAGACACACTGCTGCCGCCCCAATACGTCGTCTTGACTTGAATGCCAATATCGCGCATCGCCAAAATGCTCTCTATATGTGTACACATGTAAACTAAAAGATTCGGCTACGAAATTCCAAAGTTTTTCCACCTACCCTCTTTCACCGTCTTCATTTTTATCCGAATCCAGATCGCCACCGCACCAAGATAATAAAATTGATATTTCGGCTATACATCGTATCCGTCCAAAACAGAAAAAAATTGTCAGCTACGCAACTACAGGAACTACGTAACGATCCATTCAAAAAATGCTTACAAGAATCCAAATAAATAGGAGGAGCAAAAATCCTAGCATGACGTCCGTCGCGCTGATTAAGGGCGCGGTTGCCTTTACAACGTATTCGCGAGCGCAAGCGCCAGGCAAGATGTAACAAGTCATGTTCTCCACTGAATAGGACACGGTGGCAGCATCGGTAAGCATACCTTTCGGAAGACCTGCATTTTTCCTCATGCCGACTGCGTGATCATGGAAGGGTCGTTGTGAAAAAGCAGGGGAAAAAAGTGGTTGAATAACGACAAAAAGTCAAACAAAAAAAATCAAATACGGGTTGGCGGAGTTGCAACCACGCAACTCGAATGTCGCGTTCTTTGGGTGACCTTGGTTATCAGGCACCGTTGCCCCATGCGCGCCTATATGCTGCACAATAAATTGTTGGCCATACCGAGATGTGATAATAAACGCAGTCTTCTCTGACTTTAGTCCGCTTATATTTCCATTTTGTTTTGAAAAATAAAGCATTCCCGCCAAAGAGGTCCTGTTCAAGTGTGACGGCCCAGATTTTTCATTGGCCATGATGCAACCTTTTATTCATCGGCCATTGAGCTTTTTTTGGTTATTCAATATGGCGAAAAAAACAGCGAAAAAGATACAACGAACGATGCGCTGATGAAGCATAAAGGCATAAAGTAGATGAGTTTGGTCTTGTCAAGAAAAAAATAAAAGTCAAAAGGCAGGCTCTGTAGAATGGGGGTTTTTTTTTTGACAACGCTGGCGCGGACGGATGATCGCATACTGATGTCACGTGTGCGTGTGTCTAATATTTGCATAATAAACGGCAGGTCCGAGAGAGAAAAAGCACCTGTTTCTTTTTATCTTCAACATTATGGAACGTTCGGCAACACACGCTGGCTCTTGGTATCAAGCCTCACGTAAGTTCTCTTCTATAATCTTGACGCATTTGCCTACAACGACTGACATTGTTCTTGCGGCCTTTTTGCATACAAAAAAAGCGCCCCGTTTAAAGCAAGAACTTGAAGATTACTTGATAGCCGTCAGACCGACTGAAGACTACCCCAAGCAAAACACAAGAGCTATCATTGTGCCGTAAGCATTAGTCGCCCGGACATTTACGCCGCCTTTTTCTTTTTCTAACTGTTCGCCTCTTTAGACATGCTGGCTTTCGATACAGTGGTCCCACGGCAGCTTATGCTTACAAATGTGTCGATGTCGCCCCAATGTAGGTATCAGAATGATCGCTGCAACGTGTTTAGGAGGGACAACTCATTCAATAAATCAGAAAACGCATCTTTATTCTCGGACCCTCTCATCACTTCCCGTTCCGAGGCTGTTGTGTATCACCTTTCGATTTTATTGGAACTCCTTTCGGTCGTTTGGTGGTGGATAAACAAGGTAAAGGATCAGAGTCGGCCAACCTCTGGGACATTGTGTATTGAACTTGCGAAATAGTGGCACAAACTCTGGTTGAAAAGGAAGGTTTCGGAACTGTGGCAAAGCGAGCGGACGAACGAGAACATAGTCTTGAAATGCAATTTCCCTTTATCCACAAAATCTTTGCCGAGTAAATTTATCCTTGTCTGGTAAACGTGTCATTCGCTTCGGTACTAACGTGACCTTTATTGACAGCAAAATTAATGAGGTCAAGGTGGTCCCTATCATGGTTGGCAGCATGGATGCGTCTAGCGAAAAAAAAGCTGGTGAAGCGCTTGCTCCTTATCTAGCCGATCCCAGTAATCTGTTTGTCATTTCCTCGGATTTCTGTCACTGGTAAGTACTATTTTCCCATGAACACCATGTAGCCAACGGAGATGAGGGTGCTAGCTTGGATGCTAAAAGGTTGTGATGCTCAGGGGCGAACGATTTGATTACTATTACTATTTCCCAGCAGCAAATGCCGCGCCCTTTGAGTTGGAACATAACGAGGATATTCAAAGACCGGTATCAGACAGTATTCGGGAGTTGGACCATCAGGGCATGGCATTTATTGAACGGTTGGATCTGGATGGATTTACGCGCTATATTCAAAAAACGCACAACACCATCTGCGGCAGACGGCCTATTGGTGTACTTCTGGCGACGGTGAAAGCGCTTCAAGAACAACAGCCTCACTGTAAACAGGACCTCAAGTTTGTAAAATATGCTCAAAGCAATGCCGTTCAGCATCTTGGCGAGTCTAGCGTAAGCTATGCAAGCGCTTATCTAAGCATTGATATTAGCGAATAAAGAAAAAATTTATGTGCCGCAGGTTTGCACCAATTTTTGCCTTCTTTGCTTGACCATTTGAGACGGGGAAATTTAAACATGACAGCCAAAGAATAAGCCTGACTTGGGTGGGAGCGGATACGCATCACCAATAGGCGGGTGTTTTGGCTTATGCATAATATTTCCTTACAAAGTAGCGCGCGTCGCCGATGATATCGTCATGTTTTGCGATTCCAAAAAGAAAAAAAATTACGGGGTTGTGTTTGGTGAAAAAGAAATGAGAGTCATGAATAAGCGTTGGAGCGTGCGAGACTCACTGAAACATATGATTTCAACGGCGCCCAGCCATCAGCAAATTCACAGTTCCTTCATACATCAAAATAAAACACGATGAACTACGTAAATTGACAGATGTGTTACCAGCCAATTCTCTCAGGTTTTCTGTCATGGGCATAAAGAGTGACAAAATTAAGTATCTGTGATGCCAAGAATTTTTATTTTTATTTTTTGGAAGTAGGCTCATGAAAATTCAACCTCTGAAACAGACAGACATGATGGCACCGACATGATATTTTTGATTTGCCGAATAGTGTCATCGCGATCATAGAGAAGCTTAAAGAACAAAACATTCGATCGGTTTACATGTGAACTTTTTTTAATTAGGGAGATCATTTTATTTTTTTGCAATAGTACACTGACGTATAGCTTTACTGTTGAAATTGCAAAAACTGGGGCCTGGTTATGAAATAGAGCATTTCGAGCACGGCCACCACCACGTCAGTGGATGCCTTATTTGGCACATTATGATATGACATCAGTGTCCGAATTTGGCAATTTTTCTTGTCTCAGACATGATGTAATGTAAAATGCAGGAAATCGAAAAAAAAAATATATAAACAGATGGAAAGCGAGAAAGTGTGTGCTTTTATTCTTCAGATCAAGACAAGAAAAATACATACAACATGAGCTCTTCTCCTTCCAAGTCCCACGCCAAGTACGATCAAACCGTCGGTGATGTCAAGGAAACCGTTGGTAACGCCGTTGGTAACGAATCCCTCCAGGCCAAAGGTACTGCGCAACACGGAAGCGGTCAAGCCGAAGAAACGGCCGCCAATATCTCTGGTTACGTCCAGGGCTTGAAGAACCAAGTCGAGGGTACCGCCAAGGGTGTCTACAATGCCATGATGGGCAACTCGGGTGATGAAGCCGGTGCCAAGGTCGAAAAGAAGGCCGGTGAGGCGCAAAAGGGTGTCAACTCATAAATCCTTTCTGTGCATCCTGCACACTATCGAATCATGCACATCAAATCTCGTACACAAGACAAAATGCAATTGATCTTCTTTTATAACCATTCTCTCTCTCAACTTTTTTACTTGCTCATCATTCTGTGAATAAATCTTTTTTAACTCTTGTATTCTCTTCGTGGTGGAAGCGGGTTTTTTCAAAGAACTATGCATCATCTGCAGTTTGTTGATGGTTGCCAGATTCGGGGTTGAGAGAATCGAGACGCTCACAAAAAAAAAAAACAAAGATCAATGGGGTTTCCGAACTGAACGAGTGCAGAAATATTGAAAATCAGCTAGAAACCATGTCGAATAAACTATTCGCCCTGTCATCTCCAGTGTTGCGGACCAACTGACTGCATCCACATCATGGCTGGGATTAGGATACAATCTCAGCATTGGCAGTAAGCCGTGCCTCAAGTATTGATACCCCGCGAGTGAATGGATTTTTTAGTAATAAGCTTTTTTCCGATATCAATGATCGACGAGCAAAAAATTCGGATGTGCTGCTTCGTTAAAGAACGCGCAAGGGCGTAACTTGGACAAAAAGCCAGAATGATATGAGATGAACACGACCTATCTTTAGCGTGACGGATTACCTTCATCGTCGTTTTGCAATTGGTTCATCTTTTAAGACTGTACCTGCTGGACTATCAATTCTTTCTGCGCTTTACGGAGAGATGAACACCGTCCGTTTATGTATGGCAAACACCGAGTAATATGAGCATCTGGATAATTAAGATACTCAATATCACAGGAAGGGTATATGTCGGGTTGATAAATGCGGCCACTTGGCAATTCTGCTTACTACTGTCAAAGGTGGAGTGGGTCTCATGAGAAAAAAGATGGATGCATGTAGGTGGGTCTGTGAACACTTTGGGTCTAATTTTTCCTAAAAGAGAAATATTTTCTTTTGCGCTTTGACGAATGTTGTAACACATAGTCATTCAGTGAAAGGGAAAATTGCATGTCAGCTTTTTTTTGAATTAGGTTTCGGGCATTGAATACAACAGGCTATCTCCATGCACGTAATTTATTTATACATCCAGAAGAGTCCAACTTTTTTGCTCTTGTGTGTGTTTACTCCATGAGCGATAATACAAACGACGAGCGTACACCGCTCATTCGGCGTACCGAGACGCCAACTCGTGAAGACGAGCGGTTCAAAGAATTCAGACTTCCAAACAAGGTCGCTCGTGCATACAGTGTACTCTTTGGCTGTCTCTTGGTGTTCGCTTTGCTTATCCATATCGTGCCACGGATACTCCCCATTCCGTTATCCGATACTGAAGCCAATCGCCATGGTGAATTTCCCGGTTTGCATGCCTACAATGAATATCTCAGCCATTTCACGGCTCCCCATTCTGTGAATTCGCGAGAGAACGGCGTCATGAAGGAATGGCTTGCATCGCTGGCTTATGACTTCCAAGCTGAAGCTCATGCCAACGGCTTGCAAATGGATGTTATCGCCAACGATACAACCAAAAAAGTGTTGAAAGAAAGTTGGTACAATGAAGGTAAAGAAATTGAATCACGAGCGATAACGACCCACAGGAACAGACGTAGTTTGATAAGCTTTTTTATTATAATGTTAGACGAACAATGGTTTATTGAATCGCGCAATGTCATTGTCCGTTTGCATGGACAAAATAATCGATCGGATGCTTTGCTGATTAATGCTCACTATGGTATGTCTTCCTTGCCCGAGAATGATTGAATTGGTTATTAGGCATTCATTGGGATTTGATGCGTGCTTAACAGATAGCGTGCCTACAAGTCATGGAGTGACTGACAACGGTATTGGCACCAGTGTGGCTCTTGAACTCTTGCGTTACTTTGTCCATCATCCTCCTCAGAATACGATGATCTTTTTATTCAACAACTTTGAGGAAGGAGGTCTTATCGGTGCCAAGCAATTCATCACGCACCCATGGTGGCCCACCGTCAGGCTTTTCATTAACCTTGGTAAAGTCAATGCTTCTACATCCCGTCCCATCAGTATGTTAAGAGCTCATTATTTTTTCTCAGAGGGAGCCGGTGCTGGCGGGCGCGCCGTCTTGTTTCGAAGCACCAGTCTCGGTGCCCTGAAAAGGTTGGCTTCCTCCAAAAGTCATTATCTCCATGCTACGCCGCTAGGCAACGACATGATGAAATCCAAACTTCTCAAGAGGTAAGTTGCTTCGCAATGCAACCCAGAGCAGGTGTAACTGATCAACCGTTCACTTATTAGTGATACCGACTACTCGGTCTTTGTGGGCGATGGTACTCCCGGTTTGGATATTGCCTTTTATGCACCTCGATCGCACTATCATACCCCTCGCGATGATTTGGCTCACGCCTCAACCAATGCGGTACAGTACATGGGACAGATGGCGCTCGGTGCGGCAATTGCTATTGATGAAGATGAAACCGGTCTTCTCTCTGAGAAGCACGATTTAGAACGTGAAGTGTACTACGATATTCTCGGCCGAATTCTGGTTGCCTACAGCTTCAAAGCTTATATTATTACCAACATCTTGGTTTTGATTGCTGTCCCTCTCATGTCGGCTGCTTACTGGACGTTGAAATCCAACTCGCAAAGACTCAGTGTCCTCACGCGGAAATCCTTACTTACACTTCAAGGTCTTGCTGCCGTCTTTGTCGCCATCATCTTCATGATCGTATCCGTCGCCGTGGCCGCTATTTTTATGATCAAAGTTAACCCATTGGTAAGCACCCGCACACTCTGTCATGAAAATCTATTTACACTGATGACCTAAATCTTAGATGACGTATGGAAATGTGAATTGTGCCCTTGTGTATCTTTTCTGTGCAGCTTTGTTCGGTCTCTTTTCATCCCAGTTGCTGTGTGTGAGCTTCTCCAAGTCTTTGCGTGCAACATTGACCAACTTGGAAACCACTCTTTACGGCGTCACCGCATTTTGGTGGGTTTTACTCGTCTTGGCTACGTATTTCGGCTCGCGCGGTATTGCTGCGCTCTACTTTTCCATTTATTGTATGATAAGCAGCGCGCTGGCTACAGCTGTGTACCAATTCACGCCCGCCAACAAAACTTGGCGTCTTCCCCTCGTATTCATCCTCCAAATTGGTGTCCCATTCGTATGCCTGATGGAAATATGCTTCATGAGCATGGATTCCATGCGTCATGCTACCGTGGATGGTACACCCGAATTTGTTGGTAAGTGTTCGCCATGCACAAGAGTTACCGTAAAAAAAATCAGGATGATTGATTCATGCTGGCATAGTCTATGGATTATTGTCCATCCCGGTGATCAATATTCTGGTCAATTTGTTGCCGTGGATTCATCACATTGGTGAACTTCGAAGAATGACGATTCTTACGGGTATGGTGCTCATTGTTATACTGACCGTATGCTCTGCGTTGTTACCGTTTAATGGAGGCTGGTCGCCCAATAAGGCCGTCTTTAACCAAGAGTACAATGTCTCTGCGGTGGATGCTTTGGCCACTGTTTCCCTGATCAGTAGTGCCGGTATACAATCCACATTGAAGAGTATTCTACCTCGCCATGAATTGGACTCTCTTGAATGCCATGTGCACAAGGTCTATCAGACCAAATGCACTTATCAGACGGATCTTATCCCTTGGTACGCTTCGCAAGAAGGCGAAATGAAAGTGGAGGTGCTTTCCCGCCATTGTACGGATTCCACTTGTCGATTGGATGGTACTTTTACGTCAAAGAACAGCTTGTTATGTCGCATCCATGTGGATTCCATGACCAATTTGACCAACGGATGGGTCAATGGACAGAAAACCGAAGAAGACTTCCGCTCGCTGGTGGTGTACTCGACAGAGTATGGCAAAACCGTGAATTGGTCGCTTGAATATCCTCCCAATGCACAGGGGACGGCCCAAGTGAGCTGTTGGTACGATGAATGGACCGAAGGTGAATTACCCGCATTCACATGGCTCCGCGATAACTTCCCTGATGATACCGTCCTTCTTCTTCGTGGACAGGGATTAGCCCTCGCCCACTTTGCTTCCATTGATTTGTAGGAAAATAAAAATCCTTGTATGCTTTGGCAAATCTAATCAGATGAACGAGGCCTGCCATATAAAATAATGGGCTTTGAAATGTCTATCCGAGATGTGCTGCATCCCTGCCAATCTTCATGGAGGCGGTAAATCTTCCTGCTGGTTCGTGAACATGGAAGACGAAAGAAGAAGTAGAGTGACTATTTATAAAACATCATTCTCATGAGAATACTTTAATTATATAAAAGGATAAAGGACAGACTCATCAGTAGGCTGAAACCAAAAAAAAAAAAAAGGAATGAAAGCATTTCATATATAGCAAAAGAAGATCAGGAAGGATCTTTGTGCATAACGACGTGCAAACAAAGGTATAGGACATGTAACGAAACAAAGCAACAGGATATCTAGCAATGAAAGATAAAGAAAAAATCAATCACATACAAAAGAAGAAGAAAAAAAGACGAAAAGCAAATTAAGGGCAACGAAAATGCAAATGGGGGGATAAAAATGAGTAAAAAGGGAAAAACATAGGAAAATGAGAATTGACAAGAAACATGTTGATATACAACACATGTTTACACGGCGATCCTGCTACCAAAGTTGCGAAGAGGAATACGATCCCAAAGCACCGTAAGGAAAGTTCGATTACCGAGGATCTGGAAGTATAAAAGACCCACCGTCACTAAGGAGAAAAAAAAAAAAAAGAAGAATAGGATGAGTTTGATTTGTTTGGTTCAAGCAAGTAAATTAAAAAACCGGATATACACTTACCTAAAAGAAGAGGAACCCAGAACATGTAGAGACGACGATCCGATTTTGGAATCGCTAATCCCAGTCCGTTTTGATCCATGGATAAATCATCTTCAACAGCCTCAGTTTCTTGCAACGAGTGGAACCGACGCATATACTGAGCCTTGATACTCGGACGACGGGAAGGTGATGGTTTCACCGTACAGGAAGCCAACATTTTAATGACATTGTTCGATTTAGCGACTTCCAGCGCCGTACCAAGACTGCAAGTCGCCTCCGGATTCGCACCGGCTTTTAGGAGAATCTTGGTAAGCAAGTGAGATCCACGCCAGCAAGCAAAGTGAAGTGCAGTGAACCCGTTGCGATCAGGATGATCCAATTCTTCCGGTCGAATTTTCGCCACCAACGCTTGCACAAGATCCCGGTAGTCCAACATCACTGCCAGATGGAGCAAGGTGTGACCACTGGGATTGGCATGTACAATATCTGGAGCATCCAATGTTTCCAATGCTTTCATCACCTGTTGCTCGATATCCATGCTGTATTGATGTTGCGATGATGATGACTGGTGCTGATTTGAAGAGGAGCTAGGTTGCTGATCCCCTTGCACGATCCTCATGGCAATGTGTTTTGCGTCATGCAACTTGCCGGTCATTTTTAAGCCGACCACTTGCAAAGCGAGTTCCAGTAATGCTTGATCACTGGCATCGTAATACGTGAATAAAGCGACGTCTTGTCCTTCAATCACCAATGGATGTTCTTTGAACGATACCACCACGGGCCCTGGATGAGCCGCGGGCGGAAGAACGCAGACCAGTGTATTGGGATTCCAATACACGGTGGTAGCAGGATGTTCTCCAAACAGACACGTCAAACCACGGTAAAAGCCTGAGCCTAATACGGTGACTTCCACACCACCGTACGTGGGACCTTGCGACGGCACCAATCGCTCCAACTGAGGAGGCAATTCGATGGGTAAGCCGGAAACACCCGATATCCCTGTTGGGAACGTGCGTGTCGTACGTCGACGACGATTAAACGGCCATATTTCCGTGTTTTCAGACTCCGTGGCAAATAACTGCGGTAAAGGTTCGTCTGATTGAATGGCACGTTGGAAGATTTCGTTCAAAGGTGGATTCACGGTGGGTGTGCTGGTCGAAGAAGCCATGGGCGCAAATAGGGTAGGCGCATTTTCTTCCGACGGGGTGGGTAACATGGACGCTAACTCGGCCGCTTCCGCAATTGACAGTGTATTCACAGGTTGTTCTTGTTTTGTTTGCTTCGGAGACACCGAACCACGTCGAGAGTCAGCGGGTGTGGATACTTCATAATCGTCGGAACGGGGGCGTTTTCGGCCGGCGCTGCGTTGTTTAGTGTTTTTGTGATCGTCCGTAATCATGATTGGAGGTGATACACCACTAGCAATAGCTTCGCCTTTGTTATTTTTCATGACAAATTGCACACTTTGTACATGTAAAAGGTGAGAATCAGATCACACGAAAGAGGTATTTGGGGGACTTACCAGAATCCAATCTTTTCATTATGATGACGACAATAGCAGGTAATGCGAGTAGGTAAAATGACGTCTCCAGAACTAAAGTTGACCATTGGACCACAATTGAATAGTAAAATACGGTTCATATCCATCTCCATCTCTTCTTCGGCGGTTTTGGAAAGCTCCGTTTCGGATCCCGTAGGAGACCGACTATCTTTACGAGGTTTGCCATCTTTTGTACGTTCGGCTCGTTTGCGCTACAGAGATCCGTTAACAATTTGATGAAGGGAGAAAACAAAAAACAAAAATCAAGACAGATTTGTATTGACAACTTTCTTTCATTTTGAGGTCTAAAAAAGGCAAAAACATACCTCACGACGAACACAGCCTGCACACATTCGAATCGTTTTATCGGGGTCGCTTGCACAGACAACGCGAGCTTCCAAAGATAAGACCTTGGATTCATCGGAAATCATACTAGCGACTGAACCGTCGAGGACTCTTTGCTGCTGTTGGTTTTTTCGTAATCTTGATTTTGCAAGCAATTCTTCTGGTAACTTGAGATAGGACCAACAGGATACTTTGGTGCCCTTGGCAGTAAGCAGTTGAATACATAATTTGATTTGAGTTTCTACGCGTGACTTGGCACCTGTGTTAGGAACGCCCAGCACCCTAATTTGTAATGGTCTGTGCAGATGTCCGTGAGTCTCTTTTGTTTCAAGATTTCGTCGAGAATCCACTTGGTAATCATTATTCAACTCACCTGTCTAATGTGTCTTCCATTCTACGGCTGGGTGGACGGTCTGTTAATAATCTGCAATGACAAAACAAATATAAAAAAAGGCACACACACACAGAAGAAGATAATGATGAGTTATTGACGACATAGTAAACAATGAAAAATTCGATAGGTGGTACTTGCATATTGTCTGTTTCTGGTACCAAATAATCGGTTAAAAAGAGATAGTTATCAGCAAGACTGGCGGTCTTTGTATTGTCCTGATAGTGAGGCAATTAGTGATCCTGCAGTTCTGTCAAAGACATGGGTTAGTTTGAATCGTTACATGATTGTTTGAGAGAGCGTAAGCTTTTGTGGTCAAAGGTTCGAATTGGCTTTTCGGTGAAGGTGAAGCGGCAGATGAGGAAGAATCGTGAGCGCTGAGAGAGGATGAATAGGGAGACGGAATATCGTGTTGATACATGGGCGATGCGTCGAGTGGATTAAATTCGGAAAACAACGGGTGTAAGAAATCGTGAGGATCCAGTAGGTCATCGTGAATATCCGTATCGCTTAGCGTGCGTGTGGGTGATGTGGGCGAGCAGGGACGGCTCACCGGTTTACAATACAGGGACATTTGGGATTGTGTTGTAGAAAACAGAAGAAATGGAAAAAAGAGCGAGATATAGGTCGGGATTACAAAATTGGGGCTGGCAGATATAAAAAGAAAGCAAGCGTGACTCGGCAATCCCAAAGAGGTTTCTTGGGGCAGTTCTGGAATCACAAGACGTTTTCGACGCCTACGACTAGCTATCATAAACAGTGTACGTGATAAATGGACCATGAGATCCCGCTGTTTCTTTTTTTATTTTGCCTGAATGATGTACACTAATTTCAATAAAAGATCGACGTTGTCTGTGACGGAGTTTGGTGAGTCTCTTCTGCCTCTGCGTGTGCAGCAAAGGAGAGGCTCCAGTCGAGGTGGTTGGGATCTTGAACAATCAATGTCGCCACTGGGTTACACAAAATTGGCAACGACAGCATCTCGGAATCCCTTGTGATGCTGAACAATCGCCCGCACGGTCTGCCGAAAAACTCGTCCACTGTAATTATTGGGCAGAACCTGCTGCCTGCGCTGTCTCGAACGTCAGATATGGCCTTGGAGTATCTTTTATCGCGGTTGAATGAATATCGCTGCACTCTAAAAATAAAGGCTTGCAAAATGGGATAGGCAGTCTGTGTGTGCGTGCGTGCTTGCGTGTGTGACGTTAGGTAAGGGGGAAAAAAGGTACTTTCAAACCGTTTTATACTTCCGCCTCACCATTCCTCTATCAAGGCTCTCGTCTCTTAAAGGTAAGCTCAATGGTTGATGTCATGGCATACAACCACAAAGTCTTCAAATGTGTGGCTTTCGTCGGGATAAATGAAGATACGTATCCGGTGTGGATCATCATCATGGTTTCAGTCAAATCTAGGCTCCACCCTTTATCGGGTTTCAGATCTTGCCTGATATTTTTGTCCGTATTCCCCTCTTTCGTGTAAGACTTGCAACTTTATATAGTCTTCCAAATTTTGGATTGGTATTTGTTGAGCCTACATAATTACGGTACCAATGGATAATGCGTCGCTAATAGTGCAATTGAAGGTGTCCTTCAGCCCTTATTGTTGCAAGACAAACAAATCCTTTTGTGCTGGTTGATGTTTGTTTGGCTTTTTTCCATAACCGTCCCTAATCCCAACGTGCGCTTTATACATTACTCTGTATGGTCCATGAATTTCCGTGGATCATCCAATAAGCGTTTCAGCAGATGACTATTCGGAAAGTACCATGTTCATTTTGCGATTGTGGGTAACTGGTAAACACAACAAGATTTCGGGATAAGCATGAACAAGTTATGTTGTCTGCATCTCGCTGGTTGAATCATATGATTGTCCCCTCTCACCCAACTGGAGGAAATAACCACCAATATATCAATGCATTAACATGGATCACCTTTTTTACATCCCTTCTTACCCATATGTTATAATGTTGATTCGGTAAATGACAGAATTGTCCCTTTTCTTGGAACTTTTTTTCGTATTGGTGTTCTCTCCCTTTTTCTCCTCTCATCCCGAACTCCAAATGGCTGTAAATCCTCGGATGTGTTTGAAATACAGTCGTTATATTTGTAAGGGGGAAAAGGGCCTTGGAGAGATAAAAAAAAAAATTGAATCAGATGAACGCGTCATGTATTGGGTCCCAAACTTTATATGGGTTGCAAAATGGTGCAGACGCAGTGTTGGCGAAATACGAGGATTGGACCGCGAGGAGGATATTTATTGATACAAATGAACTAGGCCATAGAGTAAAGTGTGAAATAAGGTGTAAGAGAGTAATCCGTTGATGGCGCCATTGATCGTCACATCCCGCCATCCGTGAACAAAGTAATTGGAAGGTGATTGCTTCATCTTGAATGTGAATAGTAAAATGGAGAGAACAGACCAGCTAATACCGTAAAAAAGAAAGCCGCTCCAGTTGGTGAGACCGAGAATACCAGCAGCCGACCCTGCGATGGCGGCAAAGCATGAGCGAATGTATTGAAGTTGTTTAGTGTTGTGAGCTACATTGGGTTGCACGAATTTATGGGCATCTTCGTTTGGCGGATTCATAGCGAATGTAAGTGAGAGTCGTGCCCGTGTTGCTCACAAGCCGTAGCGTGGCAAGCTTCCCGAGTGGAATTTTTCAGCAAATTTCCTCCAATTTTTGGAAATCCGCCTGTTGCCAGATGATTCTTGCATGGACAGCCATGCAATTTTCTTTCTTTTGAAAATGACACATGCAAATGTAAAACTATTCATAGTTTTTGCTGTATGTCATTAAAACGTGGTGCAATTATACAAAAGAATCACGCTAGATTTTTGATAGCATGATTTCCGCCGATGACAGCAGATGCAGTAAAAATGCGATATTTGCTCTTGAGTGGTATAGGAGGAACGATCAGTAAAAGATATTACATTGATTGTTTTTGCTTCAATATAACAAGGAAGAGGATGTTGGATCTTTATGATTGCCAAAAAGGCTTACTCGATTAAGGAGTGTTGGATCATAGTCATTTTATGGCAGGAGATCGTGAGATTCCACCAACATTCGCAGCGTCGGCGAACGAACCAAAACAGACTGTGTGAGAAAGACATATCCATGACTTTTATTTCCTTCACGTTTTGCCACCAGTTAGCGGTTTCTTAACGTAGCGTGATAAGTAACAAGTATTACGTTATTACTATTGTATGGATTCAATCATTTTTTAAACAGAAATTGGGGAACATTGCAAAAAACAGTATGCCAACGCACTTGCAGGCTGTGGATGGCGTGCTCTTATGGCAGCCATGATCCGTTATATTCAAAACGGGCGTTTTTTTTTCGCCCATCTTTATCCAGTGAGTAAAATGATCGACAACAGGAAACGAGCATTCGCTACTGTATTCATAACAGACCAAAAAAAAAAAGGAAAAAAAAATCGACCCCACCACACAATCGATCGCGGCAAAATCGAAGCACGTCACTCAGCACACCACGTGATTCAGCAATACCAACTCAGCTTCACCTCCAAAAAAAAAGGAAAGGAAAAATTGCTCGTCTCTTTTTGTTCGTCTTTCGGAAACTACATTCCCTCAATGTACACCAGCAACTCGTTTGCGCAGTATCCTGTATCTATGAATCTCGCTCAACAGAAGCTCTCTCATCCGCAATCTTCTCAACAGCAACCGCTCTTGCTTTCCACTTCTCATGGCGTCCTTGGTGGGTCCAGCGTACATACTCCGACTGACCTAACGCTTACGGGGCAATCCTTGCCCCCTAATACGACACCGCACGTTGCACGCCAGCTCACCTATGCCCAGATTTCCCGACAGTCTTCATCACCGCATCACCATGCGCGTACAGCAGCAGCTATGGCTCGTAATGCTCCTGTAGCCTCCACCGTCACCATTACGGACCCCAACAATCCCGCCAACAAGATTGTGAATGGGGTGCGCGGATGTAAGAAGAAGGAAGAAACTGAGGCGCAAACATGGACGACTCTAGATATTGGTGGCATGGGGCTGAAGAATTTATCGCCGGCTTTGTGTTCATACACTTTTCTAACCGTCATTTACATGAATCACAATAATTTGACGTATTTGGCACCCTCGATTGCCAAATTGGAAAATCTCAAAGTGCTGGACGCGTCTGGTAACAAGTTGATGTCCTTACCCCCAGAGATCGGTCTCCTTGTCAATCTCAAGGAATTATTGCTGTTTGATAATCATCTCACCACTTTGCCAAGTGAAATGGGAACCTTGTATCAACTGGAAACCTTGGGTTTGGAAGGCAATCCCATGCAAGCCGACATCAAGAACTTGTTGCTCAAGGAAGGAACACAGGCCGTCATTATGTCGCTTAGAGAAAGTGCCCCAGGTAAAGTGGTTTTTTTTTTTTTTTTTTTTTTTTTTTGGCTCCTGTACACCAAACAACGCACTAAATAACAAATTCATTAGTGGGTATGCCTCCCCCTCACAGAGAGTGGATTACCATTGAAGGCATTGATGCAGCAGATGAAGAGAAACAAGGTAAAAATTCTTTTTCTTTTCAGATCACAGAATTCGCATGGATCGATTGGGTTGATCTTCTTATCTTCTTTTTTTTTCTGGGTGACTAATTTTATTGGCAGACAAATTCACGGTTCTGTGCTACAATATCCTTTGTCAGAAATATGCTACCAGTCAAGCTTATGGTTACACGCCTTCGTGGGCTTTGAATTGGGATTATCGCCAGGAATTGCTGATTGCTGAACTCCAGGGTTGGAATGCGGATATCTTTTGCTTGCAGGTCAAGTGAACCATGAAAAGGATTAACGCTTTGACAGGGTTCCATGTTATTGACTATTCGTCGATTAACAGGAAGTTGAAATGGGCCGCTTTGAAGACACCTTGCAACATCACTTTAAAGAGGAGGGCGATTATGACAGCATATTCTATCCTAAATCAAGAGCCAAAACCATGTCAGAAAAGGAACGTCGTGTCGTGGATGGTTGCGCCACCTTTTACCGAGCTTCCAAGTATGTTTTTTTTTATGATGCACATTACACAATATTCTTTTGCGAGACCAGTTGCACCAAAACAGCATGCTAACCGTTGTAAAAATAATCATTGATAGATTCAATATCATTGAGCACTACTTGTTGGAATACAATCAGAAAGCGTTACAACGACCGGATTTCAAAAAGACCGAAGATATCTATAACCGAGTCATGAACAAGGATAATATTGCAATTCTGACGATGCTGGAAAACAAGCAAACCCTGGAGCGTGTGTTGGTGGCCAATTCTCATGTCCATTGGGATCCTTCGTTTGCCGATGTGAAGCTGGTCCAAGTAGGCATGCTGATGGATGAGATTGAAAAGTTTGCCATGAAGCATCTGTCACCGCCAGCATCTTCTCCCAACGGCCGAGTATATGCATCTCCCGCCGCATTACCTACCGTGGTGTGTGGTGATTTCAACTCTGTACCAGAATCAGGCGTGTATGAATTTTTATCCAAGAGTGCAGTAGAGCAGGGGCATTGCGATTTCGGGGATCACATCTATGGCAATTACACATCCGAAGGATTGTCGCACCCACTGTCGCTGAAAAGTGCATATAGCCACATTGGAGAGCTGCCTTTTACAAATTATACACCTGGTTACAAAGGCGTACTGGATTATATTTGGTATACCAACAATACCTTGGACGTCCTGTCTCTGCTTGGACCTATTGAGGAGAGCTACCTAACAAGAGTGGTTGGATTCCCCAATCCTCACTTCCCGTCAGAGTAAGTCTATTTGATACCCAATGTCTTGTTTGTCTTCATTTTGCTGATAAGTTACCTATTTTTTTTTTCCACTAGTCACATCCCCATCATGACCGAATTACGCTTTAGACCATCACAACGAGAAGCAGAAGAAGCAGACTTTGGCTTCTCCTCACGGCGTTACAATAACAACAATAATAGATCCAAAGGGAATGAAAGCATAGGTAGACCAAAATAAAAAAAAAATATGAAAAAAAAGGGTCGTCCGGTCTTTCAGCACGCTTTGTCATACGAATTGTGTCGCAATGACAGTCATATCAGAATTGTAATGTATCTTGGGAAAAGGAGATGCTAGAATCATCCCCACAGCTGACAATTCTGCTCTACTGTTTTGGATACTGCGACAGTATTGGAGTCATCAATGCGGGACAAAAAACTGCTTCGAAGAGTAGCTTATTATCGTATGGAAACAAAAAAGACGGAGCTTTTGTTGGCAAAGAGGCTGTACTTTGTCTTGGATCTGCGCCATCAGCACGGGTTCTCTCTTGAACTTCTCCACCATCATTGTTCAACTTTACGTTGCCTCTTACGAGTCATCTTTTTGTGGCCACTGCGAAGGATTAAAACATTGAATTAACCATAGTTTTCCTTTGGGCGTGAGAGCTTTTCGGAGCGGTCCTGCAGATATTGCTTCTTGGAAGTCGGAGAGAAGACAGCCTCCATGACTATAATTCTGTATGCCGCGTCCATTTCAAATGAATTTGAGATATCAATCACATCACTCCGGTCTAATTCCAGTATTCACCACTCATGAAGGACAGGTCCGATTCAAGTTACACATTGAACTGTTCTTCTATTTGCTCAAAATTTCCCTTTTTCTCGCTTGGCTTGTAGTACTGCTTTTGTTTTGTTTTTACATTCATTCTGCTTATTGGCGGTAATGCTTCCAGTTTTCTTTTTTCTTTTTTTTACCCATGCTGGCATCTGCTATGTATCTGCGGCTTGGGAGCTCCTGCAAACTAGGGATTACCTTGAGTAGGTTGATATCAGAACTCAATGAGGTGATTTTGTGCTAAGCGACTTTTTTTTTGGTATTCTGCATATCCGCTTCTATCCTCATTGTTACACTACCTTCTTTCCTTTACTCTGCAAATTTGTGATTAGAGAAGTATGTTCATATGATACTTGCATGGCGTTGTTTGAGAGCTCCTGTATGTGTTATTTCGACAGCTTGGTATCGTATTCTCGGTATGACATTCTTTTTACTTTTTAGTATTGCCGCAACAGTTGCCTGGATGATTTCTATATTTTCATCACCACAAATTAGGAATTGGTGTTGCCCATTTTGCGATTTTTTTCACATCGGCTGCTTGTTTTCTCTTTGTTTATCGTACAGGATAAACTTTAAACTAGATATGCTGTTCCTATGCTCGAAAATAATATGCTTGAAGCTAAGAAAAGAAACCCCCGGAGGCTCATCCACTGCTGATCCTGGAGCATGCATGCATATGCAGCACAAAAAGGAAAAGGACAAGAAGACATAAAGAGTGAGTGTGTGTGTGTGTGCGAGAGAATGAGAAAATAAAGGAAATAGAATGAGCAAAAAAAAAAAAGAAGGAAATAACTATCGAATTTCACGATAAAATGACAAGCCTATTTTTAAGCTGCATCCAGATGTTCGTTCTCCTCTTCATATTCGCCTTCTTCAAGTTCAGTATCCTCAATACTCGCTTCCTGATATTGCTGGTACCTAGAAAATAAATGCAAAAGAAAAAAAAGATTATTCTTATGGAGATGCCGCATGCATACGAAAACCCGATTTCTTACTCTGACACAAGATCGTTCATATTGGATTCAGCCTCCGTAAATTCCATTTCGTCCATGCCTTCGCCTGTGTACCAATGCATGAACGCTTTACGTTTGAACATGACGGTAAATTGTTCGTTGACACGCTTGAATAACTCTTGGATAGCCGTACTGTTGCCAATGAAGGTACCGGACATTCGCAGGCCGACCGGAGGAATGTCACATAAGGAAGTTTTCACACTGTTTGGAATCCATTCGACGAAATAGGATGAATTCTTCTGCTGCACCGCCAACATTTGATTTTCAACTTCTTTTGTCGACAGGCGACCGCGGAAAATGGTGGCTACCGTAAGATAACGGCCGTGACGAGGGTCTGAGGCGGCCATCATGTTACGCGCATCGAACATTTGTGCGGTGAGTTCGGTCACGCTCACATTGCGGTATTGCTCCGAGCTGAGGGCTGTCAACGGAGCAAAGCCTACCATGAAAAAGTGAAGACGAGGGAAAGGCACCATGTTGACGAATAACTTGCGAAGATCCGAGTTGAGCTGTCCTGGGAATCGCAGACTGGTGGATACACCTGACATGACAGCAGAAACGAGTTGATTCAACTCGCCGTAACCAGGATTGGTCAACTTGAGAGTGCGGAAACAGATATCGTAGAGAGCTTCGTTGTCAATACAGAATGTGGCGTCGCAATTTTCCACCAGTTGATGGACCGACAACACGGCATTGTACGGTTCGACGACGGTATCGGATACTTTGGGTGACGGTACCACAGAATAGGAACACAACATGCGGTCAGGGTACTCTTCGCGGATCTTTGATAACAACAGGGAACCCAAACCAGAACCGGTACCGCCACCCAAAGAATGGGCCAACTGGAAACCTTGCAAGCAATCGGTATGCTCAGCTTCTTTACGAATGATGTCAAGCACCGAGTCGACCAGTTCGGCTCCTTCCGTGTAGTAGCCTTTGGCCCATGAGTTACCAGCACCGGATTGGCCAAAGATGAAGTTGTCTGGTCGGAACAGCTTGCCATAGGTACTTGCTCGAATAGAATCCATGGTGGCCGGCTCCAGGTCCACAAGCACCGATCTGCAAGCCATCCCTTCGTTAGCCAACTGACTTTTTTTTTGTTTGGCATGTGTTAAAAAAACGCATACCTTGGGACATATTTGCCTGGGGAACCTTCATTGTAATACACATTGATACGTTCCAACTGCAAATCGTTGGTACCGGCATAGGCACCGGTGGGATCAATACCATGCTCTTGACTAATGGTTTCCCAGAATTTTTGACCAATCTATAAAAAGCGTATTAGTATACGTTCATGATGACATAACCGGGTTACTTGCCTGATTACCACACTGGCCTGTAATTCACAAAGAAAAAGCGAAGCAATAAAAAGATAAGAAAGGAGTAGAACGGCTGAGTTCCAATGAAATAGGAAAAGCGGCGTTCTTTATTACCTGCTTGAACGTGGATGATCTCTCTCATGATGGCCTATCGGTTTGGTTAAAGTATACGAAAAAAGAGGGGGAAAAGGTAAAAGGTTAAAAAGAGAGGTTGAAGAAAAAGGAGACCTGAAACCTTTTTATATGTCAATTTTTTCCTATTGGAAGCAAAGCATGAACCTCCATTATTTCTTTTTGTAGTGTGTGTCAAAGGCGTTCGGGGGGTGAATTGTGCGTTATGTATACCAGTGTGCACTGCGGCATGTTTGTCCCAGTGGTCACTGTCCGATGCCTGTATCTGTGAAAAAACCGAATTTTTCCTGTATCACAGCCTCTCCGAAAAAAAAAAAATTAAAAAAAAAGATCATCATCCTTTTAAAGATATGCATGCACGACTCTATGGTTTATTTGCGCGAAAACACACGATACATTCTCGAAATGGCAGTGTAAACGGTTTGGGTGATAGGAAAAAAAAAAAGTAAATAGGGATAACAGGTTTAAATATACAAAATACAGTAATATACAATCAAGCATAATCAATATGAGATAAAAATCTAAGATAACGAGGTCCACACACATCTGCGCGTGCCAGAAAGAGATAAGAGAGAGAGAGAGAGAGAGAGAAAGGGAAAAAAAGACAAGAGAGAGAGGGGTTGGAGAGAAAGGAAAGTGATTATATATGTGTTCTATGAGCACATTAAAGCAAAGCGGGTGGTACGAAAGGGGCAACGGAGACAACAACAAAAAAAAAAGCAACAAAAGCATCTATCTTTTCGGGGGGGGAGTAAACATGGTCGAATCAGAACAATTCCTGCAAGTCCTTCAGTGTCACCACACCTCGCCAGCGACGATCATCATCAGTGACAGGTAAGAGAGGGAGGTAGTTCTTTGGATTATGGTCAATCATTCGACGCATAGCGTCCGATGCCAGATCTTTCCAGTTACACATGATAGGATTCGAGGTCATGATATTCCCTGCTTTGGCATGGAAAATATTATCCCGGGCAGACGTTTTCAGAATACGATGGATATCTCCGTGCGTGATGACACCGGCGACGGTATTAGAGTGGACATCTTGCATCACGTCTTCATCGGACGCAGCTGACGATGGTGGTGAAGGGAATAATTCTTCCGTCGCCTCGTCTTTCAAAACGATTACGCAGCCGCCTTTGGGGTATTTCGTCATTTCCATAATCACTACGTCCAAGGAAGCGGAGGACATGACCGACGCAACGTGGTCTGCAGGGACCATGGCATCCCGCACCTTTAATAGTAGTCGTCTGCCAAGGGTCCCGCCGGGATGGTTCAAGGCAAATCCGGCCGTATCAAATCGTCGAAGCTTCGCTAATGATAACGCCAGCGCATCGCCCACCGCCAATGCCAACGTCGTGGAAGAAGTGGGAGCCGGAATTTCGCCACCGGCTTCTCGCACCGCAAACCCGTCAAGCCACGCTGCACATTCTCGGGCCAATTTACTGTTGGGATTGCCGCCTAACCCTACGACAGGCACCTTGCGGTGCTTTAAACTTGGGAGGAGCATCAATAATTCTTCAGTATTCCCGGAAAAGGATAAAGCGAGCACCACATCATTGGCTTGCACCGTTCCTAGGTCTCCATGTAAGGCTTCTACTGGATGCAAAAATGTTGCACAGGTTCCTGTGGATAACATGGTGGCCACAATTTTCTCGCCGATTTTGCCGGATTTACCCACGCCCGTCACCACGATTTTGCCTCCACAATCCAAGGCACGGAACATGAGGTAGATGGCTTGCTTGTATCCATCTCGCGAAACAGCATTCATTTGTAATCGAGTTGCCGCCGCTCGAAGTGCTTGCGCTTCCTCCATTAACACATTGGCAGCATCGAGGATAATGTCGTCGGTCGATTCAATAATCATGGTGAACCGAACAAAAAGAAAGGGAATAAAAAAAAAACTGTAAATTGAATTACAAACGAATTTGTTATCGAGAAAAAAAATATGAGGCATTTGGAAGATCGATCAAATTACATTCAGTTTCCAAAAATAAACCCGTCACATTGAACCACACGGATCTCGATATGTGCAAGGTCGCTTGAATCTGATATTGAACAAAAAAAGATCCTCAGTTGCCTTGACAGAGGGTTCTTCTATTAAATATATTGAAAATTCATGCCATTACACGTGTCCACGGTGCTATGAATCATACGTATCAGCATGGAAACATCGATGTAGTCATTGTTTCGGTGGATGTCGATATCTTTTGCCCAGCCATTCAGGGAAAATATTTTATCCATTCATCTCGACTTGTTAGAAACCACAAAAAAAAAACCCAGTCATCCATTCCAAAGATGGAAATTGCCCTTTATGGAAATGTGTGACTTGGTTTGACCAAAAAAAAACACTATAAATAGTGCTAGAGAGGATTTATCGCTATAAAAACGGCGCTCCTTTTCCGCTTTTCTGATTCTTTTCTTGAAGGTGAGCTTTCAGACCTCTGAACCCCTTCCTTAAATTGTGATATATTTTGCTTGCTTGATGATTATGAAAAGCAATCTTTCTTTCTTAATCTGTGATGGTGCAGCATTTTGACTCTTACGAACAATAAATGTTCTTCCCATGCATAACTAATGAAATCTCGTCTTTTTTATTCCATCCTTCTTTTAATTGTTCTGGTCTATACTCGATTGATAGCTTCATTTGTTCACCCATCGTTCCTGCGTCGTTAAAAAATGTCCAACGCTATTGTGGTGAGTTCCATTTCCTTTGTTTTTCCAAGCTTCCATTCCCATGGCTCTTTTTTTTTTCGTTTGATGGCAAGATTGTCTGAATCTTTTTACTTTCTGTAGTCCAATGTCTATCGTTACGTTATTGACGATGTGATCAACCAAGTTCGTGGTGAATTTGAAGACATGGGCATCGATGAGGCCATCTTGCAAGAACTGCAGCGGGTAAGCGGTTTTTTTCTTATAGTGCTTTTTGGGCTCTTTTTCTCTGGACTGTTGGTGTTGTTGGATGCTTACAGAGTCGAAAATAGTCATGGGAAACAAAGGTGGCTCGGTCGCGAGTAGCCAACTTTGGCTTCACGGAAGAGAATTTCTATGATGAAGAGACCGATAATCATACAAATATGAATATGGGCTCTGCACCTGATGGCATGTCCTCTATGCAGTATCCTTCTGTAAGTGCTTGACGACGAGCATGACGAGATATTCGGTGGAAACAATGGGATATGGGATAGCTAACTCGAGTTTTAGACATATAATCAGGGGGCTGCTGCAAATTTAGCATCATTAGCTACTGTTGGAACAAGCATGCGAACGCCCATCAAACAAGAGCCATTAACAAATGGTGTGATGCGACAGCAAGGTTACGCTTTGCCTCCACAAAACGCTCAAAGACCTATGCCGCAAGCCAACAATAACCAATATCCAATGATGCCACCGCCCATGCCAACGTCACAACCATTGCAAGTTCAATCATCAACGCCACAACAGCATTCGCAGTTATCCCAGCAACCATCCCAACAGCCACAACAGACATCATCTAATCCCTCTTCCTTGCAAAATTTACAATTGCCCGGTTCAGCGCGACCTAATATCCCTCAAAATGACGGTTTGAATGATGACATGACAACGGAAGTAAGTGACAATAGAGTTGTACTCGAGAGGACCGTATACTGACCCTTTTTTTTTTGATGGGTCACAGCAAATTGATGCTCACATTGCTGATATGATCATGAAGAATGAAGCGGATGATGAACAATCCACCATTTCATGTTCGGCACATTGGTCAACTGGCGAACCTATTGAGCTGAGCTCACTACCCGACCATGTACAAGAACTCTTGCGTGATGCGAAAGCAAGGGCTATCAAAGCAGGCGCTATTCGCTCCAATACAAGAATTCCACAACTGGATGGTGATGCCGGTAACGTACGTATTTGGGCAAGGAAAAAAAAAATTGAAAAAAAAGGAGAAACAACAAAACGATACGGTCTATTCATTGTTTTATAGGATGAGGATGAGATCAATTCCGATCTGGACGATTCCGATGATGCGGATGATGATGCGGAGGGTGGTGAGGAAATTGAGCACATCATCCTGTGTCTATACGACAAGGTAAAAAGCCAGTTTGCACTAGGGTCAAAATACGAGGGAATTGAACGATTGATGATTTGACCATTGTTTTTAGGTAACACGCACAAAGAACAAATGGAAGTGTATCTTGAAGGATGGCATCATGTTGGTCAATGGACGTGACTATCTATTCCATCGCGCCAATGGGGACTTTGAGTGGTAGATTAGGAATTAGCCATCTTATGCTGTATAAAAAAAAAAGACTCGGAAAGACAAATCAAAAAACAAAAAAAAACAAAGGAAAAAAAAAGAAAAGCAATAAAATCACTATCGCCCTGTTTATCACTATCCTTTTTTATCCCACCATGACTTTTTGTTTTTCCTACTTTCCATCCCAGGTATAATCATGTCGTCCTTTTTATATGTATGGGTTTATCCAAGATCCCGTTATTTGACCCTTTGTAGTAACTTGCTTTTACCTTTAATGATGGGTCATATCCAATAAAATGCCAATACTGTTTGTGATAGCCAGTCTTCAAAAAGACTACGGCAGACCCATCCGAGGTTATCGTTCCTTTATCTAAATTCTCATCGAACATGATGTCAAAATAAAAAGACAGCATCTCATTGTTGAAAGACGTTGGAGCGAGCTTTTCTTTATTTCTTCCATTGTGCCAGGGGATCTAAACTACTGAATGCGTTGGAGCGAGAGAGGCTGTCATCGGCTGAAGTAAACTCTGTAGAAAATCATGGCTGAATTATTATCTGTGTCTTCTATTTCCTCGATAAGAGAATAAAAGACGCTTACCTCCCCATAACGCGTTGGTAGTTGACGATTTTTGAGGCTGCAAGGATTGCGGTCGTGGTTTTTGGGATCCTACTTTTCCATAGTTGTATGGTGAAGCATTGGTCGGTTGATTCGCGGAAGATGACTTGTTGGGGTGATCAGAGAGAGTGAGATCCCGTAGTGCGGCATAAGGATCGAAAGCGGACACGGGCGTGAATGATTTATTCTCGGATTTGACAGTATGGGGAGTTGATCCAATGGATGGTTTCGACAATGAACTTTGAAGCGTTTGTGGGGAATTCATACTAGGTGAAAGCGGGGTCGATGTTGTAGGTGAATTGGGAACGAGTATACCGCCAGTGTAGGTCGCTTTATTGACAATGGGAGGTGAATCGAGGCCGGCAAGTTCGGAAAGGAAGCTATTGGAGGCAAAGGTAGGTGAAGTCATTTGACTCGCTGCACGATTCATTACAGATGATACAACTGGGCTCGCAGACGATCGAGGTGAGGTAGGACCCGATTGAATCGAAGGAGACGGAATAGAAAAGGAACCGCCACCTAACACAAAAACTCTTTAGTCAGCATGCCACCCCCTCCCCAAAAAAAAAAAAAAAGAAATGAGCCAAGAAAAGGTTGGATATGTCTTACCATAACCAAAAGCGAAAGGTGCTGAATGAGGTACTGGCGATTGATTCTGTAATAAATATGCTTTCATGAGCGATCCCGCTTTTTTTTACAGCTTACATAATCTCAAGATGATCCTTGAAATTATTATTTTTTCAAAAGGCCACCGATAAAGAAAAAAAAACCAGCTGCCTACAAGAGAAATAAATAGAACGCACCTTATCCGATACCCTTTCAGCATGGGGAATGATCTTTAATTTCTCTGGAATCTGGCGTACTGTCTGTCCACCTGGAGTCATGGCGAGAGGCGTGTTATCCTCGATCCAGGAAGCGCTCGGTTGTGGTGAAGGGCGAGTCGACATTTTTTCGGGGCTTTTAGACTGTGGAGGGAAATACGATGTTGACGCATTTTGATGGTCGGTAGGCAATGGCGGGGTAGGAACACGTGGTCGACGTACACCATCCTATTCTAACATCATTAGACCCACTGAAGAAACAAACTCTACCCGTATTTATCCTCGTATGTGTACCTCTGTAAACATCTGTCTCACCAGTGCTTTGACGAGTTCCGCGTGTTCCTTTAGTTTTTCTCGGTTCAGCCACTTTTGCTCGTAATATTTCTGACGCATGAAAAGGCGGACATCGTTATCTGTTTCAGGCTCCGTGGTCGACGAGTTGTAAGTGCTCAACCAGATACGGCGAGCGATCTCATTGCCACCCTGCTGAATCGCCACCACTTCCGGTCCCGAAAAAGTACTGGCGGAGATGGACTTGACACGATGACCTACTTCACGCCTAAAATCCCAGAACATGAGCCGGTAAGACGAGATGAATCCCTATCAAATCCTGGACATACTTACACCAACCCGGAACATCTGGCGCAAACAAAAGTCTGTATGCTTACATTGATGAAAAAAGGACTCTGTACCGGGAAAGCATGAAGGGTCAGTGAAAAGGTTCTCCCCCTGATTCATTATACGACGGGTACCTTGGTAGGGCAATCGAAGCACTTTTTATTTTCAGGTAGTCGTAAAAGGTCACGGACTTTTCTGTGAATGGTACATTTTAAAAAATGCCTGCTTGGTCTGCTGTATGGATGAGTGGAAAAGCGTGATGTAGAAAACTTACTGCAAGTTTTTCTCTTCCTGCTTCTTGGTGAGTATATGCGACATGACGATGAGAAAAGGAAGAAACAAAGAATACATTCGGTATCACCTCTGGATTTTTCTGTTACAGTGGCTTGTGTCTCCTGCCTGAGCTTTTACTGTCGGTCCCTGTGCCTTGTTACCAAAGAACTGCGGTTGCTGCTTTTGGAAGTTTTTTTTTTCTTTTTCGTTGCACCATTTCGCCATCGTATCATGCTCAAGACATTGAAATAATTTTCATCCCATGTTACATTGCTGAGCTTTTTTTTTTCAAAAAAGGTACATCTTTACATTTTCTTTCCTATGTCTTTTTCAAAGAGTGCTTTAAAGTAACAGTCTTTATATTATTATGCCTAGCAAGTGATATGCTTAAATCCTTGATAATGCCAAAATTGGGCACATCTCGATGTGTGGAAAAAGAAGTATATACTAGAAGCTTTGTTGCATGTAGCTCGATGATCTCAAATCACATTACAATACAGTGCCAGAAAATCGTATTACAAGATTCATTGATGACCCCTCTAAAACCGTTCACAGTTGGGAAATTTTGGTACGCCCAATCCTGAAGAGTTGTGTATTGTCAACCGTCACGAGAAGGAAAATACTCGAATAACGAATGTTATTTTTATAACGAACGACTCGCGCACGAGGTTTATTTATAGGTCAGTGCATTGGGTTTATTTCTCAGCCCCTGTTCACCTCGATCAAGCACGTGCGCTTGGTTCACCTTATGAACGTCTGGTAGGGCTATTATGGATCTATAGAATAGGGGGAGTGGATGAGGAGAACTTTTTTTCCTTTATCATTTTACAGAAGCAATATCTCTGTTCAAACCATGTCGTTGTCATCATTTGAAGAAACCGCTATTTATAGAAATGTAGTGTAACGGATTATTGAGCAAAAATGCCAAGTAAAATTCATTGCAACTTTTTTTGCTAGGTCCCCTTTACTTCAGTGATAGCAGATAGCGTTCTCAGCGCTTGCCTCAATCTGTATAAATTTGTTATTTGCTGCATCGCATCGATGTTTCTATTGTTTCCCTATCGTTTTTGTAAGCGACCACAGAGGCGAATCATTGTTAACCGAGGTTATTTGTTCTCCTCCTTAACAAAAAAAAAAAAAAAAAAGGTGTAGTCTGTTCCCATCGCATCGATGGGAAATGTGTTGCTGACTTGTGTGTTCCGCCCAACCATCGATGGATTTGAATTGTTAAAGTATTTCTCGATCATGAAGAATAACTCGGACTATATCTACAGAATGCACAACTTGGAGTCTTTTCGAATAGAAGATGGAATATATTCATGCAGTATCAACATGAAGATACGCATCATTTGGGCACGCGTCAGTCATTTCCCTTTAAATTCATAGAACTCGCTTACAGTTACTCGATGTCAGTATACAGTATATAGTATTTAGCACTTTCATCAAAAGTTTGGTGCTGAGGTCAAGCAAAGCAAATCAACCAACGAAGCAGGTCACTTTATGCGACTTCTTTTTAAAAAAGCTGAATGGATTCACAATAATGAGCACCACTCGAACCCGAACCGACTATTGACGTGACAGAACGACCAAAAAAATTCCAAGCGACGATTGACACGTCGTATGAGCTCAATCAAAAATATTTTTTGATTGACGGTATAAACTCGCAATATCTGCTCGGATTTCATATACATTTTGGAAAATGGGAACAACATATATATTCAACTACAAACTAAAAGTTTGATGGCAGAATGAACAGTCACAATCAAGCTTGACGACATCTTGGAAAAGATGGTTTCTTTCATGAAAATTCAATAGTTGGCTAAAAGGATATATTTTTTGGTTGAATCCAATACCAAAAAACGTCATATTACTCACCTCGTTGACATGTCTTGATACATATGTAGAGGATACAAACCTCTGTGGATGTTCTTCTTGGATAAAGACTTTTCGTTCGATTCGCTCAAGCATATGGTACATCCGTGGTACGTATAAACGCAGGCCTGCATTCAAAGTGAGATCGTCGATCGGCTTTGGCCCAAGCTGGAGGGTCTGGAAACATTTTCGATTTTCAATTCCAAGTCTTTCCTTTTCGTCACTGAAGGTGGCCAGGATGGAAGTGCAGTCGAGCATGTTTTGTCTTTCCGATTGTAGTTTGCCATGCGGCGCAGTGTGATCCTTGACAAAGGAAAAAAGGAAAAGAGTGAAAGAGAAATGAACTACAGCTTCCACCATTCAGTCATCTACTTGGGAATGTCTGCAATAGGAATTTTTGCATATTGTTTCAGCGGCAGAGCGGGTTGTGTGAGACTGCTTTACAAGTAAGCGTTTCAAATTTGTGTTCATTATCGGCGCAGCATGCATTGGAGCTGCCAATATTTCTCTTTCTCTCTTTCATTATTTTTCTTGCCTATTTTTACCCTGCGCCGCATGGCTAACCGTAATCGAACAGGAAAAAAACGCGCGACTACACCTCCATCATCCGGTATAGAAAACACTATTCGGATTCACCAAAAGCTGTCTGAACATTCTTTGTTTTTCCAGATCCAAACCCAACCTTATCTGACGACGACTTCCAACCACCGCTGGTAATACCAAAATATAAAGCAAGGGCCAAGACCGTTCACGCAAGAAGAAGAAAAAAGTGACGGAAGCGAGGGTAAGACTTCAGAATATCATCGTGTAACGCCATCTCACTCCTGCATTTGACCACTTACAGCTCCGACGTCCGCCCAAGGAGGTAGATAACATAACTTGCATCCGATTTGTTTCCTGTGCTAAACTAAAAAACTCATGATTTTCAAACATGTAGGCGAAGCATCGTCATCTGCTACAAACAGAATCAAGAACGAGATCAAGTTCGAGCATGTCAACGCAAAGCGTGCTGCTAAGCAAGAAGCGAGTGGCGATATAGCAGTTTGCTCATCATGTGGTCAATCTGGACACGGCCGTTCTTCCAACAAAGCATGCCCAAATTACCGTCCCAAGCGGATTCATGCCAGTGAACTCGAGCGAACATCGATCATCAAGACGTCCCTCAAGAATATATGCAAATGTCCACGTTTTATTGGTGCCGTACAGCGAGCTGCTGAACATGTTCGTAATGTCACATTTGTTGCGTCTCTTTTCGTGAATTATCATATGTTGCAAAGTGTTTCCGTGCACGAAAGACCAAATCACCACAGATGGGACAGATGTTCAGTTCATATTTAAGAAGCCGAAGCGGCCAAAACAAAAAACGCCGCCGCTCACTCCCCACTATGTCCGAGCAAATTTGACCAATGCCACAGTTTGCGATGTTGATCCCGGGGTGAGTGATGCCTTTGTTACCTGTGGGTGGTTCTGGCGATGAACCCCATCAGTGCCATTCAAACGACCCACCAGAAACCCGAATACCGATGACAGCAAGAAATCGGCGTCCAGTAGCAAGTAGCTTACCGAAAGGCATTGGGTTACTTGTTCTGCCACACACTACCCTCCTATCTTGGTTTTCAACCACCAAATAAAATTTTAAAAAGGATCTAGGCTGAGTCTCAACTATGACAGAGGAATGGAAAGTCAGCATCATTGGAGTTTCCGAAACAGACAAGAATACAGAGGTATAGTTTCTGCGTCTGTACCTGTATAATAGTCGCCAGCTCGGCTTGCATCAGATCGGCATTGCTACTTTCACAGAGCAACCCCAACCTCTGTTTTCCATTGGCTATGGAATTAGCTTCAAAGGTTGAGAGCAACAGGCCTGAACGCGTCCTCATGCCGTATATCATGCTAGTTTTGAACACTTTTCGATCATGAGAATCATCAAGTGGAGCTAAAATGCGCAATAGGAGCAAATTAGTAGAATAATCAAAACTCACAGTAATGAAACTGCGAGATTCTTATTATCACTGTATCCTAGGTGCGGTTGGCATGGGTGAACGAAGCATCTCTGTATCAGGACCTTTGAAGCCCGTTTGTTATGGCAACAATAGTGTGCTAGAGTATTTTTACGCAAGCAAACAGAACTTTACTGTTGTCGCGATCCGGCCCCATCAACAAGTAAATTCTCTGCATTTGTAGTGAGCACGGTCCTTGACTATGATTCCAACAATTTACGATGATGCACCCACTCATTTGATATCCTTGTTATTGCATGAAATTCCTGCAATAATCCTGTAGTTGTTTGATTCTGTGTGATGATGCTACATAGAAATCGGGACAATGTAGCATGCTCCTGTGATCTCTTGTAGCGCCTTAGAAGGCAACCACACAAACCTCATAACTACAAAATTGCCATATAAACCGCATAATTACCACGAGCGTCAAAAGCTTTGCAAGTGTTTTTGTTTTTTGTTTTTTGTTTTTTTTTGGCTGTATCTATGCAGCATAAATCAAATAGATACCTGCCAGCATGACCTTGGCAGTTTTCTAATTTGAATAAACTGATAAGGCAACAAGCAATATGATGCCATTACATTCAGAAAAAGGGATTGTTGGTTTGCGCAAGGTTTTCGTGAACACTAGGTTTTGTCCCGTTTGGAAGCGACATTTAAAATTTCAATATTATATAGGTTGCACTAACGGCATCGTAGCGAAGCTCCAAAGATGGATCGCTCCAAGAAAAAATTAGCCATTGCCATTCAATAAGGGTAAAGGGGTATCTTTAATGGAAATTTTCCTGTAACCATCAACCAGATATGACAGATTGACCGCGTCTCAAGCGTTGGTGCTTCCTATTGCATTGCTGAAAATGATAGCAGGTTTGCGCTACCCACTATCATTGGACGGCACCTCCAAAGGAGCTTTCTCATTCTATTGGTACATGTTATTTTCCGGCGAGAAAGCTGTTACAATAATAATTTTGCATGCATTGTGTTTAAGGTTCATAAAACGACATCAACATCGGTACCCTAGAAAATATGGTAGGCTTGAAATTCATTCTTTTGGCGAAACCCTGATCCCATAATCTAACAATTTATCTTGGGGTCCCGTTCCATTCCAAAGGGCCTGATCTGTCATCCAGCACGCAACACCTTGCTGACCATGTCTCAGCTACACGCTACGCGTTAAAAATCGCAATGGGTTTCCCACTTTTTATTTTTATTTTCAGCACGCCTCTACGCAACTTTTAGCCGGCCCAAACTGAAAATATGGTGTTGTTGTGTCATCTCTACCCAAAGGGCCCACAAGAAGCTTGCACGCATCCAAGACAGATGTCTTTGAGCCTTTTCTCGTTTTTGTACAATCGCTCCTGCAAATTTAGCGGTATCACCACAGCTTGCATTTCGAGCTTTCTTGCTAGAAATATATGTTTTCAGTGTATACCAACAAACCAGCAGTTTTGAGGTATATGGTAAAAATCTAGATGCTTTGTTTGTACTGGCTAATGTATTTTGAAAGCAGGGCTCTTGCAAAAAAAAAAAGGGGATAACACAAATAAAAAAAAACTGTGCCGATTTCGGCACACCTAAAAACTGCTCAGACCCAAGCTTTGGCTTTTCCTGAACCGGTAGCTCTATAAGCAGCAGGAATCTTTGTTGGGTAAAATCGATAAAGTTACACTAAGCAAACTAAGAATATCTTATTCATTATGGAAAGATTACCGGTTCTCTCGACTCTCTACGGGAAGACACAACAAAGACAATCACTTGTGCCAAAACAGTTCGGTATTAATGGGTGGAAATGAAAAATGAAACTGTTGGACTCTATCCAACGCGCCCTCTTTAATAAGATATAATATTCAACCAACCTTCGAAGAAGTTACTAGTTTTAAAAGTCATCCATAAAAAATTCTTACGGTGGGTTTATAGGGACGTCTTACGCAAGAGGCGAATTCTGGTTTTGGAGATTGTGGTCAATTTTGATTTTTCGAGTTTGTCGATATTTAAGAATCTCTGTTTGATAGCGGCATGAGTCGGCGTCCTAACGAGGGGCCGTCCGCGGTGTTCATTGTGTCGTAAAGTATAATGGAGGTATAAATGGAAGAAGAGGTAAGTGATATGATAAAAAAAAGAAAAATCCGGACGCCCTACTGTGTTTGATGGTTGGTCAGTCACGCAGAAACATTTGATGATTTTGTGTCAGGATTTTCCACTATGCGACCAATCCAAAAGTGGTTGGGACGCCCTTACTAGAATTTTTATTATTTCAAAAAACGCATACATGAAGGTTTGTATTGGACGCTTGAAAACTACTGTTAACGAGGTGAGCTCACCTGCAGTTGCTCCTCCAGGCTCACAAATGCGACAGTGACTATCCTTGATTTACTACATTCAAACTGCCTGAAATGTAACCTCATCTTAAGCGAATATTCTCTTTGACATCGTCATAAGACCAGTTCTTCTCCAGAGGCTTATGGACAGCCTCTTGTACAGTATAAACAATCGAAAAGCTATGAAGGACAAGATCTTCATCGATTCAGATCTATACTCACTAGATTTAATATTTAGTTCAATATCACAGATCTCAAGCTGTCATTCTCATTATCAATACAAAATACCTAATTGTTCTGTGTCCAATAAACTTACTTTCGTTATTATATTAGTCCGATCTGGAAGACTTGTTCAAAGGTCAGGCTGAATATCCAGGTCGAAGGAATCGGATCCTCTGCTTGCATTAACGCCACTGTGTGATCCAAAGCCACTTTCCTATGATATTCTGCTGTCACAAAGAAGTCGAGTTTTAAGACTCAAGTAATTCCCGAAAGCTTGCTCATCAATGTTACCTACAAGTCCAATACAGAAACAGACATTCGTGAACATACATCGTTAGCACTAGCAACATTAGAGATCGCCAGGATGCTTATACTAGGGAAGAAAAAGGAGCATTGTATGGATGGGTATTCACAGCTAATTGACTTCTTTCACCACGAGAGAGAATACACGATTATCCAGGTTTTAGAGCTGGATCCGGAACCGCAAAGCGGAAACCACCGATGTATCATAATCGGATCCGACAGTGACAGTATTACTTTGGGACATTGATTATCAATTTTTTTTTCTTTAAAAAAAGTTATTTTATGATGTTAATCGAGAGGTTATAGATAAATTTTAGTGGGCAAGCACTTACAAATTATATGAAAACAAATTTCGTGATAATAGTGTGCTGGAAATAAAGCTGAAGTATGACAGGATGAGCGGATGAAGGAAGAGAGAAAAAAGGTATAAACAACATGCTTTGCTGCTCACCATAAGTGGCAATAGCAAAGTTGTACGTTGTTACAATAATTCATCTTTGCGACTATGGCCGCTGATTCTGCTGCCCTGATTTTCCCCATACGCCTTTTCCTGCGGCTGTGTTTGGTTTTTTCACCTGCCGCCTTACCATTTTCTATTAGCCGATTCATCATTTTCCATTGATCAGTCAACCAAGAAATAAATAGCCTCATATTTTCAATCCGAAATAAAAAACAATTATTATGATTTTTTTTTGGCACTCTATCATTGGGCAACCATGGTCATGTGTCATGACAACTTCTTTTATACTTGGTGGCCATGTATGCAAGCAACAAGATTTTGCTGGCAAACAGGCTGTTCGAAATCAAAAATCTTCGCAGAATCCAGAAATAATATTATTGATTCCCGACCTGGTAGGAGAAAGATGATGTTTTGAGATGGGGTAAAAATATCAAGAAGTCATCGAGACTGAAAAGATGACTTTTATCTATATAATTAAAATCTTTGAAAAATTAGCGATTTTGTAAATCACACGATCTACACTAAGTTATCAAGACCTGTTAAACCTTTTTTTCATCTTTCAACCATGCCTCGCTGCCCACTTTCACGATAATAGGCGAAACAATCAGCAGCAAGATGCCGTTTGCGCCAGTTGTGGTTAAACAGAGCATCGTCGCCGTTTACATAAAATGTGAGTGGAGCTCTTTTTTGAAGAAAGGTGATTGACGATACGACGATCTGGTGTTTTGTAGCATCATTTAATTTGGGTTATCTGTCAGTTATACTGTATATGCCCTTTCATTCTCTTCAGTAATCGAATGATACATGGAGCAGATATGCTTCGATCTGTGTAGCTCATCATTCATGCATCAGTGAGGTGACTATTGTTTCATCCATGGAAAATCACATATTTTTGTCCGAATTTTTTCTTCTTCTTTAGTTTTGCATCTCTTCTGTTTGCCTGGAAATCCCTCACTATCATTGCATCCATCATCCATCATCCAGACTATGGCGTGTATCTGATCCGGTCGATTCGATTATTATGAAAAAAGGTACCTTTTGTGTGATACGACTATCCGTTTTTCGACAAGAAAAAATTTACCTGTCCTTTTTCTCTATTCTGTCTTTAGCTTTTGGTTTTCTCTCCGGTTTTCTTTTGCCTGGCAAGCCATTCAAGCCATCCATCCCTCCAAAACCTTTCTACTTTGTTCGGGCACCAGATTGTGGCCAATCCGGTTTTTGTCGTCAAAGGCATCGTCGGTGGTGTGACTCTCTTTTT